AGCTTCCAGCTCGAAAACTCGTTTTGTTTATCTTTTATTATAATAATTTGACATGCGGACACATTATTCACTTCATTTGCGTGACGCAAACAATAAACGGCCGCTTCCTATCCGGAATTCCTCATGTTATCTTTTTTTTTAAACTCTTTTCCCTCAAAATAAGAGAATTCAGTAATTGATAGAAGAAGAATTTTATGAAGATAAGAGCGGCATCCACTCGAAAAATTGGGGCGAACGCTGAGATTTTTGATAAATCTTTGCTTGCTCAGCTAGCTACCAACTGCGAATCTATTTGAAGAAAAACGGCCACAAATAACTTTTTCAGATTTTTCTTGCAGCCAAGTGGATAAAAATCAGAATTCAAAAAAAAATAAAACATTATTTTGAAGACCTAATTATTTCGCACTTGAACATCAAAACGAACTGAAAAAATTAGTAGATAGAAATTGAGATGATGTTTCTATTATCACTATCAGCTTTTTCAAACTATCTGAGGAATTTCTTAGGGGCCCCTATAGAGGTTTAGGGTCTGATCCTTAAGCCCCTAAAGCTTTAGGGGTCCTTCTGTTCTAAAAAAAAAAATTAAAATATCAAAAGCTTGAATCATAACATCTTTCTACTCAAGTTCGGCGATTTGCGAATAATTGGAGGAGAAAAAAAAGTATGCGTGCACTTTATAGGTCATTCATTAAGGAGCAAATGAGAATTTCTGAGATCTCCATTGGAAATTCCAATTTTTGGCCGTTTTCTTTGGCCGGAATGAGTCTTATCTGGGGGAGGTTTTTGACAATGTGACAAATGACATTACATTCTGGAGGGACGGCCGATTTTTGCGGGAGGAGGTCACTCGGCCTCTTCTGCACCAGCCAAACAAATCCATTCTTCTTGTTTTCTTCGCTTCCCTCGCAACATATCCCTCGTTTTTCATAAAAATATTTTTTCCCAAAATTGCTCTTTTTGTAGAGTCTGATGAAATTTTCAATGAATCTTATAGTAGGTTTTGTAATACTTCTTGAAAAAAATTCTCAATTTTTTTCGAATTACTTCATTCTGAACTTTTTCAAATCTCCGAGAGAAGTTTATATGATCTCGTTTAATCTGAACGAATATTGGAGTTCGATTCAAAGAAGTAATCAAAAAAGTTTTAGGCTCAATTTTTAATTTTTAACGTTGGAGCCAACTTACATCTTCATAAAAAAAATAAGATTTTTCCTATTAAAAATTGAAAAAAAAAACCGTTCAATGCTCTGTTCTTTCTGAAAACAAATATGAACCGCTTTCATTTTTCAGCTTACTAGTTAGACTGGATTTCGAACTCAAGCTTAAAAAACAAAATAGTTAAGCTCAGCTTATAACATTTCCCAAAACATGAGTCCCAAAGTCTGAGTCTACTTTGAAAGAAATTTCAAAAACTCTGTTCCATTTTGAGACCGGCCTTTCCCAAACTCTCAGCCGACGAGAAAAAGTGCTTTCCTCGCAACTCAAACCCAGACGTTGTAAAAGAACTCGCAACGGCCATGAGAAGAAAGAAAAAAAGAAGGGATGGGTCCAATCGAGCAGTTGTGGGCCTTTTTGTGACCACCACCGGCTCTCCTTTCTTTCCGGTTGCACTTTCTCACAATCTCATCGCTTTCATCATCCAAAAAATACTGGTAGAAACTGGTTTTTCGAAAATAATTGGATTTTGAACAGCGAACAGCGTCTAAATCAAGGACATCAGCATCTGGAAAAAGCCCTTAAAGTCCAGGCAAACTTTATTGACATTATTTTCTGAAAAAAATCACGTCTAAAAACCAGTAGTGTTAATGAAATTAACTCGCTTTTTTTCTATTTCTGAACTCGAAAGGATCCTTCTTCCTGCCATAGTCTCAAAATTCACCCTGCACAGCGAATTTCTTCTCAGCTTTTTTAATGTCGCTGACTCATTGCCTCGAGCAGCGTCTTTTGTCTCCCTTGGCGGCATTCCTGTCATTTCCTACGTTCCCTTTCCTGCCAACCTTTTTATTCTTCTTTGTCAGAATTCTCGGGACACCTGCCACTTTACCTTTCATTAGGGCCACGACTTCCTCATAATTTATAATAGTTTCATTGGGCAGAATAATCGTGAGAAGAAGAGGATTGGGGTCCGAAGTGCGGGAAGCCGTGGTTCCTTCGCAATATCCAATTTCTCCTCTATTCGCCTCGCTTTTTCGCGACTTCCAAATTACACAGACTATAATGTTCGTGTTTTCCTTTTGTTTATTCCTCAGCCGGGGCCAGGCTCAAATTGTTATTCGGCTGCGGCGTCCATTACCAGTGTCACTAAACGTTCTGTTGGAGCTACAAGGAAAAAAAAACATTTACTTGAATAGACCAGTAGTCTATTGGAAGAGATTCTCAAGTGATTGGTCGTTTCACAACACGCGAGGCCAGCTTTTCCCAGCGAAACCGCGAAACCGCCGATGACCACGGCAAAAATTGGGCGGTCCGACAGCTGCCTGGCGTCCTGCCAAATCCAATTAACAGCCAAACGGTCTGACACGGCGCTTCTCACTGCCGACGGCGTTTTTCTCAATCATTTTTATGCTCTCTAATACGTCAATGACTCGTTTCAACTGTCTGTTTGTTCTTTCCAGATTGTTGTTGGTCTTGAAGATTTGTTTTCTGAATATTTTCTTCGATCACTTTTTTTGATTGAAACTTTTAGAGTATGCTTCGAGTGATATCATTTTCAAAAGTTCGAATGTCTAAAACTATTCCAGATTGACTAAGGTTTTATCCGAGAAAACCAAAAGCCGTGACAAAAAATTCAGTCCAACCTAATAGCTTTATCTAATCAACAGAAACAGGCTTCATTTCAGTAACAGCTTTCTGTCTTCAGAATATTTCCCTCTAATGATTCTATCTCTGTTTTCTCGGGCGACGCTCAGCTGACACTTTTTGTGTTAAGAACTCTCTGAGAAGAAGAAAACTCGATATCAAAGTTCAAGTTTCTTGTTGTTGAGCAAAATAAAAGTTTTCAAAACAGACTTTATTATGTTCCATATCTCGGAATAGACATGAAAAGACCTCAAAAATACGGGCATTATTGTTCATTCCATGCCGTCGAATTTTTTTTTCCGACTTGAAAACTACTTTCAACTCCATTTTTTAGTCAGTTTTTTTTAGTTAGTCTTCATAAGTCTATTTTTTAAAGGCTTTGCAAAAGATGATTCAACCTTCAAAATATGCGAGAACTTCAGTGTAATCCTATTGAGTAGATGTAGCATCGATGAAATAAGAAGTTAATCGAATTTAAAGTTTGGTAAAAACTAATTTAGGGCTATTTTCTGATTTTTTGTAAAATAAAAGTGGACGGATTCAACTTAGTCCGTTGTATTTCATCATCTTTCATGACGAGTTCTGGGCGGATAAGTGTGAACCGCGACTTCAAGGAGAAAAAAAAGCTGCAAGTGCAAGATGGACGTGGATCTTGGTGGTTTTGATGAGACAAACAGCCGACGTCTTACCGCTGCGTACGTAAAAGCTGCGTGTTGCCGCATGTGTGCACAGCGACTGTTAACGACTGCTGTTTCGAGTGTTTGTCTTTGTTAAGAGAAGCAGAAGAGAGCGGAGATTCGCGCAGATATACCACGCGAATCGCAGAAACTCGCGACACCCTCGCCCAAAACAGGCTCACGGCTTCTCGCGGTCAATTGATCCTCTTCTTTCATTTACTTTCTTGGTTGTTTTGAATAAGATTTTCCATAAAAGCTTCATGGATATAGTTCATCGCCTGGATAAAGTGTTGAAAAAAGAGTTTAACAAAAAATGTTTGAAACATAGCAGTTCTTTTATTGCTTAAAGTAAAAAAATTGCTGAATCAGGATTGCGTCTTGGAAATTTTCAAAAAAAAAAAAATATAAATTGCACTTCAATCCTCATAAACTTCTTTTTTTTCCAAAAAGTTTTAATCGAAACATTTTTTTGAGCACGTCATTGTGCTCTTTTTCGTCGAGGTTAGGGAAGTCTAAACATCTGAACTTACGCGCATAATGTCGTTTCGAATTTTTTTTACGAAGACATTTTTATGTTTTCGATTTTTTCTTAAGTTTGTATTCATTTACTGATTAGAATTTTTCGAGATTAGCTTCGAGGTGGATCTTCACAATTTTTTTTCTTCTGAACCATTGAATTTTCTTGGAGTTTTTCCTAGTTTTTTTTGTTCTAGTTTCTTTCCTAGTTCCTTTTCCTTGAGTATTTTCAGTTTCCAACGTTGTTAGCTAAAAAAAACAGAGCGAATGTTTTTCATTGATAAGCGGAGCGGTCCTCAAAATTTGTTCTGCTCTTTTTTTTTCGATATTCGAAGCGATTTTTTGTTTGATCAGGGACTAGATAAAATATCATTTCCCATTTCACGTGTCATTCTGGCCGAGAATAACCTGTATGTTTTCATTTCTATTTCAAAAACTTCAACCGTATGTTTTACTTTCTAGAATGTTTTTACTTCATTTTTTTTTTTCTCTGCCCTTGTGATCGCTTTTAAAAGGCCCGTAAGCATGAGCCTACGAGCGAAAGTTTTTTGTTTAACCTCGTAAAATGCGTCATGAATATTCAAACCTCGTCGAGAACGTTTTTCGCCATTTTACTTTCATTGATATTGGTCTATTTTATTTTTGGATATTCTGGAAAACGAGCAGTTGTCAAAATTACATAAAACGGTGCGTTGATTTTAAGTTATTTCAAAGCGCATTTTCTGGACAAAACGACTCTTTGAATTAGAAAAAAAGTGAAAAAAATTTCATAGAAAAAAATAAATAATTTTTGGATATTTAGTTTACGTTAGTTTCATAAGAGACCGAAAATATATAACTCATTCAGTGAAACGTTTCTTCAGCTGGTATTCATTTTAACTGTTTTCAGCGCTAAAGTAAAAAAGATTTAGAAAGCCCAAACTTTGATTTGAATTAATTTGCCTATTTTTGCAATTATTTTCCATTTTCCTGCTCAGGTTTGTACAAAAATAAAGGGCAATGCAACTATCAAAGACAGAGTTGAGCGATGAACTTGCCGGATTTCGAGATGAACAAGGCAAATTTCGAGCGCTCATCACAGACGGAAATTCCGTCATATCGATCTGTAAACGAACGCGGTGGTGTGTCTCCCTCGGACCGAGGGTGCTGCCTTGGTGTACGTGTGGTGGAGCCTGGCGTTCCTCCTTCTCGTCTGTTCTTCGTTTGGTTCTCTTCCTCTCCCACGACCTCATTCTCCCTTTGTGAGCCGCACTCAGCCTAAATCATCCGAAAGAATATATATTCCTCTTGTTTTTCATTTCACTTTTTCTTTTTCGAAATGCTCGTGTCCATCCTTTTTCCTTTCTCATTTAAAAATAAGTCTAGCTCTAACCGACAGGCAGCCTTTTTTGAAGTTGAAAATGGAAACCTTTTCAATTTTTTTGAATTTTTATCACCGTTAGCCTGCCATGACGACCCTTTTTTTATCTTTTAAGCTTTATTAAGGAAAAATTTTTAAATAATTTGAATGTTTCTGTTCACAGAATACCGAATTTGTGACGACCATCGTTAAGAAAAAAACTAAAAAAATTTTTTTTTGAATGTTTATATTCAAAAATTTATACTCTTAATTTAATCAAATTATGTTGTTTTTTTCGGGTAATAGTTGACTTATCAGAAGAATCATGTTGAATATAGCACTTTTTTTGTGGTTATTATTATTATTTTTGGCAGACTATTAGCGTGAACTTTTTACCGGTAATTTTTGGAGGTTTTTTTTTGATGTGTGATTCAAATTATTCTTGAATGCAACATATTAATCCAAATGATTTTTCCTCAAACGTTTTTATTAAAATTGAATAAACTGAGTATGAAACTTCAAAATCGAAACAATACGAACTATTTAACGCAACTAACATTTCATAATTTGAATGATCCAGTGGATTTGTTGGCGGCCCACGACGTGTTCCGACACGTTCCAGCGGGCCGAATTGATTTGAATGGGATTGCGCGAATTTTTTGTTCGTTTCCACTGTCCTCTCCTTTCCGTCCTTCGCCTCAACTCATCTCTTTGTTCTTCCTGAATTTTCCCTTTTTTCTGTTTCTTTGTTGAGTATCTGGACGTGTGAATGAGTTGTGTGAGACTCAAGTTATTTCATACTAGTTTTTCAAAAGTTCAAGGTTTTTAAATGTTTCGCAAGTTTCCCAGAGATGATCGCCTTCAAATAGTTTCCAAGTTTTTCAGGTTTTGTTCCAATTTGCGCAACTTTTGACGCAATTAGAAATTTATTGGGATATTTTTTGTTCAAAGCACTCCTATACTGCTTTTTTTTGCATTCTCAATGTTTGAAAACTGAAAAATAAAACAATTGTGAAGATATTATTAGACTTTTCAAACTGTAAATATACATTTTTAAGGCATATTTCGTGAAAAATTGATCTCTTTGTCAAGTAAATATGTTATTTCTTTTGGATTTCTTTAGTGGAGTTTCACTAAAGGTGACAGCTTGGAAACGAAAGTCAATATATTTTTGTTGATTCCATCAGTTTTTTTTATTATTCCAACTCTGTAAAACTGTCTAAAGCGCTTACACTAATATTATTATAGACGCAGATCTCGTTCTCAAACGTTTGAAATTTGATCCGAAACATTTCCGAAATAAACCTTTTTGTTTCCAGATGCAGGAGAACGTGACCGGTGCGGAGGCACCGGCACGGTTGTCCCATCTCGAGTCGATCTACCTCGACGGGCCCAGCAGACATCCACACGCCCTTTCTTTCGAAACTTTACTCGGTATGTTTTTTACTCTATTATTTGTTCCATCCTTTGAAATTACCATATTATCAAAAATAGTGGCTTCGTCATGAGCGCTTTCTCTTTCAAATAGCTTTTTTGCTTCTAATCTGATTGTTTCAAAAGCTATAATCGATAGTCGCTGCATTTGGACCGCGTCATGGCATTATAATCAATTTTGATGGAGTTCAAAATCAGAATGGAAAAAAAGAAAATGCAGAAAATGAAAATATCGTCGTAACATTCAAAAATTTCGTCAATTTAGTGCCTTTGTAGCATCAGAACCGATTTTTTTATTTTAAAAAAATTGGGAATTCGTTATTCAATCGGTAGGAATTCATTTCTCTTTTCGGTCTGGATGTTGATTCTTCCGTTAATTTTCGTTTTAATAAAGGTCAAATAATATAAGTCATATTTTCGCTTGAAATTTTTCCACCTTGTTGTTACTAACGTCTCCATTCTAAAAAGTAAAATAGTTCAGAAGTTCGAAAAGCGTTCTTCCACATTTAGTGATCGAAAAAGGGATAAAATGATCAAAATCAGATTTCGAATTTTTATTTTGCAAACGAAAAACTTTCAGTTCACCAAAATCGTTTTAATATAAATTTTTTCCTGGAACCTATACACTCTGAATTTAGAAGTCGTTTTTATGTTGTTGATTTTTTAACTCTCAGCGAAATTTTTTGGATTGTTGCTAGCCCAACGCTAAGAAGAGTTTAGCGGTCAAAAAATATTTAGTTTATGTATGAAGTACGAAATTTTCAAAAATTAATTTTTTCAGATTCCCTCGTTTGCCTGTTCGATGAATGCTGCAACAGTACGCTGCGGAAAGAAAAAAATGCGTCGCGGAATTCGTCGAATCAGGTTCTTTTTTCTCTTTTGTTTTTTTGAAGTTCGATATTTGAATATTTGAATTACATGTGTAGAAGGAGTTTTTTTGTTTATTGTTTATTTCAAATAGTGACTCATTTAATGATTTTTATAGAGATTAACACTGAATGAGTGTATATCCGTTAACCTCAGTGAGAAGCATTCCAGTTTTTTGCAATACTTCCACTTGTTGGTTTCAAAAATAATTTTTTCGTAGATTTCGCTTTTGTTTTCATTTATTTATCTAGAAGAAAGTTTGTTTTCATATCTATTAAATCAACCTGAAAGTAATGACTAAAACCCTGTAAATTCTCGTTTAATAGAAAATTGTTTGGAAAGTATTTTTTCTAATTAGTTTTATCTGTTTTGCCGTAGAATTCCCAAGACTTTCTTCCCTTCTTTTTTCTTCTCAAAATGGACAAAAACAAGTGATGATCCTGGTGGACGGAGACGTTTTCCGGCTCTTTTTGGCCTCCAACTCGTTCCTCGCCGCATCCGCTATAATATGTGTTTGTGGATTGGCTTAAGACGGACCGTTGGCTCGCTCGTTTTCACGGATTATTTCCAGGCTTTGACCTCTTTTTCTGGAACAATCGCCAGTTGATTTCCGATGGCATTTCACGGAAAACTATTGGTTTTTCAGTTTTTTATTTCTAAATTTTTAAGACAGTTTGAAGAGCTTGAGTTGTCGGACAAGTATAGATTGATGAAAATCCCCATCAAAGTTTTTAGAGGAGAAAGGACTATATTTCTAAAAACTCTTGAGATCGGAAACCGTTTTAGGTATCTTTTTTTCGGTCATGCAATCACTCAAAACAGATAAATAAAAAAATTTTATTTATTCTTTTTATGTTTTTTTAAGTTTGTTCCATATAGTACTAATATAATTTTAAAAGAAACTCGAAATTTGGTCGAAGATGAACTGGCTCCGCTAAAAAAAGTACTCAAATTTTTGAGATAATACAACATTTTTCATGTATAATTTGCTCTCAGTGAAAGTTGTCATGTAGATGATATTAGGGGAATCTTCTTTTCGTAGTAAAACATGAATAATATTCCTTTTTTTCGATTCTCAAAAAGTCACAAAAACTTGTTTTCAGAGTCAACTTTTTTCTTTCCTTTTGGTAACTTTTTCGAAAATAGCCTTTCCGAGTCAAGAGCTAAGACTGAAAGTCAACAAAAAAAAAAGAAAAAGAGGAAGACTTTTTAGTTAGTCATGCGTAACTGCTCGAAATGTGTTGATACAAGTCACTCACGCAAAAAGACTCGAGATTTTCACGCAACAGAGAATTCCTCAAGTGATTGATAAATAATGTTCTGACATTTTTTTGAAGTTGAATGCTGAGCAGGCTACAGAGAAATGTTTAACTAATGGAATTATTGTAAAAAAGAGCTTCCAAGTTTATTCTTAAGGTATGAAAAAACTGCTTCCAAAGTGATATCTTTATTTTTCAATTTTGATAAAAGTGTCAAAAAGGTTCTGAGGTACTTTAAAGCATGCATTCTGTAGGTCGTCCAACTCAAAATAATTTTTCAAAATCAAAAAAGGTGATTTCAAATTTTTTCAAAGAGGCGAAGTATAATTAACGCCGGAGAAGAACATAGGAGAACTATATTTGGCTAAATGTCCATCTTCAAGATACCTATTGAATGTAGCGTCCATCAGCAGCGGAAATCCCCGAATCATAAATTGCGCCGATTTCTTTTTAATTATCATCCGACCGCCAGATCTTTAAGTTTTCTTTCGCTTCCCGGGCCTTGTGGGAAAATCTTCTTACAGTCGTCTTTAAGCTAAAAAAAAAAGTGCGGCGGAGTCGAAACGAAACGTTTTTTGACGCGGGCAGACCCTCTGGTCTCGGCCCCGCCTTCATCTTTTGTGTATTTTGTTCTTCTGAGCGCCTGTTAGGCCTAAAAGTGTGTCTTCCTGATCAGTGATTTGCGACAAATTTGGCTCTTGTCCACTTGAAATTGACCATCTACGCCCAACCCCGGTTTTCCGGCTTGTTTTCGGGAGGTCGCCACAATTGGCCCTCGGCTTCTTCCTCATCCGTCGGCTCTTCCGACTGATTTATCTCCCCGATTTCTGACTCTGATTCTCATTTAAAAAGCATTCTTCTTCTTATATTTTCTACTGAAGACTCTCATGGTATTCTACTGATCTCTGTGCTGCTCACATCAACGTTTTTTCTGCTACTTTGAGATTACCTCCGCAATCTCTGTTGATAGGCGGAGGAGTACAAGGCGCTCCGCCGCCCCATTCTGTTTGTTTGCGCTACTAAATTGTGATTCGATCCAATCTGCTGCTGCTTACCGCCTGCGAAAGTATTGATGTCTTCGATTCGCGAGCAAGTGAAGCTCACCCGGCAGTCTATCCAGGAATGGAACTCGTGCTCCTCGACCGAGCTCCGACCAGACCTTCTAGGCCTCGGCTGCGAACAGAAGGTCTTCGAGGACCACGGCTACGGCGGCAGTTGCACCTCTTCTACTATGAGCGCTGCTGTGTTTGACATGGCTTCGCCGATGGATGCCGAAGGTTCGCAAACTGGCCGCCATCAGCTCCCACGGCTCACTTCTGCGTGTTCTTCAACCGTCGTCGCCGACGATCAATCGGAACCGGACCTCGAACGTTGCGACTCGCGCTGCACCATGTGTGATGACGGTTTACTCATTTTCTCGTTTTTAAGGACTGGCCGAGAATCTTTCTCTAAGTGGTTTAAACTGAACTAGTTGAATTGATTACGATGAGTTTTCTTCATTCTTGATCTTTGTTTCGTTTTTCAGCCATACTAACGAAAAACGTTTCTGATAAAAATTTTAGATAGTATTTTCATGACCAGTGTGTGTTTTGTATTTTTTTAGTGGAGCGCTCTAAAAGGAAGAACTCTCTTTTCAAATTTTTATAACTTTCATGAATTCGTATGTATAGTTACAGATTATTCGGGTTTTGAAAAATTGATCTTGAAACTTCCGTTGCTCAAAAATATTTTTGGAAATAGGAGAGCTGTACTTTTTGCTAGAACTCTTGAAAAAAGTTTGTTTTTAAGGTTTTTTTTTCCCGTGAAAAGCTTTTCGTACTAAAAAGCTGTTTTTCACGTCGGAAATGTTGCTTCGACGGGGAACGGTGCTAACACTGACCAAATAGCCTCCAAACAAACATCTCTCCTCCCGAATTTCAACTTTCCGAGGAAAGGAGAAATGACGCCGTTCAACTCTTGCTACAACACTGTTTTATGAGCTGTTTACCCTGCGAGAATTGCCAACCGAAAATCTCCTATGGGCCATCATCGTGGCGCGGCTTTTACGATTGAACCTAAACACTTAACGCCGGTTTTTCCACTTCTTTGCTAGAATAACTTTTGTGTTTGTCGGCTGGGAAAACCGTTTGGCGCATTTCCGTGTGTAAGTAGCCTGGGCAAACATTGCGTCAAAAACAGAGGCTTGAGTGAAAAGATCAGAGGTTTGGCCCTACTTGTGAACGCCACTTGAAGCATCACTTTGTGGAGGAAAATATTGATAAATGCCGCCAAGTGGCCTCTTTTTCGCTCGAAAAAGTTTTGTGACTTTGGAGAGATAAATCAAAAAAATTAAAGAGGATATGAAGAAGTTTATTTGTTATTGGGGTAGCTTCGAAGAATAGGAGATCAAACGCGAAAGATTTTCGTGGAATTAACTTCAAAAAGTAAATTTTGAGTGAAAAATATTTTCAACTTTGATTGAAGAATTTGTGGCTGGCGCATTGCTTCGAGAAATATCAACAAGCTCTTCAAAGCAATCTCAGAAGTATTATCAAATAAGTTGAGGATTCTAATAAAAAAAGGATTATTCAAATTTTTTGGATAAAATTGCATTTGAAAGTGTTATGGATAACGAGTGGCGGCTTTCTTTGAAAATATCTTGAAGAGTTCAATGCAGATGAAAAGTATTGTGAATATTCAGTATTACCTTTCTCCGAAGCTCTATGAACTTTGGAGCAAAAAAAAAGACGGGCTTTTGGTTAAACGAACCTACAAACTTCAATAGTTTATCGAGAAAAAAAGTTTTAATATTTTGAAAAAGGGTGAAGTTGTTAGTTTTCTATTAACTATTTTGTATCTTCATCTGAATTTTTTTCTACTTGAAGGAGGCACTTTTTCATTTTTTTATTTTATTTTTTTATTTTTTTTATGATCTAGAATAATTTTCAAACAAACAAACTTTATCATCATAAAAAAACTGCCTCTTTGAAAAACTTAATAGGGCGTTCCAACAAATTATGCGCCTTTTTTATAGATAGATCTGAAGGAAACATTATTTGCTTGTAGCTTCACAATGCTGAATAATGAGAAATGTAATCTAACTATTTTTTTTTCCAACGTTGCATCAAAATGGTAAATTTTGCAGTGAAAGGAGTGGTCTCGAAAGCGAAAGCCCTGCGATTATGCCGAGACGACTTCGAAGTTCTGAAAGTGATTGGCAAGGGCGCGTTCGGAGAAGTCGCAGTCGTTCGGATGAAAGGCGTCGGCGAGGTTTCCTCCTGCCGAATACGGAAGATGTGACCTCTGAACTTCTTCAGATATACGCGATGAAGATCCTGAACAAGTGGGAGATGGTGAAACGGGCCGAGACGGCGTGTTTCCGAGAAGAACGCGACGTCCTCGTCTACGGCGACCGGCGGTGGATCACCAACCTCCATTTCGCGTTTCAGGACGAAAAGAACTTGGTGATTAATGATATTTTGATTATTTATCGGATTGACAAGTAAAAGTTGTCAAATAGAAAAATGAAAGATGAAAAGAAACTAGGTAAATGAAAAAGGAACTCGATTTTACAGTACCTTGGTGATTGAAGATTTTTTGAAGTATCCGATGAAATCAAAGAAATTTCATCATTTTTTTAAATCTAGCTCGGAAAAAATTGAGCTCAAAAGGTTTTCGGTTGAAATTTGCACTTATTGAAAGATTTGATATAAAATAAATTGTGAAGTAAGAAAGAGAAGTTATTATGTAGAAAAAGTCAAGTAACAATAACAATTTGTTTTCTTACGTCATAATCATCATAGCTTTTCAAAAAATCTAGTTTCAAGTGGCATTCAAAATTCAGAGCATGCTTGGAAACTCAACAACCTTGTAAAGAAAATAAGACGGAAGTTTTTTTAATGAATTTGCTAACCCTTCTTCTGATTCCAGTACTTCGTGATGGACTACTACGTGGGCGGCGACATGCTGACTCTCCTGTCCAAATTCGTCGACCACATTCCCGAATCGATGGCCCGGTTCTACATGTCCGAGATGGTGCTCGCCATCGACTCCCTCCACCGCCTCGGCTACGTCCATCGGTCCTTTCCCACCTGAGAACCCCCAAAACCCAGGATTTGCAGAGATGTCAAGCCGGACAACGTGCTGCTCGACATCCAGGGCCACATCAGGCTGGCTGACTTCGGCAGCTGTTTGAGGCTCCTCCCTGACGGTTTTCCCGTGTCTCTGTGCCAATTTTCATGATTTTCTGAAGGCTCGGTTTCGTCGAACGTGGCCGTCGGAACGCCCGACTACATCTCGCCGGAGATTCTCCGGGCCATGGAAGACGGCGAAGGACGCTACGGCAAGGAGTGCGACTGGTGGTCCCTCGGCATCTGCATGTTTGTCTAAGTCTTACTTTTCAACTGTAGATTGTTTTGAAAGCAGGAAGGCTTTGAAAAAAGATTTCTTGAAGAAATTTCTTTCATTCCACTTTTTCGATTTTATTTTTTTCATGAAACTTTCATGGGACACGTTTTTGAGGTCACCAAAAAAAATCTAAAAGTTTCTTTTCGTGAATGTTTTTTATCGAATGAAGTAGTCTCTACAGGAGATATGGTCACCATTTTAAAAATATCGTTTCCGTTGATAAATATATCTGTTTCTAGGTACGAAATGCTGTACGGCAACACCCCCTTCTACTCGGAACGACTAATCGATACCTACGGGAAGATTATGAGCCACCAGGTTTTTCATGTGTTTGAATTGACTTCAGAGACTTCTAAATCAAAAAATTGCAGTTTAAGCTTTTTGTTTTCATTCATCTACAATTTGCTTTTTTTTTCGTTCAAAATATGAAACTGTAGATGTTAGATCGAAATTATAGTTTTGACGCAACATTTTGAAATAATGTAACTGAAGGTTTGGAATCTGAAAATTGAAAGACAGCGATGATCGAGTGGAATTTCGATCCGCATAATTTTATTCATTTTCATAATTTCTTTTTCAACTATCGCTTTATAACTATTCGCTCAGAAAATCACTATAAATCACAAGTTTGAATTTTTAAAAGGAACTTTGTCATTTCCTAGGATATGCTGGATTTCCCTGACGACGATATCGACTGGACGGTCTCCGACGACGCCAAAGACCTCATCACCAAGCTGATTTGTCCCCGAGAAGTTCGCCTCGGCCGGAATGGAATCGACGACTTCAAGGACCATCCTTTCTTCGTCGGCATCAATTGGGACACCATCCGCGACTGTTCGTATTTTAAAAGAATAATAATGAATGCGTAGGTGGAAGAAGAAGATGATGAAAATGATCTTTGATGGGATAATCTTTGAGAAATAAATAAGAACGTTTGACTCTTGTGAAGAGAATAATAGGTAATATTGAGCACTGAAAAAATACGTTAAAATATGAAGACTAATATAAAAAAATATTTTTTTCACAGAGTTTAAGCTGTCATTAATTGTAAAGGTTGACGTGAAGCTGGAACCTCGAATGATTTTTTTCATTTTTGCAGCCGAACCTCCGTATAAACCCGAAGTTTCGAGCCCCGAAGATACGTCGAATTTTGACGTTGACCCCGGCGAAGACGATTTCACTCCCTGTGTAAGTTTTCATTCTTGATACTGAAAGAAGCTGTAGATGTTCAGGAGACACAACCTCCCCGAGTTCTGGCCGCCTTCACCGGCAACCATCTTCCCTTCGTCGGTTTCACCTACACGAATGGAAGGTCCCACTGAAATCCTTACGGTCTTCAGTAACTTTTATCCAATTTCAGTTTGCTCTCCGACGCCAAGTCATTGTCGGCCTCAATCAACACGAAATCACCCGAGAGCCACTCGAAAAACGCCGGCGTCGAGGCCTATGAACAACGAATGAAGGAACTCGAAAGCGAAAAGTCGGAAATTGCGAGAAAATATAATGGTCTCTCCGAATTTCCTCCTTTTTCTATTCAATTCATGATTTCAGAAGTGCAAGCGCTGGTTCAGACGCTTACTATCGAAAATCCGAAAACTGACGAGGATCGTCAATATGAACAAACGATTGCGCAGCTCAAGGACGAGATCCAGGTTTATATTTCGAACCGAAAAATGGCGCCTAGTTTCATGATAAATAACAGTAGCACGATATTTGCGCCAATAAGACGTGGATTGACGCAAACGATTTGACTTATTTTTCATTTGGCGCCAATAAAAACCCGATGTTTCTAAAACAGTATTGATAAATTGATAAGCTTTCCGGAAAACTGCAGACGAGGAAGAGTTGTAAAAAAAAAATCTAACACCAGCTTGAATGACAAAGTCGAATTTTCATAAAGAAAATCACAAATTAATTAAAATGTTATTTTTTTCTATTTTTGATGCGGCAGAAGTTATCAAAAAAATTTAATCGATAAGGAATATCTACATGATTTTTCAGATTCTGAACAAACGGCTCGCTGACGAATCGGCCGCTAACCAACGACCTGTGAAGGACGCGAACGCCGAAGAGCTGGAGAAGCGCGTGCGGGAGCTGAAGGAGAAAAACCGGCAGCTGATCCTCGAGAAGTCGGAGCTGCAGCGGGTAAGCAAGGCGGCACTGACAGCGATCGCCCTGCGCGACAACGCGACCGTCGCCTCGAAAATCGCGCAGTCACAGGCCTCGCCGATGACGGCGTCACTGTCGCAGCCCATCATCACTCCGTCGCCGACTCTGTCGCCGGAACCTCGAGGCGACCTCCTACCTCCATCTCCTTGCATTTCGCCTAATATTAAAAATACCAAAGCGCGTTTCCACCCACCTGACCCCCTAGCCGCCCGCGACTTCACGCCGCAACCCAAGTTTGACCACAATAGTAATCATCGGCAAAGTAGGAGTCGCGAAAAAGGAGCAGAAAGAGCAAAGTTCCATCGCGGACTCCGGCCTTGTTGTAGTGAAGAGCGCGACAGTTCTGCGTCCGTTTCTCGAAAACGCATGAGGTTTCACAGTCCGGCGGTCAGTAGAAGACGCCATGGTAAGAAGCGTCGAGCCGTCTTTGGATTACGGCCGAGAGGAGGGAAAACAAGGCGCTCGCGTGTCAGAAATAGGCCTGCGACGATGTGCTCAGCGGGCCTGGGCCAACGAAGTCGGAAGGCCTGCGTTTTGTGGGCCTTGGTCTGTCTGGGAGTCTCAGTCCTTTGCCACCAGGCCGACGTGAAGAGCGCCGTCGAACAGGCCAAAGTCCTCGCCGGCGGCGTTTGGAACTGGGCGCAGGCTTCCTATGGCCGCGGCGTTGTCCACTCTCCTTGGAGCTGAGGGATTCCCTTTCTGTTGTCATGATTGTGTTCTGTGTAAATTGTCTTAGTTCGATGTCCGTGTTGGGGTTTTGTTGCTATGAGCATGTCTTTTTTAAGTTGGTCTTTAGCTCAGTTTTTTTCTCTTGGTTTCAAGTGAAGACTCTCGAAGATGAGGACTAGTAATTCTTTTTGAAAGTCAGCCTTAAGATTCAGTAAAACTCTGACTTTTAGCCGCCTGATAGTCGAAAAGTCGTAGCGTGTCCATGAAGCTCAAAATTACTATTATACTAAGCTTCAACCTTTTTGCTCGATCCCAACACTGACAAATACTTTCGCCCTGTGATGTTGTCCCGATGTCCGCGGAATTTCTCTAGCTTTTCATTTTCTCATTCATTTTTGTAAATATCGTTTCAGGCATGATTATTTTTGTTGTTTGTGCGTAACTTTGTCCGTTGATCGAGATGCTCATTCATGTCTGTAAGATTTATTGTCCATATTTAATGCATTATATCCTGTATTCTCTGTTTTTCGATTGGAGGAAAGAACTCATTTGATAATAACAATAAAGATTTATTCACAAAAATCTCAAAGTTTTTCCTCCAACGAAAGCTTCATTTTTTGTCTGAATGTGTTCTTTGTGTTCTCATTTATTTTATATCATCGAATAAAGGCAAATTCAAATGAATAAACGAGGCAGAAAAAGACGCAAAAGAAGAAAATAAAAGAAAAAAAAGGCACACAGATGTTGAATCTTTACGCTTATTTCGTGTGCTTTTGCTGTGTTGTTTGTTTGTTTGAACCTGAACTTCCGCTTAATTTTTCGCTTTTTTCTATTACGATAAGTCGCTCAATCACCCCTCTGCTTTGTGTGTTTGTGCGTATTTTTCTTTTGGAACCTACAGAATCGATTCCGGAGGTTCCAAACCATCTAACCTTTCTTTTTGTGTTGTTCCACTTTTTTCTGCTTTCTTCCCTCCCAAAGCTCCGAGGAGATTGCCTAATTTGTGATTTTTCCATCATTGTTGAAGGAAAAGCGCGTAAAAAGGGTTTCAAAGTACAGCTGAAAAAAAGAAAAATCGACGTATCCGGAAAAACAAAAAAAAATTGACTGAAAATTTTTCCTTGGTAAAGGCTAAAACTCGAGCTACGCAGAAAAGAGTTGAGATAATTGTCAACCAAAATGTTATTGTGTGTTTTTTAATAATCGAACGTATGGAAATTCAGTTTTAACCCCTCGAGAAATGTTTTTTATTGGAGAGGATTTTTCCATTCCAAAGCTTTAGTTTATTTTCTCCAGCTGTACTTTGTGAGTGTAACATGGAAAATTGTAATTAGTGATCCACTAATCGATTTGTGTGTTCAGAAGCTGGAAGACACGTCAGAGATCCTGGCCATCGAAGAAAAAGAGTGCAAAGAGGCCATCAAACAACGGGATTCGACTCGGGCCGAACTCGATGAGGTCTTCGCTGCTCAGATTTTCTTTTTCCTATGTTTCTAAGATTCCATGAGTACGATGAAGACGAGATTCTAGTCGAAAAATGATTGAGAAATAGATGAAAGAAATTGAATATTATTATGAGTTGATAATGATTTCAAACTTGGTGATTTGAGGAGTGTGGAGTCATAGTCTTCTAATTTGTTTTTTAGGATTTGAGGAAAAAAGCTTCTCAAACAGATTTTTCTGAAACGTTTTCGGTTAATCAAAACAGCTATCTTCTGAAATTCTTGTTGAAAAATTAAAATAGCTGAAAAATCGATTTGTTTTTTTCACAAGGAGCTTGAAAAACCATAGAAAAAAACTTGAAGATCTTTTTCTGTCTTCTAGAAGTTTTTTTAAATGGTTTGAAACAAATTCTTTTTATATATGAATCAACTAAATTTTAATGAGATATTTTCAATGGTAACTATGTAGTTTTTGAAGACGTTTTTTTTAATTTTCTGTTTATAATTAGAGATTTTATTGGAATAATCTCCCAGGTCAACAACGAGCTTGTGGATGAAAGAAATCGGTGGCGAAAAGCCCAAGACGAACGCGCCGAGCGGGACGAACAACTGGCGCTTCTGGAGTCGCGGCTCAACGCCAGCAACTCCGACTTCCGTCTTCTGGAGACTGGTCCGTCTTGAAGCTGTCATGAGAGTCGAAGTTGAACCGTTTCAGCGAAACACGAGCTCGAGATGGAACTCGAAAGCGTCCGAAGAGCCTTGGACTCTGAGAAGCTGTCACGTGAAGCCTTGCAGGCGCAGGTTCCGCCCTCTTGTTCATATTAGTCGTCAACTGGTGCTCAGATCGCTTCTATGGGAGAGCCTGGAGCCGAGGCGAAACGACTGGCCGCAGAGCTGGAAAGGCTCAATGAGCGGCACGCCGAAATCGTCGCCCAGGAGGAGGAGAAGCGGAAACAACTCGTCGAGCATTATCAGGTTAACATCAACTTCCAATTTCTCTGGAAAATTATTAGGGATCAAGCTGAAATTTCAGAAATATAAGAAAAGGATACCTACTTGTCCACAATAAAAGACTAATTTTGAAAGAAAGTGATAGACTCCATGAAGTTTTTAAAAGATTATTCCAAAAAAAATAACAAGAATAATCCAAGCTTTCAAATGTTTAATTTCAGCTATAATCAAATTCTGAGGGTATTCAATATAACAAAACATAATGTCGCAGTATGCCATCAAGAAAGAACTTTTTTTGTCATCGTATTGAAACAGCAATTTCTTACAGTAAATTTTTTCATGATTTTTCGCTTTCAAAAATTGACTTTTGCAGAACCAGCTGACCAAGCTACAAGGACAGTTCGACGAGAAAGAGTCGGAGACGCGGACGGCCCGAAGTCGTTTCGACGAAGAACGCGCCGCTTTCTTGACCTTGGCCGAGCAGGACCGCAAGTCCATGGAGGTACTTTCCGAGTCTGTTCTGAAAAAACGAGATAAATGCAGCTGCAATACGAACGGGCGCAGCGGCAACTCCAGGAGAACATCCAACAGTTGCACGTCGAGAACGAAGCTTTGCGAGCCGAGAAGGAGAAGCTCAGACAACAAGTGTACGTTTAAAATGAAAAGAAAAAACATCTCTTGTTCGATTTCTTCAAAGAGTTTTCAAAAAATCTCATCAAAGTTCTTCCTAATTTTTCAACAAAACCTAAAAATAAGCTTTAGCGGTTACAACTCTCCAGGGTTTTGATACGAAAACTTTAGAAATGAAGCTATTGAAATTAGAAAGTTTTTTTCAAAGTTTAAAACTTCTTCAGCATGATTCTAAAGTGCATTCCACCAAAAAAGGGGGGGGCTTTTGGCTTTTAAAACGCAGAAATTTCAAAGTAACTATTTTTTTGTTTGCCATAAACAACGTAGAAAGATTCGTATTTCGCGGAAATGGCGAGTGTTGTTTTTTCAGTGAAATGCTGCCGAGAAGCGGCTTGACCGAACATCAGCTTCTCGAACTTTTCAACTGGGTCAACGAAGAAAAGGCGACGCGCGAGGAGATGGAGGTTTCAAGGATTTCGAAGAATTCACAATGAAAATGAATCATTTCCAGAACTTGACCAGGAAAATCACTGGCGAGTTCGAATCTCTGAAGATTTCGCAGCCGTTGACGCCTGGCAATTACAACACGATGAACACTCCGGCTTCGAGACATTGGGGCTCAAGGAGAATGAACAAGGTTCGATTTAGAGCGATAGGGGATCTTTTTTTCATGATTTGGTTTCAAATTATTTGAAGAGATTGCAAGAAATATCTATACAAATTGATTCCTTAAAAATTTTTTGAAGAGAAATGGAGTTCACAAACGTTTTATTTCTGGTTTAGTGTGAAATAAAAGGCTTTTATTACCATTCAAAAGTAAATTCAGGCTGCGAAAATGGGTGATTTGGACCTTCAACGATCGCTGAACGCCGAGATCCGCGCCAAATGCGAACTTCAAGAAGAACTGAAGAAAACTCGCGACCAGTTCTACCTGACCAAGTCGCGACTTCTCGACGCCGAAAAGTCGCTGGTTGACGCCCAACGAGAAGTGAAACAGCTCCGGGAAGAACGCGATGTCGCTCGAGCCGCCACACGCGAAGGTTTTTCTTTTTCCGTCTTTTTCTTTTTTTTAAATTGGATAATTCCAAGGAGACAGTTATTCATGTATACCATTGTTACGCATGTATGCTTTTGTATTGGGAACATATTTTCTGAAATTAAAACAAAAATTAAACGTTGCAGAAGAATCTGAAAAAAATTCAGATTTAAGACAGAGACAAAACGGTAAAAAAATTATGTATCTTAAAATAGTGAGGTCCCAGTTTTCTGGCACAGAATTTCTGATCTTAAGTGAGAAACTCCTCCAAACTCGAAAGTTCATGGAACTTGGCCAGAAACCTTTTTGATGTACCGATCTGAGATTCTTAGGGGGAATCTTTGAAGCTTCTTCCCTTTAATACTAGGTTCTTATGTAGATTGCTACTTAGAAGCGTTCAGGAGTCTTCAACTTTTGTGAGAATTTAGTTCCGAGCAAAATTATCTTTCTCTTCAGCTGTTCATGTAGACGAATGCCCTCAAACTTTCTCGGAAAAATTTTAAGATTATGAAAATGAGTAGTTTTTGTCTGCTTTTAAATGTCCGAATTTTCTTTGCCGGAGGACAATTTTTTTCCAGATTTTCAGAGACCTTTTCCAATCACTATTGTTCGTTTTTGATTGTGATGTTGAGAGCTTCTTTGATTTTTGGTTAGCGTCTGTTGTATTCTATCCGTGGATGTGTAGGAGAGCAAAACGAAAGCCTGGGCGGCGGTCTGAATGTCGACGACGAGGTGGACGAGGATCTGCTCGACGACGAGTCGATGCTCATTTCCGGAAACAGCACGTTTTTCAACCTGGCCAACACCTCGTCGGCCTCGCAACTCGGTAGGTCTCACCTGCGAGCTGCTTCTCCAAACCGACCACTTCTAATCTTCCACCCGCTTCTCGACTTCTTCCACCGACTCATCGACTAAACCACCTGTCTTGCATGTACCGCACTCCCCACTACTGTTATCATTAAACGATTGGCTTCTTTAACAAACTACTGAAAAATTCGTGATTCGTCTGTTACATGCTTTTCTGATTCCAGCGAGGACATCAACGCCACGGGAGCCGATGTCGAGTGACTACGAGATCTCCAACAGCTCATTGATTCGAAGAGCTGTGTCCAAGTTGGTTTTTTCGTCCTGTTTCTTGATTATTTCAAATGGAGATTCGTGGCAATCGCCATAGAGAAGAACTGCCGATTTTCTCGCAAAGTCGATAACCTGCTTTTATCCTTTTACAGTTTTGTGCTTGCTTTATTTTTATCTATTAAATCTATGGCAGTCCTTCTTTGTTCCTTTCAAAAACGCTTTTTGTATTTCTAATTGTCAAATAATAGCTCAAACTTTGCGTGCAAAATGTTTTAAACAAAAAAAAATAATAAAAAAATCTTCTTTTTTTCCGAAAAATTCTGGTGAGACTGAAGAAATCAACAAGCGTTTTTGAACAGACTTTTTTCCGAATATCCATATTTCTGATACAGTCGGCTTTTTTCCAGCAGCGCTAGTCATTCCCCTGCCGGTACCTATTCTCACCATCAGTACTCTTATAATCAACGAGGATCACCGGCACCAGCCTACGAGAATACGGTAATCCGCCATGGCGAAACTCCGTCGACGGCTTCCACAATGTTGGCAGGAAATCGGGTCTCCAGCCCAAGAGTAAGAAGATTCCTCTGTTTCTTCAATGATATTTGCCTTTTAGTCGGTGCAATCCCTGAACAACGCTCTCAACGGACGTGGTCATCAGTTCGAACGGGTAAAGCTGGATGTGCCGACCAAGTGTGGCCATTGTACTTCGATTCTCGTTGGGTTGGACAGACAAGGTACGTTTTGCCATCATTATCAACCTTATCACATCCATCATCAGCAAAAGGAATATGGGTTTTAATTTTTGATTTTCCAGGATTCTACTGCCAATCATGTCAGTATGCTTGTCACGTTCCTTGTGCTGAGCTGGTCTCCCCTCTGTGTCCTGTTCCGCCGGCGCAAAAAAGGCCGCTTGGAATCGATCCAACCAGAGGCGTCGGTACAGCCTATGAAGGCGTCGTCAAGACTCCCAGAGCTGGTGGCGTCCGAAAGGTTGAAATCTCTCTGGATTGAAAACTGTAAAGAAGGATTTCCAGGGCTGGCAGAGCGTCTACGTGGTTGTTTGCGATTTCAAGCTCTACCTGTACGACTGTACCCTGGATAAGCAAAACAAGCCGATCGGAACGAGGCACGAGATTCGTCTGGTCCTCGACATGCGAGACCCTGACTTCGCCGTGACTGGCGTCAGCGAAAACGACGTGATCCACGCGCAAAAGAGTGACCTGCCGAAGATCTTCCGAGTCACGACGACTCACATCCAGAATGCGTCGACCCTCGACGACAACGCTCCTGCTCGACATTTCACCCTCCTGATGGCCGACAATGAAGACGTAAGATTTGCGGAAATGGTTCCGAAGCTAGTTTTTGTCTTTAGGAGAAACGAAAGTGGGTCCTTGCCTTGGGAGAACTGAAGACGTTGCTCAGAAGATCGAAGCTCGTCGACAGAAGTGCTTTCGTTGTAAAGGTCAATATATATCCGAATCTAGATGTAAGAAGAAAAATATTTCAGGAAGTTTTCGACGTCGCCACGTTGCCCTCAATACGAGTAGCTCAATGTGCGGCAATAATCGACCGGAAAAAAGTCGTCGTCGGATTCGCTGACCACGGATTGTACTGCGTGGAAATGGACCGTCAAGTGATTTCCATGTGAATCCATGCATAAAACTTGAAAAGTTGAAGGCGCTGGTCGCCGTGGGCGGCGAGAAGGAGAACAAGCAACGGTGCGTCGAGGCGATCGAGTACAACGAACATGAGCAGCTCCTGGTCGCCATGGTCGGACCGGCTCGAGAACGGCACGTTCGGATAGTTCCTTCTGCCGCTCTGGATGGTCGGGACCTCAAGTGGATCAAGGTCTGGACGTTGTTTCAAAGCCTTCAAATTAGGTGGAAGCTATGAAAATGATGAGAAAAAGATAATATTATACCATTGAACCCTGAAATTTATCCAAGTGGTGAAGAGTAAAAAGCCCTGACATATTTGAGAAAAGTTGGTACTCATCTATTTCAGTTTCAATTAGAAGAAATTTCAGGTTGCTGAAACGAAAGGCTGTCACCTGATCGCGATGGGAGGCGGAGGCTCTGCCGGATCGGCCGGCTCAGGCCTCAACTTCTTCGCCGTCGCCGTCAAGAAGAGCGTCATCGTGTTTCAGATCGACCGGTCCGAGAAGCGACACAAGAAGTGGAAGGTTCAAAGTCGTCCTTCTACACTGACCTCACCAATCTTCTGCAGGAACTGGCGATGCCTGGCCTGCCCCAGTCTTTGACCATCTCTGGCGGTCGTCTTCTCGTCGGCTTTACCCACGGCTTCCGCGCCTGGCCCCTGACGACGTCGGCTTCGCACGACGCCTCCGCCGTCAACTCACAGCACATCTGTGCGTACGCCACGTCTTCTAAGATTTGCGTCGTTTGGGACTATTTGGACCACTTGGGCGGGGTTCTGGAAGAGTGCCAAGTTTGGCGCGACGCGGCTTTCGAAGCTGACGACCATAGACAGCCCTTCGTCATCACGTCGTGGCTTGGATGGAGCGTCGTCGAGACGTCTTCTGAAGACGAAGAATCGGATGACGTCGACCATGTCTAGTTGCATGTCTCCAATGCCTTTGTGTTTTTTTAAGCTTGATTTCTTTGTTATGTTAACACTTCAAAGTTTTGAAAAGTACTAATTACCGCATAATGGAATGTTTTCTATATAGAGTTTAATCAGTCTATAAACAAAATTTCTATGATCAAAATTTTTTTCTTTCAAACAAAAATAATCGAACTTTTCGGAATGATATCAACTTGCGCTGATTTCACTTGCAAAATTAACTAAATACCCATATTTATCTCACTTTTTTTTTCCTTTTTTGCACTTGTCTCGTTTTTTTTCCCCGATCACCTGCCTGTATTCTAGTTATTGTACGGTTACCCTGTTATACTTGGTCTGTGAATAGATTTTGGTTTTTTCCTTTTGGATTGGAAGAGAATAGAGAGTTTGTGTGGAGTAATAACTTTTGCCAACTTTTTTTTCTGAATGCATCCCTTTTAACTTTTATCTGCCGAAAGGTGCTATTTGTGTGGGGAGCTGAATAAAATTCTACTGGCACTTGTTCCGTTTTTTGTTCGTTTTGTCCGTTTTTGGTTGCTTACATTAAGTTAGGGCTGAAAGAGGTATTCATCACTGTTTTTGGGCAAAATACTGCAAAATAGGAAATTTCCGAGCAATTTCGATACTTTTTCTAAATGTTTTTCATCAAAATATTTTTCATTAAATTCTTCCTATAATGATTTTATTTTTCAAAAAAGCGATGAATGCACTTTTTTGGGAAATTTCAGAATTCAGGTTTTGGCGGAACAACTAAGTAAAAAAAAAATTTGAATAGTGTCCATGATAAACTTCAAAATTTTATCACAGTCCAAGCGTCCCAAACGGCTCAATCTTCACTTGAAAAACGGTAATGATTTGATTTTTGCAGCTCTGGTGAACATGGAGGACAAGTCGCTGCAGTTCCTCAACCAGGCCAACTACGAGGCTCAGCTTCTGGTCGAGATCCCCAGCGAAGTCACCGAGTATTTGCTCGTCTTCAACCAGCTCGGCCTCTACGTCAACGAACAAGGTTTCCCGTTCAATACGATCATCACATTCAACATTTACGTGCAGGATGTCGATCCCGGGCTCCTGAACTCATGTTCCCTGCTTCGGCCAAGTCGTTCGCCTACCAGGCGCCCTACCTATGCGTCTATTCCGACTACGAGGTCGACGTGTTCAACGTCGTCTTGGCTGAATGGGTTCAGACTTTGAACTTGAGGTTTTTTCAGTTTACATTGTTTGAATGATAGATATTTAATCAAAAAGGGCTAACTACGGTTGAAACTAATTCATTAAAAGAAACCCGTCACGAAGCGTCTTTGTAGGTTTTTTTGATGAAACTTAGTTTAAGGTTCAATTTTTTGCCGTTTTTCATCGGCCGCTTTGGTAAAACAGCACTCTGGAGGGCTAGTCAACATAAACATTTTTTTCAAAGACTGCTATACCGAAAAATATTTTTTTGAAGCTCACAATAAATTCACAGGCGGATACTTCGCTCCAAAGTTTTAAAAAGCGATCTTATTTAGAAACGACTGTTTTTTTTTTCCAGTTGCTATTCGTATAATAATAATTATTAATATAATTTATTGAGATCCGGTGTGAATAGTTTGTTTATTATCTGATGAGTTGTGCTCGAGGACATCCCTCTCTGACGTAGTCATCCTGGTTGATTCCGAAATAGCTCGTGTGGTCGGAAAAGTCGCCGGCCATTGCCAAATTTCGACAGCCGTGATCATCGGATAGTTCGCAGATCTGTATTTTTCAAAATATCATAGACTTGGAAGCTGAGAAAACCTTGAAAGAGTCTCCAGGCTGCATCAGATTGTCGTAATGGACGAGGAAGCGGTAATAGAGCGGTTGTCGGTTGTACATGGACGCCGTCAGGAGAGGAGTGTTCGGATCGGCGGAGGCTGGCAGATTTGTAACCTGAAGCATTCTTGATTTTCTCCAAATTAATTTCCTACTCACGGCGTCGTTCTTCTTGATGACCCGGTAGCGGAAGTCGATGAAGCTCTCGATTTCCTTGGCGTAGGCGACGTTGCCGGTGCGTGGCTCTCCGAAAGTCACCAGCCTCATCTTCTTCCGGTCAACGCTTCCTGTTTTCACTAAATACAGAGCCGTCATCGAGGCCAGAGAACCGCCCAAAGAATGGCCAGTCACCTGAAAAAAATCTTCGTGGAAACTGAATACTTTTCTCCGAGTTTTTAGCATACAAGGTTTTTAGGAAATCACTCAAAAAAAAAAAATGGAACTTTGAAATGTTTGATATTGTGCATTCGAAAAATATTGAAAGGATCGCATACCCAGACACGATAGCTCGGATATTTCTTCTGCAAATCGACGAGGTCATCTTTCATGCCGCTTTCGACGAACAGTTTGTAGAAGGCGTTGTGGAAATAGGTGATAACTCCGGCTTCTTCGGACTCGAACTTCTCCCACGCACCTAGTTGAGCGGCAAGTCCGTGCAGGAATTCAGCGAATAACTGAAGTTTTGTCCTTCTTCTTAGAGGTTTCACTAGATCCACCTGTTTGTCGAAGCTGGTTCCCTTGTAGGCGACGTACAGAGCCTTGGCCTCGTCACTCACACCGAGAAGTCCTTTGCATTTGTTGCCGGCGCCGTCGCATTCCACCTCATAAGTTTTCGTGTACCTAGACGAAGACCATAATTGAGAATGACCTCCGGATACCAACGTGATGTCGGGTCGAACATTTCGAAGACACTCGCTGGGCTTTGGGTCTCTAACTGAAACAGATACGGCGAAAAGAGAGCGACCCAAGGCGTCTGAGTAACGCTTTCCTTGGGCTTCAGAGTGCTGTAAGAATGAATTTCAATAAGTGATACCCTTGAAGCTTGCTACCGTGGTTGGGCATCGGAAAAGATCCCTCTGGACGACTGGTTTGCCGAAAGGGCAGGAGAGAGGACCGCCGCAGGACTGTGTTTCGACGCACCATCGACACTGTTCTTTGAAGCCGAGAACGTGGATGTAACTGTCGGCACAGGCGGCGCAGCTTTTCAAATCTCGACACACTTGGACATTCCCAGCCTGTGTGCCAACGAAGACCACCGAAATGACGGCAATCAGTTGCCTGCCCCGCATTCTTAAAAATATTCGGTTGAGAAGATGAATCCCAAAAGAGATTTAGAATGTAGAAAATTATGAAAGAAGGCTTTAAAACTTTCTCATTTTACATTAGCCTTACTCTCTGGGTCAATTCCTATGAAGATAGTCCTTGAGCTTTTTTTTAATATCACAAAGTGCGGAAAAAAGAAATAGTAAAACAAGAAAGATGCAATTGAAGTATTGAAACTAAAGAATATTATAGATTTATTGAAATTCTGAAATTTTTTTTGCCAATTTTGACAGGTATAGTAAATAGAATAGAACACAAAAAAACAAAAAAATTTTTTTGGATAAGTTACTAAAAAAAGCACCATTAGCAAAAAAATGTTTAAAAAGAATTTTGATTGAATTAATAGAAAAAATTTTTTTTTCTCGAGCGAAAGATAGTTTTGACGGCTTTCTCCTGAGGAATCGAATTAAACGGCCGAAATACGCTAGGATTGGACCGGAGCGCTTTAGTGGTGGGCGCGTCGTGACCTCGATTGCGGTCTTCTGACGTTCCCGAAATCCCATCACTTTTCGGCCTTTCTTGGGAACCATGCTAGTCTCTAAAAAGCAAATGAAAACGGGGAAGAACAGAACAACAAAGGACTTTTCAGGGTCTCGAGGCCACTGACGCGAGACGGAGTTCTGTCGATGTGTTCAGTGAACGAGTCGCCGACTGTGGTGATGCTCCGCGACGTGCTTGCCGAAGAAGACGTCATCGAAACGCCCAACAACGCGATGGTCCTCGGCGCCGGCAGTCGAAGAACTAAGCCAAGAAGGAAGTTCACAGTCCGCGTGCCTGGAAAAGACGAAAAGTAGTTGTACTCCTTGAGAATGAGTATCACCAACTGGAGTTTCAGGACCGGCGATCGTCGAAGTGCCTTGCAAATCTCGGGTCCGTCCGACTTCATGCACATCGTCCACATGGGACCGGCGCCTGTCGTCGAACTCCAGCAGAATTTCATCGATCTCCAGCCTCCACAGCCCCAAAGCACTGCTGAAAAGGTAAAAATAAGAGGATTTTTAGAAAACGACCCAAAAAGGTAAGCCTGAGGAGGCTCTAGTGATGAAGTCAGTCATGGACAAACCAAAAAATCGTTGTTTTATATTGTTTTTTTATCCGTCTTTTTCTTTGAATAGCGATTATTCCAACGGACGAAATTCAAAGCGGATCTAGAAAACAGCATTGAAAAAATCGAAAATCCCATTTTGTTTTGGCACATTTTATGTTCAAGCAGTTTTTTTGCTGATCACTCAACTATATTCAGTTCAACAAAGTGATTTGAGTAGCCTCAGTTTAGATAATCATAACTTTTCGAGGAACGTAACGATAATTTTATTAATTTGTGTGCCGTGAACATCCCTGACCTAACAACTCACTAAGTAGAGCATTCAGGTGCGGAATCTGATTCCTATCGGTCGCTCGCAGTCTTCTTCGTCGGCGGCTCTCAACTCGGTACGCGGAGGAGCATCTTCCACGACGAGGAGCAGCGACCTGGAGCATCTTAGTCGAACTCGGCCCCTGAGCACGACCTCCAAGAGCAGCGACGGTATGCGTTTAACTCCATCGACGTCAGCCTCCTCTTCTCGATCTTCGTCTCAAACTTTGTCCCCTCAAAACCGCTCCGCGGGCGATCCGCGACGCACTCCTCCGCCTCCTTACTCTGCTCCTTATTTCACGTCGACTCAGCGCGACCCCAGCATCTTCGTGTTTGTTGGCGAGGAGCGTGGCGTCGATGTGCCGATCCCGGTGCACCGCGTCGGCTCCCAGCGACAGATCGAGGATTCTGGAGGCATCCGCCTCACCGATCTGACGTCCACGAGTCAAGCGTCAAACTCTCCTCCCCAATGGCGGCACTATAGAAACGCGCGTTCCGAAGACGCTACTCAGGTGAATCGCGATCGTTCCGCTTCGCAGCTTTCCACCGCGAGTAGCGTCACGCTCACGGGGGGTACTCCTCGCCAAAGTTTTAACGCCGCTTCAAAATATTTCCCGAAATTCTTGTAATCCTCTCATTTAAATCTTCATACAGTGCCCTTCAAAGGAGATACTTGCAAATTTCAAAAGCATGGAAGCCTAGTTTCTTTCTATGTCTCAATTTAGGAGCCAAAACTGAGTTTTCTAACTTTTTTTTGAACGGTACTGTATTTCACAATCATGCCATTAACAAATTGTTACCAAAGCTTGATCACTTCAAATCTGAAATCTTGAATTCCCCGCTCCAATTCCCCGATTACCTTAAAAAACTTTTCCTTTTGTTGAAATAGAATAGGAAAGTACTAATAAGGCAGCTTTTCCGCTAAACTTTGCTTTTTCGGCCCTCTATAGCTCTGTTACCAATCAGTTGGAAGTTCCGTACGCTTCGCTGTCCTTCCAAAGTGCCGTCCATTTTCAGGATCATCCTCGTTAGGACGTGACGGCAACATGACGACGGCGTCCTCCGCCAGCGAGAACCATTATTTGGTCAGTTTCAGCTCGAATTTCATTGAATCTAGGTTTTATGCGTGAATTTCCCATAGTGAGTGATTTTAGAAGTTTGTGCGTACCAGGGTTATTATAATGAAAAATTTCGAAAACTAGTTGTTTTTCTTTTTTTACCGTTAGAAAAGTTTCATTTTTTTAAGAAACGTAAGCTCAAGCGCAAAAAAACGAAAGTTATTTTCTTTTTTTTCCTTCTCTCTCACTAAAAATCTTTTTAAATAGAGTGTGTTTTTAAATGAAAGTTGGAAATATATTTAAAAAAATTTTTCATTTATTTTTTTGTTAAATAAACAGTCTGAACAGTTCCTGAACTGTACTTTTTTTCTCAATTCAATTACATGCTTTTCCCAGAATTTTCAATAGAAATTTTTTTTCAGGAGCCCGTTTCTCGGTCCGGCCTGAACGTTCCGCCCCATTCGCCGGCGCCGTCGCCTTCCTCAAGTTGAGCCTCTCCGTTTATGTGAATATTCGCCCCGTCGTATCATCAAGTCTCGCCCACCCGTTGATGTGATATGTCCATACATAGTTATTTGTTTTGTTTTTTTTTTCTGCTGTGTTCTTTGTTTTTTTCTGTCTTTTTTTTTTGCTATTCCTGTATTCTGGTCTTTGCGTATAATAATAAGTTGCCCCCTGTCGCCATGTTTCAAAACTATATACATATTTTTTTTGGAACCTACAGTTGCTGAAGCGTTGTTTTTTGTGTGAAAGTGCTTCGAAATGTCCGGTTGTTCGAAAAGTGCCCTCTGAAGACGCCTTTTCCTCCTTTGTTCAGCTAAAAATGGCTTGCAATCAATATCTGCCCAATTAAATTGAATAATAGGACGAAATTCCTAATAGATTATGAAATAAAACTCAAAATTTTATTGAACTTGTATGTAATAATATAATTTGTTTTGGGATGTCGGAAAATAATGTAGTGAAATTCTAAATTTTCCACACCCTTCTTTTTCTTTATTTGTAATGGTTTAAACTAACTATTTGGAGCATCCTGTAAGTTTCAGGTCATATTTTTGAGTCTCATCGTTCCCACAGTAGTAAAAAAAAGTGTGTCCTCTCTTTTGTACTTTTTTCCTCTTCATTCTCGTTAGAAACATTTTTTTTAAAAATGATAGATGCAATCAATTTTTCTTGTTATTTTGTTGTATTCAGGTAAAATAGCTTTTTTTGTTTCGCGCCAAAAATTCGCGCGTTTCTGCTCTTTTGCCCAGAACGTTTCCACTTGTCGCTTTTATGTGTTTCGAATTTTCTCCAAGGGTTTTGAAACAATAATTTTTTTCTTATAAATATCTTTCTTGTTTTTTTCGATTTTGTACTCCTGGCTGTTCCTTCTGAAGTGCTTTTTGTACCCTTTCCTGCGTGAATTGCTCTGTTTCCATAGAAATGAATTAATTAATTAATGACCGCGTTTTTTTGAAGCTGAACTGTGGTTCGAAAAAAACGCCTTGAAAACGGGGATTTTTTTCGACAAGTTTCGAAATTAAAACCAAAAAAATGAATAAACTGCATTAGAAAAAAATGGGATGTATCCACTTTATTGTAAAAACAAAAATGAGAAAAAGGAAAAAAATCCTATGTTTTGGAAATGGCAGAATATTAAAAAAAGAAAAAAACAAAAAAATAATTGAAAAAAATACTTTGTAACCCGTGAATAACTGAAGGTTTCGTTTTCATAACAGGAAGTAGAAGATACCACACGGAAAAAGGAGCTGTAGGAATGAAAGAGGACTTTGGGCGTGTTTGAGGCTTTGGTGGGACTTTGAGGGAAACGCAAGAAAAAAAAAGAAATGAAAAGGGATTTTAGACCGGCAGGAAGAAAAACCGGTTTGTAGGTTTGGAAAAATTGAATCGGTAGGACGGGAGTGGCTGCTTTTTCGAGATAATTGGAGAAATCACTGTTTTCCAAATTTTATTTCTCTCATTCGTAATCTTTCATAGGTTATTTATTTAAAATCTATAAAAATAGTATGAATATAATCTATTCATATTTTGAACCTGAATTCGGCGCTCAAGCCCCGCCCCTACTGGCGCGATAAACCAATCAGAGAGCTAGCCATCCACAGAGCATTTCCAAAAAGACGCCATTGTACTTCACATTCAAAATCTGAACAGACTATACACCTTTAAAAAAAAATAGCCGCGCTTGAAACAGTGTTAAAGGTACGAAAAAAGGTCTCCGCAGGTCTTCAAAAACTGAAGGAACTGTAGTTAATTCTCGATCGCCTAGGGTCTTTGCACGAATAGCAATACAACTTTTTTCATTAGTTTTCTCTGAGTTGGCGGTGAGTGAACTACATATTTTTTTCTTTTCAGAAATTTTTTTCTCAGTGAAAATCTTCGTTTATATATTTTTAAATTTCTCATGCAGCTCTTTCCGTCGTCCACCTTATCATAATTTCACAATTCGAAGACTAGGAAGTGTGGGGACCAAGGAGAGATCAGACGGCGAGAGGGCCGCTTTCACGCTTGTTGACGTCCGGGATGGCCTCGGCACTTTGCTCGGAAGACTCCGAGGCCGGTGACGTGATCGTCACGACGGTTCGCCGCGGTTTCACCTTCCCGAACCTACAAGAAGACGTTGAGGGTCTTCAGAATTCTCGCAGGAGGTACTGAGATCTCAGAAAACCTAGAAGTGGGCACTGCGGTCGGCGTCGAAGGCAACGTCGCCGTCGTTCCTGTCGTCGTCGTCGTCGCTGTCGGCGCCGCGTTTCCCTTCGAATCCGTGTTCAGACTTCGATTCGTCGACTGCGTTCTGTTCAGTCGGAAGCTGCCGCCGGTTCTGAAACGTTTCCTATGAACATTTGGAGAGTTCAAGAATATATAGTTTTTTTGTGACAATAATTGCAAAAAGGTTTAAAAATAATAAATGTTTTCGAAAAAAATTCTTTGGAACTATGATACCGCTTTAACCAAAAAACCGAGCAGGTTTTTTTCATCACGAAATCCAAAGATGAAGTGCAGAAATGTTATTTTATGATGAGTCTGATTTATAAATAGGCTTTGTTTCAAGGAAAAAAATTTAGGAAAGTCCTTCACTTCCAAATGAAAAAATCTTCTCTACAACCTAAGTAAAGAAGTTTTTTTTCTCTTTTGAATTTAAAAAAATTGCGCTTCACGCCTTTTTTTGGTACCTTTTTTTCTAGCCGGACTTAATTGTAGCTGAAGTTTGTCTGTCGACGTCCTATTTGAAAAAAAAACTATATTAAGGAATTACTCAGGGTTTAGTTGATAGTTGATTGACATTAACAGTAACATATTGACTCTAAAAAAATGTAGTGAAAGATCGAAAAATAACTCCTTAACCTAATTGAGGTCATGTGACACCGCAAAACGGAAAATTTTGTCTAAAAATTAAACTTTTTTCAGATTCTTAAGGAACTGTGGGTAAAATTTTTGGTTGGAATGGTTTCTTTAGTTGAAAAGAATTGTAACCCAAACCTATGAGATAGGATGCGGCTGAGCCGTTGGTGATTCTGGCCTTCAGAATTGGAGCTGTCGTGCCGTTTCCTCCGTATTGACTGCGCTCTGGAAACACTTATACCAGACTCTTCGAAATCCTTCCTCGTTCAGACAACTGAGGGAGTCGGAAACAGGGCCAGATTGAAAAGGAAACCTGGCGAAAGTGATGAGGGAAGAGTCCTCGTCGATGAGGTTCTCGGGATGCTGACTCAGGTACCTTTTCCACAAGGCGTCCGTGATTTCCGTGCAGAACATGACGCCCGCGTGGAGGGCTATCATCCGCAGGACCAGAACTCCGTCGACCTGTCATTTATTTCTTATTTCCTTGAAACATTAATATCTTCTTGAAGGTTAGTTTCCATATCTGTCTTCTAGAGTTCAGATCATTTAGAGAGATACGATGAGAAAAAAAAACTTAATTTTCTTCTTAAAAATGCAAGCCTTTATTAATTTAAATTGCTATTTTTTTTGAAATAAAACATCGGAATGCAACGGCTTCTTGCAGTATACATGTTTGATGTATCCCATTTTTCTCCATTTCTCGATTAAACTATTGAAAAACGAGAAAAATTTCAAAATTTGAATGTCCATATGATATCTAGTTCGTCATCGTCCAGGAAACTGTTCTCGATTTTTTTTGGAAAGGCTGAAAGTTGGATTTAACAAAAAAATCAATCCAGACTTGAAAAAGAGAAGTTCAAAAAAATGGAAATGTCAGACTTTTTTTTATCAATTAAAAAAACATCTTCCTTTGAGATAAGTTAGGAATATGAGAAAAAAATTATCAATTTCTAGTCGCAATAGTTTCAAAAAGAGTAAAAAAAGTCGATTGATTTTTTTCGAAAACATAGGTCAAATCCTCAAAAAATCACTAAATTTTACTTCAATTTTCGGTTTCTCGATATCGGTTAAAGTCGTTGAAATTTAAAATTTTAATACTTTTCGCCATTTACCAAAAATCGACTCGGGCATAAAGATACCTTGAGGTAAGTTCGAAGAAAATGCTCGACTTGTTTTCTTTTCTCTTTTCTGAACAATTCGGGCTTGTCCGGGTCTGAAGTCAGCTCCAAATGTCGCAAAACGAAGCGAAACCGGTCTCTGAAACAAAATAATGGAATTAAAATTTACTGAAGCTAAAAAATGAGGTTATGTTCTTCTGAAATGAGAGTTGAAGAGGAAAAATGGCAAGAAAACTTAGTAGCAGATAAAATTTTCAGTGGAAAAAAAGGTGAAAAGTCCGAAATTACCTGAATCAGTGTAAAAAGGCTTTTATATAAATGAAAAGTTTGTAATAGAAAACATAAAATATTGTTTTGAAAAACCTCACCTGTGAAACATTGATATACTGAACCAGTAGAGCATGTCTAAGGTGGAAGCGACAAAAAGAAGGGTGAACCAGAGCCAAATGAGGATGAAAATTTTCTCGTTGAAGATATTAATGACCAGTACACACTGAACACTGTGTCGCTGATTGTTTCCCAACACGCGGACTTCGAAATCGCACTGAAATCGCTTCATTTTACTTCGAGAACAAATTTGTCGTGAAGGGAATTACGACTTGAAGTTCAATAAAAAAAATCCGTTACAATGTCAAAAAACCCTCTGAACACTTGATAACGCAAACCGGAAGGGTCAGGGCATTTCTAGTGACCACGTTAGTAGCAAGAACACTTTTAAGGGATCTCTAGAACTTCTCAGAAACGTTCAGAGCACGTCCGGTTTTCGTTACCGAGGTCGGAACAAATGAAAAGTTCAACTCATTTAGTCTTATATTGAATAGAAATGTATTTTTGTACCTTATTTTCAGAAGTTCTCGTGAATCGATTCGTCTAATTGAGTTCTGCTCACGTATTTTCCAAAAATAAAAATGAAAAAAACTTTGATTTCATTTTTCAAAAACATTTCTTAACGATGACTTTTCTGGAATAAGACTGAAGAAGACGAAACGAACCAAGGTGACTCTGGGGAAGTTGCCGCTCTCCATCCAAGTCCGGCCGAAGAGCAAGTCGCGCAGGACGCCCAGGCCGTAGACGGAGTAGTCGTCCGTCTCCAGGAACTTGTTCACCAACACCAGGTTCGTCAAGATGTTCCCGACGTACATGATCTTGGTGGCCTGCAGAGATTTTACTGATTCAGTTCAGAAGCTGAATTGGTTTTCAATAGGGTTAAGGGAGAAAAAAGTAGAAAAATAGAGAAAGAGAAAAATAGAGAAAATATTTAACCGGCAGGTTCTCATAAGTTAACGGCTTGAGAAGATGATCTGTCGTTGATATGACAATCAAAGTTAGCCGAGGAAACTGACCAAGTACATTCCGGTGACGTAGCTCTCGTAGTACCGCATATTGAAGCACTTGAAAACCCGATGTAAGGTGTACTGTGTCCGAGATGTTGCTGTGTGTTGGTATCTGCAAGTTAAGCAGTACAGCTTCTTCACTTATTATTCTTCCAAACTCAATTGACAGAAATTATGATTTTTATACGGTTTCATAAGCAGTTTTTCATTTATAGATCAAAATTGGCTCTTTGAAGTCACAAGAATCTTCGAAAAGTCTATTTTCATCCAGTCGATAAATCAAAAATTTATAACTGAGTGAGCAAATTGAGTGTGGCTGAAAGGTAAAAAAATTGTTTCAAAAAAAAAAAAATATGCAAGAATCATTATATCTAATCCGAAGATGTGCATTTGCTTCATTCATTTTCCAATAAATTTAGTTGAAAGCCAGTGACAAAAATTGAAAAAAAATATTGATTACTTCTTTTTATATATAAATAATTTTCTGATCTCCTCGAAAATTTCCAAAGCTCAATAAATGATTCTGCTGGAGTCTCAGCTTCAGTGTGTAATTAATCAAAAACTGAAAAAATATATAGTGAGTCGGTTTTGCGAGTCTAAAACTTTTCGAATAAAATTTTTGCTCCGGGACTTCAAAGAATTCAGAATTTCATTATTGATAGAAGCAAAAACTTTGAAACTCCATGAGAAGAAAACGAACCTAAGCGCGGATTCGATGTGTCTTGAGAGAGACTCGATGGTTCGTATCCGATAATCCGGCTCGATGTTTTCTTTTTCCGTCGCCAACTGTACAATGTCATTCAACCGTATTCCTGAATCCCCTTCGTTATTTCTGGAAAAAAAGAAGAAAACCCAACCGGATTTGTCGCTCATCAATCGCCACATAAGGCAGGGAATGTAGTAGAGAAAGGCTTGAAGGAGCAGAAAAAATGGAACCCATTGGTAGTAGGATATTTGGCGGTACTCTCGGTCGGAGATGTCCATAGGGATCTCCTGGAAAGCTTCTTTGAGCGAGAAGAAGAAGAGTAAAAGATACCTGGTCGATGGGCACCCAGTAAGTGTTCTGAGCCCAGCAGTACATTTCCGTGTAGGCCTCCCAGCTGGCGGTGAACTGGGCGGGAACCCAACATTCGAGAGGTCGGCCGCCGAACTGCTTGAAACTGACCAACACCGCCATCATGATCAGGAACGACGACGTGTAGAAGTAGGACAGTCGGTCGACGAAATCGTCGTCCTTCCGGTAGTGCAGGAACGAGAGAGCGCTGCAAATATTGTAATATTGACATCTCTGAAAGTTAGGAGAACGCCCATTTCTAAGATCATGTTCAGAGTGTTTCGCGAAATTTGAAGTAGCCATCAGAAAGGGAAAAAGATAACTTAATTTCGGAACGAAAGAGATAATTTCGAATTTTGACGAAATTACTTTGAACACGGCCTAAACTTTGTTTTTACAAGGAATTCGCTTTTGTTTTTAAATGAGAAAATCTTGAAATTCTCCGAATACCTGAACATATTTTGGAGCACCATGGCGCCGACTTCGACCACGGCCGCGTGGTGATAACCCGACGATTCGCGACCGTGTCCTGCAAATTTATTCACTTATTCATCTTCCTCTCTTCTAAAGAATATTCTCTTGTCTTCTGCTTCTTTCCTATGCTTCATCTAAATATTTTGATAAATCACTATGCGGATCCCGTCGTTTCCAGTAGTATGATGCGGTGGGTCTCGTCTGCATTCGGCAACGACGTGCAGCTCGGCGTGGCCTGCCTCAATCGTCGAAATACTGCGCACGGTTTGCGCATTCCCCGCCTTCTCGTCCAGCTCCGACGTTTTCAACTCTTTTTCGCAAGTTTTCCGAGGTATTGTTGGGTTGGGCAGCTTCTGGGAAAAAGCATAGTTCGACAGACGTTCCAGCAAAGTTTAGTTGCAAAGCGTGGGTGATGAAAAAAAAGAAGAAAATAAAAACACGATTGAAAAAAAAGTGGTAAAAGGGTTAGCAGCTTGAAAATGAGACAAGAGTCAACCTTCCTGAAATATTTGGCCCTTTGAGTTTTTTATTTCTTTCAGAGTTCGTATGTCAGTTTCCCGGTTCGTGGGTAAGTTCAAAAGCGGAACAATTTTTCAAACTTTCTGGAACCGACTCCAGATTCCGTCTTGCCTCCATTTTTTACAATTTTTCAAGAAAGACCAAAATAAAATTCTTCTCAATTTTTTTTTGAACTCACGCTTTGCTTTTCGGCCAATAGAATTCCCAATTATGGACAAATTTCAGAACAGATTAATCGAAGAACTTCAGCAAATTGATTGGGAACCAGAGAAACGGATTTACGCGATTTCGCTAGGATCTGGACGGAAGATTCTAAACATTCTCGAAGCCTAGCGATTTATAAACAAAAAAATTGGGGAAAGTCGTTGGATTAATCTTTGACAATAAAATTCCGATGGATTATAAGTTTCAATGAAAAAATTGCTGATCAATAAAATCTTGGACTAGCGGTTTGTGAAGCTGTGGCTGGGTATAACCGCAAAGAAAGAAGGAAAAACCTTATCTTTTATGAAAAATAGCCCACACAACTGTTCTTTCACATCTCGTTATGCCGTGGGAAGAATACAACCCGCAAAACAGAAAAGTTGTCAACCCAGAAGATTTTGAGCTTGATCGTATCGAGGGGAAAGTTTGGATGTGAATTATTATTCTCAAAAAATTCAAAAGGAACAATCAAAAATAGCATAAGGATGAATGGAAAAGTTTCGAGTTAGGAGGAATGGTGAAACTGAATGAAAAAAACAGAGTATCAAGGATAATTCAAAAATTGTTCAACGACAGTTTGATCTAGGATTATTTTTTGATTAAAAAAAAGCCTAAACTGCAAAATAATTTCGAAAAAAGCGAAAAATTACTTTAACCTGAGAGTTAAAGCTCTCAAAAAAGGGCTTGGAAAATACTGTGAAAAACTTTCAATAAAAACAAGGTGTGTTGCAATATCGCAAAAAAAACGGGTTGAACATGGACCTGGAAAAAAAGGGAAATAGCTTTGAAAAAGAGAAGAATCGAACGGGTTGAAGATTAATTCGTGTTCTACGTTGGTTGACTCGCCAGCCAATTTTTCGATTCCAACGAAAATAAGCCTAAAACGAGCCGACAACTCGCCTCAAACTTCTTCGCCAAACCTTTTCAAATCGAGAAAAGGACACAAAACGAGAAAAAAAAGCAACGAGGTCCTTTGTGCGACGGCGGTGTTATATTGAGAAATGGGCGAAGCGATGGAGATTTTGTTGAAATTTGATATTCCTCCCCTCCTAATTTTGGTTTCGTCGATGAAACCTTAAAACGATCGAAACCGACCTATTTTACTATTTTTCGACGTTAGATGCGGAATATTCTTCGAAAAAAGCATCCCAAGTTTTTTTTAAAATTTTTAATATCGAAAGATTCCAGATGGAATATTCAGAATATACTTTTTTGTATCGAAATCTCGGTATTATCTCTCATTTTCTTATTGGAAATTAAGCTTTTCACAAGCTTTAAATACTTTTTTGATGATTTTTAAAAATCAAAAGCAAAAAAAAGCAAAAGCTGTTTGAAGAAACTTATTCGAAAATTATTTTATAAAGTGGATAGCAAACGGTGATAAGCCAACAAAAAAAGATTATTGAAAGATAAATTGCTTAGGGATTTCGTAAATAATATTTTATAGAAGTTTTGGAAGGAAATGAAAATTTCGAGGAACTGCTTCAATAGTTCAGAGGAGAAACTCCATTCGAACTAGTTTGAATATTTTTTCAAATTAAACGGGTTTTTTGGCTTTTTTCAATCCGAAAATTTGCTCTCTCACATTAGAAATACACGCGATAAAATCATATTAGAAAAAAAAACTTTCCAACTTTAAGAGATTTCCGTGCTCGAATTCATGCTCATGCTCAGATCCTAAGTTCATTCAGAACCTTCTCTCTTTCGAAGCCTTTAGAACTCAACGTCGCAGAAAAGAGAAATAAACCGAATGACAAGAAAAGAGGCATTAAAAAAGTGTTAAGTAATTGAAGATTTTGCAGAAGCCGAAAAGATGAATGCGAGAAAGCCGAGACGGGGTCCGAAATCGGCAGGGAAATGACGCGAATTTCCATTTTCTCAGGGACTCTCCACTTGCACTAATGCTCAGCTTTTTATCCTTATATCGGCCAGGTTTTCCACCGAAAAAAGTTTTTTATTGCGTCTAATGAAGACTGTTGCGGGTTTCGAGCCTTTTGAAACCGTCGGACTTCTTATAATCCGAATGAAGACTATATCCTGTCGATGAGTTTTCCATCCGTGAGAAGTCGAAAAAAAGGAATCGAAAAAAAATCATTGATTAGAAAAACCAAAAATAGAGGAAGCGGTGTTTAAAAAAGAAAAACTATGGTAAAAACAATTTCGCGCTGAATAATGAGTTTTTTCTCGTTTAAGATTATTACCTTGAACCCAACAATTAAGCTGAAACCAGAAAAAGTAGGGGTTCAGAAGTAATTATTCGTCATGAAACTTTGAGAAAAGCACACTAAATTCGAAAAAGTAAAATTTTTCAATAACTCTAAGCTCGGTGAGCAAATAACATTTTTTCTGCATAAATCAAGTTATTAGCATGGTCAATACTTTGAATGAGTCAACACTTCGCAAAAATGAATGGTTCAGTTTCTTTCCGAAAAATTTAAAATCGAAGTAGTTCTTTGAAAACATCCAATTTTTAAGAAAAAAAAAATGACGTGGTACGCCTTGAATAATGGTAGATTTGATTTTGAATAAGATTAAAAAGAAAAAATCTATGAAAAATTCAAAAGAAAATAGAGATTTACTCTTTAAGTCAAAAAAAAAAAGCTAGATTATCTCCGTCTCACGATTTTTAAATACTAAAAAAATTTAAATCCAGTTCAAATATCTGTAAAAAAAAACCTCAAGAAAGACCAAACCAAAAGTACGAAAAATATGAGAAATAAGCGACTTCCAACTAGTCATTTTCCCACCGACCGGCTTAATAACACGGTACAAATGTTGCGTTGCCTACAATCGTTTGCCAATAAATTTGTAGTCCAACTGTTTATCCAGAAATTCATTTGATAGTTATCCGTAAAGCTGGGATTTTATCAGAAGGAATTTCAGAACTTCAGGGAAGGCCAAAAGTTCTGGGGAAAAATTCGCTCATTAAATGACGATCGGGGATCGTAAAACAACAATTCTACAAATCGAAAGGCAGCGCTTTCCACTAAAAATCAAGAAATAAAGTGTCAAAGAAAGCTTCAAACATTTTTTGAACATGCAATTAGAGGGAGTTCCCGCAAATATTCAATTAAATAGGTTGCCAAGTGGTACCTTACGACATCCGAAGAGCTTTAAAAAGACATTCGGAAAGTACAAATTGGAAATTCAGCAGAAGGAGCATTGAGCGACGTTTTCTTTAATTTCGGTGGTTTTTTTTTTCTTTTTCAATTTGGCAAGAGCACGCTCAGTACTCACAGGGGTTGACGTCGAGTGAGTAATTCTTCAATGATTCAAATTTGGAATGGACAAAAAAAAACTGGAATCATTTTTTGACTCATGCGAATTCTTGGTCAGAAACTCATGCGTTTTCGAAACGGACATTATTTGTTTTGTTGTGAAAAATAACAGCTCATTTTTACATGCAACTTTTTTTTTGGAATAATCGGTCTTTCTTGAGACTAGAATCAAGAAAACCATTTGTTATTTTTTTCGAAAAAGGTTCCAGCTCTTAAAACCTGGACCTGTTAAATCAAAAATTTATAAAAAGACTGAACTTTATTTTTGATTAGTAAGACTTTACCTTGTCTCTTCAAAACGAAAAAACATCTCCAAACGTTTTTTGAAAAAAATCTCTGCGAAAAAAATGAAAAATAAAAATTTGATAAAGGTCCCTATTTACCATTAAAAAAAGCCTCCTCACATAGCTTCGAGTCCCAAGTTTCTGCTTCTAGTCAGAAAACGAATAGATCAAGACCCAAGTAAAAGAAAAACTCAGACGAAAAATTTGAGTTGAAACAAGTTCCTGAGTTTTTTTTCCCTTTCCAGAAATTGCTTTTCTCAGACATTCCTGACGTCGAAAGTTCGAGCTTAAAACAGCGGGTAAATACGTTTTTCGGAGCGAACAACCAAAATAATAGGAAGGGAAAAGAAGAGAGCGCAAAACTGAAAGGAGCATAATTGCGCAGAGGTGCTAGGTAAGTCAGACTCGAGAGCCGTCGACTTCCACGGCAAGAAGAGACAAGTCGATTCCCGGAGAACTTTGGCTTGCCGGTCCATTTGGAGCATCCTTGACAACCAGTTCCTTTCTTTCATCTCGATTCAATCTCTGTTTCTTCCTTACTTCCTCCACTTCTTATGGAACGAACTTTCCAGTTTTCTGCATTGATAGTTGAAAAATGAAAAGATTTTGAAGGTTATAAAACTCTTGGAATTCTTATAAAACTTTGTGGGAGTTATTTTAAGAGAACTTCAAGGCTTTGCACATCAAATGCCTCCCATAAAATGATCTCATCATATTACACTACCTCACCGTTCTTTTTTCGATTTTTCACGTCATAACTTCTAGAATTTTCTGTACCTTCAACAATTACTCCTCATCTTTTTAAGCGAAAACAAAGGTTCCTTTTAAAGTAAAAAAAATTTTTGAAATTGATTAGATGGCTCAACCAAAGTTCAGAACCAGCATCTCCTACTGAACTAATCAGGAAACCGTATACTTTCTATTGCTCATAATTTAGTTCTTTTATTTTCCTTTCAAGCAAACTTAGATGAGTGGAACTTTCAATCAATTCAAGAACGGATTATTTGACAGTTTCTAGTACCGGAATAGATCTCAAGATTTCCTTTCGGACCAGCGAAACAGCCTGGAAGTTCAACAACCAGCAGTTCAATCAAAAGACGAAAGAGATATAAGGACATGTGTTGGATGATAGGTATGGATGTCTGGCGACGCAAAAGAAATCATGGATGGGCCGAGGAGGAAAAGCTCCGTGAAGTGTCGTTTGGCGGCGAAGGCAATCGTCCGCGTTCGCCAGGGTAAAAAAAAGCGAGAAGGGTGGCACAGCCGCCGGAATCCCACAAACGCTTTATCAGATCGTCTAAACTTTTGTTTTTGAAAAATCTGGGATGAATCCAGAAACAAGGTTTCGGCTTTGATAAGAAAGCTGTCAAAAAGTAACGGATTATCTACTATTCTCCTAATTTTCATTCATGAATCTTTTTGGCGTACAGACAGTTTCTGAGGTGGTTAGATTAAACCAGAAAAATATGTGAGCTTAACTTCAGAGATGATTTTTTTTTCGAAGAAAACTCCCAGGTCGAATTGAAGAAAAACTTCTACTCAACTATTACAGGTAGACGGTTATATCACAATAAGGCATACTTTTTCTGGCGCTTTTCATATTTCTTCCGAATCGTTTTTAATTTAAAAAAACAACTTCTTCTGATCTTTCAAGACCTGTGTGGAGAAGCCGGTTTTTTTTTACTTCGCAGAACTTCTTAAACCGTAATTTGCAATTAAAAGTTCTCAAAACACAGAAAAAAGTACTCCAAGACAAAACGTGATTTGTTTTTCTTTGTAGTTCTGAAGCACTCGACAAAGTAAGAATTGACGTAACCTATGACGATAATAATACTACCGACCGTCTATTTTTAGGTTTCCCATAAAATAAAACTACAAAATGCGCAAACGTCAGTTTAGAAAAGTATAAGGCGACAAATGGAGAAAAAGAACCCAGGAGAGTGAAATTTTTTGCAAATCGCTGGAAAGTTTGAGAGTCTACAGTTTTTTTTTCGAATTTTTTCAAATAGCATAGAAATATTTGACGAATTTTTCTAGGAGGAGATCCATTCAAGTTTTGTAAAATGTTTCCGCCTTCTAATATTCCTTCTAAAAACATTAAAAATGTCGAAGAAGGAAAAGATACATCTCGGATCAATCTGAAATTTTGAATTCCACTACAAAAATGATGGAAGAACAAAAAAATCAAGAAGACAGGGTCGGAAATCTATTTCGAAATACGGCTGGAAGTGAGGGGAAAAAGTTGGGAGCCGGTGGAATTTCCGTGGTGCTCTTTGCTAATTGGCTCGACGCCGCAATTATTCCCAGCCGTGTCATTTCAACGGGAAACAACCCATAAAACATACTTTCCGATTGCCTTAATTCGGTCCCTCCAACTTCTATTTTCGTTTTCTCCCTCGGCAATCAACTTAACGCAACTTTGCGATTCATCAAAAACGTGAATTCTTCGAATCAAATTCCAAATAAATTGAATTTCATGTTTCTTATTGAGTTTTCAGTGTTACGAATATTTTTCATTGTAAACTGTGAAAATTTAATAAATCCTCAAGTTATATTCACATGAACAACGCTTAAATTTAATCCATGAAGTGGATCAGAACTATTTCAACTTGAAGAAAAAAAAACACAGCTTTCGAAATTAATCACGGTGTAATATTCACAAAAAAAATGTCGAAGAACATCAAAAAATAGCGGATCATTTTTCCAAGAAAAAAAAATTTTTCAACTGCAAAATGACCACCGGTGTCAGTATAAAAACGTGTAATCATTTTCTTGGCAATAGCCCACAATTATAAGCATGTAAAAATATATGGAAAAAGGTCCATGCAGAAAAAGAGCGTTTTGAAACAAAATAAACATTTAGAAAAGTTTTCGCTTTGGCTTGTTGAAGCTGCCTTCGGAAAGTTTGATGATCACTGATCTTCCCAAGGATCACTATAAAACTAACCGTTTTTGATTTTCAAGAGTTGTGGCTACAATTTCAAAAAGAAAAAGAAAAGTTTCAATGTTCACTTGTTCAAAAACGTTTCCCACAGTAAGCACGCCGTTACTTCAGCTTCAAAAGCCAATACTACAGAATGAACTTCGGAATTCATAGTCCATAGTAACAATTCGAAGCGAACTCCGCTCTGGGGGACACTGGATTTCGCAATAATGAGATGCGAACGCATTTGACATCAATGGGAAGAAGAAAAAAACGATTGCCAAAACAGCAACAGCGAGGAAATTTCTGAGTGATTTCGGGACGAAGACAAAAAAAAAGAACTAGTGAGAAAGAAGTGAAGTGTGTTGAAAAAGGCACCAAGAGCCGCCGAGAGAGAATAGCACTCAGAATAATTTCGAAAAACGGCCCAGCTGAGTTCTTCATGGTCCAGCGGTTCGGAACACCGCCGCGACGTCGTCTGATTTGCAGCTTCCGAGCCTTGTTTCCGCTCGTCTGACTGCGCTCATAACCAAGTGTTAACCTGGTCCTCTTGATAAAACAATCCAACAAATTCGCCTCTATTTCGAGAAAAAATGGGACTTTTCAGAGAAATTTCGGAGAACGGTCCTGCTGAGAAGAAACAGGTTTTCAGAAAAAAATACTATCAAGGAAAGGATGGAAGGATGGGAGCTTCTTGCAGATTGAAAACAGAAAAGCTCAGATCTCGAGAACAAGCTTGATCTACATCTACAGATCTACTTCTTCAAGTTACATTTTTTTATTTATAGTTTATTTCTACTAAAAAGTAGCTTTTTGTATCTGGTCGCCTCTGTAAAACCGCTATTAACCGAGTCAGTAAAAAAACTTGGAGATTCCGAAAAAAATTTTTTTCAAAAATGTTTCATTGAAAAAAATCAAAAAGTTTCTCATTTCTTCGACTTTTTAAATGTTGGTGTTACAAATAATTTGTCAAAAAAATCTAATCTAAAAAAACGATATTTCTAAAAAAATTTCCCAGTGACAAAAAAACGTCATGAAATCGCTACAATAAAGAAAAAGGAAGGTTTCCCGATGACTATCAGATTTTCATCAAGCCAAATGATGCTTCTACCCTCTTCAGTCATAAAAAACGGCTTCCAATATTGAAAGAAAACGGAGAACCTGGCAGCCAAATAATGTAAGTAATCTCTTTGGCAATAACAAAGGAATTGAAATATTTTTAGGGGGAAAACGAGGCGATTAGCCGGAAATTTGAAAATTTTTCCAAAGGGTCCTTTTTCCGGCGTAGTTGACTAAAATAAGGTCACTTTTTATGATGTTAGCGGGCAGTTCGACATTTTCTCCATTTTGAAAACTTTTCTCGATTCTTCCAGACTATTCCTGATGCTCTTTGTAAGGCTTCCCATCTTTGAACAGATCATATCCGAGAAAAAAGGAAACTCATTGCACATTCGAATGATTCAAGAAGTTTGCTTCCTTGTGGCCTTTGCGGGGAATGAAATCCCTCGTGTTTTTCGCCGGCAGTTGATAAGATATCCGAGCCGGCGCGAGTACAAAACGGCGCGTTTGTAGAAAAACGGGGCCGATCGATGGACTCGCAGCTCCCAAGAGCTTCGGAAATATTCGCGGCGAGAGATAACGTATTCGTTAATAATTTCTGTGTGAAAAATAGAAGCGTCGAGCCGTTTTACTGCAAAATCTCGCAACTATTTGTGGGAAAATGCCTCGGAAACGCGATGAAAAAAGGGATTTCTGAGTTTTAAGACGCATCGTACTCGACATTCGAAGAAAGTCGGCATTTTCAGTCCAAATCCTTCCGAATGTCTGGAAATATTTGAATCTTAGTTGCAAAACCATGTTCAGCAGTCAATTGCAGAATCAAATCAGAGATTTTCAATTCTGACTCTAGTAGGACATCGAGTCGGACCTCACATCAGGATATTCCAATACTAAAGTTTTTGAAAATCGATTCAACCAAATATTTCTCGCAAAATGCAAAAGGAAAAAAAACGGGCAAAAAAAGTACCGATCCCTTTTTAAACAGGATTAATTAATGAAAATTTTCAGTTAACCATACAAATTAACTTTGAAAAAAAATCATGCTTGTTGAATAAAGAACAAAGAAGTGACATCAGAAAACTGAACAATGAAAGTTTTCTCGATTTAAAAAAAAAGTTATCAAAGTTTCAATTTTCTTGTATAACATGTTTGCGTGCGATAAATAAGTGAAGTTATAGTAGAGAGAAAAAAATCCATAAAGAAATAGTTAAGAAGCTTACCACTTCGAAAAAAAAAGAATTATCAGTGATTTTGGAAGAACAAATCTCCAAAAAAGCCTAATGTTTTCTACTTTTTCCTAAGGTCTGAGTTATGTAAAGCCAAAAAGAAATTACTCGGGCTTTCTTGGGAAACTAGAGATACCCTAAAAACATCAACAAGGAGTAAAGTCACCAACGGCGAAGAAACGGAAGAAAATTTTGCAAAAAAGCCTTTTCTTATACTTCCTTTCCATTTTTGTCCTATTTCGAGCATGGATTCTATTTATCGTGTTCGAAAGTAATCTAATACTGATTTTCTCTATCGAACGGAAAAGGAATTGAAAAATGAGAGAAGAGTTAATATATATCAATCATTTTTTTCACAGAAAAAAATTTGTAAAACAGAATGCTAAATTATTCTGGTCTACATATTCAGTCAGAAATCTTTGAAGAAGACCTTTTTAAAAAAATTATTAAATCCCGTCTTACTTTTCAAGTAGTGCTATTAAGTCCAGAAAATTCAATTTTTTTAAAAACCCCTGAAAAATCGAATTCAGTTGTTCGAAAAAAAATAATGGGGAATAGGTGGGATTTGTGGGAGAGCGGATTATGGACACGACGGGGCAAAACTCATGGATAAGCACAAATGATAACAGGATAAGCGATTAGAGATCCTTTTTGCTTTTTTTCCAGCAAATGGGGGCACATATTACGTCCACCTGTTTATTTATTCATTTCCCGAAACATCACGTTGCCCAAAATTTTTATCTCGTTTCTGAGAAAAAAAGAGCATAACCAAAAGAACTTTACTTTTTTGAATTACTTTCTGAAGTCTGAGAACAAAAATGAAAAGTTTACCAATCAGGGTCAGAAGTTTTCGAAATTTAGGCAAATCATTATTAGTTTTTTGAAATATTCAGATTCTTTCTAGCTGAAAAAATCCGAGCGAACTTTCAAATTCCAGAAAAAAAAAGTTTACTCTCCAAAAACATTATAGGGCCGTTAATTTCTTGCAATACGAAGAAGATTTTTGAAAATAAAGCTTCTTTCAGTATAACAAGACAATTCTCTCCAATAAGCCTTCCAAATGCTAAATTCCTGAATAATTCCCTGAATGTTCAAAATGTTTAGTTGGAGGAGTGATTTTCCTGATGGGACTTGATTTAAAAGTCACCGAGCAGTTTTTTTATAAAAATAAAAAAACCGTTCAGCTTTGAAAGAAATCTCACGAACAAAAAAATAAAAAAATAAATACTGTCAGAAATTTTTTCATGAGAATAATTCCCAAAAAAAGAGCCCGAGTGAACTTGACGCTGACAAAAACGAGGTGATGAATAGGATAATTGATGAGAATTCAATCTTGGGAGTTCATTAATTAACGGAGGTGTACTGTGTGATGACCAAATCTGCCAACAAAGTCATAACAACACAATTACGTTTTTTCTTCGATAATTATTGCGGCGAGTAATTTTTGAAAAAAAGATTCATCTAAAGGTGTGAGGGAATCTCAAAAAAAAAAAGCTCCGTTTATGCTATTTGGAGCTCGTTTTTTGATCAATAATTAATAGAACTGAGCTAGTACGATGATTAGACGAGGTGGCGAGGAAAACAGGAAAAAGGGGGCGGAGAATAAGTTATCGGCGAGAGCAAATTAAATCAGAATGGGGCGAATTTCGCACGCAAAATGGAGCTACCTGATTCCGCTGTTCACAATTTTATTTGTCAATACCTATAATACGAAGAAAAAGCGTTCAAATATTTATGTATAGTTCTGACTTGGATGGAAGTGATCTTTGGACCAAAACAAAACATCATCGTTATTGGGAAACCCGAGGATACAAATGGAATATAATGATTTTAAAAAAAACTGACCTTTGCGAGATGGACGGCCTCCGTTGGCCCTCAGAGCGTCGCGCTGTCGATAGACCGATGGCATATCACTGGCATCATCGGTTCTCTTCACCCGCTTCTCCCTACGGCCGCTTCACTCATTCTGAAACCAATCTCAGTTTTAGGTATAAAACGCCTTGATTAAAAATTTACATAAGTCATATGGTCGGAAAAGCTGAGCCGGAGAATAAAGTATCAAAAAATACACTATTATTAGCTTCTATCTAAAAAGAAAGTTGAAAAACTAAAAAAGGACCTGAATAAAAAATAATGGATTTCACATAATCAAAAATTTGCATTCCACGGTTTCTACGAAGATTAGGTACAACCGGAAAAATGACAAATGGAGAACAAAAAAGGATAAAAAGGAAATAATGTGACAAAAAAAAGACCAATTGTAAATTGCGCTCCATGGGTAAGGCGCGAAATTTTCAAATCCGCAAAAAAATCGAAAATTCACGTTTTTTGAAATCTTTTTAAACTTGTTCACTTGCCTTATGCCGTGTTCCAGTTGACTCGCGAAATTCAAATTAGACTTCAGAGAGTAATGAAGATAACTAAACTTTGAAGTTTCAAAGATAATTTTGTATTTCGCGGAAGTAAATTTGAACTTAGCGTCGGCGGTTCTTGCGCGATGAAAGAAAAATTCTGTATATTATTGAGACGCAGAAATCTTGTTTAGCTTGGGATAACTCTGAAAACTGTTTTTTGCCTCAAGATTTTCAGGAATCGCTGAATTTTTTCTATGATAATTTAAAAGGTGGAGCATTTTTCTACAGGCTATTTTAATTTATTTTTTCTCTAGCTTTTTTTGCCGGAAGCTTTCAAGCTTAAAAGCTTTTCTTTTAATACAGCTTAAGTTTCCGTTAGCTGTATTCATGTTACTTTTATCACTTTTATTGACAGAAACTTTCAAAAAAGAGATGAAGTGAGAGCGGTTAAGACTTAGTTGTTGCTTAATTCAGTTTGAAAATAGAATGAGGGCTGCAAATGAATTTTGATTGACTTCAGCAGTTTTTGAGAGCCAAGGTAATTAAAACATCATGAAATATTGATATGTGAAGCGCTGCTTCAAAGAAAATCCATTTCACTCAGCCCTCAGTTCGGAAAATACTTGAAAGGGAAGAAAACAAGCTAAGCGATATTGCCCATTTCAATTGCGGTTGTATTTCTCACACGCGTCCTGGGAAATTTCGCATCGACCGTCGCCGTACTTTTGCTGATTTTCGCCAAATGAGAGCCGAAATTACAAGAAGAAATATATATCTCGAAGGAGTGACTTGGCGTGTTTATCCAAAGCAGCAAAAGCAGAATAAATAATTCTCCACCGAAATGAAAACGAGAAATATCAAAGAAAGCAGCATATTGAATAGCTCATGAAGAATGGTTAGTTAACGAGCCGCGCAATGCAACATACACAATGGGCGGCTTGTTTTGACTCTCAAATAGAACGGAAACTTAGAATGTTACGGTACCTTTTTTTAAGGAAATAACATTTCGCAGAGAAGATATGGAAAATTGCGATAGGAGCGGAAATTGACTTGAATCATACAAAAAAAATTGATTTTTTTTTTCTTGAAATCATTGATACATCACTTACTCATTTCGATACCACGTTTTGAAGGCACTCCGAAAAAAGGCTCATTAAGGGAGTAATTACTCTTTCGGTCGTCCTTTTCTAAGAGCCAAGCCAAGAACAAAGAAAATGAGAAGACAAAATGAATCAGTGGGAAAATCATATTTACTGGCATGAATCACTTTTCTTCTAATTGCTGCCCTTTTTTGTCTTACGCCACTGGTTGTGGTAAAAACGGGGATGAGCAAGTAAAGAAATATGAGTTACAAACAAAACTTGCTCAGAAGGGATTTTTCTTCCAAGATTTACAGAAAAGCTCTCTTTCGAGTTTTCCTCAAGAGAAAGTCTTCCGTAAAGTTTTGATTTAGAATGAATGCCAATAGTTTTTTGAGAAAGTTGCTGCTAGGAATATTAATGAATCTATGAATTTCCCATGTTAGGGAGTAAAAAAAAAATGTTAGAAAAAAGGTAAGAGGAATCTGAGACGAGATACTGGCAAACAAAAAACAATAAAAAGCGGGGGATTGGGAGAGGGGGCAGAGTACAAAAACGAAAAACTACAATTGGATTGAGATCAGAAATCCCAGTCGCTGAGCAATTCATTGTTTCGGAGACAGAAAGACATACCTCACAGAAACAAAAATCGGATTGAAAGTAGAGGTCTGATCGGAAAATTGCGGCAACAAGATTATAATTCTCATGCGTATTACCTTATATATTGATCGTTTTCACGACTTTACTGAGCTGGAGAGGTTTATGAAGTGAATTGAGTAGATTCGAAACGGAAAACTTGTATCGATTAATTATTTATGTGGAGTTTTGAGACAAGGTCATAATGTCTTTTGAAAGGCAAGTCTTTGTAGGAATGAAGGCTGAATTAAAAACTAAACTTGGATTTGAAAGTTGAACAGGACAGTCAATAAGATCCTAACTGGAGAAAAAAACAAAGTCCAACTTTTTAGAGTCTTTTGGGTGATGGATGAGGTTGGAGTAGGCGCGAAGGTTTCTTCCAAACTTGACAGAGAAGAAGCACCTCGGGGACATGGCCAACAAAAAATAAGGGGTTCGAAGTGACACCAAATGAGTCTCAGAAGCCAACTCAATGATGTGTTTAGACGACAAAAATAAGAACAATAGTCCGTAATAAACGTTATTTTGCAAAAAGTACAGATTGGATAATTATTGATCGATAGGAAGTAGAAAACAGAAAGGCTTCTACCAAGAACTGGCCGGAAATTCAAGGTAAGTTCAAGATTTTGTATCATTCTCTGAAATAATCTTCAACGCGGAAACAGACAAAAAACCCGAAAGTCGATGAAAATCGAGGTGTGTTTCCATTTCCGCCAGAGCAGATTATATTTCATACAAATCAGTACGAAAAGCTGACGAAGCGGATCCTGCCTACGATTTCCGCCACTCTCAGAAACTAAAAAGGGGTGATCGAATCATCCGCGCGAGCTGATAAACACCCGTCACGCCGTCAAAAAATTTCAAAACCTGAATTTTTTAAATTTTCGAACGCAGGCCAGTGTAAAGTTTTAGGATTTGATAACTTCAAACTATGAATTCAAAACTTCAGGGCATTTTTACTGCATAGGAATTAAGATAAAGTTTACAAAATTCATCTACGAGCCACCAAAAATGAGATGAATAGAAAATCATAGCTGGCTCTAAGAAGCGAAGACGTTTTGATTGTTTGGAGAGGACGACTGGAAGAAATAAAATATCCGTTCGCGACGAAAAAATAATAACGTATTGTAGGAAGCATGTGAGAGGTTTATTCCAGAAAAACGAAATGATTTATCGGAGTATTCCAGTTAATCTTCGAGCTTCACTCATCTGCCCAGCAATTAAATCTTTTTCCTATAATTTTTCTGTCTTTCGAAGATTTGCACGGTTCCTATTCTTTCAAACCAACGAATGCTGAGACAATACTAAAATGAAAGATAGATTTTATAAAAAAGAGACAAAGAAAGGCAGACTGATGAAGAGAAGCACTCATCGGCCCTCGGCAACATTGAGCGGATTAAAAAAGCAAGCGGCGAATGAGAGATTTTGTCGTTTGTAATTAGAAGGCGAAAAAAAAAGAGAAGCTCCGCTCTATTGATTGTGATAGCGGACTGATGCAAAGTTATAAACAACTTTTTAAGCCGAAACTCGTCCGCAGAAGGGATCGAAACCGATTTATTCTCTTTGGAAACATTTCATCTAGAGGGAAGTTTGGGAATACTGGAAAAGAAGAAGAAGCCAGGTTTTTCGTTGAAAATTTTCGTTAACGAGTCCTTCACGTGATGAGAATTGCGCAGGTGCCAAAAATTGAGGCCACGCCTCTTTCTCAGAATTGCACATCTTTCTCGATTAGAATTCCCGCTGGTCTCTCAACAGAAAAAAAATCTTCATTCAATAACCGGTCTTCAAAATAGATTTCAATTGGAGGAGGAGGTCATGCACAATAATTAAAAAATTTGGAAGATACAATAGAACAACATTTGGATCAAAACGACGTTCGGAACGTTTTCTCTAATCAGGAAAAGCCGGAAATCCTATGAAAGCTAGCAAAGAAAGTTTTTTAATTGCACTGCGTTTTATTAATTACTCATAAACATTTCCAGGAACAAATTCATCGGTTCCAGAAGACCAAGAAGGAAAAAAAGTATAATTTTTTTCTGAAAAAAATTGATTGAGGAAGTTAGAATGAAGATGATTTTATCAAATAATTACTTGTCCGAAAAATCTACAGGAGAATCTGGAACTTCTAGCAACGGTCGTTTTTCCTGGTTTTTCTTCGAAAAAGTTTTTCTATCAGACTTAGCAAAAGCTGTGGGATGAATCGCAAAAGAATTAATCGGAAGACGAAATAGAAAACGGCGCGAGAATGGAAGCCCCGCTGTGCCGCGACTACGCAAAAAGACTTTTTTGTCCAGCCCAAAATTTGAACTTCTTAACCTCAGTTCTAGGAAAAGAATTCTTCGAGGTTATTTTCCGAAATTAGCACTGTTCTCTTGACAAAATAAAGACCGTCGAGAACTTCCAAGAATGACGAGAGAGTCAAGAAATTACTGTTGTCAGAAAAAAACCAACCAGTAAAAGAAAAATCAACTGGAGTTTACTCAATTAGAAATCCCAATGGGTTGCAAATTGGAAGAAACTAAATTACAAACGAAAAAAGGAAGTTGGAGTCAATTTTCGTTCGATAAGCTTACGACGTGAAATACAATATTCATTAATGAAAACAGAATTCATTCACTTTTCTTTTATATAATCACGTAGAAATTTCACAAGCGACAACGTAATGGTCAAGAGGTAAGAGGCCATGTGTACGCCATGGCCTGACTTCACCAACGTGGCCGCGTGGCCTAATGGATAAGGCACCAGACTTCGGATCTGGGGATTGTAGGTTCGAGTCCTGCCGTGGTCGAGAATTTTTTGCATTATTAAATGGTGATCACGAATACGTTTTCATCATCTTTTTATTCATTGTTTGTCCAAATAGCGCTTATTAAAGCTATATTGCAAATAGTTTTTCATCTCTGATAGGAATCTTTACGTCACTTTTCAAAATAAATGAAAAATACTTCATTTTGCCGATTTATTTCCATAGTTCAAAAAAGCGCTGTTAATACACATCATAAAATGGTACAATCGAAAAGTCATTCACAAAATATACATCGAAATAAGGACACACTGGAATGGCAAATCATTGGAGATCATTATTATAAGCTGCAATTTCACCAAGAGTTCTTTTTTTATTAATTATATTAATTATTATAAACTTATGAGTAAGAGAGGTGTTTTGGAAACTATCATGACTTTTTGAAAGTATAACTTGAGAAGGAGTGAAAAACGATGAGTTCAGATTGAAGCATGAAGTATTTTTGTTGTGGAATTTGGGGCACAAAAAACATAAATATTCAATTCAATTCTGTTTTGGCGCTGTTCATCTGCGCTCAAGTTAGAGAATCAGAGTTTTTGCTTTTCTTTTCAGAATAATTACAATCGAATGAGAGTTTTCAGCGACGGTAGGGTGGAGGCGGAGTTTCTGGGACAATGGCTTCGTTGTTAGAAGGCGATGCGAATTCGCGATGTCGCGAATAGAGATGGCGAGTCGGCGGTTCGCTGCGACGACGTCGTTGGGGAGTTCCCAGAAGCTGCGATCTTGGCGACTCCAGTTCGTTGAGCTGGTTGGCTGGTGGCATCGAAGCGCGGTCCAAAGATCTGAATTCGATGATTTTAATGAGGAAAAATAAACTATTGAGCCGAAATCCAGGCAAGTCGAAAAACTACAAGGGCTTGGAAATTCACAGCTCCATTTGTAAAACGTTGAAGTTTCAGCACCTCTTTCACGAAAACCTCTCGTGAGATTTTTCAGCTTCAAAAAACAGTAAAAAAAATGCACACACTGTCCTTTCTGTGTGCTGAAAAGCTCATCAAAAAAAATCGCGAAGCTTTGAAAGCGTTTTTCCTTTTCAAGCTGGAGAGTTCTAAAAATCTTAAATCCCTTTCTTTCATGATCAACTATTGAATTCTGTTCAAATTTTAAAATCTGATTTTTTCTGCAATTATTATCCTTCTGATAGGTTGTTGACATATTTTTCGTGACTCTTTTCATTTGATAGTCAACGAACCGCCGAACTCTGTCCACTTTTTCTCGCGATACGTAGGCGCCCTCATATCGCACATTTCTAACGTCTTCAGTCGCCAAAGCTGGGACCAACTCTGATATTTCTCTGAACATTTCTCCGGTTTAACTTCGTCGGACCTTCAAACTAACCTTTGGCAAAGGAAAATGTCTTGCGTTCTCGACAAGTTATCGACATAAGCTTCCGCAAGCCTCTACAAGGAACAAATGATTAGTTTTGATTGGATTAGAAGGAAAACCTTCATTCCGGTGCGGAAGCGGAGCATCTTCACGACTTCGTTCTCCGCTCTGTAGGAATCGAGGGTTCTCTCGATTCTTTCCTTTTCTTCCGCTGTTGTTAGCATCTAAAAAATATATTGAGTGTTGGTTTTTGAAAAAAATAAAATAATGAAATTCTCCGACAGGAACTATTGCAATAAAATAACACAAACTGAGAAGAAATTTAGATAAAAAATGTCAAAAAATAATCATCATGCAAATGGATCTGTAAAGATTCTAACAAGGTAGGTCTTCTTCAAAGTAAGACTAGAGCAAAGTAAAATGTAAAATAATTCACCTCTAAAGTAATATTGAAACACTCAGAGGTTTTTGGAAAGTCATGAAACAAAAAGATCAAAGAAAAATCGAAACGGTCTTTTTTTTGACCCTATAAAAGCGCCTTCGAGTTTTCAAAAACAGAAAAACACACACAAAAAAAAATTTCGTTCGCACTTTTTCAGAAATAGGGCTTTTGTTCTCTCATATTTTAGAAAGATTCTGCTACAAACCCCGTCTCAGCTTGAGCTGCCAAGATGAAAACTTTTTCAGGATTTTTGGACCTATTGGATAAATATGAGTTTAAAAGGATTATGAGCACAACTTCTGATAGAGCTGGATCCAAGAACTTTAATTAGAAGCCCGAAAAATCAAAAGAATCTTGTCTTTTCAAAAAATGGACCTGCCGCAAATTCTTTCGGATTTGATCCGAATTCGAGCCAGGATCCTTCTTCATCTCCGCCTGAAGCTTCTTCTCTCGCTCGGTGACGTCGGCCAAACGGCGCTCGGCCTCCTTCTGTTGCTCGTCCATCTCCAACGAGTCATCCACTCTTTGGAGCTTCTACAACAGTTTCGGATTGGCTCAAGAAGTCGAAAACGGAAGGAAAACCTGAACGCAGCCGGCGATGGTGTGCAGAAGGTTGCGCTGCTCGGTCTCGTGGAGGACGTACAGCTCGGCGAGTTTCTTAGTCACGTCTTCCATCGCCGTGTTTCCGCCTTGGGTGGCCCATTCGGCGAGTCTTACCGCGCCTTGTCTTTGGAGGGTCGCCGCTCGACAGATCAGCTTTCTGGAATCTCATAGGTCTTCAGGAAACCCACTTAAAAAGACACTTCAATCTAGAGATTCGATGAGAGTAAAACATGAAAGCAGGTCTAATTATATGTTTTGAAAGAAAGATTTTTACTCTGTGTAAAAACTCGGAATCGCTCAACATTTGTAACGAAGAAAAACGTAAGATGAATTTTTTTAGTTTCATAACCTATCAAGATCTACTCTCCGCTTAAGTCAAAAAAATTATGTCAATACAGAAAAAAAGTTTAATATCAACTGATTTGAAACTTCAATCAATGTTTCAGTAATAAACTTATTTAACATTCAACATATTTGAAAAATTATCTTATTCTTCCAAAAAAAAAAAACTCACGCAGCCTCCTCAAAGCATTCCAATCCAGAAGAGACAGTCGGTTTGGTGCGGCGGAATTTCTCCAAAAAACCGCTCGACTGCGTTTTTCGCAAGGCTGTGGAAGAGAGGAGAGGACGTGACTCTGTAAATTTTAAATTCAGGACCAGAAAAATAAACTAGAAAACTTAATGCAATGTATTATTTCTAAACTTTGATTTCGGACCAATGGGTTTTTCTCGGAAAATTCTTCAATAACTCACTATCGCAAGGCTCGACGGAGCGCCGTTTGGTGACCGGCATTGGTGAAGAACTTCTGGCGAATCACTGCAAAGAGTTTCCAAAATAACCTTTGAACCTTTCGAAATAAAAACGCACTGAGTAGAACATAGGAATATATAAAGTGCAGAAAAAAACGGCTATTGGACAGATAGTACCCGTTTGTTTCTTTTAATCCGAACGGACGAAACCTACTGATAAGAATTGAATGTCATTGGCGAATCTTGCAAAACAAACAAATTGAGAGCCATTAAAAGATTTGGAACGTATGTTTTCATACCGGAAAGCGACATTTCAGTCAGATTTCTATCATTTATTTGCCCTTTTCTCACGTTCACGCTGTAGCTGACAGCGAATTCGTGTCGTAATTTCATTGAAACCAAAATATTCAAGCTTGATCTGAAAATTCGATGAAAAGTCGAAAAGAAAGAAGAAAAGGAAAATTCTCAAAGAAATTTGTTCTTTTTTGTTTGGGAGCGTCGTAAAACAACAGAAAAAAAAAAACTATGAGAAAAATCGTTGACAAACGGTTTCGCATGATCAAAATAAATAAAATTTCATAAAAAAAGGGATGAATGCATGAATAAAAAAATAAAAAGATTCAATGTCTGAGTAGGAAAAATGAAGTTCAAACTAGGAAAAAAAGCAGAGCAATAACTTTTTTTCTCCCAACCTTGAAGATCAAAAATGTCCTTGTTATCTTTGCCAAAGATCAAAAAAGTTTCTGACAAATGTTCAAAAGTTTAGAAATCGGAAAAGTCAAGGAACGTACAATCTCCTTTCAAAAATCTAGCGCATTGTTTTTTTTCTGAATACTAGAAGATTCTTCAAACTTTCGTATGTGACGAGAAAACACAATAAAGAAGGTTTTAAGAAAATTTATAATTTTTGAGAGAACTTCCTCTTCCAATCAGTACACAGCAAAGACCTTAAAAGGTGTGTGATTCAGAACGGGAAGAAACGACGCCATTGTAATTAGAAACCACACAAAAGAGCGACGGCATGAATCAACTGAGCTCTGAAAAAGGCGGAAAACGACGGCGGACAACACGGCAGATGCGTGTCATCTGCTCCCCGAAAGTGAAAATGAGCCACGGCTTTTTCTTCCAAAGACATTCGAATTTCGATCTTTGGTCTACCATTCTTCTTTTTCTTTTTGAAGTTCGAGGAAACAAGTTCAGCGAAGTAAACTAATAAAATACTGGTATCAAGACGAAAACTTCTTAGATTCTTTAAAAACGCAGTCGGTTCAAAAAAGCGCCAACCTTGGTCCTTGGGACTGATTTCACAGTTCCTGAAAAGTAGATGCTATCGTAGTTTTCGAAGGTCACATTTTCATAACCTTCAGGCGCTTTCGAAGACCAATCGAGGCGTTTTGGAAACAATCATAAGCAAATTGATTTGAGAGAAAAAAAAAATTTAGCTTGCGTTCAGAAATCTCACAGGCATGATAGAAATTGACGATGCTGAAAACTTGAAGAGAATTTTACTTAACTAAAATACTTTATTAGCTTTCTTCTAGAGTTCTTCGCTTCTAGGTGCTTTCAAATTTTGTATAATTGAAGAACGGAACAATACTGGATTTATCACAGCATTTATTTGACAGAAGTATTAAACTAGAGTTCAAAGACGTCATCTACATCACGTTCATTTTTTATCAGAATCGTGGAAAAAAATATCAAAAAGAAAAGTTAGGAATTTCAGTCATTATGCTAAATGTTCACCTCAGACGCGGATAAACAGAAAAGCTGCTGAGAACTTTGGACACGAAAGCGGTTCAGAAGAAAAAAAAAACATGGAGGAAAAGGGATCGATAGTACCGAGAAGGTCGGGTGCGTCGGAGGCGGCTGGAATGACCTAGGCACCTCCCACCACTGGGTCAGCCACTGTCTCAGCCCTCTGGAACACTCCCAAACGAATCGGCGTGTCGCAGCAGGCCGCAAATCTGAGGAGTCTTCCCTGAACCTACTCACAGAGGTCAAATCGTGCCAGCTCATGTGGGCGCGTCTGTTTTGAGTCATTATTCAGCTTGAATGATCTCTAAAGTCCGTTCACAGAATGAAGCATGAAGTCTAGGACGTAAGCCTCAAATATGGGCACAAAAGTCAGAAAAATAGGAGAACTTGAAACGAAAACTATCTGTTCGAAAATTCTGTTTTTTTCTATCAAAACAGAGAACATGCGGAGTTTGGCCTTACCTAGGCCATTCCTCGCTTTAGAAATTTTTTCGCGTCTTTATAGTGAAATTTAATTTCAAAAACTCAACAATCATCAAGAAAGATTAATATTCTGCAAGTAAATAATTTTACATTTTTCAATCAAATTTTTTGCGTTCATTTTTTTTAAAACTTTTCAAGGAGAATCCCAGCTTTTCGTTCCAAATCCTTTTTTCGAGAAATAAAAACGCTTTTTTATCAGCTCCCAAAAATATGCAACTTTCAGTGAACTTGTGATCAACAAAAAACTTTCCAGACTTCTAACTCTTAAAGTTTCCACGAAACTCGTTATCTCTTCTCGCTTATTAGTTCGTCATTGCTTTATCATTTTTTCAATCTGTTGTTGGATCGTCCTCAACAGACTCACTTTTTGATGAGGTATTTCGAAACTGTCAGTTATGATTGATGCAAAATGAACCATTCGTAATTTCTCAATGAGGAGAAGTCTGAACAATAAGGCTGGAAAGCTTGACGTACGAGCGCCAAGAAAGTCAAAAAACGAATGATAATGACCTGCACTAAATTTTTTTTTACCGTGGCACCTCGATCCGGGCCTTGTTTGGCTAATCAGAGTGAAAGTAAAGAGAGCACAAAAAGGAACGGTACAAACATTGGACAGGTGGATGAAGTGACGGCGAGGCTCAGATCGACTCAGTGGGAGGTCGCGTCGACGAGAAAACTGCGCCTTTGTATGCTTTCTCGGTGATTTATACGGCAATCCGAATGAATGAATCACTCTAAGCTTTCTAAGGAAATTTTCAAAAAAATACTGCTTTTAAAATTCTGATTGAAAATGGTTTATTTTCCTATTACGGAATCGGCACAAAAAGCAAACGCGTCAAAACTAGCGATCCTTACCTTATCTGATCAGATAAGAAAGAAAGAAAAAACAGATAAAGAGCCTGTCCGAAAGTTGAAATATTCTCTAGTTGAAGATTTGCGTCATCTTTTAGAATCGACGGAGCCTTGAAAAACAAAATTAAAAACCCACTCTTTTCTGTAGGAGATCATTAACTTCTTTTCATTGATCGCCTGTATCTCCGCTTCTTTTTCTCTCCATTTCGTGGCCATGTATGCTGAAACGAGTATAAATGAACGGAGACGAAAAAACTACAAAGTTAAAAAAAACAATGAAACAAAATAAAGTTCTGTGGATAATATAGTCCTGATGCATATTTAGTTGAATTTGTAAAAATTCTGGAGAATGGAGAGAGATTTATCAATGTCTTCGAATACTTTCTTGTTAGAAAAATAATGGGAATAAATAAAATATTTAATTTACAATGCAAAGCAAAACATTTTTGCTAAATGAAAGATAATCAATCGTTTGTATAAATCTTGCGCGTAACTCATTTTGTTTCTTCTGAACACAGCTTTTTGCGGTCCAAACACCACCGGGATATACTCAACGGGGAAAAAAATATCAGTTAAAGCAGAAAATAGTGCTGCTTGATTGATTTCTGTGATTGCAGCACTACGAAGAACAAACATGTTCGACACAAATCAGAGTATTTGTCACGCATTGCAAAATTTCCGATTTTTCCCGCGTTAAACAGCGAACTTCTCCGCCCAGGTTCTCTTTGACTGATATTTCTCAGTTGAACTTAATTATGTCGCTGTTGCTGACCGCGTTCGTCGCTGCATCTATTGCTGTTTTCAGGTAACTTTTTCAAGCATGCTAAATATATATTCACTTCCTTTTAACACATTTGAAAACAAAGGTAAGTATTTTAGTTATTACATCTGGATATGGACCTATTGGCGGCGTCGAGGTATTCCTGGACCCCTCGGAGTTCCTTTCCTCGGTAATACTTGGAATTTGCTTTCGCATGAAAATCCACCACCACTACAGCTTCAAAAATGGACAAAGGTAAGATTTTAAATTTATTTTCCAACTTTACATCTTTTTTACTTTCAGAAATATGGAAAGACTTACGGTTATACTGAATCGAGGAGAAAAATTATGGTGATCAGCGATCCAGAAATGGTTCAAGAATTGCTGGTCAAGAAATTTGACAATTTTCACGGCCGATTAGTGAGTTGAATTAATAATTTTGCAAGTCAAAGAAATTTTCTCAGCCGAATCCTCTTGCCGATGATCCAGACAAGGCGAAGCGGACCAACTTGTTCATGGCCCAAGGGATCAGATGGAAACGCCTAAGGGCCATCGCTAGCCCTTCTTTTTCGAACAACAACTTGAAAAAGGTATTTATATACTTCAAAAAAAAAAAAATACATGACTTACAGCTGAAAGATACCGTCGAAGACTGCGCTCTCGAGCTGATGGGACACATCGAAAAGAATGATAATGGAGAATCTTTGAACCTTTTGAAGTGAGAATTGCCTATTTCTCTTTGAAAAAGCTTCTCCGTTTCAGGTTTTACCAAGAATACACGATGGAAGTGATTGGTCGTGTCGCGATGGGTCAGACCGAGTCCAAAATGTTCAAGAATCCGATGATCGACGTGTTCCTGAGGATATTCAGCAACGACCGCTGGTTGATGGTTTTCCTGGCGACGTTGATTCCCGGATTCGTCGACTTGTTCCATTTCGCTCTGGAACATCTGCCGACATCGAATCCCTTCATGAAGCTTCTCTTCGACACGAACCAAGCGATCACTAAAAGGATGAAAGAGAGGGAAAGCGACGCGGCGAAAGGAATCGAGAATCAGGAGCCGACCGACTTCATCGATATGTTCCTGAATGCTCGGGCTGACACGGACTTCTTCAACGACAGCAGAGATTTCTCGAAAGAAAATATCAACTTTTCCAAGACCCTTACTACTGATGAAGTCGTCAGCCAGTGCATGGTTTTCCTGATCGCCGGCTTCGACACGACGGCGTTGTCTCTATCGTACACAAGTCATCTTTTGGCTACCCATCCTGAAATCATGAAAAAGGTTGGTTTGAAAAATTAAAAGAGGATTTACTCAAACGGTGATCGATGAAAAAACTACGATTGAATTACTGCCTGTCTTCATTATTTTTTTTCTGAAACTTTTGCTCTACTTCCTTATCTTTATTGATGATTTCAGGTCCAAAATGAGATCGACGAGTGTTGTCCAAATCCATCAGTCTCCTTTGACCAGCTCGCGCGGCTCAAGTACCTCGACTGCGTGATCAAAGAGACCCTCAGACTGTACCCTTTGGCCACGATCGGAAACAATAGAAAATGCATGAAGTCGACGACGCTCGGAGACATCTCCGTGGAGCAAGGAACCTACGTCTGGGTGGATGCGTGGTCCTTGCACCACGACCAGAAGGTCTGGGGCGACGACGCCGACGAGTTCGTGCCGGAGCGCTGGCTGGAGACCGACGTCGTCAGGAACAACGCCTGGATCCCGTTCGGCCATGGACCTCGACAGTGCATCGGCATGCGGCTGGCGCTCATGGAGGAGAAGCTTCTGCTCGTCCACTTGCTCAGAAAATACGACTTCTGCACTGGTCCCAGAAACCGAAATACCTTTGAACCTCGTCGGAAGAGCGACGACAGGGCCGGAAGCCGTCCACCTTTATCTTAAAATACGATAAATTTTCTTCAACGTGATAAGAATGTACATAAATCTCGATTATGAAATGATGTTTTAGCAAGGAAAAAAAGCTCTCAAAACAACCAAAAAGGGTTAATGATTATTTAGTGTAAAATGGATATTGAGCTTCTGAGGCTATTTTTTACTATTCACAGATTGCAAGCCAAGTTTATTCGATTCACAACTTTTTCAGAAAGACTGCATCAAAGCCAAATTATTTTTCCCGTTAGCCGGGTTGCCTCAAAAAAAAATTACCATAACCTTTTTTTTTTAGAAAGAGAGAAAAAGAAATTAGGTTTTTTTTCGTTTAAGAGAGTATATTGAAAATCACACCATGAAGTTAATGAGGCGAGAATTCAATATTTCTGCGCTTTCTACCGTAATGAACTTTTTAATAGTCTAACAAAATTTTCTACACTCTATGCACAATAAAAAGTACGATTCATAATATAACGGACCCGTCTTTTATAACTTATCTCATCGACCAAAAGGTTGTCTTCTCAAGTTTTGAGAAAGCGAGAATTTTTCTGCGCCGTACTCGTTCGAATAAATGTTTCTCGAATGTTGCGTCGGCGCTTCAAAATACTCATTTAAAAACAATAATGGGACTTTCTCAGCGTGTAAAAGAAGACCGAAATGAGATTGCACTGAACGTCGTAAAACCCGGTACGGAAGGGCTCCAAAAGAACACGTGCGAAATATCATCGCGCTGCTTTTTTGGCGCCATCGTCGAGGATTCAAACCTTTCCGTTCCCTTCATTTCAATCCAAACATGATCCACATCTTTGAAGCTTGATTTCAACTCTTTCTTTCCTCATTCCTCACAAGTTAAGACTGCCCTCGCGCCTATGCCAAGTTTCACACCTTTCAAACTTCAAGTTAGAAGATTTTTTTAAAGCTTTCGGAGAAAATAACACTTAAACTTTAAAAAAAAAAGAGGTTTAATACTTTGAGCAATTCTTCGAGCAATTCTTCTTGTAAAGCCTAGAGCCGCGAAAAAAAAAAACTGAAAAAAAAATGAAAACTTACTTGCTGTGGAAGGCAGTGTTAGGCGTGTTCATGCCCTGTTCTTGAGTTCTCCTAAAATCGCGGATTTTCTCGTCCTGCCTCTTTCTCCTGTAAACTTGGGATTTGAATCGTTCGACCTCTGTTCCTTGAAAGACAGATCTAAACACCTCCCGAAGATGCCTCGCGAAATCACTGGAATTGGAAGTCATCTAGCGCGGATCCGTGACCATATTTTCCCGAGACGTCGACAAGATCAGCCGGCACCAGTTCTCGAGTAAGTAACCGAATTGCAAGAAAATGAGAGTGAAAATGGCCCTTTTTAAAAATTCCAATTTTTTTAAATATGATCATTCGCCGAAAAAACATCCAATCGCAAAGAAAAAGTTGTGTTTATCATCAGGTTCACATTTTTTTTTCTGCCAAAAATACCAAATTGGATGAAATTTGACCCCTGCTCCGCTTCAAGACCGTTGTGTTTTGCTGTATTTTTTGCAGTTTTGTAGAGCAAAAAAGCAAAAAAAAAAACTGCGTTTACTGTAGCTTTTTCCTGCTTTAAAACGGGACTGTCTCGGGCAGACTGGACTGCATCAGGAGTCTTCAAAAGACCTTAATAATATAATTTATTTACAGGCAGAACGAAATAACATGTACAAAAAAAAGAAGGGAAGAATTGGCATAAAAGCCTGAAATAAATAAATAAAAGGAACTTCAAAGAGTTTTTACACTAATTCATAGAAAATTTCAGAATTCACCTGTTCAGAAAAAAATAACAGCTCGATAGCCGACGCTTGAAACCTTGCGACTTCCAGGCTTCCAATCGAAGCAGAAGAAGTTGAAGATGGCCCTCAGTCTCCATATAACAGCTTCGAGGCTCGAAAGGAGATGCACCTTGTCATCGACCGGAACAGCTACAAATTTCTCATCCTTCGCTGTTTGGTGCCGGGTGACCGTTACGTGAGGATGCACACCTTGCAGACCTTAATGAACTGTCGCAGGCTGGTCCGAAATGGGAGAGGACGACGAAGGAACGCCTGGGGGTGATCGTCCTCTGTCACAACGTCGCTATTCTCGTCGTCAAGGGCGCCGACGACGAAATTCAGTACTTCTTGCCGGCCGAGATCCGTCGCGGAGTCTACGATGTTTATAAATCTTTTTCGAGTCTTCGTCTGAATCTTCGAGTCTCGAATCTTCGAAAGCTATTGGTGAACAAGAAGGCGTTTAAAGGAAAAAAGCCTGCTCGCTTTTTGAAAGCCGTCTATCTTTTGAAATTCAAAGATTCAGACGTTAACTTCTTTTTTTCTTGAAAATAATCAAGAATAACCTTCAGCTTCGTATTTCGGAAGTGAAGCACATCACGGAAGTCACTCGCTTTCTGGCCCAGTTCCCATCCGTCCGCATTTTGAACGTCAAGAGTCCTGGTCTTTTTCATCTCATGGACCTTCTCTGCGTCATGAAAAAATGCGAATCGCTCAAGTAAGTCTTAAGGAGATTCCAGAGAGAAGAGTAGGAATATTCAAAAAAATTGAATGGAACAAAATAGGATTGATGAATAGCGAAATAGATAAGAAGAAGAAGATTATTAAGTTTTGTTTTTTTGATGAAAAAACGTGTTGAAAAAAATGGCATCTTTGATCAGAGTAGATTAAGTTTTGATGAAGTGAGTCGATTTTCAGTTCATTTTGTCGAAAACGAGGAATTTGGCTCAGAATATATGTACATATACTTTTTTTATGAGATATGATTTTATCAATGCAATTCATTCTGTTTTTTGGATAAGCTTTGTTTCAAAAAAATTTAATCTTTTTTTTATTATCCCAATTATGTCTCAGTGAAGTCTATTTTTTTATGTACCAAAAACTATCCAAATTGGAATACCAGTTAGGAAAACTGAACTCACGAACTTTTCACAATTTAAAGCGGTTTCAAATAAATCGTTGCTTCATTCCTTTCTGATTGTTTTTATTTTTCTGATTCCAGAGTGACGGGAGATTCGGTTCAAGTCAGCAAATTCGAATTTGCTCGCATAATTGAGCTGCAAAAAGCTGATAGTCGTCGGTTCGAAGATCTTCATGTCATTAATGCAACTATCAAATTCGATTTCTACGAGTTGCTCGGATTTATCATCGTTGAATTTCAAAGCAAGAAAAAAGAGGAATAATCAGATTACAGGATCTTTCTCGAATCGAGCACAATCAGAACGAAGAACTGGATGATCCTACAACGGTCTACGGGCTTTCGGTATTATATTTTTCTGACTTTTGAGAACAGCGTTTGTTTGAGACTTGGCTCGACGTCAATGACTACAACCCCATCAAGATCTCGTTCGACAGAGTTGCTTTGAACATGCAGCTACAGCTCAGCCAGCAGCTGGATCAGATGGTCCTCGAGCATACTTTGGATGCACGGCTTCTGTATCGCAACTCTCGGGCTGGGGTTGATAAGTACACGTTTCTGTCCGACAAGACTCTCTTTGTCATTGTCATCGACAGCAACTTGTAGTTGAAGAAAGTTTCTTCGTCCTGTTAATTGTTTGACTTCTTTTCTGGACATCTTTTTTCTGCTGTTTGATTGTTATTTTCCAATTTTTTATTCAAAATTTTTGAGTTGATGTTCCATTAAAGAATTACTCCCAGTCGCTTTTTTTAAACAGTCAAAATTACTTCTCAACGGCAAAAAAAGGATGAGAAAAAAAGCTTATATTGCATGCGTATTAAAAGAAATAACGATGAAAATCGAAAAAAAACTTCTACGCCGTTATCGCAAGATTTTTTCTCTCAATGTGGGAATTTTAGTTCTTTGGTAAAAATTTCAAATTTGTAGCTTTTCAACGCAAATTCTCAAGAAATGCCCTTTTGTCACCCTTTGATGCTTTTAAATGACTCACATTCTGCGCGCTGTCCTAAATATGATTTTTTTCGAGCTAAATTTTAAAAAAATTTTTATTTCATACTTCTACAGTCAAATTTGCAACATGATACTTCAAGTTCAAATATCACTTGAAAAGTTTAGCTTATCTCATACTGAGATGTGGTTTGGCTGGACCCAACTGTCGGCGATAACTTGCTTTGTACAGTACCGATCTGGTTTCTGTTGCCTCTTCCGCAGCCTAAAAAGGGAGTTGCATCTTTCGAAGTGAAGATTCACCCACTCAAAAGGGCTTCGCGGAAGTCGCGGATGAGAATAATTGCGACGAGAGGATCGAACGACGGATAAAGGGCCAGGTAGAAAGGCACAGAGTTGGCCAAAGCGCCGAGTTTGAACTCCAAAAACGGAAGGAGGAAAAGCGAGCCGACTGGTGTGTACATCGTGATGATGGGAATCGCAGTCTATAACTTTTCTGGTTTTCAAATATTATCCCTTCGAATAAATTTTTCGCGGCATGACCGCGACGCATTGAACAGTTTTAGTTCGCGGCGAATGAAGGACACTCGAGCGGATTCTCACCTGAACGATCAAGACGTAGAACAACTGTTTGTGAAGCTCCTTGGTTCTTTTGCTGAATCGAGCGTCGTCTGCAGAGATTTCAACGTGAATCCGGTAGCCGCAGAAGCCAATGACGCTCAGTGAAAAACCCTGAAAACAGAGCCGTCTTCAAAACTTTCGTCAATTTTCACCATGATGAGAATCAAGTTAACAATGCAAAGAATATCGTCCCAGTAAATGTGATAATTTCCCTCGGCATCCCGTTCCTGGAATCGAAGCTACTAGATTTGATTAGTTAATTGACTTACGTAATACAAGGCAGCAATGTAGGCAATCCGAGTCAAATCTTCCCCATACGACTCTTTAACGGCCTCTCTGAAGAAGATCAATTAAAAAAACGCTTGTCGTCTAATTTTTATAGAGAACCTGTTGAAATTGGTGATATTGGAGTTCGGCTCAAGCATATAGTACACGGCGACGTACCAGTTGGCGGCGAAGAAAAATGGGATCAAAATAGAAAAAATCAACTTTTTGCCATCAAAAAGGTACAGTAGGGTCGGTCTGCAAAATGCAGTTTTTGTGAGCCCAAAATGGCAAAAGACTTGCAAACAGCGATGTAGCGATATGTAAAATGCAAGGCCAACAGTAGGAGGCACATTCCGAAGCAAGCGCAGTACAAGGCTGAAAGATATAGATTTTTTTTTTGAAAAAGGGGAAAAAAGCTCAAAATATGTATACGTCGTTTTTTGTTGCTAATCTTGCCATTTCTTAAAACTGGCAATTTTTTCTTCAAGGGTCAGTGGTAGAACTATATATTTCCCTCTGAACGAACTTATCAGTATGGTTCCAATGGTCTTGTCGTATTGAAACCAGCTTCCAACCATCACGACGAAGCTCGCCTTGTAGCTGTGGTAAATCTGAACCGAATTCTTACAGGAAAAATTCAGGTTAGGCTACCGGCTGAGCGGAGATGCTGACAAAGGAATAGCCGATGCCGAAGCAGCAGAAGATGAGCATGATGTGTTTGTAGGCGCCAAACTGCTTGCGGGCCTTGGTCGCGATCAGATAGAGCAGCAGCGAGTTGGTGATCAGCGACATGACGAACCCCGCGTACTCGGCAACGTGCACCACCAGAGGAACCGCCATCTGAGAAGCCTCGATTAGAGCTTGAAAGCAGCAAAACAAGAAGTTTCAGATAGATGCGCCATTTTGTGAAGCTTTCACCAACTAGCCTATCGTTATACTCCCTTCGCCGAAATTTGGAACCCTTTGCCCAAGATCATAAATAAAATAGAGAAATTAATACAGAAAATATAGAGCTCGATGAGGAGAAAAAAGTGTAGACATTTCAGACTTTTTCATGTCGCGGTAAAAGTGTGTGATTTTTGATAAACCATTTTTCGCGACTAAAAAGTTGTTTTTATTCAAAAATACGAACTTTCGGGCCATCTACACTGCAGAGGAATCTCTTGAAGCCGCAATTAAAACAATGAACCTCGCAAAAAAAAAAATCATTTCGGTCTTTTTCAACTACGCTTAAACATTTCACACGGACTACGAAACGAAAAAAAAAACGTTCTATGTACTAGGTTATCTATTTGGCACGTTTTCAGGAAAGACAGAGGGCGGAAAATACAAAAAATCTCATGAAAAAGTACAAGTTCAGAATATCAAAGCGATTAAGGGAAATGGAGAATGGCTGTCGTTCTCAGCAACACGTGCTTATATAGGCTGAAAGGCATCCAGACTTCCTTAACTCAAAGAAAGCATTAACCTCAACAAAAGAATAATGGAAACGTTCAGGTTTATGTGGCACAAATGTAATAAAGCTTAGAAACATTAAATCTTACCTTCGTCTAAAGCGTGTTAATCATCATTCAGATTGAAAAGAAAGTGCATAAGTAAAAGAAAAAAGTGCGTTGTATCTTACAGTAAGTGTCGCACGTGGCTTCTTACTGGCTTAAGAACATTAAGGTGAGCTAAAGACGATAAGCTGACGCTTTTCCGAAAGCTTTAGTCATCCTTATCGCTAAACTTTAACAAATGATGAGATGAGTTATTGAAAACAAAAAAACAATAACTTTTAATAAAACACACTGACTGCATATTCGGAATCAACAAAAATTTGCAATTTTTTGAGCCCTTATTTTTCAACATAAACTCAAAATGAAGGTTTTTCTAGTTGTGCCGCCATTATTCCGATCCTAAAGGCTTCATTTTCAACTTCGTTTTGAATTGACTAAATATTCAAAAGACAGCAAATTTTACAAAGCAACATATAACTTTTCGTTATCCGAAAGTTCTAATAAAAAACTGTTTTAATAAAATTAAAGAGGCTATAATTTTTTTGTACTTTTTCAAATTTTTAGAATTCAAAAGTTAAGAACCAGGGAGCCACGCCTCCTTTTTTTTGCTGAAGTCATTATTTTCATCATTTTTCCATTATTGTTTTTCGATTGACGCAGCCGCGGAAGCATTTACCGGATTTAAATAGACGTTCTGTGTTATAATTACACATACGTAGATTCTTATTTTAACGTCTCAGTAAAATTGCACAAAAAACAGAAATTTCAGACCTTCTTATTTTTTTTTAGCGGCGATCGCTTTTTTAATTTTTGAAAATTTTTCTGAAGTTTGAATTGACTTTTAAAATTTCCTGTATATTCGATCCGGAGCTATCGGAAAATCCTGAGCCTATGATTTTTTTTTGTAAACATTCTGCTCAGTTCATTAACATCACTCTTGCCACGTTCCAAAAAACCCTTTGAAATGGTGATCATTCTCTAAAATTGCTATAAAGTGCAGATGAACTATTTTTCTTCTGAATACGCAACTTCAAAACGATCCCTGATGATCCTTATTTCCTGGAGATATGTTAGTTTTCCAACTTTCAAACTTTCTAGCACCTTCTGATAAACAAAATCTGCAAATCACTGTCATCCGGCAAGAAGACTCCAAAGAACCATCAAATTTGACGCTGCAGACAAACATCGGTTCCAATTATTAATCTAGCCCAATTAAGGCATACTATATCTCAGACGTCATCATTGGCTGATTAATGGCTCCGCCTGGAAACTCACTTGAAAAAAGGTCTCGAGGACTTTTTTGTGCGGATAGATGCCAAAGCCCCAAGGCGGTATTAAATGGTATACCATCGCTTTCCTGATCTACGGTATTCCTACTATATTTTTGACCGTCTGTTTGTTCATTCTGCTCTGTTTCCACAAAGCTTTCAAGAGCTCTTTTTACAGACTCGTCCAGATAAACTTCCTCGTGGTAAGCGGAACAAAGAAATGTGCCTGGGAAACTGTTTCAGAGTGTTGCTTGTTACGCCAACACCTGGTATTCGCTTCGGTTGCCACTTGAGAATGCTGGTTACAGTTTCATCCTCAGCATTGAAAGACATCTACCCGGAACTATGACATGGGCGCAGTTTCTGCTCGCTTGGTTTTTTCTTAGCTGGAGTTTCGAACTTCCGACGTCAAAACTTTTTTAGGTTCTTCCATATGCAAAACATAACGACATTCACGCTTTGCCTTCATCGACTCACTTCGACAATTTTCTCGAATTGTGCTGATAAAGTGAAAAAATGATGAAAGTTTTTCTTAAACTCTGAACATTTTAGTTCTGGAGACGCTACTATTTATTGTTTTTTGTGGGATCAGGACTTCTGAGCACATTGTTCATGAGTCCGTGGATTTTCGGAGAGCGTTTCCTACTCGTAAAAATATTGGACGGGAACTATGTGCAGAATCTCCATCCGGTGAGAAACTTCCCATTCAAGTCAATATGTTTCGGGCTCAGCAACAGTTCGAGCTTCTCACGCAGTACAACTTTCTCTGCGCTCTCTTATATTTTACGGTTATACCTTTGACTGCAGTATGGTCAAACATCCTGATATCAAGAAAAATGCGAGGTTATTTTCATATTTCTTGACTAATAAATATGCGAAGTTCAGCCGTCGGCTACACTGCAGCGGAGAGATATTCTCAAAAGCTGTCCCGCATAACTTTTGCCATTTCTTTGGTGCACTTTGGCAACTTTTCCTATACGGTTCTTTATTTTTCATTGAGAGTAATTAAAGTTTCCATTGAAGATAGAAGAAGGGATAGCGACAACTTTTGGAATTCGCTTGATTCCAGCTGATACGGTTGGAATTTTTGTTTCGTTTGCTTCTGATGCCGTGAGTTTACTAGAAATTGAATGAAACCAGTGAAGCAAAGTTAAGGTAACGCTGGCCTTGCCGTATATCCTGCTACTCTTCGATTCTAATCTAAGACAAGTTCTGCGCAGATCGGTTGCTGTCACACCGCATTTAGTGGTTATAACTTGAAATCCGGATACCATCATATCAAACGTCATAATGCAATTGTTAGGAATCTTTTCCGGAAACCTCAGGGATCGTAATAATAATTTAAACATCTTTTGCCCTTTGGATTACCCTATTTTTTATATAACTTCTCCTACATATATTTCTATGTATCCTCTTATTCTCATTTTCCACTGATATTCATTTACAGAATAAATTCATATAAGAACTTGAAAAAAAATGCAGTTTAAAAACTAAACTAAAAAAATTATTTCAACATTAAATTTCTCAAAAGCAAACCGATACAACCAAAAGATGTATCAAACTGATTTTTTCCTCATTTTCTGCATCAAAACACAAATAAGGCTATTCCGCCTGAAGTCGCCGCTGAAAGTTTGAAGCCTTTCAAGAATAAGAAAATGTCGTCGGACAGACTTCAACCCTCAGAGATACCAAATCACCTTCTGTTCGGTTCCGGTGGGCAGATTGCCATCTCCGGTCTAAAAGAAAAGAGTTTCTTCCGCGGTCACCGCTAATCCGCTAATTTGCACGAAATCTTCTGGTCCTTGTCAAACCTCTTCCGTTTGGCCTCCATCTAATCTCTCTTGTCAATCGCAGCCTTTTAAGGCATGCCGAAAATGTCGCCAAGTCTAGATAATAACTGGCTCGAGTTGGAGATGCTTGCCGTGATATAAGAGTGATAAAAGAGCATTGAGTCATTCATTAGTCTGTTGCTATAATAAGCTCATAACTTGAATTTCGACAGCTTCAGTCGGATAAGGAAGTAAGAGGCAGCGCTATTCCTGAGAGCTTTAATTTGGTTCTTCTTTGAAAAAAAAAAAAGTTATTTTGGCTCTATTTCCTCATCGCAAAAGCACACTGAGAATCGTTTTTCTTCAGGTGCAGCGGATACAGTGGGCTCAAATTATTCATCATGTTCGCTTAGATGAAAGAGCGAAAACTCTTATGAACACGTTTTTTTCTCTTCAAAAAGATGGCTCCTTCTTTGAAACCATCTGACTAGTCTCCACCTGCTTTTGCATCAATAAAGGCATCGAGTTTAGATGCCTTCACGTGTTTCTATGAGATCCCCCGCGAGCGAAAAGAGGGCGCAGACAGGTCAGACAGATTCACTTCGTGAGGTACAGAGTGAATGGCAAAATGCCCTAAAACATCTGGATTAGTCAAAATTTACGTTTCAATTTCCCTGCTGCAAAAGGACACTAATTGAACAGCTTACTATTATCAAATGGACGATTTTATCACTACTTGACATTTGATAAAACAAACTTTCCCAGTGGAAGTCTAACCAACACTGATCAGAGCTCATAAAAAAGAATGTTTCGATTAAGAAGAGAAATCTGCGAATGTTCATGATTCAAAATATATTTCGTCGATGGACAAGCCAGAATTATTTTCTCTGAAAAAAACGCCTCATGTATTTTTCAAAATTTCCGTATTTGTCTTCCTTCGGACCAAAATAAAACTGAATGCCGCTTCTACGGACACGCATTACGTACCAAACGATACAGTGTTTCTGGGATCTAAACAACGGCGAAAACGCCAGAAAATTAGCGAATTACCGGAGTAATTAGTGGTCCGCGCGCAGGTGCCGCGGCATCGGCGGATGTTCCTCCGCTGGAAGACCGACTGCCAATTACAGACCGTATAAGGACCGCTCATCGTCATCTTACACCTATCCCTTTTATCCGACCTCTCAACCTTCCGTCTCGCGCAAAAAGTCATGGCTACTTGATCGCTTTTTATTTCTTGACCATCACTTAATTTTTTTAAAAATTATATTTATTTAATATAACTCTCGGTGAACTTGATTTTCAACCTCTCAACCTGTCCCATTATAACCAATTCGCCACAAGACAGTTTTCCCTCATCTGATTATTGAGAGAGAAATTGTAAAATGAAGAGGGTACGGATAGGCCAAATTGTTTCGAGAGACGGCGAATGAACAAGTTCGATGAAAAAATAAATCTTAAAGTTTAATTTTCAAGTCATGATGCGATGAATGACTTATAAGAGCCGTTTACATAATCTATTCAAAAAAGGAAAATCGTTTCAGTAAACTACTCAAAGTCTCATACATCGCCTCTATGAATTCCGTAAAACTTCTCAATAACTTCAAATTACGATCGAAGTTTGAAAGAAAAAATGAAATAATGTTTAAAAAACTTGACCTTCTTTCAAAAATTATATCAAATAACCGAAAAAATATCTCCCTCTTCAATATGAACTTCTGCTCTTTTTTCAAGCTGTTTCAATTTTTTTGGGCAACAAATATGAAAAATGTGGCAAACTTCGGATTTTACGACTCTGTTGATTTTTAATTAGTTAATAACGGTTTGAAAACTCGTCTTATCTCTGAGGGTAAAGTCTCCACTTTTTACGGTTGGGACATAAAGTCGCTTAATGACAATAATCCCTATGAAAACCGGTTGTAAAACGGCGGACCACAATCGAATGTCTGTCAAAAATGAAGTTTTCTGCTCGAGCTTTAGCTTCTTTTTCCTATTATGATTGTTTTGGTGACCGATTTCTAGAGATAAAAAAAATCAGAAATAGAAGCGCTAGTAAAAATTCTTTTCATTTCTTTTTTCCTGGGAGAAAAATTTATATGCTGCTTCACTTTCTGACTTCGAAAAAATGCTTTATTCTCGTTTTCTTTCATATTTCAGTACTCCTTGTTCTTTTAAATATCCTGAATTTTCAGTTTTCTAATTGAAAATGATCTCAATTTCAGCTTTTGTTGCTTCAACGAAAAAAAAAACAGTTAAGCTAGCTCTCCTTTGACCGAATTATCATTGTGCCTATTTCTGGTATCATATTGAGGTGCGTTTTTATCGCGTCGACATGATTTATGACTGCTTTTTATGGAGCCTCAGAAGCCGTTTTGATTAGCCCTTGAAGCAGTCAAAGTCAGTTCGACAGTCTCCCGGCGTGTCTAGTTTGTTTCGCTTCTATTTTTGGGTTAAAAGTACAAAGTGCGACAAAAAAAAGAGGAAAAATATGGCCGACACCGTATCGTAATCCTCAAGATTAACTTATCTTTACGACTCCTAACTGTTCGTTTCAAACCCAAAGACTCACAGTTATGACTTATGATTAAATCTTATGATAAATTTTCATTTCTCAAGATGCTCTGAGCGTTTAAAAAATATGAAACCAATGACTTATTTCGATCAATATTTTTTATCATCGCTCAAAGTAACTCCAGCCAAGAACTTCTACAATTCTTCTTTATGCTGAGTTCAGAAGAAAATCCTTTCCTTTTTCCTTTTTTGAATCAACATTTTCTGTCTTTTTCAATTTTTTTTTTCAATAGTTAGATGCACCATTTTTCTATTACATACCGTATGCTTTTCATTGGAGATGTCGAAGACATCTACGCATCGTTCGACAAGGGAGATCATTCCTCTCGAAACTACAGAATTATCTGAAAAAAAAGTTTTGACATTTCCTGGTTGAAGTTTCAGAAATTTAAAGTTGTATTCGGAGAGCTTGCAAAAAAAAATAGATGGAAAGATTCCCCGTAATAAATCAGGCTTTTTACTCTAGCCAAGACATCTCTGAGCAATTTTGTCCAGACTCTTTTCGAGTAGATCACTCCAAACTTGGTCCGTTGACCCGAAGCGCGCCAAAACTTGCTTGATTAGCCCTGTAGTGTATACAGATGGGCTTAGTAATGAGAGCCGAGCAAGTGATAGTCCTCTTGAGCACTCTCCAATCCAGTGTCCTCTGTTTTGTCTTCGAGTATCAAAACCCTATACTTGAGAAAAAGAGAAACAAGTAACCGTTGGAGTATCTCAACTTCTCCCTATTTCTTTTCGATGTTGCGAAAAATTCACACCTCAAACAACTGAGCAGCAACCGCAGCTCTATAGACAGTGTAATTGTCTTTGAGCGGCCGCCTTTTTGAAGGATTCACAACTATTACTGGTGATGTTGAGACTGACTGAAAATCCAACCTTTTCCGTCAAAAAAAGCAATTTCCAGGCCCACCAGGTTCTTCGTCAACCGCGTCACATCCCAATCTTTGTCCTAAACTCTGAGGATTAGGAGGACAGGAAGCCGCGAATAATGGGATTTCGCCCACCTTTTTTCCAACATTATGCTATGTTTCTTGTAATCCGCACGAAGATATCGTTTTTTCAAGCTTTCATATACCTAAAAATTAAGCTTATCAATAAAAAAAAACAGGTGAATATATGCAAAAGCATCTTTTAAACTGAAAAAAAAGTCTAAGTTCTCGAAATTATTATAACAGGAAAAACGAGAGATTAAAATGAACTAAAAATAATTGGTCTTATCATTGAAAAAATTTATCATTTCGAACAATCTTAAAATAAATGCATAGCAAGAAATGAAAAAAAAAACGTGAACGTGATAAGAATTCTTATGCGCGTAATTCACAATGTTTTCCGTGCAAGAGAGGTGAGCTGTGTATCACAACTGAAACCTCGAATTCTACGCAAAACGTAATGAAGCTTTATACGTTTTTTTTAATTTTCAAACTTTTTGCTGGCGTTCAAAGTGGTTTCCGCAAAAAAAGATCATCAGAAAATGAAAAAAATATGAAGAAAAATTTCAAAATGTCAAAGGTAATTTTTTTAGTTTCGCGATATCGTTCTGAGCGCAGCATTTACTTTATTTTTTTTATAAGTTAATGTTTTTTTAAAATTTTTTTATTTCATTCACTATTCAAAGTGTATGTTAGAAGTTTTTCTTTTTTGTACTTTTACAGTATTGTGCTCTTTAAATTTCTGTCCACTGTCCACATATCAGCTTTTTCAATTGAATCATATAAATCTGAATTAAAATCTTAAAGTATAATTTTTTGGAGACTTTTTCTGCGTAGGAGTGGAATTAGTGTAGTAACATATTTTATGCGCTCAGAGCGATTCTTCAACTTCACCGAACGGAGAGTTTACTAGATGGAATCGAAAATCATTCCTATTCTGAAACCGATAATTTTTGAGCGTTACGGCCTCGACCTCTTTATTTTTGATAGTTAAGAGAAGCAGAGAGCTCAGGAAATATTAAAACAATTTGTTTTTTGACTTTTCTGGATGTTTTTTATAACTTGCGGAAAGTTTGCCCACCTATCGTACCGACGACATTGGCCAACAAAAGTCGCATTCCAGGTGTCGATTCAAATTATTCGCTTTCTGCGCCACTTGCTAATACGATTAACGTTTATTTTTATGGACACGCCTTTTCCGTCCGTCGCAAGCTTTGACGGTCCTCACTAAATCTTCTGAATTTTATGGGGAATTTTGCCTCGTTTCGTGCCTCTTCCGATTTTGCTCTACTTGCATTGATCCCTTCTAATGGGATTTCATTTTTTTCAAAAAAATTTATAATTTTTTTTCGAGTTTTGAAAACTTGGTATTCAATTCATCACTTTAATTTTAACTCATTTTCATTAGGATGTACATATTATTTTTAACTTTTGCGACCTCTTTATGAAATGGTTATATTTTTGAGGTAACAATTTTTTTTCTACGTTTGGTTAACAAATTTTTTTGAGCAAATAATGTTAATTTTCTTGAATTTTTGAACACACTTGGACGCCAGTTGAAGTCGGTTTAATTTTTGCTTATGGGTTTCGTCTAACATCTCCATTCTTAAATTTATTAAAAAGGAAAATAAGGACTGCGAACTTCTGTTGATCTTTTTATCCGCGTCAAACCAATCCACACCTTTGATCAAATTTTATTCATTCAATTTTTCGCAACATTCAAATTCAACACAACGCGTTGCGCATAGGATATTTTAATTTGATTTGGTTCGATTTCGTCGAAATTCCGCCGGAACTGCATTTTTGGAATGATTCGCGATGTGATTGGCCCCGACCGTAAAGACCTCGTGATAATTAACGGTGTTTGGTTTTTCAACTGCCAACGAGCTTTTTTAAACTGAATTTTTTTGCTAGTAGCCCAATATACTTCATAGAGATTTTCAGTAATGGCAACTTCTGATGAGTTTATCTAGTTTCGTAGCTTCTTAACGATTCGATTTTTTTATAAGTTAGTTTTTTTCTTTCTGGTCGGTCTGCCGTGAGGTAGAATCAGCTCCAAACAATGTCCTGTTTATTCATCGAGGACTGCACCCTTTCGGCTCCTATTACCTGAAGGGACCGCGCAGCTGTCTGCCGTCAGATTTTCTGTCGTTTAACGGTTTCTTTTATATCCTATTTCTGCCCTTTCACACGAAATTCAGTTCTTACCTGGTCTCTCACTTTCGTAATTTGTGCTTCTGCAAAGCTGAAATTTTTTTAATTTTCGCCCATCCGAGTTTTTAGAATTTTATCCTAATTTTAATCGTTCTACGAAAATTTTTTCTTCTGATTTTCTTCTGAACTTCTGGTGAGACGAAAAATACCGTTCTTAGCGTTTTTTTATGATTTAAGTTTTTTTCATAAATCTATTTTTCTTTAGGAAAACCTGAACAACGTTTCTTTTCACCTGAGCCAAAACTTATCTTCGGCGAGTTTGATGCGTTTCTTTTTGGATTTCTATAAAAAAGACTCACCGTCATGTGACGCTACCTTTTTTTTCTGAAAGAAGCGGAAAAACAAAGTCTGGAAAAATGTATTTTTTTATTTTTTTTGTATTCTCGCTTTGTATTCACTAAATACAAATCCGAAGAGTTGTACTGCTGTACGACTACAAATTTTGCTGTTTTTTGTAGTATTTCCCACGTAAGCTGCACCTGATATGGACTTGTCATACTTCTCAGAAGAACCAGAACATTCTCCTGCTAAGCCCAGAAAAAACAGACTTTAGCATTTAATATCGATTAACCCACTACCTACTATCATCTCCAAATTCGGGTCCATAAAAATGGTGTCCAATCAGGTCAATAAAAACACTCATTAAACGAGTGGGGGAGCATTAAAAGAGCTCCGGAGCCAATATCAAACTGGAAAGGTACCGACGGGCAGTATAATCATTAAACCGGAGGCCACCGTCATAAACCATTTGACGAGTTGCAGGAGCCTTTATGGCCAACTGACTCGGCAGTTATTCCGCGCAAACTTGGCGAATTGCTCTCCGGCCACGTGAGCCCAAACTCTCAGTTAACTCTTGGCATCAGTTTTTCCCAATACCGAAAGAAAATGATGGTATAGCGGGAATTTTTAGATTCTAATCAAACTAGTAGAAAATTAGATTTTATCTATGAGGCCAAACATTCTTACTCGAGAGAGAAAAGAACAGAAAAAATCTGGGTTATTTTCCTTGAAGTCACGGAAAAATTATTTTTTTGCTTTTTTTTTAGGATGGTCCGTTTTTTTTTTACTGCACCTGTGTTATCAGAATTAATCAATTTTCCTTTCATATTCCATTACACAGTTTGAAAGAAAAAAATTTTATCTTGATAACTTCAAGATTAAGTTAAGTTGAGTGAGGCATTACTTGCGCAAAATTATTCATATTTGTCGAAAAAAGCTCACCCTCAGATCAAACGGAACTTTTGAGGTGATTTCCTTCCGAAGTCTTTCACAGTGAAACTGTTTGCGGTGGTGACGCCACACGTCCTGAGATTAGTAAGTCGAGAAGTGAGCAGAGCCTCTCGGCACGTCCTTTTGACGTCGGAATCTTGCGCAACCAACTCAAAACCTTGTGCCGACGGCCGCTAATCGTTACAAAGTTGAGAGGTTGTAAAACTATCAGCGGTACGTGTGTTGCGTCCAAAAGGTTGCGCAAATGCCTGAGTGACGGCTCCGGTCATCGGCCGGTTTTGACCTTTGTGTTGGAATAGCTTTGTGTAAAACTTCCAGTTATAGGCTTGAAAGTGTAAAAATTATTCGCAAAGCTGAAAAAATCTGAAAGTCCTTGCTAATTTTATCAATAAATTCAGCGTTTTTTGTTTCTGATGGTCTTCTGCGAGGTTTCGGGTCACTAAAACGCATTTTTAACTTTCTGCAAAAGCTGAGATTTTTAAGCAAAAACGCCTGATAGGAAAAATGCCCAAAAATATTGAAAAGAATATTCATTATTAGTAGCTTTGATCTATCTACTTATTCTGTGGAAGATCTTGATTGAGAGCCATTTTCGCATTACTTTCCAAATTTTTTAGTGGAATCCAATATGATTTCTATTACTTCTATCATAAAAATTGTTGAGCTTATTTTTTATAAATTTTTTTGAGCGTTTCAGGTATCAATTCAATATATTCCGAATTAGAACTGATGGAGTATGAAGTTGTGTCTTATGTCAAAGCCTAAAAAAAAAACGAAGCTGGTTATGTTATTTACTCAATAATGTTTTTCTCCTAATTTACCCCATCGAAGATGCTTTTCATATCTTTCCTGCGGGCGATTTTTTCAAGCTCTCGTTCTTCTCAACAGCCATCGAGCTTAAAACGCTTGAGCAATGAGTCTCGTAAAAAGGCGCGTGAAATGCTTGGTGGTCGTGGGGCGGTTTTAATGTAGAACATTCTTCAAAAATGTTCGCCCAGTCCATCAAAACGATTCACATATGTATTTCTAATAAATCTGCGAATATATTGCGATGGGACAACAGTCGTTTTGAATGCAATTTACGTGCTTTATTTGACTCGAATTCGTAAATTTCTTCTTGTTTGGGATTTTTCGCTTGATTTATGAGTAGAAATAGGATCTCGAAATGTCTGAAGAAAAGTCTGAGAAGGGCTTGAGAATTATTGCCTTGTAATATTTTTTTGAAATAACTAAAAAGTTTCATTGAGAGAATTTACAGCGCTATTTAGAAAGTAACCGCTGAAAAAGTCAATGAACGCTACTGTGGGATAAGACGAAAGCTTGCGAAAAAACCTTAAAAGCGAAAATTTTCATTTTGATAAAGTAGAAAAGTTGGTAGACATTGGAAAGACGTTATTTAAATATTATTCATGCCTGACCCTTTACCACATGTTCGCTTCTGCCTAGTTACATGAAAAGTTCCATCTCCGTTGAAAAAAAAACACTTGCGAAATCATATTTAATCGGTTTTTCAGCGGCCCATTCATGACTATAAATGCAAATTTTTAACAATAAAAAGAACTGAATATTTTTCGTATGATATGCGTTGATTTGGACGGAAATTATAACTGCAATAGAAAATTTTAAAAAACTAAAAAAGCCTGAGTTGTTGAAATTTTTCTGAATAAATATGCTTTTCTGATTGATCATTTTGGAGTGATCTGGTAAATTTCCTTTTAGTAAGACTCGAAAGGTTTTTTCCGCCCATTCAAATTACTTTCTGATATTCAAGGATAACTGGACAATGAAATAGACCCTTAGACTCCGCCTCCACCCATCGAACTGTCACTTATGGCGTCTGACCTGCCGCCGTCACTTGGAGCTCAGATCTCAGCGCCAAAAGTGTCGACCGAAAAGGCCAGATTCTCTTTTTTGTTGGCCTTTCTCTGAGTTTTTTTTTTCTCGATCCCGTGCCTTTCTCACACCTTCTTCTTACTTTTCTCACCTTTTTTCTCCTTTCCGACACATTTTGTTTCGTTTGATAAGTCGCCGATCGTCGTCTTCTGTGAGAAATCTTTAGTTTGGGTTTTTCTTTCCTTCCCAAAAATTTTCATTCGAAAATCTTTTGAGTTCAGTTGCGTATATTTTTTGATAAAATATATTATTCTTCTATAAAAAATTCCTAGTATTATTTTGATTGACCTTGGCTAAAACTTAATCGATTCAAATAAGGGAATCAGTAGCGATTGTAAATACCCTGTCAAATTTCCGTTTTTGTAAGGTATTGTGTGTCTCGCTATCCTGAATAGTACGAGGATTTCTTCTAGAAGATCTAGAAGAAATGTGACCTCAGCCTGTCGAATCGGATATAAAACTGGTCTGGGCGAGCATTTTAGGGCTCATTTCGAGGCTTGGAAATGGTCGGCGAGGCTCCGCCCACACTCCGAACCATCAACCATCACGGAGACCCACTCTAATCTTTATTTGGTTCTCTGTTGCCTCCACTCATCCCACGCTGCCTCGTCTTTCGATTTACTGCAGATAAACATTATGGCCTCCGCTCTTTTTGCTATTTTACCATCTTTTAGCCATCTCATGCTATGCGAAGAAATTTTACCATCGTGTTAAATTTGTTCTTCAAATCTTTCAGCTCAGTTTTTCAATTTTTTCAACAAATCTTTTTTTCAATTTTTTCTTCTCAATGCATAATGCCGGTTCTTCTCATTTTTTTCACCATTTTGAATAATATTTAAATTGATTTATTTTCAGCAGCAAAAGATTACGATCCGCAGGAGATTCTTCGCAGACTTTAAGGTGAATTTTTTCAGTTTTTGTTTTTTGCTTAACAATTGAATTGTGAGTTTTGTTTCTCATGTATCCTATATTATATTTGCGTGCTTGAAAATAGGATTTTTGTACTGGACGATCTCCGAGTTTTTTTCTTCACCATTTCACAACCTCCAACACCGTTTATCGGCCATTAGCCGTCGCGCCGTGCAAAGTGTCTTCCATTAAACCCTAAAACGGCAACATTCCAACTGCGGCCAAGGCGCTTTTTGCCCCGTTGAAACGGATTTTTCAACTTTTAAACCTACCTAGTTAAATATATTATGAAAAAAGAGAGAGATGAACAAACGTTTTATACAAAAGCATGAACGTTTTGGTCCGTTTTTTTCATATTGAGAGCAGATAAATAACTGTTTCCATTGAGACCTGCAAATCCTCTCAGGAAAAAAAGTTTTGAAAATTGTCTCCAAAGCTTACACAGTTATGAACGTGTATAACACTTTCTGAAACTTCAAAAATCTCTGATTTTCTGGTAAGAAAAAGACATCAACATTAAGAAAGTATGCTTTTTTCGAAAGTTTTCTTTGTGCATGTAATCATACAGATTGTATTCTGTTATAATTTTTTTCCAGAGTGTCGTATGTACATTAAAAGCGGAAAAAGCTTGGAAAAAAAAAATTTCAAAGCTCTTCTTTTTCTTGAAGCTTATAGAGCCGTGGGTGTCACGATTCTTCACAAATTTCAAAACTCCGGAGCACGAGAGAATCCTTGGAAAGATGAACAGTCAGAGCTTGTCTCAAATCTCTCTGTCTCTCTGTACTTTTTTCTTTCGGATTTCGCTTTTTATTCCACTTAAAAAGGACCGAGAAGCAGATTTCGGTCTCTGTGGACGCTTTCTTGTTGCTTCTTGGCTCGAGACCGAGAAGTAGCCGAAGAATAGAAGAAGAAATAGAAGAAGACGTGCGACGGCGCCGGTCATTCGCCCCAAAAGTCGTAATGAGGAGCGGAGCTCTCGCCATTCCGTCGCCACAAAGACTCACAGTTATGAGCCTTTTCAATGTGCTCAATAAAATTTGACTGTCCGTGTGCCTCGTCTTCTCCTTCTCCTTTCCTTCTCCGCCAAGCCATTCCACCATGTCGTTAAGAGTTTAGGACCCTTTAGGCTTGTGATCTTCTTCTTCACAAAACACGCTCGTCTGGCATTCTTGTTTCAATTTTACGGCTGTATAGGTTTTCTCCGGGGCTCCTGGTAGTTTTCTTTTTGTTTAAATTATTTTTAAAGCCTGATTTTTGATTTCGTACTGCTCGAAAGTCTTTTCGTTTGTTGAGGTCGATTTTTTAATCTAGCAAAAGTGTTATCGGATTTTTTTACTAATAAAAATCGAGGATTAAGGAAGTCATTCATATTTTTCTCATTTTCTTTCTCATTTTCCACACTGAAGTAAACTTATGATTATATATTAATTTCATAATTTTATAATTTGGGTTTTAATATTTTGAAAAATGATCGATAGTTTCATTCCAGAAGTTAGAGAAAATTCGCTTTCCGGACCGCCCATATGGCCTTTTCAGAAATGCACTCAGGCTCCGCCTCTCTTTCTGGACAGCCACCTGTTCACACCTCACCTCCTTTCTCCCTTTAACGGCTGAGATCGAGCTCCTGAGCAAAATCTCCCGATTCTGAAGCTTCATCTTCAAACCTTGTGTCTTGTCTTGAGCTTCTGACTTTATCTCTCCATTCTCAATAGTGAGTTTTACAAAGATTTCTTTAATTGTTCAATCTTCTGAAGTTTACTAGTTCTCTGCAGAACTTTGCATATTTTGGTGTAATGAGAGAAAGCTGTTTTCCATTTTACCTGGAAATACAGACTTTCTTACGGTCAAAAAAAACTTATAAGACATATTGAAATAAGCTTTGGTATAGCTTTATTATAACTTTGTTTGAACTTGAGAGGAGAAAATAAAGGCGGAGTTCACTTGTCTGTGTACGGCTCTGATCTTATGATGAAAATGACAGAACGGAACACTAATTATGATAATGGATAATGCCTCATCGGAGCAACAGTGAAGATGCGACTAATGAGGACGAATCCGTAGATATCTGGATAAAGACTTTCCAACCTTTATGAAGCCGCCTTCATTAGCTTTGACTTAAGGGTGTTCATTAAATACGAAACAATAGGTTTAACAGTAAGCCTTATCTCTTGATAACGATGTAACTCATTACAGGGGATCCTTTTGGAACACACCTTCGTTAGTCCTTACATATGTGACCGTAAGTCAAATATAATGATCTTTCCGGAATTAAGGATCACACCATAATGACCTCTCCATTGCAAATCTGGAAAATCCTCAAATCATATCTTCAGACAGACTTTGCGCGAGTCGCTCTTCTTTTATTTTTTTCGGCTTACATAAAATGCTTTTGACTTCTTCGAAAACTTAACTTCAGAAGTTATATGCATCAAGACTAGACTAAAGTATTAATTTTGAAAATTTTTTACGTTTACCTCAATATTTCATCCTCAGAACGACTTACCCACTTTTAAAGGTGCTGTATAAGGATCAAAATTGTTGAATAAGGTTCATGTTCTGAAAAAAAGCACAAGATGGTAGAAAAGCCCTCGATATTGTTATCAGTCGTTCCGTTGGCGCAACTCTTATGAGCCTCGGCGAGCTCTCAAACGGAGCCTTTTCTCAAGCCTCCAACACTCTTAGAACTGCTCCAATAAAGTGCCCACAACCCTCTTTTCTCCATCTTTCATTAACTGTTTTTTGGCTCTCCAACTGTGGAAGCTCACAGTTACCTTTGCATGATCCATAGAAGGTGGCTCGTTAAAAAATGATCTTCTTTTGAGCAAACATTCGGCAAAGTTGAAAAACACCACCATTAACCATTTATTATTAGTTTGATGGCCGTGTTGTTAACTTTCTTTTTCGATTACTTTTTTTTCTTTTCAGCATACAGAACAGAACTTGGCTTTTGGCGGTTTTTTTAGACGGTTGAGTTGTGAAGATTTTTTTTGTTCCCTCTTTCTGTTTATAAAAAAGTCCTTATTTTTTGTGTGATTTCCTCACTTATAATTGAAATAAATGATATCTTAATTTTTTTGAAAATTGTTCACGGTCATTACATCGAAGTAATGTCATATTTTCAGCTTCAACTAGGACTGTTGCAAAAAAGACCAAAGATGGTTTTATTTATTTCCATAATACTGTTGAGTTTTCGAGATTTGTTCTATTTGTAAGCCCTCTGACCAGAAAATCTTTTGCTATATTTAATATTTTTCAAGCTTTTTTTCTCATTTTTATTTTGAAAAAAAACTTTATTCGAATTGTCCTCCTCCGACGAGGCATCGTGCCCTCCACTGCCAGAACCAATAATCATAATCATTAAATCGACGGCCGCCTCGCCAGCGTGAGTCGGTTTTAACGGGGAGCCATAGAAAACAAATACTCATTTATGGGACACTTTGGGCCTTTCGCCTTCATGAACCCATCAAATCGTAGGACTCTCCTGCACATGTCCCTGTCCAGATCTTCGTCTTTTGCAATTCCATCACAAAAATCTTCCTCGCAGAAATTCTTGGAACGATTTTGCGTTGAAAAGGCGATACAAAATTTAAAACTAAGGACAATGTCTTTCTCCCATCCATAATATTGATTAGTACAAAAGTGAAAATTGGTTTCGATAGGCTATTTATCAATTTAGGAATAAAACAAAAATTTCGCATTCTTTCTCACGATAATTTGCAATCACATCTGAGTTTTTATTTTATAATAAAAACTGATTGTAGTCGTTTTCGCACTTTTCGGAAATGTTATGACCCATCAGCTACATGACTCATATTATATGAATCATGTCATTTTTTGAAATGCCACGGGATATCGTATATTTTTTTCGAGGCTGAAAACTTACTTCATGAAAAATTGCGAAAACAGGCAGTTTTTCGGGAAAAAAACTTAGATTTAGCTTTCAATTTTTCCAAATTTCTTCTGCCTTTCAAGTTTAAAATTTCACCAAAGGGGATTTTTTATTGTTTTTTCTGATTTTTCACTCATTAGAGAATACTTTTACTTGCCTGGATAATATTTCTGTTCTAGTATTTGTTATAGTTTCGCTACCAATTATTTTGATAAAATACTCGAGGCGCAAATATTTATCAAAGAGCTGGACAAAATAGGTTTACGGTAGTGCGGATAATCGCTTGGGGATCTACGAAGACTCGTGTTTGCCTCGAGAGTCGGTTAGTTCCGGTAAAACTTTGGGCAGGTGTTTGACGGAGTATTGCCTTTAATGCAAATAGATTTTCTCAGAGAATATGTAAAGTTGAAAATGAAGTGTTCGAGGAAAAAACGGATGAGGATGTCTTGAAAAAAATCAGACAAGAAAATAATTGAAATCGCAAGGTTTTGTATGTTTGGAGCATTCCCGTGCGCACACAATCTTTCAATTTCAAAGATGAAACATTTAATTAGACAGAAAAACTGAAATTTCCACCAGCTCAATGTAGCAATGTGAAAATATTTCGAGAAACTCGAAAACACCTGATAAATCTTCTTCAATTATTTAACTTGATCCTTTTTGTCACCTCGTTGTTTTACTCCGAAACGAATCAATTAGAATTAACACCTAACTAATTGGAGGTCGCACTTGAAAAGTGCCAAATTGACGAAAGTGATCCCTCGAGTGCCAAGTCACGTATTGTCGCCATCTGGGATTTGGTCGGCCCTCATTGGGATTATCTAATCTTTTTTCTGTTCTGCGAATGTTAGGATCATCATCATCCCTTTTATTTGATTCCTACAGAAAATGTCATTGAAATGACAGAAGTCTGAAGAGAAGGAAGCTTAGCTTCTTGGAATTTTCGATGAAGAGATCGAGTTGAGCTTGAAAATAAAGTTTTTGGCAAAGCTCAAGTATACTTTTCTCAATTTATGAAAGCTTTTAGGAAACGAGAGAACCGATTAAAGTTGGAAGAAGCTTATAAAAAGTTATTATCGAAGGATTCAATTTGTTAAAAAGTTTTCAACACCAGATTGCCTTGAAGTTTCTTCAAATTAAAATTTAAGAGTGGAAAATCCAGAATTTCCAGTAGAGAAGGAACAACTTTCACGAACATCATTTTGGCTACCGCAACTCTGCAGTGAATTGTAAACTACAGTAATCATTAGAGAGCCAAAATTAGTTTCCTCCTTTAAAAAAAGTGCACCAATTTTTAAGACTTGTAGTCGTTTTTACAGTCTTCTACTCACTTAATTTTTGACCTAGATTTTTTTTTCGAAAAGTTTAGGATTTTTTTTTCAACTTTTTTCGAGACGATTTTGGCTCAAGAAAAAGTCTTAATGACCTATCCTATCCCACGTTGAGATCCATGTCGCGATGTTTGAGGAGTTGTCAAAGGAGCGAAATTGCTCGACGACTATTAGGCCAACAATCGAGCCGAAGTCATTATGCGTGGACCAAGCTCGAGGAGGCGTGAGCACAATTCGCCCACCACCGGCGGATTTATTCATCAGACCGGTGTCAAATGAGAGCTCCCCTGGTGGACTTTTCGCCGTGGACCTGCTCATATTTCTTCCCGGCAGCTCCGCCTATCTTCCACTTGCTGTCGCTACCTGCAACACTTACCTGCCGCTCTTCCTTTTTTCAAACTTCTTTCTTATCTTAATATCTCGAATGCTCATTGCCAGTACTGTAGTCGGCTGCTTCCAAAGACTTTTCAATTAATTAATTAATTGAGAGATTGATTACAGTAGGAAGAAAAATGAGGAAAGAGATTAGCTTTTTACTTCGTGAACTGGTTGAACACTGTGAAAGATTTTGCTAAATGGAAATTAACTTTCTCTTTATTTTGACATTCTAGCCCATTTGTTTTTTTAATTGCAATGACTTTTAACAATGGTAATCATTGTCGATCACTTCTCTCAAGTTAGCCAGTTGTTTTTAAATAGAATTTTTTTTCTTGGTTTTTCTACATGAAAATGTATCAATAGTTTGAAATTGGGAAAAGAAAAACTCAAATAGAAGATAACTTTTCACGACTTGTATTTCGTTAATATGTTTCAACTTCTTTTTTATTCATCTATTTTTGCGTTTATAAACATGAATCTTTGTTTTCTGGTAACACGAGTAGCGACGTAAACGCTCATAAACCGAAAATTTTCATGAATTCGTTTCAGCAGCGAGAATCTGTCCTCTCAAACTTTTTCTTTCCTTCCTTTTTTTTCGATTTTCTTTCTCTCTTTTTTCAAAAAGAAATTCAACAAAACCACTGACTATTTTCTACAAAAATTTGCTACTAAACCAAAAAATGCGTTTACTTGTTTGAAGCTCCAAAATGACTTCCTTTTTCTTGCCGCTGGTGACATGCAGCCAAACGACTTTTAATGGATCGTTAAAGCGGGAATTTCAAATTTTTTCGTGTTCCTTGTAAACTAACCGCAAAAAAAGGAAGAAAAAGTTCGGATCGTTAAATTGAGTGGAATTTCAGATGAACGCGTCCGCCTCGACGTCCTTGCCCCCAAAGGCTTGTGCCACACTGATGAGCCTTCCTGGAGAACTTCTCGCCGTCATCGACTCGTTCCTTCCCTGCGAGGACTCTCACAACTTCAAGGTATGTCTTCGGCTTCTTAAAAGGCTACTAAGATCATCAAAAGATGCGGAGGCGTAGTTTTGCTTGAACTGAACTCATAAATTAGACTGAGCTCTTCGGATTCGAGCCGTTTTTAAATGATTTTTCGGTCATTCTATCTTCTTCAAAAATTTCTTCTTTTTCAAACGGCAGTATTTTTTTTTGCGGAAGCTCGAAACTTTTCTTTTGATCTTCATGAACTCCGTGAAGGCTTTAATACATGATTCAAGTCAATTGACAAAAGTGATGAAAGGTTTTTTTCGGGATCAACTTTTGTTCCAAAAAGTGCTCTTGAGCCTCAGACTTGTCTCAAATCATGTGATAACAGTTTTTTTTTCTTCGGAAACTTTCAAGGGCTTAGCCCATCGTCCCCCACAGTTTAGTTTCGACGTCGGCTTATCCGGTTTTGTCACAATGCAATTCGCTCTAATCCTGTATTCAAAGGGGGTTTTTCGATTTAACGTGTCTGAAAACTTTGAAAAGAATATAATAACAAAAGTCGAGAAAAATCCTGCGAAGCCATGGTGAAGATCTCTTACTTGGCAATACTGTAGCGCTTCCGAATCAGAAAACTCTAATTACACCTCTAATTAAAGTGGAATGCCAAAAGAGAAAAAAAAACTCGCAGCAACAGGTACGGTAATTAGTCGAGAGCGACGCTGACAATTGACTGGCAGGTTGCCAAATATTGATTGACAGCCGTGACAGCGCCTGCCCTGGGGTCTTACAACGAATGAGAAAACTTTAGCCTGAGAAACCAACAGTTCGATGGATGTTTTGTTTTTCAGATGACCGCGGAAAGGATCAGCCTCGCCCTCCGGAACAACTTCCAGCTCTTCGACAAGATGAATGTGAGTGACGTGAGACTGTGAAATGAAGCAAGAACTGAGAATTTCGTTGATCTGCCTGAAAAACGCGATCTTTTTGCAGCTGAGCGACGATCCAGCCGAGTGTCGGATGATTGACTCGCGTGGCCGAGCGCCGTCTCGGCCTTTCTGTGCTCAAAACGCGGCGCGAATCATCTCGATCATGCCCAACCTGGAGGAGATCACCGTCATCATGAAGGACGTCTCTATCAACAGAAATCCGCATCTTCCCGTCTACAGTCTTGCAGGTACATCGGCCACCCTGAGAATTATTGAGAAACAAACGTCTTTCCGTTCACTTTCACAAAGAAAAACTCACAATTGTTTCAAAAAACAAAATCGATTCTCATCTGTACGAACTCTATATTTGGCGAATTGAAATGAAAACTTGATGTAAATTTTTTTTTTGGACCGCTTCCATTTTTTCTGATTCTTGAAGAAAAAAAAAATGATGTTTACCTGATCGTTTTCATGAAACTGTTGAAATCACAATTTTTTCTCATTTTTAAATTTTTCCAGACTGCACGCCGTACACGCCCGGAGGCTATCTTCTCCATCTTCTGGGCTCAATTCCGCCGGCTCAATTGTCCCTCCGACAGCTCTCCCTTCACGTCGACGTCATGATCGAAACACTCAATGTTAGTTTCTTCTGAAAATTTTAGTTCTAAAAAATTATTTACGAGTTTTCTAAACTATTCTGTATCTAAATTTTGTATTCTACAAACAAAAAAGCTAAAATCAGTCTTGAATTTCAGGACGCCGTCATTTTCTGCCCTTACGAGGACTTGAAATTCGCCCTTGATCACCTGACCAACGCCAACTTCAACACTTTTGTTCAGGTTTCTCTCCCCAATCTGAACTCCGAAACATATTCCCGTTTCAGATCTCAGTCTGCTGTGCCCAATTCAAGGCTTCAGATGAAAATGCGCGGAATCTTCTCATTGCCGGAATGCAACATATTCTCAAGGTACTTTTTGTTTGAAAAACATTTGGCGAACTTTTAAAAGGAAAAAGCTAGCCTATAATTGAAATTTTGCAGCACACCGATGCCATGGGCGCCAAAACGGACTTTGTAGCGGAGCCTTGCGAAGGTACGTTCTATTCAAATGAAATCCGATATGAACTGTTATGACCGATTCCAAGACAAATTCACATCGAATCATTTTTTCTTGTCTTAACTTAGACGTTTTTTGTTTTGTGAAAAAATATGATTTACTGATAAATTCAACACGGATCTCAGCAAACAGGACAGAAAGACCTCCAATTTTTTGGCCGATACTTTTCCGAACCGGGATTTTCCGAATCGAAATCCGAACCGATACTTTTCCGAACCGTACTTTTCCGAATCGGGTGTATACTTTTCGGAACCCAAATTTATTATGCTTTTCCGAATCGTAATTCAATTAATTCTTTAGGTGGTACCGTCATTTTCAATCCGATTCCTTATAATTTTTTTCCCAGAGTGCAGCCTTCCGTCTGACCATTTTCGAAACTCGAATAGGATTCATTTATCCTCGAGTGCTCTTTCAGAAACTTTTTTTCTTGGTTCTTTCGATTTCAGAACGGACTGTGGCAACGCCAATGCCAACGGTCCGCTCTGAAGTTGACTGGCCCGTTTTCGTCTTAGAAATTTGAACTTGGAAAACAGTTTCAAGATTCGAAATTTCGGTGTGCAGGAAGGACTTTAAATCCGCAAGTGCTCTTCAGAGCTGACCGTTGGCATTGGCGATGCCACAGTCCGTTCTGAAATCGAAAGAACCAAGAAAAAAAGTTTCTGAAAGAGCACTCGAGGAAAAATGAATCCTATTCGAGTTTCGAAAATGGTCAGACGGAAGGCTGCACTCTGGGAAAAAAATTATAAGGAATCGGATTGAAAATGACGGTACCACCTAAAGAATTAATTGAATTACGATTCGGAAAAGCATAATAAATTTGGGTTCGGAAAAGTACACAACCGATTCGGAAGAGTACGATTCGGAAAAGTATCGGTTCGGATTTCGATTCGGAAAATCCCGGTTCGGAAAAGTATCGGCCGATTTTTTAAAGTTTCAGATTTTTTTTAATAAAGCTTTGACTTAAAAAAAGGGGGGAGGGAAGTAAACTACTTATATCCAAAAAAGGGGGAAGTAAACTACTCATATCCCGAAAAACCTGATAACCAAATATTTGTCTTTGCAGTGACTGTAAAATGTTCACTAATTTTCGTTTTGATGGGGAGCGACTCCATTAAACTGTTTTTTTCAACTTTGTAGCGGAAACAGAATAATTTCACTTGCTTTTTAACAAAGACTTATAAAAAAAACCTTGGAATTAGTTCATGAGGTTTCACGACAAATAGCATTATTTTAGTTTAAATTCAATTAGATTTCCATGTTTGCTCCCTCTGACTTCCTAGCAAGCGAATTCTTTGTGAAAAGAAAACTTTAAAAATTTTTTGAAGCCAAAAACCAATCTCGTGTTGGAGTGATACGGGAAGTGGCTCTGTTTGCGATATTTATGTTCCTTTGATAACACAAATAGAAAATCTGTAAAGAAAAAAACGAATCTAGAAGTTTTTTTCAAAAAAATTCCTATAAGTTTTTTTTTGCAGGCTATGTTGACATGACTGTGGAAAAAGGCGCTGTGGAGTACTCGTTCGCCTTTTTCTACTACAATCCGACGATCTGCGAACCTTCAGTCGACGAGGACCTTCCTTTCATGTTCCCCCTCGAATAAAATCAAAAATCTTCTTCAAAATCCCAAAAAAAACAACGAAAAACATGGTGATCACCTTGTGATATGCAAAACTTCAAACCAAAGACTTTCCGATTCGAACCGTTTTTTTTTAATTCGACTTCTATATATTGTACTAACCGATGTATATTCCCACGTTGATAATTATGATGAGCTTACAGTGATTCCCCCACCACATATTTTCTATTTTACAACTTTTGCGGGTTATTTTTATTTTCTCACCACATTGTGACACATCTTGTGACTTTTACTAGCTTTGATAAATTATTTCATACTTTGAAGCTTATTTTATGTCTTTTTTGCTTTGATAACATCCGATCTTTTGCATGCACTTTATTCAAAAAATTATAACAGTTCTCACGGAACTGGAACAAAAATACTCAAGATTCGCGATCATTTACGGCTTTCATCCTGGCCTCGATCTTTTCAATCCTCAAATTTTTTTCTATTTTTTTTCCCGCAGAGTCGTCTGATTTCGAAATATTGTTCAATGACGCAAATGTTGCGGCCACACGTTTGTTGTAATCCTGAAGAAATAAAAAAGAATAAAAACGAAATATAAGGTATCAATTACAAAGAAAAGAAAACGAAAAAAGATGAAAACTATTGAATGCGTTTGCATTCAAAAAAGAAGAGCCTTTTTCAAAGTTTTTTATTCTCGAAGTTTACTGTTTTCAACGTAACGTTCAAAATATTGGAATTTCCTGCCTGTTTTGGAGAATTGGAATCTTCGAACCTGATAATTTCTGAAAAACTGCTCGAGGATGCTCAAATGAAAGCGCTGCATGAGGTCGAAAGGACGACGTTCGCCAGGTTGGATTATCTTCAGAAGCTGCAAAAAAGAGGGGTTATCATCAGCTAGCATGAGCAAAACGACGTTTGCACGAGCGTTGAAGTATTTTTCGCGGGCCTTCAGATAGGCGCCGTACTTCTTCGTGTCGTTCTCGTCGACGCCCTCCAGATCCGTCGCCTTGTCTGCCAATGTTTCTATCGTTTCCCTCATCTTGTCGTACTGAAAAAACTTTTTTTTGTTCTGAAGGGCTCTGAATAATGTTAATCTGTAAAAAAATAAAACCTGAACTTGATACTTGGAAAACTGAAAAAGGTTTTTCTTTGAACCAAGTGGTCCGTTAAATCCGAAATAAAATGAACTTCAGGGATTTCCAGTAGACTTGATCCATCAAAGTTTGGTAAAGCAAAACTACCGAAACAATAAAAAAACACTCTAACTGTCATGATTTTTTTTAAAGTTCGTGATAGGTATGATTATTCTTGTAAAAAAGTGGAGGCGATCAGTCGCCTCCTTGAGGCCTCGTGGGCTCGGGAATAAACCTTCCGTTTTCTGTAGGCGAAAAGTACGCACTGTAGAGACGATACACTGCGAGCATTTTATCTTCCGCGCAATCGTGTTTTTTTTTTCTTCCATTTAATATTATTCTGAGAAAAAGTTCGCACTCATACTTTTTCATAGGACTAATATCGTGCTTCTGCATATTTTTTTACGTGTTGTTTTGTTTAGCACGTTTCGAAAAGATCAATTCGTCTATATCGTGTAGTCTGTAGCCAGACACTCTTCCGCTGTTATATTAAAATAAACTTTCTGATTTCTCAGGATTTGCAGCTAAAAAGCTAATGCGCTCGCGTCCTATCGCTTCTGCAATATAATCGCTGCTTTGTTAAATCCGCAAAGTATTGAAGCTATGGTCTGTTCAGATTTTTAATGTCAATCAGCTAACTCCGCCCCTGCTGGAACAGTACCTTTTTGCGTCGATTTTTTCTTATCGCGCGGGATGATTAGCGGGAACACGCAGGAAATCTAGTAAGCCGTAAGACTTTTCTCTTAATAAACTACCAATGTTTTTTTGATTCAAATTTCTTAGGTTAATATTTTTGCTTTTCAAAGAAACAAGATCAGATCATTGTTAATCAAAAAGAGGGCTCATTTTTCATTATCAGTTATGATTCAGAGAAATACTACCAACCGGATTGGAAAAAAGGAAGTCGAAGATGGGATCGAACAGGGTCAGCAACTGTTCTTGAAATTCTCGGTCTTGCTTTGCCGCCCGTTCCAGAAGCGTTTTCATCGTCCCTAGGAGCGATTCTTCGCCCGACTGAATACGGCTTTCTTTATTCTGTTTTTTGAGACTTTTTTTCCATATTAGCCTCCTGATATACCTTGAAATTTCGGGGAATAAAAAGTTTCAGCTCGCTGAAAGTTCAAATTACGAAGCTAATATTTCTGAAGGTTCTGGTGTAATATATTTAAAAAAAAGTTTTTTAACTGGCTATTGAAACCTGAAAAGAAGACACTAAACGTTACGCGAACTATTGTCTTTATAAGAAAAAAATAAGGAAGTTTTTGTTTAACCTTTCCAAGACATTTTATTCGAAAGTAATGACTAATTTTAAAAAAATCCGTGTTCTACAACATATTTGATTAAGAGAAAAAGTTACTTTTCTCAACTCTCATTTTTTTTTTCGACTCAACTTAAACCCAAATGGCGCAGAACGAGTCTGCGCATAATGGAAAAAAAGGGTCTACTTATCTCCTTCAAAAACTTTTTCTGACTTAAAAGAGCCTCTAGACTGACCACTCTGCGGCAAACGTTCCAAGTCGTGTTCTTGAGGAGGGTCAGGTCGCTCAAAAGAACTTGGGCCATCGTTTCATTTACTTTCCTCGGTTCAAACTTCTTATTCATACTCATCTGAAGAATCTGAACTTCCACGTCTTGTCCCCGAAGAATTTTTAAAGTCCTTCACGTTTCCAAAATTCTCATTCCTCCGATTTTCTGTTTTGAAGTCGATATCGCAGCCGGCGGCGATTAACAAGCTAGTCACGGCGTTTTGAAGATATATCTAAATCATTGTTTTGAAAGACATCGAATATTTCGAAAATGAACTCTATAGAACTCATATTTCTGCATGTGAATTTGCAGAGAGTAGTGATAGTCCTGTATTTTGTTTGGCCTTTGCGTTCTGAATGAATATCATTTGTTTTCGAAGTTAGTATCATGATCCCTCGGACCTTCGTGACGCGAATCAGACTGCGAACGTCCCTGAGCATTTCTAGTGGCCGCTTTAGCGACGTCAGCACTTTTAGGTGGTCCTAGAATTGCTAAGAAACGTCTGGGGCTCGTCCGGTTTACGTTACCGACGTCCGAGCAGTTTTGTTGTAACTGAGTTTTGACTACAGGACTATGGTCGCCTAGATAATATCGCTTTAGAGATCTTAGGAACTGTTAAAAATTTAGCCATTCTTCGGGTTTCATGCGAAGAATATTTTAAAAGAACTGAGCATCGCCGTGTTCAGAAAGTGTGCGCGAATTTGAAATTAAGCATTGAGAGCTCCCTGAAGGTGTTTCAAGCATAGTGTAGTGCTCAATTTTATTGAGTTTGGATACTCACTCAAAATTACTTTGAACACTCAAAAATGGAGTTTCCAAACAAACTGCAAAACTCACTGCATAGCGTCAAACCAAAAAAGAAATGAAACCTTTTCGTTATCTCACGCCTTAAAAAAGATTTTTTGAAAGTTATTTAATTTCCAGTCTTGATTCTTGAGAAAAAGTTTCGCAATGAATAATGCTCTTGCAAAAATCTCTTGCTTCTTTGGATCTTAAAAACTCCAAACGTTGTTTCGCTCGAAAAACTTTTCTATAGAACTGGAAAAACTGTAGTTTACTTCGAGAGATCGCTCAACGTGTAGTGGCCGGGAAGCGCTTTTTATTAAGAACCCTGAAACCATTTCGAGCTAAAGCTAGGGTTTCGAGGGATCTGAGATCGACGCTTCAAGAGCAAGCATTTTGGAGAGTTAGGTTGAATCACAGTGGCGAGCCTCCCTATTTCCTCCATCTAAATCCTGACAAATGATTTATTGGACATTTGAGATATTTCCGCCTCATATTAAAAATCATTCTGGCGCATAATGATATCAGTTTTATCATATTTTTAGCTCTGCTCTATTTTTAGGTCCTAAAATTTCTAATAACCGCAAAAAACGTCATTTTTCGCCAAGTTCTCTGTTTGAATTAACCTCAGTTTTGCCGACCTCGAAATCGGAAAGAAACGGCTCAACGGAAGTGAGAAATTTAATTTTCCCAGGTTGATCGATACGCATAACGCATTTGTTTATTGCCCCGAGGCCCCTTAAATTATTTCACCTTTTCTTACCTTTCCTTCAACTTTTGTTTTTTACTTTTCTTGGCAGCCTTTCTTTGGATAGTCCAAAACAGAGTCGCCGAGCCTGGCTTTTAAAAACTGGATAATTGTTAGTTTACCTTCTTTTTCTTTTTAAATAAAACTCTGGGAGGGAAGTCTGAATTTCAAACTTTCGAAAACACATTATATCCTACACCTACCCTTTTACGTTCTTTGTTTCAAAATTTGTACGCTCAGTCCTATTATTAGAAGACCACCGAGTCTGAAAACCCTGACTAGGAGGAAGTTCAGGAATTTCAGGCAACATTTTTCACCCAATGAGATGCCAAAATAGAACTTCACTTGAATGTTTCTTAAGTAATGATAATAACTCAAAGTTTCCATAAACCTTAACTTTTAATATATCCTTTTTTCTATGACTATGAAGTTCCGTGTTTTCGATGAACAAAACGACAAAAATTGGGAAAACAAACTGACTCTATCAAATTTTTTGAATTCTCTCATGTCTGTGAGAGCTTCGATAAAGGAAACTTGGCTGAAAATAGCCAGGTCTTCTAGACTTTTAAAATTGAAATTTTCGAATCTTCAAGTCATTATGAACCAGTGAACATGAAGATGAACAGGCACATAAGTTTTAAAAAGTATAAATTTTTCTTTTACTTCGAAACATAACCTAGAGCTCGAATTGGTTGACTTGATGCCTCGTAACGACCTTTTTTGTAGGTTTCGTCGATCCTTTTGCGTAAGAACATTTTTGTTGTGAAAATCGTAAGCCTACATTACGACGTCAAGCTTTTGTTCTTGAAATTGCTTCGAAAATCGCGTCGTCTGGATACAAATTGGCCTTTTTTTGTAGCACATTCGATACAATTCTGCCCACGACTAACGTGGATTCTCACCCCTTTATTCAATCTTTCAACGTAAAAAAAGTCAGTTCGGAAAACTTTTGCAAGTCCAAATGTTCAGTTTTTCCTCCATTTTCCCCCAAGGCAATTTTTAAGAGTTTCCTCTCAAAAAAAAGTCTATATGGGATGTATGGGAAGCAGGCGGTTTTCTTGAACTTTATTGAGAAATTTGCCTCTCGATGAGTTTTTTTGCCAATTTTCTCCTAGACTCAAGTGATGCCAATGATCTATCTGCTTCTCATAGTTCACTCTGACCTGTGATCATATTTATATATATTTTTGAAACCCTCATTTATATAAGAACTTTGTAAAGTGATTTTCGAATGAAAAAGAATCTCATGAAAAGGATGTTTTCCCCTCACGTAAATGAGGTTGGTTCCAAATCATTTTTTTGTTTCCAGCTGCCGAGGCCAATCTATTTTTTTCTTTCTAATTTTTTTGCTAATTTGTCAAGAAAACGGGTCACATAACCTTTCAGGCTGAATAATTCAAATTCCTGCTTTGAAGCTTTTTTTGCACGATTATTTTTCCGAACCTTTTTCCCCATTTTTTTAAATGGGTTTTTGAGGGTTGAACTTCTCTTCTGAGGTTTTTTGCACAAAATTTTTTGATTTTTTTGGCTGTTCGCACAATTCAGAAATTGAAAGTCGCTCTCCTAGTTTTTTCGATATCTTTCATTTCACATAACTTCTCTTTCTCACGACAATTCTCAATTTCGAATCCCAAATCCAGTTCCTTATCACCAAGTTTCACCATAGCCTTTTTTTCAGAAATGAGATTCCATTAGCCTTTCCTGTTGTTCATCCGATGGGCTGCAACAATTCCAAAACAGTTGCAAAGGTATACATTTCGAAGCTGATGATTTTTTTTTTGGGTTTCGAACTGCTTTTCTTCGGAAAAAGCCAGACAGAGAAGCTTTTAATGAAAAAAAAAACTTTGGGTCACTTAAAACGTTTACGCAGGTGAATGACGTGGCCGCAGCTGCAACTCCCGCCAAAGCAGAAAACGAAGAACCAGTTCAGAAGGTGGACCTTTTCCCACACTTTTGCATTCTCATTAATTGTACGCTATGGTTGATCTACTCAAATTTCAATATAAAATGACTTTCAAGTTAAAAAAACCATTTTTCGAAGCTTTTCTCTGGAATTTTTATGTTTGTTGTTTCGTGTCTTCTTACGGTTTATTCTTTCATCTTTCACATCTTCTTTTCAAAAGCATTATATCTTTCGAAGCTTTGATGTTTTTCATTTATTTTTTTATTTTTCAGAAAGCGGATACCTCAAAATTATCGCGAACTTCTTCTTTCCAAGAGCCCGCCAACGACGAGTTCACCATCATCCGGCTGCTTCTTCTTGGTATTATTTTCACCCCGAAATCTCCTTTTTTTTCACCGAAAAAATCTAGGAATTTTTGTTTTGTGGGTAATTGAGTTAAAAATTGTATTCAGGTGCGGCTGAGAGTGGAAAAACAACGCTCCTAGAACAAATACGTCTTTTGTACAAACAGGTGAGAGAAAAAATTCCATCAAAAATAAGGATTTCGAGTCTTATTGATCATGAGGTCGTTAAGAATTTTTCCGATGCGGAGATGTTCCATCGGCGGGCGTTCATCTACAATACGATACTGCAGTCGATGCGGATGATGATCAAAATGATGGACGAGTCCGGAATCAGCTACGCGGACCCGAAGAACCAAGTTCTTTGGAGCTTTTTTCCGGATAAAGAAAAGTTCTCTAGGAGAACGCAAAGAGGATAATGGAAGAGGGCGAAACGCAGTACGGACTTTTCCCCCAGGAATACGCCGACCGAATGGTCAGCGTCTGGAACGACGACGCCGTCCAGAAGCTCTACGCCCGGCGGAGCGCCTTTAACCTCAACGACTCTACGAAATTGTAGGCCTAGAAGAACTTTTTCTTGCTTTGCTAGAAGTCCAAAGGAAATCGGTAGCGACGTCCGCAACATCGCGTGCACGGCTAATGTAGACAGTTGTCTGTATACCGATCCAAAACATTTTTAAAAATGAAAGGCGGGAAAGTAGAATCGCGTCTTTGTTCTAAAGTTGTCACATCTGCGATTTTTTTGAGTACACCATTCGATTCGCAAAGAAAAACTGTATAAGATACTGCTTTCGCCTGAAACCCCATTTTTTACTGCCTCTATGCCTTTAAGGATTTTGGAGAGAGAAGCATCTAGAGCTGATTACTCATCACATAGTTCTGTTTTTTGGAAAATTAGAGCCTTTAGAGGCTCAATAAGTATTTTTAACAGAATAAATGAAGCTTCTGAAAAGGCATGAGAAGTAATGTCACAAGTACTTTTTTCTGAAAACTTCCCGATTGAGCTGGATTTTCTCAAAAAGCTTGAGAAGTAACTGAACACGGTTTTTCAGTTTTCTCGACAGCTTCGACAGCATCAACCGACCAGACTATCAGCCTTCGCCGAAGCATCTCATAATGTCATACGTCCCCACGATCGGGGTCCAGAACGTCATATTCACAGCCAACAACCGGAGCTTCCAGTCCGTTCTCCGTAACATTCTCGACCCGAAATCGGGAATTTCTCAGATTATTCGACATCGGAGGCCAGAGAATCGACCGCCGCAAGTGGGCGACCATGTACGACGGCATCGACGCCATTTTCTTCTGCCTCGCGATTTCCGAGTACGACCAGACGATGAACGAGGATTTGGTCACGGCAAGTCTTCCTTTTCGAGAGAAAAATACCCTTTTTGACTTTCAGAATCGGTTGACAGATTCCTTGAATTTGCTCCAGAAAATTAGTTCCGAGCCAAAGTTTTTGGTGAGCCTGTAATACAACATATGAAATAATTGTTTTCTTTTTAGAAAAACTCCGATATTTTTATTTTTTTGAATGAAGTTGATGTCTTTTGTGAAAAACTGAACGAGATTCCATTGCAGAACTTCCAGGATCAGTACCACGGTATTTCGCATTATTTTCTTTTTATATGTTGCATTTTAGGGAATTCATCGGAAGAGGCGCTGAAATTTATTGAAGACATGGCTATACAGGTTTTTTTTATTATTTTTGTTTAAAGAAATCTATAGCTTTTTCTAAATGAAAATGAGAAATTTTGCATTGAGTGGTGTTCTTAAGTTTTACCTCCACTCTTGGTGATATTGTAGATTCCGTTAAATGAGAATATTTCATATTGAAATCAGATCTGAAAGCGTGTTTTGAAGGTAGTTTGCCGGATGGGCCTGTGAAAAAGGATAGCTTTATGATGGGGAGTAGATTTGACAGAATGGCTCTCCAAAAGCTCTCTATTCATGAATTTAGTACCAATCGTTTCTCATTTCGAGTTATTATCACAAAAAGTGGCCTTCTCCGCGTATCCCTTTTCGTTGGAAAATTTTTTTTTATTTTCTCTCGTTTTTTTCTTTGAAAATGTCTGTTTTCTGTTCGAAAAGTCAACAAATAAGAAAAGAAGGTTCTTTCTGATCTTAACAGAAAACGGAAGTTTTTTGAGTCATAACGAATGCCTCAAATATTTGGGAAGAAATTCAGGCGATGGCTGGACGAGACGAGTATCTGTACAGTATTTACCGGACCGTTTGTATTGATACCGAAATGATGGCCGGCATTTTGGGAAACGTTTTCGAGGAGATCCTCGAGAGAAAATTATGAATAAACGCTATTCATATGAATAAATTATATCAATTTTTTTCATGCTGAACGCAAAAAAAGCAAAGGCTAAATATGAAAAAGTAAAAAGTTTTGGAGTATAACTCATTCTTTACACAAAAACTAGATTGCTAAAATTCTAATATTTTTCAGAAAATCTGGTAAGTTTATTTTATGAATAGACCCAACTTTTTGGGTGTTTTTTAAGAAAAAAAAAGTGTAATCTAGAGAAAATTCACCTTTCTCATTGCTTAATTATTTCGTAATCTTTCTTCCAGTTTCAAACTTGATGAAAATAATAAAAAGATCTGAATATTGCATACTTGAACTGAATCAAACAAACAATGTTGAACACTCTTCAGTAAGAACGACATTTCCTGCCTTTTTATGCAGTTTTTCAAACCGCCGATGATGAGTTCTTTTTTGCAGTAATATGGTAATGGGGTGCAGAGGTGAAACAGAAGAATAACAGTTCTCGCCCTTTTCCAAGTGTCTTTTCCATCGGAAACCTCGTTGCTTCACACAGTCCATAATAGCGAATTCGAGAAGCAATTACGGCTTGGAAAGCAACTTCAGTTATCGAGAACCCAGTATATAAGAGCGGACGTCTTCTGAGAATCACCATCGACAGAAGCGATGACCATCACGAAGACGTTCGTGACCCTCGCCGGCGTTGCTTCCGGACTCGCAATCTTCGCCTCGATTCTTTCCGTCTTCATAATTTTCAACGAAATTAACGCCTTCTATGACAACGTCATCGACACGATGCAAGAATTTCGGGTGAGAAAATTTTGCAACCTCAACCTAAAACAGTTCAAAAATTATATTCCAGTATCACGAGCAAGAAGCTTGGCGCACAATGATCCAAACGACTCGACCTCCTTCCGATCCTCGAAGCGTTCTCATCGGAAGGAGCAAAAGACAGACCGATCAGTGCAACTGTGCTCCAGCAGCAACCAACTGTCCTCCGGGACCAGCAGGGCCTCCGGGGCAGAAAGGAGCTGACGGAGATGATGGCATCCCTGGACGGCCAGGCAACTACGGCGGCCTTGGCTCCTTTGGCGACGGTTCCAGTGGGGGATCTAACTGCATTCAATGTCCAGCCGGACCACCTGGACCCCCAGGAAACAACGGATTCGCTGGGCCACCCGGACCTGACGGTCAGCCTGGAGAAGATGCCTACGGCGCAGGCCAAGGTCCACCAGGACCACCTGGACCTGTCGGAGACGTCGGACAGCCTGGAGCACGAGGAGAGCCAGGAAACCCAGGACGTCCTGGCAGAGCTGGACAACGCAGCCGAGGCTTGCCTGGACCTGCTGGAGCCCCAGGAAGAATGGGACCAGACGGAGCTCCAGGTCTTCCTGGCGATGATGGAAGCTTCGGAGCTGTCGGTCCTGCCGGCCCTGAAGGTCCAGCCGGAAGACCAGGTCAGAGGGGACTCGACGGAAAACGCGGAGAGCCAGGAAATTCTGGAATTCCTGGAGGCGATGCCGGTTAGTTTTTTGATTTTCAATAGTGTTCTAATTTAAGAAATTGTATTCAAAGTCTTTTTTTCAGCCTACTGTCCTTGTCCGCCTCGCTCTTCTGCCAAAAAGTCGAAATTTTTCAATCATCGACGCGCTTCGAACGTCGTCGCCGCCTGATGGCTGGATTTCCGAAATGAATCTTCGACTTGGGAAAATAAAGTTTCACATTTTCTTCCGTTTTTACTTTTTTTCGAAAGCATCACGAGTATCCTTTAAAAAAGTCTCCAAACAAACGAACAAAACAAAGAAAATGGGACGAGCATACTTTTCCTTTTTTCCCTCTTAAAAGCTGTTTTTTTCTCGAAAAAAATTAAAAAATTAAAAATTCAGAAAGAAAAAAATGATTTAAAAAAACATTACAGAAAAAAATTTTTGGATCTCTGCTTTTTAGATTCTCTTTACGACAACCTTTCCAATAACTTTTTTTCAAGCAAAAAAATAAATAGGAAAGATGTTTGATATTTCTTTTTTTTTGGAAAATTCAAAGAGACAAAGATTTGATCAAAAAGTTTATTTTCATAAGTGAAAAAAACTGAGGCAACCCGTCAAAATGGAAAAAGTGAGCAATAAAATTGCGAGAAGATCTCTTATCACATGATTAAAACTTATTGGAAGATTCTAAAAAAGTGTTAAAAGGGCCGTTTGCGCCTCTGGAAGTTTGGACAATAGTTCTGAGAAAAACTTAAAGTGAAATGAACAATTTGAACAGATCAGCGGAAAGTGAGAACATAGTTGCTTTGTAAAATGCTGTTATTATAATGAGTGGGAGATGGAAGGAGAGAGGATTACATGAAATGTTGGAGGATGATTGTGGTGAGGATTCCGACGACGGCCGAGAGTGGGAAGCAGAGCACCCAGAAGAAGCAAATCTTGCGGAACGTGGCGAAAGAGACGCCTTCGCTCGTCGACTTGGCCATCCCGACGAAGATGACCGCGCCGACCGTGCAATGCGTCGAGGAGATTGGGATTCCTGCAAGCATTTTGAGGTTGAAAGGTCTTCTGTTCTCGTATTGGAAATAGATCTTTCTTAGAGGAATCGAAATGGCTTACCCAGCTTGACGCAGACGAGGACGGTGAAGGCAGTTCCGACTTCAATGCAGAACCCAGAGACGGGACTCATGTCGACGGTCATCTCCTTGGCGAGAAGCTTGATGGTTCTGTGGCCGAGGGTGACGAAACCGAAGATCATGGCGAAAGATCCGTAGAACAGGAGCAGCTGAAAGGTTCAAACTCAGCTTCGATAAGACGAAAAGAATCGAACCTGAGTATCGTCCCGAGTTTCAGCATTTCCGAAGGCATAGCCGGACTCGTAGCAGAGCCAGATGGCCAAAAGAGGACTGATGGTGTTGCCGGTGTCGTTGGCTCCGTGAGAGAAGGACAACATGGAAGAGGACACGATTTGGAGGGTGTTGAAGACTTTCTTCGTGAGGCGGTCTTCTGGAACGTACTGCCACAGGTACTTGTACCACGGCAGGTCCTTGATGTCGTCTCCGACTTCTGGGATACGCATGTCCTTGATCTTGCTTTCCTCTGAAAAAAAGGTCCTGTTTTTTATTTCAAGGCTTAGGAACTCACTAATTTTTCCAGACTCTGCTCTTTTCTGCATCTTGACGGTCTCGGCGTCGTACAACCTCTTGGCACGTTGTGGCAGCCAGTTTTTCAAAGGGAAAGCGAGGATCGCCCAGCCAGCGACACCGATGGCGACAGAAACCAGAAGAGCTTCCCACCAGTTGAGTTTGTCCAGTCCGAGGTCTGAAAAGAGATAGATTAACTGATCCAAACGGGAAATTTCTCACATTTCGAGCCGTCGTAAATGCAAGCGTAGAGGTTGACGGTGAGAGTGAAGCACATGAAAATCGGGCAAAGACGGAGGGCCCATTTGAAAGTGTCCTTGCGGATCAGAACCGAGTACTTGACGACGTAGTAGAAAGCTCCGGCAAAGATTCCGGCCAAAATGGGAGAGACGAACCAGGAGATGACTAGAAATAAAATCATGAAAAACTATTCAAAACAATTTAGTTTTCGATAGAAACTTGAGAAATGGAACAAGAACTTCAAAATAAAGATGTTTCGGGGCACTCGAAATGATCCTCAAAGAGTGCAACGGATCAAAAAACTTTTAAGAGTCAGAAGTCATTTCAAGTTCCCCGAAACTACTTCGTAAAAGAAATTTAAAAAATTGAAAACTTTTTAAGAAAGCTTGTTCAAAAAAATCCACGAAACTGACCAATCTTGACGATCTCGTCCCATCGGATTCCAACGTTTCCGCGGATATAGAACGAAGTGGCGACGGAGGCTCCGACGATGGCGTGAGTGGCCGAAACAGGGATCTTGTAGCAGGAAGACAGAATCATGAAGACTGCAACTCCGGAGAGCGACGCTGTCTGCAAAGGCTCTTCGTAACTTCTGAAGCTCTCGACGGAAGTCTCACCTGAGTGAGAATGAAGTCGACGGAGGTGTACTTGGCGCACTCGAGGGGAGGTGCTCCTGGAACGATGTCCGGAGGAGTGAACCCGCCGATCATGGTGGCATTTCCGCAGAACGGCACCGTGTCATAGTGCTTCGTCGTGTGGTTGTACTGCGAGTAGACGTCGAAAATCGAAAACTCGACGATTCCCGTTCTCAACGTCTCCACCACTTTGTATCCTGCAAGGAAAAAACTAATTTCAATCTGACGGATCTCCTCTTCAAGGTCAGAAGAGCCATAAAAGGCCCAGATTTCACTTACGGGTAAAAGAACGCAAATCGACCTTGGCATAACAAAATTGAAGTGAAACGATTAGTTTTTTCCCTGGTTTGCAAGGCTAAAACTGTCCAAACAACTGCCGACAAACGGATTGCAGTTGGATCTGCCTCATCTTTTTTGGCGGCCAATCGCTCAGTGACCGATCAATCCCTTGTTTCTCTTTACGTGATGTTTTTCTCGCGTTTCACGACCCCCAAATGCGCTTCTACGCTATAAATTATTCATGGCGCCCTTTTTTTTCGAACTTTATTTCCGATAAAATGTCTCGGGTGATTTTTCACGTGAGATGTTGATGTCTAAAAGTGTGATTTCCTTTCTTGTGCGAAAATTTTCGCGAAATCGATGACGTAAGGTTCTTGATTGCCTTTTTGTGTAATGTTTCCGTTTGAATTTAACGACAACGAATGGTAGGAAATCTATTGTTGTCTCCTGATAGCTCAGTGTTTAACAAAATATACATTATCGTTTCCGAGACATCAGGAGTCAACAGATACACGCAGTTCTCACAAAAAAGTTTACTTCTGTATTTAGAATCCCACAAAAGTCTCAAGTTCTTAAGCGCTAGCTCCTCTTCAAAGGCTCTTCAGTCTGAGAAGAAAAATCAAGGACGAAATTAACCGAGTGACCGACCGGTCAAAGTTTTTTTTTCCGATTTTCTCTCAAGTTCAGTCGTTTTCTCTTCTCTCCAGCTGTTCGAAAGAACGCCATTGATAAATTGAGTTGCACTTCCCAATTGATAAAAAGTTTTTGGAGAAGATTGAAAGATCAGAAATAGTTACTATTAACCAAATGATGTGAAGAAAAAAATGAATTTAAAAAAACAGACATCGTTTCTTGCAGATAAGTTTTTTTAATGTCAAAATTTTCACCTATTTTCTCTGATTAATTTTTCTAATTATTCAATTTTTTTCCTTTGAATATTGTTGAGATTTATTTCAAAAAAGGATTTTAAAAATATATCCTACTTTTGCAAATTATAATCGATCGCGAGTTGGAAGCAGAAATAATAAAGACAATTAAAAATCGTCAGAAGCCAGCTGTGAATAAACTTTAGATAAAAAGTTGAGAAAGAGGAAACGATTTTCAGTGCGGCAAAAGTGAAGCGAGTTCATTTCTTTTTTCGCCGGTTTTAAGATTTTTTTTGGTAGTTAGAGGTACAAAAAAAAACAATGACAAAAAACATACCCAGTAGGACAGCGCCGGCAACGTTCAATACTGCAGAAAGAGCGTAGGCCTGCCACAATTTGACGGTTCCCGCGCCGACGGCCGGTCCCCAATCGTTGCACGAATCATTCGCACCCATTCCTGAAGGACTTCCCGTTCAAATCCATGTTTCACTTGTCCTGACAAACCGTAGGACACGAAAAAGGCGAAAACGAAGGCGACGATGACGAGCCATTGTATGTGCGTCGTCCAGTTAGGCGCGTATTCCAAGAGAATGTCCAGCATCCTGAAAATCAAAACATTGGTTCTGCTTCTCTTTGTGACGACGAAATGATTCAGAAGTGAGGTGACAAAGGAAAAGGAGAAGAATGAATGGAAAAACGTCGACCGCAGGAGGGCTGCCATCAACTAGACCCCCGACGATGAGTTCCAAAACTGATCGTAATAAGGATGAGTTGAAGGCAGCCCAGCGGGTCTTCGGATTGGCGTCAGATTGGAATAAAACACGCAGATCAACGAATGAATAATCCGTCGGGAAAAGTTACAATTCGAGTTGTAGAAAAAAGCGAAGATTGGGAAAAGCACAGTAAATAAATAAACTGTTGGGAAGAAAACACTTCAAAATAAATCAAAAGTTTCTAAACAAAGAGTGGAACCGGGTATCTTATCAGAAGCTCACTCCCATTGTTCGAGAATTACAGAAGTTTTCAAATTATAAAAGTTAATGAATTGCAATTTCAAGATTTTTTATGAGAAAAAAACAGTGATGAAAAAAGAAAAGAAGGGAAATGAAAATAGGAAGAATAAGAAATGGAAGAGGAGGCGGGACGATGTGCAGCTCGGCGGAAGTCGGTTTGTTTTATATGTAAGGCAGGGGCGGGAGTTTCAGTTTGGAAAAAGGAGTATCGTGACCGGTCAGTCGCTCTCGGCGTCTTGCCGCTCTCCACCAGTCGTGTGCTCTCTCAGCTGTTCGCCCAAGGGAATTCGTTTCTTCGGTAGAAAGTGGGCGGGGCCTTCCGCTTCCGGTGCTGCCTCATCCAGCATTATCGCCATGTGTAATTTTAGGATCGTCCTTGTTATTCCTCTTATTTCGTTCTTTTTTTGTTTACCTTTGATACAATTTACTCTTGAGTTCAGTAGAAATACTTTATTTTAAAAATTGGGATGAGATACTTGTTTTTTTTTTCAAAAATCTTGCGATTTTATGCTTCGAAAACTAGCTGATTTCATCAAAAGGGCAAGAATTTTTCGACAGATATAGTCTGAAAAGCCACAAAATTGCCACCTTTTTCAATTTATTAAATTCAAAAATTTACATAGCTTGCCTTTTATGAGCTCAGCAAGTCTTTTTTAATGAACTGAATGACGTAAAATGGAAGATCGAATGAAAACGGGACAAAGATAGCTTTATTCGAAATAAAATCATTGGGAAATAGAAAAAAAGTAGTTTATAACGGTAAAGGTTTTAAAAAAAAAACTGATTAAAAAATGGAGAAAATTAAACATTCCGAAAATGACACAGTTCGATTTTTTAACGATCTCCAAATGTGACGTAAACATCCATTATGGCGAAAGTCTCTTCTAATTGAGTGAGTTCTCCTTTTTGATCTGAATAGTCTCGACGAGTCTATTTTCGATATCTTGAACTACGAGGTCAAAGTAATATATCGAGCACATTTACTTTGGCAAAGCGTGACTACAAGATTAATCCCGACCTCCAACAAACATCAAACATGCATCGAAAACCTTTTTTTCCTGTCAATAGAGATCGAAATTTTCAAGTTATACTTTGTTCTTTTCAACAACAGTAGAAAAATGTTTTTTATGCTGAAATATTTAAACTCTCAATAATATTGCATGAAAAATAAATGGCTCTTCCCTTTGAGACCGCCATGAAATTTTGCTCTTTTCTCTTGAACACTAGCCAAAAAAATTTCATTCATATTATGTATTCTCAAACTTCATTTTTTTCAAAAAAAGTTTTTCAAGTTCACATTTTTTTGTCTAAATTTAATTATTTTGAGAGGTCCTTGGAGTTTTACGAATGACATGATATCATTCAAAAAAATAATTTCACCACAAACGAACTTCGAAATCAATCAAACTCTTGTCAATCAAACGGTTTTTTTATTGAGAGAGAAAGAGAGGAACTATTTTCAAAAATAGAAAGTTTGGCTAGATAAGGAAAAAAAAACAGTTACAGAGAATTTTAGCAAGGGCTCTACTAAGCAATATAAAACGGAAAGTGATGAAAAAAAATCTGAGAAACCGAAAATAGATGAATTAGCGACAGTTTTGAAAAAAAATTTTGAACGGAAAAAAATCAGTTCTACGCCCGAAAATTTTGATCCACCTCGGCAGTCTGCACAATTGATCCGATTTTTTTTTTCATATAGTTCATTCCACGCCAGCTTGTCACGTTTTTTTCTTTCTGCTAAAAAAAGCTTTTTCTCTTTTTTTCTTTATTTTCATCAAATTCATTGAAAAATAATAATAAGAATGTGGATTCTTCTAACCATCTTCTAATGGTAAGACATTTTTTTGGTTGTTCACATTCTTGTTGGAATTTTAATTTCTTATCGCTCTGAATTTTTTTCAACAACCTTTTTCAGTTCACGGACTGCTCAAAGATTTTTTTGAAAAATTTTTTTTTAACTTTTTCAGCCTTTTTACAGAAACGCCGCTTATGTTTAAAAAGTAAAGTAGTATCGGTACCTGATAAGTGAACTGATTTATCAATTAAATTTCCTCAAGAATTTTTCCGTCCCAGAAAGGAGACGCATTGTTATGACTCAGTTGGAAAAAGTGACCGGTTAACTTCGGGTAACTGAACTCACGCGTTTCGATCAACATCGTTATCGAACGGGTCGAGAACGTGCAAAGAGATCGGAAGATCTTCGGCGATTTCGGAAGAAAAAAATAAGCTTATTCGCCGCGGAAGAAGCTTCCTTCAGGTGTTAGACAAGCATTAGGATTGAAGACAATTTTGGCCGTTTGTTCGATGTCAAATTTTGTAATTTTTGCTGTTTCGAAAATTTTTCGATTTTGTATAACTGGTTTGTCTCAAATCCTTGTTGAGTTTTCATATTTCTATCAAACTTCCTGGGCCTTCAGAACAGGGGTTGCGGCATACATCTATTACTGACTCTGGATAACTGTTTGTCTCGATATTTCGCCTCAAAATGATGCTCTGAAGTCTTGAAGAAGTCTTCATCATTTTTTCTCTAGATACATGAAACGACGAAAAATTCCCAGGTAAACATTTCTTTCGAGGGCCCACAAAAGGAGCTGAAAAAGTTTCTCTGAAGTCCTCTAAAATGTTGAGAAAGATCTGCTAAGCGTAGCAGAGGAGTAGCAGGTCGAAAATGTACGGAAAAAAAAATTGCTTTCGAGAAATAACTTTTTTCTTCGAAAAATTGGATGGAAAACAGTTTTTGAGAATTTCCGGTACATTTTGACCGGATTTTCCCCCGTACCCTATAGCGCTTAGCAGATAAATCTTTTTGTTTCTGAGTATTCTCACCTAGGACTCCCTGCCCCAGAAGTTTTGACTGGATTTGTGGTCCATCACAAACACTTTCCTAGTTAATCACCCAGCAATTACTTCAGCGTTCATGTTTTTTTGAACTTTATTTTGGTCTTCAAAATCTTTAACTTTTTCATACTGCATTTTCTTTGCGCAAAAAGATTGCTCGTTTCTCCGTTGTTTTTGTTATTTTTTTCCAATAGGTAAGTCAAAAGAGAACAGGTTCTTTAAATATGGGTGTTGTTTTGAAATTTTCTTAGTGATTCAGAAAAACAGGTTTGGTAGAACTGAACTTATTAGATATTCCCGAACGCCAGAAATAGTCATGTCTATTCGTTTTTGGCAGAGTTAAGAAGAAGTTCCTAATATTCTTGAGCAGTCCGCAAAAAGTCTCTATCACCTTATTCATTTCCTGTTGTCCAGGATTCATCGTCTGCGAAGCTAGAGGAACGTATAAAATTCTTGCCCACTTTTTCACTTATCTTGTGAAGAGTCCGTTCATTTATTCACCTTGGCAAATGGAAAACTATTTTATCAATGTATGGGTCCTTTAGCTTTTTTGAAACGGAAAGCTTTACTTGAAGTCGATTTTGTCAGAAAAAAATTGAAATATTATTAAATATATCCCATGCAAAAAGTTTTCTCGATGAGAAAACTCACAATACCTTTGCATCCGCTTCGAGAATTTACCGTAACTCGTCGACCTTCGTACTGAAAAGATTTTTTTCTCTTTCTTCTTCTCGACCATTTCTACAACAAAGCGTTGCGTTGTAACAGCCAACTCGAGGACTTTTAAACTTTCAGAATCAACTCGGGTTCAAGAAATCAACTACGAGTTACTGTAGTTTTTCAATAGAGTATTCTTTCTTTTCGGAGAGTTTCATTTTCATAGTATTCTTTGAGAAATTTCGATTTCTAGTCTTAAGTCCCATTATTTCTTTGGTATTGCCAGTGACGTAACAAAATAAACTTCTTAATCCGATAATATTTTATCATTCCAGATCAAAACACTCGTATGTGTGCTCTCCCATGCGTTCCTAAACGTTTCGAAAGGAACTTAGAAAATTATTTTTGCCATTTATGAGGAGCAGGGATTCTTTTTTTAAATCAATGATTTATTCATTGTTCGGTCTTTTGGAGAGAAATCTACTGGAGCAAAAAAAGCGGAACTGCTGCCGCTGAATGTGCAAAATGAATACCCGAGAACAAAAACTATACAAAGTTTTTGCTTAAACAGCTCGCAAACTGTCAAAATTTTCACATAGAATCAAAAATTTATGTACAAAATAAACAGAAAAGTCAAAGAGAGGCAAGACTTTTATAAATTTTCTGGTTGAGGAGCTGGTGATCGTCTTCGAAAGCTGTAGACGACGTTCCATCTTCGAGGCGCTGAGTTCACTGTGCCGTTACCGTAGACCCACTGGAAAAAAACAATAATTGAATGTGACAACTGATAAGAAAGTTTTTCAAACAATGATAAGGGAAAGTTTTCTCGGTGTTCAATAAAGAAAAAAGTAGACGTTGAAATTGAGGAAATAAGCTCGATTATTTTGAGATATTTATTTTCCAGGTTATTTCTTTGAAATGCTGAAATGCTAAGACACAATCGAGCTACTTATTTTCAATGAAACAATTTAATACAGATTTTTTTTTAAAAAAAAATGTTTTTCCAAAAAAATGAACTGTATCTGAAAAGCCATCATACCTTGCGATTTCTCTGAAAGAAAAATAGTTAGCCATAAAATATTCTCCAAGGAGTTTTCGTTAATCGATAATTCAAAAGAAAATAGTCAAGTACTTTAAGCAAATGGAGCAAACTTTGAATTCGAAATTTAAAAAAGTTAGTAACGAGGCAGACAGCAGGAATCAGTTCGATTAAGTCTTCAATATGTTTCTAGCGGGAGAAAGATTGTTTGAAAACGTTTTCAAAGGCTCAAATAGCAGAAAACTTTCGAAAAAACACTAACCCCATTAGTTGAAAGCGGAGGTCTAGTGACGATCTGAACGACGACGCCGTCGGAAGCGACGTCCGGACCGGGCATTTCTGGATGGGCGAAGAACAAGAGGGGCAGCGCCGTCGGCCACATCTTCCACAAAAGAAAGGCTGTTTGTACACGCCGTTTCGTGTTGCTCTCACGCAAAACGCTGAAAATGAGGCGTTCGGGAGGCAAAGAAATTTGTTGGCACAGGCGAGTTTTCTCCAAGACTCGCGCATAGGATTAGACACAGTTAGCGTCTTCAGTTCTATGCAACGCAAGAGTGAAAAAATTTAACTTAAATTCAAGTGATCTTTTTAAATTTTTTTTTTTCCGAGAAAGCTTGCTGGGGTGTTCAGAGACGCAAGACTGAGATCTGAAATATTATCGACTTATAGGCAATCTTTCGAGAGATGGGTAGTTTAACAAGGGTGGAGCGTTGCGTGTGCGAAGCTACTTTTTGGCGGGGAGCTCGAGGTCAAATTTAATCACAAAAAGTGTTCTTATTATTTTTTTATACTTTTATTCGTTCAACTGAATTTTATCAAAGCCATAAAAATAACAAATTATGAAAAAACAGGAGAAAAAAGTGACTCGTGTTTGACCTCGAGCTTCCCGCCAAAAAGCCGCGTCGCCCTTGCCAATCAACCCATCTCGCTTTTTATAGACGGTAAGGATTGACTATAAAAAAACTACATATTTTTGAATAAGAAAGATCTTTCAAAGTCGAAAAAGTGGAATGTTTTGATGCTCAGAAATATATTCTCATGAAATGACAGAAACGAGAAAGAAGGATTGAGATTTCTGATTTTTTTTTTGAACAAAATTGTAACTCCGGTGTTTGCAAAAAAAAAAACTGAAAAATAGTAATAATGGTCTCTTTGACGAAAAAGAAGCTTTTCGAGTGAAAAAAAAACGTAGATTGAAGTCGTTGGCACGTATAGTTTTCGCAATAACCGCTGCTTCGGGCTGTTTTTTCAACGCGATAAGTATCTTTGACCGTGTCTTTGCCGAAAGACCAGTTCGAAGAAGAAATTTGCATACTTCCGCCTCGAAATTTCCCAAAAAACACCAAAAAAGTTTTCCAAGGAATTATTTTTGAAATGTAAATTGAAAAAAATATAGTGCTTGAAGCAAAAAGGAGTAAGGAAAACTTTGAATTGGAAATAAAACAGTAAAATGCGGTGACAATGGCACAGCAAGAAATAGCAAAGACGAAGTGGAATCACAAATTTTCCACTGGTTTTTTACTCGCCCTTTCGTTTTTGTTTGTTTGCCCCGAGGCGCATCCTCTTCTCATTTATTTCAGCAATTGTCTTGAACTTTCTCTTTTATAATATTGTTCTTGGCTTCGAGAGTTCCCTTCTTGATTTTTTTTAGTGGGTAAATTTTCAGAGAGATATCGTTGAATATGGAAGGCTGAAAAAACTCTCGATTTAGATTGTTTAAAAAGTCTTCCGTGTATTCAAAATCAGCATTCAAACTTGAAATTTAAGGTAGTGTTCATGATTATTTTTCTCGCAAGGACGCTTTTTATACTCATGACCTTGTCTCGTTCATGAACATGGGCGCAGCTCACCGCTGATGCTCTCGCTTACGACCACATCACGTTGAAAACACGCCATCCCGTCCGATCTGGCAAGTTAAGCAACGTTGAGAGCCGGTAGTACTTGGATCGGAGACGGCTTGGGAATTCGGCTTGCCGTAAGCTTTTTGTCTTTTTTCAGTTTTTTATCGATTTAAAACTCATTTTGATATCAGAGTTTTCTTTTAAATCCATGAATTAGAATTTATTTATAGGTCTATCACGATTTCAGACGCAACTTCGAGTCATTGCATAACTTTCAATAATAACAAAATCGACGAAAAATATTTATTCATTCTAGTTCGAGAATCAGACAACTTTAGAGAAGCGACGTTGCGAGAAACGTTGTAAGACGACGGCAACGGTGCGCATCGGACAAGGACAGTATTCTGCAAAGAGAGAATTCGTTTAGAAAGATTTATCGAAAAAAAAAACTGACGAGCATCATTTCCTGGCGGTCCGTCGAGGCCAGGCATACCAGGTTTTCCATCTTTTCCTGGCATTCCAGCGACGCCGGGAGCTCCCTCAGCTCCCATCGGACCAGGAGCTCCAACTCGCATCGAATCAGCTCCAGGACGTCCGGGAATGCCAGACATGCCCATCGGACCAGGCATTCCCATCGGTCCAGCTGTTCTGATCATTCGAATTCCAGGCTTCCCAGGCGGTCCTTGTCTTCCAATCTCTCCCATAGATCCTGGCAAACCAGCGTCTCCGCGAGGTCCAGGAGGACCGGGTGGTCCGCGATTGAACTCGGCAGAGGAGAGGCCAGGAGGGCCGTCAGGACCAGGGGCGCCAGGAAGGCCGTCTGGACCTGGAGGGCCAGGACGAGCTGGACATTCGAAGCACTTCGAACCTAGGCCGAAGCCGTCTTTATAGCCTATCGGAGACTGAGCAGGAGGCCCGGCCATGCCCGGAAGGCCTTCTTCGCCAGTTTCTCCGGGGAGTCCTGGCGGTCCGGGAGGTCCTTGAGGGCAGTTCTGGCTCTGCTGGCCGCAGTTGCACTGCTGCGACTGTCGTTTCGATCTTCCGAAGGAGAATAAGCGGTCGTTGGAAGGCGCACGCGTCGTCTGGACCATCTTCTGCCAGGCTTCTTGCTCGTGAAACTGCAAATGTTATTTTTGAATTCTTCAAGGACAAAATTCACAAAAAAGGAAACCTCAAAATCGTTCATAGTGTCGATGACGTCATAGTAAAAGGTATTAATTTCATTGAAAAGAAATCCCAAGCAGGAAATATTGAAGAGAATAACAGCGAAACTGACGCCGCAAGCCACTTTGGCCCAAAAGTCGACTGAGCCCATTTTCTTGTAGATTCTTCGGTTTCCGTCGTCTTTTATATAATCTCCAGATGTCTTTAAAACGCAGTCGGAAACCCATAACAGGCTGGTGAAAACTGATAAAACACTTGGAAACGAAATGGGAATGTGAGGAAAACCAGAACAATCAATTGCAGATCTTCATAATAAATGCCACTTGAATCGACTACCAATGTAAGCTGAAACTATTTTTCGTTTAAACTCAAACGAACTTTCAAACTTCAAATCGTATCTATCTAAACTTGTAATTTAGAAATCAGTTATTTACAAAAACTAATTCATTATTCAAATATAACAAGAAATAAGAATAGAACATAACAAAGTCCAAATCTTGGGTAAAAGAGATATGTTGCTTTATGTGAACTTGCTTCATACAATCTATGACAGGAGTAAGAATGAAATGATGGAATGTTTCGTCTCAGGTTTTTCAAACCAAAAAACAGGATTTCAACCAGATATTCAAATGAGTTCATCCGGGGGAAGTCAACCAGTGACAAAATATAAATGATAAATATAAGTGAAAGGTAAAGCCATCACATACCATTGACAACGGAAGATCGCGATATACATTAAGAGGAAGGAATGCAAAAAAAAGAAAGACAACCTTCATATTTGCCTCATTCGTTGAGACTTCAACGGTCTGCGCTCTCTTTTCTCTCGTTTTCATGCATTGTTTTCATTTCTTCATGATAGAGGGAAAAGAGAGCGCAGACTTGTCAGAATGTTGAAAATTGAAATCATAATGATGAGTTATATCAGCTTATTGCAATATACATATCTCCTATCCAAAAAAACCGAAAGACAGTTCAGCTTTATCGCAAATTTACAAATATTTTGGAATGGAGAACAGAAATGGTCACCAGCATGTATCGAGAAAACCGATCAGCAAACCGAAGGAGTGGAACCCAAAGGGACTGAAAAGGGAAAGAAGCATGCAATAAATAATTGTAAGAAGTGAATAATGTTGAAGGAGAAGATGGAAATGAACGAATCAGAGAGCCGCCAGCCAGCCGATGTACATCTCGGCGAGCCGGTCTTCATTGGTGGCTATGTCGATCAAAGTGGCCACCTGCTGCTCCACGCTCATCTTGTTCGCCAGGGGAACTTCCCGATAGACCTGAATGATGAAGTTGAGAAAGAGAAGAAGTTCTGAAGGACTGACGAGAGGCGAGACGATGTTGCCGGCCAGTCGGACATTCACCAGATGAATGGCGTTTTTCATTTTGTACGAGATGTCTTTGCCTCGTTCCGACTGAAAGTAAGTTATTATCTCCAGGTTTTTTTACGTTGGAAGTTTTTGAAACTAAGCAAAATTTTGATCTATTATATGATAAACCTGAAAAATATATGGAAGAATTCTGATTTTGAAAAAAAAACGGCAGCATTGTCATTTTCAGTATCAATTACCTTGATTCGCTTGAGGCAGCTGTCCAGCGACGGACCACTGACCAAATCCGGCAGCAGCGACATCGACTGAAAGATAGACTAGATGAAAGCTGGAGACGCAGAGAAACCTTGTCGATCCGGTAGCTGTGCTCGCGGAGCACAAGCAGGGTCTGTTCACAGACAGTGCGGAACTCGCCTTCGAGTCCGACGCGGCTCATTCCGTCGATCATGTTGCGTGTTAGTCGGAAGGGCACCGGCTGAGATTTTTTAGTGATCAATTCGAGATAGGGTTATTTCTGCGCCTTCTAAGCTTACAAGGGAAGTCCAAATAGACGCGTTTTCAAGATTTTTGTTGCCTTGTTCACTGCCGAATAAGAAAATTCCGCAACTTTTGCCTTTGACCCTACTTATAACCCCTCTCCGACATAAATTGAACCGCCAAAATTAGGTGTGTCAAAAACAGCGCATCCTTCGAAGGCAAAAAATTTTTCAGGTCGATATCAGTAAGCGCTATGAAGCATCTCAATATTCAAGTTTTTAAATTTTGACGAAAAATTTCTCTTTTTTTCGTGAATACCTCAGCAATTTGCGTGAAGTCGGCGACGTTGAAAATCGAGTCGAAGTCCACGTGGACCACCATTCCGTTGCGAGCATCGATCATCAGGTTTCTCGCATGTCGATCACCTGAACGCTGGTTTTCACAAGAAAGACACGAAAAAAGCTGACCAAGTCCGAAAATGAAGCCGATCATGGACATGACAGCCGCACTCTTGGCAAACTTTTTCCTGGAGTAGAACCATTTTCCGGGCTCTGGATAGGTGTCTCTAAAAAGACACTATTCCAAATGGAGAGCACCAAGATCTAAAGAACCTGAACCAACGAGCCATGACCAATGGGATCTCCTTGCAGCAAACGTCGCGGTAGAAGTCCTTCTTTCGGTCCAGAGACAGTTCGCCCCATTTTTTACCCCTTGGATGATATTATTCGCAGTTCTACTTGATGAACACCAACCAGAAAGACATGATTTCCTTGGTCAACTTGAGGTAAGGCTCCAGGACGCCCATCAGATTGTTCAGGCCGGGAACAAATTCGATCACGCCACCAAACTTCTGAATTTCCCCAATTTTTGAAGTTTTCTTCAGTTTTTGATGTTACCGCCAATGGAATGACACTGTAAGATCTCGTTGTCAAACGCAGCAATTGAGTTCTTTCGTCGTTCTTCAGCAACATGTTGCACAGCTGGAAAACGTTTTAGTTTCGACCATTTTTTTTTTGAGATTTTTTTGCCATTTATAAATTTAAGAAACTTAAAAAACACGTTTTTTGCTTCAATAAAATTACCATACTATTCCTTCTGCCTTTCTCTCACTTTTTCCTTTTTTTTCTTTCATTCCTTCAGTAATGTCTATTCAAAACTAACATTCATGAGGTTCATGAATTGGAAATCTTTGGTCAAATCATCTTCGCCCTTGAACATTATCTTCACAGATTCGCCAGTTCCCAGCCGGAATTCCACGACTTTCGGTGCGGTTTTCGAAGACAAGACCTTAAAATTGGTTTCTTCCGTTGTTTCGAATCAACCATTTAAAATATTACCGTGAACTTTTCTTCAAACTGATGGATACGGTAGGCATCATGGAGGTTGCAGGCGTGGGTGTACTCGTTTTCAGTGAGGGAATCGTTTTTCAGTGACTAAAGAGTGACAAGTAATTTCTTGGAGCTTGAGCCTATGGAACCATGTCAGAAGCATTAACGGAGCTGTCCATGTAGGACTTGATCGGAATCATGATTCCGAATCGAACACTCGGTCGATCGTGTTCTTTCCTTCGGCCGTACTCTGTAGAAAGACATCGTTTGACTCAGATTTCTGGTTTGAAATACCAATATGCGCTGGATCGTACTTCTTGTCTCGGATGAGGGTCTGCAGTTGAGGGAATCTTTTCGAAAGAGGCTCCTCATTCGTTTTTCTCTTCTCGCCGACGCTAAAAAATACTCGTTTTTCAAGAATTAAATCATTCCCCACATCCTCCCAAACTAAATAAAAAGTGAGTAAAATATTTTGAAATTAAAGCACGGAAATAACCTTTTTCATTTATTACACATACTTCTCCATAATTTAGTAACTTTTCAAACCTCATTGCAAAATTGGTGATCTAAACAAAAACAAATTTAAGAATATATAGACAGTAAAATTAAAATTTTGAGGGTCGAGGATATCTTTCAAGTTAACGTATTGATTAATCTCTTTCAAACAAACCATCATTTTTTTTAAATTCTCTTTCCTCAGATCATCAGCTTTTTACGTTCACATGGACCTTTGGCTAAAAAATTCCATCCGATTGGAAGCTGATTCAAAATTTTTAAGCATTTCTCAAGTAAAAAAAACTCACTCCAAGAAAACCCGAGCCGAGAAGTCGTATTGCTCGACGATGGCTTTGTACAGCTCGCTTTTCCGTTTCACAACGTCCAAAACTGCCTTGTATCTGAACCTCTTTCCTAAGAACCTGAAGCGGATCGAACTGAACCTTTCCGTTTTGAGTTGTTCATTTCCTCTGAGCAGATGGATGGATTGCCAAAGACAAACGTGAGGGTAACGGATGATCAACTGCACCATCATGTGCTGAAATTGAAGGGGAATGATGAACTTTATTCGTCTCTCGAAGAACCTTGATGATGTTGAAGACTTCGTCGTCGCGATGGTCGATCATGTGGACGAGAGTGGGGAAAGCAGCGTAGAGAACTCGCCAACCGAGTTCCTTGACGGCCTCCGAAATCTGGGCGTCTAAAGTTCTCATCTGCGTTTGGTAGTTGTTCGACGTCGCCGAGTTCTTCTTCTCGTCCATTTGCAGCTTCTGAATCGTACCAAAATGAAACTTAGCAATGTGATCTGATGAGCTATTACAAGAGTAAAACGAAGCTTAACTAAATTATTTTTGATGATTCTCAGAGAAAAAAAGTGTCTCAGAAAAACAGACAGCTGAGCGATCCGAAAAAGTTTCTGTCATTTCTCAACGTCGTTCGAGTGAAATTTCCGAAGTTAATGACGTTTTCAACAACTTTTTCCAGCCCTGATAATAATAGGGTTAGGTGTCGACTGTATTAACCCTACAGTGAACACTCGAGGCGCGAAGAGTCCTTGCTCAAAATTCACTCAAGACACAATGAAGGAAGAACGATAAATTCAATAAAAAGTTCAAATTTTTTCGAGCTCATTTTTCAATGTTAGGGTCAGAATTAGCATAAATTTGGAAGATTTCGGCGAAATTTCCTGCGAATACACTTACCACGTTATTGGTGACGGTTAGCCAAATAGATATCAGACGCGTGACGGCCTGGTCAGCAAACTCCTGGTTCCTCTCGTGTTTCGCCACATCTCGGTAGCCTCTCATAAGGGCCAAACAGCTCTCCGGTCGGTTCTGAACTCCGGAATCTACATGAAAATTCGGGAGTAGCCACGCAACCGGAGCCATGCCGTGGACAAGGAAATCGAGGTACCAGACGACGTCGTACATCTCTCCGTGGGGCGCGAATGCGTACAACAAGTGGGCGGTGTCTTCTCGGATCTGGTCGAACGTCGTCGCTTCTCCCGACTTGATGATGTGGCCGATTCGCAGCTTTTGAAGCTAAAAAGATATCAAATAGAATATTCCGAAATTAAAAAATAATTTAGAATACCGAAGTGAAAAGAGACTGTTCGATGTGGGGAATCTTCTGAAGTGCGGCCCGTGCTTCTGTTTTTTTGTTGACGTCTCTCATCTTGCGGAACTTCTCCAGCACCGGGCTGAAGTTCGTTTCCAAGATGCGCTCGATGGCCGTCAGTCCTTTCTTGAAGTTGTCCTACAAACGATTCTTATCGAACCTTTTCAAAAACTCCAAGTTTCAAAAAAATTTCAATATTTTAATGAAGTACGATTTATTCTCACAATAATATAATATAAAGGATATTTCGTCCAACAGACCTGCTGCAACTCGAGTTTGGCCTCTTCGATGGTCAGCTGATTGCAGTAGGGAACGAGTCTCTGCGCGTTGCTCATCAACAAAAAGGCTCTTTCGTAACATCCAGCGGTTCTCCAGATCTTGGCGCTCTGGAAAACTTCAAGGATGGAGTTCACTCTTGACGCCAAGAACCTCAAGATAACATTCGGCGACGGCCCTGTCGAGGCGGTAGTCGGCTGAAGGCGTCTGGTCTCTTCGGATGCTCAGAACTGTCCTTCGGCATCGATTGACGTGGTCGTCGATCTCAATGTTGTGATTCGACCTCAATGAACGCTTCTGAAAATTATTTCGAAAATTGCAGAAAAAGGAGCTTGGGACTGAAGTACTTAATGAAAAAGAAACATCGCTTGTTCTGTTTTGAAAAAGTCCTTTGAAACGGCTAAACAACTTTTTTTTGGTGTACTTTTTTTGCTCTTGCTGGGAAAAAGAATATGAGCGACCGAAATTAAGTTTGAGCAAGAAAGATGAATCAAAATGCAAAATTTTCAAATTTCCGACTTCTTCTGCAAACTTTTCATACCACGGGCAGTGTCCAAACGGACTCAAAAAGGCTTCAAAGAGAAAAGTCTGGAGCTCTTTTTTCAATTCCTTAGTGCCAAAAGTTTCTCTGAATCTCCTTTTTCCCGTCTTCTTTTTTTTCTTCTAAAAGGCTTTTTTTAAAAAAGGTCAACAGACAGAAACCTGTAAGGGCTTTTGAAATTTCTTTTTTTTTAAAAGCTTCTATTTAGGTCCTTCAGGACTATGTCCGTTAAACTGGTAGAGAAATCTTGGAATCATGAAAAATGAGAAAAAACGTGCCACGATCCGTTTCCACATATCAGATTTGGCGTTTGTGAGTTCGGATTGGTCAGATTCGAGGATGTCCTCGGCGTTCGACACGACGTTGTGTCTTCAAATGTCCCGATCTTTTTTCGCCAGCTTTTTCGACAACTTACGCGACAATCATGGGCAAAATTGTGGCGTAGGAGGGAGAACCGATGAGAACGGCCGTTTTCATTTCATCCAGAATCGATTCTCTACAACATTTATCTTAGAATATATAAAGTTTCCGAAATTTCTAGAAGAAAGCTCTAACATCATTAGAACGCTCTTGATAGTTCTATCATTTAAATTGTGCAATAAAAATTGTTCGAGCTTGCATTTTGAATCGAAAATTAAGAAAAACAAGCTCAAATTTTCCAATTCCACTCAAAGCTCAAAAAGAAAGAAGAAAGTTGATTGAAGCAACTGAAGCACTCTCATGAGGCAAAATACCACTCTCAAAATGAAATTCCATGTCAAAACTGATGAAAATTTGATGATCACCTCGCTTGATTCGCAGCCATCTTCATCAAGTCTATTCTTCTCGACTGGAAGTTGGAATACATAAGAGCGAGATCAGCGAATCGAGTCCAATCCTTCCGGGAGTTCACATTGTGCATCAATGTCTTCTTTTGGTCAAATTTCCGCTGAAAAAAAAAACATTTTGCTTCAATGATCTCGATCCTCTCAAAAAAAAACATGAACAACAGCTGGCTCAATTTTTTATAAGTTTCAAATTTTATGAACGTTGTGATACACAAAGTTCAGTACATGTATGCAATTTTATGGGTACTTTTTTCAACTTTTTTAAACCCGTCTTTTCTCATTCGATGAAACCCAGTTGTAAGAAAACTTTCCGAATTTAAAATATAAAAAAACCCACAGCATCGAGGTTTCTCTTTTCGCATTCTCGGAGCACGTTGAAGGCCTTCAGTTTCGCGTCCTTTTCTTCTTGGGTGTCTTTTTCCGGATCTTATTAACTCCAAATTACGAGACACTTACCTTGATCAGCGTCTTGGAGCATGAGGGCGTTGAAAGTGGCCGAGAGTCTGTCCAAAGCTTCTTGATTCTGAATACCTCCTGATTACAGAACGAGAAGACGATTGAAACCGAGGCAACGGTGATGGTGTCGTCGAGTTTGTAGAGAGACCTCGCGATGCCGACGTCGCCTCGGAACTCGGCGAGCAGGATTTTGCCGGGGATGTGGTCCGGCTCCACCTGCATGAGACACGTCGCGGCGCCACGGCAGCCGTTGAGATCCGCCACGCGCGTGTAGTACTTCTGAATGCAAAACTTGCACGGAAAAATTTGAGATCTTATTTTCCAATTATTGTAAAAAAAAGGTAGTTTTTTTTTTGTTTCCTTGAAATTTATGACCATAGCAGTCAGCTTAGTTGATAAAAAATCAAATAAATCTGGTCTTTTTTAGCAAAGAACTATATTGTAGAAATGAATGAAAGGAATTATAGATGAATTCGGAAAATCACCAAAAAAAAACCTGAATGAGAAAGTAGAAAATGGTCTTCTGCTTGCGATCGATCTCCCTGTTCTCCATGTACAACTCCAGCCTCAAAACATGAAACCTTAGAAATGTCGTTCAAAAGACGAAATTCACCATTGGATTGAGCGATGTTCCTGGCCAACGCCGTCTGCGACAACCGGCAACAACGGAATGCCGTTGTCGTCCATCATTTCCAGCATTTTCATCGTGAACGACTTTATCCGTTTGATCAGCTACAATAAGGGCATTTCTATGTTCGATCTATCAATCTTTTTCTCTGATTTTGAGCTTGAACCTCTTGCGCAGGAACTTCATACATGGAAAAAATTATTTAGTATTTCAATAATTATTTGGGCTATTTCAACTTTGTTTTGAAAGTTTTTGATTTTCAATTTTTTGTTTCCTTTTAAGTTTCCGAGTCCTAAAAAAGTCATTAGTTTCCCTTTCGTTGCTGAAATTTCAATTTATCAAGTTTTTTCCTCTCACTTCTTCATTCTTCTCCAAACACCCAGGCCGAACGGCCCACTGTAAGTAGTCGAAAAGATAGAAGATCGACTGGACGGCATAAGTCGTGATCCATTTCGAGGCAACTGGATAGATCGCCCTTTTCAGCAGACAGCGGAACTCGTCGATCAACTATAATTTCCAATTTTATTCACACTTTACTCGGGAAACCCCACCGAGGCATGATCCTTTTCAGGCCTTGTCGAAATGTAGTGGAGGACGACTTTGGGCAAAAGTTTCGCACACAAATAAATGTCGTAGATGTATGGCACGCACCGCAATGGAAGCATTGCCGTGTCGCACTGAAAGATAAATAATAATTAATTAAGAAGTCAAAAATGTTCTCAATAAAAATTAGGAATGTTTTCAAAACTAGAAAAACTAACATCGCGAATACAGAACATGAAGATTTGCAGCATCCAAGTGTAATAGTCTCTGACGTATTCAATAAATGGCCTGAAAGTCTTATTTTTGAAAAGAACCGACGATTATTGAGAGATCGTAGTGTCTAATTTTCTTTAAAATCCAAGGAAACACTTTCAAAAGTCTATGGACTTCGAAAATAGAAAACCCCCTTTTTTTTCGTCAAGATTTCCAAAAATAGACTTAATCTAACTTTTAATCTTCTAAGTTTCTATTAAAAATTTTTTTGATCTGTTCAAAAATAAAAAAACCTAAGAAAAAAACAATTTCGAAACTCCTATTTTAAAATTTTTTGAGGGTTTCACATTTGTATTTACAAAGCCAGTTCAATATTTCTGTTCACCTGTTCACCACAACCATCGGCAGATCTTTCCTCTTGGAACTTCGTCCGTAGCACAGCTTCAAACCTTCCAACATCTTCCTGTCCAATCTGAACAAGAACTTCCCGTTTCAAAGAAAAAGACCAGGGAACAACGTGTCCAAAGTTTTGATATTCCGAGGAGAAGCGTGCAGATCGTAGAGGACTTTTTCCAGGTACTCGTAGGCGTCCGTCGTCGGAGAAACCGTGTAGTTCTCGGCGAAAATCGCGATTTCCATGAAGACGCCGTCGTTCATCTCAAATATCGTTCAGTTGGTGGACGTTTCGAGAAAAAAGGGCAAAAGATGGCCCACATAAGAAATTTCTTGTGAATAAAAAAAAGGGGGCAAAAGGTGCTGAAGAAAGGTGAGAATAAACAACTCAAAAGTTATTATTTACGACATCTTTTTAACGTCTTTTTCATTCTTTTTTTTTGCTTTTTTGTAAACTCTTTTCTGTTTTGAAACGATAAGTACAAAAAAACTCTTCAAAAAATAATAATCTTTCACCTTTGACGGATTCACGTAATATTCCTCGTGTTTCCTGTCCCAGCGTACATAGTCCAGATCGATCTGAGATTCAGAGGTTTGAATGAAATACAATTTTCCGAATCACCTCTTCCGGGTCCAAAATGCCGAATTCGGGAATAAGTCTGACTGCGTTCATCTCCCTCCCCAGGTTTTGATTTACAAGAGGTAGAATCGCTTTTGTCTGGAAATAATTCATTTAAAGATGATTTTCCGGATGAAACCGACCAATTGGACCGTCTGCTTTTTCGTGTAAATCTCTTTTTCGTTGTACTCTCTCATTCGGATTCCCAGACTCTTTACCGGTAGCCTCGAATAGTTTCTCAGTAAGTCCAGCCCTGAAAAATGATCAAATAACTGACATCAGTTGCAGAGGAACACTTTTGCTATGAATTCATATATTCTGTGTGTCACGATTTGAAATTTCACCGAACGACATTCCGCTGTTCCGCTGCGTGCGTTCGCGAAGCGTTTTTCGAATCTAGGTCACGATTTCATTGTTATTGCTGTGAAAGTAGAGTACCATAGTAAAAGAAAAAAAATAATAAAAAGCGCGACCAAGGCTCGCAAAGGTCGCAAGACCAAGGTGGCACAGCGGAATATCGTTTGGTGAAATTCCAAGTCGTGGTACACAAACTATACAACACGTTGAACTGAGTTTTTTGCTTCAATAAAGTCTAAATTTTTTCTTTTTGAATTCAAGGTCAATCTCTATGGAAATCTGAAAATTTAGTAAAATTTATCTGAGCCCCATTGTCATTCTTTGCATCTTGAAAGGTAACTCCAAGGTTTTTCCCAATAATGAAATTTTAAATTATGGACTGTAAATACTTCATCAAAAGAAAAAATGTGTTCACAAAACCTAAAAAAGACTCCGTGGATTTTTTTTTTCAATTTTCGAGGAAGTCGGTTCTAAATGACTTTTTGGTGTTAGAAAAACGCAGAAGCATTTCTAAATCAACACTATATTTATTTTTTTTTGAAGTCAATTCCTATCGTCACTTTTTCCAATCAAACAAATAAATAATAACCAGTTGAAAAATCGAGGGGAGAGTAGGAAGTGTGTTTTTCGCTGAGCATCTTGTCAGTCGCCGCCGAAATCATGGGCCACGCGATTTTCTTCAATTCAGGCGTCCTGTAAGAACCTTCAAATGAGCTGATAAAACAACTCGTCAAACGTTTCGACAGGATAAATCAGGGATTCGAAACGCTGCAAAATGATGTTGTACCGTGGGTCTGCCCCATTCCCGAGTCGTTCCAAATCGATCAAAATTCGCATAATGTACGCTTGGAGCGTCCTAGACGAAGGATTGACCCGGAAATGAAAGAAAGAACAAACTCTAGGGATATATTATCCAGGATCAAAGTGTAGATCTCGAGAACGAATTTGGATTCGGCCGGCGCTGTCCGGAGGACTGACAGAACAATCCAGAGGGACTGCGAGGAGCCTTATTGAGAACTTCGAAACGAAAAGGCAAAAAACTTCCTCCAGGAACTTTTCGTCGAAAACTTGCAGGAGAAAGCTGAGCGATTTGGCGATCTCGCATCTGACTTCGAGCTTGTCGTCAGCCAAAAAAGAGCGTCGGAACTCCAGGAAGTAATCCATTCCTTCGTTTCTGGAAGAACACTATTCACAGGCTCAAACGTGTTCATTCACTTGTAGCGGAAAATCTCCATCATTTCGAAGCCGGACTGGCATTTGGACCTGTAGATGGACATCATCATCAGCGAGAGCCAGTACGTGTCCTGTTGAATCTTCATTTCTATCTGTTCTTCTCACTCTAAAGACCTTGTCGAAGAAAACGAAAGAAGCGTGCAGCAGGCCCACAGTCATGACTTCCTTCCGACGAAACGCAAGAGCTTTATCCTGCGAAAAAGCCGGTTATTTGAAATTCGAAGATTCGCTTCTGACCAATGAGATGTCGCAATAGCTGCGGAAAAAGTCGTCGATGAACTTGTCCGGCGGCACCTCGTACAGAACTTCGAACATGCGTGGGAAGCACTGAAACAACTTCTTAACAAAAAAAATATGAAGTTTCAATATTTTAGTAGTAAACATTTCTGGGTCACATCTTTGGTCTCAAAATATGCCTTCATCTGGTAATAATTTTGATTGAATAATTTGGTGGGATTTGAAGGTGGTGGCCTAAAAGAATCAAAAGACAAAGATCCATCGTCTGCACGATTTATCCTTTTCGAGAAAGTTCAAAAATACAGCAGAAACGTTTGACCAAACCAATGACATTATTTTCCCAACCGCTTGATTTGAATAGCCTTTTATGACAAAGTTCCTGTCTCTAGTCTTAATTAGAAGGAAGAAATTCAACATTTCAACACAAAAACATGGATCCTTTTTTTGACTTATGTAAGAATTTCTTCCAACTTCTCGCGGTGAGTCTTTTCCTCTTTCAGTTGGCCTTTCTCTCTCCAAAGCTTTCCGGTTTCGAAATTTCTCAAATCAATTTTCACGAGCCTCCAGAACGTATTTTTGCCGCAAAGCCCTCAAGTGACTCTCTGTCCGTTCGGCGTGTGTCGTGAGGAAAGTTTCGATGATGAAGTCCAAAATGGGCTCGGCTCGATTTTGGTCGAACGGCGCCCACATAAAAAGCCTCGGCAGCAAAACATACTTGATGTCGTTGACAAACCTGGAAAAGAACCATAATCAGATGATACACTTGTTTTTCGTTCAATTTGGTAGATTTTCTCAAATTTCTTAAAGTTTCGCACCAATAATAAGCTTTTTATAGTTCTATGTTTTTTGATTTCACTAAGATGTTGGAGTGCAAAACTTGAAGTATCAAAATAAAAATGATTTCATATTTCTTCTAAACAACATTAAAGTACATTTTTTTCAAGAATAACATTTTTTTTACTGCAAGCTCTTACATGTACAAGGAGTTGAAGTCGAACAAGAAGCAGAGCTTTTGGAGTTTGTAGTAGATCTCATCCTTGAAGGTCGCCGAAATGTAAACCGGGTCGTTCCTCAGCATGGCTATGATGTCTGTCACGACTTGCTGCAAATCGAGAGCCATACAGAAAGAGTCGATTTGCAACACTACCCTGCAATTGCTCATGAACCAGCGGCGACGAGTTTCCGATGGGCGATGAGGGACGCCCGATCGGTGTTTTATCTTGTAAATCTTGACCAGCGTACTCTTCGCGTCGAACCAGGTTGGGAAAAACGTCTGAACAATTTGAATTTATCAATTCACAGCAACTTTTTTTTGAAATTGTTAACAAGGAAGTTCATTTTACTTCGCGGTTAGCAATTCCCTGAAAATTTACCAAAAAGCTCATTGATGTTTCAGAAGACGATTCTGAAAGTTTCTAAAACTTTTTTTTATGATTCTTTTTTTGCTGAAAATTTTAAGTCTGTAAATTCTGAAACACCTGCAAAATTCTTTCATTTTCGAAAAATAAAGGCTCAAAGCCCCAAAATGGCCTATTTCAAGTTTAAACAATTTCTTTGAATTCAAGGTGTCGTGATTCAAAAAAATATAAAACTGTGCAAATTGAGACTTTCGTGATCTTTATCTAGTACATCAAGGAGAGTTCCGAAAAATTTTTAAGAAATTCCAAACCGCGAAAAAATATAACCTCCCTTGTAAAAAGTGAAACAATACGCAAAGAAGTAACTATAATTATGAATAATATTGACTGAAATGCGTACATTCTCAGCCGGATTCGACTCGATACATTTCCGGATGTAGCTCTTGGTCGCGTTTCCTGGATCGAAACCTTCGCTGAAAAAGTTTTGTTGAAAACTTTTAGAAAATAAATAATCTGACCAGATGAACATTTCGAGAAAAGGAGCCGCAAACTCAATGGAATCTTTCTAAAAAATCGAGAAATGATTAGAAGTTCAAAAAGAAGAAGAAAACGTCCGGCCGTCTGATGTAGGTGGATTCGAAGGTCATCCGGATGCTGGAAGACAAAACCGAAGCGACGCTCACGTCTTTTATGAGCAGCTCGAACAAACTCCTGAACATGAAATTTGAGAGGAAAATAAAGTGTCCATGTTTGAAATTTTTTTTCTGCAAACGAAAAGTGAGGAGAAGCCCGAAATTTTCTAAATTTTTTTTAAACTCAAAATATGCTTGGAAAAAACTTTAATGAATTGATGTTCGAAAGATAAAGTTTGTGTGAAACATTTCTCCCATTTTTTTGGAATGGAATTTTCGAAAAAAAAAACTTCACTCAGTACGGAGCATTCTAAAAACACAAAAAAACCTACTTATATTCCTCACGGACAGTTGGATTCGGCGAGAAAATGAATTGATAAGACATCTTCCAAATTCTGAAGAGGGAAGGTCGAGAAGAATGAATGAAGAGAACGCGGAGAAAACGCACAACAGCTGCAAAAAAAGACTTCCTGTTGAGGTATCGAGCCCTGATAATATAGCTGAACTGAGGGAAATATTTGATAAAACTAGGAAATTGAAGAATTCGAGGCACGTGGAAACACAATTGTGTTCTATTGATAAGGCAATAACGCATCACCAATTTAGGATTTTCGAACTCCAATCATCTGCAAACATACGCAAAGACTCTTCAGTCTCGCAGGTATACGCCCATTCAAAGACACTCGCGAGGAACGGCCGGACTTCCTCCAACGAAAAGTGTCGCTCCGGGTCGAAGGAGGCGAATTGGTTTTTCTCATAGCCCTAAGACGGCAAGTCTGAGTTTTCGACTGGAAGGTTGGACCAACATCCGATTTGGAGCATTCACGGCACTCCTTGGCCGTGATACTGCAGTTGCCGGTGGAGATGCACAGAAGGTCGGCGATCAGGGTCAACGACGCCAGGACAGAGACGGACTCTTTCTGGACGCATTCCTGTGCCAGGATGCCCTTGGCGAAGGAAATCGAGTACTGTGGATTTCGAAGAACAAACGTCGGCAAACAGGGGATCAACGTCTGAAGTTGGCATTTGAACTTGCCAAATCAAAATGGTCTTAACAATTTTGAAATTCAAATTTGAATCAAAAGTATTTTTCAATCTATTATTTTCGATACCTAAGATGTTTCAGATTCTACTTTAAAAAAAACGACTGGAAGATAACCTTCGATCCTCAAAGCCAGGCGGTCTAAAAGGAACAAGGCAACAAAAGAAAAAAGTAAAGGAAAAAAAAATCTTATTATTAGTTCATTTCAAGTCAGAAAAACGACTACAACGCAGATTTCTTTTTTTAACGAAAGAATGAAATTTATGATGAAAAATTCTCGAAGAGAATTCACCTCGATGTATTCGCGATTGTTGGCGTTGATGGCGCATCGGATGACTTCGGAGACCCATCTGACGTCGGTCGTCGCGTTCAGGAAGCAGATCGACTGCAGGGTCAACGAACGGACATAGTTATCTGGGATTTTCTTGTGAACGACCCGAAACTACGGCATTCTGTACCCATGACTGAGTCCAAGACAAAAGCTTCGCGCGTCAACTGAATGTAGCTCTTCGGCTCGTCAGGTCCGATGTGAAACCGTATGTCAGTGATGAAACTTTGAGAAGGCGCTTTCACTTTCTGAAAACATTCATATATCGTAGGAAAGGAGTTTTCCAAATTTCCGAAATAAAGTTTTAGACTAATTGTCATTAAAGTTATTTTTTAGAAATTTAACTCTCCAAAAACTCAAAAATTGGACCGATGTACTTTTTATAAGATTTAAATAAATTCGATCTTTTTTGTAGGGTGATTTTTTAAACGTTTTTATGTAATAAAAAATACTCAATTTAGTCCCGAAGCTTGACGAAACTCACAGTAATCCAAGGCAACGACAAAATCGTGACCCAACCGCGGAGATCAGTTGGAGACTCTATCGCGGCGATCGACACGGCGTAGTAATACCAAATCATCCGTTCCAACTTTTGCTTGTCCGACACATCGGCTCTGCTCCGACACGATGTGATCATCTGCAGAAAAGAAGACAGCGTCAAACTGTTGCATTTTTTTTCCGGAAAAGGCACCTGCCACAGGGTTTGCTGCGTCGGCATGAACAACTTGAGATAGTCGGCTCGCATGTGGTGAGCGCATCTGAACACGGTTTTTCTCTCTTGCTGATGAGGCTTAACCAGCCGAACTATCAAGGGGATATTTTCCCATATTAAACCCGTATAAGCACAGCTAGGCGGACATTTTGCATTTTTGCACCACAGTTTAGGCGCCGTTTTGGGACAGACTTCGAAATAAACATAGCTGTGTCACCTATTTTATTTCTTGTACCCGTTTTTCCCCGTTTTCGCACAACTGAGACTCAAAAAGCCTCAACAAATACGGGTTTAAGACACCTGTTGAGACACCTAGTGAGCCTGAGAGTTTCTTTCCAGGAAGGGGAAAAGCAAGGCCTTTTCTTTGATTTACAAATGGAACAATCAGACTTGGCAGCCAGGGTTGCACAGAAGAAAACTAATTTTAAACAGACAGCGAAACTTTTCTCGTTTTCTGAAACTTGTCTCTGATTAGACTTGAGAATCTTTCCCGTTTAATTTGATCCCCAGGACTTCTCTCTCAAGATGATACCCCGCTAATTGATAAATTGGTAGCCACGTAATCGTTATCAGTAGATGAGAAGCTTCAAAGTTTGATTGTCGACAAAAAAAAACCACGTTGATAAATGATGCACTTGATAAAAAAAAATGACCCCTAAGTAACTTTGGCAAAGAATAAACGACTAACAGAGAGTGAAAAAAACAACGATATTTTGAAGAAAGAACTAATTTCGATTTCCCCGAACTACTTTGAACGCGATAGAGCAAACTTCTAAAAATCCTATCAAGGGAGGTCATTTTACTTATCGGTTGATAGTTTACTGAAACTTGGCCGAAAAAACTGTATCAGTAGAAGATTCTGAAAGTTTCAACCTGCATAAATTCTTTGTTTTCGAGCGATAGGGGCTCAAAGACGAAATAGCTCATTCCAACGGATTTTGAAGGGTTTCCTAGATTTTGAGGTGTCCTTTCTCAAAAACTAGAAAGTTGAGACTATTAGAACTTTCTTCTGGTACATGAAGAAGTATCTGACCTTTTTTTCAGGAAAATCGAAAAGACAAAGTAAAATGATCTTTCTCTCAACGGTATAACTAAAATGGCGACCATTGTTTGATGACCAGTATGAAAGTTTTTTCTGAATTCTTTTTTGTTAGAACACCTTCTAAAAAGGTATATGATTGTTTCTCACTTGTTGAAAACGAGCATCATCGCCGTGCGGATAAAGAAAGCTCTTTCGATCCTGGCATCGTAGAGCTCGGGAGCGATTTCTGGGAGGAACTTTCCGTCGCCGATTATCGTCTCGATCCACTTGGACATTTCTTCTGGAGGGACACTGAAAAGGGGAAGAAAAAGTCATTTTCAGACGGATCTCGGAAACTTCATCCGGGCGGTGAAGTAGAAAAGAATGTCGACGTATGGCGCCAGACAAGGGAGCATCGCCAGGCCTTCTCGGCTCATTGTGTACTTGGCGAGTCGGATCTCGATCAAATCCTTGAAAAACATGCGATTCGAGAGGAAAACAGATCTTTCATAGAATATTCCCAGATGTATTGAAATAATATTCTAAATTTCACGTTCCTGAGTCTATCAGATTGGAAGTTTAGGATAAATTCTAATCTTTTTCGTTTTTCTTTGATTCATGAAACGGGGCAAATTTTGAATGAGATTATTTTTCCTTTCCAATTTCTCAACTCGATCTCTCTTTTTTACATCAACTCGAGGCACCTTGCAAATTCGAGAATAGTGCGACCATCGGGCCAATGACAGCCCAGCGACGTGTTCGGTGCAGAAAAGCGGCAGAAATTGCAGCTGACTCAGCATCGCTTCCCACATCTCTTCGACCGGCTCCAGCTCTGTCTTTTCTTCTGAAAAATTGACAAACGTAGTGAAATCGGAAATGAATTAGAATCAAGCTGAAAGTGAAATTTTTTTTATGTTAAAAAAAGAAGAATAAAAATATAAGAAAAAAAGATACTGAAAGTTTCACTCTTTAAAATTAATATTTCTTCAAAGGGCTAAAAAGTCTGGGAAGTTTCTACAGACCTCGATGATTTTCTTTGACTTTGAATTGTTTTTTTTTTCTCTGAAAAGAAAATTAGAGTAAGTTGAGAATTTCTGTTTTTTTTTCATAAATAGGGGAAGATTGTCTTTTATGAAAGCATGGTCACAGCCTTGAACCATTAAAACAAGGGAAAAATATAAGAAAAAAAATTCACTATTGATATAATTAGAAAAAAATTTTTTGCGCTGGAATCACAAGTTTAAAGATGAAATAAGGTGAAACAAGATCAATACAATGTTTTTTTTGTAAACGATAAAATGAAGAGAATTAAAAAAACTAAGGGAAAGAAAGAACGTTCAGGGGATTCAGTCAAGCTAGATCTGGAAAAAATGCTTTCAGTATTGAGAAAAATCTAAAAAATTGCATTCAAATAAATCAAGTTATCTCAACCTTAAGAAACCTTCCCTCAAAGCAGTAAAAACGGACCATTATTGTCTAGAATGGTGAAAATGCGGTCGAGAAGAGTGAAAAGCGTTTCTGAGCCTTCAGTTGTCTGATATTGGCCCGTGTAATACTCCTCGCAAACGTTGTTGATCGCCTGAAAATAGAATTCGTTTTCGTGAAGATGTTGTGTGGATTCTTTGAAGGTGAATGCGCATTCAGGAAATTGACAGTGATTGCGAAATTGGGCAAAACCATTTCCACTTATGAAAATTATTTGATAGATGTTTCGTGTAGATTATTTTTTAATTCAAGATATAATTCCCGAATTTTTCAAAAACCTAGTCGTGAACGGCAAGAAAAACTTCGCACAGTTATTTTAAAGCAAACTACTTTTCTGATTCCTGCCCTGAAGATTGAAAAAATTATATCCTCTTTATAATTTTTGAAAGTACACCAAAGAGGACAAAATTCTGATAGTAATAGTTGCATTTTCTTCACTTTTTTGTCACTAGCTGAACCTGGAAGCATTCTGTGAACTCTTTGGAAAGGCTTTTGTTGGCTCTGATTGGTCGGGCAGCGGCCAATTGGAAGTCGACGAGAAGGAAGGCGCTTTGAATGGCTACCGTCTCATCTCCCAGCACTTCGATCATCTCCCGCAGTATCGCGACGCCTTCCTGAACACATTATATGATAACAAATATAGTTCTTGCAGGCCTCCAATACAATAGGAACACTGGAAAGTTCAGACGAAAAAAATCACAGATAAGCTAGATCTGATGTAGTTTGAAAAATTTTTTATATGAATTCTAATCTCTAATTAGGGGAATTTTCTCGACCCAAGTTGAACTTTTGATGAAACTCGGCTAAATGCTTGTTAGCCTCTCCTAACTCCAGAAAAAGGAAAAAAAGTCTCTCGCAGTGTATTTTATTATAGATTAATGAAGCTTAAAAGTTTGCAAAATACGCACAAAAAAAAAGCTAAATTTTTCCCTAAAGTGCGTTCTAGCAAAGTTTCATCCAAATTTCAACTGGGGCTTGATAATGTCCGCCCGTCTCACCATCCCGTTGATTAATTCCAGAAAAAACAGTATCCTAATAACCTCTAATTTCTTGAAAATTAAACCTTATTCAGAATATTTATTGACCCAGTTCAATGTACGTTTCTCTCTCGAAACTTTCAAGTTATTTCTTACAAAAAATGATGCGAAGTCTGATTTCGTTTTCAAAAACAAAATAGAGAATCGAACGACCTCAACAAGGACTGGAAGAGTGAAGACTTGGATGGCGACTCGGGCGGCCTTGTAGAGGATTTCTTTCTGTTTCCGGGTCCATCTGACGGGAAGAATCCGGGTGTTGGGCCGATCATCGCTCATCCTCACAGAACCTCTTTAAGAAGGCTTTTTTAAGGAAGAAAAAAGATGATTTATTTTCAACATTTTCGAAGAACACTTCGACAAGAAATAATGCTTTGAAATCGTCTAAACTTACAGCAAAGCGGCAAATATATAGCCCAGGTTCATTCTGTGGTTGTCGCCATTCAATTTCAACCGAATTTCGTCGGGAAACAGTTTGACGACTGATTTTGTCGCTTTCAAGGCACACCGGTACTCCATGGCTCTCGAAACAGCTGAAAAAAAAAATAATCGATTCAGGTGAAAGCTTTAAGAACTGTTTGAAAACAAAATTGCTAAACTACGCGCCGTAATCTGACTTTTTCAGAAACGCACGAAAATACGATTTTAAGTACTTTATACAGGGAAGAACTTGCAGATGAACTACAGAATTCAACATTTTTAGGAGAAACAAAGCAAACCAGAAATGACGCCCACTGCGATTCTTCCGTATCTGTCAAAGTCCCTTGTTTTCAAGCACATCGTTAAACTGATGATGAAAGGCTGAAAAAAATGTGAAGCTATCGAAATAAAACTCTAAACTCACCTTCAAAATAATACACATAGCTTCGCTTTCTTGGATAGTCAGGGCTCGGAGACAGGAATCCATGTAAGACTTTATCATATCTAAGCAGAAAATTCTTGCTAAAGAGTGATGATCTATCAAACCTGCTGAAAACTCCTCCGTCTCATCGATCATGAACAAGAGCCTGTCGCAAAAGTCGATTGAAAACCTGTGAAAATGATTCAAAAATGTCTTCCAGGGGTAACGAACGTCATCTCGGCGATTAATTGTCCTCTATCAGCATCTCCTATTGGCCTCTTCCCCATATTGTCCAAGAGTGTTTGAATATTCGCTCTGGCGTATCCAACCAGCCTTAAGAACCATTTTAAAGTAGTACTTCCGTATTAAAGTGGAAGTGAAGACTTTTTTTTCGCGATAGCATACTGATCTTCAAAAAGTCTGCAGAATTCCCAAAAAACCCACTCCTTCTTTTCCTCCGGGTCTGAGCTCATGACGAACTCTCGACATTCCTTCGTCATGAAACCTGTCAACAAATAGTACGCCCATTTTTCCTCGAGAGGTTGGCTCGAACTCGCTCCTTGTGCCATTTAGAACCAGTTGTCAAGACGTCATGAAAGTTACCTAGAAGCGAAAAAACCTTTTGTAAAATAGACTAAAATAAAAAAGGTCTACACGAGAAGAAAAAACGATTACAATTATTAAAGAACAAGATTTTTTATTCTTTTCAACAGTTTTGAGCGACCCATAATGTACTATTGGTTTACAACTGTATGAAAGAAAATAAGATAGTCGAGAAGAGAATTGAAAAATGCATAAAAGATAAGAAAACTTCGGAAATCCAAATTTTAAAAGTATTTTCGCGCGTAGAGCAAGTGTCTGCTCCGCAGTAACACGCCCGAAAAATGCCATGCTATCAGAAAAAGAAAAAAGAAATTTCATTTCGGTGCCTCTAGAAACTACTTTACGAGTAGAACGCATTGACAGGCTGTTTTGAAATTTGGAAGGATCTCTGTGGAATTGCTACATTCCCATCACAGATTTTTAAATTTTACCAGCTCTTACAAAATAAAAATTTCTTAAAATAAGAAGGAAAAAATTTATTAGCTTTTTTGGTGCACTTGATAACTTTTACAAAATGAAGGTCGAAACTGAAAAAGTTTTGTTTGACATCATCTATCATTTTTTTTTCCATGGTAGAAAACCAAAGACAAGTGTGTGAAAAAAAAAAAACAAAGACTGGCAGCACTTTCATTTAACTTTCGATTTCTTTGATGCTGCTAACATGTCGCAAAACGTTTTTCTGTGAGAAACAAAAAGAAAAATAGGCAGCTACTCGAATGAATCCTTCACTTACTCAAATGAGAAGAAACATATGAAAGGAAGTTTCGAGAGAGGCAGTAGCTGGGTAATCAGACAAGGAAAAGAGAGAATTAGTTGAAACAGGGTTGTTAAGAAGAAATCGTCTTGACAACGGCTGCTCTGCGGTCGGATTGGATCCTTTTGAACCCGACCACGGGCTCATCTCGTGACACAACATCGAAGAAATGGTGGCACTTTGGCCTGTCGGAAAAGAAAAGGCGGAAAACCATTAATGGCTCTGAAAGCATTGATCTTTCTCGTTTTTGTTCATGTCAGTGAGAGTAAGAGAAGATTTAAAGTAAGAAAAATAAGAATCGCATATTTTTTTTCATAAAAGTCAACTCCACATTGAAATGAGTATTATAAATTACGAAGTGAAAAAGTCTCAACTTGCTATTATTTTGTCTCAAAGTCCTTTCCTCGAAAGCTATTCGTTAGAGACCCGGAATGATAATTTGAAAATAATAAAATAATTTTATAAAAATTTAACACTTGCACAAGTCGGTAGGCGGAAGCCTCTTGGAGGTCGGGGACTCCTTCATGATAACTATTCCCAAACGGTGACATTACGAGCCTTCTTCTTGAGACCACCATCTTTGATATTTAAAAAATTGCATAAGATCTGAGATTTACTTCAGCCATTTCCACACCAATTTTCATGAGTTCGTTGAATCGTGGAGTAATTCAATTTTCGACGCAGGTGCAACGTTCACCAATTCTTTCTGCGAGGTGAAATTAGTTATGCTTGGCAGAACGAAATTGAAATAAATCCTCAATTTTGTGTTGTTGGAAATAAAGCTCTTTGCGTTGATAATTGGTCAGGAGAGGCCCTATGAGAAGCAGAAAAGTTGTCTCGCTTCTGATGACCGCCGGGTTGCCTGGACGACGGCTCCCTCCAGGCTTCACAGGCTCCCTCCAACGCCTTTTTCTCCTCTCGAAAATCCTTTTAATCTTTTTATCTTCTCCCTGGATTAGCTTTTTTGTACCTTTATCCTGTTAAGTATGCGTTTTTTTTCCGTCAATTGTGTCATAGACCTTCTATACATAGACTATACACGTCTCTCGGCCGTACGAAACCATCTTCTGAGTTTTCACTTCAAATTACAAGTTTTTCATCATTACCAAAGTTTTTGGACCAGAAAATCTTTTTGATATATCTTTGTTCATAGGAAAGTTCTTTCAGTTCAAACAGATCTTTGAATGAAATGAAAGCAAGTTCAGATGACGTCGCTGTTAGATAGTCTGATTAGGCCGCTTGATCGGCAGCCCTCGCCGTCGCTTTTGCCGGACGATTTCCTCGAAATGCTCAAAAGTCCAGACTTTGACGTTCGCTTGCAGGTTTTTTTTTCAGTACAAAGAATTATTTGAAATGTTGACTTCACTCTGTAGACTTTAAATCGAGCAGTCGGAATAGTCAAGCGGGACGACGATTGGTTCAACAGATTTTCCAAGAAAGGAGAACTTTTCAAGGTGATCTTAGAGAAGAAAAAAAAGAGAATCTTGAAAATTTCAGTGTCTGGATCGAATTCTGGTCGACGAAAGATGGGAGCTACAGCACCAATGCATCAAATTCCTCGTGGAAGCCATGCCAACTTTTGGCGGGGTAAAATTTCTATTTCTTCTGAGGAACAACTAGTGATCACTTTGAGAGCATCTACTCTTTATTTATAAAAAAGCTCTGCAGGAAGAAACACACTTTTTGGAAATCTCTTTATAAGCTTCTCTTTCAACATTGGAAAGCTAATTAAGGCGTGTGAGTACTGCATGTGCTACGTCATGCCCAACCTCATACCGAAATTGGCGAGTTCAAAAATAACCGTGAGACGGATCGGCCTCCAAGCCATCTTGACTTTCCTGCGACTTCGACCAGAGGCTCTCGGCTCTGTTTTGGTGAATTTTCGCTCTCTTGAACGCTCTGGACGTTTCTGGTTCACAGAAAATGCTTTCAAATTACGTGGCGACCGGAAGAGATTTGCTCGCCAAAGGAGAGGTCATTCAGGAAGTTCGAGCTTTTTTCATCCCTGAGGTTTTTTGCTCCATATTTTTTGAAAATGAGATAGTCTTTCCAGCTGATCAAAGGTAACTGGAACAACATGATGGACGCCCTGACCAAGGAAGTTTCTGGCATCGGAATCGACGAGAAAGTCGGCGTCACAATGGCCCAATTTCGAGGTTTTCATTTGATTCGACTGGTCTGATGTTTGAGGCAGGGACAAATTGAAGTAATTTGATTTTTGAAAAAGAAAATAAACTTATTGCGTCTGTGAAAAAAGACCTTGTTCAACATTTTTTTTTCTTTCCATTCTAGGAATCGATGCATTATTTATATAGTTGCAAAAAGTAGCTCATAGTGTTTTCTGCGTTTTCAAAGCGCTTATCTATTGACCCTATGCGTAAGCCGTTTGTGGTCGGGGGCTTTACAGAATAAGTTTTCGCTTAGGATCTTCCTATAAACGACCTCCTAGTTGAAAAAAATTGAGTGTGCTGTAGTCTCAAATTACAGTCTACATTGGTACGGACGCTTTCGCAGCAATGGCAGAATCGCTGGAAGAGCCTCGTCGGCAAAGGATCGAACATCTTTCTCGATTTTTCGAGCACGGAGAGAAATGTTTTCCTCATTTTTCTCCTAAGATCTCAATTTCAAATTCCCAGTGGCAGCTCCTGGAGCACCGGCACGAGCCAACATCAAATTGCAGTCAGGAGATGAACGGCGTCTTCGCTTCGGAATCGTGCCTTCTGTCGTGGCAACTCTCATTTCCGACGAAAATGACACCAACGCGAGGATCTCCGGTCTGGAAAAGGTCTGAAAACTTCATTTCGTCTTTCATAAAAGTTGTTTAGCTGAAACAAATCATGGAGCAGATAACAGCGGAAGAAGTGACACGGATCGTTCCTCACCTCCATTCGTATCTTCTCCTTCTCACTCATGTCCTCTCTGATCTCAATTTCAAGGTATCTGTCTGAACTGACTTGAGGAACTTTGTCTACTTCAGGTGATTGTCGTTGGCCTGGACGTGGTCAGACTCACCGTTAACAGGCTCAAATCTCACATGGAAGCTCATCTTCACGTAATAATCATTTTGAAGTCAGTATTCACCATCAACAATGTTTAAGCAAGTCGTGTCGATGTTGTCAAAGCATTTTGGCAACCAAAAAGCCGTCATCAAGCAACTCATCATGATGACCTTCATGGATTTGTTCCAGGTAGCGAAGTTTGAAGTCAAACGAAGGTAATTCAAAGATTTTCAGAACACGACTCCAAAGTCAGTAGCCGCCGCCTTGAGAGTTCATTTAGAAAACAAGAACTCAAGAACCAGAGAAGAGGTTATTATTATGTTCACAGGTTTCTTTCAAAAATAATCATTTTCAAGGTCCTGAACATTTTGACTGCCGCTTTAATGACGACCTCACCATCCAAAGTGAATCTGAGTGTTGTCGCCAACATGCTCGTGCCTCTTTTGATTGACCCGAAAAGGCGTGTGAGGCAAGTTTTGCAGATACTTCAAATAAATATTGCTTTTTTTTCAGATTGGCGGCTTTTGAACAGCTGACAGTCGTTTCTTACATGCTGGGGGGAAAGTTGGAAAGTGTCAACAAAGCCGTGAGAGAAATCGAAACGGAACAGAATCTACGTGGACTTGCAGAAGCCGTCACGGTACAATCTTTTAGTCGTTTTTTATAAGAACAAAATACGATTATCTTTCCAAAAATTTTGCAGTAATGTACTTTTGAATTTTTGCTTTTTTCCGCTAAAACTTTTCTTTTTGTTTTTGCGCGTCAAGCGGCGTCGGGTTGCGATATTACGTCACTCTGAAGCAATTGATGTGTTTTTTAAACCAAAAATTCGAAAAAAAAACTTCTATGGATTATTTATTTATTTTTTTCTCTTTTGAGTTTTTGAGAGTGTGATTTCAATTTCTTTCACTAGATGAAGTTTTCAATTGAATTAGAGTTAGAATATGGATTGATGATTCATCGATGAATGAAACTATTAAGACTTTTTTGAGCTTTTTTCTCATTTTTAGACAAAAACATACAAAGTAAATGGCCTATGTTTAATATAAGTTTATTGATCGAAACGGTTGAATGTGTTAAACTCCGAAAAAAAACCTTGGAAACTTAAAGGAATAGTGACGATAGAAATTTTCAAGCAAGCCGCTGAATGTTTATTTTTGTTGTTATAATATTCAGTTCGATCGAAGTTTTTTTTCAACAATTTCGAGCGAAGTTATTTCTGAAAAAATTTTTTTTCATTTTAAGTTTCTATGAGAGTTTCCCTTTTTTTATTGTTCTTCTTTAAAATTTTCAAAACCAAAGTTCAGGCGAGAATTCGACGCCAGCTCCTCCCTCGAATTCGGTACGATGGTCTCATAGAATATTCAATCCCACCGATATCGGACACCGCCTTTGACGTCTCCGAATCCGAGATGGCTAATCCAGAGAACGCCGATTTGCTTTGGATCCTGAACTCAGGCGCTAATGATCCTAATGACAGGTTTCGAAGACAATATCTTCTATGTGGAAGGCTCTTATTTCAGAACTGCTTCTCCAGTTAGTCTAGCAGGGAATCTAGCCATTATCCGCCAACAAAGGCAGGTTAGTCAGGATTTTTGTTGGACTGAAGAAAATCATATTTTTTAATTTCTAGGCCGGTCAAACTTTCGACCGGATGAAGAGTGATGACGCCATCATACGTCGTCAAAACTCAGGTGGGAACATTTTTTCAATTATTTTTTTCTTATAGAGTTCTGAATACTTCGAGGTTTTCTCCTTAAGAAGACTCCGATTAAATGATATTTTTGAACCTTTTATGCAATGTTAATATTCGCTTCTTCTTTTCATTTTTCGTTTTTAATTTGTGTTCTTATTTCTATCCGATTAGCAGCTGCCACTTTGGAACTTCATTGAACGCTATTTTTTCATACTTAGCCTTCAAGAAATTGATCTCAACTGAAAATATTTTTTGAACATTTTTCAGCCAAGAACTATTTTTCCGCTCAGAATTTTGAAACTCATGAGGAATTTTTGGCTTTAAATCGCAGTCTTCCAATTTTTCGGTCTGTTATCCTCAAAATAGTTGAAACCTTCAAATCAGTTTTCAGTTAAAATTTTTATCACATCAGTGGATATTTTTTTATGATATAGACATTGAAATTGAAGAACCACGACTTTATTTTCGATCATAAATTAAGGTTTTGAAGAAAAAAAGGAATGTAAGAACGAAGTGTAGTATCATCAAGAAACATGATTTGGCAAGTATGAGAACATTTTTTTTGAGAAATTTGAACTTTAGAATTTTAGTGTTCATATACCTTCTCTTTATCAGTGACTTTTTACAGTGGAGTACTTTAATATCGTACACCTTTTTCCAATTTTATTTTTTCTTCTCCTCGACCTGAACTATTGTTGAAAAAGTGCGTGAAGTCGTTCGAAGAATGCATTGTGCGGAAAACACAACAATTGGTCGCCCCCGTCTCCTTTTTTGGCGCCGCCGTTGCCAGGAGCTGCAACTAGCGTCCACTCTCCCCTGAAGTCGTCACATTAGATGGGCTCCTCGGCGAGTCGAACTTTTTCTGCCACGGCAACACGAGTCCGACCAATCGGTGTTGACACCTTACTTCACGTTCAGCGCGTTTTCGAACCTGTTAATCGACGTATGAATTCTTTTTTGTTGCTTTTGTGAGAGCGTTTCCTTCTTGTTGAGAAAAAAGCTGACTGATAAATTGGAATGGCCGTTCAAAGCTCCCCGTGTCCCCACCTTTTTTTCAAAGTTGTGTTTTCTTTATTCCAGTACATTTTGAAACATTTTTTTATCTATAGTTTTTCGTTTCAAAAATCAAAAATTTGAAGAAAACGAAATTTTTTTGAAGATTATCAGTTCACATTGGTTTAAAGACACTAAGTTGCAAAAAAAAATACGACATCTTCGTTCTGATTTTGAATTAAATTGCAAATCAATTTTTTTTGTAAGTTTTCACTCTCTTTCGAAACCTCGAATTCATCAAAGTTCAAATTTTGGCCAAATACGCGACCGGAAATGGTTAGCTCTCCAGCCCTTTCTTGCGCTATTTTCCGACAGCATGAGTAATGCAAAAAAATGTTTCCTCTGTTAAAAATCCTCTTTAGATGTCTTTAGTGACATAAAACCGAATAAATATACTTTGAGACTGAGAGCAGAGTTTTTCATTTCGATTTCAATTTTCGAGTCATCAGAAGTCTGCTTTTTTTCAAATATCATTATAAATATTTAAAAATTTTTTTGCAAACCGTTCGATTAAAAAAAATTCTAGCTGTTTCGAATCCCAACTCGAGCACAAATTCTTGGCACACACCGAAACGTCACAACTCCGTAGCCGACAATTCTCTCGACGATGGTTGGTTTTTCTTTCCTTTTTTTTCATGCTGACTTCAATTTGTCTTCTCTTTCAATCTTTGTTTTCTCAGAGATTCCTTCGACAACCTCTGCTGCGCCGAATAACGCTCATCACGTGAGTCAATCCGAAAAGAGAAAAAAAGAGAGACTTTTTTGTAGTTGCCGAGAAAGCCATCCAAAGAGGTGAACAACAACACGGAGAAGCTCCCGAAAAAGGTATGAAAAGAGAAAAAAGCTGGCTTTATCCTTATAAAAGAGTGCGAGGTTGAGAGATTCGAGTTCCAGAGTTTGATGACGAGGGCTCGCAGTGATAGCAACGTAAACGACGACCATGAAGAGATGGAAAATTATCCGCCGACGACGTCGGGATTCGACGAACGGCCGGCCGTTGCCAGTGGACAGTACTCCTTCAGCGGTTGGTTTTTTATTTCCCAAATTTTTCGAGTTTCCGGCAAAGAAGGTTTTCGTTTTTTTCAAAATTTTCTTGTGAAAGCTGTGCAAAAATAGTAATTTGCCTATTTCACGGTACTTTTTCGGATAACAATTTTTTTTTCCAAATCTACAAATAGTCTCCAAATTTCATTCCATTGTTTTCTCGTCAGTATAAAAAAGGTGAAAAACGCAGTAATTTGCGATCTGTCCCACATTGCATTTTTAAACGAATTTCAAAATTTTAATCTCGCAATTCTTTTTGAATTTTCCGTTTCTCAATAATAAAAAACATTTTTTCTCTTTATCTCAAACTTATCCTTTTCTTTCATATTTTTCCTTACTTTTTTCGTTGTAAGCTTCTTGAAAAAAAAAAACAAGTATTGCAAGGACTTCTGTGATTTTCGGAAGCTCGTAATAAAAAAAGGGTTCTCATTGTTAAAAAGATAAATAATTTTTCAACTTTTTTTTTGAAATTCCTCTCGGAAGTCTTGAAAACCTTTTTCTATTGAGTTTTTTATTGCTCCTGTAGAAAAATGCGCAAGCTATATTTTTTTTTCAAACTTTGGTCATGAATTATTCTCTCCGAGGGGCGAAGTGTTTTTCATACGAATTCCTGAAGACCTGAACGTTTCTTTTTCACAAATAGAGTACAACTAGAGTGGGCCGTCGTCCATTATTCAGTCGGGGTGCTCTTTTTGTGAAACAAACGGCCGGTCGCCCCACGAAACGGCGAGGAACATCCCGCCCCCGGCCTCTCGACCACTAATGCCTTTCCGCGACAGCTACCTGCCGCCAATTTTCCCCCGCAAAACCGAGTCTTGGCTCGACGGCCGACAGTACCTCTGGAGTGCTCGTACGAGCCTTTTTTCAGTTCTTTCTGAGAACTCAGAGTTGCCGTTTCAGAATATGACGCCCCGACGCCGATCCCGCTCGCGAAAAAGAGCGCCAGTCATCACAGTCTTCCCATCACGCAACATGTTCCTTTGAAAAACGTCGTGAGTTCGCTTTTTGATAGAACTAATTAAATATTTCCAGTGCAAAACTTTATTGATTTCATTTAAAAGTTAGAAGTTCTAAAAGGACGCTGAAAAATATCAATTTCATTTCAAAAGTGGCCCTATGCTTCACCTAATAATAATGCTATTGATCAAGCTTTCCTTTATTCGCTTTTACCGAATAGAAGAAGGAAAAATTCGAAAAACAAGAATTTTAGAATGAAGCTGGCTTAAAAAACAGAATGAGAAAGAAAGAAATATAAAATTACTCCTGAAGTTTTTTAACCATAAGAATTTTCCAAAGTTCGTGAATTGATTCGGGGCTTTATGGTAGTCAAATTCATCTCCTTCGAAAAAACTTTATGATAAAAACGGCATGGGACGGAAATTGCAATTGATAAAAAAAGGATGAAGATTTGTTTTCTGATAGCTCATTAAACTTCAATATATGATGATAATGAAAGTTTTGTTCATAGTGTGGATTGGAGTTGAAGGCAAAAAAAAATTCTAAAAGCGGTTCTAATAATTTAGTGACCGTAGGCGTTTTTCCTTAAACACAGGTTTCAGAATATAACTCATACAGTTGGTTAAAAAAAATGATTTTTGATTTTTTTGTTCTTCTGATCATCATTCAAACAAAGTTTTTTTGGGGGTTTTTTTTTACTTAAAAAAAGTACAATTTTTTTCAGGGAATTCTTTCTTTTTTTCAGTGTTATCCAAAAAAATAGAAACTCCATTGCGTGATGTTTTTTTGTTCCGAATAGGAAGATCTAATTTTTTTTTGAAGGATCAAATAAAATCAAGCTTTGTGACGATAGGGTGCTCATTTTTTGTAATGAATTTTAAATTAAACTAAATTAAGAAGGTTGACGAAATTAAGCCGATATTGAACTCAGGAAGGGACTGACTTTAATTGAGGTGCGTTGGGAGAAGCTGATAGTGGCTTTCAAAAAATGTCGGCCAGTCTTTTTTTTTTTTGCACTATTTCGCTCATTGCGAATTACTATTTTAAGAACATCCATCTATTTTTTCCCACGTCCGATTTGTAGCAATCCCAGCCGCAACGAAAAGCACAAGAACTGGTGAAGTCTGCACAAAACGGCAAATCGAAGTCGAACAGCAAGTTGAACTCGGCGGGAAAGTCGCCGCAGAGGTCATGGCAACCGAACAACAACACGACGACGAGGGCTCACTCCTTGGGAAACGACGCCTTCAACGTTCCGCAGGCGCTCAAGCAGATCGACAGCGACGAATGGTGCGCAGTTTCACTAAAAACATTTTCCATTGGCTAGAGAAACCTTTGAAAACAAGGAAAAGCACAAGAAAAGTACCTAGAAAGGAGCTTCGTGATTACTTATGTACTTTATTTTCATCGTTGGTGTGAGGTTGTCGGGTAAGTTTCTGATTATGAGTGTAATCAAAATTTCGGTTAAGAAGGAAATGAATTGAAAAAGTGAGAGGCAGACTAGCTTGAGAATGTATTTCATAAAGCTCTTCTTACAGACAGCATGATAATGATTATGTATACGTCATATTTAGTTCTGAAATTCGTTTAGGTCGGACAAAGTCGACGGCTTGAATATGATTGCCGAGCTCTCCGAAACGAACGGACGCCAAGTCGTTGACAATCTCAAAGAGGCTCGTTTTTCCCCACAGCCACACGCCAACGTTTCCCATTCTCAGGTCGTGGCGGCAATTCTAAACGAGTGTAAAAATCTGCGGTCAAGCGTGTCGCGTGTCGCTTTGGTCGCCATCGGCACCTTGGCTCAAAATTTGAAGTTCAAAATGGACGGCGAACTGGAGAAGGTGGCGATTACACGAGAGACTCGTTAAATGAGAAAAAGAACAGATTTGCGTGGTTCTTATGAACAAGGCGGGCGACGTCTCCAACGCCTTCATTCGGGAAGACGCGACTGAGGCCTTGAACAAGGTTGTGAGGAATTCTACGCCCCACAAAGTCATGCTGGCCATCATCTCGTCTGGGGCCAAGTTAGTGCTTTTGAAATAAACTTTTGAAAAAAATTCCTCTTTACAACTTAATTCATCATAGAAGTTGAGAGATTCATCCATAGTGGGACTTTTAGATAAGACTAGGCTCACGATGTAGTTTTCTACGCTAATCCCGGATCTGTGTACAAAAGTTGCCTTTGAGGTCTGTAAAAAAAAAGATAGGGGCTGTCAAATTTGAAAAATTCAACGTCATTTATAAAGGATAGATAGTTCCATTCCTCTGATCACCAAAAATGATCAGAAAACTAAAACAAAAGACTTTTTTCAGGTCAAAGAACAACACGATCCGAGCCTCTTGTGCGAGTTTCGTCTTCGAACTTCTGGACATCCAGGGCTCCTCAGCCGTTCTGAATAATCCCTCCATTTTGTCCCATCTTTTACCAGCCATCGTCCAGTTCAGCAAAGACCAAACGCCACAAGTCCGTCAGTCCGGTAGACAGAGTCTTTGTCTCCTCAGCGGAGTGAGCACTCCTCGGCTTTTCTCTTTCAGTTTTCCTTTTTCAGGACAACCAATTCGAAAAGCTGATTCGAAAAAATGCGGGTGAAGCAGAGTTTAAAGTAGTGAAGGAGATTCTGGGCAACATTGAGAAGAAAGGCGGCATCGACGCCTTGGATTCCTCGTCTCTTAGTCTGAACGGGACTCTCACTCGGGTCGGCAGCATGAGGAAAACGCTGAGAAAACTGCCGGACAGTGTGCAGCTGGACCTTGATGAAGTGCGCACCGAACTCTCGGCAACCAGGTATTCTTGGCATTCCCACTTTCACTGATCCTGAAAACAAGCTGGGAGCGACGTCTACATGGTCTGACGCGCTTCGAGGAGATGACGTCACATGGAGCTCGTGCCGTCGCGACGGACACACGTCTTCTGGAGGCCTTCATCGCAAGACTCAGCGACATCAACAGCAAAGTTTCGCAGCAAGCCATGGAAACTTTCCTGACAACTCTGCCTTCAATGAGCAAGTTAGTGGCTGTTAATACACGATTTTCGATGGAACTTTGATATTACAATTATCTTCACAAGCTTCTAGTTTAACAGATATTAGAAAATTAGAAAATTTATATTTTATCTTTCTTCAACGCTCGTCATACTTTTTTGATCAAGTTTTATCTTCTGAAAAAAAGGCTTTATTTCTGTTCTTACCCAATTAGGAACGAAAAATTTTACTTTTTAACAAAAAAAGAAGTCATTAAAAAGCATTTAGTGTATAAAAAAGTGCTTAAATTTAACTCCTTCCCCAACTAATGAAAAATCTAGCTTTTCTGCTCTCTGTTATCTCTTACCTGCGGCACGTTCGTAAAAAAAATATAACAGCACGTGAAATCGTCCTTTCCGAGATCTAATTTTAAAACAGAGGCTTAATTTTTCTTTTCATTCAATTGATGATTTAAAATAAAGACCGAAAAGATACAGAGCATAAATAAAACTCGAAAACGTATTCGGGCTATATTTGTGATTTAACAAGTACCTTCCTGTCACTATTTGAGTTATCTTTCGTTTGAGGTTCTACTCGAGCGAAGCTAACTTGAAAGCCATTCTCAACCAGTTGGTGTTGGCCCTGATGAGTCATCTGCCGAGCAAAAGCGAAGAACATCGCCAGCTTGCTCAGAACTGCCTGCAACAATCCGTCAAACAGATCGGTTAGTCCTTTTTATTTCTTGAAATTAAAAAAAAATTGTGTGAATTTGAAGACGTCGTCAGTTTGATGCCGGCCCTTGGTGCAGCCGTTCGCAAAGCCAATTTGAAGCAAAAACCCTTCATGGTGCAAATTCTTTGCGGTTTGTATCCTCCTTCCAGTTCTTCTCATATTTTTCTTCTTAAGAACTGATCAAGATCGCTTACAAGTCGAAGCCGAAGCAAGTTGGGGTTCGTTAAACTTTTTTCACAGTTTCAGAAGAACTTTTAGTCTTGTAACACTCCTTGATTCAATGTAGTTTTCACGAAAAAAAAAATCGACATTGAAGGAATGAAATGAGATGTTCGATAGAGAAAATGAGTGAATAAGTTGAGGTGGTCGCACTGCCACTACTCTGGGAAGCGCTCAAAGGCAGTAATCAAGATGCAGATAACAAGAAAGCCTCAACTCAACTCGCGAAAACCTTAGCCCGTCTGGTTTGGACTAAATTGCTTGAGTCAGAAAAACAAAAATATCTCAGGTCGGAGAGAAAAATATCCTCGACTACGCAACATCGGAGCTCGATCCACAACGCAGAAAAGCCTTCGAAGCCATTCTCCGGTGACATTCATTCTATACATATTTATTGTCTCTGATACGGTCCTTTTTTGTATTTCACATTTCTCCAGAAATGAATTTTTTTCACAAAAGTGGTGATGTCCAATGGAACAAAAAATAAATGAATGTCACAACAATAACCATTACCATCCAACTGACAAGATGAAGTCTTGAGAATCAGGAAATTGCTGAAAATATTTTTGGGCTTCTAACATCTTCATAAACCAACTCTGCCACTGTGTAAAATCTAACCACCAAAAGAAGTAGAAGCTTCTGAAAAATTCTTTCATCGGTGCTGATATGTATTGAACGTGACCGGGCGCGTCATTTTTTCAACGACTCATCCTTTGTTCTACTCGATCCACTCGCAATGTCACCTGTTTGTTTCACCTGAAATTTACGCGAAAATATCATTTCTAAACCATGCGAGGTCTGACAAAGGCATGTGGGAGGCTGGCAAGTCCGAACTCTCTTTAACCTCCCTTTTCCTCTAAATATAGTTGCCATGAGTAACTAACTGTAACTAATGTCCGCCGCAATGAAAATTAATATCGATTCTATCGATTGAAAGATTGGCCTTCATCAAAAGTTACCTGAACATGGTATTTAGTTCGGGTGCTTCTGCACGTTTTAATTTCGTTTTGAAACGTCTACATTTTTCTCATAAAACGTATCCTCGATCATTTCAGTCTCCGAAAAATGCTCGAAAGCGCTCGAGAAGCCAGAGAAACGAAGGAAAACCGCCGACTAAGAGAAGAAAAATAGCTTCGAAATTGGCGGTAACTATCTTGTGCTTCTTTCGAAAAAAAAATTTTTCAAAGATTTTTAGAGACATAAGTTATGTTACAAAAAACGTAAAGTTATTGAAAGTTTTGTGGTCATTCTGAAAATTACCCGAAAGATAGCTAAAAATCTTCAAAAAATTTTTGAGGCGACGTGTTAGAACTCTCTTTTGACCTCTACTTCGGAGTTTCAGATCCTCCCTCCCACAGTCCTGCAGAAAATCGTTGCGGAACTGCCACTGACTGACCACATTTCTTTCCGGTCAACATGCCAGGCCGCCCACGAGGTACTCAACTTCTCTCTCTTCCAAAATGAACGATCTCCAGGCCGTCGAAGCATTTTGGCTTTCTCAACAATCACTGAACATCGGAATGCTAGAGAAACTGTTCCCCAAATTGAAAACGGAGAACTGGCGCAAACATGGGGTTTACTCTTTGGCGATGGAGGTTTTTCACGCAGTTCAAACTCACCCGAATCGATTCTAGCTGGACAGCGTTTTCAACCTTCTGACTATCGGAAACTTGAAAAAGATGAGTCTGACCGGCCTCCGAACTGTACATTGGCCGACTCTCGTTGAAATTGTTGAACACGTATATTTCTATCCAGTCTGTGAACCCTTCTTATGAGCTGATTCAGGCCACGCTGGAAGAAAATACTTCGACTTTTGCTTCGGTCCGCTGGCTGGACATTCGCGGCTGTCTCATGTCACCTGATGACTTCAGACAGATGTCGTGCTCTCTCAAAGGCCTAGAGACGATCCACATCGACCGACATTTCCAAGCCATCGTTCCGCCGAAACAGTCTGTTTTTCCTCGACTCCCTTAACATTCAGCTTTCAGGGAGGTGAAAAAACCGAACGCCTGGTTCGAGTCAATCCGAGGTTCTGCCGGCAAAATAACGTCGTCCCAGAGATTCTGCCGGCCCGACGCCCCGCACGCCTCCACGGTCGACTGGATCTTCCAGCTTTTTCCGGCTCTGCGACACGTTGTCATTGACCTTGCCCACGACCACCAAGACGTTGCCGATTAATCATTCAACTTCTTAGACACGTTTTAATTCGTTCTGTAGTCTGAAAACATTTTTGCGCTCATTTTTGGCAGTATGAGAAAAATAAATATTTTCTCACACGAAATCCATGTTGCGAATCCTGTTGCAGTGGTTTCCCACTAACTTCTCGCTTTCCACACTTTTTTCAAATCGTTCGTCTGGCCGCCAATCTCTGTGAAATGCTCTCTATATATTGATAAAAAAAAAGTACCCGGTTGGAAAATTGAAGCTTACAGGGTTCTCGAAAATGTGCGGGATTTTTTTCGTCTTTTTTTCTTTTTGCTAATGTCGATTGTATGATTACAAAGACGTTGCAAAAATGGGAATATTTAAATTTCTTCTTGTCTTTATAAGAGACGCCGCAGGGTGAAAGGGGTGGTAAAGCCAAGATTGTGCGAGGGCCGGGCGGTGAGTTTATCGGCCCCTGCCCATATATGTTATCCCTTAAAAAGAAATATAAACTATGATTTAATTAAAGTTAACTTGTAAAAAGAATTTTCGGGTGAAAACTTTGAGTGAGGATGAGAATTCTTTTAACCGAACTTATATATTTTTTCGTAGCCCGCGCAGGCTTTTTCATGTGAAGACACGTTAAGTGATCAAAAGAATGAGGCCCAGAGCCCGGTTCGGCTAACGGCGGAGCAGGCTTGTGCGTCAGGCCGGGCGGCCCGGGCCGGCCTGGCCCGGGTTTTGGGCTTCATTTTCAGGAAAAAAGCCCGCATGGGCTCGGGCCGGGCAGGCTTCAAAAAAAAAAAATTCAAAGTTTTCTTTAAAAAATTTTTACCGAAATGTGGCTTTTACTTCTGAAATCATAGTTTTTGTTAAAATTTAATTGAAAAACTGAGCAAAAACGTAATTTTTGTCGTAAAAAAACTTGATATCCGATTAGAAAAAAAATTGCGCGCTTCGGGCCGGGCGGGCCATTTTTTCTTGAGGCCCCGCTAAGGCCGGGCCGGGCCGGGCTTACGAAAAGGTTAAGGGGCCGGGAGGGTGACGGGCCGGCCCTCGCACAAGCCTGCGGCGGAGTGTCGTAAGAGGACGGAAGTTTGCTCCAGCGCACACTTTTTTTTAACCTCGTTTTTGAATTTTTTTATTTATTTTTTTCTTTTCTTTCCTATTTTCCAAGCTTTTCAAAAATTTAAAAAGTCAAAAAAAGCTTACTTCAGAGCGTAAATATATACATGAAATGATCTCTTATTATTGCGCGATGGTTGCGCTAAGCTAAGCTAAGGCACTCCCATTAGTTAGTATGTGATTTCATGCCCTTTAGTGGGCAGAAAGTGCACTCAAACGTTGTCTTCTTGTCAAGAATCGAACTATGTAGAACAAAAATTTGAAATCAACTCAAATTTTTAACCTTCTGAAAGGCCAAAAAAGAGCTCTCAAAAACAAAGTTAAATTTTGATACTTACTCTGTTTTCTTTGCGCTATTTTTATAGTTCAGTTCTTTCTCAAATTATTTTTTTGGAATCTCTTTTGAGCTGTCTTACTTTTGATCGATTGAAAAATAACTTGTTAAAAAAATGTTTCAGTAAGCGCTTTCGCACACTGATTTGAAATTTCCGTTCAGCGATTGAAAGTGTTTTGTTCTATATTTGAAAAGCTTGAAAAAAAAAATGAATTTCATAAAAATGAAGTCAGTTATGGTTCATTAATTTCATTTTTTTTTTCGGGTCATTCAATTTCTGCGAGTTCCCGTTAAATATTCGAGAACTTGTTGATGTTCTAAAAGTTGTTTACCAAACTTCCGCGCAATCACTGCAAAGAAACTGCGTGTTAGCTGCAGTCATGCCATGGCAAACCGGTGCGTGATGATAAATATCTGAAACATTTTGTGAGGAAAAAAAATTTGCAGTAGTTTTTTTCTCATTTTTTTTGTGTAATGTTTTCTAAAATGAATCAAAAGCTTGTTTCCAGCCTCGTTTTCTTTTTTTCATGGTGTTCGCAAAAATTTTTGTTTTTCAGTTTATTTTTCGAGTTTAACAACGGCGACAACTTGAAAATGGTTCGTTTGTTTATTTCAAAAAAACTTCTATGAGTGGGTTCTCAGAGTGATTCGGAAGATGATGATGTTTCGATTTCTGGATCCGAAGGAGATCAGGAAGACGACGAAGTCGAAATGGAAGAAATCGACGACGGCGGGAACGAACTCGAGAACGTCATCAGTGACCGTTGCGTTTTGTTTTTGGTTCCGTTGTTGTGAATTTTATATTAAAGAAAGTAGCTTTATAGTTGTACAAAAATGGTTCAATTTCAAAGAAATAATCGGTTTGCGATTTCGTTCATGTTATTAGTTTATGGGGAGACTTACACGTGTGTTGTTCATTTTTACAATAAGAAACGTTTAAAAAAAGTTACCAAGCCAACCCTTGTTCTGTTCGCTAGAAATTTCAAAACTAGCTATGTAGCTAGATTTTCGTCTCATCAGATGATTTTCAAGCTGCAAAAGGCTGAATGAGAAAGAATTAAGAATTATCCGTTTTTAAATAGTTTTCCAATCAATCAGTACTTTTCAGTTAAAAGTCCAACTCCTAAATTATTTTTATATTTGTTTTTTTATCACTGTTTGCGTTCTCGAAGTGCTGCCTTATCAGCTGTTATCTGCAGTTGACGACAACGATGCGGTCTCAGAAGGAGGAGACAAAAGAGCCAAATGGTTCCAGAAGGAGATTTGGCAGCTCAAAAAGTTGCCCTATTACGCAGATCTCGAAAAACAAGCCAATCAGCATTTCATCAATGTGAAGGTGCTTCGTTAATGGTCTTTTCCCTGTCATCTTTCCGAGTTTGCAGCAAGGTCTGGCCAATTCGGTGCTGCTCAATGATGCGGCCATTGGTTTCACCCATTGGATTCTTGAGCTTGAAAGGTTCTTTATTGCTTCGATGTATTTTTATGGCTCTCCTCAAAGAGATACTGTTAATCAATGTTCATATTGGTGCAAAAGGAATTACTTTTTTCCGTGATTGACCAAGAAAAAATTTGGAGAAACTTTTCAAATAAGAGATGGAAGATCATTGTCTAAATATAGCCCTCATTGATTCTTTTCAAACTTCCAGAAGGCCTTAAAATTCGTGTTTTTCAAAGGGATCTAGTTGAATTCCACTCAACAGAAAGAGTATTCATGATAATTTTGAAAGTTAGAATTGAAACCTGTTACAAAATTGCTGTTGTCTTTTTCCTAGACCCTCCAAAAAAAAAAATGCAGGAACCTTTACATTAACAGGTTACAGATATATCGAATTGTACAACCGGCGATTCTCCAAAGAGGAGCACATCCAAATGATAAAGTTGCTGTTGCCATTGGTGGTGAAAGGCCAAATCTTCAGAAATGTGAAGATCGCCATGCACGCTCTCAATATTCTCTTGAGGTTTTCGGAATAATCAATAAAAAACGAAAAAAAAAAACTTCAGCAAAAGAGATTTCTTGCTGCGAGGTGACCTTTGCATCGAATGGAGACCTCTGCACGATTTGTACATGGAAGTTGCCTTCAAGAGTTTAGAGGTTCGTTGAGAACAAGTTTTGAGAGCGAAAGAATGAGAAATACCTAAATTTTGGAACTCTTAAAAAAATTCAAAAAAACAAAGTCAAGTTGATTCATTGTTGGAAAAAAAGATTAATTGGCTCCAATCAACAAAAAAATTTTTTTTATATAAATAGTAAAATGGTTGTTAAGCGAGTGAAAAAAACTGATTTTTCAGCTCATAAAAAAAAACAAAACAGTTTCTTTTATTTGGATTGAAGTATTTAAATATTTTGACTGAAAATTCAAGGAAGACGGCGTTTTCTTGATTCCTGAAGGTTTCCGCAGCGATCTCCATACATTAGTCTTCTACGCCCGCAACTATTTCAACGAAAGTGCGGTCCAGGAACTTCTCGACGAGGTCGAAATTTCCTTTCTTCTTTCCAATAAAGTTTCATTATAGTGCCGACCTCACATGTGTGTTTGGGATGAGGCCATGATCCGGTCTTGGAAAATCCTCGACATGTTCGTTCCCATGAACTTTGTGCCGGCGATTCAGCATACTTTGGGTAAGAAAATTTTATGGCCTTTTTTGACGAAGAACTCCTTTTTGAACAGAAAATAGAATAGGTTTCATTAAATCAAACCCTAAAAAGGACGTTTAAAAATAATTGATTCGAACTTTTTGGCTTCTGTTTGAATATTGACTGTAGAAGTATGAGAATCCATTTCAGGATCGGTTCTTTGGTTCGACGAGGCTTGGCATTGGTACACAAGTGTTGAGAACAATTCGCTTTTCGAGCCACATATCATGAAAATGTTTGCAAGGTAGTTTAAAACTGTTTTTCGTGAAAAAAAAATTCGAATCGATTGTCAGAATTTCCTACGAGTGCCCTGGCTTGGTTGACTGGACGCCCAAGCTCGATCTCATTTTCAACAAGGTTTTTTTTCTTCTATTGTTCATATTTCGAAGGAGAAATTCAGTTGATCCGCTCACTTCGCCTTGGAAGTCAGTCGGGCCTTTGCCAGACTTTCAACATGGAAACGGGGTCCATGTGGATCGTTTACATGCTCGGAACCGATGCCCATGATGCGTTCGTTTCATTTTTTGTTTTTTGAAATATTAGGAATGAAGATCTCGGTAGGCGAATGGCTTTTTAGAACATTTTATCTATTTTCAAGAAATTTTCAAGTGAGAGATCGTGCACAAATAGCGGTGCAAAATTGTACAATTATATTATTTACTATTCTATCATTAATTTTGTTTCTTTGTACAGTTTGAGAGTTGAGTCATTCTACGAACAACCCGTTTAATTTTTTCATGCTCAATCTTTTAGAGTTGTGGCTCATATCAAGCGAGTTTTGGGCCAAATCGAGTCTTTCCTTCACCCATCAAACAATGGATCTCACACGCAACATCTCCTCAATTTTATCCACAAGTTCGTTTTCCAATAAAATTCTGAAAACATTATCCACAAAAATGTTACAGACTCACCTACAATATTCTGTTGCGCTTGAAAAGAGAACGAACCGAGAAACCGTCAAAGCCGAAAACCATCAATTTGGTTCAACGAAATTCTTTTCCCTCTATGTAAAACTTTCCTCTAGATCCCCGATGCGATGAAGTTGACGCAGAAAAATTTGGACGACTTCATGTTGATGATCGTCCCCAGTATGAAATGGGCCATTTTCACTAAGACCCGCAATGAGTTGGAAATTATTCGTTTTTCGGAACTAGACTTTTTTTTCAGATTCATCAGCCCCACATTCAAAACATGCACTCTTTTGTGCCCGAAACTGTTCTTGCCCTTGGTTCTCGACATGTCAGTTTATATTTACCGCCTAAAAATAGAAAAAATTTCATTTTCAGGGTGTATCCCGCATTGGAAACCTTGACTGAGCCACATCGACTTCTTCAAACTCTGAACACTTTGCTCGGCGTCGTGATTCCTCTCGTTAAAGATCAACCGGACAAGAATGGAAAATCTCTGAGGCAAATCAATTTCACTTAACTTGAGAGCTATCGAAATCACTTTGAAAACCTTCGTTAGTTTTTTTTTTTTTGCAGAGTGCATGCGATCAATTTGTTGAATTCTGTCCTGCCTGGCTTGGACCGCAATGATATCAGCAAGTGCATGATTACTTATCAGGTAAATTTTTCATGAAAAGGAACTACAAAAACATAAAAAACAAGTTCTTGTCATGTTTGGTATCAAACAAAAAGAAAAAAGAATTTGATAAAAGCAAAAAGTCAGATATTTGAATTTTTCGAGGACAATTTCATACATGAGCAAGTAAAAAACTCAATTAGTCCTGGAGGAGGGATTGGCTTACGGAAATTTACCAAAATAACTATTAAAAAATTATTTTTGAGCTCAAAGAGGTATTGTTGACTACAATAAAAACGAGTTTCAATCTTGGGTAGGTATTTATGTCATCAATTTGAGAACATTTAGAAGCCAGGGTAAAAAAAAAATCAAGATTCCCATGTTTGGGCCATCTTGTTTGAGAAATTTCATGTCACTAGAATAATACTGGAAATTAATTTCGAACTTTTCATAAAGTCAGTGTTTTTTTTCAATAGAAACCTTTTTCCACTAAACTATTTCTCAAGGTGGTCGGCGCCTTGGTGAACTTGATCCCTCTGGTTGATTGCTCTGAAGCCGTGCACCTGCGCGACGACCTGACCGAGGACGAGCGCGAACTTTGCTCAGCGACGGCCAACCTCGAGAACATTCTCTACACAATCATGCAGCGGATGATCGAGATGCTCGTCGACTGCGGTCACACCTCCAGCACGACCAGCGCCCACGGGTCCATCAACATCAAGAACACGAACATCGAGGACAGCATCCTCCACAGGTCTCGTTCATCATCTGAGGCGTCAGAGCAGATATAATCTAATCTCTCTTCAATAATCTTATGATCGGAATCCATCATTAAGGCTTTCTTTATCAAAAGAAAATAAGAAAAGTATACAATCACTTTTATCCCAGAAAATAGGAAATTTAATAGAAAAATATGAACAGGCGAGGAGCAGAAAATTTTCTCAAAAATAGATACAAAAACGTTTTCTGATTTTTAAAACTTTCAAAATTTCTCCTATTTTTTTTCTCGGACTTGGCTAATTGGGAGAGAGTCCTGAGTCGCGAGTGTGAATTGATCTCTCTGGAAAAATTTCTGAGCTGTCTGATTCAGTTTTTTTCCTTTTTTTACAGAGGAACTGTGTCTGTATTCAAAGGAATTTGTCGCAACAGCAGCACGCAAATGTTCGAGGTTTGAGTTTTTCCTGCGATAAACTTATATTTATTTACAAAAATTATTCATTCAGAACTGAAATAAATTTTTCAGATGGCCATCGGAAAAGTCTATGATTTTGCCTGTGAATACGTTTTCGACAGTAGAATTGTGTGCGATGCTCTTTCGGATATGATCAGTTCGGCTGTCAAGGTTTTCCCCCCAATTTTCTTCATTCTACGTTTTCTGTTCTAGCTCTATCCCGAAAAGACTTTCAACCGGTTCTTCAAACTCATTACTTCGAAGCTCCAAAACTGCATCACTCGTAAGAATTCCAATTCTTACTCATTAACGAGTCAATACTTCAGCTGAGGTCTTCACTGAAGAAAAGGTCGATTTCCACGTTATTTGGTGGCTTTCGATGGCTTCGCGAATCGTTAAAGTGCGGAAGTTCGAAAGAATGTTTCAAAAATAAGGTTTTTTACAGGTCAGGTCAGATATTCTGTTGGAGAATTGGACGCAAATACGAGCCATGGTCGATCTCGTCATGCCTTTGATGAAATGTACCCTCGCCTCGGAGGTTCTTTTTCAATGAGACCATAAAAAAATTGGAAAAAAGTTATACATTTTCATGGAAAAATAATCGAAAAAAGCGGACTTCGTGGGAGTAAAATTTCTATAAAGTTACTATCATTATTAAAACCTTCCATATTTAACATATATCTTATTATTTCCTCTGCATTTGACACTTTAAGAAAGCCTTCGGCGTTCTGGACAGTGTTCTGGAACAACTCTGCTCCGTGTACATTTTGCCGGGGGCGCAGCGGCGGATCAACTACGACAAGCCGCTCGACGAGTACCTTGCCATCCGTCATTGGGCGGCGCCCATCGACAACAAGACCTGGCAGCCGTCTTGGTAAGATTCGAATGCAAGGAATTATTGAAGGAGTACTTGGAATATTTGATCGAGTCACTTATTCTAAAGTAAATCATCGTTTTTTCTAAGCTTTTTCGAAAACTGTTACTTCAAAAATACAATTTCTCAATCAAGCAGAAAGAAATTGTTTTTAGGCACATTCCGAACCAAGAAGGGATCGACCGCGCGACCGAGCTATTCAAAGATTTCGTCATGCCTTGTATCAGTCGGCTCAGCAGTCCACATGGATTGGAAAAGTAGAAAAACAATTTTTTATCGAATTAAGTCTCGAAAATTCAGAAAAGAGATTTTGCACCGAACAATGCTGGTGCAGACTTGTATATTGTCCTGTTCCAATTCCTTGCCGCTCTTCGAAGGACCCATCCTGCCGCTCAACGACGCACCAACCATCGTCCCAGAAAACGAGCCCGAATATATCATCAGTCCTGCCGGAACGCCAGGTACTGTGAGAAGAAAAGTCAGGAAATATCAAGGATTATTTTGGGCATAAAGCGTCTTGATGTCTTGAGTTTCAAACTATTCAACTTGTCATGACTTTGAATTATTTCTCAAATCAAAAAAATTTTCTTTGCCCATTCATCATTTTAATTTATTTCAAGTAATGACGATCGATGGGAAGAACGTGCGACAAATCGTCTTGGATTGCGCGCTGAAGTTGCTGGACTACCTCCTGGAGCACTCACCCGACGACGTCAAGTCGATTCGTGAAGCCATTTCGATCCTCAGAATCCTTCCTGGCTTCCGTGGAATCAACAAGGTCTGTCGAAAGTCTCCTTATTGAGGAAGGTTCCTTCTTAGGACATGTTCACTCATACCGCGAGCAGTTTCCGCGTCACGAAGCTGATTCTGTGCGACCGCCTCTCCGGCAACAAGAACAACATCGAGATGGTCGTCGAGGAGTACTTGTCCCTCCTTCACAAGGTTTAAATCTATTTTATTCAGCTGTGTCCTGTATTAACTAAACACAGCTGCGGTTTTTTAAAGTAAAGTTTGTTGTAGAACCTGGTGAAACTCATATGAAGCTTGCCGGAAGTCTGAAACTGGACTTACTGATTCGATTCAAAAGACAGATTATTTTTTCGAGTTTTGCTTTATTGCCAAGACGCTTCAAAGCTTGCTAAATTCACATTTTGGCAAAAAAAAAAACCAGTATTCTAATGCGTTTTAACCGTCAAAACTCGCCTAAATTGCAATAGTACAGAAGATTCTGGTTATTCTAGGTATAGGAGACCGTGGACTACACTTCAGCAGGAGTAGACTTTCATCAAAAGTCCATTAGGGTATTGAAATCGCGTTTCTCTTGAGTAGACGTTTGAAAAGTGAATATTCAAACAAAACTAAAGCATTTTGTGGTTTTTTTTATCAATGAGCTTTTTTTCAAATGAAAATTGATGAATTAAAAAAAAATTATATTTCCTTGTTTCAGAAGCGAATGTCGCACGTCCAAGGCTACAGCTTCAAGCAACAGCACGTTGATATTTTGAAGATGCTTCTGAGAGTCTCGACCAGCTCCTACAGCGAGGTTTTTGTCTTCTTACATTCAAAACCTGTAAATTATCTATTCCAGAACCGAATCAAGGCCCAAGCAATGTTGATCTACAAGATGCGCGAGTATCCTTATTCGTACAAGTATATTCTCGACGACATTCTCAACTACCTGGATCCCGCGAGTAAAGCCACCCATGAACAGATCAAAGGCGCGCTGTACATTTTGGTGGACGGAAAACGGCAAGCCCTCTGCTTGAGAATGGACTTCGCCACTCAGGTTAAGAAATGCAACCATTTCAAACAATGCGGTTTTTTGTAGGGCAGGATTTGGCCTACGCTTGTTGGTGTTCAGCACAGCGAGAAGCCTTCGATCATCCGCTTGTTGGAATCCGCCCAGAACATCATCGTCGAGAACTTCGAGAGCTACCGGATGCGTTACGAAGTTTGTCCATTCATCCTCAGCTTGATTGAATCGGGCTTCTAGTGGAAACCTGCGTGCGCCGACGTCGCCCATCGTCTTCTGGAATGCGCGGATCCGTCGAGCCCCCTGCAGCCGTCGACATTGAAGGCGCCGTCCGCGGAGGTCGTCGCCGCCAATGCCAACAACCTCACCGACCGCTACAAACGCATGAAGGACGGCTACGAGACCCTCATCGCCAGGCTCGTCCAGCTCGCCACGGATCCCAATCTCCACTGGCGACCCGTCGACATGGCTCACGCTATGCTTTCCATGCTTGTCCGAAGGTCGCTTTCTTTTCAAAAATCAAGAAAAGAATAGAGTTGAATAGTCTGATTTAGCCGATGAAGCAATGTGAGAAATGAATAAGTAGAGATTGAAAACGTTTTGAAGAAAGTTGTTCCTTCTCGTAACTTCTCATCCCGACTATTTCCTGGGATCGGTAGTCAAACGATCTCTTTTCGAGCAATTCTGCAGATGATATATTTTGTGGTCTCTATTTCAAAACCATATCAGTTTTGATAGTCTTCATCACAGGGAAAATTGTTTTATGGATTAATTTTTTTCATTGGTTTCAAAGTCCATAGAAATAAGATTTTTAGAGATCCTTGAGAGTCGTGAAAATTTTTCACTTTTTTTTCTGAAGCACGATGTAATTTTGTCAGTTTTCAAACCTCATTTGATTTTATTTTGATTGCAAATCCAGAGCTCATAGAAAGTATATGACCACTGGAAATGAAGCTTGATGTAGATGTTTCATATTGTAGAAAAAAAAAAATTGAGAAAGTGTTTTAAAAACGAAAATGGATATATTGCAGAGATGAGCAGTACCCAGAGGACGGAATCAGACTTTTCGTGCGGCTTTTGGTCCACGACGCGGTGAAGACGCGTCGAATCGCCGCCGCGGTCCTTTCCAGCTGGCTGAAGATGAACAAACCGAAAGCCGTCAAGCGCGATTACATCCTTCCCTTCCAAGTAACAACGATTTCGATCTTTTCCATCATCGTCTGGTTTTAGGAAGAAAATACGGGCGTCGGGGCTAAATTCCCCATTAAGTACGGCTTCAGAGACGACAACAGAGTCATGATCTACCAAGAAGAGGTTTTGCACTTTTTCCTCTGTTTATAAAAGTTTTTGTCCAGAAATTGCCGAAAACCGACGAAGAATGGGACTCATTCCAGTTTTGCGGCAAACAACACTGGGGCTTCTACACTTGGCCTGCACATTTGAAGACGTCAGAATAATCTTATTTCCTGTGAATTTCGTTGACTTTTCAGATATGCACCGCTGAAGGAGCAAGTTGCCATCAACAGAGATCCGAGCACTTACAGCGAGATCGAGAAATACGTTGTTAGCGCCTTCCAGGTCTCCAAACTCTTCATAATAAGCTCAATTTACTTCCATTTTCCAGAACCAAGAGTTCATGACCAAGATCAGGGTTTTGTACTCGGTGGAAGAAAAGAAAGGAGACGAGGCCTTCAATCCCGTCAATTTCACTTTGTTCCAGGTTGGACGATCATTTCCTTTCTGTTCTTCATATTAAAGTTTCAGGGTCTTTTCCGAGTCTTCAACGACACTCTGGCCGCTTCTTTCAAGGAACAGCTCGAGATTTTGTGTCTCAGCACCAAGGTTGATTTCAAACGTTTCTCATCAGTTCAAATGTTTGAACTCAGGAGTCCGAACAGAAACTCGCAGCGGAAATGTCGGCCGCCATCGTGAACGGCTCGAAGATGTGGTACTACGCGAAACAGAGGAAGTTGTGGTCCTGGCTAGGACCTCTCCTTTCTCGCACCTTCGAGACCATCAAGGCATGTTCTTTGGAACTCTCTCATAAACTTAGGATTCGAAAAAGGCCTTCGGAGTTATGATTAGATGTATAATCCATAAGTAGAAATGACTGAAGTCGGAAAAAAAGCTGTAGAAAGCCTGAAACAAATTTTTGGTCTAGTTAAAAATACAATTATTCGCCAATTTTCAATTTCTTGATGTCTTTTCAACATTCACCTTTTCTAAATATTTTCGAAGTTGAAAGATCTGAAAAAATTTCAGAAATATGGCTCAAAGAAATTAAAATTTAAGCGTGCTAACTTTTTGAATCACGTATGAAACCTTTGTAGAGCCACTCAACTCTTCAAAATTCAGATTTTTTTTTTAGACTTGCAATAATTTTTGAAGTAAAAGTTTCATTTTTTGTTTCTATTGCAGTAGTAAGCGTAAAATTAGAAAACTAATTATTTTAACGAACGGATTTTTCAGGAAGACTCGCTGAGAAACTGGGGAGTGGCGTTGGCGACGATGTGTGGCTGCACGGAGCCGCGAGGCGTCAAACCTCTGATGGACGTCCTTTTCAAACTCCTGGAGCGACCGACGGACAACGCCTTCGCTGCCAGCTCGTACTTGATATCCGGCCAGGCAATCGTTATTTTATGTTTTAAGACGGCTGTTCTTGATCCAAAGCGGCCTCTGCCAATTCGAATGGCGAGGAGTTGAACTCTGGAACCGATACCTCGGCTATTTGAGACAAGGAATCGTCCAACAGTACGCCAATCTTCGTGACCGCATCGCCGTGTATGAGAAACCTTCTATTATTTTCCTAAATTGTTCGATTCTTCAGTTCTCTGGTCTCAGCCAGTTGGTATGACATACCGACCATTTACGTGTCTCCCAACTATCCGGATTCACTTCGCCCGCCACCGGTTGAGATGATTGTCAACTGGTACCAGGAGCAGGTCTGAGAGCATTTTCATGACAGCTCTTTGATTCTTCATTTTTCAGCTCACGCCATGCTGGGAAGAAGTGCGCGTGAGAACTGACGGCGCTTGTCCGGTTCTGAATGGAGAAGTTTTCGACATACCATTTCTTGTGTAAATCGATTTCACTCGCAGATGAAGCCGTCGATGTCACACTCCTCCTCGTCGGCGTCGCTGTTCGGCATGGACTCAGAAGTGAAAAGAGCGGCGCGACTGACTCTGAAGGCCGTCATCGCCTACGTCTACCAGAACGTCAACCAGTCCTACATCGCTTTCCCCCGCTCGTTCATCCCCCTGATTCCGCTTTTCTGTCACTACTCCAACGACGTCGGGTGAGTAGATGCTGCCGAATTTACGAGGGCAGAATTTAATTTCAATGGAAAACATTCATAATGATATAGTCTGAACCTGAAAAATATTGAGAAGCGATCAAATATCTTATAAATGTTGTTCAAAAAAAAGAAAGTTTCTCAATATTTGTTTTTAGAAACTTGACAATCTTTGCTTTCCTAGTTTTTTTTCGAATCATTCTTGATCGAAAAGTGAGTTAATGTGGATGGACTATCTGCTGAAAAAATATTAAAAATCGTGAAATTTTCAACGAATGTCTTAAAGGCAGAAGGGAGTTTGATTTTTTGAACTACAAAACATATTAAATTGCTTTAATTTTAAAAAGATGTATGTCCGAAGAGCGAAGAGCTGATAGACTTTTCTATTTATTCTTCTCTGAACCTCGATAGTTCTTCTTTTTCCAGAGATGAAGAACTCCAGAGATCTTGCTCCGCCTTGGCTGCCAACCATCTTCACGCGATTTTCGTTTCTGAAAGCAAAGCTGGTCCCATCGTTCAAGTTGCAACGCAGGTTTCACATCATATCAGTCTATAAAGCAAATAATTTTTTCAAGATTCTGGCATCAAGCTGTTGGTGGAAGGCGAAAGTTGCCATTCTTCGGTTCGTGAAGATGATCGTCTTCTCCAATGTCTTCTTTTTCCTGCCTTATCAAGACAACATTGGTGAGGCTTCCAACTAGAATCTCCTAATTGAAATGAGCAGGTCTCCTGTTGTTGACGACCCTGGCTGACAACCAAATCGAAGTGCGGGAACAGGCGACTGAAACTCTCAGTTCTCTGATCCAGTCCAAGTTCTTCGAAGTGACGCCCATGCTCGTGGTTCGTCTGGACCCTCTTAGTCCAACTAGAAGAGTTGTTCCAGGAGAAGTTCATGGAAGCGGCAAAGTCGACCGACGCCATCGTTCGTCACGGAGGCGTCTTGGGTCTGTCGGCCATCATCCTCGCTTTCCCTTACTCGGTTCCGCCCTTCTTGCCCGACGTCCTCATGAAGTTCTGTCGTTACGCGACTGATCGACAGCCCATTCGGGTGAGAAAAAAATCATTGATCATTAGAAAAAAAGTTCATCAGTTTTTCAAAATGATAAAAACCCTCTATAAGCTAGCTTTTGAGCATTCATAATGAAGTTTCATTTTTTTCCGACTTGATATTTGATATAAAAATATTATTTATGGTAATTATTCAACCGTGTTTTACGTGACCGAACCATTTTCTAAAAACTTGAAAAAACAATCTCATGGATAAGACGTGATCTTGTTCAGGAAACGGTGAAACGCGCCCTGTCGGAGTTCAAACGGACGCACCAGGACTCTTGGCGGGAGCACGAGTCGCAGTTCAACGAGGACCAGCTGACGGTTCTCCGAGACCTGCTCATCTCGCCCAACTACTACGTCTGAGACCCGAATTCCTGTAGATTCCCTCGCTAGCTGTTGCTTGCCGGCGTCTTTCCTCGTGTGTCTGGTCGGCTTGAGCCGAAACGGGAGATTTCTCTTTTTCGGCTCCAAACGGTTGATTTTGCTTCTTCTCAAAGGCCGCTTTAATTCTCTTGATTGTATAGTTTTCCTTCATCTAAACAATTCATTCAACCAAGTTAAGCTTCAGAAGCTTGAATGTATTTTATTTTTAGTTGTTGATAACCGGTCACTCTTGGACCACATATCTTTAAAATTGTTATCTTTTTCCGATTCCCGCCCTTAATACTTTCTTAATATCCAATTAATCAGTTTCGCATTTTGTTATGAATTTTTCGGTGAATTATTCGTATCGAATATTTCACTGATAAGTTATCTTCAGGCTTAATTTCATTCGAACTCTAAATTTTACCTTTCCTTTAAATGCCTTAATTTTCTCTTTTTGCTCATCATTTTATTGAATCCGGCATACCACTCTTCCTCCGGTTGGTCCACTTTCTCTAGGTTCCGTCGTTCATTAATCGGTGTTTCTTCTCTTGCCCTGGTGGGATTTTCGGCTAAAATATCTCTCCGACGAGTATTTATTATCTTCTAACTGTTTTTTTTTTTCCGATCGCGGCCTTTTTGTATGTTCTGATTTATTGAAATTTCTACTCGGATAGCTTCGTTTTAACCTTCCTTGGTGGGTTGGGTCAAGGCTGGTTCAATTTATTTCAGACGTTTTTCAATGCATTTGATTTCAAATGTGTGGCTCGTTTTATTTATTCCAATAAAAAGATTGTACGGTGATTTTTTGATTTTTTCTAAATGCGGTTTTAAATCCGTTACCTAGATGTTTGTAGTCGTATTGAAGTAGTCGTATCTGAGAATATAATAAAGAATTTATGTAGCCGTTGAAAACGAATATGACTCAAAAAGATCTTTCTTTTCTGAATACGTGAGAGATGCCGAGCTGGCAGCAAAACCTGCGTGCGTGGCTCGCCATCCTGGTGCTGCAGTCGCTGGGCAGCGTCTGGATGTGCTACACGGCGCAGAAGGGCTCCACTCACTACAACAATCCTTCGCCGGCGCTGTCCCGAGCCCACGCGCTCTCCGTCGCCATGCTCGCCCTCTCGCGGTTCTTCTTTCCACGGTTCCCTTGACAGAAGTCGTTCTTCCAGACTCGCCGTCATTTTCTCCTTCGAGTCCCAAGTCCTGCACATTGTTCACATCGGAATGTGTGTCATGACGACGTTCCACACGATGGCCGAAGTCTTCGTCTTCGAGTCGATGAAGTATGGCGTCGCCAACGCCACGGAGGTCATGCTCAACGGTACATAGCTCCTTTGGGTGATTTGACAGAACCCGTTTACAAATGGACAGAACTTGTAGTCTCTCGAAAACTAGGAAAGCTTTTGGTTGACCTTCAAAATCGTGTAAATCAGACAATATGTTTTTTTTTTTTGGACTTTTCATTAAACACCAACTAGGGAACCTATGAAATATTAAGGAATTTATTTTTTTCCAAAGTGCGTGCTCGATCAAAGCAATCTCGAACTATGAAAAGCACATCGTTAGCACTTTTTTTCCGATTTAATAAAAAAATTTTTAATTTCGTTGAAAAAAAGTTTGATCTTTCAGGCCTGACCTCGGCGATAATGTGTGTGGCGCTGAACAGTTTGATTGAGCGCGAGGAAAAGAAAGAACGACGTCGCGGTCGAGTCACCGCCTCTCACTACATGGAAGGGGAGATTCTGAAGCCCGACGAGGACAGCGAGGTCGTCCGCAAGTTCAAAAAACGCCAATGATTCTACTTTTTCATGTATTCACGTCTTTCTCATTCCTTAACCGTCTGTTCATTTGCACATACTCATTTTCTTTGCTTCGATTGCTGCTTATTCTTACTTTCTCTCGTGTTCAAAGATCTGATCTCTAAAAACCCGCGTGGAACATAACTTTTTTAAAACTTTTTTTTACTCTTCACATGCGTTCTCTAAACAGCTTGACTATTTGCTTTCATTGTGCGAGAACTTGTTTGTTTCTTTTTTTTTTTAGAAAATCTGCTCATTTCACATAATGATACTCACGCAATAGTCTACATGTACATTTCCTTTTAGGGAGGCTTTATTCTTCGCAATCAGCTTTAACAATTGAACTCGAGTCTCATTGCTTTGATCTTTTGATACTTTGCTCATAATTATTTTTTCCGAAAATAGTGACTTGAATAAAGTATTTGGTTCTTTTGAAATCACGAATTTTTCCGTTTTCTTCAATCAGGAATCAATTCTATTTGGTCGATTTAAAAGAAAACCCAGAGATTTTGAAACGAGTTCATTAGTTTTCTTGATATTTTTTTTGTTTCATATTTCACGTTTTCAGTTGAACGAGTGAATATTTTAATGAAAAATATTATACAACAAATCGGAGAAGTAGAACTTTCTAGAATTACCAACATACAAACTAACAAGCGTTGAGGTATCTCTTTGATCCAGAAGAATAAGTTTTTCTCTGGAAAAAAATTTTTTTAAAAAAATGGGGAAAAAAATTTTTGGAAAGAAGATTTTTTTAAAAAAAGATATTTTTTTCTACTAATTTTTTTAATCTGTATTACATTCTTTATCAGCTCCAGTTCTAATTTTTACTTTCCTTTACCACTGTTATGCTAAATTTTTTTCTCAAAGGACGTATAGAAAAATCTAGATAAGTCTATTGTAAACTGTCTCCAGTCACATGTTCAGATCCTTGATTGGTCAGTTGAATTCGCATAAGAGAGCACAAATTTTTATTTCGCAATGTATATTTTTCGGGACAAGATGGCAGTGGTTATGGAATATGGCTTTGAATCGGCGTTTCGTTGATATTTTTACTTCCTGCCGAGCAGGTAGTAGTATGGGGACGTGTAGTAGTAGTACATGGGTTGCGCGGCGACGGTCTGAGTTCCGGTGGCTCCGGAAGACGTCGAAGGGTCGTACTGCACGTTCTGGAGCTGCTGCGACTGCGGTTGCTGGTACTGTGTCGTCTGTTGTTGATACTGTAATGGAGGCTTTTTTTTGTTCACTTCGCAAAGTCTTACCTGAGGCTGTTGGCCGGTGGTCTGCTGCTGCTGAGCGTAGTTCGGCTGCTGGTATTGCTGAGTTTGCGTCTGAGTCTGTGGGTACTGTTGGTTCTGAGAAAGTTGAATTGAAGACTATTCAACATGTCGAGCTGTTACGTGAGTCGAGTCTTGCTGAACTCCGGTCGTGGCTGTTGGGTAGTAGTAGTACAGCGGTGTGTAGTACGACGTCGGGTAGTAGTAGTACTGGCAAGAGACAGCGGCGATCAAAGCACAGAGGACAACGAGTCTGAAGGAAAGGTTGAGAAGTTGAGAAGGCTGGGGAAACTCACGATTGCATGATGGAGAGGAGACGCTTTGGCAGTGGCACGTAGCCATGCCGAAGTCCCTTTTATACCGTCTCCGGCGTTTCACACACTGTCAAAGGAGTCGAGTAAGTGGGCAAAGAGAGCGGCGAGGCATTGCGCGGCCGTCAGAGGTCATGAGTATTTCGAGACAACACGCAAATCTTCGCCCCATCGTGTTTGTTTGCCGCTTCCTGCGGCCACTTTCAGTTTTGTTACTTCTCGGGATTTTGAAGCGGCGGCATTCTTGAAGGGAACGGATATCGCGCCGCGGTTTCGTTTTCGACAGCTCTCGAGCTGAGAGTTTCCCGCGGCAAAGGTCAAATCTTCAGCGCTTCACTAGGAATCAAATGAAAATGTAACAGTTTAAGACTTTTCTGTAAATCAAGGAGGAACTGAAGAGGTCATTCGAGCCTATTTGTTACATTGAAGGAAGAATTTCTGTACATAAGTGATATTATTTGAAACGTTTTCTTTTTTCTGATGAAGGTTTGCGCTGAATTTGAGTAGCTTATGTCTTCTGAGTAAAAAAAAAATTGCGGAGAATCTTTTACACCCTAAGTTTTACATCAGCGATACCGTTCCCGAAAGCTTTAACAGTTTTCAACGACTTTGCGTGGATGAGCTCCATTTTGAGCTGGAGTGGTATATGAGAGAAATTTAAAGCAGAAATAATAAAATATCAATGGCATGGAACCATAGATATTTATACTTCCAAATTATCCTTGGTGTTTTCAAATTTTTCAATTAGTCTGTACTTTTAATCACCGAATAAGATTCGAAAATTTTCAGAACCAGTTAGCCATTGTTTTTTTATACTCTACGTGATAACTGTCCCGATGACGACAATCACTTGCGTCGTAGGAAAACAAACTTTTTTGAGTGTGAAGACATTTGTAAAATAAGAAAAGTCAACAGGTACAAGGCAAATAATGCCATTTTTTCTGTTGAACTCGGGCGTAGGCCAAACCGATGTGCAAAGTTGAAAAAAATGGTTACGCAATGGGAAAGACAACATGTAGAAAAATTTACACGAGTAAAGTTTCTGCACAAACTCGTGATTTTTTCAGGAAAAAAAAACAGTCGTCTTATGTTTTGTAATGTATTGAAGATTGAAGATTATTGTCCTTTGACGGTACAGTTTGGAGCCCGAAGTCAAACCTTTTTGGGACACGTTCCGGAATATGCGAAAAGACCCAAATTTCAAGAGTTATTCAACAGTATCAAGTGCATTCTCAAAAATATGAAACCATTGTTCCTTGGAAATAATAACAAGTTCCAAACATAGTTTATGCTGAAAGATTAATTTCAGTTAAATTAAATTTTTATTCAAGTTAAAATTGGCAGCGGCTCACAAAAATTTTTACTATAAAAAGAGTTGAAGGTCGTTCCCGAAGCTTCTCCAATTTGAAAAAAAAACTTCGGGTCGATTAAATGGCATCGTTTTCTCCGGACAGTGTTTATTTCCCGGATGACGCGACACACATAAACAAACCTGCGGCTATCCGGTAACGAAACGCATAAACTCCCAGGTGACCGGTATAAACAGTTCAGTTACCTGTGCACTTGTTCGCGAAGATGCGCTGGTGGCCTTTCTTGGCCTTTTTCGCCTCCTGGCTTCCTTGTTCACAATCTGCCGACATCGATGACATCACTGTCGCTGATCCTTTCGAGACCAGGTTTTCCTTTTCCAAGATTTTTAGTGTTGGGAAATACAGGGTGACTAGCAAAATCTGATCTTCAAAATGCCTATAAATTAAATAATAATCACCGATTTTCTCTTGAGCTGTTCCTGTGACTAACGGCTCAAAAATTTAATTTTATCCACTTTCCATTTGTTTTTTTTGGCAATACATTTTTGTTGAACTTTTTTCCTCAGATCTCGAATAATCATGGTCGGCGGCAACATCTACATGTACGCCGGCGTCGGCCGCAACATAACTTTCAAAACGACGGGCGGCGGAAAAATCTTCGTCGACGACACGGACGTCTCTCAGCTTCCCGATACGGTTGGTTGGATAGGAATTCAGGAAAGCGACTAGAAAGTTGAAATATTCGCTGCGTTTTTTTTAGTTTTGCATCTGTTCTGATGTGAAATCTGATCGAAATACGTTCATTTTCGAAAGAAAAAATGAGTCTAAATTGTAATCATTGGGGCTTCTTGGCGCTTTCCACCTCGATGTACTTGATCAGGTCGGCGCGTTCGTTCGCTTTCTTCAGACCCGCGAAAACCATCTGAAATAAAATCCAAGTTGTAAGAATGAGAATGGAAAAAGAGATTGTTTATTCCATGACTTCAAACGGATAACACTCCGAGGGGGCTTTTTAATGTGAAGTTGGTTCGAATTATTCGAACCAACATTCTCACATCGATAAATAACAATAATTACATCTTATCATCTTCATCAAACCTATTCTATTGATCAAGGTTCTCTTCCTTTTCTCTTCAATATTTACAAAAAAATTCTAGAAAAATTTTTTACGTCAAGAGGAAAACCTATGAAGATAGGTCTGTCGCTAAGTTGTCAGTTTTTAAAACACGTATCAGCACGACATTCGCTTCTTTTTTGATGCTCAATTAGACTAAAAACTGACCTTAGTGCCAGGAATGTACTTCTTGGGGTCGGCGAGGTACTCGAAAAGCGTCTGGCGCTCCCAGACGACGCCCTTGGTCTTGTTGGCGGGAGAGTAGTCGAATCCAGCGACCGTGCCGCTCGTCCTGCCGACGACGCCGTTCAGCGTCGGACCTGTCTTCGTCTGGAGCGAGTCGATGACGTGACATTGGGCGCATCGCTGCTTGAACACCTAAAGCTCATATGTTTTCGTTAGTCATTAAAACAAGAAAGAAGAGATTTGAATGTGGAGATTGTTCAAAATTATCGAATTAATTGAAAACTTTACAATCCTTTGTTAACACATTTTCTGGGAAAAAATAGTTTATTAGTACCAATACTGCCTTTTAGATTTGAGTGTGTTTGGTTTTCAACTTCATTTTGCCGTATTTTCCATTTTTTAAGTACACAATGTTCAACTGATCAGCTGTAATACAAAAAGCTGAGAAAAGTTCTCTCAATGTCACGAATTGACCAACCTTTTTTCCTTTCTCATAGTCGCCCTCGGGAATGGCTTCCGATGAACCTGAGTCAGACTTTTTCTTTCCGCCGGCCATTTCGCGTCGCAACTGTTTCACACAATGAAACTGACGAAATGTCTCCTGATCCACGTCGACAACTCACGCCGACTTTTATTATTTCACGTGTTTTCAAATAAACTCTCTTTTCAGGCTTCTTTCAAGTTGGTGGCTGATCAAGCGCGAGTCGGACAATCCCTCGCTCGACGGCTCACAAAGACATTCGCGCAATTTTACAACATTGCGGATTGGTCCAATAGGCAGCTCGAGAAAACGGTAGCGAAAAAAATAAGGCAACCTGATCATTTTCGTGTTCAGAAAGATGAAGTGACAAACTTAACGTCTGCGGTAAAATCTCTGAGAGACTGGCGAAATGATCGAACTTTGAAAGATCTTCGACGACAGGCGCTTTTGTTGAAACTCAACCGTCAGATTGCGTATATGTACTATATATTTAAATTATAACGAAAGAATATTTCAGAACTCTTTTGAAACTCTTTCAAGACGACGCGTGCCTAAAGAAGCCGTGCCGGGCAGGCGGAACTTGTATCCCGCGATTTGGGAACAAATATTACTGCTTGTGTCCACCTCATTCTACGGTTTTTGATTGATGAGAAAAATCAAGTTATTAAAAAAAACAGGGAGTCAACTGTGAGAACGACGTCGATGAGTGCGACGTCTACAAAGGAACTCCGGCTGGATGTCAGAACAACGGAACTTGTTTGAACGTTCCCGGAGGATTCATGTGAGAAATTCATTGATAAAAAAAATGTCAAGAAAGGGTTTTTTTGAACGCCTCGTGTCATTAAAGAAGTTCTGCAGAACGTTTTTTTCTGGTTTTCTGCTTATCAGTGCTCTCTTTCAGGCTTACTAGTTTCAGAGACGTTTCCTTTGTAACGTTTAATTTTATTCAATTTTTTGATTTCAAAGAATATTCCTTTTTCATACTTTTATTTCATTCATGTTTTTTTCAGCTGCACCTGCCCACACGGTTTCCACGGACAACTCTGCCAGTTTGAACTTTCGCAATGTTCGAGAACTTTTGAGATTTGTGGACCTCATGGCCATTGCATCGACGTCGACAATCCGAAAAGCGAGGTTCAAGAAGAATCAACAAAAAAGAAAAACATTTTATATAAGAAAACATCACTTCATTTGGAAAAAAAACAGCGAAAAATTGAGTCCAAAATCTCCCTTGAAGTAAACTTTTAAGAGTACATGTACGTAAAGATGAAGTGGAACTTGGGACTCTTAGACCTTAGTCTCTAACTTCCATTTCAGGTCAAATACAAATGCCTCTGCGACTGGGGATACAAAGTCTCGCCGGACGCCTCGAATCCGACTTGCGTCGACGTCGACGAGTGCTCTTCGAACCCGTGTCATCCGGGAATGGACTGCATAAACCTCCCAGGCACCTTCACCTGCTCCGGCTGTCCTCCCGGATACCAGAGTAACGGGAATATCTTTCCGGAGAAACGAATCGGAATTTTTGCAGTGGAAGGTCAGAGATGCGTGGACGTGGACGAGTGTGCGGCTGAAGAGCCTCCTTGTTCCACAGATCCGCCGGTCGTCTGCAGAAACACCATCGGTGGATACACCTGCGAGAGTTGTCCTCCAGGTGGGCTTCTTTGGGTAATTCAAGAAAAAACGAAAATATCGTGGAAGGTTAAAAAATTTACTTTCAAAAAAGTCTAAATGTGGCTCAGAACAAGTCTGCACCCAATCAAATTTCTTGGCAGGTTATACCGGAGACGGCAAAAAGTGCGAGAAGCAGTCGGCGTGTCTGAACGCCAACTGTCACGAGCTGGCCAAGTGTCGCGAGTCGGACGAGGTCTGGCACACCAACGGCTACATCTGCGTGTGTCCCTCGGGCTACGCCGGCGACGGAGTCGGCCTCAACGGCTGCGAAAAGACCAACTCGACCGTCTGCCAGACGAATCTCTGCATGAACGGCGGCAAGTGCCAGGTCTCTTCGTTTCCTCCAAAAACTTATGAAAATCAATTAATAATAATAGGTTTATTCAAATCAACTAAAATGAGTTTTATCATTCACAGGAAAAAGTGCAGTTAAATAAAGGACTTAAGGAGACTACCTTAACATGGAAAAAGCTAGTCTTCGACCCGGTATTTGAAAAGTAGGCAAAACGCAAAAAATAAGCTGATACATAAAATACGGATGTTGTGAAATAATCAAGCTCAATCCAGAAAGAATCATTGAAGAAATTCGAATCTAGATTTGTTGAAGGTTATTTAGCCATAATGAAATAAATTTTGAAAAATATGTGTTCATGAAATTGAGTGAAAATTCGAAGTGTATTTTCTGTAAAGGAGAAGTAGTAAAAAGGAGAAGTAGTAAAAAAAAGTGATGAAGATTTCCCACATTTTTTCAATTTTTTCAGCCCTTAAACAACGTCTCGTATAGATGCGTCTGTCCTGACGGCTACTTTGGAACTTTTTGCCAAAACGTCTGTCATTCCCTTCAACCTTTCCGAAAAAGTGAATTTCTCTTCAGCGCGATCCATGTTCGGTGAATCCTTGCTTGAACGGTGGAAAGTGCCAGAGAGCCACCACCTACGAGTACAAATGCCAGTGCACTGGGAACTTCTACGGTGAACAGTGCGAGCTCGAGGAAGAATGTGAGGAGTTTAAAAAAGAGGTCTTGACAAGAGCAACAGTTTTTGTTTCAGTTATGTTACAAGAGTTTTGGAGGTCTGTTGGGAAAAAAACGAAAAAAAAAAACAATGATGGTATTAGTTACTTATGATCAGTTCGACTTCGCAATAAAAATTAAGCCCAAATTTTTTCGTAGGCATGCCTGTTTTTGTGACCAACGAGGCTTCACCTATCATTCAGAAATGACCTCAGGTTGAGCTTTCAAAAGTTATAGCAACCGTAACTTACTCACTGTCCTGTGTGATGATCATTGAGCGCCATCTGAGAAATTAAAAAACATAAATATCCTTCAGCCTTCTTGAAAATCATAACACCATAATAAAAGCAACTTTCTTTTCCTTTTTTTCAAACTGTTTCCCGATACTTTGCGAGGCTGCTTCATTTTCCAGCTTGCAATTCGCACATCACCCAGGAAAGTGGCAACGTGACTTTCGAATACAAAACCTCCACCAGCCGTATTTGTGACTACACATTCAATATTGCGCGCCAAAAGTCCGCGTTGAAACTGACGTTCCTTTCCTTCGACGAAATGTCTGCCGGACTGTCTTTGTCCACCGACTGCGCAACGACTCTGGGAAATCTTACGGTAAGGGGAAAACCAAGAACTGGAGGATTACTGTGACAGGTCTACGACGGTCTTTCCGACACTTCGACGCGATTCGCGACCTTCTGTGGTGACCGCAACAGCATTTATGTGAGGAAAATTGCTCTTGAAAGATTTGTAATGCTAAAAATGTTTCGAAATATGGTCAATGAGTTGTTGAATTTAAGTACTCAATAATTTTTCACAGTCAGAGGGAAAGGGTAGTGAAGAAAGAAAAAAAAAAGACAGAACACGACTTTAAAAAGAGTTTTGATTCAAAAAACGCAATCTTCAAATGAGTCTCAATATCAGGCTCCGCTGATCGATCAGCCCATCACGATGACGTCGACGCGAGCTCTCCTGCGCTTCCGAGGAGTTTCTGGGAAGTTCTCCCTCAAATGGGAAACCATTGAGCGAAGTGAGTACTTCCTCAGCTCATCGTCACATTTCCAACTCACAGGCTGCGGCTTCCGAACTACAAACAGCGAAGGCGACCTGGTCGTGCCTCCGAACAAGCAGGACGCCGTCTGCGAATGGTTCATCTCGGCGCCGTCGACCAAAGACGTCGAAGTGACGATTCCTTCCGTCGAGATGTACTCCAACATCGACAACGACTGCACCAAGAACTCTCTCGAGGTTTGGAAGCCCGGAAAAACAAAAGAAGTCAAATTGTGAAGATATTCGACGGCTACACTTCTTACGACGCTCACCGCATTGCGCAAGTTTGCTCCAGCAACAACCAGAGCACTACGGTACTTTTTATTCTCAGTTTAGACCTGCAGTTAAAAAATGTTGAGGAACTTTCAGAAAAAGTCGAAAAGTTTGTGAGTTTGCAAACTGTGTGAACATCTAGGTTTTAAAATATACCCCTCGAAGTTAAGTGAAACTACGCTAATAGAATGGAATATTGAGAAAAATCAAAGTTAGACAGTATTTTTCCAGCTGATATTTTCAGAATTTTCATTTAGCGGAAAGCGTCAGGGCAAATACTCAAAAAAATCGAAAGCTCAAACTCCTATCAATTTGTATCTCAATCAATGGTATTGATAAAAGTAAAAGTAAGTCAGATAAGATCAAAAATCCTGATAATTTTGAACATGCGAAAAAAAAATTAGAATTGAATAAGTTCAGCTTCTGATTTTTTCACAAGGTTACAACAAAAAGTTTTCCATAGAAGAAATGATTTCTTGTAATCTCTATTTTGGTTTAAGCTCCGGTCGACAGGTCCACATTTGACAGTTAGTTTCATCAGCAACTTGCCGACTCTGGAGAATCGTGTGCAGCAGAGAGGATTCGTCATCAAGTATCGATTCGTGGAGAGTCCGTGGAAAAATGATTCACAGCTCTCAAGAAAATCTTCAGAAGAACGAGAATGCGGCGGCGACCTTAAGAATGAAGAAGGCAAAATCGGCTGGAAGGGAGTCATCGAGTCGCCGAATTACGGCTCTCTATACCCACCAAACATGGATTGCACGTGGAAATTCTCTGGGAAACCCTTGGACAACGATACGGAAGAAGACGGTCAACAGCTCAAGCTCACTTTTGAAGAGTTCGACGTTGTTTCTCCATATCTTCCTCTGGGACCAAGCTCATACAGTAAGGCCAAATACAGTACCTCAGCTGTTGTTGTCGTTCAGTCCGACAGATGGGCCTCGGCTTTGGTCCGTTTTCTTCTTGGAACCGACGGAGGCTCTGGTCACGGCCTTTTCTTGATTTGGGCACTACTCTCAAGTGCAACGAAGACTTTCTTCAAGTGGCTATCATAATGAATTCCGTCGAATTTGACTATCTTTGAGATAATCACCGATTCTGGCCTGTACTTTGACGCTTGCAATGGTCACAAGCCAAAGAACGAGCTCGTGATACCGAGCAACGAGGTCGTTTTGAAATTCCACTCGGACAGTCGGCAGCAAGGAAAAGGATTCCGCGTCAAGTATGAAAGCGGTAAGACCGAAAACATTACAAAGGAAAGGATAGTGGGTTGCAGTCTGTGAGAATAAGTTCTCTGGGAACGGAACGATCCGCTCGTGGAACTATCCGAGCGGCGGCGTCGCTGGAAAGTGCACCTACATCATTCAAGCTCTCAAAACAGAAGCGATCACCCTGAAGTTTGAATCGAGAAGGAAATCCTGTGCAAAGTCTAACTTTCAGGATCAAAACCTTGGGTCTTAGGGTTATTTCTCAATCCGAATGTTTTTATCCCAAAGACGCCATCGAAACATATCCTAACTATATTGAGGTTTGTCTTTTTTGTACGGGTAAAAAAAGAAAAATATTTAAAAAAAATTGACTTATTAGGGACTAGTCTCACTTTGAGTTATTATATTTTCTATTTATTTTCTAAATAATATCTTCTCAAAATGCAAAAAAAGTTTGGTTTAGACTCCACTATAGAGATTTTTAAGCTGATAAAAAAACGGAATTTGGTAAATTTTATTGTTTTTTTTCTGGAATTGGAGAGCATTTACTGATTAGCATATCGAGGCTATGGTTTTAAATATTTTTCACAGGTCACTGGTGGGCACAAGGAAGACAAAACCCTAAACAGAAGATACATATGTGCCAAGTATCCTTTCGTCGAAGAAAACGCTCTGATTGCTCCTGGAAATCGGCCGCTGACGATCGTCGTCAACAGCAACGGAGATCCCAAGTTCACGGGTCTTCTCATCGAATACACGACCACCAACATCGGTACAGTTTCTTTTCTAATTTCTTTTAAACTGCTTCCTTCTCAATGCTTAGGGAATTGTCTCTACGTTGGTTTTCTTAACTTTTATAAAAACTAGGTGCTTTTAGTTGTTCGGTGTAATTATCATAAGAAGCCACTCATGAACATTTACTTTTTTCTCTCAGGATGCGGCGGCGTCTTCACCACGATGACGTCACACATCAACTCACCCAACTACCCAGAACGCTACATGCCGCACATGCACTGTATCTACACGATCCTCGTCGGATGGGTCCGTTTTGTTCTTGTTCTGAAACGGCGATTATGGGATTTTGCAGGGAAAAGTCGTCCGGGCGACGTTTGAAGCTTTTGACTTGGAGTCGACGCCTTCGAAAGATTGCGAGTTCGACCGGGTCGAAGTCTATGAGAAGTACACTAACGAAGATGACCACGGACCTTTGCTAGCCAAGTTTGTCTTGCAAAAAAAACTGAAAAAAGCTAAAGATATCAAAAAAAGATGCAAAATTAAGAGAGCGTATTTTTTAAAAAATTTCACATTCTCAGAAATGCCATAGTTTTCCCTATAGAGGTTAGAGTCTGACTATAAACCTCTAAAGCTCAAGTGGTCCATGTAGGGTCTTTTAAACCTTTTTCAGGCGTAAAAAATGATGAGACGAAATTGACCAATCCTCTGTTGTTTTTTTTCAGGTCATCTAAAAATAACTTGTTGCAGATTCTGCGGCTCGATGCTTCCTCCGGCGATCATGTCACCGGCCAACAAAATGGTCCTCGTCTTCATTTCTGACCGGTCCGTTGCCGGCAGTGGCTTCAGCGCCAAGTACGAGGCCGTCGAGGAGTCTCAGACCTGCGACCAGACTTTCTTGGCGCCGAGTGGCGAGATCGTCTTCAACTCGACGGAAGTCCGAGTCAACAAATGCTCCTTCCACGTCGCGGTCCCCGGAAACAAGAGGATTCTCCTGAAACTCAATGACATCGACATGCCTTGCTTCACAACTCAGCTCAAACTGAGGTAGGGCTTTTGCTTTTTTTCAATAGTTTGGTCAAATGATGCAAGATAAAAACATCATGAACCAAACATTTATATCAGACTTTCGTTTAGGTGGATACAGTCTGAAAGATAAACACATATTTAAATTTTTTTTTAGGCTTGTTTTCGAAATTGGGAACAGCTTTCTAATTTCAGATATTCCTATCAATAACTTTTCAATAAGAGAATCATGTTTTCATATCCCTAACAATCCATTTTTTAGGAACGGACCCAGCGAAAGCTCTCCAGGCTTCACCACTCTCTCGGACAACTCTCAAATCTGCGACAATCAAAAGTTCAGCATCTTGAGATCTCATGGATCGAGAGTTCTGCTGACCTTCACTTCAACCGACCCGAGAAACGTGTTTTTCAACATCTCCTACGAGTCAATTTCTTCGGGTAATTCTTTCTGACGAGGAAGTGTTGCATTATCAACTTGAGGTTGTGGCGGCCTAGTAACTGGCCTGACGGGCAGCATTTCGGCTCCCCAATACCCACTCAAGGACTCTTCAGCCATCGAATGCCAATGGACGGTGGCCGTCGCCCTCGGAAACCGCATCCGCTTCTCCGTCACTGAACTCGACGACCTCAAATCCTCAGACGAGTTCGGCTACTGCGCCATGTTCCCTGCTAACCGGCTTGATGTCTGAGCGCTGTCCAGATTCACGCTCAATCGTTTTTTTCAGGTTCTCGATGGACCTCACGCTGCATCAAAGACCATCGTGAGGTACTGCAGAAAAGAATTCGCTCCGGAACCAGTGGACTCGGAAGACAACGAAATCGTCGTGCGATACAAGTGGACATTCCACACTTTTCTTTTCATTGGTTTCTGCTTTCAGGCAGCAAGGAAGCTACCAGACCGGTGGGATCTTCGGATTCCTGGCCCATTTCACGACTGTTTGCAAGGGAGTTCTTCTGACCGACCTCAGCGGCTCGATTCAGTCGCCAGGATATCCTCATCACGTATCGACCAATCTTCTCTGCCAATGGACTATTCAAGTAGGTGGAAAAGAATTACATATGGAGGGAAAAAAGCACCGTATTCGAAAAACAAAATTTTTCTGACAAAGAGCATTTTTACAGGTACCTCCTGGCAACAGAATCCTAGCGACTATGCACAAGTTCGTGTTAGAGACGTCGTCTTACTGGACGAAAGTTGGCAAAGAATGCGATACGAACTTCTTGAAGGCCAGTTGGCAGCGTTAAAATCCTTCTGAAAAGCTGAATGTTCAGATCGACGAAAATGACTTTGCCTCGGCGAGCGTCCTGATCAATGGCTTCACGAACGTCACGACAACAAAAAGCCGATTCTGCTCGGATCTCGTCGCGCCCGTTACCATCAACGTTGTTGAAAAAGTGAAATAATAAATGACAAGGCTTTTCAGTCGAAACACAACCGAATGATCATCACCTACGCCACTTTCAAGCAGCCGGAAAATCTTTTCTGGCTGAGTTGGACGACCATCGGCTGCGGCGGAGAACTTCGAGCGCCTCAGAAGATCGTCGTCAACAAGAATCGGCTCGATCCGGATGCTCAGTCCTACGAGTGCCACTATAGTATTAAGGTACTTTTTTCCGGAACAAATTTTTCAGAAGAATAGTTCTAAAAGTTTATTGAAAATCGAAGTTTCAGGGAACAGAAGTTTATGAAAACATAGGGGGAGATTGAACGGTGAAAAACGCCTAAATTTCGAATAGTAACGTTGAATTACGTTTACGTTGATGTAAATCTTGACAAAAAAACTATTATTATTTGTCTAAAAATTTTTGTTGAAAAAAAACGTTCGTTATACCTTGAATTCGTATTCCTAAAAAATAGAGGCTTTTAATAATTCTGAAGTAAATTTTTTTAGGAAGAAGAATTACGACGGAGCTCTCATTTCACTGTCTCAATTATGTACATAATTTAGAGTTTTACGGAAAGTAGAATTTGTCTGATGATGAGCGTGAACAGTCTCACACATCTTCATTTTATTTCGTTTCAAGTTGAATCTCATGGGGAAAAACTTCGAAGTTGTAGATGAATTTGAAAAATACTGTAGACCGTACGAAGCAATGTTCATTCAGGCGCCGCTGGATAAAAAAGTGAAGCTGAAAATCGAAGAGTTTTCGGTGTACTCGAAGAATTCGGATTGCACTTATGAATCGTCTAAGCCATTCTACGGCGTCGCTGTAAGAGTTTGACTTGTTTTTCAAGAAAAATATGAACTTCCCAGCTTTTCACCGCTTCTTCTAACGATTCCGGCCTCGCTCAACACGTTCTCTGCACACAGACCACTCAGGATCACTTCAATTCCCACACCAACGAGCTTTTCATAATCATTTCGGTTTTCTTGAACTCACCAAGTAGCATTTTGAGCTTCCGCTTTAGGTAAACTCTAGCCAAGTTGCTCCAAACGAAGTCGGAGAGTTCTTCAAAGCTTCTTTCGAATTTGTTGACAGCGACCAAGAAGACGTCTTTGATCAGTGTGGTGGAATCATCGAACGTTTGTGGAAAAAATAATATCAAAAAGAAGTCTGATTTTTTTCAGTGAAGCCGAAACTAATGACGCAAATTCATTCTCCCGGATTCCCGAAGATGTACAACACTGGCGTCAGCTGCAACTGGCTCTTCAAGGCAAGAAACAGCGGGATCGTGAGTTGATGCGCAGCGAAACTTGCAGGCTCCAGAGGGCTACCACATCAACTACACGATGAACGAGTTCCACTCTCCCAACTACGACCCCGTCCGAGAACCTTCCCGCTTCAACATAAGATCCTCTTTAACTGGACTATCGTGAGTTTTCTTGATATTCATGACACTTTACCTACTTACCTTTGAGATGCAAGAAATGGAGTTTCTACATGGATGGCGCGCTAACTTTCTATGAAACCAACAGCAGGTCAGCTTCCTTCGAATTTAATCAATAATTTTTTTTTCTCGCCCGGAAGAGGTTATCTGTTGGTTAGGGTAAACGATGATCAGAATCTCAACTTAAAAATAAAAAAAGTTAAAAAAATTGAAAGTAGAGCCGTTGACTCTTATAGATTTACGCGATAGACCACGCCTCCTTTTTGATGACGTCAATAAGCTGTTGTGATCTTTTTTTCTCTTTCGAAAAGAAACTGTTAACTTCCAGCAAGACTCCGCCTGTCGAAAGGTTTTGCGATGAAACTCCCGATCCGAAAAATATTAAAGTTCGCAGTGGAGAGGTACTGGAGCATCACTCCCCTGAAAATATAACTATTTTCCAGTCTTTGGTCGTTTTCACTGGAGTCAATGCCTCTCCAGGCCAAAGAAGTGGTCAGGCGACTTCCAGCAAAGTAGAGAAATTGTTGGGAATTCTCGAAAAAGAAGCAATTTTGAAGATGGGATTCTCCCTGAGCGCCGAGCTTCTCTGTGGTGGAACAGTGTATGCAGACAACAAGCCGACCGTTTTTTCGCTTGTTCGTCAAACGGAAAGCTGCGAAATCACAATAGTCAGGAAATATCCGGGTAGGTTCAGTGGTTCAAAGCACAAGCAAGGATGTTGCTCAATCTTTTTTCTTCACTTTTTTTTTTCAAATTTGTTGATTTTATTTTTTTAATTTTCACTTTTTTTTTAATTCGACCCATTTTGGACTCCTCGAACGGAAAAAAAGTATTTAAAAAAATAAAAAATTTAAGATATTCAGATCAAGATGGCAAGATTTTTCTGCGAGTGGAAAAGTTCATGCCCCACATCGATAAATCCCAAGTTTCGGATTTCGATGCCAAACTCTACATCAATGGCGATGCTCTACAGGCGACGTCTGTTATTCAAGCGTCTTTTCTAGAAAAGATGATTCTTCCAGAACTTCTGACTTTTTATCATCGAGGGAGTCAAGAGAGTACATTGGGAATCGGATTAACGTCTCCGTCGTCGTCGGCCAGAATCCGTTGACCCTCGTCTTCGAGTACCACACCAACTCTGAAGGTCTTTTTGAGCATTCGGAAAGTTATTCAGCTAAAAAAAAGAGCCTCCATAATGTAAATTTTTGAAGTTTGATCAAGGGCTTCTGAAACCTGAGAGATAGTAGTTACTCAGTAAAGTTTCGGAAATAGAGAAGCCTGGATAATTTTTTTTTTCTGAAATGTCTTTTAATTTTCACGAAAATAATAAGGTTCAAAGGCCAAAATTTAATGCTCAAAACTTCAAAAACTTCAGTGAGCAAAAAAAAATTGCTTTTTTTTTTGTTGCGAATGAAAATCTGAGAAATAAGTGATTGTGTGTGAGAAGATAAAAAAAGGCTCATTAATGAGGACGATTTGCAGTTTGCGGAGGCGAGATCAAGCAGGACCAAGGTTTCCTGACTACTCCCCGTCGTTTTGACGAGGAATACGACTGCGAGTACGTCCTCCGTAACTCTCCTGGCAACACCGTCACCGTCCAAGTCATGTGAGACCGATTTAACAACTTTTCAAAAGTTTTTCATGCTTCTCTATTAATAAATCCGATTAAGTGCCTGAAAAACGTTTCTTTTGAATGGCCTGTAGCCGTTGAAGGTTTTTTGAAATAGAATGTTTATTGGAAAGTTTGAAAAAAACTGCTCTGACGACTTTTAATCATTCTTTCTTGTTTTTATTACCGAAATAGCTGTCCTTTTGACTCAAGAACTTGGTATTAACCAAATCCAGTAACGCAACCCCAATAGAATTTCTTTATTGACTCATTCAGGAATCTGACAATGTCCTCGTCGACCGACTGCGTCAGGTCCTACTTGGAATTCCGAAAGTTCAACGAATCTGGTCCGCTTCTGGCTCGTCTCTGCGAGTTCCCAGTCGGAAACGCTACTTTTGAAGTTTTTTGAGTATCGATTATGACGTACAGTCTATAAATACAGGCGCAAGTCATCTGGATGAAGATTCGGTATCGAAAAGCTTTGACCGAAGAAATGGGTCCAGTCGTCGTTACTCCCAAAATCAACTTGAAATACAAGAAAAGTAGGTTCCAGTGAGAAGATGTCCATTAAGTATTCTGATGAAGACGCCGGTTCGGACACTCGGTCGAAAGTTATCGCCAAACCAATACTCGATGTTGCCGAGGCCACTGAATCGACTTGGGTCCTTGAAGGAGCTCCTGGAAAGGTTGGTTTTCATAATTTTCTTTCTCAAAAGAATTCATTTACAGGACTTGGCTATACGATTCACCAAGATGCGAATGTTGGGAAGTGAATCTGGAATAACGGTTGAAACGAGAAGTCATGAAAATTGGAACAAAAAATGTTTTCAGTTCACCGAAACTTCTGATTCTGATTCTGAAGCTGTCACCAACCCGCTCGCTCAGGTCTACAAAGGATCCTATCCATACAGAGGTTAGAAAGTCCGATCGAAAAGTGTTGTGTTGAGTTTCATAAAATCAACACAGCATTAGCGTTTTGAAAAAAAGGACCATTTTTTTCGGAGTATTCCATAAAGGAAAAGCTCAGAATTCATACTTCCGTATGAAAAAGTGACGGTGAAGGCCAAGTACGAATTAACGGACGATTTCGAGTTTGAATGGGAACTCCTCGACTCGCCTGACACCAACGCCACGTTCACCCCAGAAAGCCCTAGGAGTACGGTTTTTTCCTGGATTTCTCGAAATTCGAACCTTACACAGACCACACATGCGGCGAATTCCTTCATCCGACCAGCGAGTGGCAGTATATCAGCAATCCCACTGAACCTTTTGGAGGTTTCCTTTGAAAAAATACCCGGAGCTCCATAATTTTGTTTAATTCTTCAGGTGGATACGGTTATCCTGTGGACACTCATTGTCTGTGGACCATCCAAAGGAAACTTTTCACTGGAATCGAGTTGAAGGTAAAAAATCGAATTATTTAATAATGACCTAACGGATCTATCATGACTTTCAGTTCGAGAAATTGTCCCTGGAAGAGAGTCCAAATTGCGTGTACGACTACGTCGGCTTCGTCGTGGACAATGTCGTCGAAGCCAAGTACCAAGAGTTGGTTTTATTACTGGCAAACCAGTGAAAACCGTCTGGATCTTATCAAATAAAACCGATTGAAGCTCTCAAAATACACACATTTCATAAAATTTCAGCATGGAAGCTTCTGCAACATCACGTCATTGCCAACTTAAAAAGAGCAACAGCACCTTCAAATACAGCTACAACAAGGTTTTGGACGTGAAAAAGGAACTTTCTCATGAATATTTGAAAGGTGCTGCGGATCCACTTCGTGTCGGACCACAACCGAGGCGGCGCCGGATTCCGACTCGGCTATCGACTTTGTTTGTAACAATCGCAGAGAGTTGAGATGAGAGTTTCTTTTAGCCTGCACCTCTTTCGACTATCTACCGGCGTCGAATGGCCTGACTCAGTACGAACTGACGAGTCCTCACTGGCCCCGGGGGACTGCAGAACGGGACTACGTTAGTTTTTCCCTCAGTTTGAGACACAACGGAAAGAATCCATGACATTTACAGAACTGCGAGTGGACGATTTTGTCGGAGAGCAATCGTCAGTTCGACGTCCAGATCATCGACCTCGATATGCTCGATGCGGAGGGCTGTCCAGACGACTTTTTGACTTTGGTGAGAACTCGAAATGACTAGGACTTGCAATGAAAATTCGACCCGCGATGAACAGTTTTCATTTCATATTGTTTCACGGATCTCGAACTTTTCAGAATAATCTTGATAATATATGGCAGCCCTTGAACTGATAACTATTTTGAAAAATTATTAAAATATTCAAAAAAGGTTTTCTAACATTTTTTCGAAATATCCGAGATGAGGAAATAAAAACTTTGGCAAACTTTGTATCCTTTGAATGTTTGAAGCAACTAAAGCGAGACGATTTTTCAGCGTCTGGCGTTCTACTTCTTAATGAAAATGGCAATTCGACTGTTTTTGAAAGCATACATTTTTGTTTCAAAGCTTTTTAGAGAGTTAAAAAAAAATTTCTTGATTCACATCACGGAAGGTAGTAAACACAGAAAAGTTAAGAATGATTATGTTCCAATTTCTTATCTCTCTGTGGGATACTGTAGATGACGAGGTATTTTCCAGGCCTCGAGATCCTCGGTCATCCGTCAGCTGCCGGACACGGCCAGCTACTGCGGAAGATTGGATGAAAACGAAAAAGCCAACTATACATCGCTCTACGGTCGCCTCTTTGTAAAATACAAGGCTAGCAAGAACTCGAAAAAGGTTTTTTACTCAAAAAATAAACCTAGAACTTCTCTTCAGGGATTCAAACTGAGGATCAAAGAAAAAGTCGTCGAATGCACTTCAGAAGTTATTCACGTCGATGAGAACAACCCAACGAAGGAGATTTTCACTCCAGAATTCCCAGGAAGTGCGGAAAATGAAAAAAAAGTTGAAGTTGATGATCCCCTTCTTTTAGAAATGCCAGCTTTGACGGACTGCGAATACGTGATGGCGGGTCCGAACGGCCACAGACTGAAGTTTACGGTGAACCCTGACCTTTTCCGGCTCGACCTGCAGCCTGGAGACACGTCAGTGTAGACCCTTCATCTTAAAAGTTCACTTCGGACGAGTTCAGATGTCCTTTCGAATTTGTCGAGTTTTACGACGGCCCAACAGTCAGCTCTCCACTAATAGGAAGGTTTGTTTGTTTTTTCTCTTTATTTATGAATTATTTATAGTTCAAATACTTCTCTCGTTTTTTATTCGTTATCAAGCAAGTTCCCTCGAAAAACAACGCACAGAAAACAACTAAACACAAAAAATCCGCTTGAAGCACTTCCGACCTGAAAAGACTTGCGCGCGGTGACAAAAATCGCTTTTTCACATTCTGGAATGAAGCTGAACTTATCAGATTTAGTGTCTAGGAACTACTTGGTAGTCTCCTCGAAAATCCACAAAAATTGAAAACTGGCTCAAGCACCTGGATGATTTTTCAGGTACTGTGGGAAAAAGTCGCCGTCGACGATCTTCTCGACCTCCAACTTCTTGTTGATGCGCTTGGTTACTCACATCTCGACGTCAGCTCTTGGATTTAATGCCACCCTAGAATTGGGTTCGTTCTGACTGACTCGACGTTTAATGTTTGATTTCAACTCAGCCAGTTGCGGTGGAACGATAATGGTGCACACAAACGAGACCCAGAAAATAATGTCGCCCAACTTCCCTCATCAATATACTCCGATGGTGGACTGTGAATGGACGGTCCGTAGTGCGAACACTCACTTGCTCGAAACCAGGTCCTTTTTTGTTGAATTTCAAAAAAATTATCTTTCAAATGTTTTACCTTAATTTTAGTCACGTACTTCTTGTAAGAGTTTTTATTATTTCCAACTGGTCTGAAAATTTTCCAGAATTGATGCTTTGTGGCTGACTTATAACCCGAATTGCACAACTGATCGTCTGACTGTGCGCGATGGAAACGCCACCGGTACCGTCTTCTTCTGATTTATATCGGAATCCGTACGTTCAGCGCCGTATTTGGTGAGTCCGACATGTTCTCCGCGGACGATGCAGTCGGAATGGCAGAGGGCGTCGGGAAGCAGGATCACCGTCCAGTTCCACGCCAATTCCTCCATCACGGTCCGTCTTTTTTCCGAAGAGTTTGTGACTTGGAACCGTTCAGAGAGCCACCAGGAACTACTGCAAGGACAAAAAGTGTGGATTCGAGCTGTCTGTCAGGCTCAGCGGAAGGGGTCAGTTGAATCTTAGAAAAAATGCCCTCTTTGAAAGCCTCTTCCTGTATTTTTAGCCGGTAAATGATCACTCAGGATACATCTATGCAAGCAATATGCTAAAAATTGCACTACGGATCTTTTTCCAATCAATTCACCACAACTTATTATATACCAGCAAAAAGTAAAGAACTTTCATCAAAACTTTCTTTGAAGCTTGTGGCGGTAGAATCACGGACGACAGCGGCGAACTGACGGTCCCTGGATACCCTGATACAATTCTGCCTTACCTCAAGTTGGAATTTCCTCCATCAAGAAGTCAGAAATCCTTTCCAGGTGTCTCTGGCAGTTTGATGCTGGTCCCAAAAAGCGATATATGTTCGAGCTGAAGTTCACCAAAGACTCTGTAGGTTGATGAAGTTTCACAATGATTTTTCGGCTTTTTCCAGGGACTTAGGCCGTTTAACACGTCTACCAGCTGCTATATGGACCTGCGGGTAAGAAAAATAGGGAACGAAGAAATAATGAATAAATAAATCCAAGTTTGTTCCGAAAGTAATGAAAATTTATTTTGTGGTCGAAAAATGCCAATTTGAAAAATAAAGGAAAGAAGTTTTTGATATGAATACTGCTCGCTTTTTTAAATTCATATCAAAATTTTCTATTTTCGTCAAAAAAAAGACTTCTCAAAATTGTTTTTACTGTTTGCTGACTCCCTGCCAAACGCCGTTTAAAACATTCATTTCTCTCATAAAAAAAAAACAGGCCGGTCAAACAGAAAGAAATCTTCTATTCGTTAATCCCCATTCAGTACTTTTTTTCCAGTACTTGAACGGAGATTTCAAGGACGACAAGTCCTTCTTCCTGGACCGCCGATTCTGTTCCAACTCAGCGACTGCCTTTACCACTGCTGACCTGGCCACTGTTATGTAATACTTTGAATTTCTCCTTCAGATATATTTTTAGAAAAGGCTTGTTTCAGATTTGACAACACTTACGAATCGCGTTTCTCGACTAACAAGGCGCCCAGGACGCTGACTCCCTTTGTTCTCAAGTACAGCAAGGTTCACAAAATGAAGCGCTCTGAGTAATAAAATGTCTTCCTTTGAAGCTGACGGCTAACTATGGCGACGGCTCATGTACAAGGGTCACAAGAATGAATGAAACTTTCACTTTTATGCCGACCTCCACCGTCGGCCACGAAGTTCATAATAATGGTACTGTTTAGCATCTTGATCAGTAATAAGCTCCTAGGCCTTGTTAACCCAAATTTCCCAAAAGTTACAAGGAAATATTTCAGATTTGTGTCACCTCGTGGTGAAGCGACCCCGCGAGTTCCAAACGACCACAATCACAGTCACCAACTATTCGAGTCCCCTGGAAGTCTCAGCCACGCGGACTTGCTTCGAATGGAATTCCTACTTCGACATCAAATGTTTCCTATTCCTTCTGAACGAACCATAAGAAAGATTTCCAGCCGACAAACCGAATCATATCAACCTCCGTGGATGTAACACGACTTTCAACAGTAAGGAGAAGGTCCAGCGGCTGACGACCGTCAACAAAAAGATCGACGTCTTCGTCGTCAACCAGCATGAATCCATGCAGCAGTTCGTCCTCAACGTCGAGATGCAAGGTATAATCTCTCAATCTACCGAACTTATACATTAGAAAACAATTTATCTGTTCATCAGAATGTGGAGGTGTCATTGAAACGCCGTCTTCTGGAACCATTACAAGTCCAAATTGGTCCCTTCATGGCCAATACCTCCCAAATTCCCACTGCAAATGGTTCCTCACAGCTCCAGAAGGCCAAGTTGTCAAGGTTTCGAGTTTTACTTGTCATCATTAAACCAAGACGTTATCAGATCAATATTTTAATGATGGATGTGGAGTACACGACAGAGTGCGTCAATGACATTTTGACTGTTGGCGAAGGTTTTTTTTTCAGTTTTTTTCAAATAAAGCTTTTTTGAAGTTACTTTTCCGCGATCTCTATGCCTAGACTCATTCTATATGCGCCCATAAATCTCCAAGCTAATTTGAAAAAGTAAAAAGTGTCAGGAATCGACAATTTGATAATCCACAAGTACTGCAACAGCAACGACGAGTACGGAAAGCCAGAAGAACAGCTCGCCGAACGCTTCAAAGTACATTGAGCTCCCTCATTTCGATGCAAAGTTATTTTTTGCAGACTGTAGTTTCTGTAAGTCGATATTTGACTCTGGAATGGCACACAGACGGACAAAACGAACGCAACGGATGGAAAATCGACTACGAATTCGTGAATGCCAACAACGGTTGGTTCATCTTCATACAGGGAGAAGCAAAAATCTAGATTATCAATTTTTCATATTTGAAAAAAATATCTGTGTTGAGGTTTTTTGAGAAACTATCTTCGAAAATCACTCTAGATTTTTTCTTGTAAATGTTATGAGAACTTTTACAGTATGCGGCTACGCGACCAAGGGAATGTCTGGCGTGATCCATTCCCCCAACTTCGACAAGGACTACCGCAACAACGAGGAGTGTCTTTGGGATATTCAAGTTCCGATGGGATTCCACATTTCCATTCATTTCACTCATTTCGACGTTGAATCGTCGGAAAATTGCTCCAAGGATTCCCTCGTGGTAGGTTTCTAGTTGAAACTGTAGAAACTATTTAAAAGTCTAGATTTGTTCTGCGCCATTTAGTTTTAGGCTGAGTTGGAAAAAATGAGCGGTATGGTAAAATGTTCTCTAAATCAAATATGTTCCGCTTACTTTCAGCCAAAAAAATTAGGGCGCAACCCAAAAACAGAAAAAATAACTTGGAAATGGTTATATTAAATTCTCCAAAAAAATATTCAAGTTAAATTTTCAGATCTCGCAAGAACACAGTGCTCGCGCCTTCGCTCCAGTCGGCGACTATTACTTTGTCTTCGAAAACGAGGAAAAATCGTCGCCAAAATGTGGAATCAACCTGCCGAGGGACTTTTCAAGCGAAAGCAACCGCGTCAGACTCAACTTCACCACCAACCAGGAAATCACGGCCAAGGGATTCCGTCTGGAATGGAAGGCCGAGTGTGGAACTGTCTTCACTCTGAACCACGGCGTCGTCTCTTCGCCCAACTACCCTCAGTATTACGGCAATGTCGACCGCGAATGCATGTACATGATCTATCCGCCTCCAAATGCCGTCGTTGCTCTTCGGTTCCTGGACGTCGACCTCAACAACTTCAAAAGTCTTCAGAAATATTTTGCATTCCATTATTTTTGGGGTTTCAGTCAATGCCGAACGTTACCCTTGTCGCCAGGATTATGTCGAGGTCATCGATCTCGAGAACAAAAACTCGGTGTCCGTCGTCTGTGGCGGAGAACCTCTCCCTGAGATGCCGTTCACGGTTAAAGTTAGTTCTAGTAGATTGTACTCATCTACGAATCTTGATAGTCTTCTGACACACTCCTCTAAATTTCACAATCATGAATGCGTTGATTTTTTTACTTAACCAAATGTCCCTAACAAAACGCCCCCTTCTTAGTTTTTTCGTAATTTCGCTGTCTCCATCTTCAAAGACTGTTTGAGAAATTTTTCAAATTTAATGCTAACACATATGAATATGGAAATCTTGATATGTCTTTAAGGGTCCTGTTGGCATTCGGCTGCTCACCAACACCTCGTTTTCCTTCAGAAGCTTTGAAAATAAGCGAAGTTTCCGCGGATTCCAACTCTCCTACTCCATCAACAGTTACCAGGAATTTTTTTTCAAAATAACAAATCCTTCAGAATGTGGCGGCAACATTGTGCTCAAAGAGGATAATATGGCGAGGTCGATCTCTTCGCCGGCCTTCCCTCTGGAGTACGAACATCAACTCGACTGCGTCTGGAACATCACCACCACTTCAGATCGCGTTATTGTGGCCAAGTTGGACTTGGTCCCAATTCCTTCGAAAAAGTTTTTTGATCCAGATTCGAAGATATGGACATGGAGCAGGTGAGCGATTGCTCTGCGGACGCGGTCGAGGTCTACGATTCGGCGACCATTTCCAACACATCTTTGCTGGTTCGAACTTGTGGCGACAAGTCTAGGTTATCATTTCGAACAATTCTGGGATAACTCTCTCGAACTTCCCTTCTAGAATGCCGATAGCGCCACTGCGAACTTCTGGAAACAGCATGCTTATTCGGCTCGTGACGGACTTCTCATTATCGGGCAAAGGATTCAAACTCGTTGTCACTGCTACCTTGGGTTCCATTCATATTCACGTATTATTAGAAAGAAATGTATGTTAAGGAGAATCGAAAGGATGTGGTGGGAAGCTCCAAGCGAGCGGAGAATGGAACGCGCTGACCCCGCCCAAGACTGAAAATGGTAGGAAAATGAGAAAAAAAGGGTCCAGAAATTATGTGTTTCAGGAGAGTACGCGATGTCTTTGAAGTGCGGCTGGACGATTTCGGGACCAACAAACACCATGCTGGAAATGAGGCTCGTCGAAATGGACACGGAGCCTTTGTCCGTGCCGCCAGGGAAAACTGTGCCCCCCGTCTGCATCGACTCTCTTTCGGTCTGATCCTTCTAAAATTTTTATATGACTTCTAGAAAAATCTAGGAAAAATAACTACTAAATGCTGGCTAAATTCTGAATGGTATTATTCATTTACCTTTACTTGAGACGCCATTCATTTATGTGGAATGACTCGAAATTTTGCGGTTGTGTATGTTTTGAGAAGATTTGAACGCTTGAAAAGCAACAACCATTCAAATCTTATATTTTCAAATCAATCGTCAAACTTCGAAGACTTGTGAAAGGATATCTGAATTCGACAACTAAAAATACGAAAAGCTAAGAAAAGCATTCTTTTATTCCGTAGACTCTATCAAGGCGATTTTCTGAATAGTTATTTTAATGCATACCTAGAATCATAAAAATGAGATACAGTAACTTTTTTTTTAACTTGAAAAAACCGAAAAATTTGAAGATTTTCGACGGTGTCCGGATGCTTTCGCCGCTGATCGCCGAGGATTTGTGCTCGGAGACGACGGTTGAAAAGCTTCCAATGTACTTCCACACGTCCCATCGGTACCTCAGAATCATTTCTCCTTGTGATATTTCGTCTCAGACACGCTTTCGTCCACTTTGAGACGGACGAGACTAACTCTGGAAAGGGATTCAAACTCGAGTATCGCACACAGGAAGGCAAGTTTATATAAACTATTTGAAACTTATCTTTTCCATTTTCAGCGGAATGCGGTGAATGGCTGAAGGCGACGAGTTATGAGAAAACGGTCACTTACTCAGTGAAAGCAGTGGCGGGTACGGAAAAGCTTTTGTTTGATAGAAGAGGAAAGATTTTATAGAAGCAAAGGAGAACCAGAGAAACCAACGATGTAGATACGTCATCGAAGCGTCAGAAGAAGCGCCGGTTCTCATCCGATTCAAGTACGGTCTTTTTTTCAAAAACCTGGACTTTTGAGCTCAAGCCAGGAAAAAAAAACTATCCTTATTTTTTCAATATGTTTGTTTATTTAGTAGAAGGTTTAAGTTTTGAATATGTTAAGTTTAAGTCATTAAGTCATTAATAATTTTTGGACTAACCTTTCGAATTTCTTCAGTTCAATGAGGTTCCCATCAGAAGCCGGAGACTGTTCTGATGCCTTTGTCGAGGTTTGAAAAAGTGGGCGGCAAAAAAGATAAATGATGTGGTTGAAGATAAGAGATGCGGGTGCTATCAACAACTGTCAACATCCGGCTTGCGCGAGAATTCCATCTCAAAGGAAGGTAAAAGCTTCGTGAAAACCTTCTCTATATCCCAGCTTTAATTTGAATTTCAACTTGTCGATAATTCATTTTTTTTTTTTAGTAATAGATGTAGTCGACTAGGCGCTGAACAAGACGTTTTGTCACTATTCGCTTTTGGAACCGATTTTGGCGAACTAGAAGTCCATACGTGTAGCTGATCAAGTTGAAAGCAAGGTCTTACGGTCTTACTTGGTTTACTGGGCCTAGTCCATTCAGTAGCGCCTCGAGGAGCTTAGAATGTAGCCGATGTTGAAGTTGAAGCCCCTAGACCGTTCTCTAGGTAGAAGCCTTGAAATGAAAATGGCCAATTCGACACGGAATCGAATTCAAAATTTCAGGTGACCCGAGTTTGCGGATCTGCAGTACCGCCCATTCATATTTCCAACACAAACATCGTCCAGGTTATCCAGTACCTTCGAATTATCTCAATTAAAAAAAGCCTTCAGATTTCTACATCGGCCTTGATTGACGCGAGCAAGGCGGCTTCCATGTCATTCACCTACTACGCTCTAACAAGTTTCCGGATAAAAATGTTTACAGATGACAGATTCTTTCAGACTGCAACCGAACCATCGACACTAACATCTACCGCAGTGGACGGCTCACAAGTCCCAACTATCCCAACTTCTACTCCACCAACACCACTTGCAACACAAAGCTTTTCGCCGCCGGCAGGAAGATTCATTTCTCGTTCAAGTTCGTGCCAAATTTCCAAATTATATGAAAAGTTCCTAAACGTGTTGAATATTCTTACTTTATTGTAACAAGTTTAAGAATGAGATTTCTGAAAAAAAATACAACTTTCATCTGTTCTGAAAGTATTTTTTCATATTTTTACTGAAATCAGTGCCATTTTCCACCACACTTACCGAAGTTTGTCTGAAAATACTCATTGATTTCCAGAACGCTCATAATGGAGACTGAGGCTGATAATGATGCTCCGGAACGTTGCATTTTCGACTATCTCGCGGTTTTCCTCTCACATGAAATCTTTCAAATGATGTTTTTGTCAGATAAAAGAAGAAAACAGAGAAAAAAGGTTCTGCGGAGAAAATTTGCCCGACTCGATACTCAGCAACAAGGGCGACATCGACGTGAGTGGTCTCTGAAGGGTTTCAAAATGTGGTGCTTTCAGTTCCTTTTCGTCTCCGACTACAATCAAGAACATGACGGCTTCGATCTGACTTATCACGTTTTAGTCAAAGAGACAGGTTTGTCTGAATAAAGAAAACTCCTTCTGAAAAAGATCATAATGCAGATGATTCGCTACTTTTTGCCGATTCTTACGACAGAGAAGGAGTGATTTCGAGTGTTGGCTACCCTCTCGGCTACAAAAAGTCGATGACTCAGACGTGATCCATTTCTCTAATTCTGCCGATATTCTTATTCTTTGAGGTGGATGATCCGGCCACCCAACGGACACACTTGCCAGCTGTCGGTGCTGGACGTGGGCCTGGGGACGAACAGGAAGGAATGCGCGTCACAAGGTGCAGCAGTGGCGTGGTTTCCGAGACGATGACTCATGCTTTCAGACGAGTACCTCGAGATCGAGCAGGCGGGCGAGGACGGCGACGAGCTTGACCTCCCTTCGACGACTCGGCTCAGAGACTGCTCCCTGGTCGGTTTCGAAAGAGTTTCAACATCGAAAACGTTGATCTATCAAATAAGATCGCAGAAAGTGCAGTAAGATATGTGGACATGCTTATCCAGATTCCACAGTTAACAACATTTCACAAAATTTTGAACGGTTTCATTTTTTCTAGCTAAAAAGGAGTTCTAGAAGACGTTAAAATCGTGAATTAAGGTCTGATAGCAACCAAAGTCGAATTAAAAAAAAACAAAAATATTACTTCGTTTTCTCTCTAGAAAAAAACCTGCAAAAACAACTTTTTGACGAATATTTCGAATAATTAACCAGATTTTTTTTGGTTAAGATTTTCGTGCTTTATTGAGACTTCATTGAAAGATTATTTTCTCCACCACTTTTCACAGCAGTTGCGAATAGAAAATATTGAAGGAGAATGGCCAAAAACCAGTGGTTGAAATGCGACCTGGAGTAGATCGTTACCTCAAGCTGACCTTCAAATCTGACGATGATCAAACCAACGACGGCGTCGGATTCCGCGTTTCTTGGAAGTGCGAAAATTATGAAAGCCCTCAACTTTGATCATTCACCTAATTTATTTCTTGTGATGTTTTTGATGCAGGTAGTTTCCTCTGTTCTCGTTGTTTTGTGTGCCATCGATTTGCAATAAAAGATGCTTTATTTTCTCGTCACTGAGTCACGTCACTCCATGGGCCCATCGAGCAATTGAACAACTGTTTTCGCGTATAAGTACGGGGAGCTGGAGGAGCTCAGGCCAGTGAGCCATGCTCCGTCGTCTACTCCTTTCCATTGTCCTTGTCCATCTCGCCTTTGGTTGGTTTTCATTTTTTTTTTCATTTGTAGAAGACCTTTTTTGACTTACCAATGATGTTAGTATAAGACTCGGTTTCGTCTTAATCTAAAAAAAAGGAACCGGTTTTTGGATAATTTATGTCGAATTGATGATTTTTCGAATAAAAGATTTCAGGCTACGTGTTCGACTGCCTGGATGGCTGCGAATGCGACACCGAAGACGAAGTCGTCCATTGCCACGACGGCAAGAGGACCAAGCTGCACCTCCCTGAAGGTACTGCTGAAGAAAGAGAAAAGATCTTCAAGAAAATAATTTCACCTATAACTTTAACAAGATTTTTAAAAAAGCTACTTGAATATTTTGGTGACGTTTTAAAATTTTCTTCTAGCTTCAAAAAAATTTTCCTCGAAAAATTTTTATTCGAAGAATTTCGGTTGTTAACATCGATAACGGTGAATTGAGCGGTGGTTTTTAGACCAATAAAAAAATAGGAAAAATATATAATATTTATAACAAGAAATTAGCACAGTAAAATTTGAAATCATGAAAAAAAATTTTTTTTACATATTCTCTGCAAACAAAAAAAAACCGTTTATGGATTATCTGTCAGGCGTAGACTATCTTCAAACTTTCCAGGACAACGACTGCGCGGATTTCCGGTGATTGGGCTCACCTACAACGACATCGTCCGACTCCCGGACGAAGAAGTTCTGCTCTCCAAGTTCCCCGACCTTGCCGTCAGTCCATTCTTCCATATGAGCTTTTACCCATGGGAGAAAATGATTGCAGGTGGTCGACGTGGAGCGCAACCCGAACTTTGACTGCAACTCGCTCAACGACTACTCGAAGGTGAAGATCGTCTCCGATTGTTTCAAGAACGTCTCCGAGATCAGCCGTGTTCCCAAGCTCTACCGACCCACCAAGGCTTGTTTTCTTCATTTTCTTTTCTCGCATTGTTCTCAATTTGTTTTCCGGCGCCTGACTTACTTCCAGTGTAATGAGCCAACTGCCATTCTGTTGAAATTAATGCCTTCGAGTTGTTTTCTCGGACTTTGTTTTTTGAAAAGTTGAATACGAGGACAAGAATTTCGACTCAGTCTAGAAAATTCAAGAAAAGTTGGAAGGAAGATTTGATTTTCAGGATTGCGATGTCGCCTGCCAGGCTTCCAGACATTACGCCAAACTGCACGAATACGTGCTCTCTCTTTGGGAAGTCCTCAAGGAAAAATACGAGAATTTTGACTTCGACGTGAGTTCTTTGCAGTCTTTATGAAAAAAAAGAGATTTCTGACGGATGAAAATTATAAGTTTGGAAGAGCTCTTTTTTAAAGATTTTAAAAGAAGAAAAAGTATAGTACTCGAAAAACTAGCATTTTTAGTTTAGATCGTTTCTGAAATTTATTAATGAAAATAATCGTGCTGTATATTTTGGACAGCTTCAAAATTTGATAATATCAGAAGTTTCTGAAAACTTGATATATAAAGTTATCCGCTGCGACTCATGTTTTCTTCACTGACGTTCTCTTGAATCAATTAGAAAAAAGCTATATTTTTCACAATCTTGAAAAGTTAATGCTCAGCTTAATCGGAATAGAAAAATTTGGCGCTTTATGCTATCGGATCAGCGTTCACATCTTGCTTTATATGACTTCAAAAAAAAGGAGGAAGTTCAATATTTTTAACGAGCAGCTAAATCAGAAATATATTTAGAATCACTAAAAAAGAACTTTGTTTCAGGCGACCATGAAAGTGATCCAAGAGTTCTTCACCAGAACCATGCAGAAGATCAACACGATGGGCAAGGAACTCCACGAAGACCTCACCAGCCCCAAAAGCCATCCCAAGCAGCTCGTCACTCCGATTCCCGAGCTTCAACCTGTCGATTAACTCCTCGTTTTGTGCATAGTCTCCTTTACTGTTAATATTGTTCCTCTTTTGAATGGCCTTGAATAAATAAATGTATACGTGAAGAAATTGAGCCTCACAGTTATTTTCAACAATAATAATGAAGAAGTCAGGTTGGCTAATAAAAATAATTACCAGTTTAGCAGTGATAAACTAGAAACGCCCCCGGTCAGCCCGAAACAGCCGCCGGCGGCCTCCTCGGTTTCCCTGACCCTGACCGCCGTCGAAGGACCGAAACCCCTGAAGATCACCATCAACAGCGTGATGCAGGGCGTCAAGCAGGTCTGCACTTTTCTGTTTCCATCCGAAACCGGGATATTGAAGGCCGTGGTTCTGGTGAACCCGATGTGCACTGTCCGAGATCTGAAAGGAGCCGTGGAGCAGGCCACCGAAGTGAGCATGGTCAAGCAGCTTCTGCTCTTCAACAACGTCGAGCTCAAGTTCATAATTAGTGATTGAATTTTCTTTACTAATCATTTGATTGAAGGAATGATGACAGCAAAATAATTGACTGTGGAATCGTTTCCGACTGCACGGTCATTATGAACGTCAAGATGAGCACTGGAATCGTTGCGTGGGTTTTTGAGCTCGTTCGAGTCTTTTTATAAAGATGGGTATTTCTTTTCAAAGTTTTAGGAGATTAAATTACTCAAAAATTGTAATTCATTAGATTGTATAAGAATTTCTTTGCCCAAGGAAGGTCCTGAAAAACAAAATCTCAGTTTTTGAGAAAGGAAGTCTAAATGTTTCGAAAAAGAAAATCATTATTCTAACCTTTAATGATTTTTTGAAGTTTTGAGCATTATTTTGCGGGAACAAATTATTGGAATAGTCGGGACTTTCAGGATATTTATTTGGTACGTCGAGAAATATGCAAAGTGAAACCAGATTCTGTAAATACTGTTTATAGGAATCCAACACAAAACGTCATCTTTTTTGTTCCTTTTGCTCTGCCAGAAAATCCAGACACGTTGCGGAAAACAATCAAAGTAGGTATTTTTATCCGCAGTAAACTATTGGATGTTTCCAGGGAATGAACAGTGTTAGAAGACCCAAAAAGGCGCCTCTGAGTGCCGATAAAAATTCGAATATCTGGACACCTGAGAAACACCTGGAAGCCGAGCTCACAAGAAATCGCATGAAGGTTCTTTTCCTATATCTTATGATTTTTCAACTTTTTTTTATTTTAGTCGCTGCTGAAAAGAAAAAAGAAAACGATTTTGTCGGACACTCCAATAGACTCTGGTCAAAGCTCTGTGCAAACGTAAAGCTGCCTTTCAGAAAGAATCACGAAAAAAGAAACTTGAAGTTATTCGCCAGTCGCAACTCCGCCAGAGTACAATACTCCGGATGGAACTAGCCAATTATCAAGTCCGACCGGCGGAGGTTCCGTCGAAGACGCTGTCGTCACCGAAAAGGAAATCAAAGTAGGACCTCATTTGTGAGATCTTCTAATTCGAAAATGTTGCAGCTCTTTTTCGACCCTCCAGAAACCATGTCAGAGCTGAATCGGGCTCGGCGCGAACTTTTCTTGCCTCCTCAAGATGAAGTTTTTTTTAATTAATTAGTCTGGTCTAATTTGATTGGTTTACAGTATGAGTTGAAAACAATCAAAGAGAAGAGAGAGGAAGAAAAGAAGACGCGATGTAGCGTCAGTTTCCAGGGAAAAACCTCAGAAATCGTTGAATTTAAGTACTGTACGAAGAAACTCCCGCTCATGCAGCAGACCATGAAATGCAAGTGCGACCGACTGTTCTGTGACCGCCACCGACGGCCAGAAGTTCATATGTGCCGCATCGACTACAAGCAGGAAGGAAGGCGCAAGCTGCGGCGGGTCGGTTGCAGGAAAACTGCGGGATAAATCTGAACGCGTTCTAGGAACACACCAAAGTCGGTGGTGGCGGTGAACGCAAAGCGCAGTTCGGCATCCAAAAGTGACGAGAGGATTCAAATATCAGATAAACTTTTTGCATGCACCTTTTGAAAATGATTCGTTATGACAAATGAATCAAGGATTAGTTATTCGGATTTGAACTACACGTTAAGCTTCATCTTCATGGCGTGTAGAATTTCCTGAACATTACTTGGAAATGGAAAGATGAATTTTCAAACTCGTCATTAACATTCTCTGAACTGTTAAGATTTACTTCAAAGGAAAGAGGAACCAAATTAATATTGAAGAATACTTAATAGATTGAGGACTGAGGACTTCAGGAAAAGAGATCACGGATTAAGATATACCAGATTTAAAAAAATCCTAGTTTCTAGTTCTTGGAAAATATTGTACGATAAAAGGAAATTTTGTCAGCAAGAACAAAACTTCGAAGAAACGATCCCAGAACGTCCTAAGATCCGTTTTTGAGTTCTGGAACATGTTTCTTTTTTTCTACTTGTTAGTTTTATGTTTTTTTTCCTTATGTGAAAGACAAAAGAACAGCCAGCTTATTGTGTTCCCTACATCAAACAACAAAACATCGTGGCTCTACCCAAAGACTGCGTCAAGCTAAGCCGCATGGTCAAAGTTGTTTATCTCAACATTGTGACATATATGGGAAAGGCTAAAAAACAGGACAACATCTTGAAAGGCCGAAGCGTCACTGGAATTCTTTGTTCTGTCCGATTCCGTCATCGAAGACGTTGCTGACGTCCAGCGGACAGATCAAGAAGCACCGCCCGACCTGAGTGAAGTCTTGGAGGAAGTGAAAAGACAAACAGACATGCTGGCTTCTACGCACACGGAGCCTCGGGTGGATTGAGATAATCTCCTCTCATTCCATAATCGGCAGCTCCGTTCCGATGCTTTTGGCATCGATCTCCCTCACTCTAGGCACTGCCGCCGCACTCCTTGACACTTTCTCCGCCAGTTCAGGTGGCCTTTTCGGCCTCTTCTCCAGTTTGAAAACAGTCCCTCTTCCACAACTTCAATCCTCATGCTCTTTTGAATTTCAGGAAATGAGTTTTTCATGAAAATAGCTCGCTGCGTTTTTCAAAGCGCAGAAGTCCTTGAAAGGACATCCCAGAATCCTTCGCTCCTTAATATTTTTGGATTCAGCCTGTGCTTCTCGAAAAACCGTCGCAAGCCCTTGCTATTCAGTTGAGAAATCTTCTCTTTTTTCCGATTTAAATCTAATTTTTTTCGCTATTTTTTGAGCGAGCTCTCCAAATCTTTCATTATTTTAATCATTTTGGGAAACTGCCGATGTTCTTTTTTTCCTGTAAACTATGAATCTATAGGCACTAGTGGAAAATTTAATCTTCAATATCTCTTCTTTGGAGCACCGTAAAGTTAATAATATCTGCAATTTCCGACTTTTTTTTATTCGACTTTGCTTTTCCCGAGATTACTATTTTGACGAAGCGTTGAATAAAAAAACTCATTTCAAAAGTTTAATAAGATTGTGAAAGCGTTTAGTTTGAAATAATGTTCAGAAGTGTTTTAGTTGATCAACTTTTATATTAAAACCCGCTTTTTTGTTATTGAATAATTTTGAAAACGCTCGGCTAACCTATTTGAGGTTATCTAGTTTTATTCCCTTTGGAAAATGGCAAACTTTCGTGATTTGTTTGAACTTCTTTTGTAAATTACATTTTTTGGCTAATTGATAACAGGAAAACACGTTCTGAGAAAAATATTCGAGATTGTTTATTAGCGATTCTGAAAGACTCTGTTATCTGAAAAGGGCGGCGATGCGAGAAAATTCGCTTGTTGAAGATTCCGTGGCCGATTTTTTATTGTTCTTGCTGCCTTTCTCAGACTCTGCAGAAGCTTTCAATTGATTAGGGCTGTTCAGTTTTTTCTACTTGCTTGTGGTTGATTTCCAAGGAAACTGACATCAACTTCTAAACTCGATTCAAGTTTATGAGACAAGGTGTAACAGCCTGGATATACCTAACTTCAAGGGCTAATTCGATCTCGTCGTTATATGCCTGGCTGACGTCACGCGTCCGAATTGGATTTCATCTCTCCTCGGCTGATAGCCGAGGTGTCAGATGCAAATCCGAGCCGGCTTTCCTTTTTTAGAGAGAGAAATATTCCTCCAACTGAGTTTTTTGTTTCGAGTTTCGTTCAGACTAGCAGAAAACTATGCAGCAAGGTTCCATTTGTTGAGAATATAGGAGACTTTCCTGAGAACTTTCATCTTTGAAAGCCTGGGAGGTCCGTTTTGCTTTTGAAATTGAAAACTTAGGACGACAGATATTTAGAGCTTTTCACTGAAACCCTTTTTTTCCATGATTCGTTCATTTTATTTATTTACAGAATATAATGTACAATAATGATTTATTTGTCACAAAGATTTACTCATTAGCGTTCCAAGTTTCAAAGTTTTTTTTTGAAATCGTTTTTCTTTTTCATTCTGCAAAAATATCTTTTAGTGAAAATAATGAAATTCGGCGTTGAAATTTCCTTTTCACATTCTTGCCTGTTTTATCTCGACATTTTACTATAATTCTTCGAGTTGGAAAAATTATGGATTTTTTTGTCAAATAAAACTCCAAATATATGTGGTACGACGATATATCGAAATTAGCGTGCAAAAAGTCGATAAATGATATCAGTTTTCATTCGAAAAAAAGCATTTTGAGCCGCTTTTCTGAGATTTCATCATGTATAAGCTGCAGATTTTCAAAAAAGGACCCGATTTAAAAATCAAGGAGAAAATTTGAATTTCACCGAGCCCTCAAACTTTAGATAAGACTTGAAAAACTGTTTGATACTCTAAAAATGACCTATTCCAAGAATCTTCGCTGCCTTATCTTTTTTTTATCTTCTGAAAGTAAGTTCATAACCACTTCGTCAAATATAATATATATAGTTTTGTTAGTATTTCTCATTATAACACACTGAGTGTCAACTTTTCTTCATTATCTCCTTAAATATTCATCAAGTTTGCAAAAGTGCATCTCACCCTCTCCAATGTCCAAAACAAGTTCTCCATCATTTTTCTCTCCCCAATATCCTAGGATAAATAATAAAAAAGAGATGAGGGTGCATTTGCAGCCAGAAAGGCGCCGCGAGGCTTCTTTAGGTCTGCAAATTATCCTTTCTTTTGGTTCCGGGTGTTTTGAATAACAAATGGAATCAGTTCAAATCAAAGAATGTCGCTTCAGAATCCGCCTGGAAATGAGTTGAAATGCGCATCTTGTCCGCATTCTTTGCCGTTCTCTTTACCTTCATTAACCCCACGATGATCTTCAACGGTAAGGATTTTGAAGCTAACCCTTACAAAATTGAAAATTTCAGTGATTCATCAAGTGGAAGTTCTGATAACGACGAAACTGCCAGAAAGCGTTCGGATACACTATTTGGACGTCTTGATCAACCACTTGGCCGCTTCCCAGTACCGCATAAAACTCTTCGTCCAGTGTTTCGGTCAGTTCATGGGCATTCCAGTTGGAAAAGACGTTTTTCAGTGGCTGTGCTCACACTTCTCCACGTGATTTTCACATGCCTCAGTTTGTATGGGATCTACTCATGCCGTCCTTACTTTCTCCGACCGCTTCTCGTCGACATCTTCGGCAGCTTCGTAAGCTCTTTCTTTGCTTCGACCTTCAAAGAACGCATTTTCAGCTTTTCCTGTTGTTTTTCGTCATTTTCTCGGTGTTTTGCTACATGCGAGTCAGTACACTCGGTTCTGTCGCCGAAAGAGAGACCACAAAAGCTCAATTTCGGTAGGTCGAAAATTGGTTTCCAGAAGAATCAATGATGTTTCAGAAATATGTACATTGGAGTGGGATTTTTGATTGCCTACGTTCTGTGGGCCATCGTTACATGTCTCGCCTACGCCGACACCAAGAAGCTGCGAGCAGATTTCATGTACTGGATTGTTGAGGAAAGGATGTCGATGAGAAGTCGTCACAACGTCTCCGTCGACAACAGGTTCGCTTCTGCATTCTAAACTAGGGAAATCGAACTTATTTTTTTGGACAAATGTCTTTTTTTTGGTTGGGTGGTATCCGAAAGAGAAAGAGAAAAAAAAAAACCGAAGTTTAAGACCAAACTATGCATCTCAAAGTGATAAAGAATAAAAGTCGAGAAAATAAGTTTTAATTTCGATAAAAATCTCGTAACTTTCCTCTCTAGAGCAGCCCTGAGCAACGTATCCTAAGAAATTTTCTGGCTCATTTTTCTTTTTTTCGCGTTTTTTTTCTGCAAATTCAGCTCAAAAATTTATTTGTTGAGCTTGATCATGGAACGAAAGTTATCAACCCAAAAATCGACTACATTTTTTGAAGACATTTTCCAGTCGTTTTGGAGATTGCATACATTCTTTTGATTAAATTGACTTAATTATTTTCTGGCTCAATTCGTCTCGCCTTCAAGAAGAGCTTTTTAGATCGGACCGCTCTTCAAAAGGTTCCAAAGCGTCTCGAGCGTCGAAGACGTCGGCCAGAAGCGCCAAGTCGGAGAAGGTCATCGACCACTCCAACTCATGCAACGTCTCCCTCTGCAAGCGCATGTCCATTGCCAACGCTCGTCTTTCCGTTCCGTTATGATTTTCTTTTATTTATATATATTTTATTCAGATGCTCATTCAGTTGTTACTTATTGATATTTATTATACCTGATTGCTCAACATCCTTTTACGTGTCATTCTGTTCTGGTGTGAAATGGGAAACGTTATGAAAATTTGTGTACATCGATATGTGTAGGAAGGAAAACCGTCAACACGAAATAATTGATGAGAAAGGAACGATTCGAAACCTCCATTCCCTCTATTTTCCCTCTCAGCTTCTATAAAATGCCTTCCCCGTCTTCATATTTTTGTTGAAATTTTCCTTTTGTTTCCTCTTGCTCATTCGTGTTTATGGATCCTTTTTTCATCGACTCATAAGTTATTGATGTCGAAATCGAGCAATTGAACAAATAAATCGTACTAACAGCAAAATGTGCGATGAAAAAAACGGATGAAATCTAAACGGATGGCTTTTGTCCATTTTTTTTTAATTCATGCGCATTTTCACTATTTCGGGTTCTCTCTACTGCGTTATTGGAGTAATTTTTAGTTCTGATAACAAATAAAGCAAAACTTGTTTTCAGTGAGCTAAATTTGATATTTGCTTAGTTAGCATAATGAGCAAAATGAAAGAGTTTATGATGATTTAGTATATAGTAGTAGGATGCCGTTTGTTTAAACAAAATACTAAATCTTTCGTGAGTTTTATAGGCACCAAAGCTCAGTTGCATTTTCCGCTAGCGATGCTCTCAGTCATTACAACGAGAGAAGTTAAAATAAGTGGGTCTAATCAACGATCCATTACATCAGTGAACAAAGAACAAAATAAAATTTGATAAAAAAGGAGCTTTTTTCTTTCAGTTCTACTGCTTTTCGTGCTGAAAAAACAGAATATAGTGATTTCGATGTTTTCGCAGAGACGTATCGATTGACAAGGCCTTCGATAGTAACAAGAAGTGCGTCTCTTTCTTTACGAATCAAAAACCAACTGAACAACAAAACAATCCCGTTCGCCGACGGCGGCCGTTGTTTTGTGCACGTGATGAAAAGGAGCACGTGGCCCGAAGCTTGGCGCAAAGATGGTGCACGGCCTCAGGGCGCATATTCTGTGCATTTGCCATCCGCTGGTGCTTCCCAAAAACTATTTATTTTTATTGTTTTTCCACAGTTTGATGGTTGTCGTTATTTTAACAAAAAAATACTTAGCCCACTTCCATTTCCCTCAGGAAAAGTCTGAAATACGCTGGCGCGCACTTGGTTAATGACGTCACGGATTTTTTGTTTATTAGATAAACAACTCAGACCATTCTTTGGTTGTTCAAAGTCTTGGTCCGCCTTTTTATATCTTTTTCGATTCTTTTTGAAATAAATTTCACCTGATTGCGTTTTTCATGTTCGTAGTCCAATCACCTGGGTTTTCGCGCCTAAAACTTTAAGAGACGCATATCTACAGTTCTTTCACAGTTTTTTTGAAAATTGCTTTATTTATTTTATATCTCGAGAACATTTTCAACACAAAAAATTTGTCAATATCTTCAAATTCCTCTTTGAGATTTTACTCAATGGGTATTTTTTTTTGCTTTTTTTGGTTTTCGCTCAAAAAAGTTTGGTGTACTGATATAATGATGATGAGAAAGAAGAATATGTTTATGGAAGATTTCGATGTTATCAGCACGATGTTCACTTGCCAATGAACAAATTTTCAATAAAAAAATTGAAAGCTCACATTATTTTTAACCATGACTAAAATTTTCAAACTTTCTTAATATTGTGTGTTCCTACTCTTTTCGGCTCTCATAAAACGGTGCTTTTTCGAGGGGGTGATTTGAAAAAAGGGTAAATAAATTTTTTAAAATTCAATTCTTTGAAATTAATCCTTTCCTTCTTATTTTTTCAAGTTTTGTTTTGTTATGTGATTGATATATCATAAATTCGTCTTTATCAATGATTAATTTTGCAGTAGATTCGTTTGTCGCAAACGAATCTCTTAAATTTGGCCCCATTACTGCCTGATGTCTGCCAAAGGTGGTGACGGCGACAAAGCTGTCGCCGCTGCGCAAAAAGAGCAGAAGGAGTGCAGCAATGAGACCAACACCGAAATAACTACTGAGGCCGACAAATCGGCCCAAAAAGCGCCTGCTGATAAGAACAAGGTTTGTTTGCGTTTTGCAATGTGTTTGATCATTGGTAAAACCGATAGGGCGGTCACAACCGTCACCGTAGAAAGTCCAACACGAAGGGCGATGGAAAAGAAGCGACTGGAACCGGAGGAAATAACTCGACCAGCGGAGGAAACAACTCCCGGAACGGAAGTCGCCACAACAGCCAGAGCGGACCCAAGACCCACGCTCAGCGCAAAGATTGGTCCGAGCGGAAGAGCCTGAGCCAGGGAGGCAAAGGCGACAAGCAGAAAAACAAGGACGACGATCATAAGAGAACTCGAAGCACCAACTGTAAGGCTTCTTCTTCGTTTCCATATATGTCTGTTTGGTTGCAGCGTCGAGTGGGAAGCGAAATGCTCGCGACTCTACGCGTACCATGTCGCAAGCTAGCAACGGCGAGGGCTACGAGTACAGCGATGATTGTAAGGATATCAACACCAGGATTGATGTTATACTTTTCTGATTTTCAGACGACCTCGACGAGCCTTTCAGCGATTCTGAAGAGGAGGCTACGCGTACCAGGAAGCCCCAGAAGATGAGCTTGGCCATTCCCCGCGGAAGGATCAGGTTTTTCATTTTTTAGATGCGAGTATAGAACTCATAAAAATCAGTATCATGCTTGAAAGAGCGTCAATAAACAAAATTATATGAATTATGAATAGAGAAATTTTTAGGACACTTTCTGGAACAGTTCCTCTGGTGGGCTACTCGCCTCGTTGGGGCGGACCAACCATGTGCTTGAGCTGCCTGCAGTTCTTCGACCTCCCTGACCAGATTCCTCAATTCGCTGAGCATTTGCTCAAAGAGCATAAGATCGTCGTTTCGGAAATGAACCTGATCGTCGACCCAAAACGTTACATCGAGCATTGGAGACAGCGTTTTGCAAAAGAAAGCATCGAGAAGATCTTCCCAAAAATTGAGCCCAAGGCTGAGGGAGAACCTTATCATGGTGAGATCATGCAGTTTTCAACTTGTCTCCACATTTTACAGTTGAAGGAACGCGGAAATACTTGGGAATTTTCAAATAATACTAAATTTCATAGGCTTTTTTTTTTTTTTTGAACATATTTATATTTTCATAATCGTTCTTATTCTTCTACCATAGATTTATACGGCGACAGCCTACATACGATTTATTTACTTCTTATTTTTCATGAAAAAGGGAAATTTTTTCGACTATATACGAACCTCTTTTTGAGTGACCTCTTAATGATCAATATTCAGGCGAAACCGACTACTACTACTTCATGTCGGAGGCCATATCTGAGGATTACACTCTCCGTCAGCGTCTTGCCATGAGAAGACTCGAGGAGGCGCTTTCTTGCCAGCAGCGAGAACGGTGAGCTACAAAAGAAAAAGTCATAGCATTCATTCTACCGATTTCAGCGAAGACGCTTCTTTCCAACTCCAGTGCATCTTCTGTCGCTACAACGCCCGCGGAAACCGTTCGAAGATCATCCACCACTTGTACATGATCCATCACTTGAATCTTGGCTCTCCCGATAACCTCGTCTTCGTCACCGAGTACATCGAACATCTCAAGGAAAAACTTCAGGTAAAACAATAAATGATAGCCCTTAGAAACTTAAATTTGATAGAGAAACGAATGTATCTACTGCGAAAAGACGTTCTCGGACCGCAACACTCTGATGGACCACATGAGAAAGAGGAACCACCGTGAAGTGAATCCCAAGAACAACTACTATGATAAGTTCTACATCATCAACTACCTCGAGCTCGGGAAACGTTGGTTGGACGTGTTGGCCGAAGATTTCGAGGATACGATGCCGACTTTCCAGGATTCTGACGAAGAGGAGGAAGAGTAAGTTTTCTCAAATAATGGAAAAATTGACAGAGCAATATTTTGAAAATATCAACCTTTTTTTAAACTAATGAAGAGGGATGAGTAAGAGAGAGGAAGACATAATTATATTTAAACAATTCGATCTTCACAAGGGAAATTCTCACATTGTAGCAATGAGTGGTGCGAGTGGCAAGAGGATAATCTTGACGCAGACGAAACTCGCGTCGTTTGCCTCATGTGCGAGGAAAGTGAGGAAAACGCGACTCAGCTTCTGGATCACATGAAGGTTTTCCCCTTTTCCTCATTTTCCACTATATCTGCAAAGTTCTAGGACAAGCACGAGTTCGACTTGTTGCACTGCATCAAGGACGGCAATCAGGACATGTACCAGCGCATGCGTCTCATCAACTACATTCGCAAACAGGTACTCACTGACAAAAAATCTTCATCTGAATTTCTTTCTTTAGACGTACAATGCTGAGTGCTGGGTGTGCCTCCAGAAGCCTGGAAACCCACTCGAGCTCCAGAAACATCTGCAGGAGCACAAGCCTTTGAAGGTGATAATTGCGTCAGAATAACTTTCAAGCAACTATCATTTCTAGGAGCTTCCCGATAAGACCAACTGGGACACAGAGGAGAATCTGAAGCCTCTATTCGGCAACGATCACCTTCTTTGGATGTTGGAGTCACTCTTGGATTCCGAGGCCAAAAAGGAAGATGACCAGGACAAGGAAGCTAAGAAGAACATCGGAACTCTTATCGAGCAGAGCAAGAATGATACTGTCGATGGGGTTCGTTTTGAAGTTCTTTCTTTTTTTTTTGTGAATTTTGAAAAAGTTATTTATTCGGTGGTAGTTTTTTTCGAAAGATTTTTCTAACTGTGAACTGAATTTTTACCAAGGTTCGAGCATTTTTTTTCGCTCTTTTTTCAAACAAAAATTAAAAAGTATAGCGGTACATTTATAAAACCTTTCTTGTTAATAAACGCACCGAAACGCCTCTACTGATCCAAACTAATTGGATAGTCAGGTTGAAAAAAATAGTGAAAGAAAAATCTACTTTAAAAAAAGTTCAGACATGTTGATGGAGTATTATATTTTGAAAGAAAAAATTCCTATAGTAGTTTCAAATAAGTATAATAATCGCACTTTTTTCATTTAGTTGACTTTTTCATCAAGTTAACATCTTATTCTTCCTTTTGTCGATACCAAGTTTTTTAAATCTAAAATTTCTTTATTGCAGGTCATCGCCGAAGATCTGCCGGACCTGCACGAGATCAACTCCACCGAGCTCGAAGAGCTTTTCTAAATCATTCCTCTTTCTCTGCTGCCTATTTTAAACTTAATACTTATAGCTTTTTTTAGCGTAGTCTTTTTCCTTTTTTTCGGTTGTTGTTTATGAAACGGACATTGCGTTGTCCCATGTTGCCTTTCATCTTGGTTGATTTCTTCTCTTTTTCTTTACCGGAACCTTTCATTGGTTTTTTGTTACTTCTTTTTTTTTCGGTATACTTGTTTATATATACACGTTTTGTTTAACACATTTCATTAAGTTTTACGAGCGGATTTTGACTTTTTTTTTTCTTCTTCTTCTTCTCTTTATTGGTTGCATGTTTTTATGGTTAACGTAAGTTTGTACGACCTTACTTAGCTGCTTTTTAAGTCATTGCGACGCAAATCGGTGACTCTTTTGCAGTTTTGTTTGGCGGGGCGCCTACTTTTTATATTGGGCTATCTTTCTCGTACCGTTGTTGAGTAAAAGTTGTCATGCAAAAGCGTTTCTGTTCTACAAAAAAATGTTCGAAATGTTTTATCAGTGAGTATTTTCAAGTGTGTTCCAAAAGCTCGAAAATTGACAATTTTGAAGCGGTGCTGCAATGAGAATGAGATGATCAAGCTGTTCAACTTGACGAAGACTTTGCGAGCTTCATGTACTTTTTCGCCGCTGATAAGAGGCGATGTAGTTGGTTTATTCAAAGGTTGGGGTCCTTTAAATGACTAGAAAAGTTTTAGTTGTAGTTTGTCCGCCATTGACGACGTTCTCCCGGAATTACGCCGACAAGAAACGCGGCAAGAGGAAGTTTGTCGAGGTTGCCGTCGTGAAACCGACGAAAAGCACGAAAAAAGTGGTGGACATCTGGAAGGACATCACTGCCAAGTGGGTAATGAGAGTTCAAAAATGAAAAAAAATTCTCAAGTTAAGGAAAATTCAAAAAGTTCTTTCTGAAGTGTTGAAGGCTTGAGATCTTAAGGTCAAAAGTCGTTTTTTTTTTGTGTAATATTAAGCCAAAAAAAATTTTTTTTGTTTAAAATTACATGTCCAGTGAATTGTCGACTGCATTGGAAGTGGATTTCGATGAACTGACGGAAGTTCTCGTCAACTTGGACAAGAAGAACTTGGATCTGATCAGCGACAACAGGCCGATCGACGATTACCATGTTCTACAGGCTGTCGCCTCATTTTCCTGTAAACCTCGGATGGTGAATGGTCCGCCGCGGAAGTCTTCGGAGGAACAGGTCGACCTCAAACCTCAGTTCGTTCTTTTTTTTTCTGATGGTTTCTTTTGCTCATCAAATTCATGGCAGATTCGAACCCTTTCTAAGGTAAACGCAGTTTAAGAAAATTAGTCCCTTTTCGACTGAACTAAAGAAATGCACTTCTAATTAATCTTGTGAAAGATAATAAACGAATTCTGCGCCTTTGACCACTCTAACAAGGATTTTCGAAAAAGTTTTGAAATGACACCTTGGTTTAAAATTATGGACCGTTTTTTTTTATCAGACCATTTTTACCAGTTTTTGTTGCAATATTTCTGAAAAGTTAAGAGGAATTTGAACAACAACTCTTTTCGTTATATTAAATAGAATTTCAATTGTTGATTCATCCGTTAAAAGCCGCTTAGAAACTCGATGTATCAAAAATGATCGAAATTTCGATTTTTGTGAACAATTTTGTATGAATTCTTTCAGTCGCGCTTTGTAAGATTTAAAAATTTTTTTGTTGTATTTTTTTCGAAAGTTTTTAATTCTGGAGAACAGTGTTCCAAGAAATCAAAATCAGTCATTTTCTTCATAATTATGTGATCTCAGAAACGTACTTCAGCCGTTTTTTCTGTTCTTTTCGACAATGTTTAAATTGCTTTAATTTGTTTTAAATAATTTCTATTGAATTATGAAGCATTCACTCTGCGTGTGTTTTTTTTTTCTCAATCTTATTTTCAATTTTTTTATCTATCCCTAGAACTGGAAGGGATAACAGAGCTTGTGATTAATTTATAGTTAGTTTCTTGCTCTATGCCCCTTTTTGCATAATTCCTCGTTAATTATCACAAACCTCACCATTTTTCGAACAACTGTTTTCATACTTCATCGCTAGATTGGAGCATGTTTTGGGATCCTCCTACTACACTTTCTATTTTTCGCATTGAAGAAGTGATCCGCCGGCGAATGAACTGGAACGTCGACCTCCCGTCGTCACCATCATGGGTCACGTCGACCACGGCAAAACGACGCTTCTAGACGCCCTCAGGAACTCTCAGATCGCCGCCGGCGAGTTCGGTGGAATCACCCAACACATCGGAGCCTTCTCGGGTACTTCCCCAGTTTCGCTCACGTTTGACAGAGTCTTTCTTTTCAGTCCAGTTGACCAAGGGACGAAAAGTGACATTCCTGGACACCCCTGGTCATGCCGCTTTTGCTTCCATGAGAGCTAGAGGTTCCCCATACTTCGATTCTCCAACTATAACGCTTTATCTAGGAGCTCGTGGGGCCGATATAGTCGTTCTGGTTGTCGCTGCCGACGACGGCGTCAAAGAACAAACAGTGCAATCGATAAAGTCTCCGCAGCTTTTCTTGTCCCTTTTGCAACTTTTTTCCTTAGATTCGCTCAGGCGGCCGGGGTTCCCTTGGTCGTCGCCGTCAACAAAATCGATAAGCCGAACGCTGACCCGGTTTGTTGAAGTCTCATGACAGAAGCACGGTCCGCTTTCCAGATGAGGGCGAAGAGATCGCTTCTGGAGCACGACATCGTCGTTGAACAGCTTGGCGGAGACGTTCAATGCGTAGAAGTCTCGGCGTTGCAGTCGAGGAATTTGCCGGCTCTTCAAGTTTTCAAGAGTTCTTACAAAATCCAGAATTGGAATTCTAGGAAGCTCTTCTGCTCCAAGCGGATGTTCTCGACTTGAAATCAACGAAAAAAGGAGCCGTCGAGGCAGTCATTATCGAATCTTCCGTCGTTCATGGTAAAATTTCGGATTAAACTTCGAAAAAATGATTTGAAAAACGTTTTATTTTATTTTTATAGGTAAAGAGGTCATTCAAAAGAACTAAATTTTTTTTCAAAATGAAGCTTTTTTTTTCAGTTCGAACTAAACATTCTTCTAATCAGAGTTTTACGAAAAAATCTTCATTTGCGTTCCAGGGATCGGAAAAGTGTGCACGTTGCTGGTTTCGCGAGGAACTCTGCGAAAGAACGCGGTTTTGGTCGCCGGAACGAGTTGGTGTCGCGTGAAGACAATGGTCGACGAACACGGCAAAAACGTCCAGGAGGCCGATCCAGGGACTCCTGTCAGAGTATTGAGCCTCGTTTTTTTCCGTTTTGATGGTTTCCTTCAAGGTCTCCGGATGGCGCGAAGATCTGCCCGCTCCAGGAGATTGGCTGATCCAAACAGATTCTGTAGATCGAGCCCAGAAAGTCGTTTCTTTCCGACAGGAGCAGAAAATGAAGGAGAAGGCCGCCAGCGACTGGGTTTGTCTTCTCTCGATCATTGTAAAAACAAACTTGTTTCTCTGAAAATTTGATAGCACCGATTATCAACAGAGAAGTCAAGGATGAACTTGACTTTCACACCTCAGAATGTAACAGAGAACACTTTTGAAACGAAACCTACCTTTTCTAGGAAGCGACCGAAGAAGATCGTCTAAAAACCCGAGAAGAATACCTCAAGAATCGGCAGTTTCTGCTGAATCGCGGTCAGAGGTTCAACTATTCTCTTCGGAGTCGTTTCATCTATCAGAATACCGTTTCAGGTATGGATCGACGCTTCGAAACGTTGTGCATAAACAAAATCGCATTGAAAAAGAAGTTGATAGTGGCGATCCAAAGCTCAGATTGATTGTATGTTTATTTCTTTCATATTCCATCATCTCGAAACGATTTCGTAGTTCCGAACAGACGTCGAAGGGACGCTGGAAGCGATTTTGGAGATTCTGGAGACGTACAAAAGCGAAAAATGTCAGCTTCAGTTGGTTGATTTCGAAGTTGGCCCGCCGACGGAGAAGGACGTCGAGTTGGCCAAGGAAACTGGAGGTTTTCTTCTTTTTTTTTTCTTGGAAAACGCTCAGTTTCAGCCATTTTTGAGTTTGAATTTAGTATTTTAAAAGCATAATTGTCTGTTTTAAAGCTGAAAACTCAAAAAAAAATATCTAGCCATCCTGTACCTGTTCAACTTGATGCTGCCACCGAAGCTGCGCGCCTTGGCAGAGAAGGAATCCGTACGGATAGAACACTTTAATGTCATCTACCGACTCGTTGAGTCGCTGAAGAACGAGCTTTCACTTCGACTTCCGTCTGAAACTGAGCTTCATCTCGTCGGAGAAGGACACGTCCTCAAGGTGCCGAGTTCGGAAGAATCCCATCAACTCTGATTTGAAGGAGTTTCTGATTTCGGATCGAGCGAGAAAACGACAGCCAATCGCGGGTGTTCTGGTCAATTGGGGCAATTTCGAAAAGTTTTCATTTTTCATTTCTTGAACGAATCAAAGCTGTAACTCCAGGAATTGCATCTTCAAGTTCATTCGCGGCGATTCCGTCGTTTATGAAGGTGCAGTCGAGTCGATGAAACAAGGACTGGAAGTTGTCGCCAACGCCAAAACTAACACTGAAGTCCGTTGTGAAAAAATAATAAATGACGAAAGTTCAATTTGAGGTTGGCATCGCTTTGGCGGACAAGAACATCCGATTTAAAGAAGACGATCAAGTGGAAGTTTACGAAAAACGAACTGTGACCCAACAAATTGATTGGTTCCCGCCAGGATTCTGATCCTTATATTCATAGGCTTTAGAGAGTTTTTTTTATTTATTTAGTCTTTTCTAATAAAATTCCCGGGTAAATTATCGAATCACGAATTGTTATAGATTTTTTGTAAATTTTTGTTGATTATTTAATAAATATAAATGTTTGAAACGTTTTTTGCTGTTTGCTCGTTTTTGCTGTATTTTGCAGTGCCTTCATATTTTTATGTAAAGCCGGGAAATTCCACAGACTTCTTTTTTTTTTTGCAGTGATACTGACAGTTGATATTTAGTTTAACGTTGTATGGTTTGAAACGTAAAAACCGCCCAAATAAAAATCCAACTTTGGTTTTTTGGCCGTGTGTTTCGTTAAAGTTGGAAAGTCTAAATTTGCACACATTATTTTTCAGTAACCTTTGAGGCACGACACATTTCAAGAAAATCATTCAAACAGCAAGTTTTCATTACCAACATAACGAGGAAGATGTTTAAAAGCCAATGTTGGATTTTTTTTTTCTTGAACTCCAGTTAAGACTTCGGTTATTCAGAGCAAAAGGGGTTGGTTTCACAGCGGAGAATGAGCGTTTCCAGCGGCTTTTCGCCGTTGCAGCAACGCATCGACTACCTAGTCTTCGGGTACATTCAGCGCATGGGGGTTTCCAATTCTGATCGCAACCTCTGAAATCTCCTGTTTGAAGTACGCGCGGACGGCGGAGGCACTGGCGGCGGATTCGGCCGCCTTGGCCGACGAGTCGCGAAGAGTCCGGTGCGGTCAGCAAATGATGATCTGCGTCAACGACCGCGTCCACGACAAGACTCTCGAAGATATCATTCAGGTTTCTTTCGAATGGGAGTGGGCCTTTGCGAAAACAACAAAAATCAACAGATGAAATTTTTCAAGTTGAAGTATTCAAATTAGATTGATTTTTTTGCTTCTATTAAAAAAATAAGTTCATACAATGCTCGCGAAATGGGGAAGAGTCTAATGTCGCGTTAAAAATGATTTTTTTTTTTGTCTATTTTCAAATTTTCCAGCTTTGCTTCAAGACAGATAAAAATGTTTTCCGAATACGGCTCGATGAGAATTTAAGAAAAATTATTAATACGGAAGTTTGAAGAGAGTACTGTTGAGAGAGGTTTTTGTCAGAAATGAAAATGTGAAAAAAATGAATTGCTACAAAGTTACTAACTTTTATCAGTTTTTTTAAAAACATGAAGTTACAATTGCTGAACAATGTTCATGTTTTTTCTATTATCAATGGTGAAGGAACAAAAATTGGAAAGAAGATTTTTGTTTTGATTGTTTTTATTCGGAATCTTATGTCTGAATAGTTACTATTCAGTTTTCATCCTATTCAACAAGTTTTAGTGCAGCTTTCCGGGAAAGCGGAGTCATCTTCGAAACTTATAATTTTCATAATGTTCAGACATTCTTGGATGAAGGAAAGTTTGAAGTTCCTCGGGAGTTCCACGAATTTGGCGAAGAGTTACGCGTTCTTACGAACAAGTACACCTCGATGACGACTTTTCCGAACGTCTCTATAAGGTCATACCGAACTTCAGTTCCACAAACGCATTTTGTTCAGTGAGAACCAGCTCCGACTCTATGGCAAAACTAGCTATTCGAGGGTCGGCCCACGGGGCAACAACTACACGGCCTACACCTTCCCAAATTCGCGTCTTCCTCCAAAAACAATTTCTTCGACCAACAAAGATTTTCCCACGAACACTCCCAATGGCGCGTTCAGTAACAGTGACTTCCAAAAAGTTGTTTTTCACTCCCTTATTCCATTCTTTGCCCTTTCCTGCAGGCGAATCAGTTTCCTCCACAGCCAGTTCAGCTCGAAAATCGTCTGGTCCATCGCAACGAAAATATCATGCAGAACAGTATTCACGAAATAAGTGACTCGCAATTTTGATTATTTATAGGCGTAACACACGAAGCACTGAGACATCCGGCAGTCACGAATCACAGGAATTTATACGAGTTTGTCGTCAAAATCGGTCAAATTTCAATTCTTTAAGGTCTATCGCCAACGCCGAGCCGACCAAAAACCTCGAAGACAGTCAAAATGAAGGTTGTAGAAAAAGCGCTTTGAAAAATGAAAATCTCGTTGAATAGGATCGGCACGTCGCAAATCGAACATTCCGCAGAATCTCAACCAAGTCGTTCAAACCAATATTATTTCTCCGATCGTGCAGGCCATCAACGGCGGCTCACAGCAGTGGGAGCACGGGAATCCTAATAATGTCCGTTTTTATCCATTTCTGTTGATGTTTTGCAACTTTCAGTCACTCTCGACCCAGCTCCAGTACACTGAGCAGTGGGATCCGATTCTGAACGGCCTCGAGGAAATCGATGGACATGTAATTATTCATTTCTTATTTTTAAATGCAATGCTCGATATTAATCAGAATTTCTTTCGCTTTTTCAGTTTCTGGCGACCATGGACTATGCTTCACCGGAAGAATTTTTCGTTCCGGATAAACCGGTAGAGGAAAATTTGCAACAGCAGCAACAGTTCAGCAGTTTGGATGTGGGAAATCTCGGAATAAAATTGAGAGTTTTGACTGTTACAGCTGCATCCCACGATTCAAAACGTAGAGATAATTCCAGACTGCATGGAACAGCTGGAAGAAGTGGAAGTTCGGACGAGTGAAAGTTGCAGTTCTGTCAGTTTTGTCCCTTTTTTCTTTTAATTCTTCTACATCTTTGATCCGCTTAAGCGCTAGGTCGAGGGGCAAGATACTATACTGATATCAGTGATAATCGATGAACTAGCTCTAGTGGCAAATCCGTCCTTGTGCGTGAGGGTTGATGATTATAAACCCGTGGTTTTCCCACGTTTCAACATTTATGAAATTGTCGGGTTGCGACGGGGATCGAAATTGAGACCCTTTGGGCCGTAGACAGACGATTTATCCACCTTTACAGACCTCGTTATCTACAGCCCATGGAGACGATTTTTTCGTCCATCCTCCGCACCAACAAAAGTACTTTGTTCTCGTGATAATCGGCTATATATATTTATATTCTGCAGTTTTTCGAATGCACCAACTTCTTGGTCGGAGCCAAAGCCGCTTGAAGTAACCAAGGTCGAAGCGAAGCATTTTTTCTTTCGAAGTTCAGATATTTCAGGAATCCGCCAACATCCCGGCTCCTATACAAACCACTCAAGTTCCTGTCACAAATGAGAAGTTTTTCTGACTTAAAAAAGAAATAGTCTAACTTTTCCTCAAATCCAAAGGTTCGTAGCACCACGGGAGTCGACTCCATCGAGAAATTTGCAACAAGAAGAAACGAGAAAGTCTCGAGAACCATCTTTGGAGAAGGAGAGGCAGAGGGAAAAGGAAAAAGAAAAAGAAAAAGAGAAGGAGAAGGAAAAGCGTCGAGACTCGATTTCTGAAAAAAGAGACAGAACTCGCGAGCGACAGTTTTCTGACCAGAGGTACTGTTAGACAAGCTGAATTTTAGTGAAATTTTGTGAACGAAAATTTTTTTTCGTGAGAAATTTGAAATCAAGTTGTATATTAATTTCCATCATGGCTGCTTCTTGCAGTTAGTTTCATTTTTAGAGACAAGAGTTGCTTAAAAGTCAGCACTGGATCAAGGTCAAAAAATAAACGTTTCGCAACTTTAAAAGTTTTTTTATACCATGAGTTTATGTATGTGTTCAAAGCGGTCTCGAGATCTTTTTCTCTAACCTTCAGATTTGGTTACATTTTGGGAAAATTTTCAATTTATTTGAAATCGACATCTTATCATGTGTCCATATGAGAGAAATAAGTATATAGCGGCGCTTTTTTTTTGCTTCTGACGTTTTTGAATTTCTCTGTAGACTTTTTCTCCCAGTTTGAAGGTCGCACGAATTTTTGAGATTTCTGTATAGTGAGTCTTTGGAGACTAAAATGCAAAGAAGTTTGAAGTTTCAGTCTGCGCAGTGAGATCGGGAACAAACTGCATACGGAAAATAAAACTGAATACAAAAAATTTTCAAAAACTACAAATGTAGAAGAAAATTTTGTCGAAGGTGAACTTTTTTTCAGGCAAGAAAAAAAGTAAAAGAAGCCCTCAAAGATCGAATCGGCACCGTAGAACGCCGTCGCCAGTCAAAAGAAGTTCGGATCATCGTCGAATGGAGGTTGCTTTCAAATAAAAGAAAAATTGATTCATAGACTTGAAAAATGTTTTTAGAACAACGCATCGAGCAACTCATTTGATAAAAAGAAAAACAGAAAACTGGTTTGTATGATTTTTTTTTTCATATTCCCATTAAATTTCAAATCTTTCAGAACGACTATGAATCGAGCAAAGAAGAAAGTGCGAAAAATCAAAAAAGAAGAGAAGAGCCTCGCAGAACGGAAAAAGATGTGAAGCCGAGTCGAGAAGAGAAGGAAAAAAGTGTCGAAAACTGGAAGTAATTTATTTAAATTTTTACAGAAAGGGAATCTAACTGTCAAGGGGATTTTACTTTGAGATTTTGACTTTTCCAAAAATTTGCAGAACCTTCTTTGGGGTGAAAGAAGGTTCTGCAATTTTCAATTTAAAAACGTCCTAGTTTTGTAAAAAGAAGGTCTTGATCATAAAACATTTTGTATTCAACTCTGAAATGGTACATCAAAAATAACTCGGCAAAATTTTTTTTCAATCGGAAATAAAACTACATTTCTTATGAAGTGCTGACAGACTCAAAACATTTTAGAAAAAAATTTAAAGTCAATTTTTCAAAGAAAAGACGCATAATTTGAAAAATCTTTGGTGCCAGATTCAAAATTTTCCATGAAGTCTGTTCAGTTCTAACAAAAGCTCCGTCACTCCTTCGAGCAAGTCTGTGGACGAATCTTCTTCGCAACAGGTTGCTGAAAAGTCGAAACTTGACTCAAAAATAAACTCAGAGTTCCAAATCTTCTTCTTCCTCAAAGCCTACAAAACCGAATACATCCTCTTCTCATTCCTTTGAAGTGACGTCCTCAAGGTCTTCGGAAACCGACGCGCTCAAGAAATTCATGTCGAAAAAGGACGCTTTCATGAAGAAACTGGACAAAGCTGCCCCTCAGGTGAGTTCGGGAGCTCCGAGGGAAAAAAAATCGAAAAAATCGTCAAAATCGTATTTTATGCGAGAAAAAAATTTATCACTGACTGGAATCAGTTGATAACAGGAATGTTTATAGAAAAAGCCAAGTGGCGCCAACGAATCTTCTTTTCCTCTCGACAAAATCGGTGCTCAACTCGACAACTTCAGCAAGAAGACCTCGAAGTTTGAAGTGTTATGAAATCCAGTAGGTTTTTCTTTGTAGGAACCAGGATGAAGTCGTTGAGCAGTGCATACAGAGGAAGTCGTTGAGCATAAACACCATGAAGGTTTTAGGCTAGAAAAGGCATTGAATGACAGTTTCTTGAAGATACCGAAAAAGACGCCGACGCCGTCGGTGAGCAACGAGAATATGTTGGCGTCGTCACCGATAGCTCCTCGGGTCACGTCTTTTTCGACTGGAAGCGGGCCCTTGCTCCCGTCTTCGTTCTCTCCGACCCCGGTTTGAAATTGGAAAATGCAAAACTCATCAGCCTTGAATGAGTTTGAACTGGGAAGATATTTTTGTTGGTACTAACCAGAGATGAACGGCAATCCATTCCAGAGATTATAGTCTTATGACGTCCGTCAGAGCTGCTGATGGGACGGATCTCCTTGCCGGCATCACTGGAATCCGTTAATTCACAAAACTTTCCATATTCATTATGTTAATAAGGAATACATCAGTGACTTTTGGCTCTCTGATGTCAAAACTATCTTTTTTCCGTAGTCTTTTCATTGGTTTTTACTGGAACCTTTTTACATTTCTTCCCCACTATAAAAGTATTCACCATCATCGCGTTTATCTTGACCTTTTGAGTTTAGGAAAAAGAAGACAGCCGGAGAATTTGCTACGGAGCTGAGCGCGAGAACACAACGGACTTCATTCTGCCTGTACCAAGCATTCCGCGATGTTTGATTTCCTATAATTAGCTAATTAGTCGTATATCTGCTTTTAGTGGGATCGATGCTGGTCAACGCGCAAGAGCTCCGTTCCAGAAATGCTTTTGAGTAGGTTTTCCGAGTATTATGTTTCCCAAAGTGGAAAGTATGTCATTGGTAGAAGTTTAAGAACACTGACTTTGAAAAAATATAAATTTCGAGTGCACTGAACCTTTTTGAAATGCTTTTTGAATATGTTTACTAGTTTTTTCAAACAGTTTCGGTTCATAGAACTGAAAATGATCATTGAAACACATGTTTCCTTCCGAAGTTCAAAAAAGAAAGTCAACTTGATCCTTTTCCGCTTTCAACGGGGCAATTTTATCAACTTCTCAATCTTTTTTCAAATATGCTCGTAGCTGACTCCGAGCACAGAAGTAAGTCTAGAGAGCAGAGAGAGCAACGAGAGCCGACGACTTCTGTAAACCGCCATCCGAAGACGGTCAAGTACGCTCCATTGAAACAGAATCCCAGCGATACTCCGGAGACGCCGCGCAGCGACGGCGGGTCCGAAGCTCCTATCGGCTCTTCCAAAAGACGGAAAACAGTTTGAAAGAAGTCTGTCGACAGAAAGAAGACCTGCGTGTTTTAGGCGTCTTCCAGTACCTCTTCGGATGATTCTGACGACGAATCCAAGTTTGAGAGCGTCAGCAACGTGAGTGTGAAGAAAAGGCCGAAGATCGAGGGCCACAGGATCCACGACGTCCTGGACCAGCTTCACAGCGGCAGGAATCTTTAGATATTTAGCATCCTTACAGTATTATTTTTTATTCATAGAAAATCCAGCTCAAAACTACAGAAAAGCTCAGAAGAAGGCGATTTTGCTCAATCTTTGGATATTACTGAGAATGTGAAGGGCTAAGAAATCTGCGACGTTTTGGATAGTCATTACGAAAGTTTCAGCCTACGAAATTTTTGGAGAAAAACTGTTTTTGATGCGATTCTATTTTCTCGTTTTCCAAATATTTCCAAATTTACAAATGGAAACCTTTTTTGTCAGACCGGTAAGTCAAAAGTCATGATGAATTCTACTGTTTTAATTTATTTGATAATTATTATTTGAGATTGAACTTTAGCCTGCGAAGAAAATTAATTCCAAAACTCTCCACGCAAGCTAATTATCACGAGCATTCTTTCTGTTTCCTCAGTTTCCCAAGTTCATTTTCTGTGGTGAAAAGCTGAATTTTCATGGACCCTTCTATCTGTGTTTTTCTTTTCGTGTTTTATCATACGGGCGATTCGCGGTACGTTTTTTCTACTTTTTCGACTCCCTGCCTTCCGTGGGGACCAACTTCCGTCCGCCATGCATAATTACATATCGCTTGATCTCATCTTTGTTACTCGCTCATCCAAGTTTTGTTACAACTGTCGTGTATCACAAATCATTCTTGTTTTATCTGTTTCAGATGATTCCTAATTTGTTAGGGGCTTCACGGATACATTTTTTTTTCTTCCCACTGGGTTTTTAGAGTCAGAGTATGTGTTTTAAAGTTATAAAATGTTTCGTTGTTTATGATTGTTGGACTCGTCGGAATGAGTGGATTTTATCGATACTTGAAATTAGGTGTGCTTAATTTTATTCAAAATTCACTCAGATGATTATTTTGGGTCGTGCAACTAGAAGATTCTGCAGATATCTCTCCACTGCAAGTGAAAGGTCTGAAAATTCTGTTCATCGATTCATGAATTTTTTACAGTATCAGTGTTTTTGATCCGACTACAGCCAACGTCGCTGGAGGCAGTTATTCCGTTCTGATAGTTCATCCAAAGGTTTTTAAAGGATACCTATAGCTGATCTCTATTTCTGTAGGTCCGATGGGGCTCTTTCTCCCCTTCGGTGCTGAAAAACGCAGATCGGCAGTTGGAAGAAGCTGTGACTCTGGTGAACACACTGCCTTACATGGTCGCCGTTGAGTTACCGAGCCTCGGGTGCTGTGTAACTGAAGATTTTCAGTAGCCTCGTTGTGCCTGTCGACTACAACACGAAAAGAAAAGGGCTTTGGCCTCGGGGTCGCACCGAAAAGCTTCTTGAAAGGCGGGAGCAAGTCCGCGCCACCGCACTCATGATCAATGTCGAGATGCTCTCTCCGATGCAACAGGTTTCCATGACCTTTCTGTGAATATATAAAAAAAGTTAAAATAATGCTGCAGGAAGAGCTTTACCGAACATTTGGGGTCCCTGTTTTCGATCGTTACAACATCGTCATGTCTATTTTCAAAGCCTACGCGAAAACGGAAGAAGCCCGGCTACAGATTGCCTTGGCCGAGCTTCCTTATATTCGGTAGAAATCTACCCGGTTCAAAGGGGAGGATAAATACTCTCAGAAACCGATTGAACATGATCACTTCAAAACGGACTCAATCCCCGCCTTCGGTCTTCCACGTTCAGCAAACTTTTGCAGATCATGAAGGGTAGGAATTTTTGAATCTGAGAAGAAAGTCTTATCAGCCCAGTTCTCAGAACAGACCTGCATGAAAGCCTTCGGAAAAGAGAGCAGGAGCTGAGGAAACGGCTCAAAGAATGTGTGGAAAAGGGCGAAGAAGAGTGCGCTCAGACGACCTCCGGAGCAGCTCTTGTTGCTGTTGTTGGGTGAGAAGTCCATCTCTTTTCTTGATTGGACTGTACTACAGATATACAAATGCTGGTAAAACGAGTCTAGTCAAGAAACTGACTGGAGCGGAATCTCTGCAGCCGCAAGACAGGCTCTTTGCGACTTTGGACACGACTAGGCATCAAGCAAGGTCTGGATCTTCACGCCACGGATACCCGAGGGTCCTTCAGACTTCCTTCTGGTCGTAGCGTCGTTTTCGCTGACACGATCGGATTCCTCAGCGATCTTCCGACGAATCTCATCGCCGCGTTTCAGGCGACTCTCTCTCATGTCAAGTTTGCCGTTAGTTTCATTTTGAATTGAAAAAAGGCGAATCAGAATAGCTAGATAATAAAACCGTATCTTTTTATGCAAGGTTAATGCTGAAAAAAAAATCTAAGGAGAGTCAACTCCAAAGCCGTCTTACCTAATTCGACTTGCTATTACCAAAAAAACAGACAGACTTGTCGTGAAAAATAAGATAAATGGTTCAGATAGGAATGAATTGGACGCTTGGTCTTTCAGAATGTGATTGTTCACTTACGCGACGTCTCCCACGCGGATTGGAGAGCGCAAGATGAAGACGTCGTCGCGACTCTGAAGCGGATCGGCATCTCCGAGAAGGCGTCCGTCGTCACCGTCGACAACAAAATCGACAAAGACGGCGCCGCCGAAATAAGCGAAACGGACAACGATTTGCGGGTTTCCTGTGCGAATGGCGAAGGTCTTGAACAGTTCATCAGGATAATCGACGAGGCAGTCTCTATCAGTAAGAACTGATCTACCAATGTATCTTCAGAAGGTTTTGGAAGCGACCAAGTGCAAGAAAATCAAGGTGAAGCTGAAGGCGGACTCTCCGCTCATCGAGTATCTATACAGGTCTCGATGCTAGAAATATGTTTGTGAATTCAGCTTCTTTCAGGGAAAAGCTTGTTAATATCGAACCAGAGGTCGATGAAGATTCATTAACTTTCGAAATCTACGTCGACGAAGCACAACTGTCACGATTCCGAGCAAAATTCAACCAGTTGAAGGCCAAAAATGATTTATCCTGAAATATTGTTAATAAAGAGCCATAATTTCAACGAAAACTTGCTTTTTTTCGTTTTGGGATTTCACCCCACCAAGTACTTTTTCTAAGTCTCAGTTTGTCATCCGATAAAAGTTATCGTTGATTTGACAGATGGGGGAGCTCGAAAAGTTGCCCGAACATTTCAAGGTTAGTGTGATGTGAAGGGAAATAAGATGTGAGGATTTTAGGTGATAATGCGACGTTTGCCAGCGGCGATGACGGAGGCGGAACTGCTCGAGCAGATAAGTCCACTGCCCGAAGAGGTCATCGACATCACTTTCTTTCCCGCTGATCCTACGTCAGTTTCTCAGGAAGTTAATGAATGAACTGAGAATGAATGTGTGTTTTTGAAGTTGAAATGTCATGAATTTTTGAAAATAGCCGAGACATTAAAGTTAGAAGTTAGAGGCTTGAAAACTTTTGCTTTCAACGAAAAAAACATTTTTTTATGAAACATAATAATATATATCATAAACCACATACTTAAAAGACTCATCTGAAACTCTCATACTTGATTTATAACACTATAAAAGTTTTGAGAATAAACAGACTTGATCTGAGGAAAGCGGAAAAATGACCTGACTTGGGGTCAGCTCTTTCTTTCAAGATTCAAATAATTTTTTCATCACACCATTTTAAAACTTTCAATTGAAGGTTTGCCCCGCATGCTTACAGCCGTTGTTACTTGGTTTTCGCCCGTCATTGCGATGCTCTTCTGGAGTTTGCCGAAAGATTCAACAAGTACATTTTTGTTGACTCGAAAGGTTTTCTTGTTGTAAAACTGCAAATTTATATGAATTTTCTCACAGGAAATGATTCAATGGCGGTAGTAGAAGAGGCGATGAACCAAGAGTTCAAACGCTACAGTTTGGATGCCATAAAAGAGGATAGCCGTCGAAATACTATCCATCAAGGTTTCACTCCGTTAGCAGTTGATTTATACTTGTCTTCCCTAGAACTTATCTTCAAACAATACGCAGTAAAAGAGGCTGAAAAGGAAGCTCAGCCGATCATGAACATTGAGGAGCAGTTAAAGCGTCTCAACGCCGGCGAATCCCCCTCTTCCAGTAATTCGACTCCCAATTACTTCTTCCTATTTTTTTTTTAACAGAATTAAGTCATCTCGAAACTCCGCTAGTCAAGTTTATGATTGAGAAAGACATGGCCAAGAGGACCAGCGAGGTAGAGTTTTCTTTTTGGGAAAATATAAACTTGGTTTTCAGTCGAGACGGCGACACAAACATGAAGAAGATACTCGAAGGCTAAAGAAAGTTCTTGGGATCAAGGACGACGCGGCAGGTCCTTCTAAGGTGATTTTCCTGTCCCTTTCCTTAAGAAGTTCAGATTTTCCAGGAACCGAAAAACAACAGAGCGGCTGCACCAAAAGAGAAAAAGCCGTCTGAGGCAGGACCATCCCAAGCTCCGAAAAAGCGCGAATTCACGAAACCTTGGGTCAGCTTCTGAAAAGAGAAGAGAGCTTGTCAATATCAACCTTTGTTGTTCAGAAAGGGAATGGTCGAGAGAAAAGGCCTGATGGCGAGAAAGCCGACAAGAAGTTGGAGAAGAAAGAAGGCGGCCGTCGAGACCGGAAAGAAGATCGGAGACCGGCTAAGCCTTCAGCTCGAGAACCTTCCAAAAAATTCCCGTAGAAGCGTCGATTTGTGAGCAACGCAGTGATCTGCCGCCTTATTGCCGATGTCGGGTCCACGTCTTCCGCATTTATTTCTCTTGAACTCAGCGACCGCGCTTTTAAAGCCGCTCTTCACTTGGTTCACGGGCCTAAACTCCTCCTGATAATTGTAATCAGGGGAGAGTTCTGCTTTACACTTTTTTTTCGACATGATGAAATAAAGTTTTTTACTTGACTCCCATTGGATTCTATATGGTTTTTGATTTCCCGCTCTCCATCTATTTCCTTTTTACAGGTATTGAAAAGTTTTTTCGAAACAATGAGAGAAAAAAAAAATGAAAAAAACACTCAAGTTTTGACCTCTCATTATAGTCAGTTTTTCAAAAAGCTTTCAACTTTTTTTTTTTAAATTTTTGCTTTGAAAAGGGATTTCTGAGGTGGGAACGTCCTTATTCACTTTTCATAGAGGTCCAGCCAAAAAGTTAACTTGAGGCTGAAAAGCAGGTCCGAATGAAATATGTAATGGTCTGTGACCAGTTTTCCCCAGCATGTCAGTAAGCTGTGCTTGTGAATTTATTATCAAATCTGCATGAAAAACCTTTTTCAGGTTAGAGTTTTAGCCATACTCATAGGAGCTACTTTTCCAGCATTTGTCTACGTAAAAATGGTTTTGTTGTAATTTTTATTTTTAAAAGATTTTTTTATTCAAGCCTTTCTTTGCCTTGGAGTTCAAGATGACCATGTCAGGATTGAAAACGTTAAAACTGGAAGATCCGAGTAACATTCAGTGGGAATTGAAGGTATTCTATCCAAACCTAGGTTTTCGACGATTTGCTTCAGTTGAAATGTTCAAGCTGTGGCGATGTGCCGGATCGTTGGAGATACGTTGTTGCCAATGTAAGCTCCCTTCTGACTCCAGATGGACTCACCAGAACTTTTCAGGAGAGTGAGCCTATACCTGGAAGTCGAGGAGAAGCAAACTATATCGAAAAATGCAAGGGCTGCGGCCATCTCAACACGCTCAGTCTATATATTTTGCCGTTCCAGGAGTTTGATGATGTTGCAGGTATTCTGGAGGACTGCTTCAAGCCCTACGTCGAGGACAAGAACGAGTCCTGGCAGCCGGTGATGATCATGGACAGCCGTGGCTTTGAGCCCGTCGGCTTCGGCCAAGCTGTTCGTTTTTATTTCTTGACTTTAGAAATCTTTTTATCATATTTCTATTCGCTTCGCTTTTTTTTGATGAGAAGGAACAACTGTACAAAATGTATGAAGACTCTCGAATGTTACACGGTGGGCTTGAAAGCAAATGTCCGATTTTCAACCTTCATTTATCGCATCAGAGAAGGGGTCTTCCCAAAGTCAGAGATGGAGAGTGTGAAACTGATAGGTTTAGGAGACCACCTAGTATTTTTTTTCTCAAGCCAGAGATGAATTAAGTGCCCCCCTAGCAAAATACAAACCTCCTGTATCACAAGTGTAGAACTAATTCTAAAATTCAGTCAAACTGGATAGCGGATACCAACGACTCGAGTTCCACATTCAATGAAATCAGTTTCTCCTCTTCCGAGGTAAGAATTCAATCCAATTCCTGACCTTCCACGTGTTTTCTCCAGGACTGGGCCGATTACGACTCCCAAACCAATGAACCGGTGAGCATTGAAAACTTTGAATCACGGTTTCAAGTCGTCAAGAACCCGCATAAGAAATGATTTTCCACGAAAACTCATTTTCTCATATTTATTTCGTGTCAATAGTATAAGTAAATGTTCTTGGTCGAGAAGGCAGATTTCATCGAAAAGGCGAACTGCAGCACCGTTAGCAGGAATAGAAAGATGTATACTGTGATCTGGAACCATTGAAACTGAATTCATAGGAAGTCCCACGCAAAAATGTCATTATTTTTTCTTCGAACGAAGTTGTGAAAACTGTTTCAAATGAAAAATAGTCAAATTGTTTTTCTTAAATTGCGTCTTTGACTCACCTGTATGGCGGCGATCTCGCGTTCCGTGTCTTGGGGCAGCCAGTCGATGTAGGGATGTGTGAAATGGACGACGCGCAGACAGTAGTCCTCCCGCGGCTGCTGCCAGTGACAGTGCCGGGTCAGCATCGTCGGCACATCGTTCCTGCAAGTTTTGAACTAAAAAGACTTTCAGAGAGCGATTAGGCTGGTAAATCAATCAAATTGAAGATTTTGATAACAAAAGTTGGTTTTTTTTTGACGAAAAAGGTTTTCATCGTATTCAAAAAGATTAAAAGTTTACATAAACTGAAAAATTTTGAGGGACGGGACCACAGCGAAAAGATTTATGAGGCGTTGAAAACTTCTGCACCAAAAATAAGTTAAATATTAATTGACTGATCAGTGTGAACCCTAACGAGTTCACTTGCATTTTTAAGAAAATACGTAACGATTTCCCATTACTTGATTCTCAGTCTGATAGACATTACTAGAAACTGATGGAAACTCGTTTTATGGTAGATTGGCCGATAAATTTTTTGAGAACGTTGGCTGGACTGAAGTGGAAGTGAGCTTGTTCCGAGTGGATCAGTTTTCAAGAAGTCATTTTTAAATCAATTAATCGTTATTTCGAATGTAACAAAAATGAATAGAATTGAATTCGACCTGTGCGACCAACAGTAGATTCCGAAGACTGTGGTGGCGTTCAAAATAAGCGCCATGGCAGCTCCGATGACGTTGAAGGACCTCGAAGTCGGACCGTGGTTCTTGTTCCGCCACGAAATTCCTCCTGAACTTTTTCTTGCTCCAATTTTTCTAACTTCCACACAAATACCTTGCACTATTGAGAATAGGCCTATTGCTAAGGGGATGTGCAAGAAGAAAAATGTGCAGCAAAATCTGTGAAAGTGGCTGGTCTACAACGAATTTTAACTAAAGATATACCTCATATGGAAAAGCGAGAAAAACATGATGAGAAGGCCAGTGACGATTTGATAGTGGTAGGCGTACAGTCGGATCCTGAAAACTTTGATAGTTAAAGTGGAGATGACAACCTCACTTTGTCTCCACGGCGCTGTAGAAGGTGAGGAGAGTACAAATCGCGAGATGAAGCGCCGATAGAACTGAGAGAGTCACTGAGGTGTAGAACCGAACTGATTCTCTAGCCTTAATCGATGAATATTTCACTGTTTTTGCAATTTTTTTGCAATTTTTTCGTTTTTGTTTTAAAAGAGAGTGAATTGCCCCGCCCACAGCAACCTTCGTGTTTTGTACGCAATGAACTCAATGCAATAAAAACGACGCGCAAATCTTAAATTAAAATACGTTTTTTGATTATTTTTATTATAAATTGTATGTTTTCGTTTTCTAATTCAGGGAGTCTTTGTTTGAAATTCACTTTGCAGGCGAAAATTATTTTGGTGACTAAATCAAAACTTCTTACGTTTGTTTTTTTATAATTTTTTTCCAAATCGTTTTTTTGCGCAAAAAAATATGTATTTAAATATATATTTATGTGCAAATCAACGAGTTAATAACTACTTAAAGGTTTTCCAATATTCAAGTAATTTTAAATTTTTTTATATTTTTTTCTTTCTGCGAAAAAAATCTATTACCTAGATATTTGAAAAAAACTTTTTCTAGAGACTATTTTTTTAATCTTCAAAATTCTAATTTCTTTAATTTTTGAATTACGCTTCTTTTTGGGGAATTCCTTAGAATTTATCAACCTTATCGTCACCACCGAACTTGGCAATGATTGATAATTGCAGGTTGCCGAGAAAATCGTTGCAAGAGCCGACGATTCCGATGGTACGGTACTTCATTCCGTGGCAGACGCCCTCTTTCATGCTCTCTCCAGAATCTGATTGATTTGCAATGATTTCAGAGAGGTTAGTTACATTTAAAGTCGCCGATGCAGTAGGACTCCAACAAAGAGGAGGCGGTAAAAATGAAGCCAAGGAGGGTGCAACTCAATTGCAGATAAAAGTCGCATCTGTAAAAGAAGCAGGGGTTTAAGAATTATCGCATGGCGTTTCATAATTAAAATTAGAAGCTTAGCTCTTGCGTTTTTGACAAAATTTTACCTTCCTTATACTACAATTCGGATTTTTCAGAGAGTGGGAATTGCATGAAAACGCACAAAAAATGCAAAAAATTGTCACCTGTTAGGATATCGTAGGAAAATAGCGTGAAAGGCGGTGACGAGGCCCAATGACGCGTTGAGCACAGGCAGAAGTAGGAAGAAGAAGGGAGAGCAGAAGCCGGCATGCACGACGCCGAACCCGAACTCGAACTGAATATGCGCATTTATTTGAGGCAAAGATGAGTATTCACACTTTCCGGCTTAGTTTCCTCACTCCACAATCACCGCTTCTCGGCATCTTTGTTTGTGTGTCTTGCCTTTTTCTTATTTTTTGGAAGCGATTTGCTTTTTTTTGGTGTTTTTCGCAAATTTTGAATTGAGAAAGTGAGCTTTTTTTTTTAAAGTAAATGACTCTGGAGAGTTTACGAAAAAATTGAGTTGTGCGACATGCTTTAAAACAAGTTGCAGTATGACTGAAGTACGTTTATTTAGTGAAATACAGTTTTAAATAAAGTCGAAAATGATTATAATGAAAAAAATCCAGTAAAATAAGAAGATTTTTTTCAGAAAAAAATTTTTGAGTTTTGAATGCGAATTTCAATAATTTTTCTCTGCTATCTGTAATGAGTTCAAACAACTTTCTGTTGTTAAAAAATTTTTCTACGGTTTTTTTTAAAGCTTCATTGGCGGAGCTGTTCATTTCTTGAATTTTTTTTCTCTTATTTGTTTAATTTTTTTTCCAGTATTTTTCATTTTTCATTTTTTTATCTCATCATAAAAATCATGCAATTATGAAAAACAGAGCAAAGTAGTAATAGAAGTGCTAAAACAGAAAATTCTAGATGATAATCGAAATTTAAATTTTCTTTTTTATACCGATTCAAAAAAACCTGAAGCAGTAGGTTCTCATAAAAACGTCTGCGAAACCAATTTTTTTAAGCTTTAAAAGATGATCTTTAAGTACTTTGTATCTAAATTAATGATAAAAACTCACGAAAGCGACGACGGCGAGCAGCGGATAGAGGCTCCACCGTGGGCCGCTCGAGGGCATCCGAGTCACGAATTCTTCTCTTTTGGAGTGTCCAACCCGCTTCCAATGGACCGACTAACGAACTCCGAATAGGGAATCCCCGAAAAATGGCTATTTGAGACGTTTTTTGCAACATTTGAAAGGATACGAGGAACAAGATCTTTTCTCAGAGCGTTCGCACTAAAGAAAAGTGCAGATGAGTTATTTTGTAGATTTAGCTTGAAAAAAGAAGGATCGGGAAAGCTTTGGAGGCAAAAATGAGTATGATGCGTCTGCCGGGAAGGCCGTAGTTTAACGAGTTTTCGTCCAAATTGGAGTTTCGCCCTACTCGAATCCGAGTTGATTTCCTAGATTTTCGTGTCGGGGAAGCTTGTTTTTTTTTTTAGTAAGAAGTAATGCCTCGATTCAACATTTTTCTCATCTTACCTGTGGAATTTTGTCATGTTTAAGGCAGAGAGAGGAATTAACAAGTTTGTTCCGAAATTTCGATAAATAACTGAAAAGCGATCAACTGGATTCAATAGCTTCAATAGAATTATAAACTTGATTTCCTTGTAAAATATAAGCTTGATCAAATTGATCGATAATACCTTTGAGCTGGAGAATTTCCTTTGCTCCTGCTGGAGCTTCTCAGACTTTCGATTGATCGAACCAGATAGGGCAACTGATAGCTCCACGACCCGCCTCTTATTAGTCACTCAAGTTTGTTAATCGGCTCCGGAACCCATTTCTCGGTCGTAATTGCCTCTAGCCTAACCACGGTTCATTCTTCTGCACAACACACTCACTCACACACACGTCGATGAAAAATTGTAATCGAATTTGTGGGTGCTGTGCTGCCTGAAGCGGCCAATCAAGCACGTCGCGAGCCCTTGGGGCAGCGGTTGAGAAGGCGGAGCGTTGAGCCACCTGCCGAGAGAACGAGCGGGCTGCAGAGGGTCCGCCCAGCTACTGTAGCCAGACGGCGTCTGGTCGCGCATTCATGCATTTGCCAGCTTCCTCGCCAGGCACCATGAGCGACGGTTTGAGCTCCAACTCGTCGACCATCTCCCAGGTAAGACTGTCGGAAGCTCGAGAAACCCGGGCCAACAATGGCTCCGGTCTGAACCGTCGACTCCTCAGACAAGTCCGCCTTGCTCTGGGCCGCGGCCAAATACGATTTGGACTCGTGTCCATAATTAACTTTTCTCCCAATATTTCTTCTCCTCTCATAAACTCATTATGGAAATTTGATTGTTACACACACACACATGTGAGCACACACTCTCTCGAGTCGCACTGACGGCGCTTCTTCACTCGCATCAGCGCGGCCTCCGGTATACCGTTCCTTTACCGGAGTCACTTCTATCTTTCTCATAGGCCTCCAGTTTCAGTGAGAAGCAGAGTGTTGACATTAAATTAGGATCTCTTGCTTGAATCGTCAAGCTCCATCCATATCGAGATCCGATCTGAAAATGATCAGACCGATAGCTCGAAGGTTTTCAGTCCTCCTCCTCATTCTTACCATATTATCTGAATATCCCTTTTTATTGAACTTTTATTAGGTCCTTAATCGTGAGTAGTAGTTCTATTGTATGTTTTATACTGTCAAGCTTCAAATGTTGATCAGATCTCAAAAGATCACGATAATTGTCAAGCTTCAAATGTTGATCAGATCTCAAAAGCTTCAAATGTTGATCAGATCTCAAAAGATCACGATAATTCCTTTCCCAATTATTTTGAATTATTTTCTTCCAATTGATGGGTGCCTTTGTAAAATTGAATCAGTCAGGTTTGAACGGAAATATTTCCTCAGAACGGTAAATACTCTTATCTGAACCGGGTGGAAAGATTTCTTAACTTCTTGATCATTTCAATAGTCCCTACAGTTTCAGGACGTGGCCAAGGTGAAAGACCTGGGAGTCTCTCTCCACGACTTCACCGCCTACTATCCGAGTTCCCTGGACACTGTTTCGGCGTCGCTTCGACCGCTCGCCGACTCTTCCGGTGCAGGTATAAATTTCTGATGCTAATCATATTCTCGTCTTCAAGCTTCTCATTTCAACCAAATATCTCTCCTCAGTCTTCAAAATAGTGGATATAATAATGAATCAGCTGAATTGAAGCGGTTCAGCAGTGAATTTTTGACTCATTTTAGCAATGATGAATCTTTTCTGATGACTTTTCTGTTCATGACTTTTGGATGCATGAACGAAAAAGTGGAGAACAGTTACGAAGTTTTAGATCTTCCACCAAATTAAATCGGTTCAAAAAGCTTGGCACTTTAACAGACCAGAAGCAATCGAATCTGGAATCTCAGCCTTTCAAGGCCATCTTTTTTGAAATCGATGCGAAAATTTGTTATTATTTCTGAGAGATCAATCTACCTCGACCCCGAAAATCTAGGAAGGCTTCTTCGAGATATTCATTCTTCGAAATGAAGACGAACTAAGCAAGAAAGTCGAAAAGCGTACCTGGTGACACCGGAAGACATGCTGTCGAAGCCATGGCTCCTCCAGAAACCAGCCGCCGTCGAGGAAAATTTCCAACCGAAATGTGGCTTCAGAGCGGCAGGCGACGACGGCAAAATTGCATCACGGAATATATCTGATTTGTCATATTCGATTCCCAAACTCAATACTCGGCGTGGAGGCACTTCGGAATAAAATCATCGTGTCCGTCGTCGCTTCTGCAGCACCGCCGATGATCATATTTTGCAAGAATTCCACTCGGCTGCCACTTACGGTCGACATGAAAAAGCCCCCGCTGAGGCTTCGAGTGCCGCGTCTCCATGTCATCCCAATATGTCGTTTTTTGTCTTCTGTAATAAGCGTATCGTGTTAGGTAGACCGACACTTGATCTCTTGAGGATGTGTGTGACGCCATTTGAAGTGCTTCTCATTAAAAATCATCCTGTAAATCATTCGAGCCCAGTTCGATCAAGCTTTAATTTTGTAGAGAAAGTCCTTCATAGCCTGTGGTTTGAGAGATCTTCAACTAACTTCAATGTTAAAGATCAATTTGGATGTACAGCTGTCTCAGAAAAGTTTCTCTATTTATGAGTTTATTTTTCCTTCATAAACGAGATCGCTCAAAATTTCTGTTTGCGGAAAATTCAATCCAGCTCTCCCAATCTTTATTTACTGTTCAAGTTTACAGTAAATTCCAAAAAAAAACCACGAAGAAAAAGTTTCATCTATGATTGATCAGTAGTATAAGTTGATAAATTGCTTCTGAGAATTCATAAAAATCTTTTGATTTAATGGCTAAAAAAATTCGATTTTTCATTTTACTTTGATTCAATTTTTTTAATTTTTTTCTCGTCAAATTTAGATTTTGACTTGAAAAATTTCGAAAACCCTTTCTTCCAAATTGACTTAATTTCATTGCTTTCTGCCTCAAATTCATGTTTTCCACTGTCCTCACCTGTTCATTGATGAAATAGTCTCGAGAAACATTGAGGGCAGTTTTCAATTGCAATTTGTTGTCATAATCGGTGGAGAGCCTCCTGGCGACGTCCCCAAATGCGCTAATCCCTCTTAGAGGCTCGCATCTGCCACCAGTTGAAAACCTCTTTCACTCACTTCTTCTCGACACTTTCAACAGAGAACAGTTCAATCGGTTGAGCTTGCAGATGGCGCCTTCAAGAAGATCAAGGCGGAAAGCGTCGGCGTCTTCGGTTCCTCGCTCGCCGGAATCGCCTCCACTCCGGCCAGGTGCTTATTCAAGGGGAAAACTCGAAGTTTTGTAGTCTGACGCATGAAATGTTCAAGGGCTGGAAGGGCGTAGAAAAAGAAACTGATAACACTTCATCCATAGAGACTTTCGTTGTTCGAAAAATTCTGATTCCGTAAACGACGTCCATTTGGCAAGTTCCCAACTCTCACTATTCAAAATTATCAGATTCACGATTATAACGAACAAATCCTGAGCATACGTGGGCAAGTAAAGAACCCCTAATAGTCCTGGAGGGGAAACTGATTTGAAAGCATTTCAAAAAACATGCAATAAAAATTTTATTCGACCTCGTTGAGGTAATTTTGTAAGAGAAATAAAGATAATTTTTAACCTCAAGACGTACTACTCAATTTAACTTATGAATACTCGAGAGGAGGTATTGGTGGCCTTTAAACATAGTCTGCCCATGTATGATTCTGAGATTGCTATCGGAATTTTAGAAAAATAAACAGGATCACCATTGAAAATGATCCATTTCATGTGTTCTTGTAAAATCCTCACTTTCAAAGTTGTTGCGAAATAATGACCGTATCAGAAGACGTCACCGCACGACCTTCACCCAGGAACAACTGGCAGAGCTCGACGCCGCCTTCCAGAAGAGCCACTATCCAGACATCTACGTCAGAGAGGAGCTCGCCCGGATAACGAAACTCAACGAGGCTCGGATCCAGGTAGGCCATCCCACTTTTGGTCGACTGCAGGTGTAGCTTACATCGGTTGCGCAAATGATATGTTAGCGTTGATCCGTTTTCCGGTCAGTCTTAATCTTGATCGCTCCACCGCACAATCTTGAGTCAACCCGTCTAATTGACACTTACGGGAGCCACTCGGCGCCAATTTGTCGCTTCCTTCCTTCCGGAACGATTGTTCCCCTCGTTTTCTTTCTCATTATCAGGAAATTGAAGTACGTAGTGGTATCTTGAAAGTCTCAAGGCTCTTTAAAACTTTCTCAATAAAAATCAGAGATTCGGTATCTTGATGATCTTTTGCCTCTGGCCGAGAAAATTTCAAAAATTTTTTCAATCTGTTCTTGGTTGATTTTCTAAATTCTTTTTAGACTAATAGATATATTAAATGTGACGATCTATTAACAAACTCATGTCAAATCAAACTTGTAAGTCATCCTAATTATTGATTTTCTTTTATTTCCTTAATCATTATCAAACTTAGAAACCTGAGAGCTTGAACTAAATCTAGCCGAATGAGTTTCTCAGCAAGCTTGAATTTTCTCACTAGCTCAATTTTGAAAGGCGAACGTAAAGTTAATGTTTTTAGAAAGTGTCCAATTTTCAATTTCGTGGTTCAGTTTAGTAACAACTCAAGTCAAAAAAATACAGAAAATAACCGCAAAGTATTTGAGTAGAGGAAATCTCTCATGTTCCTCAGCCTTTCTCATGTCAATCGGAGCAACAACAACTCGAGTGACTTTTGTGTGGAGATTAGCTCCTTGGCGAGCACTTGGGGACAATGGCTGACGGTGAAGAAGGCGGACAGAAGTTGGGGCCGAGTGACAGCTGCGGAGTTGGTCGAGTCAGCCGCGACGACGACGACCGCCACACTCCCGGGTCAGCGCCATGTGCGCTAATTTCTGTTTACTATTCCATGGAGCGTTAATTGGCGTGTTCATACGCATCATCATGCGAGAAAAATGCGCGAACAAATGCGTCAGTTGGTACTGTCTTCGCTGCGACAGCCGGTTGCGGAGTTGTCTCTGAGAAGGAGGGGAATTCCCGAATTTTCGAAAAAAAGACAATTTTTATCAGTGTGATTTTCTGAAGTTAAAAACTGAAAATACTTTTCTGGAAGATATAATGGCCTTGAAAGTTTTTTTGTAAGCCCTATCACCTTTTGTTTGATTTTTTTTCTCCACTTTTTTTAAATTAAAAAAATGATGATTAAATTTATCCAATCAGAAATTTTCCATAAGATGGAATAAGCTTGAAAATTTTTTTAAAAAAATTCAAAAAAATTCAGGTACTTAGAACTCATGAACCATCCATTGTTAAGCTTCTCCTTACGGTTCTGAGAGTCTTCTTTGAATTGCGCTAGACTCAGTAATTTATTTTCCTAAGAGATGTGAATAAAGTTGAAACTGTAGTAGCATAATAACCAAAAAAATTTTTCTGTTTTTTGTTGCTTTAATAAAGAATAAATTCTCATCATTGATAAGGAAATCAGGTGTTCGAGCATTCGCTTCAACATTCCCAGAAAGGGAAGTAAGAATTCCGTAAGAAAAAAAGAGTGAGCTTTATTTTTTTTTTTTCGTCACCGTGGTGCTCAAAGCCGCATTGTCGTGATTATGCGTGGCCGGAAAGGCGCGAGCTACCGTATGCCTCAGCGGCTCCTTCTTCACTCATTCCGAGCCTAACCGCCAAATTCGATTACGCTCTATCGGCTCATTTCGAGCGCAGTTCTGCCCCGGAGCGCGTATGCTTCTAAGTAGCACACACACGCATGTCTACCGTAATCCAATTTGCTCTGGAGCACGGCGATCGTCTCTCGGCTGAGGTGCCGCCGAATTAAAGACTGATTGCCCAGGTGTGAATGTTAACCAGATCAAGATAGTCTTGTCTGGAGTTTTCGCATGGAGGAGATCATGTATTCCATCTTCAAAGCTTATTTCTTGACTTCTTTTTCCATCGAGACAACCGAAAAAAGAAGATGAAATTTTGTTGGAATCCAATCTGTACTCTAAAGGTTAAAAAAAACTTCATAGAGATTCGAAACTTCAATTTTTCCAATCTCTCATAGTTTCCGTTGAGTCCTGGAATGAACCACAAATAATGAAAATTCTCCTAAAATTGAAAAGTATGGTCATATTTTCAGGGCTAATTGTGTAATATTCAAATATTTTACTAGCTTCTGCGGGTTGGGGTACTATCTTTGAATCATACTCTGCTCGAAACGATCTGATTTTCTAATCTAATCACATCGCAGGCTCTGAAAACTACACGGCAATTTCATCGTGCCAGCTTTGAAAAAAAAAGTTTTTGAACCTGTCGCTATAATAACTATTTTGAGAGCGTATAACTGATTCCATAACGAGATGCCGTCATATGAAAACGGCGCTAACTGCATTTGGCTCACCCTGATTGAATTCGCTGTTACTCGGAACTGATTTAGCCGTTTGCAGGTGTGGTTCCAAAACAGACGCGCCAAGCACCGGAAACAGGAGAAGCAGTTGAACAAGGTAAATCGGAACGGGAGATGAAGTGGCAACTTGGGGGATTTTAGACGATCAACCCGCAGCACGCTTTCCTTACAAATCAGGCCGCCGGGAACCTCATGCGCCAAGGGATGTACTCCTCAGCTTTGAATCGCGATGGAACCGGCTTCTGGTATGTTGAGATACTTTTAATCTGAAATAAAAAGGAATTATTTACTTTGGAAATTAGTTCCACCAAAAATAATAATCCAAAGTTAAAAAATTCGAAAAGCTTAATGAAATTAAAATATATTTTTAAAAGTGTCAGTTCAGGCTTTCAGTAATAATAAAACTATCGACCGCTATAAGTAATTTTCGGACGATTTTCTGGGAATTTAAAAGTTCGAAAATATCCTATAGAAGGTCAACTTAAGGACACCTTTAAAAAAAAAACTGAGACGTGCTTTTTACTACCTAAAAAACCCAGAAAATTTTAAAGACTCTACAGAAGGAACGTACTGTATTCAGATTGAGGTTTTCTGAGAGTTTCACCATGAACAACTTTTGAAAAAGGATAAAAATGTTTTTCATTATAGTTTTACAAAAAAACAGGCTTATTTGCGTAGGTGTTTAAAAAAATTAAACATTCACTAAAGACCTTTTCTCATGTTTTTTTGAAATATTTAGGTATGAAAGTTTCTTAAGATATTAAAAAAACTGGTTTTCAGGTATCCATCATACCCGCGACAAATGCCGTACCCAACGACGAGTCCTTCATACTCAAATTCTTTCACGAATCCCATCGCCAAGTGAGTCAAACTATTTTCTGAACTTTTTGAAATTTCCGTTATTTTATTTTTATAATTTGTCAGCTACCGCCTGGTATATCATAGATTAATGTTTGAGGTCGACTTTTGGAGACCAAATAAAACCTGTTTTAAGTTCGTTATGTCTATAAAAAGTTTATTTCGAACTATTTTTTTATTTTTTTCGTCATGTAAAGTTTTTTTTCTTTAAAGAATAAAAAAATCAAGTTCAAATGTTCAACCTGTTTTTTTCCGAGAATTTTTCGCAAGTTGAGATGTTCGGGACTATAAAAACATCACAGCAAGTTTCTCAGCAAGATAAAATACAAGCCACCGGGTAAAAGGTTCAGTTAAAAGTTAGTGAACGTGTAACCTTTTAAAAGCCTTTTCTGACGTTAAGCTGCAGTTTCAGCTTCGGACAGTCGATAGCGCCGTTCGCGACGGACGACGAATTCTACCAGAAGAGTCTGGCGCTGCGAATGACGGCCCCAGCCACCGCCGCCAACCTCGCCAATCTCAACTACCAGCACCAGACGAACGTCGGCGGCGGCGGCGGAACCAACACTTCTACGATTTAGTCCTTCTTCTGGTCCCTCTCTCGCTCAATTTAGTCAGGCCAAAGCTCCAGATGGAAGGAACAGCGACAAGTTAGGGTGACCTGTTAGAAATCAGCGGTTCATCAGATCTTTTCATTCATCAGCAAGAATTTGAGGAGCAAATTCATTCTCTTCCGGAACATGGTGACTAGTCATTTATGTTGACGGAAAATAATTTTCTTTTAGGATCAATCTTTTGTGATAATTTTGTAGTGAAATCAACTACCAAAGAATGCTCATTTCTGACCGGCCAACCTATAGTTTTAAGAGGTTTTCAACTAGTTTTGTAAGTTTCCATTTCTTCCATCGGGCAGTTCGGCTTTTCTCATTTTTCGATCTTTACTACTTACTTTGTACATTATTTGAATTGTATCGTTTTTGGTATTGTCCTTTCACCGTGTGGAATACGATAAATCGTTTATTTTAGGTTTTTAGTTTCAAAAATAAGTTGAAATTCGAACTTCAAAAAGCTGTTTTGGAACCGTAGAAAATTTCTCAAGGATCATTTCAAGAAACTTGATGAATACGATCGTTTCAGGCAATTGGCATGGGAAAATTTTATTTGTCGAGACAAAGTGGGCTGAAATTTTCACGTTTTTAAAAAAGGAGGATGAAAGTGAAACTGTCATTCGACTATTGAAGGCATGAGTTGCTCTTTTTTTTAGGAAGGTATACTATTGAGCAGAAAAAAGCGAGTCATTAGTCATTTTGACGTTTTTTCTCCTGTCCTTTATCAAATGAAGGCATCTCCAGATTTCTTTTTCCAAAATATTCCAACCAAAAAAATTTTCTTTATTTAATTTTCAATAAATAGGAAAATTCAAGAGTTTTTTTAGAAGTTTTTTTGGGCTTTCTGTGAAAGGCTATTCACAAACGGGTAGAGAAAAAAAATTTCAAAATTTAGCTGCTCGAGCAAAGTCGGAAATGAGAATAATGTTCGCTAAAATGGAGAGGCTCAAAAAAGGCAGCAAAAAGAGTTCCTTTATCGAGCCTTCCATTATTTTCTAGAATTTTAAAGGCTCGAGAGGTGTGGGGACGAGGAAGAGGCATAAAAAATGGTGCAAAAGAGTCGATGAAACGGCGCAAAAAGGCCGCAAAAAAGAAACTTTCGTTTTCTTAAAAGAAACATTTATGGAGCCTTTTTCGACCCTTGCGGCTTTCTCTGTGTCCTCTTTCAACGCTTCCATCGCTAATTAGCCGTCTGATTGATATACTTTTCCAATGATAATTGGCCGATGAATATGCACGGAAATCCGATACGTGTATGTTCACTTCACTCCATATATGTAGTGGAGAAGATGCAAACAGGGCGGGAGTCGCAGGGGCAAACAGTCGGAAGACGATCACTTTGTTCACTTCGCTTCCAGCGCCGCCGGACAATTCTCTCACCTCGCTTTTCTCTCCACCCCAACTCCACTCTTTCTCTTTTCCTTTTTTCGGTTCACGTTTTTTTTTTCAACGATCAATTCCAGTCAGAGCCCCGAGTGAGCTACCTTTCCGTCGAAATAGTTTTTTGTCCTTTTCCAAAAAGAAACGCTTGTAGCTTGATCTGAAGCGACTCTGCAAAGCTTTCTTTCTTTTCAATCCTTCAGAACTAGCAATGGAGCAAAAATAGATGTTGAAAAAGAGCTTGTTTTTTGAAAGTTTTTTCCACGTGGTTTTCCCAAAACTCATTGAATAGAGCCTTTATAGACCCTCGAAACGGCTTTTTTGAAAATGACTCTTCAAAAAAATATGTTTTTCAGCTTCGCTCTAAATATCAAAACGTATAGGTTATGACTTCAAAGGCATGTTCATTTCTTTTTTTTCATTTTTTCTTTTTTCCCAAATTTTTTCACATGACGTGAATACGAAATTCTAATTATTGGGAATTGAGCAAAGTTCACACAAAAATCCTTTCAATCTCATTTTTCACAAGATCTCTATCCTTTCAATTTAATGCAATAAATATCAAGGAATGACGCATTTTATTTTCAGTTTTGAATATCGTTTTGTTGATCGTGTGCAGAATATTCTGTCCTCTAAATCAATTTTTAAAAATCACAAGATTTTCAAGCAAAAACAATTTTTTTCCAACATACCACTTTCGATAGTTTTAGGACCCGCGCTCGTGGAAATATTTTAATAAGTTCAAAGAGCAAGCCTGGTATTTTTTTTTGATTCACAGATGAAAAAAAATGTTGTGTATGGTTTTTTTTTTGTTTTATCAGTTGATGAATCTTGATTATAGACATCCTCACCGCTTTTTTGTTCTCAATCTTTTTTTAAAAGTATTTCTTTTTTTTTTCTCAGGCATGTATATCTTTTCAGTTTTTCGTGGTTCATCTTTTCCAATTTTTCAATCATTTATGGTGAAATTTCTGATCTTTTCGATATTTCTTTAGATTTTTTTCGATTTTTTTTTTGGACTGGTCTCTTTCAAAGGCTACATTTTCAATGAAAGGCTTTCAACTTCGGCGATAAATCCATCACATTCTCGAATAAATCGTCTTTATTACATCTCCAAGCGTCGTGGCTGCCTAATTCTGACTAATCTCTAGAGAGCAGGAATATTTCCCAGTTTTTTTGCAATTTTTCTCAGCACTCGAAACGCCTCTGTTTGTTTTGTTTCTTCCTCGCCGCCGTATCTTTTCATCTCAGTCATTGAAGGTAGAAATTTGAGATTCTGGAGGTCCAGAAGTGACAATGTGAGAATCCGGAGATGTCGTCCCAAAAAGTCATGCCAACGCCTCACCTGAGGATCATCTACGCGCAGATGTTCTTTGTGAGAACCAGATCAAAACTCCCACCTGAAGATCCGATTTTAGACGACGTTCACCTTCGTCGTCGGCTCCAAAGTGCTTCTGATGCACTCGGTGACGGTTTCGACGTGGCTTCCGACGGTCCTTCTGCTCGTGGACGCCTTCTTGGCCCTTGCATCTGTCCTCTATCTGAATGTTTGTCGTTCAGCTTCACGCCGTTCCATTTGACTATGAGATGAATTTTCAGAACAACAAACGCAAGTCATACGTTCGGCTTTCTTTGACCCTCGTCTGCATCGTGAGTCTTGAACATCCTATAAAAATTTCGGAAGAAGTTAGTTAGTAAGATGTATAGGGCTTCATCTAATCAGAATATAAGCCCACTCTCTATCTACACTTTCACCAAACTCATACCCCTTTCACTTGAAATATACTGATGTGTCTTCCGTTCACTTTTCTTCGAAATATCTCGTGTGAGAAGGCTATTTTCTTCATTTTACAACCACGTCAGTTAGAGAAATGAGAGCGCAGACAAGCCATACTCTTTCGAGTCATGGCGAACGATGTAGGCCGAACGTTTTGAAGTTCTGGCGAGTTCTAAGACATCAGTTGACCTTGTCCACTTGAAGTCCAACAACTGAGACCGGAAGAACCAGCGGATTTCCAGAGAGTCTCCTGCGTGGCTGTGCTAATCGTCGACCTCGTTTTGCCGCACGCGCTGCCCCTCGCCTCCGTCGCCGTCGCAACTGGTTTGCCGTCTTTCCGTTTTCAGGGTCGTCCTACCAGAAATTTCCATTGTCCACATGTAGAAAGTGTGACAATGGCATTGCGAGAGATGAAATGCCATTAAAGAGCTTGATATTTACACTTTTTCATGAATTTTTCTGGTTTGAGTTTTTTTTTCCTGATCATCAAAATGAACTGAGTCGATTACAGTAGCCCTGGCTCACACGGTGTTCTCCCTTCTCGCCGCTTCTTGCGTTCACCGGAGCAAAAGCAGAACGATCGCCGTCTTCGCCCTCGAGCCTTTGGATAGGACTCCGGCGGAACTCGCCTACAGTCGGGACACACTCGTCACCAACGTCGAGGTCGATGAGCTCTTCGCTTGAAATGATATTCCATTATGAACTTTGCATAATCCTTCAGAACGTATTGCCTTCTCTTGCGCCTTTCCTACGGTTCAACCATTTTGTTCCGCCTTGTTTACTTGTTTCACCGGTTGTACATACTGACAATTATTTCCGAAATGAATCCTTTTTCCACAACTCTCTCCAAAAAACCTCATATATACGTTATGTACACAAAAATACAAGATTATCCTCCAAAGAAGCTGTCTCCGGGGCTAATCAACAAGATCAGATCGTGCCAGAAGTCGCCGTTGAACTGAAACAAGAGCTGACTTTTGAGAAACAACTGGAAAAAGTCGTTACGTCAGTTTGAGGTGAAGTTCCGGCAAGTCTATTCGCCGTGAAACCGCTTTTTCATTACCTGAAGATTTTTTTAAATGAAAGAAACAATTTTAAGATCAAATTTTATTAAATTTAAAAAAATGAAATTCGAGATTGAAATTGATTGTGGAATGTAAAGAAAGAACCTATCAATAAAAAAATAAAAAAATGGCTTTGAGTAATAGCAAAACTTTTGAAGGAGGCTAGGATCCACAAATTTAATTTTGAATCTTGCTGACCGTGAAGAAGTTTTTGTAAAAATGAAAAAAATCTCAATTAGGAAAAATAAACCTTCTTGTCTAAGTATCTCAAAAATTTTCCAGGGTAGATTTCCGAAAAAATACATCTAATTTAATTCCGAAGTTAAACTGCGACCTAAGACCATTCTTTATAGAAACAAAACAAACATCAAAAGTTATTAGTTTACAGTTTTGATTACAAGAAAAACGTAGATCATTAATAATTATGAAAACGAGATAAAATAAGTTAAACTAACAGGTCGAGGTTGAACCAAAACAGCGAGAACCAGAAAGATCAACAACAACTTGAGCATGACGCCGGACAAGAATGTGTACTTTCCCAGGGGGTCAAGCAAATGACTTTTATAGCCGACGGCTGATAACAACGATTTGCACGTCTTTACATCATATGCGAGGATCATATTACAGTGGCTCAGCTGATAAGGAGCACGTCATCGTCGACGACGGCCTGACATCGCTGGCCGGAGAAGCCCTGGGCGCAGTTGCAACGGGTCTCGCCGCGACCCGTCTTCAGACAGACGCCGCCGTTCTGGCAGAAGCCCTGGCAGGCGTCGACGCAGTGGAACCCGCTGCCGACGAAGCCTGGCTTGCACTTGCACGAGTACCTGAACCGAGGGTTTGAACTCGGGGAAAGTTGCATGACCAACATTTTTTTGTGGTTCTCGTCAGGAAGGTCTATGCAGACGGCGAGCCAGTGACAGTTGTGTGTAGCCGCCTTGCATTGGTTCGTCCATTCACACATCTTCGCGCTGTTGGCTCCTGTAAACGCAATTATTATTTTTGAAATTCACTCACAAACGTCAAAAGTTGACAAACTAAAGAAAATAACTCAAATTTTGTTTATAAACATTCTCTTATGTTTAGGAAACTTTTCTTCATTGCGTTACGTGATAACTTTTAATTCAAAAGGAGTCCCCAATAAGACGAGCAAGATTGGGTGTTGCTGAACATCATCAAATGCACAAGGTAAGTAAGAAACGTTTTAATTCAGAATATTTTGTAATCCTGTCAAAATACTCGTATCAAACTAAATTCCTAGAAGTCTCAACCTGCAAAACTAACTACCTCTTGTGAAAAACAAATGTTGATTTTTCTTGACTTTGCAGCTTCGATTGAAAATCACGCGGTCGTTATTGAAAACTATTGAAAAAATTGAAGGATAATATTTTAAGCCTCCCATAGATTACATAGAGCATCTTTCCTGGGAACAGAGGTTGACGAACTATTTGTCAAAGTAGCTAAGAATCTCGGTATGGCTCGAAATCTTAGGAATTTAAGTTCATAAAGGAAAAATGGCTCTGACCAGTTTGGTATGTAGTCGTGCTGACAGGGCAACTCTTGCAAATCCGTCCATCGTACTCGTCCATGTAAAGACCGTAGTCACAGGGCTCGCACTTCTCCGTGTTGATGTTCAGAATCGTTCCAGGGAAGCAGATTTCTGAGAATTAACGCTGAAAATAAGACGAAAACATTGAAGCAAAACTGATGCTGCAGGACGTAAGAGATTTGGAAGCCTTGGAAAGGGTTGTGAATCCGGCGGGGCACATCATACAGACGGATTCTTCGGCGGATTTGAACGATCCGATGGCGCAAGGCTCGCAAACGGACCCGTCGGGCGACCGCTGCTGTCCGGCTTTGCATTTGTCTGAAAACGACTGGGAATATAGAAGGATTTTTCTACTGAACCCAAGCAATGCTGCAGCGACGTCGAGTTCTGATAAATTGGGACGGTTCCATCAGGACAAGGAATGCATCTGGAAATGTTCGACTGAAGGGAAAAATGAAGAGGAACCTGTCCTGGCCGCGTTCTGGCTGGTAACCCCTCAGTCCACAAGGCTCACAGACCCTCGAAGCTTCGTCAAAGTAGTAGCCTATTGGACAAAAGGCTGAAATAGTTCCTTTTTTAATAAGATTTCGGAGTGGCTAGCTCACGAATGCACTTTGAGTGGAGCTTGGTGCCTGCGGCCACTGTGGTTGTCCCGACAGGACAGGCGGCGCAAGTAGTTCTGCCGTGTTCCTCTTGGAAGGTTCCTTTCGGACATGGAAGACACCGCTTGCCAGATTCGTCGTAGTGCAAACCTGGACTGCACAGTCCTGTAAGAAATATTTCCTTCTGTGGAGAAAAAAGGAGAAATCCGAACATTGACCTGGTCAGTGTGCTTGTTTGATGTCTCAGAAAAAAATTACGTGCGAAAAATCCTTATTTAAATAAACTTGCTGTAGTTTTTGAAAATGAGAACAGTGTGTCTCTCTTGAAGTTTTCTTTTTTTTTCCTTTTTTTTTCCTTCATCATTATGTAGTTTACGGACAAAAAACGGGACAGAACTTTTTTTCGCGACAAGTGAGGTGACCAGTTTTTTTGTTCATTATTTCCTTTGCAACTCTTTCCTCCGGGATACGATTTCGGGCTCTTTCTTCCTGTTGAACATTCATCTGACCTTTCTCTCCAGTTTCAGCTTCAGAACTTCTCTTGGACCACCACCATCTAGTGAAAATTTTTGTGTTTCTTCTCAGTGGTTTTTCTCGTCAATTAGTGTGGACACTGCGACTGATAAATAGTGTTTATTATTATTGCATGCGATGAGACGTGGAGATGTCAGAGTGCGAGGAGCTGCTTCAGGGGAAGCGGGACGCGCATCGGAGTGAGCGGCGCGTCGCGGAGTCTCCGCTGTGCTCGGGGCTTACGGCACATGTCGCCGTCGACGAGCGTCGCTCCGGTGTAGCAGAAGAAGGCCTCGTCGAACACGAGTTGCGGCGATGGCTTGCCGAGGACCTGCAACCCGTCGGCTGTTGATTGGAGAAAGAGAGTCAAGCAACTCAGAGTAAACTGAGATTTCCAACAGATAAGACATTTTCTTATAGCTTTAGTTGCTTGAAAATATAATTAAATTTCTCTATCACTCCTCGTTTTTTTCAAAACCTTCAACTGCAAGCTCTCGCTACAATTTGTCATCCCTTCATCTCAAAAATGTGTGTTTCAATCTCGAAGAAGATCGAGAGACGATTAAAAAAAAAATTATGCAAACGATAATAACGAGTGTGATTTTCAAATGATTACTAAAACTTAAAACCATTGAACTACACTATTTTGAACGCAAAAAACAGCCATTTTATCAGGGCGACACGGCAGAAAAATTTTTTTAAGAGTGAGCAGTGAAAAAGAATATAAAAATCAGAGCGATGGGGAAAAAAAACTTTCTTGAGTTTTTGATAGGGCATTATCCAGTATAGAAGCTGGCTATTTTTTAGAAGCAGATATGGCTTCCCAAGTTAAACTCATAAAAATTTCAAGGTGTAGAAGTTTACCTTGAGAGCATTCGTATATTGGAAGATGCCGCCTTTCAGGCCGATGTTGGCCACGGCAAAAACGGTCGACGTCGCGTCAACCTTGGCATTTTTTACGGGATCTCTGAAAACGAGAAGATTCAGTAATACCATTTTTCCATGGAAAAACCTTTCGGCGATGAAAGTGACGTTGATGCGATAGTGAGAATCGTCGACGATTTCGCCGGTCACTTGCGCTTTTCCGCAGTCGTTCGGCGTCCTGAAATGGCGACGGGACTAGGAAAACACGGAAAAACAGGGATAATCCTACGTGTCGCGCGGAGATCCGCCACAAATCAGCCAGTGTTTGTTGATGAACTTGAGGGAAGCCAAAACACTGTTCCGCATGATGCCGTTCCATCTGAGACAAATATGTCCCCATCAAATAGCTTGATTTTTCCGCTCAAGTTCAAGTTCAAACTCAATCTTCAATATTTTGCTGCAACTGTCATCTTTCAGTTCAAAAAACGGCCGTAATAAGGATTTTAAATCATTTGCATTGTTAACATTGCTTCCATCACTCGAAAAAAAAAATAAAATCCTAAAAAAACGTTTGAAGTGTGAAATAAGCACATGAAACTCTTTCTGCTATCATGCCAGAAAAAAGTGATGTTCGATGATTAGCGGCAAAGAACTCAGAAATTGGTCAGAAAGCAATAAGATTATCGGAACTATGACTCTATAAAGGATAAATTCAAAGGACAAGAGCTAATCACGAAAAGATTAGCCTTAGCCACAGCTCATATAATGAAATGAAAGAAACTGAGATTATAAAAAATCTTATAAACATCAAGGAATCATTGAAGACCAAACTAACAAGTTCGATCATAGATAAGTTTGGATGAAAAGCGAAGATTCGGATTAAAAAAAAGTCTAACTTAAAAAATCGCACATTGCTTTACTCGAAGGTTAAGAAAGAAAGAAAAAGACTTACAGAAAAAAACTGATAAAACATTCAAATTTAATCAAATAAAAAAACTAAATAAAGAAAAATTCTGAAAAATCTTGCCTTAAAAAAATAAATTAGAAAAAAATATTACCCGGAAAAATTCTATTCTAAGTCATACAAGGCTCCAGTTTCTTTGAGAACTCAAACAAATATATAAAAAAACTACAAAATTGGGAATTTCTGCAAATTTGAAGAAATGAGCTTAAAAAAACAAAGACGTTCTCAAAAAAACTTTAGGAAGATGCAGAATATGAGGAAAAAAATTGATGAAAAAGCCATACCTTATCTAAAAAAACTCCTAAAAAAATTCTTAGATTTTGATATTTTCTTGTAAAAAATATTTTCGGAATATTTTTTTCAAATATTCAAAAAAATAATAACTAAAACAAATAAAAAAATCAAACTTATTAATTTTCTGGATGTCGACAACGGAGGCGTTACGATAGTCGACCTGGAGACGGACGACGCGGACCGCCGGGACGGTCAGTTCGTCGCTCTGAGCATCTACGACGACGACGGCGGCACCGACTGCCGTCAGAACCAACAAAGAAGCCGTGTTCAGCATCATCGGATAGGAATAAGCGAAATGTTCGGAGCGTGAGAAGGGGGCGGCGGATCGTAGTCGGCGGCGAGGAGAGTGGAACGAGGCGGCCATTCTTCTTCGTTCTTCTCCCGGCTTTCTTCGCCTCGGGGTATCGAGAAGCGATACCCGTCGAGAAAAAAAAGGCTGATGGCTTGTTTAACACCCCGTTCAATGGTGCTTGTCTTCTTGAGTTTGTCCCCTTACGGTGAAAATGAAACATCGAAAAGCTTTTTTGCGCTCAAAACTGGTATGGCTGAAACTTTCCAGGAAAACAAAATCCTAGGAAAAAAACTCCTTACCTCTTTTCAAACAATTAACTTCTGTTCGAAGTAACTCTATTGTTTTTCAATCTACTGCAGAAATTACGGAGATTGATAAAAGTTTTATGAACCAGCTTTCATAAATTTTGGAAAAAAAAACATGTTTGCTCTTGAGTATTGAGATCTGTCGAACTGAATCGGCCAAGGACTTTCGCTTTTGAAAAGTTTTTCAAGGTCAATTTCCCTATTTTTGCTTCTATTTCCAATATTTTCCAGCTGAGCAAGTTAGAAAAGGCAAGTTTTCAGACCACTAATTTAAACCTTGCGAATTGTCTCTCAGATCTGACTAAAGCTACTGGGGCTGGATGATAATTACAAACTTATGAAAACTAACGTGGAAAAAGGTCATGTCTTTTTCTTGTTTTCAGCTCGCAGAATTAGAATATTAAGGTGCCAGACGTCTCAAATTTTGATATTTCAGTGCCTTGCAAAAAAGGTTTCCAGTTTTATTGCTTATTAGTAACATCAACTTGTGTTTGTACAAGGATGCGAGTGTTATTTTGCGGTCAGAAAGCAGACGTCGCGGCGCCCTGGTTATCGAAGTAGATCTCGTCGGGCTGCAGGTTCCGCGGCACAAGAACGCGAGGCTTATCGCGTCCGCCCAACGCCACCTGCGAATTTCCGTCAAAACATTGCATCATTATGAAATTGAGAGTTTTGACTTTTGAAATTCAAATTATACATTCTAATGGTTTTCGTGAAGCTATCTATTGTATCCTGCTCAAAAAGATTGAGTCTTGTAATTTAAAATAACACTGAAAGTGACTCCTGGCCTTGAGACATTTCTTAAATTAAACACTAGTTTTTTCAAAAACTAGCAATGAAATACTGATGTTATAGGCAACTTGGGAAAGTCAGATTATGAGGAAACTACAGTAGCCTGAAAGCCGCAACGAAAGTCATTATTTTCGTGGTGATTTCTCAACAATCTGCTGAGTTATTCAATTTTTAAAATAAATTGAGACTACCTTTTGGGACTTTATTCATTTCAATGAACCATATTTAACACTGATAAGGAAGAAGAAAAAACCTTTAAAAACAGGTAAAAACTTCTTTATCTCATTTTTTTTGCCCATCAGAGGGATCAGAACAGTCCATTCTAGGACTTCACCTATTTTTCGAATTTTCGTTGGAGCGTGATATTGAAAACATTGGCAAATTTGAAGAGTTTGCAAAAAATGTGCCCTTCTTCCTTTTTTCTTTTCTGCTTTCCTCTCGCCGAAACAAGTTTTCAAGTGGTTTCTGTTCAAACGTTTCCAGACTCATTCTACTCACCTCAAGGTCAATATCCGGGTAGATCAAGTCGACATCGGCAAATTTATGGTTAGACAAAAGCTCTGAGGTCAGAGACCTCGCGTTTAAATCCGCGTGTTCATACCAGTGATGGCGGATTTCTGGAAAACGAATGCATAATTTCAATTGAGAAGCAGTTTCCAACCTCCACTCCTACTTTTCACGGAAATTTTGATTTTGGCAAATTCGATATCCGAAAATCGAACTAGAAGCACAGATCTCGGGATACAGCGGAGAAGGTTTTCGGCGTCTTCCTTGCTGCAGAAGCCGTAGAGAAGTCTAGAAAGATTGGAGATGAAATTGGAAAAGACGAATTCGACCCACCCGTCGTACCACATGCTGTAGAGGTACTTGTTGACGATCTCGGCGAGTTTGAAGTACCAGTCGAAGAAAGGGACGAGTTTCCACTCGCCTTCCGCCGAAGTCGTCTTCTTCTGCTGGTACTCCTCGGCGACGGGCAGTTTCATGAAGTTGTCCAGGGGGATGAAGCCTTGCTGGTTGGGCTTCAGTCGCATCACCAAGTGCTGCTTCGCCTGGGAAAACAGTTCCATCATCAAGAATTTCCCTGAACTGTTTCATGTTGGCTACCTGCATGGAGAACCTTCTCGGCTGGATGATCGCAGGGCTGTCGGCGTTTTTCTGCGGAGTTTCCACTATCGCCTGAACCTATCAGTTCCCTTTTACAAGTTTTGAGTTCGACCTGGAACTTCATCTCGAGGGCGTCTGCCATTTCGGGACATGAAACATGCGTCGGAATGTCTGACAAAGGATGTCGCACCTGAACATTTTCTCCATCACCTTTTAGGAAAGGACCTATTTACCAGATCTGCAAAAGAACGTTCCAGGAACAATTTCGCCTCGACATCACTTTTAGGGCCAACCAAAACTGCGAATGGCAGAGAAACCTGAAGAAAAAAGGTCTGCTAATTCAATTAGGTGACGTGTCAAAAGTAGTCACTAACTTGGTCACTTTTCAATTTTGGATCGGGGCGGATCTTATGTGAAAAATCATCAAGCTCATGAATTTCACGGCTAGTTTGATTTCTTTTTTGTTCCAGTCTCCCAATATTTCATGAAATGTATAGCTCTTATAAGAGCTTCGCTCGCGTATTTGAAGTCAGATGACCAAAATCAACAATTGAAACGGGTTTTGTGAAATTAACTATGTCCCTTAAAAAATCTCTCCAAGTCAAATATTTTCATTTTTTTTTTTCATTTTACTTATTTATGATCTCGAGATAAACTTCAAATCAATTTCTGAAAATGTATTGTTCGTGAGCTTGAAAATCTTTTCGAAAAAGAACCTTTTTCCCGACGAGTTCAATTCCGCAATTTGTCGTCAACTGGATGTTGTAACAGAGACAGTAACGCTTCGTGGCAACAGAATCTCGTCGGAGTTGAACTTTTTTAGCCACTTTCTGAAACTCTCACTATATTCAGCAAGGCTTCTGGCCCAACCATGTCGTCGAACTTCGCTTTCAGGCCGTTCTCTTTGCGCTGGAAAGCAGCGGTCGAGGGCTCAATACAAAACTCTTCCGACTGGAATCTGAAGATTTTCCCTTGAGGTCCCAAGATCAGATGGCCCCTCACATTTCGAGGTAGGCGTTGCCCAGAAGCTGTTTCGCTGTTTCATCGGTTATCAGATGACAGTTCACCTTCAGTCCATCGCCGGCACTGTCGATTCCGAAAGCCTTTCCTCCCAGAACTCTGGCAAACTTCTTTGATGACCTTGATCCGAAAAGTCGGACCTGATCTCGGTGTTGAACCAGAAACGACTTCTCCGATGGTTTTCAGCCTCGCCGCATTTCACTACAACGGACGGCGGCTGTCGGCTCACGATTATTGAGTAGTACAGAAAGTAGTGGATCAGATTCCGTAGTTTTGCGTGCTCCTAAACTTTTAGATGATTTTTTTTGTCTTTTCTAAAGATTCTGGAAGTCTCAACCTTTAGAAATTTTCAGATTTGAGAAAAATCCTTTCGAAGAAAGAGAAAACCCTCAAATTTCGTTAAAACATGCTACTTTGGGGCTCTGATTCCTCATTTCTTGAAAACTAGGAATTTGTGCAGCTAAAGCTGAGACTTCTAATAAAATAGGTAGTTTTCTGAACAAATTTGAGAGAATTCCAAATCGCAAAGTAAAATGACTCACCTCGTAAGCAAGACCCTGTTTAAAGGAATGGTGAGATAATTTACAAGTTATCGGTTTTTTTAACCTTTCTACCAGTTTATTCTCCCATAGCTTTCAAACTCAAAAATACAAACCTCTTCAAATCCGACGTTGGGGAAATATTGCTTGAGATAGTCAAGTCCGGACAGAGTTTGTTGTAACAGCTCGCCGAAATATTCAAATCTAAAATAAGAAGATTAATTTTTCAAATTGATTTAATGATAACTGTAAGTGGATCAGATCGAGTTGCCCATAGTGTACTTGTTGCGTGTACAAAGTTCCAATGCTCAGCTGAAAGTTTGAAAATATCACGGAATAATTTAGACTGCAAAATATAGCTTTGAAACCGACTTTTTGTTGTTTCATAGCCCAATTCAATAGGACATCACTCATCAAATGTTGCTTTTCGTCTTCGAACGCTGCGAGTAATTGTTCAAGAACTCCTAGTGTTTTCTGAAGTTGAATACCAACATTTCTTTTTTACAAATGTAAAAAACCTGAGCGAAGGCCATCTGTTCGTTCTGCGCTATTTTCCCGGAAAGTAGCAAGTCGGCGCATTCTTTGAACCCCTAAATTTCAGTTGAAATTGAAGTTCAAAGAATTTCTTTTCATGTGGAAATGAGAATAGAATTCATCCGAAAAGGAGAGCAGATAGGAAAAAACAAATTTAAAAAAAGAATGTTGATTTTTTCAATTTATCTTCAATTCATTTGAATTTTATTTCGAGTTTTCCCTTTTAAAAAAAGCAGGTTCAAAAACGAATGCTGAAAAATTCAGAAAAACCTCAACCGAAGAACACAATTTCAAATCATTGAGTGCGCCAATGACGTGTTCGAATTTTTGTCGCGTAATGACAAATTGTGTAATCTTCTTCTTTACTTTAAATAGAGTGACTCATTCTAATAAAAGGCTTTGTTTCCAAGAAGATCAGGCACAAAAAAAGTTCGGAAAAAAAGAAAAAGTTTAAAAAAAGTGAGTCTTCAATTAAAGTGAAAAAAAGAAAGCGAAGAAGGCGAAATTTATCAAGGGAAAAACAGAGAGAAGATCTAAAAATAAAAACTTTTTTTCAAATATTCAAATTGAAAATGTTTTGAAAAAAATATTAAAGAAAAAAAGAAAAATTTGCAATTCCTGGTTAAAAAAACCATTTAGCAACAGAACGACGCGATGTTACACCTATTACGCGTCAGACCGCGTAAAAACGAACTCAAAAATTTTGTTGTAATTAGTTGCAGGACTTTGCTTTTATTCTCCTCAAAAATTAAAAGATATGGCTAAGTATGACATGTCAAAACTTGAATCTAAAGGAAAAACTTAGATATCTAGTACACATTTTTGGCATATTTTAGATATTCGTGGGCTGAATTTCTCATGAAACTGAACTTTTTTTCCAAATTTCACCGCGCACCTGATAGACTTCCGCGCTTTGGTTGTGTTTGGACACGAAGGCGGCGTCGACGGCGGGCTCAGAAGGCGAGAAGGCCGACGAGGACTCCATATCCGTGTCGGAGACGCCGGCCAACGACATCTCGGCCAGAAGAAGACGTTGACGTCAGGCGAATCGATGGTCAAGACTGACGGAGGCCGCGCCACGGCAAACACGGGACAACTGATCGTCGGGAGCGGCAGAAAACACGTTTTTTGCCCTCTCCATGTCTTTCAAATTTTCACTCCTGCTGTTTTCCTTTTCTTTTTGATAACATTTTGAGCCATCTTGACTTTTTAACAGGTATGGTTATGAAATCAAATTATCTTTCTCAAGGCTTACCTACTCAAATAGAGCAAAAAAAAATTTTTTATCAAAAATAAACTCATCCCGTCCGAATCAATTTATTCCGCTTCCCTTAGAATTAATTGGTCTCAACTACACATATATATTATTAATATTATTAAAAATGAGAAGCCTAATATGTTGTGTCCCATCGGTTTCTTCAACTTGGAGATATGAGTTTTCTAATTGCAAGTCACGTGGGAAGAAAAACTGCAAATACGACAATACTTCATTTTCAGTTTTTAGAATCGTTCTGACAAGTGGAGTTAGCAATTACCGCCAGATAATTGTTCAAACATTTACGATTTTATTTCTCTTCCACTTCTTCCTTTGTATAAAAAGTATCAAAAAGGTAAATCGAAAAACGCTTTTCGCATTTTGCAAAATTAAAAAAAATTTGTTAAAGTCTGTTCAGATTTTTAATGTCAAGTGCAATGACGTCATTCAAAAATACTCTGTGGATGGCTCGCTCTCTGATTGGTTTATCGCGCCAATAGGGGCGGAGCTTGAGCGTCGACTTGACATTCAAAATCTGAACAGACTATATGGAAATTGATCAGAAAATTATGCCGTTTCTGTACTGGTGAAAAAAATGAACTGAAAATTCCTTCGAAAATTTCAGTGTTTATTTATGAATCGGATCTCCTGTTGATGTCGCAGATAGTTTCGCGCCTCCACATACATTGTCACCAAGTTGTTCACAATCCCAATGATCAGTATGAAGACAGCAACTGGAAGAAGCTCAATAACCATCTAATAATTCAAGCCGAAAACGAACAGATTCTGCCAGCATCGTCGCCGCGACACGGTATCTTATCAGTAAAGAGTCGAGTCCAGAAGTACCGCTCTTCCATCAGCTCAAACGTATAGTAAATCGAGTACGAGAACATCGCCACAATCAAACCCCCGAGAAGGTCCTCGAAATGAAGAGTTCGGAATGAACTGAGAAGACACCTACGTAGAGGCCAAGCTTAGGCCTGGTCCATTCGGAAAACTTCTTGAACTGAGATCCGCTCTTCGCGTAGGGCTTCTTGCAGATCTCACAGTCGTTCTTGTGCGACATGGCCACCCACCGCGAGAGGCAGTTCTCGTGGATGTCGCCCATCTGGAAACCTTGAGATTCGCAGAAGTTCAGCTGAAAACTAACCGTTCCAGCGCAGTCACACGGCCGAACCATCAGACCGGAATCAGACTGACAAATGCGGCAAAGCCGTTTGGACGTTGTTGAAGTCGTTGCGGTTGTTGGAGACCTTAAAAAATGGACCTCAGCAATTCTGAGAGATTTTTGAAGTTTTCATAGGTTTGGCTCACACTCTAAAAGTAAACTACCAATCAATTGAAGTCTACCTGCGCAATTTCTTGTTTTCGGAGATATGGACTTAAGTTTCTTTACTAGGAATCATCCTAAAGAATGAAAAGATCCTTCATAAATTTAAAGCTAAACGCTCACTCCGAGAAAGAACAAACATGTTTTTAATTAAAACTTTACGAGTGGAAAAATATGAAAAACCTGACCATGGATGTCGTTTCGGTGAGACTGCCGATGCCTGCGTACTGTCAATATTGATCGAATGATGAGAAGTAGCTGAAAAGTCCGTTACATGAGAAACTGCAATGAGAAACCGACTTTTTTGGGCACTTGCCACGGTCATTGTTGTACCAGAAATGAGGGAATTTCTACGCAGTCGACGACGTGAAAAGCAGGGACTCATTTTCGAAAAAGAGGCGCGAAGACATGCTCGCGCTACTGAGTCTTCTCCTCGCATGGCCCCTTCTTCTGTGTTGCGGCAAGAGCAAGTCTCCGAAGCCCGGCGGCGCAACTTCCATTCTTAAGCCGCCTCGAATCGGTCCCGAAAACCAGAAGGTTCTATTCTTTCATACTTTTCAAGGGCTCTTTTTATCGAATTTTCTCAAAATATTGTCCAGAAAGACGTAATTCTTTCTATCTATCGCGAGTTTTCAATAGAATGAGTATAGAAAGAAATTCAGAAACGAAGAAAATCTATGTGAACACGCAAGTCACTCTCGTTCCGAACCTGCGGCCCCTTTTGCATTTTTCGAAAAAAAAAAGTTCAGTTAATCTAAAATAAATACTTTGGACCAAAGTCTTTGGTTAACGAAGTTTGCCATACAGTACACGCTCTTTTGCTTTCTCTTCAGCTTGGAGAAAATCCGATAAATTTAGAGCTCGACTCAAAAAAAAGGACAAAAATTATATTGTTTTAACTTTTACTCACTCATCAAATCTAATGACTTCATTCACCTTGGTTGAATTCGGTTCGGACAAAAACATTGAAAGACTGGTTCACTTCCGGATTTCATTTTTGCATTTTTGACTTATTTAAAAACAGTCGAAATGAATAGAATTTCCTTTTCTTTTTTTTCAAAACCAATAACTTTTTCTGAAAAATTCCATAAAAGCTTGTCGACTGGTTTAAACGTATTTCATTGGTTAAGAGGACGAATCCTCTTAACACGTGGAGAGCGGACTTAGTTCTTGATGGTACCTATAGTCTGTTCAGATTTTGAATGTCAAGTCGTCGCTCAAGCTCCGCCCATAATGGTGCAATAGGTTTATTGTGGATGGCTCAGAGAGCGAGCCATCCACAGAGTGTTTTTGAATGACGTCATTGCACTTGACATTAAAAATCTGAACAGACTATATAAGTCAGGGATAAGAACGAAAAATGTTTTAAATTTTTCGAATTGAGAAGAAAGTTCGATATTTATCCTTTTTCAAATTTTTTAGAGTACCAGGATTTTAATATTCTTTTTGCTGAGCACAATAGTTTTCATACACTAATTTCATTTTCGTACAGGATAAGACAATCCCAACTGAGGAGCAACCGAAAAATGTCGCTGAGAAAAAGGTTGACACCAAGGCTGACGACCAGAAAGGCGCGCCTAAGTCCCAAAAGTCGAAAAAATCTGAAAAGGAAGGTGATTTTCCAACCTTCATTCTCATTGAAACGTGTATTTTCAGATTCACGGAAATCCAAGCAGAGCAAGATCGCTCCTAAGAGCGATGATAAAGAATCGAAAAACAAGAGCGTAAAGGTTTCTTCTTGATTTGTTTCATAGCTTTTTGTTCTTTTTTCAAGCCGGAGGAGAAAAAAGAGGAGAAGAAAGATAAAGCGAATGAAGAGAAAAAGGAAGAGGAGAAGAAGGATTCGCCGGCACCCGATCCTGCCAAGGGAGAACCCAAGAAAGAGGTTTCATTTTAGCGAGTCACAAAAAGTAATAAATTCCCTAGGACAACATAATCTCCAACCCTCTCATCACACCGGAAACGGACGAATTTCCAACGGTGGAAGAGAAAAAGGATGAAAAGAAGGATGAAAAGAAGGATGAAAAGAAGGATGAGAAAAAGGAAAAGCCCGAGAAGACAGATCAGAAGTGAAGTCAGTAGGATATGAGGGATGAAGCTCTTCCTCAGTACAGACGCCGAAATTTTCTTTTTGCATGCTTGTAAACACATTTTTTTCCGAATACATAGTATCCTTTATTTTCTGTTATGACTGTTTGATAGAGATTCATTGCACAAAACGGTCTTCTCGAGCTTCGAAAACTCTGAAAAAGTCAAAAATGATTCGACAAATGGAGGAAGGACTAACTTGTATAAGCAAAGAGCAGCGGTAGATCCTGCCAGAGGTCCAGCCCAGTAAATGTAGTGGAAGTTCCAGAAATTGGGCGGGAGCTTACTCAGGAAAATGGAGCCGGCGATGTTTGGCCCCAGAGATCGTGCTGGGTTCATCGAGGCCGACGATATTTCTCCTCTGCAAAGAAGTTCCAACTATTTTCGACCAAACTTTCGTACATCTTTTTTTGCTTCTAAAGCTTGTTGAATGACTCAAGTTGTCGCTTTTTGCTGATCTCACACCTAATATTTACTGCTCTCGAAGGTCTTTATAGGATAAAGAAACCGCTTCACGCAACGAGTCATTCCATATGCGACCGTGTGCTTCTATGTTAAGTCGAATTGATAAAATTCTCGTATTTAGTCAAAAAATACTTGAAAACTGAATCTTACACCGCGTAAATGTCGATTGAGAGCGTCAAGCCGATAGCCAAAGGAGCCAGAATAACCTACAAACTTTTTTGGTTTTTTTTTTGATTTGTTTGAAAATATTACCGAGTTTGAATCGGCCGCGGAGATCAAAATCGTGTGAACGAGGAAAAATGTGGCGAGAGCTTCGGCTATAAGACCCTGAATGGAAAAAATATCGAAAATTTTAAGAAATCAGGTGTTCCGATTGAGTTTTTCTGATACTGAATTTTTGGATATAGAGTTTGAACATTTAAAAAGTTTGAAACGCGAAATTTGCGTCTTGTAGTCTAATTGCCATTTTCTGTATCGTGAATTAGAATTTTTTGGATTCTAGCCAAAGAAGGACCTTCCACCAAAAAGTGTCGGTGGCGAGCAACGTGGCGCCGCCGTCACTAGCGTCGTATTGGGAAGGAGTGAGAACTGCCTGCAATAAAACCCTTAATTAGTGATAGCGAACCTATTTTTAGCTCAGAAAAAGCTGCCGGTTAGAAACTTTCTCCGTTTCAAGTAAAATTCGGTTTTTTTTTTCCGTTTCCGTTTTCTTTTGTTGAAGAGAAGAACAAACTTTTGGTCTGCTCTAAGCTTTTGAATTCATCCAGAAACCTACACTCAATCAAAAATGTTTGCGTTAGGTGAAAGAAATTTTTGATTTTCATTTCATTAACTTTTCCAAAACTGGTTTAGGACTTCCGACATTATTTTTTTTTTTCTCGGAGAAGCTGATCTCTTCTTTCGAAATATCCCATTCTCATATTTTATTTTCCCCTGACGAACCGCAACGAGCATCGCTCCGCAAAAGCCTCCAAACAACTGAGACGCGACGTAGAAAGGCAGATGCCAAATCGGCATTTTTCCAGCCCCTGCGATCGCCCATGAAACGGCCGGATTGAAATGACCTCCGCTGAAAAAGCTCACAAATCGAGATGATTGTGCAGAGGGCAAACACGAGATTACAAGGGCGTCTTTGTCACTTTTATTTGGTTGGCATTCTAACGTATTGCAAAGGTAATAAATTGATTTGGTGATAAGAAACGGTATGTGTCGTGGCGGCTATTTAATTCACTTCGCCGCTTCTCAAGACTGTAGATCAATCTGAGTACCTGATATGTCCGAAGGCTGTGACGAGGATGAAAATCGTGAATCCGTGGGCCAAGGCGGCGTGAGTCGGTCCGTCACCAATCTGTACTGCTTGCATGCATCCTAAATGATTCCTTGAGTTTTTCTCGATCATTGAGAAAGAGCTTTTTTGAGATGACAATGAAAGGTCAAGTGTGGTCCGCAAAAAATAATCTCTTGGATGCTTGAAAAATGATAAGAGAGTGATCTTTTGCACCATAAGGGTCTAAATGGGACCAAAAAGAGGTGTTTGTAAAAATAGTCTTCGAAAGAACTTTCTGATTCTTTCATTGTTTTTCATCAGGAACTTTCGCGTTGAATAACAGTGATGAAAATAGTTACGATGCAAAAAATACTTTTAAATGTGGATGAATTGTTGAAAATATCTACCAATAAGAAGTTTACATGAAAAGGAGCTCATTCAACCTTTTTCGACTTCAAACTTCTTTTTTTTTGGCTTTTCAGACCTTTAAGGTACTTCACGGACCCGTCAATGGTATATTTTCCTCATAGAGTAGTTTAGCTACCGTTTAATTCTATTCGTATCATATTCAAAGCCAAGCCAAAACCGATTACTCCTCCAAAATTGAGGCAGGAAATTGATGACATTTACATAAAATTTAAGGAATTCCATCGGAGAAGACCATTAATGTTTGCTCTTTTAGAAAAATGATGATTTGAAAATCAAACTATAGACACGTCACTAAGGTTGAGTACCCAAGAAAACTTTCAAGTCGGAAGCAAAACAGGTCTCGAAAATTTTTCGATTATAGCGGAATGCAATTTCTGAAATTACTAATTGAAATAAAATATCACTTTGCTAAAAAAACTGTTGAATAAATGATTTTAAAAAAAATTTCAAACTTATTAGTCTCCGATTCGAAGAATTTTTTTAACTAATGAATAGTTCGAAATAAGCTTAAAAGTGAAAATGAAAAACGTTTTACCGACTAAAAAATTATTTTCTCCGTTTTCTAAAAAAACCTTAAAAAAATATTTATGCAGCCTTTTTACTTGTAAGAAAGAACTCAAGAAAAGTTAAAAAAAGCCGGAAAGATATTGCAAGAAGTTAATCAACAGCACCTGAGAGGTAGATATCTTGGAAACTATGAGAAAAAAAAACTGTTTGCCTTCTTTCAGGAAAATATTTTAGAGTGAAAAAGTATCATTTATTCCGCTTATGAAATAAAAAAAGCAAGTAAATAACTCACCAATAAATACGAAGGTGAGGTCGCCAATGAACTCGGCGAAGCATTTGGTAAGAAGCGAGTACTCCCTATTCACAGATACTCGACGGAGTTTCGGAGTTGGAGGAGCATCCCAGGCCTGTTCCTGCACTTCTCAACGTCTTCAGATGCCTCAGACGGCTCGGAACTCACGCCGTCGGTGAAGTAGGGCGGCTGGAGATCGCTGTGCGAAGGGGACACCATCGTCTGGAGAGGACGAAGCACACGTCTGAGCACCGTTATCGGTCCTCGCACCGCCCCCAACGTCAAAAATGTTCAGCTTTTTGCCAATAATTCCGATGGCTTGATGTTCCATTTCTAGAAAATCAATTCATGACTTTCCGGGTCTTTTCGCAAACGCGTTGACTCCGATATTGTTTTACTTTTTCTTTAACTCACCTTTAACTTGAAAAACTTCAAAGCTAATTCTTTGCCGTTTACGAAGACATCTTAGCAACAAGCTCAAGAAAACCTGGAAACAAAAATTTAAATCTCAATTCGGTTCAATGATGAACGATCACACAAGTTAAAAGGAAACTTAAATTTTCTAAAATGGCTGTTCAAAGAAATCGCAAAACTACGGCGCTTATTAGATTCTTGTTTCTTACTATTTTCGAGACAAAATATGATTGCGGCTAGTTTTTTTGTTATATTCGCCGCTTTTTTGTTATACTGCTCATAAAAGGCACGTGGCAAAGTTGGGAATGTAATGTTTTGAAATATGAAATTTCAAGAAAAAAAAAATTCAAAAGTAATTATATAATTTGTATTCGAAGATTCTTCTCGGCTTTTAACATGAGAGTCCTCATGCTAGTAAATGCATAATTCTCTGTATTTCCCAAAACTCAAATTTTTTAGAACACCAATTTAAATACCTCGAGATAAAATATCCGTTTTGAAATTTCAATGAATGAAATTCCTAAAAATCCTTGTACGATTTCCGAGACATTTGCCCGACGCACTCGTTTCCGATAAAAAATAATCGGCCTGCTTGTTCTTAAGATTAACGTCGCCTATAGAAGAAGCTTTACTGGAGTTATCTATGGATCGAGTTTTTTGTTACAGTGATTATGTCCGGCCAGGAAAAGTACAATTTTTGCAACAGGCAAATACATTCGACATGCACTTCCCGCATTGTAAAACCGGGTAATCTTATTAAGTAATTGAACAAAGATGAAATATATCCAACCGAAGTTGTACAAAAAAGAAAGTTTTGATTAAAATGAAAAATTATTTATTTTTGTTACTGTGAGAGGCTTTAGTGCAAAAAGCTACCGCTTCAGACAAAACATTTTATAAAACGACAGTTTTTTTCGACGGTATTTTTCATTTTCAAAAATTTTGAATAATTTCATTTTTCGCAGTATTTATATTAGTCGTTTTTTTCTGTGATTTTTTTGATATTTTGTGGTAACAAGAAGGGTTAGTTTCATTCAGACAGAGGAACCGAAGTTTAAAAAAATATTTATTTTTGTGCTAATTTTTGCAAAGTCATAGCGTTTTTAATTTTTCAAACGCCATGTAGCGTTTTAATTCTTGACAAAGGAGAATTTTTTTCGGTTTGATTCGCTTTAGCTTTCTTTAGCGAAATATTTTTTTAAATAAATTTATGCGTTAAATTAAGCTCCGTTTTTTTCTTTATCAGCTCTCCTATCGATCCATGCCTTATAAAAAAATCGGAAAAAAAGATTTCTAATCAAGTTTTTTTCATAGTTGTTATCTTGATAGACCTATTATAAAAATTTTTATAGAAATATGTTTCTCTCATAACATGAAGAAAAAAAGCGGCGGCTTCCAACAAGCACGCTGTCAAGGCGCAATAAAATAAATTCCAGGTGTTTTTTTCGTGATGATAACAGGGCGGATGTATGGAGGATTTTTTTTCTTCCGATTCTAAATTTTTTTTTTCAAGTTGTATCGGTCTTTTCACTATTACAACGACCATTTTTCATATATCTATGAGCTGTAAAGGGCTTTTTTCCACCTGTTTGCTTTTTTTTACTCGAGTATTCAGTGTGCAAATCTATATTTTCCATGAAAATGGACATTTCTGTGACCGCGTTCGGTGGTTTCAATGACTTTTAGTGCTATATTTTATTTTCGGAGGCTAATTTGAATTTGAAAAGGCCCAAATTATCCCGGGCAAGATTAATTTCATTGCAAATTCATGGCAACGAAAATCGGCAGGCGGTAGTACACGATACGTTTGAATAGCTGGCAGCCGACCAGCGGCCATCCTCCGATAAAACTCTTTTCCCTTGCGGCGGCCATCGATTTGGGCGTAAATTCTGTCGGCCGGCGTTCATAGGTACCGTAACACATAGTGCCTGCAGATCACCGATTTGTTCAGTATATAAAAGGACCGCGAATTTCCGTCTCTCCTCTGTCTTTACGTGGTGCTTTTGAACTTTTATTGGTTTTCTCTTTTTTTCTTTTTTGCTTGCTCGTTCAACTTTTTTCCGCTTTTTTTTGGGATTTCAAAGTTTGCCTTCCAGCTTTTCCTTATGCGGTAGGCCATGAATAACGTTGGAGCTATGGATCCTGACGATTCCAAGTTCGCAGTTCCTTTCCTGCCGAATGGGGCTCAACAGGCTGGTAAGCATTTGATGGAAATAGATTGAGATTTAAAAATAATTCAAGAAAAAAATCTTTTTCGGTATTTTTTTCATTTGGTCTTGAGTTTCCGATAATTAGTTCTGCATTTTTTTCTTTTTCAGAAATCAAGTTAAATATTGTAAAAAAATTTTTAGGCAACCTAAGTAAAAGCAATAAATGTTAGGGAGCATGCTACAATTTGAGTTTGTTTTAAGATTTATATATTAAAAAAAGAATTCTTTTATAAAAGTTTGTTGAAAAAGCTAGAATTTTTCAAATTTAGTTCATGATTTTAACATTTTTCTGTGCATTCTTTCATTAGGAGTAGATAATTTCTACGCGCATTCTGAAAAACCTGCATTCAACATGAATAAATTTTATGATTGAAGAAGATGACAGAAACCCAAAAAACATGAACTTTGAAAAAAAGGGGCTTTTTTTGAAGAAAAATTTTTTTCAATACAAACGCTTATTAGGATTTCACTGTTTGAAAAATGCAAAAATACAGCATAGAACCAATTTTTAAGATTTAGTTCGAACCTGTTTAACAAGAAAAGTGGATACAGAAGCGGTATTTTTTTTCTTGAAAAAGGATTTTCAAAAATGCCTTTAAGGCAACTTCGATAGCGTTTTTTTGTTTTTCGTAGCTGAGCTGTTTCATAACTTGCACTTACGAGACGTGATTAAAGGGTTGCCGAGCAACGGAATTTGCAGGCAACGTCGCGGCGACGTCTTTTGAGCCGATCAACGCCGTCGCCAGCACTTCCGCCGTCACTTTCGCTCATCCGATGGCTCCTGCGCCGCTTCGTCGACGTCGCTTCAGCACAGCCAAAATCCAGCCTGTTGGTTTCTGAGTTTTTTGCTATTATGGTTGAATGATACGGGACAGTTTTATATACTGAAAGTCTTCAATCCAATTTTCAAACAGTTTTCGCAAGAATGTATCATTTTGTGACGAAACAACACAAAAGTTGTAAGAGTTTCACTTTTAAAACAGGCTTTGTGAAATTATTATTTTTTCGTCTGATCATTTTTTACATCAATAGTCCGTGTTCACTAAAAAAATAGTATACGATTGCTCTATTTACAACTCGAATTTGTTTTTGAACAGTTTTAAAAAACCGGCTATTTATTTGTCGAAGTCAAGGGTTATAACTCTCAAAAATCGTTTTTTCTAAAGATTTTGACTTACAACATACATATAAGTCTTTGCACCAATTTGATATCTCATCGTTGATTGAATTTATGGTAAACATGTTTATAAAATTCTTTGGTAATTTTGCCTTTACTAATTGGTTTTCCAATTACTAATCAACTTGTTGACTATTAATCATCAAGATAAGAATCAACGTTTCGCTTCCCGATCTTTGATGAAATTAAAAAGTCAATTTTTGGAATCATGTCTCTGCTCAAAGTTTTTCATTGTGTGCAATGAATTCAGACTAATTCAATTGATGGAATATGTTTTCAGACTAGAATCAAGAAAGTGATGCAGTCGGACGAAGATATCGGTCGAATGGTGGCTTCGGTTCCCGTCAGTATTGGCCGCGCCATGGAACATTTTGCCGAGAAGTTTTTGCAGGTTTCGAACTTCTCCACAATCTATATTCTAACTTTTTTGTTTCCAGGCGGCTGCCGAAGCGACGCAGTGCAGCAACTCGAAGACACTCACCCCTCAACACATGTCAGTTTTTCTTATTCTTAAAAAGATTTTTGTTTAGGTAAAATTTAATCACGCTCTTTGAAGTTCTGAAAGTTTATTTTTGCAGATAACGAAGCAGCGAACTTGAGGAAAATTTTTTTACCTCACTTTTTTTTGAAAGCTTTTTATTTTATTATTGACACGGGAAATTTAATCATCGATGTGTCAGCTTTACCTTTGCGGTCCCTAGGTAAAAGCTTGAGTTTTACGCGCGAGTTTGAAATTTCAGTAAAAAATGCCTGAATAACTCCAAAATTTTGAAGCTCATGTTTGATTTCTGACTTTAAAGGAAACAAGCGATGCTCGCCACCCCGTATTTCTGTTTTCTGGAGCCTTTGCTGAAAGAAATTCCTCTCGCGCCTTCGGCTGTTGACGCCGCCATGGTCAAGTTCCATTCCAACGTCAGGGTATGGTATACCGAAGAATCGACCAACACTGAACGATGAATTTGAGGAGCAACAGAATCTGGCGGAGCTGAAGGCGGCGGCGGCGCAGATGTCGCCCATGTGTTCGCCGGTGTTGGGACCGCCTCCGCCGTGGATTCCCAACCATTTCCAGCCCATGGTCTACGGCAATCCGGGGATGAATGGCGTCGCCGATCCGCAGTCATTTTCCCCGATCTTCTATCCGCCCAGTGACGAGGCTTTGAAAAATGTCCGTTTTCTGTGCGCTGAGGATTTTTAGAAGCGGACAGTGGCTGTAGGAACAAACCCACAGAAAAAACCTCTTTCGTACTTAACCTTTCTTTTTTTTTTAAAGATTAATGCGACTTGATCTCGATTACTCGAGTTATGTTTTTTTCAAGAAAAAAATCAAGAAAGAAAAAAAGAAAAGTAGGCGAAAAAAAGTGAAAAAGAAAAAAATTAGATAATTCTGGCATTTTTTTGGATATAGTGGAACTTTTTTTGATTATTTAATTACTGGAAAGCGTAATTAAAAAAATTTTTTTAGCTCCCTGTAAGACTTTTTTATTCTTAAAATGATCGATTTTTTCTGTCAAAAAGCGAAAAGCGGAGTAAAATATGATTGGATTCAGTCTAAGTTCAGATAATTTGTGAACCTTTTCAGATGCAGTTGGCGTCTCCAACAGAACCCAATGGATATACTCAAGAGGTGAGCGCTCCATCGAAACGAGCCAATGGAAAAAGAGTTTCGACGGACGTCTGTCCAGAGACCGAGCCAACCGAAAAACCGAAAAGAGGGCGGCCCAAAAAGAAGAAACCGGAAAAGTGCGCTTCCCTCAACTTGTAAGGCAAATAAGTAAACTGTTTCTAGGTGTATTGACGAGGCCCTTTTTGTGGAGGCGACCTCGAAAATCGAAAAAGAAGACAAGGATCGCGAGCTGATGCCTCCTCCAGCTCTGCCTTTCGCTGTTCCGGCTCTTCCGGTCAAAAAATAACCCGGTCAACTTTCTAGTCACCTTTTCTCATCCCATGGCTTTGAAATTTAGTGTCATCGCCTCGATTTTAACATTTTTCTTATTTCTCACAACGAACAGAAATGTACATTTCAAGCGGGTTTTTAGGTTGGTGAACAATAATGGGTATCTCATTTAATAAAGCTTTTTAAATCGATATACTCAAAATTTCAATGATCTGAACCTTTTGCCTCAAACTTTGTTGTGTTATGTTTTAATTTTGTTTATTTTATAAATGTTTTCTCCAAACTTTGCTGTTTCTTTCCGTGTCGTGTTGCATTTCTCCAATCGATATCAGATTAATATTATTAAAGATCATCGTTGTTTAATTCTTGTTTCGAGCAAACATCAATTTGATGGAACTTGACCTTCCGGCTCTGGGATAATTTGGGACAATTGTTAAGCTTGATTTTTTCGAACTCACATTAATATAGTCGACGAAGTCGGGCCTCAGTGCAGGGTCCAAGAAGTCGTAGCCGAAACACTGGAGAAGTTTGTCGGCCGTGTTCTCGCCGTTGGTCCATTTCTTGAAGAGGAACTCGTAGCTCTTCTCGAGTTCCGGCGAAATGACCGCCTCGGTTCCCGTCGTCTTGCTCACCCGGTTCAGATGGCTCTGATAGCATTCAAATCATTCCGGTTTAGGATAGCTTCAAAAAATTAGAAGGAAGAGTACAGATATCAGAAAATCATATCAAGTTTGTATTCTTTAAAAATAGAAATTTTTCTTTAAAAAGAAAGCTCTGACTCACTAAATATTCCCGATTATTTTCATTTTGATTGCGGGCAAAAATTCTGTGATCAATCCTGTAATTTCTTTTGAAAACATGCAGAAGTAGAATAACTGCCGCAGCGAATGTGATTGCAGAAGTCCAAAAGGCAATTAGATACATCTGAAAGGGATCTTCAGAGTTGAAAAGGGTCAGACTGACTAATTCAGTTTCTTCGTTCGAGTTTAAAGGATCTGTCAAGGTATAGATCTCGGTCACCATTGGCTTTATTCCCTCATACGGCTTATTTATAGCGATGTAGGCCTTGAAAATGAGATAAACAGTCGCTATTAAGTTTGTGAACCTTCTCCTTCGAAGGATGTAGTTCGGAGAAAAGCATGGGATGTAGGAAATGGCCTTTCTTCACGTCGTTTCATCATTTTCGCGCTTTTATCTTGTTGATCTATATACTACTCGAAACGGGGCTGGCTCTCTCGTCACTTCTACTTTTTTTCATTCATTCCTTTTTTTAATTTGTTGATTTTGAACCCAAGTCCACCGGCTAACAACCGTGGGAAAAGTGCGCGCCACCGGACGCTTTTTATCGCGTTCTCTGCCAAATATGTACACGAATCGTTTCCAAAAGCAGCGTCACATTTATTGCCCTTCGCTTTCAAAAGATCTCAGCGATGCTTCAAAGAGCTTTGAAAAACGGAATAATTTCAAAATTTCTCATACTCGTTTCATGAAAGTACCATATTGTGGAAGGCTATCTTCATTTTTGTTCCCTTTTCTGGTTTTCATCTTGAAGAGTTCTCAAAAATCTTCATCAAAGTTCTCTGTTGATCCTACTTCTTCAACAAATCATTCATTGGCATCCGATAAATGCATCCACTTCTTGTTTCCTTTTTTCTTGTACTCTTCGTAAATTTGCACTGAAATTATCTCACGTTGGATTTGAAATTCAAGGAGAATGGTGCGGTGGTTGATACCGCTACTAGCAATACTGAGCCTCAGCCACGCCGTCAAAAGGGAAGATTTCAAGACCTGTGAACAGTCTTCTTTCTGCAAACGGCACAGATCTATCACGGTCCGTTTTCCTTTCCCTCTTGAACAAAGATTACATCACTGATTTGATTAAGTAATTGGATGAGTGCGCAAAAATGTCTGAGTAACTCAGTTAATCATATAGAGCTTAGTTAATTGCGAAATACATTTTAAGTTCTAAAAGCTTTTTTTTGCAAAGAAATGAGAAAAAAAAAAACTATTTTCAGCGTTTTTGCCACGTTCAAACAAAAACTGAAAAAAATAAGCTACTATATTAGGTTATCTAAACAGTTTATTTCTTATTATTTATTTCTTATCACTGAGGATCGAAAAGTTTCAGTATAGCCGTAGTCAGATTATAAAAAAAAGAACTCACACTTGTTAAAAACGATCATCGCCAGAATCATCAATTTTTCGGAATTATTTTTAATTTTTTTTAAAAGGCCATTAGTCTTATGTGAAATGAAGTGGTTGAGAAAAAGTTGAAAAAAATAGAATTTGAGTGAAAAGTTTTCTTGAGCTTTTTGAATGTGTCAATAATTTAAAAAAATTAGAAACTTTTTTTCCTTTGAAAAACTTGATTTCCAAAACTTTTTATCTGTACAGGAAAAAGACTGGCTACACGGTCATCGCCGGCTCCGCGACTTACTCGGGATCAGAATTTTTCGGCGTTGCTCCAAAAACTCGGAAAAATAAGCTTCAGCTTCGTATTTTTTTGGCTTAGAGGTTTTATTTTTACCTAATTATAAGACTTGATTTTGAGGATTCAACGTTCCGCGTTCAAATCGACGAGACGAATGAAGCGATTCGCAAGCGCTACGTGCCGGAAATCGCCCTAGATAGCCAATATAAAAAGGTTTTTCTTGTGATTTTGAGAAGATTTCTGAAGTTTATCGATTTCAGCAGCCATTCTCCTCAGTCGACATTTCTGCTGTCGAAGCTTCCATCGTCACTGGGGACAAGAACGCAAAGGTTCGATTATTTCAAAAAGATTATGTTTTGTTAGAAAGAATATTTTTTTAAGGAAAAATAAACTACGAGTTTTTTTTCAGAAATCTTTAGCTCATGAAAGTAATAGAATTTTTAGGTTCAATAATAGGGTCAAAAGTAAGGTGCATTTGAAGCTGGATCTTTGAAATAAAAATGGATTCCTTTTCTGAAGTTTCTAAATATTTGAAATTACAGCTTATCGTTACATTTGATCCTTTCCTCGTCAACGTCCTCAATTCTCACGGCGAGCTGGTCAGTCAACTGAATCGCGAGGGAAAATTGAAGGTTTGGTCGAATCGAAATTATTTTCGTTCGAAAATAGAATAGAAAGAAAATAAAATTATATTCATCCTTCGTTTCTTTCAGGTTGAAGAGTTCAGAAAGAAGGAAGAAGGAAAAAGAGTACCCAGAAGGATTTTTGGGAGGAGAATTTCAAGTCGTTCCGCGACAGCAAACCTTTCGGATCCAGCAGCGTCGGGGTCGGTTTTTTTGCTGATTAATGTGTTTCTTATCTGATGTTTTTTTATGAATTTACTGTTTTTCTCATGATTTTCTTCATTTTAAACCAAAACTGGAGAATTTCAAGTCGTTCCGCGACAGCAAACCTTTCGGATCCAGCAGCGTCGGGGTCGGTTTTTTGCTGATTAATGTGTTTCTTATCTGATGTTTTTTATGAATTTACTGTTTTCTCATGATTTTCTTCATTTAAACCAAAACTTTCCAGGTTGATATCTCCTTCGTCGGCTTCAAAACGGCTTTCGGCCTTCCAGAACACGCCGACTCATTTGCTCTACGGACGACTGTTGGAAACACTGATCCCTACAGGTTTTTTATTCAAAAACATTAAATTCAGCTTTTTTGAGTTAGGCGTGAGCGTATCCAGTCTGCACCTTTTTTTTTGAATACGGCTTAGTCGAAATTCATTTTGAATGTTTTTTTTTGGAGATATTTGAATTTCCAGGCTGTACAACTTGGACGTTTTCGAGTACGAAATCAACAATCCGATGGCTCTTTACGTCGCGATTCCCTACATATTGGCCCACCGTTCTAACCGATCTGTCGGCGCCTTGTGGTTTGTTTTTTCTATCGGTTTTTTGAAGATTGAATAACTTTTCGAATTAATTAATCTCCATTTAGCGGCGGAAAAGCTTTAGGCCGAGAAATCAGAATGTTTCCAGGTTCAACGCCGCCGAAACCTGGATCGACACGTCTTCGTCGGCTTCTTCCAAGGGAATCTTCCGGAATGTTCTTGACAAGGTTTGGCTTTATGAAAAAAGCGTTTTGAAAACAAAAAAGTAAGGAATATCACACATTGATTGATACGTAGAAGTTGCAATTTGTCAACCTTCAAATTTATGAGAAAATTCCCCTTTTTATTGAAAATAAGTTTTCTGATTCCAGATCAGAAATAGTTATCGCAACAGAACTTTTTTTTTTCGAGTAGAGACGCTTCAAAAGCTGAAACTCTGCTATTTTCCAATGAAAATACATTTTTGCAGGTGACCGGCTCAGCGGAGAACATCCCTCACTTCGACGCGCACTTCATCTCGGAAAGCGGCCTCGTCGACGTCTTCTTCTTCGTCGGACCGACTCTCCGCGACGTACAGAGGCAGAACGCCAAAGTCACCGGGGTTTGTCTGAATCCCCCCTCAAGCTGCAATTATCCTCTTCTTTCCTAGGTGACTCCTCTTCCGCCAATCTTCTCCATCGCCTATCATCAGTGCCGTTGGAACTACAACGACGAGCAGGACGTCGCCAAGGTAGTTCTAGGCTTCGAGTAAATCTAGGAAGCTGTTTTGAATTTCGTCTGTGATCACAAATATCGGTTGGACTTTTAGAACCAATATTTTTCATACCAATGCTGTACAATAGGAAATAGGCTTATCTTTGGTGGGATCCTGCACGGTTGGACTATTTGAAAGGCGTTCATAATAATTTTTATAAAAAGGCTTTCAAACAAATAAGAAAATAGCTAGAGGTTTTCCAACCTAGTAGTAATAATAATACATTTCTCAGGTCAACGCCGGTTTCGACGAATGGGACATTCCGATGGACGTCATCTGGCTCGACATCGAACACACCGACGGAAAGAAGTACTTCACCTGGGACCAGAACAAATTCGGACACGCCAAGGAAATGATCGACAACGTTGCCAGCAAGGTGAGCCGTGTGGAAAAGAGAAGAAGCCGAAGTTGTCACTTTAGGGAAGGAAGATGGTCACTATCATCGATCCTCATATCAAGAAGGACGACGGCTACTATGTCTACAAGGTGAGCAGTTTTAAAATGATCTTTTTAAAGCTTATTATTAATATGCGAGCGTTAAAAAATTATATTTCTTCCATTTTTTTTTCCAAAACATGCATTTCTCTCCGTTCTAAAAAGTGTTCACCAAACAGAAAAAAAAAGGAAAAGAACTATTTTTAGGACGCCAAAGACAAGGGACTTTTCGTAAAGAAAGCCGACGGCACCACCGATTTTGAAGGACATTGCTGGCCAGGCTCCAGTGAATACCTCGATTTTTGGCATCCCGAGGTAGGAATCATGGTTTTCCCTCCTAATAAAAGTCGATTGAAGACCCGTGCCTACTGGAAAGACCAGTTCAGCTTCTCCAGATATGTCGGCTCGACTCCCGATCTTTTCACGTGGAACGACATGAATGAGCCATCGGTTGACTCTTTTTTTCAGATGGAAAATATCCAATTTTTTAATTTTTCAGGTATTCAGTGGACCTGAGATCACCATGGACAAGGACGCCATCCATTATGGAGGCATCGAACATCGCGAAGTTTGTCTTCAAAAAGAAAATGTTCTGAAAATCAAGTGTTTAAGGTCCACAACATGTACGGAATGATGTACCATTCGGCGACTTTCGAGGGTCAGTTGGCCAGAACCGGTGGAAAAGATCGTCCTTTCATCCTCACGAGGTTTGGACAACAACTATTGAGAAACGGGAACTTACTAGTTTCATTTTATCTCAAACGAAGGAAAATGAGAAAAGAAATTCTTATATGGAAACTAGTAGGGATACGGGAAAGGCTCTATGATATTAAAATTTCTTTTAAATCAGCGGATCAATATATTTTGCAAAAAAATTTTATACGCTTTTCTTTGTACTCTGTTTTGCGGATAGAAACAATTTTTTGTGTTGTCAATTTTTTTTTTCGAAATTATTTTTCAAGAAACTTCAACCTTTCTATTTTCATTTTTATCACCCAAGTTCTTGTTTCTTCTTTTTAGTCATAAACTAGAACCTTTGATAATGCGGAAACCACATTATTCTTTATCATAATCCATCCTAGAAGTTTTGAGATATTTAAATGTCTGAAAATCAAGTTGGTATCAAGGCCGAGGTCTGAACGCATCGACTGTTTCATTTTTCAACCGAGTCTCAATTTCTAAAAAAAATTGACTCACCTTTTTTTTGCTGCATCCAATTCAAGCCAAAAGTTGCTTCGAAATGCCTTCAATTTTCAAGAAGAAATTCCTATCGAAAATTGTTCTGAATCAATCTAGCCATACAGATCGGGCTTCGTCGGAACTCAAAGGACGGCCGCCATCTGGACAGGCGACAACACGGCCGAGTGGGGACACCTCGAAATTTCCGTCCCTATGCTTCTTTCCCTCAGTGTCTCTGGAGCGCCTTTTGTCGGTAATCAGGACTTTATAGATTGTTTAATATTGACTTTTTCCTCTCAGGAGCCGATGTCGGCGGTTTCTTCGGAAATCCAGATGAACAATTGTTGACCCGTTGGTATCAAGCTGGAGCCTATCAGCCCTTCTTCAGGTTGAAATTTTTCGGACTTCTAAAACACATTATAAGAAATGTATTTAAGTTTCAAGGTTTACTTTTTTTTAAAATGTTCTAACGAAAAAAAAATATTCTCCTGCCTCTTGTTGTTTTTTCTCACTTCTTAATATTTCAGAGCTCATGCTCACATCGATACTCGCCGCCGAGAGCCGTGGCTCATGTCGGAATCGACCAGACTGGCCATTCGCTCTGCGATTCGGGCTCGTTACGCCCTCTTGCCCTACTGGTTCTGCCTCTTTTTGAAACCCAAAACGAAATAAATCTTCAGGTACACTCTCTTCCAAGAACACACCGTCAACGGAATCCCGCCGATGCGACCTATCTTCTACGGATTCCCCAGCGAGGAGCAACACTTCGAGGAGCAGAAAGTTGGAATTATTCAAGAAGTTGCCCCGGAAAACAGATGATCTTCTTTGCAGCAATGGCTCCTTGGAGATGCTCTTCTTGTCCGCCCCGTTCTTGAGAAGGACACGTACAACGTGATGGTCAACCTTCCATTCGGGGAAAATGGAGTTGGTCTTTTCTATCTAGAAAATTCATTTCAAATCAAAAACTAAGATAGATTAAAAATTTCCTGGAACCTGAAAACTTTTTTCGTAAGAGTTTTGAACAAATCATGAAGCCCGAACGAGGGATTTCACTGCGCTCCGATAGATTACATGATTTCTTTGCTATATTAAAAAAAATCAGTGAAAAAAAGAGGCTTCAGTATTAATTCGAAGGTTTTTTTTTTTGTTAAAAAGAGAGGTTAAGGACGAGCGATGGTACGATTGGGAGACGGGGGTCGAGCAGCGCGCTGGACAGATTTACGTCGACGCTCCTATCGAAGCGACGCCAGTCTTCCAACGAGGAGGAACCATCGTTCCGACCTGGCAACGCATCCGACGCGCCTCCATCCTCATGCTTGACGTCAGTCTTCCTCAAATCCTCCAGCTCATCTTCTTTCACTTCTACAGGATCCACTGACTCTCTTCGTCGCCTTGGATTCGACCAAGAGCGCCAAGGGAGAAGTTTACCTCGACGACGGAAAAACTCACGATTATCGCGAAGGAAAATTCATCCACACCCAGTTCCACTACAGGTTTTGATACAGTACTGTTTTTCGGCTTTATTTTGAACTTTCAGAGCCGAAACGCCGTCGAAATCAGTTTTCGAAAGCAAGGTTTTGGGTGGAAATCGAGACGCTAAGAACTGGGTCGAGCGCATTCAAATTCGTGGCATAGATCAGGCTCCGAAAACTGTCGAGGTGAGGAAAAATTTGGAATATCGTTAAAAGTTTTGAGTTAGAACGTTCATACTCCTAGTTGAGAAATCAGCTCAGGCCATGAAGACTGACTCGATCTAAATAATTTGAGAAATTAGTTTTTTGGAACAGATTGGGGACTGCTTATGAATGTTAACCAACCGCTTCAAAAAGTGTAATTAGTTCAAGGAATCTTGCTGTCCTCGATTTAAGTTCAATTCTAAACATTTCTTCCGTCCGACTTTAAACGGCTCCTTATTGCAGGTAATCCGACTTTCGGACCCGACAGAGGTCCTAGAGTTCTCACATGACCGCGACCGAAAAGTCTTGACGATCCGCAATCCGGCGGCCCTCCTCACTCAGTCCTTCACCGTTAATCTATTCTTCTAATCTTCACCATTTGCACCATTTACTCATTTTATTCATATTTTCATTTCCGTCTTGTTCATTGCTTTACTATTGTTCGGTAGCCCATTCCAAAGCAGTCGTTGTTCATTTTTCTCAGAAGTTTCTCTTTGATTGTATTTGTCGCATTTTCGAGGTTGTATTCTTAGTCCTTTTATTTATTTTTTATTGCCTTTCTGTGATCAAACGGAATTAGCGACTGGTAAATGTTATCTAATTGTTGATATAGATTTTTTTGTTTCTTGTAACTCGAATTTGTATTCGGGCCATTTTATAAACGGTTTTTGCCTTATCTGTTTTGCTCAGCGGTACATCGCACGATAAGAGAATGGAAGAAAAAAACCGCGCAGCTTTCTGTCTCACTCTTTTTTTTTCGATTTCGAAAATTTCCTATGAGGGTAATTTTAAAGTGATGAGGGTATACTGAAAAGAACATATCACTTTAAACTTGAGAATTGTCATCATTTCTTTTTGATGACAACACTGGGACCACACCTAGAAAGATAAGTTCAACTTTGATAAGCGTTTATTTAAGTTATTTAAAAGTTCTAATGAAATTCAGAAATTCTAGCGTTTATTATACCAAACGAGACAATTCTTCGAAGGACAGACTTTGACTTTATTTATTTTATTTTTCAGCTGATAGGACGACGCGACGTATGACAAGCTGTCAAATTTTATCAGATTTTTGCCTCGAAAAGCTTTTTTCGAAAGAAAATACATTCAATGAGAAATTATTAATCTGGGTATGTTATTTTCAAGAAATATAGACTTCGTAATTTCTTCCTTTCTTAACTGCATTACTTCTTGTAGACCGGAACGGTCAGAAAGTTCAGAGTCGTCTGCGCACTCTCTCCCAAGGAGGAAACTCGTTTCCTTTTCTTAGAATAGGAATACGCTTAATTTCGCATCACGAGCCGTTTCGCTTCTGTTCTTTTTGTTCTTTAAATGATATTCCTTCTTAAGTTTTAATGATGTCTCAAGTGCATGAAGCGATTACGCTATCAAAAAAGTTCACTTCAAAGAACCTTCTTTTTTTTTAAACATGTTTTGATCAATATTTTTTGCAAGGCATGTTTATTTCTCTTTGTTTAAATTTTTTTCGAATATATCAAGTCGCTTTTGAGTAAGTTATAGCTGAACCGCTCACTATTCACAGCCAGCTGAAATAATAAACAAATCGCAGGCGATGCGGACATGATGAACGACGCGCGAGCGACGACCGAGTCGCGACGGCGACGAGACACCTTTGGCAGCGACGCCGGCGATTTGGTCCCTGCCGCCTCGGAGATCTCCATGAGCGTCGTCACCGACGATACTCGACTTTTCCGAGTCCGTTTTGCTTTTCCGTTTGAGAATAAACTTAAATCATCAAGAGACTAACATTTTTTTAACGAAAAAAAAAAGTTTTTTTTTATAGAACAGCAAAAGAAAAGTTACCGTGCTTCTCCCAAAAGAAATGTTTTTCTGATCTTTGTAAATTTAGAAAGCTCATCTGTAACAAATTATTATAGCCTTGGAAATATTTTTCCATTTGTTTAAACTCGCATGTTTCAGAAAAAATATGGTTATCTAAGGATATCTATCCGATTTTTTTCCTTTTACGAAATACTTCTTGTTGCCTCTTTTTCAAAAATTATTATTTTTGGAAAACTTAATATTTTGTGAAATCTGCGAGCCCTGGTGACCACGTGATTTGAACGAACAAGTGCTAGCCTCGTGATTCTTCCACCTTCTCCTTTTTTTCTAATTTTTGTTCGGAATCATAAACTTATTCAAAATATGATATCAATCGTTCACTGTGACAGTTCACTTTCTTTCGGCAGTATTTTGAAGTTTTATGGCAACAGGGCGGTTTGCAAAGTTGGGTGATTTTCGCCTCTGCTCGTGTCCCTCACTCACAAATATTTGCAAGTGTCGAGTTTTGTGAAAAAAGAGTGAAGCCGAAGTGACTCACGGTTATTTTTTGTGACTTTAATGACGATTTTTTGCTCTTATCTTGTGAGTTCGATAAATATGTGACCGATTCGTTTCAATTACGAAAAAGATCAAAAGCCATGCCATTTATGAGCAGCTGAATCATCATTATCAGTAAAAATATTTCAATCCTTGAAACAGTTTTCAACTTTGTTCCTTTCGAAAACCGTAAACAAAAATTACAGTTGTAATGAATTCGGCCACACGAAAATGTTTCTTTTCGCGAATACCTACGAAGGATCAATTTAAAATCGAAATGTATTGACCTTTTTCTTGAAATATAATTCTGACGATCAAAGTCACAAAAGCTCGAAGTACAACTTTCAGACTCGCGCCATTTTTTGAGAGACCTAGTAGTTGAGCTTCTAGGAGTGGCCTAAAGTCATGCTGGTAATAATGATAAGAAATTCCTGATTGGAAGTTCACTTTTTCCAGAACAGTACATCAAACTTTTGTTAAAGCAACGACCGTGCTTTGATATTTTTCTCAAGCCTCTTTCTGGACCCTTTCTCTTCTCAGACACAAATAAACTGAGATCAAAAATTGCAGATTCGCCGGCCGTTCGGCGGTTCTGCGGAGGACGAAGGCATGATGTGGTAAGTAGGCTCCGCCCAAAAATTCTCGTTTTCCTTTTTCTCCTCACGTTTTCGTTTCACTAACCTCTGCACTGTTCCCTCTTCTTGCGCCATTCATGGGCCTCTTTTTTTGGCGTCGTCTTCTGCACCGCTACCGCAAGTTTTCCAGGTGTTTATTAACCTCCTTAATGAATATGAAGTGCTCTTTGAAAAGTGGTCTTTTTGTTTTTGTTCCAACTGTCTCAAACGATAAATTATTCTTGATAGGTATCCGATTGATTTGCTGAACGTATTTATCACCTAAAAAAGGTCATCTATTCCAATTTTCTTTTCAGAAAAAGAAAATTCCTGTTTCTTTTCCGGATCCCTTTTAAACTTTTGTGTTCATTCCGCTTAAATTTTGAAAAAAGAATGTCTATCTTTTAACGTTCGTCTCTCCTCTTCTTCTTCTCGTCTTTTCTCCCGAGGGTCAAAATTAAATGAAAAAGCGAGAAAAAGAAAGTTTAACCTTCTCCATTCCATATAAGTTATTTACTTTCACATTTCGATATCTCTCTCTTTTTTCCTCATTTTTCATCTGAGCCACGAGACCACGTTTAATGAGGAATTATTACGTTATCCAGTTCTTTTTTTTCTGCGCACTTCAGCTCAATTTCACGTGGTTTTGCAATTCGATTATGAAGAGAAAGTGGGAATGCAGGAAACATCGCGAGATTTTTTTCTTTTCAATTTCTCTGTTCTCATAGAGCATTTTCGATTTTAAATGACTTTTGAGAATTTATTTCTGGCGCATAGAAGGCCAAGGATAAAATCATTGTAGAGTCTAAAATTTCAAAAATTTCAGTGAATACACTACAAATAGTAAAATAATAGAGAGAGTAAAATCTATTTTAGTGGGTTCGTGAACGTGGAGCCGGTGCTGTTTCTGACATCATGTGCCATCGGACTTCTGGCGACGAACTCGCAGCTGTTCACGTACTGGGCGAGGTGCATCCAGATCGGCAAGCTGGAGAGCGACCTCACCTTCAACGTGACCTACACCTGCGCCCTGCTCGCCGGCACCAACAGCACTCTTCAGGACGACGTCGAACGCGACATCTCCACCATGAAGATCTGGCTTCAGGTCGGAGAACCAAGTTGTAGATGATCATGAAGGCTGGTTTCAGATCGCCAACAGCTTGCCTACGCTAATCATATCGCCTATCATCGGCACTTGGGCTGATAGGAAAGGTGAGAAAGCCTGGGTTAAAATCGAAACATTTAGAAAGCTTTGGAGCAATAACCTAAAGAAAAAGTACAAGAATTTTTTATTAACTGTAATTTTAACTTTTTCGAACTACGTTTTGAATATTTTTCGTCCAAAAAAAAAGTCTCTAGGCCGAAAGCTGCCGCTGTTGTTCTCGCTCTGTGGCTTTTTCTTCTACAGCATTCTGCAGCTTTGCGCGACGTTGACCTACGAATCTGTCAACATCTATTCCTGGTTCCTAGCTTCAGAACTTCTTCTCGGTAGATCTCAACCGGTGAAAAAACTACAGACGATTTTCAGGTTTCTGTGGAGGATTCGCTACGATTTTCACGACTGCTCTGACAATTGTAACAGACGACTGCCGTGGGAAGTTGAGACCTGTGAGTTTTTTTTCCAGCATAAACCAAAAAGAGTCCCATAGCGAGTCCTACAGTACCTGTGCTATTTTTTCAAGTCTGTTCTCAGGGTTCCTCGACAGTGCCTATGCGGATAGGAGTGGCCGCAGTTATTCAATCGATAGGAAGTCTTCTTGGTTCACTCATTATTTCGCTTCTAGCGGTCCCGGCAGTTCAGAACATCGAGCGCCACGCACTCAGTTACATCAAATCCGCCTTTGTTCGTGAGTTCGGTCAATATTTTCATCTTAATCGAGGAAAACTTCAGAAGCGGCTCTGTCCCTGATCGCCATAATTTATGCGATTTTTTTCGTACGCGAAACGCATTTCCCGAAACAGGAAGGGTTCCAATACTCGGAGCTCGATGGTAACTTTTCTGATTATTTTAGGTCATGGAAGATGAGAAAAAAAGTGGTTTCAAGAAGAATTCGGGGTATTTCAGGTCCGATGGACGTCAATTTCGAACCAACCACAAGCCATGGAACTTCTTTCATTGGAAAGTTCTTCGGAATGGTTTCCTCTCTCATGGAGGTTTCTCATACAAAATTATTACATTGACTTTAAAAATCTCTATCGCAGGTTTTGACAGCTCGACGGCCTGGCTGGTCCAGATTCTGCCTGAGTTTTTCTCTTCTGCTCATCTTTGTCGAGTTTTTCTCCATGGGTCAGTCTGAAGTCTTCCTTTTTTCGCATTTGAACACTTTTTTCAGATTCGGCACTTATATTATTGTACTTGAAACGGTTGCCTTTCGCATGGGACGACAAACTTTTCAGCTACTTTTCCTTGGCCAAAGGGCTTTTAACAGCCCTGGGAATGATTTTATGTGAGTTTCTTTTTATTTCCCGTTACGTGCGTAGATATCTTGAACTGTATTGCCCAAGGCGAGGGATAACATGTTCCTTTGTCAAATAGTATCTTGACAGGTCCTCTGGCGTTGACTGCGGTCCACTGGCTTGGAAAAGACTCTCTACTCATCATTTTTGCTCTAGCTTCGTCGGCTTTGACTTCGTTTTTCATGGCTTTCGCGACGACCACACACGAAATCTTCATCAGTATTTCTTGACCTGGTTTTATGAAACGAATTGTGGATATTCAGCTGTCGGATTCGCCCTGATCATGGGCGGATTGTCGCCGGCCTACCGTTCTTTTTTGCCGCGAATGGTAGCGAAAGAAGAGACCGCCAGACTTCTGTGCAGTTAATCAATAAAAGGAGACCAAATCGAAATTTTGTCATTCAGTCGTTTCGATTATCATGGCGTTCTGTCCGATCCTCTCCTCGCTCGTCTTCAACTCCATTTTCAACGCGACCATGTCCTGGTGGGCTGGCTTCGCCTTTTTCCTCGGCGGAGTCTTCCAAGCCGCCGTTTTCTTCGGTCAAATGTTGGTTTTGTTTGGACGTTACTGCTCAGAAAAAGAGGAAAATATCAAGTAAATCTGTAAATCAATCCCTTCTATAGTCTGTGTACCACGGCTTGGAATTTCACGACATTCCGCTGTGCCGCTGCGCGCCTTTGCGAACTTTGGTCGCGCTTTAATTTTTTTTTCTTTTCTTTCATGTGCACTTTCATGTGCTCCCACAGCAAAAACAATAAATTGAAAGCGTGACTTAGATTCGAAAGACGCTTCGCGAACGCACACAACGGAACAGCGGAATGTCGTTCCGTGGAATTTCAAGTCGTGTCGTGGCACACAGACTGTACAACAATGCAGCAGATTTTCTATTGGAATCATATTTTTAAAATTTTATTGCTCGAGTGAGGCTTTTTTCTCGGAATCAATCAATTTTTTTTTAGTTATAAATGTAATTTACTGGGTGGTAAACCTGAACTTTTAAATTGTGAACTATTTCGATACGTCTTCTGTATCAGCGCTGTGTTCCTCAAAATAATTGCTTCTTAATGAGAATAAAATGAGCGATCGAAGTTGGAACTCAGTTTCCGAGAGGTTGATATTGTTGATTCGCAGTGGCGTGCACATTCTGATGCGCCCTCAATGGGAGCTGGACAAGCAACTCGACGACCGACGTCACAACCAATCGATGGTCGGAGAAGGCGAGTATTATCCAAATCGCCCTGGTATTTCTTTTACGTCTTCTTCGATCTCGAATTGAACCATTTCGCAGAAGATGAAGAAAGGAGCGTTTCAAATACCGCCGTTTCCGACGTCAACTCAACGGGCCGCGTCGAACTTCTGTGAACGTTTCGACGTCTTCGATTCCTCCGCAATTCCATGTCACTCCGGGTTCCACTGTATTTGTTCACTTAATTATTAATAAAATTGCCTTCATTAATGAGAAAAAGTAGAAAGGAAAAAAAGAGCACCGCTGCGGGAATGAAAATGCCGGCGGAAATCGCCAGTATTTGCCCTCTTTCCGTCCTGCTTTGCGATGTCTATCTGGATCAGTTTTCTTTGGAACCTTTTTTCCTATTTTTTATTTTTCGCTAATAGTTTCCATAAAAAGAAAGTTTAAAACTTTGATCGAAGGCTGAAGTAGGATGCAAGTTTAGGCTAACAGTTTCCTCAGATGAATTTTATTTATGTTCTCTACTCATGTTTGAAAAATCTAGCGATTGTAAAAAATTTTCGAAATATATTTTGAATCTCTTGAGAAAGTCGAAGATTTCATCACCCTGGAAGTCCTGAAAAGTTGTTTCTATTTTTTTGAGTGTCAGGAAACGCTGAATCTTTTCTTAGAACGGTTTTTATGCGATTTGAAACAGCTAAAAAAGTTTTTATTTGCTCAAGTGAGAGGAAGAAGTTGTGGAAGTGCAGCACCTGAGGTGGTCGTTGGCGGCTCGGCGAGTTGTTTTGACCGTTGTGTTCGGGGAGCCGCCCCAGTGTACAGCGGTAGTGTACAGCACATGCTTTTTGGCTCTTTTCCAGTACCCAACTTCCGATTTAACTCGTTTTTTTTATAATGGACTTGCTCTGCGCAAAGGTTTTTATGCACATTTCATGGAAAAAAAAAAGCTTTATTCAATTTTGATTCCTCGGAGATTTGTTAACTTGTCTGGTCAACACAGTATTGCCGATTGAAATGAAATAAAATCGAAAAAATCAGATTCAAGAACCTCAAGAAAGCATTTTTTCTCTAATTTATGTTTCTGAAATTTTTTTTCTTGTTTTCATCGAAATATTTCTTGGAGCTCTCGAAAATTTTTTTTAGTAAGTAAGGTGACAGAGAAGCGAAAGAGCGAGGTAGAATGTTGATTCAACAAAAAAAACATTAAATTTCTGTCATTTTAGTTAATATTTTCAAAGATGCCCTATTTTCTTGGCTCTTTTTCTCATTTTCGAGCACGAACTACTTATAACTTTTGTGAGAAGCGGTGGCCCCTGGAGTCGCTCAGATGCGAGAAAATGGGTTGAGAGGAAAACGAGCGAGTGTCCACTTGAAGTTTCTCGTCAAACATCTGCGGAGCCCCCCGAGGCGATCTGCCGTCCTATTTTTCACCTTTTTTTCCGATCGGATTGCTATTTGATGTTTTATTTGATGTAAATTTGTAGAAAGCTGCAAATGAGCGTGATGGCGTCGTCACGGCAAGTTCAGCGGAAGCCCAGTTTCAACAGTTCTGAGCCAAGTAAGATTCGAAACAGATAAAGACTGACTTTTAAAAACAGACTTCTTTAAGAAATTACTAGCAGAATTAAAATTTTTAATTTTTTGCAGGATCAAGGGAAGGCTCCGCGGCTCCTCTAGTGAAAGCCTCCCCATTTGGCCAAATGCTCGAAGATGTTTGGTTCATATTCTGGTGTGAATTTATATCTTCTTCTTTAGGTTCGAAAATTAGCGCTGTCCAAATCGTTATGGGATGATGAAATGCAACGGGATCTACCGAAAAAGTGGGAAAAGCATGGAGATTTGATTATTTTTCCGCAAAATTGTTTCACACACACAAATTGGCGGTTTATTGGTACACTATAGTTAATTATTCAAAAAAAAAGTATGATTTTGGAGGCCGTGAACTTTGGGGAGTTGTGGCAAAGTCTCTGAAAGTCGCGCGACTAGGTAGAAAACGACAAATTGATGAAATGAGGACACCGCACGTCGATTTATTGTATGGTAACGACGGATGGGTGGAGCACGTCGATGAACGGGGAGTACGGTAAAATGACGTCACAAGATATTGTGATTGTTAGTCTGCTGTAGGTATCTCTACGACGCGTCCAAAAGAGTTTACAACAATTCGAAGAACAACGAGATGAAGCGTATCTCGAAATGGGCCTGCCAAGGACAGACCGTCGTCGACATGTACGCTGGTAGAACTTTTCCCAAGTAAAAGTACTACAAACTCTTTTTCAGGTCTGGGTTACTACTCGATGACATTTCTGGTTGTCTGTGAGGCCAAGAACTTAGTAGCGGTCGACTGGGACGAGGAGATTCTGGACGCCTTGGTCCGAAGCGCGCAAACAAACCACGTCGAAGACAGAATCGTCGTCATTCACGGTGACGCAAGAAGAGTCGGCAATTCTGATTGACGCCTTCTACTGGTCCGTCTTCAGGTGACACCTACAATGGTGGCCGATCGAGTCTACCTCGGCCTTCTGCCGTCCTGTCGTGCTCATTGGCTGACGGCTTGCAAGGCATTGAAGCCGGAAGGTGGCGTCATTCATATCAATGACATTCTCGATTCTACAGCCCCAATTGTAATCAGAAAGCCAGAACGTGTTGTTCGACAAACGTGGGTTCTGAGGCTGCCTGCTAGCCAAGTTTTCTCTTCTTTCTTTTCAGAACTCTACCATCTCTACCGAGTGTCGATGAAGAAAAAAACCCAACTTTAGAAGAAGTTGAAAAAACAGTTGAAAACCCCGCAGAAGATCAAAAAACTGATGCTTCCGAGGCTCCAGCTGGACCATCAACGGCTCCTTTGGAAGGAGAAGCTGGAGAACAAAGGCAAAAACGCAAGTTCTCAAGATCTGCTTCTATCGTCGAGGAAATGGAGAAAAGAGTTCTCCCAACCGCAAAAGTCAGTCAACTTTTCTTTTGAGTAAAGCATTTTTTTTGAGGTCTGGAAGGAATATGAAGAAAACGGATGGAACAATTTGAAAGATTTTCACAAAGAATATTCCATGGAATGTGCTCAAAAGTACTGATATCCTTCATTAAATCACGAAATGAATGATTTTCAGTTGTATTCGATTCCTGAATAATATTCATTTGTCTGACGCCATGTATGGAGTTTCCATTCTCAACTTAACAAGGTAAAAATATAAAAAAAATTTGAACCTATATTTTGCAATTTGTTTCAGATACGGAGAAGTTTCATCGAAAAAGGAACACGTCGTTCTTGATTTGTTGTGTTACCCACAAGACGCAAGTGTGGAGCACATGGCTTCAAAGTTTACAACGACTAATCTCTCCGCATAAACTTGTTTTTGTAAGATAAATTTCATATTTAACTTCTTCACACAATGTTATTTTTTTGAAGATAAAGAAATAAATACAGAAAACGGGAAGAAAAGAGATTTTTAACCAACGATTTTCGCGTAAAAGATGTGGCGTCATGGAGTGAGCATTGACGCTTTTGCGGCGGGAGGCGTCTTTTTAGTCGGCGGTTTACACATTTGCATAGTTATCGATCGATTGCTTCCGTTGGATCGCGGAATGTCCGCCCTGTTCTCGCGTTTGCACCTTTTTTTTTACAATGTAAACTTTAAATGTCACGTTCTTATCCTACAAATGGTCAGCAAAAATATATTGTAGTTCATTTTTCGATTGAGGCTGTTTTTCCTGCTTAAAAATTTTCAGTTTTCTTTTTGTATTTTTTCTTCTCATTTAATGTCGAATATTTCTTTTTCTAAAATAGTTTTCAATTTAAACCCTTTTATTTTGAAAAAGTTAGAAAAACCTTCAAACCTTTTATTAACAAAAAAATACGACAAGTTTTCAGAAGTTAGTAACACAATTCTCTGTCAATAACTTTTCTTTTATTATCCTTGTTTCTCTTTATATCTTTCATATTCCTAATGAAAAACTTATAATGGGATTAAGCTGTATATTTGCATATTACAGCCAGTCATGTCAATAATAAATGGACAAAAACGAGAACAGTCCATAAGCGTTGGTCTGAGCTCGACTAACGGGAGACCTGAACCGACGCCTTCCACTATCGCAAACTCAGGCAGGGAAAATAAGCGTTGTGAAATATACAGGTAATTTTTCTTAGATTTTCTCGTGTTTTATCTACGTACTTGAGATACGTTTCTGCTAAGCCTTTGTATGCGGCTGCGTGGTCTCAAAAAACCGATTCAAAGTTTCGCCTGGCCGTGGGAACTTTGGTCGAAAGAGAACAGGGGAATAAGGTTGAATTTTCCTAAGTTTCTTTTTATAATTAGACGAATTAAGGTGTCTGTTATCCAACTGAATGATGAAACCGGCGAGCTGGTTGAAATCGCTTGTTTTGGCCATGAGTTCCCGGCCAACGCCGTTGGATTTATTCCGGATCCGGTTGGTTTCCATTTAACTTTTTTTTAAATTTTTTTTTCTATTTAAGTCGTAGTTTTTATTGATTTTCATGTGTTTATTTAAAATTTCAAGTAAGTATTTGAAATTCCGTGCAATTAAAGTTAAAGAAAATAATCCTTTTGGTTAAATTTGTTTTTTTTCTCTCGTTTTGTGATAAAGAAAATAATTGTTGTAGTAGACTCGAACCTTTTTTTTCGAACGTTTTAGCAGAGAATGTTGATTTTTTCTTTTTTAGGAAAATCGCTATCCAGACCTGATCGCCACAACAGGAGATTGTCTGAGAATATGGAAAATCAACGGCAACACGATAGATTCTGACGTCGCCCTGCTTGCAGTAAGTAATTTTAATTTCCTATGGAGTTGAGAAAAAAGTCTTTGAAGAACAAAGCGACCCAATACTGCGCGCCTCTGACGAATTTCGACTGGAACGAGGCAGATCCCCGGCTGATCGGAACTTCGAGCATCGACACCACTTGCACTATTTACGATGTCGAGGTTTCCTCATTCGGCTTAAATTCTTAATTTTCTTTTTCGTTTATTTCAGACCGGAACAAATGTCGGAACAACATCCTTCAACGTGAAAACTCAATTGATTGCTCACGATAAGCCTGTTCACGACATCGCCTTTTCCAAAATCAACAGTGGAAAGGACCATTTCGCGACAGTTGGTCAGTTTTTTCTGGTTAAAATTTCATTTCTTCTTTTCTTCATTATTGTTGCTGAACGTATAATTTCTATTGTTTTTTTTTTGATTTTTTGCTCAAATAGTTGATTTTTCCGCGCAGTTCATTGTTTTGCACTTTTAACAAGCATTTTTCAGTGTAGAATAGAGAAAGAAACGACTTCTGGTTTTTTTTAATCAAGAATTTTTGCGTTTTCGGATCGGAAACGCCACTGATTATGTTTTTTCAGTTTTGCACCTGACGTTTTTCATCAATTTTAAAATCAAAAAGACCTAAGCCTCACAAATGTTGAAAAGAAATAATGTTGCTTTTTGTGGTATTTTGAACGTTCTATCTTAAAAAAAGCTTCTATTTATAGTTTGACTTTATAAGAAAAAAACCGGAGAGTTTAGCAATTGCGATCAAATTCATTTTATGGAATCTAGTACAACAATGAATTCATGCTATAAAACCACGACCATATATCTTATAGATTTTTTTTTATTTGGAAGATATTTTTTGATTTTGTCTATGAAAAAGATGTTCGAAACTCGATAGTTTGAAGGTGCTGACGGAAGCGCTCGAATGTTCGATTTGCGGCATCTGGAGCACTCGACAATTGTCTACGAAGATCCGCAGAAAACGCCGTTGATGCGGTTGGCCTGGAACAAACAGGAGCCCTGCTACATGGCCACTTTCTCTCAAGATTCTAATGAAGTCGGTTTTTGATCCTTTTTCTCATTTTTTTAAAACTTTAACTGTGATCAGATTGCTTGTTTATTCATATGTCTCTTCAGAGAAAAAATAAGACTTTGATTCGGATAAATTCTTTCGAAAAATTTTTTTTTTTGAACTGATTAATCTTTAAAAATTTGTCTTTGATGGTCTTTCATTGTCTTTCATTCTCCAGGTGGCGATTCTGGACATTCGAATGCCTTGCAATCCGATTTCGAAGCTCAAGAATCACACGGCGGCCGTGAATGGAATCGCCTGGGCGCCACACAGTCCCCATCACATTTGCACTGCGAGTATGTTCCATTTTATTTTCATTTTGTTTTCTTGGCATCATTTAGAAAAGATCCTTAAAATTATTGAAAGTGTGTCTATGAAGAAAATTTAACTTCTTCTTTTTTTATACCGAATTTTTTTTTTGATATTTCATCTCCTTTTCAAACTCTTGAGCTTGAGCCGTTTAGGATCAAGTTTCTTCAAGTATTTTGTGAAATTTCTATGAGAAAAAGTCGTTAATCTTGAAAAAATAGAGGCACTAAAAAGATGAAGAGGAGGCAGAAAAGATAAGAAAGAAGTGTGCTTCATCGGTTAAGATATTTTGAACGAGGTATTAAAAAAGTAAAACCTTTTTCTGAGAAGCTCCTCTCGAAAAAAAAGTAGATATTGGTTTGAAATGGACTAATGCTTTCCAGGTGACGACAAACAAGCTCTTATCTGGGACGTCACTCATATTCCCCGTCCTGTCGATGATCCGATTTTGGCCTACACGGCAGAAGGAGAAGTTTGTTTTTTTCTTTATATTTATTTTTCTGGATGTTTTGACTTTTCTTTCTTTTCTAGGTAAACCAAGTCCACTGGGGTCCGGTGCACAGCAACTGGATCTGTATTTGTTTCGAGAAATGCATGGAGATTCTCAGAGTTTAGTTCTCATTATTTTTTTGGTTTCTAGGCATTATAACTTTATAGTATTCCACTTATGGGCGAAATTTTTTACCTTTTCTCCGGAAAATTTGAGCCTTCGTGAAGCTTTTTTAATGGAAGTTTCTAGACTAGTTCTGAATAAAATCTGAATTTTTCACCGGAGATGAAATGAAAATGAAAAACTAGAAGTTTCATTTATAGGTTCTAGGTGGGCAAAATCATTTTTCTGTAGTTGCCCATGAATGGTCTTTTTCGCATTCCATTGATACGAATCAGAAATTTTACCGATAATATTTTATTTTTCCTTGTTATATTTCTACTTTTGATCTCTGTTAACGAGTTCTTTTGCATCCCTGATTGTCCTATCCATCTCTTCATCTTTGTGATATATACTTATTTTTTTTCTTTCTCGTGTATTTTGAATAATTTATTTTCTTGTTGATATTTTGTGACTGTATCATATGAAGGGTATATGAAAGGTCTTTTTTTCATATACCCACTTCTTGTTTAATAATAATAATATTTTGAGGTTCTGGTTGACAAATAAAATATTTTCGCCTTTAATTCACCATTTCATTGTTTTCAACGGATCTCCATATCAATGTCTGCTTTTTTCGTGTTTTTCTTTTTCTTTTAAGTTCTTTTTTTCAGCTTTCCACGGGTTAATTTTTGTTGGCGCTTCGCTGCCGTTTTTTTTTAGGCTGGGTATGTTTTTTTTTTAACTTTTGAACTGTAAAGACTTTTTCAGTTATTTCGAACGAGTGAGACTGTCGACCGAGGTCCGATTTCCGCCTGGCGGCCAACCTCATGCCGTTGTGCCGCCGCTGACCGCTGCCATTCTCGTTTGTTTCTTTTCATTTTTGATATCTTCGAATCAAATATCTCAAAAGTTTATGTTTTCGGGAACTGCAAGCTCTTTCTTTGTCTTCATATAGACGTATTTAGGTTTCCAGGTCGAATTTCAATTTAAAGATTGTGAATGAAGTTCAAGTCTTGATAAATATATGAAATCGCGATCAAAAACTGTATTTGTTCTTATTTTTCTAAAAAGTTTTTTCAAATTTTCGCGATTTTGCAGGATTTAAATTGAAAGCTGGGGTTGAAGACGTTTCTGACATTCATCTTTTCCAAAAATCTATTTCGCAGCATTTTATTCAACAGATTTATCCCGCTTTCTTTTAATTATTTGAACTATTTGCATTTATTGGTCTGATTGCAGACTCCGCGGATGATGGAGCTGTCAAGTGGACAAAACCTTCAGAACAACTCGCAGTCGGGTCAGACGCAAGGAGCGTTTTCCGATGGTTCCCGGTTATGGTCGGTCGCAGAAAAGACAACTGGAGTGGAAACAGTTCTTTCCAGGTGGAGCGATGATTTTCCCGAATTCGCAGGCCTCGCAGATGCCGCCACAGTTCCATATGCCGCAGCCGATGGAAGGACCCTCGACTTCGGCCTTGTCGCAAATGTCCACGCAGCCCGTTCCCGCCGATAGCTACGAGGTTTGATTTTGGGGCAAATTTATAATTTCAGAAAAGTTTGATACTAAAATTTGGTTTAAATTGTGTTTTCAAGCTTTCTAATAATACATATGTAGACATTTTTAAATTTCTTTTCTTTTCTTTTAAGCTTCTAAGGTTCAGAATGACTTTATTGTTAACATTAATTCTCTGACATCTTATTTTCTATTCTTTATCCATCGAAACTTTCCTAAGACCCTCTCTTCCTGGATTAATTGAACTTTGTACGTGACCGCGTATGTTTCCTATTGATTCGGAGTTTTTCTAATTCCGCAAAGAGGAGAAGAACTTTTTTTTTTTAGATGTTTTACACTTTCGAGGAAAAAGGTTAAAATAGAAATTCACCCAATGACAGTCCTTTTTCCATCAGAAATCGGATTCCAGAACATGGAAGCGTGCTCGGCCGGCCCGTCCGAGGTGAACATGGGAACAGCCACCCGCGAGGAGGACAAGCGAAAAGTTCGTTCTCTTTCTTTGAAAATATCTGACCGTTTCAAGAAAAAATCGGACTTTTTCCAGGATATCTATGGGTACAACGCGCCCTACACGTTGTATTCAACAGGTTGGAGTGCGGCGACGGATCCTCAACGAAAGTTTCGACTGGCCGTGTCGAGTTTCATCGAAGAATACTCAAACAAGGTAGAATAGGGAACTTTTTTTTCAATTTTTCAAACTGCGGCCTTTTTTCACGGCTTCTAAAAATCAAGAAAATGTTACTCCGGTCTAAGAACAACGTGATTAACAGGAGCAGAACATATTAAAAGATTAGGCGATTAATAAAGAAAGATTAATAGAACTTTTTTTGAGAATAAATATTTTCATAAAGAAACTTACAAAAATAATACATTGTCAATCATTAAATCCCAAGAAGGAAATTCTAACTGCGAGTTTTTATTACATTCGTATCTTAGATTACAAATTTTTCTGCTTTGAAAATTTTTTCCAACCGATTCCATTTCACAGAAAAACAAAACCGTATTCCCTTGATGATTGATTTTTTTTTATAATTGTTGTTTAACTGTTCATTTGGCATGGTAGCAGTGAATTAAAGCCAAATATAAGCGAATGACCTGATTCTCGCTTCAGGTGTCAGTTGTGCAGCTGGACGAAGAAGCCGGCGAACTCGTGCTCCGAAGCACATTTGACCATCCTTATCCGGCGACGAAGATCATGTGGATTCCCGACTCCAAGGGAACCTATCCAGACCTCCTAGCAACCAGTGGAGACTATTTGCGTCTTTGGAGGGTTCGGTCTTCATTCATCTCCGTCTTCAAATAGCCGGCTGTGGATTATATTGAGAGGAAGTTTTGCAGATAGGGGTTGACAATAACGCGAAAATCGAGTCTCTGCTCAACACCAACAGAACCGCCGAGTACTGCGCGCCGCTGACGTCATTCGACTGGAATGAACTTGACTTGAATCTGATCGGCACGAGCAGCATCGACACCACTTGCACTGTCTGGCAGCTCGAGGTACTTCGTTTTGACAATTTTGAAAAGCTTTTTCAAGCGGATGTTCAAAAAAAACCTCTTAGTTTTATGTAATGGAGTTTCAGAAATGGTATTTTTTTAACTCGAGAAAAGTACTCTGAGTTTTAGATAATCACTATCCTTTGAATTAAAAAAAATTTCGTTTTCATAATCTTTTGTTAGAGTAATTTCTCATCTCCCTATTTTTGACTGAAATTGAAATGAAATTAATGTTTTTTGTTCATGAGACTTTTCTTCATGAAAAATATAAAATTATCCAAAACTACAGAAGGACGGCGATTCTAGTTACCCTTATTGGCTTCTTTTTCTTCAAAATGACTCAAATTGCAGACGGGTCAATCTATTGGATCGACACGGTCGATGGTGGACGGAAATGTGAGGACGCAGTTGATCGCCCACGACAAGGAAGTATTCGACATTTCCTTCTCTCGCGGCAACAGCCAGGTCTTCGCCAGTGTCGGTCAGTTAATCAGCTCACAAAGCAACTGAAACAGTGAAAATGAAATGGCAATTCACGACAACTTTTCTGTGCTGAAAACCTCTGAAACATGAGATCTTAGGTGCGGATGGAAGTTTACGATTGTTCGATCTCCGGAGGCTGGAACATTCGACGATTATGTACGAAGACGCCTCACGGACGCCCTCTTCTACGGCTCGCGTGGAATCGCGTCGATCACAATTATATTTCCACCTTTGCTATGGACAGTAACGAGGTTCGTTTCCATATGAAACTAGCTCGGAAAAAAAAATAAAAAAAACTTATGGTGAAGTAACATGACTTGTTTTTTAAGTTTTTGAGATATTCAAAGAAAGATTCAAAGATTGAAACTTCCACAACCTTCACCTAATCAGAGTGTGTTACGGGTTTTAAACATTTCTGGGTTTTTTTAAATAAAAATGACTATTAGGAAACTTTTTAGAATTGATTTTTTTTTAGTGATCTAACTTGGTAAATCAAAGAAATACTTTAATTTGCAGGTAATAATCTTGGATTTGCGGCTTCCTTGCACTCCCGTGGCGAGGCTGAAGAATCACACGGCGCCAGTCAACGGCATCTCTTGGGCTCCTCATTCGAGCAGTCATATTTGCTCTGGAGGTTGGAGGAACTCACTTCTCCGTGATTTTAAATGAAAGTCCTGCAGGCGACGACTTCCAAGCTCTCATTTGGGATGTTCACGAAATGCCCAAACCCATCGACGATCCCATTCTGGCCTACGAAGCCAACGGCGAGGTTTCCCACCAACTTTCTTCGTACCAACTCAATGGGACATTTCAGGTGAACCAGATCCACTGGTCGAACTCGTTTCCCGACTGGATTTCTATTTGTTACGGCAACAAGTTAGAGATTTTGCGTGTATAATTTATCTTGCAGTTCTAACTGTTTTTTCAAACTTTTTTTTTTCATTTTCTGTATAATTTCTTGTTGAAGTTCGACCCTTTCCTTGTACCCGAAGAGTGCCTTTATCATCCATGTCTTTTTCTGTTTCATCATGTTAGGGTTCCTGTTTCTCTATACGTTACCAAAATGCTCACATCATGTTATCAATATTTCTTCTGCGAGACGTGTGTCAACTTGTTAAGTTATAGTTTCTAAAGACCCTAACGACAGTTCAGTACAATGTCCCAAATTCTATTGAATCCTGTATATTTCTTAGAAATTTATCCAATTGAGGTGCATGCTATATTATTAAGGAAACAATCAAGAACGCTTGGTCTCACTAGAATTATCAATATTATGAAATTTCTTTCAAATTTGAAATGAATCGCTCGATTTTCGCAATGAAAATATCTTTAACTTACTTGAAACTTTTGCTAACTTCTGACATCAAATCGGCTTTTTTTTTCAGATTTCGTGATTTAACAGAACAAAAAGTGTGGTGCTTCATTTTTAGAATAAACTTTATTTCTTTATTTGGGAAGGAAAGAGCAATTTAGACCTGATTGAGTGCTTGGAAAAACGGCAGTAGGGCATTGAGCATTTGAGATGATGGATTGTGAATCGAAGCGGTTAATTTTCTTTTCTTTTTTTGAGATAGTTCTCCACGTAGAAGGACACTTGGAAAGAAACATACAAAAAAATTCATTCTTTTCAAGTTATTCAAAAGATTTTTTTCATAATCCAGTTTTTTTGATGAAAGTAAATAGTCTTTTTTTCTATCTTGAACTACTTTAGAAAGTATTTCAAGAAAGTAATTTTAGTTCTCAGGACTAAAAAGGTGGGAGATCAGTAGCAAGAAGAGACGCCAGAGAAGTGAGATCAGCCTTCTTCTCTCCTGTCTCTTCTGGTCTATCAGCTCACTTCTTTCATCGCTTTTTGGTCATATCATCGAATTCCTTTGGTTATTTTTTTCTTCAAAAAAAGCAAAAAAACTTAAACTAAATATTGACTTTTCAAGAGGTGTGATGAAAGTTTAATCCTAGTTAAGGTATGTTTTGAAATGATATACACAAGAGATCCCTGGATAAGAAAGCCGTAGTAATGAAAGACTGGGGAGATCACCGCAGAGCGCTGAGAGTGCTGATGGCGGAGGCGATGCTGAGACGATGGCTCGTGCCGGGAATCTTGAGGTACTGGCTGTCGTCGTCGCCCCACCACGTCTTCGTCCGGAAACGCATCGCCTTCGACATCGCCGCCAGACCGTAGTTGTGCTCCGCGGACACGCAGATTATGTACCTCAAATCAACTTGTCTTTTTTAGAAAGGTACAGAAGAAATGATTATTTTTCACTTCTCAAGTTATAAAGGTATTTTATCATAAATTATCAGAGATGAAAAGGTGAGAAACCTGTGACCTCGATTATTGACTTCAAATTGAGAAAGGCAAGAGTTACCTGGTGTCCGGGAGCAGATTCGTGAGGGTGAACCTGGTCGAGTCGCCGACCCGATACCGGTTCCAGTAGGTGAACTGTGGCGCCGGCTCCTGTGTAAACTGGATCACGTACTTCTGAAAATGTTCTTATTTCCAAAAAAAAAAGCCGCGGAGCAGATGGTTCTGCGTTCGTATAAGGTCAAAAAAAATGAGAAATGTTCGTTTCTCATTTTTTCATACGAAATTTCAGCAGAAGCTATAAACGATTTCGATAAAATTGATTAAAAAATACGTGATTTTCTTGAATCTCACACGATAATAGATTATTCACACAAAAACAAAACCAAGTAACTCAAAAGAAGGTTTTAAAATTTTCTTTGACAAGATGGATCGGTTCTGGAAGAAGAAGACCTAGGAAAATCTGAATAAGGAAGGATTGTAAAGCCAAAAACAAATCTGTTTTCTTGAAAAGTGAGAAAAATATTGAACAAGACTTTTTGTACCTTTTTAAGGAAGTTAAAAAAATTGATTTTTCTAATTTCTTAAAAAGCCTCGAGAAGACCTCTGGGGCTTTTTCCGAGGTTGTGGAAAAATTAGAAAAATATTCCAAAATCTTCGAAAATTTATGGTTTTCTTTCTAACTGTACCGTCTAAACGGAACTACTCATCCTTTATTAATCTAGGTTTCCGTCTCATTATTTATTTCAGATCAAAATGAACTAGACTAACACGCAATTATGAATTTATAGCGATGATACAGAGAAAAAGGAGTATATGACACCAACTTCCGGTCCATTGTTGACTTTGGGAGTTCTCCAGGAAATAGTCGCCGTCTCATCGCTGATGGCGTCGATGCGAACCGACTGAGGCACTGTACATGGCTCTGAAACTCTTTCTCTTTAGTGATCCCTCGGAGGTTGCCTTCAACCCGTGTATTCCTGGGCACGAATCGGCGTGCTTTGGCCGTAGCGAGTCGTGGTGAACATGCTGAACTCGTAGAGCGTGAAAGACTTGAGCCCTGTCACCAAATAACGGTCCTTCGTGATGAAGTCCACAACCACGACGTTGTTCCGTCGCTGCGGCGTTCTAAAAAGATTCAAAACAAAGTTGGGACACAGTAGATTTTTCAAACAAGATTAAGTCTAGAAAAAGACAGAAATTAATTAATAGTTCTCGGAATGAAACGAGGTTCAACTCATCTGGAAAAAGAAGAATACTTTAACGACTAACTTCAAATTTGACATTTAGGGATGAAACACGCATGTTTAAGACAGTGTTACTGCGGCCGGTGGCCGGTCAATATTGCGCTCTCAGTTTCGGAGCCAGGAAATTTTCCAATTTTTTTTCCTTTTTTGCAATTTGTTAAGGACCTATTTCTCGAGGTTACAAGACAAGTTACGCCACAAAAAGTACACAAATTTTCATTTTATTACCAAAAAACCTAGCTTGATTACCGTAATACGACCGGCCGCCTTGAACATGCGTGGAAACTTGGAAAAATTTTCAACTTGAAGATACAGTTGAAAAATGGGGATTTCTCTGTAGATCTATGATGTCGTGTTCAAAGTATTTTCCGCGAAATTTTCTTTGACTCTCCAAAATTTAATTGTCTTTCTCACTCTCTGACGGCGATTCTGATTTTCGCAAAATCACTTTGAACACGGCATTATTTTTTTTTGTCATAAAAAGATGTACCTGGGCTTGTACTTGAGGGTGTACCAATATCGTTTGCCTTCGTCGACGTAGACAGGCGCGCTCCACCGCAACATTACCGTATCCGCCGTCGAATGCGAAGCGACAAGGTTTCGGGGCGGCGGCGGAGGAGCTGAAACTCAAAAAAATTGCTGATTCTCCAAAAATGTCGAGGAATAATGAATCAGTTATTCAGTTATTTTTTACCTTCATCCAATATTTCAGAAAACTAGGTTAAAATAAAATTTTTAAAAGTTGTGTCGGCGTAATTCTCAAAAAAAAACCTACGCAGAAAGAATCAAAACGGATCCTCAAAATATCAGCCGAAAAAAAGACAATGATGAAAAAAAAAACAAAAAATGTTACGCAAATTTCTTAGAAAAATTAGCCGTGTATGTAGTTTCAGAATTTTCAATAAAAAAAAAGATTGCCTTATAGTGCGAAAAATCTATAACCACAACTTCAAAAAAAATTCCAAAACATTACAGAAATAAAGAAAAAATTTTGACTCACCGCGTTGAAGCATGTTCTCCTCGTAGTTTTCGGTCAAGTGCTTGAAAGCTGGAATTTTTTCTTTTGTTTCAGTTTTTGAAGAAATTTGAACCTGTCAACCGGATGTGATGAAGGGCCGTGACAGTCTCGAAAAGCTTCCGCATCGCCTCTTTTTTCATGGCTTCGATTCTTCGCTGCTGCACTTCTTTCAGCCAGGAAAGAGGGTCCTGCAAGTTTTCACTGTTTTGATTGCAACAATAGGATAATTTCTTCTCTCAAACTCAAAAAGGCTTTTTTTTCACTCCGATTGCCTATTCTTCTTGAAAATGAATTAGTAACTTGAGGTATAAAGTGGAAAATCATCGCGAGAATCTGAATAACGTACATCATCCAGTCGACGCCCGAAGAAGTGGAGCCGGTCGATGTAGTAGGCGCCGACGATGTCGACGCAGGTCGTCGTGAGGACGAGGCCGACGAAGACGAGGATCAGGACGGGGACGGTGAAGACGTCGTTCCTCGGGACCATGTCGCCGAAGCCGATCGTCAGCACGCTCATCATGACGAAGTAGAAGCCGTCGGTGGCATTCCAGCCCTCGACCCAGGAGATGATCCATGACGAGAAGCCGATGTAGGCAAGCAGAATTCCTGGGAAGGAAGAGAAAATGGACTTGACCGAAGGTCAGGCTTGCCTATGACGAGGAGGAAAGGAACTTCGACGAATTGCGCATGTTCCAAGTGAGTCCATAGAAACTCGGCCACCTTAAACGATGATTTTTCTAGCATAAATGTAGCCCGACAACGGAAAACTTCAACAATAGTCAATAATCGAGAGATAGGATTGATAACAACAAAAAGTGAAAATGAAATCAATAAAAAAATGTTGAAACTTATGGAACAACTTTTAGATTTTTAGCTCATCACAGAAATACCAGGTTCGCTTCTGGATCTGGTTTTTTTTTTTGAAACAATTTTCATCTATGGATCACAGTTTGATCCCTGAAATTTTATTCGTCTATTCTAATTCTGAAATCTTGGACTTATTCGATCTTTATTTATTATTTTTTTGATGACAATTTTTCGTTTTTTTGCTTAATAGGTGAAATCGTTAGAAATCTTTCGAAACAGTGAAAAAAATTTCTCGCTGAATTGAAACCTTTTTTGGTCACACTTGAAAATGAATGGAAAGAAAAATTAGATTAAGTTCGAATAAGTAGTTATTTCGAAAACATCAAATAGAGCGAAAAATAACCTCATCTTCGCCGCCGGCTATTATAACTTGTCCGACACGTATCGAATCTCTGAAATTTAATCAAAAATTATTTTCGAAGTTCAACCAGAAAAATCTCAACAAGAATCTTAAAACTAAGAGAAAACAATTAAGAAATAAACCGTTTTCTGGTGGCTAAAATTTTTCACATCTGATTTGAGAGCAAGTTCAAATTTTCTGAAAAAATCAACCTCTGAAAACATGAAAAAAAAACCTGCGATTCCGACCGGATTTCCAACGTTTGTAGCGTCTTTTCACTGTAAACTTGTACTTGATAATTTCGGTGTAGAGACGATTCATTCCTTCTGTACAGAACTTGGCCTAAAAACATTGCTAAAATTCAAAATAAATGAAAAAAATCCTACCAAATCGGCAATCGTAATGAGGTATAACGGGATCCCGAAAAATAAATATACAAGGCAGAAAATTCGACCGACCGGCGAGACTGGGGCGTCGGTTCCGTAACCTGAGCAACAAGGTTTTTAATTTTCGAAAAATTCGCTTATTCAAAGGATGTTACTTCAATCAATCAGAAAATAGCCTAAATTTATTAAAAGCTGATAAAGTAACTGAAAAATAACAAATATGATGCAAAAAAGAGTAAAAATTGTGAAATTGAATGGAAAATTTAAATTGGTTGGAAGTCAAATATATGAACTAACCTATTGAAGTCAGAGTAGTTGCAGCAAAGAAAAGATTCGATGTGAAGTTGGAGAATGGATGTGAACTCGTGACGACCTTCGAATGCAAAATGAATGAGTTATATAAAAATCAGCTTTTTCGATAGGCTCTCTTTTCTCGACTTTTCTTTTGAAGAAGAAAAAAAAGGAGATCCAGAGAAACTATTGACATCTTGTTAGGAAAAAAAGTAGCTCTAGATTTTAATTTTAAAAAAAGTGGTTCTAGAATTTAATATTCAAGGTCTTTTTGGGCTTTGCTCGTGAAGGAGATAGTATCAAAGCAGTGAAAAAAATTAATAACAAACATTTTTTTCTTTTTTTATGATGCGAGGTCCTGAAAAATCTTAAGAGAACTAAAAAGAGGAACGCGGCAGCCAGAATTTGTGTGCCATTTACGTTTTTGCCCAGAAAAGTATTCACTTCTAACTTTAATAATTGGAAAAATGCGCTCAAAGAAAAAATCTCAAAATTAGATGGCAACGCTTTAGATTTTGGCGTGGCAATTTTTTCCTGATTAACAAGAAAAAATCTTCGGAATGTTTCGAGCAAGAAAATATACAGATCAGAGAACATACAGCATCGCGGCCGAGACCCTCGTTGTTGTAGACCTCGAAAAGTTCTTCGGCGAACTGGACGAAGCCACGCTCGAGTTCAGACCGATTGAGGGTGAGAAGCCTTCGGACCATCATCTGCTTCGATCTGAACCCAATCTGCTGAAGACGATCGGATCGGAGCATCCTACTGCTCAAGGATGGAGGGCGCCTGGGCAGTTTGGTCGTTGTACTTGATGATGGTGAGCATCCAGCCGCCGAACGCCGCGTAGATGATCGACACGAGCAGAAGCGTCACATGCGGCAGAGCCAGCCGCAGGACCTCAATTCGACTCTTGCCATTCGGCTTTGAGATTTAAAAACAAGCAAGGATCTCCCAAAATTAGTCTCTGAGAAATGAGCTCGACAGCTCATCCACAAGTTTTCAATGTAATTTGTTTATGATCACTTACACTTGGAAAGTAAAACATAAGCCAAAATTTTCTTGTTATGAAGTTTTTGAACTAAATGATTATAGAAGGTAAAGAAAAATTAAAGCTAATTAGAACCGAATATTCCTTTTCAAAAATACAGTATAATTTTTGTTTTTTTCTGTAGAATTCGATCGGATAAAAACAACTTTCCATAGAAGTGTTTGCGAAAAAAAGTAATTATTCATAATTTTTTTCTCTGATTTTTTTACATAAATTAACTGTCGAGGTTAAGCACTTTCTCCAAAAATTTTTTTCAGCCTAAATTTTGAAATCGATCTGAAAATGATAATTTGAAAATAAAATGGGCTGATCACTTGGCAAAAAAACAATTTCGCAGAGCAAATTAGAGCAACCTCAAACTAGAAACAAACCAATTGCTTCGTGAGTCCAAACTGTCCCGGTGTGAGCTCTGAGAAGCGACAGAGACCGGAGTTGAGGATCGCCGGTCCGCACATGACGCCGCCCGGATGGTTCAGCGTCGGAATGGGCGTCACGCAGCGGCTGGCGTCCGGAAGCAACAGGATGATGGCGGAGAGTCTTTTTTCTCTGGAAGGATCCGCGAAAGGTGGAAGCGCAATGGGGAGGGAGCGCCTCTCGCGGGAAATCAAATCATTAGCCACTCAATTCCAACGTTTCCCTACTCGTTTTGGTTCTTCTCAATAACGTCAACATCCCCCGAAATGGTCCCGACCGCAGTGTATGCTGGCTGAAGTTTGACTTTTTCAGTTTACTGATGACTAAGTGAATTATTTTAACCTTGAAATCGAAAAATCGTGGCTTCTGTTTTTCATGTGTTAGTTATCACATCCATTATAGATTTCCTATCCTTTTCAAACTTTCGGGTTTTCTCTCGGTGATTCACATCAAAAAAATGGTAGAGACAATAATTAATTTTGAAAACATTTCAAAAAGTCTTTAAGGTCATGTCATGCAACATTTCTCCAATAGGAATCGAAACTTGTAGCAGAAAAAAACAAAAAGAATTTTTTCCGGACAGTAATTTAACTAAAGAAAGACTGAATAAACAAAAAAGTTCACAAAATGATAAATGGTGAAAAAAGACAAAAAGGCGGCCGCTTCTTTGTTCGGACACAGCACCGTGAGCCTAATAAGGGAGGCCAAACGCGTGTAAATCTCATCACGTATTGGATAAGGCCGGAGAAGACGCGATTTATTTCGATGAGGGCATCCGAAATGCTCGTTTTGTTCCTTTCTATCTAACCTCTACAGCTTTATTCATACTTTGTTAAAGTAACAGGGCATATAAAGCATTCTTAAAAATCGTAAAAAAAAAGCCAAACTCCATTATTACAGATAACTTCGAGAAAAATGCATTGCAACACTACCGCCATTGCGGGAAAAGTTTCGAGGACACGTCGGAGAAGTTTCAAAGAAGTTTGAGGCCGCCGGTGACCGAGTCGACCTGTTCGACCGTGCCGAAAACTCCGAGAACAGTTCTGGAGCCGGCTGGAATCTGCGTGTATCCAGCGTCCTGTACCAGATAGTAGTAGCATCCCTGAAATCATCCGAAATGTGTCTAAAAATAGAAGATGTGCTCCCAATGAAAACTTCTTTCAGACATGAAAAACCAACCCACCGAAAGTAAACTTTTATTTAAAAATAACTTTGTTTTGATTGGCTAAAAATTATTAGGAATGAAAAAATTTAGATGTTGTCAGAAAAAGTAAACAGAGGAACCGAGAAAAATTAAGATATTCCATCGCAAATTCAAAAAAGTTAACTGAAAAAAACTGATTTTTTTCATTTTTTTCAAGAAAAAAATAACCTCCCATTTTAATGTGAGCATCATTATTAAATCAAATATAACTTTCATGTTTTTCACTAAGCAACCCGCAATGTTATGAAATATTTTAATATTTGTAAAAAGAACAAAAAAATGCTCACTAGATTAGATGATTACGAATTTTTTCAACTCAACAACTTCTGCCAAAGTAACGATGACTTTTTTTTATAGCAGTCCTATATATCAAACCTTGAACTAGTTTTTAAAGCCTACGTTTTACAATTTCTATTTTTTTTTTCTACTAACCGCATCTTTAGCCGCCTTGCAGAGGTCCATCAACTGCTCTGTACTCTGTCCCTTCACCACAATTTTCACCTGAACATTTTCTCGTTTTCCGGAATCTTTTGGATGAATTACCTGTCCATGACGCGTCCACTCGTTGATAGCGGAAGATCCATCTTCGGAGTTCATCGCCTGAATCTTCGCCTTGATCAACGAACTCTTAGTTGCGAAACCTGACGATAAACTCCCAAAGTGGCGTGGCCAACTTGGGCCGCGAGTTTTCCGGTTCCCATCTTCAGGCTCATATTTGCCACGAGAACCATCTTGTGTGTACGGCCGCCTGAGTATTGTTTTCAGTATTATTAGTGTACGAAAACATTCAGTGAAAAATTTTCAAAATGTTATATTCACTGGAAAGCAATCTCAAAGTTCCGGTCAATAAAATGGAAAAAAATCTCAATTTTTAAACTTTTTTTTTTGAAAAAAGAAAGAGAAAACAGAAGCAGTAAAATGAGGTCAAATATTGGTCAAAAATTGACTTTCCTTTGAAAAATAATAAATCTTCGAAGCCCTGTAACCTACGTTTCTGCATCTCTCTAACAAAATGGCTAAGAACGCCGGTCGCATTTTGCGACGTATCGGCCCCAGAAGCCTCACCTGTGGACAGAGATCCTGAAACACAGAGGTTTTAATGATCGATACAAAAATATCGCTTTACCTCCCATTTCTACGTCGCCTTCCTCGTCGCTGCTGCTCGAATCTTCTTCTAAGTCACTCAAATTTGATCTTTCGACTATCCAAGCGACCGCCTCAAAATCAAAACTTGAAACTGAATAATGCTTGGTAGAATATACCTGCTCAACACCTGAATTATTAGTTCTCTTCAAAGCCAAACGAGCAGTGAATTCGTCGAAACCGAGATCCAGCAGCTGTGCCAGAAACTCCGGATTTACCTTAAAGGGAACGTAAAATATGTTTTCCAACCTTACTTTTCTTTCAACCAATATGAAACGTTCAACTTCACGAAAAAGTCGAACTTTTGATAAAAATAAAAATTCATTCTCTGATCTCGAGTTTGAAAATACTGAAAACCGCTGCGGATTTTTTTATAAACAGCTTATTTTAATTTAATTCAATTGAGTCATTTTCTAAAAATTAACATGATTTACATAATACACTCAAAAAGAAGAGAATTGATTGATTTGAAAAAAATAATGATAGTAGAAGTATAATTTTAGCTGTTTCACACGCAGTAAACGTAGAGATCATTTTTCAATTTGCAACGAAACCTACCTAACAAAAAAAAATAATACTTTCAATCTGCTTTCAAATAAAGACGTTATTTATCCTATAATTGTGACCAATACCGTGAAAGAATAGCAAACGAAAAAAAAAACTTTCTAGAGAAAATACCTCGTTAGGTTCCTGAGGATCGACTGGATGGCTAGAAGATGAAACTTGTTGTGGATTCAGAAATCCTCCGGCGTGGACAGGAGCCGGATCGGAGAGTGCTTGGCTCGAGATAGATAGTGCAGAAGAGGAAGGAACCGGAACCTGAGGAGATATTGTTGGAAAACAGAAAGAGGAGACAAAAACCTCTGGGATATCTCCTGAGAAAGGATCCGAGACCTGAGCTCCAGACAACGAAAGATTTCTGTCGTGAAGTGAAGGAGCGTCGACTGTCACTGAAGATGGCGTTGGAGATCCTGCAGAAAAATTTTTTTTGGTTCTAGATGGAAACAAATTTTGAAAATGTGAACAGTAAGACTCAAATTTTTTTAAAAAATTTTCTCCTGAAAATTAACTCCTTCAATTTTTCCATAAATATGAAGTGCAGTTTGAAAAGTGTGTAAGTTTCTTTTTTTTTCATTTTGGAGGCTACCGCGGATTGAATAGGGTGCTCGTGAATGGCTTCAAATAGAAAATAGTGTTCATTAAGAGTTCTAACACACATTTTAACAGAAAAAGCTTCGATTTAGATTAACATAACTTTTTCGATGATGCCCTGTTTTTTCATAAGGATCTTTTCTACCTCGCTCAGCTCTGATTGACGCGTTATCCGGCTCAGGTGGGTTGTCTGTGGGCAAATCAAACTGGTGGCCGACAGGTACGCTAAAAATGAATCCTTTAAAACAATTGAAAAAATGAAAACAAACTTGGGAAGAAGGTCCGACGGTTCAATATCTGGAATATTTTCAGACATTCAAAAGGTTCTTTTTTCCTCGCGGGACTTTCGGTTGGCTTCCTGTTGTTGTTTCCTAGAAAACAATTATTTTTTTATCTGGTGCAAGAAAATAATGACTTGATGCGTTGGTATTCGGTGAGGTCTTCGGTTTCGCGAGGACCACGGATGTTCTCCCAGTTGTCAGTATCAAGATCGGCAACTTCCTGAAGATTTTCAGCTGATCTTCCAATAAACTCAAAAAATGGATAACCTTGTAAACGCTATCTACTGTGACGTTGTCTCGCAAACGAACTCCACTTTTGGAAAGATCTGTTCTCTGAAAGGAGATCTAGTAAATATGAGGATCCCATTAAAAAAACGCAAAAAACAATCGAAAGGTTAGAGAAAGAGAAAGCACACAGAGATTGGGAGAAGCTTGTTAGTTTCCGTGTTCAACTGACCAAAGTATCCAAATTCGCGTCCTGCTGTTTGATCTTACGAAAATCAAAGCGGACTTCTTGAAAAAAATGAAGACCGTAGGCACCACCCAAGACAATGGCGAAGAACGGGAGACCAACACGCACAAATTTGAGGTTACGATTGCTCATAAATGACAAACGTGCGCTACTGAAAAAGCTTCCGATCAGTACATAAGGAAATTTTATCTAATGAAATCTTTCAACAACTACAGAAAATAAAAATGATCATATAATGGTTTAGCACTTAAGGAAGGTAATGAGATCGCAGTGGTGACGCAAACTTAAATCGAAAAAAATTATTAAAGCGAGCGTTCGAATTACTAACACAATTAAATATCAAATCAGATGGTCAAAAGATTTTTTTAGAGAGGAGCCGAGATTGAAAAGTAATAAATCATCATCAATCTTATCAACCTTTTTTTTTTGCAATTCAATTAAATCAGTTATTTCTTTGAAAAAAACTTAGAACGCCTGAACTATTTGAACGATCCTCCTAAGTCAAATCCGAAAAACCCCATCTTTCTGTTATGAAACCTACAAACGAATCAATGATATAGAAAAAAAGCAGAAATAAAAAAATGCAGAAATTAATTGCACACGCGGGTGTATGCTGAAGACAATTCTGCAAGCTCCGCCCACTGCGGCAGGGTTTTGTGAGCACTGCGCGTGAACAAGAAAAAACGTCCGATTTTTTTTGAGCTTAAAGGGAAGACAAAGAGATTTAGATGTTTCTTTCAGCTTCCAACCATCTATCGAAGAAATAGCGGGGAAAATTCCAGAATCGCCCCCCACACTGTTTTTGCCCCCCGCGTTCCAACAAGCCCCCCACCAAGCCAAGTTCCGATCTGTGGGGGGTAAAATAGGAGGACTTCATGTGGGGGGAAGAATCGAACGCGGGGGGTGAATATGTATTCTAGAATGGCCCCCCACAGTACAAAACGGGGGGCGATTCTGAAATGCCTAGGCAATCTTTCATATTTGCCCCCCGCACGGCTTTGAAATAGTCCCCCCCAGAGCTCATTCGAACAAGCCCCCTCCCATTTTCAGAATGACCCCCCTCTCATTTCAGAATGGCCCCCTCCATTTCAGAATGGCCCCCCTCCCATTTCAGAATGGCCCCCCTCTATTTCAGAATGACCCCCTCCATGTCAAGTATTTTTATTTATTTGACGAATTGTTCACTGTGGCTCAGTTTTTTTCGAAGCGAGCCACAGTCGGCTTCGCGCTATGCGCGCTCCGCCTCCGTGTGAAGCCTTAAAAACTAAGCCTATTTTCCTAAGTAATTTATTAATTAATGTGCATGAAAAAGAAAAAAAGCAAAAAAATTCTATTCCTCAGAACAATTACTTGATTGAAAAACTAATAAAGTTCATCTTAAATTTTTTTCTAAGTGGTCAGCGCCCCATAATTTTATGATATTCGTACGTATCTCGGCGAGACGTACCCGTAAACTTCTTTGTCTGACTTGAACTTCTCATGAAACTCGGACAGCGACCTAATTTCTTCCATGATCTACAAATCAAATCACAAAAAAATTATTAAATTCACAAAAAGAACACGAATTTACATGCGAAAAATACAAAAAAACCATTTGAAACAACCAAGAACGACGAATGATACGAAAAAAATTAGAAAAATAAATTTAAAAAAATGGAAGCTCTGACACGTGTCCTGCGTGATCGTTGCGTGACTTTTTTTCGGTGTGGGGGGTTATACTGGATAGTTCAGGGGGCTATATTGGATAAGTGTGGGGGGCTTGTTCGAACGTGTCGCGGGGGGGTGATATCCAACATATGCGGGGGGCTATACTGTAATATGCCCAAATAGCGAAATGCAAGTTCAAAAAGAGCTTTTTTCGCATTAAAATCAAGAAGATACATACGATTTCAGTGAAGGTCCCGGGAAATTTTCTATTGATAAAGATGGAGAAAACTGACAAAACAGAAAAAAATAATTAGTTTGTTTCAAGTTCAGACTTTTAATGTATTCAAATGCGCAGTGGACACAACGAAAGGAATTATGTATTCCAATCGGATGGAACGGAGCGTTTACACTCCAAGTGCTCCGCATGCGCCATGAATGGTCGGTTTCATTGATTTTCAAAATAACTTCCACCTTGAATTTCTGTAGTGACTAACTTATCGAAGCATGGACGTCACATCACGGCGGATACACGTTCCGCCGCCGAACAGCCGTCGTTCTCCTCCAGAATCCTGGAGCATTCCGATGAGTGCGCTTCTGAGGAAGGCTCACGGCGACGTCCTGCAACTGGAAGACCTGCCGTCGGTCAACGAGAAGCACAAGTCCACTGTTCTAATGAGAGGCCACAAATGGAGTGGGAAGAATGAGCTGGTCTCACTTCAGACCTTCTTGCAGAAGACGAGAAGCGGATAATCGTTTCGCTGGTGATGAAGTTCTGGAAGACTTTTGCTCTGGCTTCATTCTTCCGTCTTTGTTCCATTTTCGCCGATTTCGGATCTATTCTCTTGCTCAAGTACAGTTATTGAGCAAATTTATCAACTTCTTTTCCTCTTCAAGATATCTCATCGACGCCACTGAAAGTTCGGCCTCGCTTTTCACATTTTTCATCATTTCGGTTCTCATTTTGTTCTTCATTCTACTGAAAAGCGTGTCTTTTGGTTTGAAATGCTTCTATTTAGTTTTAAATTACGACTGTCCAGGCATCCATACGTACCTCGTGTCTCAAGACAGCACACTCGTCGGCGTTGTTCTGAACAGTTTGATCGTGAAAAAGGTCAGTCTTTCTTGCGTTAACTAAAGCTCATTCTTTGGTCAGAGCTTGAGTTTATCGGCAGCCTCAGAAATCTGGACGCCAGCCAAGGTGACGAAGCTGGTCGCAACGCATTCCGAGGCCATCTCTTCGGCACTTATATTTGTTCACCACTCTTGGGCGTCAGCTATAGAAGTTTTTTGAAAAAAATGTGAATACATCAAAGTTTTTTCAGTTGACTATCGTCCTCATTTGGATTTGGGAAACTCTCGGCACGCAGACTATATTGGGCGTCGCCCTCGTCACCGTTCTTTTCATGTCCCTAAACCTGGTTGTCACATCCTACTATAGAAAATTCCAGGTCTCTTCTAACATTTTGAGGCTTCAAGAACAATCTTTTCAGAAGCAGCAAATGGTGAAACGAGAAGAAAAACTTGATATTCTGAAAGAAACTTTGTCTTCGATCGAGGTTATCAAGGTGTTCACTTACGAGCAAGCCTTCATAGGACGGTTGCTCAACGCAAGGAATTCAGAGGTTGCTTTCCAGTAGTTCTCGCGAATATTTCTCTTCAGATGAAATATCTGCGATTCACTATGCTCGTCAACCGTTTGATGCATTCTTTCAACACTTCCGCTCCTTTTTTGGTGCTTTCCCTTTCTTTCGAGCCTCCAAGAATACTTTGCAGGTGATGATGGTGAGCTTCACAACTTACGGCATCTTGGCCAACATCGACGACCTTCGGTTCGAAGACGCCTTCGTCATGATCGCCATCTTCAACTACATGCGTCGCCCCCTCGCTACGATTCTGCCCTCTCTGCAGTTTCTCAGCAACGTCCGTGAAAAAAATTCAGCAGAATCAACCAAAATTTCAGGCTTTTTACTCCGCCGCGCGCATCAATGCTTTTTTGAACTTTCGACAGTCTCCTAACTTGGTTCCGAGCTCTAGAGCATCTGAAAAAGTTGGGATTCATCTTGAAAACGCGTACTTCTCTTGGGATGACAGTCGAGATCATTTAGAAGATGTGAGTTTGGAATAATTCTTCTGAAAAAAAAAAACTTGGTGATTCAGGTCAACTTTGAGGTCAACCAAGGCGAAGTCCACTCTATAATCGGCCTACCAGGGTCCGGTAAAACTTCGTTACTTTTTGCGATTCTTGGTACATTCCTTTTCTGAGCCAGTTGAGTTTTTCGAGATTCCAGGAGAGCTGAAAGTGACAAAAGGTTTGCGGAAAGTGAGCGGAAAACTTGGTTTCGTTCCATATCAGCCGTTCGTCTTTGCCCAGACAGTCAAAGCCAACATTTTGTTCGGCAATCCATACGAGAAGCCTCGTTACGATGCGGTTCTCCTCATCTTTTCATATGAAACTATCGAAATTTGAAGGTAGTGTCGGCGTGTGATCTCCGAAAGGATATCTTCGCGTTTCCACGATGCGAAGCGACGGTTGTTGGAGAGAAAGTCGGAAGAGAGCAAGTCCAAACAGAAAAAGTTCAAATTCAGGGTTTTCCATTGACTGAAACTCAGAAGGCGCAAATATCTCTAGCAAGATGCCTCTACGACGTCAGTTGTCTTTACTGATTTTTTGTTTTATTCCGAATTCAGGATCCTGAAATTCTCGTTCTCGACAAGCCGTTTGCAACGATGGATAGAGCGACAGCAAAAAGAATCTATCAAAGAGTAAATTGGAAAGAAACGGAGTAAACGGAAAGAGTTCAGCTTTTTGCCGATGACGGACTTCTCAAATCGAAGACCGTCGTCTGGGCTACAAGCAACACTGATTTTGCGCAGAGAGCCACTAAAATTCATCTTTTTGACGGTACAGTCAGGATAAACAGCATACATTCTTGAAATGGAAAGTACAGGAGGTAAAATTGTGAAAAGCGGCAGTTTGGACGACGTTTGTCACAGCGAAGTGTTCAAAGAACTCGAAAAAAGACACGTCGAGGAGCATCATCCGCCGCCGAGTCTCCTCGAGTCTTCTTGTCAGTTTGAAAAAGAAGGATTCTGAAAAAAAGAGACTTGCAGCCGTGCGATCGAAGAAGAAAAAGACAGTCATGTTTGAAGTGGAAAAGGCGTCTGAACGTAAGAGACAGGAGGTTTTCCCACCAGTTCAGGTGACATCTCCAATGTTCTAAAACTTATTTGAAGTTTTCAAGTCTCCTTGGAAAAACCTCTACATTTACTACATAAAATGCTTTTCGTGCCAAATGCTCACGTGTATGGTCTCTTTTCTGATCTTCCGTTACTTTGTCCAGGTTTGGGGAACAAGTTTCAGTCCAGGCTACCGGGATTTTCGAGGCGACGACGTTTTTCTGGCTTGCCTACTGGCTAGAGCCGAAATCTCGAGAAGCCGTTTGTCCTGGCTGTACTCAGTTCACTTTCCTCCAAATCTTCTGCATTTTGGCTCTCACCGCAGGTAATCGTTCCTTCTTTTTCTGAGCCTCCTTCGATTTCGTCAAAAGAAAATGATAGATAGAGAAATCAATGAGAAGCTTTCTATATGTAGTTTCAAACGGTGAGTGTTCTTCAAAATAAGTTGGAATTTTCCAAAATGATTATGTTCAACTAGTCGGTATATTTTTATTATAGAGGTTACAGTTCAGATTAGTTTGAAGAAGATTTGCTGTCTTAGTTGCCTTGAACGCGTGCGCCTACTACTTCTCGATCATCGGCAACATCAGAGCGTCGAAGAAGATGTTCCACGACGTCGTCGAAGCGATTTTCCGTCTTCCATACGTCTACTTTGATGAAAACACTAGAGAAAGCATCTTGACCATCATGACGACAGTTCGACCATTTTGCAGGCTTCAAATTTTTCTTTTTGTTCAGAATTTAGATGAGAGTGACGTCGTCTTTCCTCTTTACGCTCGTTTTTTCATCGAAACCGTTCTCAACGTAAGTCTCAGATATTTAAATTCCGTCAGATGGTTTTCAGATGCTGATGATCGTGGCGATAGTCGTGGCCAACATGCCCATTTATACAATCTTCGTGATAGCATTTGCACTCTTCTACTTCTTCATGCTGGTATGAAAACATAACCTTCATCAAAAAAAGAGGCTTGCAGAAATTTTTCCTTCCATCTCTGCACAAAATTCTGAACGTCGAGAAACAAGTGCACAGATCGTTCTTGTGCTCCATCGCACAAAACTTTGAGAGCCGCATGAGTATTCGCGCCTTTCGGAAAGGTTATTAGAAAAGACTTCGACGTATCTTTCTTGATAGGCGAAGGAGACTCTACTGACGGCCTACGAAGAGATCGACAGACTCACGCGAAGTCGTCTGGCTCAACTTTCGGCTTTTCGCTGGCTCTCGTTCCGTCTCGAGCTTGTCGCCAATCTCATGGTCGTTCCAGGAAAAAGCTAGAGTTTGACAATGGCCTTTCAGATCTTCTCTTGCTTGGTGATGGCCTCTATTTGCCAGGCGTTCGGCGTCTTGTCTGCACCTCGATTCGCCTTATCCGTTGCTTCCATCCTCTGTGTGAGAATTCACGACGACTTCAACAGCTTTGAGCCTAACTTCAGCTCTCCGACCTCGTGACGTCATCTCTTCGGATTCTGTGTCACGTCGAAACCAGCGCGCAGGCTGTTGACCGCGTCTCACAAACTGAAAACTTCCCCAGAGAAGTGATCGTAGATTTTTATGGAAATTACGATTTCATACTACCAACACTCAACAGCCACAAAAAAATATTAAGAATAAAAATTTTTTCTATTCAAAACCTTCATTTCTAATCAAATATGAGACTATTAAACTTCCAGCAAACGTATTCGGAAGAAAAAGAAAGCGAACATTGGCAACCTGGCAGCGCCATCGAAGTTGAAAAGTGAGTATGTGGAATAAAATAGAGGAAAAATGGAAAATTTAGCCTGAACGTGTTTCTGAAAAAGGAGAAGCATGTTTTGAAAGACGTGACAATGAAGATCGAGGCTGGAGAGAAAGTTGGGATGATCGGAAAGTACGGCGCAGGTGAGATGGTTATTTTTAGTGAATAAGATCAGAAATAAGTTCTATGAGTTCTGACTTAAGAGACATCTGAAGATAGCAAAAGCTTTTGAGAAAAAAAGCTCAAAAAGCGAATTGAATAAGTTGCATCCTCGTCTGGAACATTTTGAGCTACAAGTTCAAACGGGAATATATCCAGGAAAATCTTCCTTCATCTACTCCTTGGTCCGAATGAACAACGCGGATGATGAAAGCATCATCCGCATCGACGAAATCGACATCAGCAAGTACAGCACCTCGGAGCTCCGAACGAAGATCACCATCGTTCCACAGGCATTCCTTATTGACTTTCCGAGATTCAGCCTTCTTTTGCAGAAGTTGATGGTGTTCAGCGGGACGATCCGCTTCAATATCGACCCTCTGTATCAATTTGCCGACAGCGACCTTTGGCTTGCACTTGAAGCAGTGCATTTGAAGCGTTTTGTCCAAGATTTACCCAAAGGACTCGACCAAGAGATCACAGAAGCGGATCTTAGGTTTCATAATCCTTGTAAATTGGACTGTTTCGCATCAGCCTCGAAACATTTTTTGAAAAAACCACAATTTTGGTACTCAAATATTTTGACTAGATGGTTTTGAACAAAAAAAAATGTGGAATCAGCAATTCCGAAAACGAAATATGGGATTGATTATATAATTTCAAAACGGAACTTCGTTTCTTGATTAAAATAATTTTGAAACTCGCAAACTGCAGTTTGGAACAACGGCAGCAAATCAACGTGTGTCGCGGACTTCTGAGGACCGGCTGCCAGATTTACGTGTTCGACCAGTCGATGGAGTTCATGGGACAATCACTGCGACATCTTCTGAACGAAGTGACGGCAAAGAACGTCCAGATCACGATTCTCCTTGCAGACGATCCAGGAGATGTTGCGGCCGACGACGGTCATCTCCATCACGGAAGACCTTGAAGACGTCGCCGACGCGGACCGAGTCGCCGTCTTCGACGAAGGCTGCCTCGTCTGCCTCGATACGCCGCAGATCGTCGCTCAACTCAACGCCGAAGCCGAAAAGACCTTGTGAACCGTCAAAATAAATAATTGTTGTTTTCAACTTCCTTGTCTTATAAAATTTTCTTATTTTCAATATTTATTAAATATTATTATTATTGGAACAACACATTTTCGGTGTTCAATTGCACGATGCACAAACGAATTCGCACCTGATTTGGAGAACTTTGGAGACACGAGACGAAGAGAGAAAAAGGAAAAAAATAAAAAATAAAAAGTACACAACGATATGAGGCAAAACAACGTAAAACAAAGGAAATACAACGTGTGACAATTTGTTAAGGCTTGTGAGGTGTTTTTGGAGAAAGCTTAAGTTTTGAGAGGCTCAGACAAGGCAGAGAGCTTCGCAGTCGGACTTCTTCTCGAAGCGGTTCTCATTGCCGCCACAGCCGCGGAAGAAGAATAGCTTGCAGCGGCGGTCTCGCGGCGAATAGAAGTACTGTAGGTTGGTCCGCGACGGCTTCTCATCGTCACGGCACACGCGGCCTGTAACATTTCCTCGTTAAAACTTATTTTCGACAAGGTCTTACCTTCAGATGGCTTGATCTGGCAGATGGACTTGTCCAGAACTGCCTTCTGGGTCGTCGTCGTCACTTCTTCTGACGGCGTCTCTTTGGCACCACCCAGGTCGATGGAAACGTTCTCTGCTTCAACTTCAGGCGCCGCTGGTGAAGTTTCAGCGAGCTTCTGGAGTTGATCTCTCTGCGGACTCATTGGCTTCATTTGGAGGTGAGCCAAAGGCCCTTCCTCCTCCTCTTCGTCTTCGTCCTCTTCCATCTCGCTGGCTTCGAAAGCTAAACCCCTTTTTTTCCAATATTAAAAGTTGTAAACTAACGAGAAGTGGTGGTGGTCGTCGTTGAGTCAGAAAGAGAAAGTCTGTGGGCAAAGATTTCTTCAGAGGCGATTCTTTGAGCGTCTCCGAACATCGGACAGCAGAGCCGAGCTGAAGGAAATCATCCATTTTAGGGTATATAGAATTCAAACGAACAGCTCTTTTCAACGTCAATGGCGCAGTAGTATCCCTTCGGACACATTTTCAGACCGTCGAAGCCTGATCCGCAGGGAAGAGGTTCGTTGTTCTCCATCATCAGAGGATCAGCGGCGTCGGGGCACATGTACCTGAACATTAATCCAAATTAAAAGCCGTTCTCTTTTGGTTTAATTTAGAAAATACCAAACTGACTTCGGAGTCGACAGGAAGACTTTCCGGTTGAATCCACGAGGGAGGTTTGACTCGCTGGTGACAGTTCCTCGGTTGGCATCGGTCACAATGTCTTCTGGCTTCTCTGAACATCGAAAGTCATCTTAAAAGTCTCGAAAATGCTCTAACCTAGCTTGGGATCGACTCCAGGGCAGCAGACATCAGGAGGTCCACGTCGGCAGTAGTAGGACGAGGGGCAGCCGATCGAGTCGGTCGTGTTTCCGCAGAGAACTGGAGAAGATCCGCCGAGTGGGGCTCTTCCTCCAGGACACTGTCCCGGCGCCAGAGTTTCTTCCGGCTCAGCAGGCGTCTCCGTCGTCGACGCGATTGTAGGCACACTTCCTCCGATCTCTTGAAAAAAAGTTTGATGGGGAAAAAGGAAAAATCTGACTTTGAATGTCAAGGATGCAGAGGCGCTGGCAGTCCTGAAGCGAGCCGAAGTTGTTGGCGTTTCCGTCGCAGCCAGAGTACTCGAAGAGACGACACGAGTCGGAGCTCATGTCGTAGTAGTAGCGGACGTGGGTCTCCTGGCACGAGCCGCGAACCAGAGGCTGGAGACAGAGAGAGTTGGCGTTGTGTCGCGGCTCGGGCTGGGATCGCATCCGTTGGGCTCGCGAAACGGTGTGCGGCTTCTCAGCTGAAAAAAAGCTTCCAGTCAACCCATTTACCTTTTCTGGAATCACATTTGAGTGTTGAAAAGTATTTAGCTGTCTTTTTATTTTCTTCATAAAAATACTGTCTCTGCCTTTTCCAAGCTTAAGATACAGCGTTTTCGATTCAACGAAGCTTGATGGTAATTTTTAAAAACCAAAAATCAGAATTATGAAGATATTCCCTTTGAGAGTATCACTAAGTGTGAAATTGAGCTTATATTTGCTTCTAGATTTTCAAACGCTTTTAAAAATCGGAAACTTTAAAGGATAGGTTGGAAGACATTAAAAAAAATTACCATCGAATCTGAGTGGAGCAACGACGGAATCCAGGCTGAATTCGGCGTTTCGACGCTGTCTCAACGGCACTTCGTCCATCAGGCGACGGATTCTGAGCGGTCCGAAGACCTTGTAGCCCTGCTTGGCCTCCTCGCCGTCGTAGCCGCCAAACGCGTGCTTGTCGTAAGGATCTTCCTCGTTAGGACAGCAAGTGAAGTCGATTCCGTTGAAGTAACACGAAGAGCCGTCGGGGCACTGCAGAAAGGTCTTTCGATGCAGAAGAACCTTGGAAAATACCTGATTCTTTCCAGGAAGACACATGACTGGTCGGCCGTCAGCGTACCGGATTTCTTGTCGACCGTTGGCGCAGGCCGGCATGTTGGATGATTCTTTTTTGCGCAAATCAGCGTCTGAATGAGGGAATGATGAATGTGAACTACAGATGATGAATACCGATGTTGATGGCCTTGCCTTCGTCAGCAGGGAACGTTCGGATTCCACTCGCTCTGTGATTCACCTGTAAAAATGATTATGAAAAAATAATAAATTTTTCCTTTTCTTTTTCACTTCTTTTCTTCCCAGGAAACACATTTTTTAATGTCATTTCCATCAACTTCTGTGTTCCTATACCGATCAATAAGATGATATCACTAACCTCTCCGGTCTGATAGTTGACGGTTTCCTTGGGGCTCATTCCAACGATAGGCTGACCATCGTTGGCAGTTGGGAACTTTTCGCGTCCGACAACCGACTCGGCAGGATAGCTCTTGGACTCCTTGCGGATCTGCTCTTCAGTGATCGTTTTAGAAGCCTGGGCGGCGGGAGGTCGCGGCTCTGGAGCTGGAGGCAAGACTGGAAGGCTGTCAGGGGTCGGCGCAAGGAGTGGAGGCAGAACTGGAAGGTTGTCAGGAGTCGGCGCGAGTGGCGCCAACAGTAGTTCTGGAGTCGTTGGCTGAGGAGCAGCGGCGGTTGTCGTCGCAGCAGCCGTGGTCGGAGCTGCCGTGGTCGGAGCAGACGACGTCGTCGTGACGGCTGGAGGAACTGGACGAGTGGTCGTGGCGGCGGTGGTAGTCGTGGATGGAGAAGCTGTCGAAGTGGCTTCCGAAGGGATTAGCAGAGGCGGCAGTTCGATTCCTTGATCGATGTTGGCAACGATGGCGCGATGGATGCTCGACAGAGGAGCGACTCCATTCTCCGGAGATTCAACTCCGAGTCTCTCCAACTGCAATCAAAACTTTGATTAAAATTGGGCGCGTAATGTTTTTTTTTTCTTTCTGAAATTTGATTCATTGATTGAATACCTGACTTCCTTCACTTTGTTCTTTCCAACTGTAGGGATAGTTATATTTATGAGACCTTTACGCGGTTTTTTTTTCTTTCTAGAAATGCTCTTCCAAAATGTCCGATGCAACTGCTTTTTGACGCCAACGCAAAATTAAAAGAAAATTCCTACGAATATTTTAAATATAGTGCAAACCGAATAATCATCCTCTTCCTCGCTTTCGATTGGTTCAGCAGTGGTTGTGGTTGGCTGAGTTTTCTGGTTATTTGGGCTGGATGCTGAAATATTCTGAGTTCTTGGAGTATAATCAAGTTTAACGTGAAAAGAAGCATTGTATTTTCAGTCTTTATTTGATCGAAAATAAACTGACGAGTGCAAAGACGCTCGCATTCGCTGAGAGTCTCGAACTGGTTGGCGTTGCCTCCGAGGCCTTCGAAGACGAACTGCTCGCATCGCAGGTTCTTCATGTTGAAATACCTTGAAAAGCGGTCATTATCTCTATCGATTCATCTAACAAACCATTTGACGTTGTATCCCTTGCCGAAGCCGGCGTCCTTGTCGATTGCGCAACGATCGGGAACCTGGGAGAGAATGACGTGGTCTGAAGACGTCAGTTTTTCATTCAACTCAGTCTGGAGATCTTACGTGGGATGCACTTGCGCTCGCAAATGTTCCTATCCGGGAAGTTGTTGGGGTTTCCGCCGCAAGAGCCGAAGGAGAACTGTTCACATTGGCCGGTTTGAGAGTTGAAGAACCAGCGTTGGACGTAGTTGGAGCAGGTTCCAGCGTCTGGAGGCATCGCGCACACGATTCTGCCGTCAAACTTGGGCTCCTGCAGAGAATTATGCTTGAAGATCAGAAGATTGCTGTTTGTCAAGAATCATTTCAGTTTTGATTTCTCAAAAGAATTTCCGAAAAAAACCAACTTTTTCCAAATTTTTTTTTCAAAGTTTTTATTTTAAAACTCACAAAGCTCGAGGTGACAGCGGGAACGACGAGATTCTCCGAAGTGGTCGTTTTTGGAGCAGCTGTGCTTGGAGTGGTGCCCAGAGTGGATGGAGGAGATACTCGTGGAGGCATGGCTGAAAATGGATACTCTATTAAAATCTTTGAAATTTCAACTCACCAAAACTGTTGACATCGACAGGCTCAGGAGCTCGACCGATGGCGTTCTTCGAGACGTCTTCCACTGATTTGAAGTTTTCGTCAAGTTCGGAGGTTTGAACAATGTGCGATGGCTTCTCCACTTCAAAAGTGTGAGAGCTGGAGACGTGACTGTGTTCTGGAACCACGTCAATCAGTTCGGTGTTCTCGTCTTCATCGCTTGAGAACGCGAATCTGGACGGCTCCGTGGGAATGGCCTTTGTGGAGACTGTTGTGGCTTCAGCCGTCGTGCTTGGCTGAGTGCTAGGTTCTGTGGATGTGCTTGAGGGGAATACATGCTCGATCGTGCTGGCTTTTGGATCTTCATGCTCTTCGCTGCTTACATTCGAGAACTCAGAAACCTTTTTCTCTTCGGTAACTTCTGCTGTTACGCTGTCTTCTGTTTCCGATGGCTCCTCCTCTCTATTAGGGATCGGTTGAATGTTGATTCTCTTATACTCATTGATAGGGTCTGAGGGAGGGAGAGCAGGCACGATATTTGACGTTTCTTCTTTCTCTTCTTCACGCTCGAGTTCAGAGCCAGAGCCATTGATTTCTTCCGCAAACTCAGAATTTGGTGTGGATGCATGCGGGGCTGTGCCGAACAAGACCTTCTGACTGGCCTCCGACTCTTCAACGTCCTTGATGACCTGCTCCCTTGAGAAATCGTCTTCAGGCATGCTCTCGACCTCGTTGACGACTGTCGTCTCATTTTCTTCTTCGAGAACGTCTTCTGCAGTCGTGCTAGTGCGATAGATACTAGTGCTTGTAGTGGTTGCAGGAGTTGTGCTACTAGGTGCTCCAGTAGTGGAGGTAGTGGAAGAAGAGGGAACAAAGCCTGTGATAATTCGATTTGGATTGTGATGGACAGGTGGTGAGATGACGGAGAGCAAAGAGCGGCTCTGAGTCGGAATACGGGGGACGAGCGTCGTCTGCAGTTCTGGTGCTGGTGGGTGAGCAGCCGAGATGGCGTCGAGACCAGCGATTGGCAGGACTTCCAGGTGCTTCTTACCAAGGATAGGTCCAGCAGCGGCTTCACGGAGTGGTGGATTCGGCGAGTTGTAGTTCTCGACACGATGCGTGGCCGTGTGAAGAGGAACTCCAGAAGCCACGGCTCCGAATGTCCGACGGCCTTGGGAAGGTTGCTCAAACTCCTCGCTGGTCAACTCTTCTTCCTCTTCTTCGTCAGAGATTCCTGCAATGCTGGTGCTTGAGGCCAAAATCGATTTGTTCTGGTTAAAATAGTTAGAAACACCATGTTGCGAAGGGTTATTAGAGATAACGTGGGAGTTAGATCTGCTTTCTGGACGACGACTGTTATTTGAGAGCAAAAGCGAGGTGTGTTTGAGTTGATGCCGGAAAGCACGCTCATCAAGTTCAGAAAGCTTACTCGGATGAATGTTGGGCGTTCGTACTTTCGGAGTCTGCACAGATGCCTTTTTCAGGTTCTCTGTCTTGTCAGACGGGACTTCTGGCGATGTTGTTTTCGAAGTCTTCGCAGCGCTGACAAAACGATCGACGTTTGCTCGGAATCCTTGGAGCTGCGTCTGGAAGCTTCGGAAAGCGGCGGCCACGTCTTCTTGTCCGTGTGACTCATCAATGACTTGACCGTTGGTCGAGTTGATACGAATACCAGGAATCGTAGGTCCGTAGAAGTCCCCATTGTAGTAGATGTACTGCTTCCGGTCGAAATTAATGAATGGAGAACTTTCTACAGGATTTCTTTGTTTCAATGGCTGAGTCGTTGTTGGTCTCTGCGTCGTAGTCGAAGTAGTCCAGACCCTCGTGGTGCTTTCAAGAACAGGCTGCTTGATTATTTTTTTGATTTTCAATTCTGGCAAACTCTTTGGCTTGAAGTCGTTTTCGCTGCTTCTGAGCTCAAAACTCGAACTTATTTTTTTTGGAACCGGCGCTTCAGTTGTGAAGGCTTGAGGTGGCGCTTGCCAAGCCTTCTTTGTGACAGCCGTGAAAGGATTTTGTGGATTTCTCAACCACCATGGAGTGTCAGTCTTCTGCCACCAAGCCTCCGCAGGTCTCTGAGTAGTCGAAGTCGGTTCCGGTCGTCGAGGAACGAACCGGCTAGCTGTCGTTGTCTCCGTGGGGAACTCGATTCTGCCTCGTTGCTGAGCGAACGAATTCTCCTGCTGTCTAGGTCTGAAGTTTCTCGGCTCTTCAACGTTACGCAGAAGATTGTTAGGTCTTTTTTCGACTTCAGAGTTTCTGGTAGGCTCTGAACGAGCATTGCCAAGATTGCTATTTCTCGATGGTTCCGGAGTTCTTTCAAGGAAAGGCTGTCTCGATTGAGCTTCATTCTTCACGATTCTAAGGACTTCCGCATTCCGGTTAAACTGCTCCTGTGGTGGTCTAGTAAACGCCACATTTGGCTGAGAACGGACTTGGAAGCTATTAGCTCTTGGCTCTTCAAAGTTCTGAACTGGTCGCTGAACCTGTCTTTGCTGAGGACTGTTTTGCAGAGAAATCTTTAAGGCTTCGAAATTTTCAAAAGTTCTAACAGGCTGCCTCGTGAGCAGTTCGCGATCGCGGTCTGACAGAGGGGCCTTGTGAACAAACTGAGCTGACTGCCGCTGGGTGTTGAAATCGACGCGTTGATTTTGCACTGGCGTAGGGGTTGTTTGGGGAGGAACACTTTGGCGTCCAAATTTCGGTTGTGGCTGTGGCTGGATAGTCGGAATACTCTGAGGAGCTTGCCTGTTTCGCAAAGGATCAAAATTGTTTCGTGGAAGCTGAACCGGCGACTTGTCTTCGAAATTAGCCTGGTTCACGGCGAACTGCTTTCTCAGTCCTTGGTTCTGCGAGTTATAAGTAAAATAGGTCGGATGTACTGGAGGCGAAAGTCCAGCAAGGTTGGTGTTGGTCTGGGGGTTGTACTGGTCAATAGGAGGCATTCCATATCCATCGTCGCCTTTGGCTCGGTTTAATTTGGGCGCGGAGAACTGCCTTGGCCGTGCAGCCACGGGAGCGACAGTATCGAGGCTGTTGCTTGGAGATCTTTGGAAGTTTGAAGAGTCTTGGAAGAGGGCCGGTGCAGGCTGTGTGTTTGGAGCGATTGCGAAGGGTTGCTGCAGCGGTGCATGTTGTCGGAGAGTCGGCGCGGCGTGGACTCTCTGAGGCACGGCACTGAGCACGGTCCGGGGCACGGCACTGAGGACAGTCCGAGGCACTTCGACGTCGCCGGCCGCTTTCTTCGACGTCGCTGGCCGCTTCTTCAACGTGACGCAACGTGCTCTCATGCTCTCTAGTGTTAACTTCATGCACATGCAATGGGGGTTTGCTCGCGCCGCCTAAAACACGAAACCTTTTTCGACATGCAGGTTAAATATCAACATAAAAAAGCAATAAAGCGCTGAAAAAAAATATCTTGAGCTCATTTGAGAGGTGAGATAATGGGTTCTAAAGTAGAGCGCTCTATTAGTTTTTTTCAAAAGGCGTTTTTCAAATTCAAACTTTATTAAAAAAATTATATTTTTTTAAGAGGTTGATTTCAGAAATAACTCATAAATTTTTGAAGGAATATCTCCCGAGGATATCCATTTCTCTATCAGATTTTTTTCCTTGGCCAAAAAAAGTTAATATTTTGTTTTTTTAGAAACATTCCTGCTGCCTCGAAAAAAATTTTTTTTTGATGAAAGATTTTCTGAAGTTGAAAAACTTGAATTTACTTGAAGTTAAGACGTTCATTTTCAGCTAACGTGTGACCAAGGAAAAAAAAACAAGAAAAAGTTTCCGACGATTCAAAACTTTCTATAGAGCACTCTCATTCAGCCTTATAGCGCATTGACCACTTCGAAACTAATGAGACTCAAGACTTTTGGAACGGGTACTTGTGCGGTTCTAGCATGCATGGTGAAGAGAAAAAACTGACTGAGGAATCGGGCACAGTGGACTTCGCATTCCTTTTGCGTGAAGAAGTGGTTGCGATTTCCAGCGCAGCCTCCGTACTTGAACGGATGACAGGTGCCGTCTTCCGAGTTAAAGTACCAGCGGTCGGCAAAATTCTTGCACGGTCCGGGCTCCTGAGCAAAATTTCAGACTTTTAGGGATTCAAGACGCTGACTAACTACAGCTTGCATGCATTTCTCTTCGAGTTGGGCGGAGAGAAGCGTCGGAAGGTTGGGCAGAGACGGACGTACTGGCAGTTCGATGGGCTTCTCTTCGAAAGATTCAACCGTTGGGACAGCGTCTTAAAATGGGAGTTTTTCGTGGAGGCTAATCTTGAAGCAAATATCTTTTTCCTATGTGTCCATCACAATTGATACACCAAAGTTAAAAGAAGGAATAGACGTTGGAAATTTTCGAACATACGTTGTCTAGGAGGAGCGTTGGTGGCAGCTGGTGGCGCGATGGGTCTTGATGGAGGTCCGACGTCTTCGAAACTCGCTGGAGGTCTGGCGACGTGGGTGGCAGGAGGCCTGGCGACTCGAGTCGTCTGGGTCGGAGGTGGAAGATGGACTGTGGGAAGGGGAGATGGCGGCACGACGCCGTTGTCGACTTCCGGAGAAGGACAGACGCACTCCTCGCAGCCCTTGCGGTTGCTGATCACGATGCACGGGTCGGCGCAGTTCTGGACTGGCTGGCAGGCGGTGGAAGCCGGAGGAGACGGCTGTCGGACCGGCGGACATGAGCAGAAGGGACACCCGCTGCGGTCGTTGACGAGCTGGCAGCGCAGAAGATCGCAGGCTGGCGGCTCTGGGCAGATGCGGTTGACGCATTTGTTGCGGCACTCTTGCATCGAAGCGAAGTTGTTGCCATTTCCTGAAAGCCACCTACTTCCAGAGAACTGTTATTTTGTTCTCACCTCCGCATCCTCCGTAGGTGAACTGACGGCAGTCGTTGATGTTCTTGTCAAAAGCAAAACGATGGAAAACACCGCTGCACTCGCCGACCTCGATGTCGGTGTCGCAAGCGTTGGGAGGAACTTCCGGAGCTGAAAATTATTTTATTTTTTGCTTAATGAAATCTTTTTTCACGGAACTGAATGAGGATTTCCGGTTTTTAAATGGATTACACAGAAAATAACCAACTCTTGGTGCAACGCTGGCGGCATTCGGCGATCGTGGCGAAGTTGTTTCCGTTGCCGCCGCAGCCTCCGTAAGTGAAAGGTCTGCAGTCGCCGGCCTCGGTGTCGAAGGCGAATCGCTGGAAGACTCCGTTGCATTCGCCGGCGTCGACGTCGTTGTTGCAGATGTTGGAGAAGTCGGGCAGGGGAGCGGCTGTGGACGGAGGCTTCGCGCAGATCGCCTGACATTCTTCGCGACTCGCGAAGTTGTTGCCGTTTCCTTGGCAGCCCGTGTAGGTGAAAACGTCGCACAGCTAAAGAAAATAAAGTTTCTTTACATCAAAAAAAAACTCATTATTTCTGTGCTCTAATAACAACGGAAGTTTTTTACTTTAAAATCTCAAGCTTTCCGCACAAATTTTATTTCGTCCGTTTTTTTACCGCTGCGCTTTTCCATGTAATTTTTTAAAATGAAGAATCGATAATTCAAAGTATTTCAAAAATATTCAGACGAACCTGAGTGGCATCATCGAAATACCAACGAACGAACTGACCGCGGCAGTTTCCAGAGTCTTTCGGGTGCTTGCAGCGATTAACTGGAAGAAGTTTGTTAAAAAAGAAAATGTTAGAAATTGAACTGAAAGTTTCACACGCAAACTATTAAAATAAGAAAATTATTGATGATAGTATGTTAAGGAAAGGAAACGGCAAACAGATTCCCTCTCTTCGAACAAAAAGTATAACCTGTTACAGCTTCTAAAATCAGAACTGAACTATATAACTTCGATGTAAGTCTTGCCTCTTTTTTAAGTTTCCTCTACCGCACTACGTCTCTGATTGGCTAATCAAAAATTTTTTCGAAAATTTGAAAAGAAAAATGCAGAGACTTAGTTCGATATAGCAAGTTTTCAAAAAAAGTGACAAGCAACAGAAAAAAACCTATAATAAAAACTGCGTTAAAAACAGGTTTCAATGCAATTAATTGAAATCACTCCGTTAGTTGAAAACTCAAAAATCACTCGCATTCAAAAATAAAAACAAAAAAAAATGGTTCGAACATGCCAAAACAAAAATGAAAAACTTTGCGTTTGAAGAAAAAAAAATGTTTGGAATGAAAAAAGAGCCGTGAAATATGGTTTTTTAGGAAATTTTTGGACTCATTCTGAAACTCCCACAACAAAACGCCTTTCTATGAAATGCTAGACAGACCTTGAACCAATTAGAAAACTGTTGAATATGGCGACAGCAGGTGATTTCCGAAACCCAAAAAGAGTTCCGAAACCCAAAAAGAGTTCGTCAAAAATTGATTTTCACGACTCAATTTCCACTCATAAGAAAAAAGTAAGTTGAAGCGTTAAATTCACCACTGTCAGGAGCCTCGGTACCTCCGATCAAGACTTGGTTTGGAACGACGACGCGGACGTCCTGAGCTTCTTCTTCAGAATCTTCTGCGACGACCGGAGCCGTGCGAGGACGAGAAGGAAGTGGAACAGAAGGCCGAGTTCGAGTGGTCGTTCTGGGGGCAGAAGTCGTCGTCTTGGCCGTCGTCGTCGAAGTTGTTGTCGTTGGGGACGTTCGGCGAGTCGTGGTCGTCGTTGGACGGCGCTCCTCCTTGACTGTGGTCGAGGTTGCCTCTCTGAAAGATACTTCCAGTTACTGAATCTTTCAGATAGATCAACTCTGGAGACGCGGTGGTGCTGGCGTTATCAGTTGAAGGCGTCGTGGTGAGCATGTGAGGCGTGATTCTGATGCCCTGCGTCGTGCGGAAACCGACGTGCTGCTGGCCACGTCCAGGGTGCTCCTCGACCGTCTTGGAGACGCCTTCTGCAAATAGTGAATCATTCCAGTTCCTGACCACGAGGCTCACGTTTGCGGACGCCACAAGCGACTTCGCAGTCTTCGGCTTTCTCGAAATTGTTGGTGTTGCCGTCGCAGCCGCCCCAGAAGAAGTATTTGCACTCCTGCAAAATATGCGGAAATCAAAGGTTAAAATCAAAAATAGAAATTTTCTAGGATTACTTATTCATGTCAAAAATTCTCACATGAAGGTCAGGATTGTAGTAGAAACGGAGCTCGTACTTGTCGCACGGTCCTCGTTCCTTGGGCAGTTTGCAGCGATCATCGACGGTTTGGAGACCAACTGAAAAATCACCGTGTAGTATGTTCGATTGTATCTCGGACTGACCGTCTTTGGAAGATTCCTGGCAACAAACACTTGACTGCTGGACGATGTTGCATTTGTAGCCGCTGGGGCAGTCGGTCTTGGCGCAGTTCACGGGAACTCCGATCTTCGTCTTCAGCGGTTCTCCCTGCATTTCATTCAGTGGTTTCAATGTTTTCCTTTCCGTGATTTATTTTGTTGTAAATTCTTGGAATGATAGAATGAAAAACGGGAAAAAGACACTCATAAAGAAGTACATCTTATTTTGCGGTCAATAAGACAAATAATGTTTTCACATTCTCATGAAAAAAAGTCGAAATAGTAAAAAGAGGTCAAAAAACCAAATTTAAAGACACAAACTAGTATATTTTATTCAGCTTTTTAAATCTATTTTCGAGTCGCATTTTTTTTTAATCAGAGCTTTTTTTGATGAGAATAATTTTAAAATCCATAACTATGTGAAAAAAAAAATTGTTCCGGAAAAACTTCCAACCAGTCAGAGTGCTATTATAGCCTATATTATTTCCTAAACTGAAAAAAACTTTTTTCTACAAAAAAAATTTTCCAAAAAAAATTTCATCATGGAAAAACAAGAAAAATTGAAAAATTCGAAAGAATCTCCTGATAAACTCACAATCTCGCACTTAGGAAGGCCACGTGGAGGGGGAGCACAGCGGGACTCGCACGACTCTTTCGACTCGTAGTTGTTTCCGTTTCCGCCGCAACCAGAGTAGTCAAAAAGACTATAATTTTTTTATTTTTGAGGATCGACAGTTTTTTTCCAAATGGCAGACACATATCAAAAAAATTAATGAAAAAAACCTTGCAAGTCTGGGTGGATTCTTCGTAGAACCATCGGTTCAAAGTCGATTGACAAGGTCCGCGAGAAGCTTCTCCCACGCATTCCTTGACAGTAGATCTTGGAGCAGACTGGATCGCTGGAAAAATCTCAATTATTCAAAAATATAATTTCAGAAGTGAAATCTTATTTGACACAGCCTTGAGAGCATTTCATTTTCATATTTTTAATCATAAACTAGAAACTGGAGCTAAGTCCGAAGAGCCAAAAATGAGCTGATGAAATGGCACAAAAGGCACCACAAAGCGCAACTTCTTCCACCTTTTTTTTGGAGAAAATTTAAGATTACTGACTTCGCACATAAAAAATTTTTCCTTTTTTTTTCGAGAAAGCAATGAAAGGAAACAAACAAGAGCAGTCAGGTCGTTGGCCATTGTGAGTGCGACTGTTGGGCAGCTCGATGCCGTGACTGTCAACGCAGAAACATTGCTGCTGGTTTGGTTCACACTAAAAACAACTCTTTATATATTGAAAAAAATCAAACCGTGAATTTGAAAAAAATTCACCAACCTGAACTCTTTCAAAATCTCCAGTTGGCGTGCAGGTTGGAACGAAAGAACCGCGAATCGACGAGGACGAAGCATGCAGACGACGACGTTCGCATTCTCAAAAGAACATTGGATAAGTGCGAAAAATCAGCAAAGCGAGTTTTAGAAAAAAATGAATTTTTAAAAAAAATCGTAAAAAATTATTAATGCTTCGCCCACGTCACTGTGCTCACGGACCAAACTACAGCGCTCATCAAAAATTCCAGAAATAAAAATTCTTAAAATTTAATATACAATAGTAGTAAAATAACGCTAAATGGTAGTAAAAATAAAAACTGACCTGTTCTCGGAGCAGCTGTAGTGGTGGTGGATGGTTGATCTCCCTCGACTCTCTGAGATTGGACAGCAATTTTACTTGTTTTTTCTTCTTTCTGTTCGGCTTTTTCAGTAGTAGGTTCATGCGTGGTTGTTGGAGCAGCCGTTGTGGTAGTGGTTGAGGTCGTTTTGGATGTCGTTGTTGTTGAAGTGGTGGTGGTAGTGAGAGGAGAGGTTTCGACATGCTCAGTGGAGGGTTCGAGAGTGGTAGTGATTGGTTCAACATGCTTGGTTTGTCGGTTCAGCAGTCGTCGTAACTTTTTCTTCTTCTTCGATTTCCTGTTTCACTTCCTCCGTAGTAGTGACAGGCTCGGTAGTAGTCGTGGGCTTTTCTGTAGTCGTGGTCGTAGTTGTGGTCGTAGTTGTGGTGGAAGAGGAGGAGGACGGCTCATGGTAAGTTTGAGCGATTGGAACAACCTGTTGAGAAAAAACATGCGAATCATGCAAAATGGTCGTGCTAGACGTGCAACAAGAAAAAAACCAACCTTGTCTGCGGTTTTTGGCGTCGCATAGGTAGCTTCTGGAACGCCGTCCTTGGCAGATCCGAGATTTGCCGGCGCATTGGAAATGCAGGCGTCCTCGCATTCTTCCTTGTATCGGTAAAGCTTAGGCTCTTCAGGATCGTTGGCGCAGTGTCCTACAAATCCATTTAATAACTATTATCCATATAATTCATCTTTTATTGTAGCTTGACATTTTTGTTAATAAGGTAATAGCCTTCAGCTGGGGCGCGCCGTAGCGCAACAGGTTGTGTGCCTGTCTATGGTCCACAGGGTCACAAGTTCGATCCCCGACCCAACCAAGGGGTTTAAAAAATATTGGTAGTGGGAAACCACGGCTTCATAATCCCGTAGAAGTCACCCACAAGGACGGATATGTCACTGGAGCCAGTCCACTGATATCAGGATAGGACCTCGGCTAATCGACTTGGGGCGCCGACGCCGCTCAAGCGGTACAAAGGCGTAAGAAGAAGAAGAAGAAGTAATAGCCTTCAGCTGACAAAAGTCTTAACTAATCGAATTTGATGAAGCAAAAGTAAGCTCCCACTTCTTGGAAAAACTCTTAGTCGAGATAAAATCAGTTCAGAGCATTTGATAAAAAAAGGCGCAAACTAAAAATAAAAGAAACTTCAAGGCGAAGTCCAAAAACATTAAATTGTTTTTGGCAGAAATCTTCAAACTTTTATTCTTTCAGCTATGATTTGTTGGACCAAAAATAACTCTTTGAATTATGCTACAGCTTTGACAAAAAGTGATCCTTCTGTTAATTAATGCATTTCGGTTTCAGCCCTAATTGCCTTCATTTATCATCCTCTGAACAAGATGAGTAATCCTAGCGGTCACCGCCAGCCGCTAAGCAGTTCTTTCTGTGGAATGCCCCCGGACTGAGTTTTCGCTCGCATTCCGCATTGTCAGAATTGGGTCACAGAATTTTTCTCCTCCTGACACTTAAGTTGTCGAAAGTGAGACCTGCGCAGAGATATCATCCACACACAAAAAAGGTCGGCGGTTGCGTTATCTCCGAGGAATTCGGGTTCATTTTTCCACAAATTCGTTTCGCAACAAAATTGATTGACTCTCGCTTTGCTTAGATCTCATCTCAAGATTTCACGGATTGAAAAAAAAATTGATCTTTGATTTTAACTGTAATACAGAGAGCAAAGGAAGCACTTGAGGATAAAACAAAAAGAGAGAAAATCGTACTAAAATTGCCAGGACTTGAGAAAATATGAATTGTCTGTTTGATAATAGAAACAGTTTAGAATAAAAAAATCATACACTCCTCGAAAATAGAAACCGAAAAAGTGGTTTCATCTTTATTTTTTTCATGTCAAAAAGGAAGATTCGATCACATTTCTTTCAATTTTTTTAAAAAAATAAAAAAACAAAAAAAGGCATGGAGAGGAAAAATTCGAGCTTCAATTTGGGAAAAAAACTCAGTAGATTTAACGAACCGAAAGGATAGCTGACACACTCGCCGCCACGCATGTAGTACCTCAGGACGAACTGCGAACGTTTCGGAGCCTCGCCATTGGTGGAAGGACACCGGCCGCGGAACGGCTGCCGCTTGCAGGGATTCGCGGGCTCTGCAACATTTCCTGGACTATCGAACTATCGAGCGCTTCGGAATCCTTACCGGCGGCTAGCGCCAGAGCCGCTACTGCGAGCAGCGAAACGCAGATGCGCATCGCACGCAGACCTGCAAAAAGAGGATTTGCCTATGGTTCCGGGAAAAACGAAAACGAATTCAGCCGGGGACTGGGGGTCGAGCAAACAAAAGTCTACCGGCTTTCTGTTGAAACTGCTTGGAATTCAACGGAGAAAGTGGTTTGTTGTCAGATTTAATATGAGAAAGAAAAAAACTATGCAATGAGATAGTTTGAATAAATTTGCGCATTTCCAGAAGTTGATGTTCAAAGAGTGCAATTGATGGGCATCACCAAAAAAGATCATCAGACTCAGAATTTTAGAATTTCTAAAACGTCCCAGAAGACTCTTGGATGTACCAGATCTAAATGCCAGATCTTAAAAGACTCAACCTGCATCACTTTTCAATTTTACAGCACGGACGACTTGAATTTTCAGACTTGAGCATAAGACGAAAGAAAACAAAATACTTTTCACGGATTCAAGAAAAATGAGATTTATGAAACTTTGAGAGTATGTAACTTGTGTATCAGGGAGTTTTTGGCTGTCTGCAGAAAATTCTGAATTTTCTAGTAACATTATCTATCTGTAGACTTGATTAGGAAACAGTAATGAGATATTTTGAAGCTAGCGTCCTAGTCTGATGAGAAAAAAAATCGAAGAATATGATGAAGAGTGGATGAAGAGTGGATGATAAGAAGAAAAAAAGCAGTGAGAAGTGTTCGCGGTTAATATGCGACTCTGATTCTGACGCTCCCGACAGATTTTGTTCTCGCCTCCGTCCGTAGGCACTTTCTCACAACTTTCGCCTCGATGTTTCGACGCCGCGAGATCCTGTATTCACAAATGACAATCTTTTCCGTTTTTTTCAGCCTCCTCCGAAGTCCCTCATACGAAACGGGATTTGTGAAAGATTCTTCACTTTTGTATACAACGACCATTTTCGAGAGTTTTTGCCTGGAGAAGGTGCTTAGGAAGAATATGAAGAATCAAGGGTTCAGGGAGAGCGAAACCATAGGAAATATCGGGGTAGTGCTGCGGTAAAGCCCAAAACATCTGCCAGTCGTGTTTTGGAGAGCAGGCTTTGTTCAACTAGAAATCGTTATCCTAATGTTTTTCTATTCTAAGGCATGCATTTTTCCTTTTCTGACTCAAGGACTTCGTTAGCATATGTGATATCAGACTAATGATGCAAAACGCAGCTCAGAAAAAAGCTGTACCCTGAAGGTGTAAGAGAAGAAAGGAATTCCAGCACAGAGAGATTGGATCTTGTTCTACTGGACAAGATAAACATTATGGAAAATGAGAACCATGGAGTAAACCGAGGAGATAAGAAGACGAGGTGGACTGGATTTCGGCGATGGGATCGCGGCGCAGGGCCTTGACCTGCCGCTTATCTGCCACCGCGCTGGACGCCGAGCACTTCCTCTGAGTTACGCTCCGCTTTTATGATAAATTAGCCCTAATCAAATGAAAGAATACCTGACTCTCAAGAAATAAATGTCCACAATTCCAAGAAAAAATGCTCCAGACTTTTGATCTTACCCTTGAGGATTTAGAACAAGAACAGGATGTCACTTCAAGGGAAGCTTTTTTGAATGATTTCAACTTAAATATAAAGATCAAATAAAATAATAGATTTTTTTTTATCAACATCATTTTTTGGAAACATATCTTGAACTCTGCATTTTTTTTATACCAAAACCGTGAGAAAAGGTCTAATATCTGTTGAAAACATTGGCATGAAATTCTTTGTTTTGTTTTTTAGCTTTTGGTTAGCCTTTTTTGGAGTTAGTCTCTATTTTTGTGTGCTTTTTTTTTTGAAGCGCTGATCTAACAACGGATAAAATTAGGGAAATTCGGCACTCTTGTTTTTTTTTCTCTAGTGGTTCAAAATATTGAGCTCTAAACTTTTCAAAGTTTGGAAAATTTTCAAAGTCTTGAGGGCAGGGTCTTCGAGAAGGAATTTTAAATAAGTGGAATAAAAAAAAAGTTGAAGCTGACGAAATATTTCGAAAAAAAAAAGAAAATGGCGAGAAGGTTTTGGGATCGCAGAAGTTTCCTCGAAAATCATGAAAATTCGAAGGAAACTCTTGATTATTCGAATATTGGCTCAACTCGGCAATGAGAATACTATATTGGCGTCTCAAATTCGTCGAAGATAATGGTAAAAAAAGAGAAAGAAAAATGAAATAAAAAAGTCTAAACAGCTTGAAATGAGAATAACAGAAGCGAAGAATGCAGCCAAGGAAGACAGGCGACGGGATTGGCACCGATGTGGGTCGACTCGGTCGTCCGAAGAAGACGTCGGGGTATCACGACGTCTCCGTGCGGCAAGTACCGTGTCACAGTCCATTTGCTTTCCACCCAACAAGCTCCGCCCACGCAGGTCCTCCGCGTTCCGAATCCGGCGCCTTATGAACTTTTACGGCGAGGCTTTATGAGGCACGCAAGGGGAGGACAATGCCGCCGCTGCTTTTTGCGGTTCGAGGGAAAGCGTCCGGATTCTGACGAATGAGGTGCCAATCAAGGTTTATCTTCGTTGAAAAATGAAAAAGATTTCAATCTTTTCTTTAAAAAAATCTCGGTTTTTTCTTTTGGGTCTCTTAGAGAGTCTTTTGGAGACACAAAATAATTATTGAAACGTTATCAAAAAAGTTTAAATTTTTTGAAGCGGTAATATTAAGGATGAAAAAAACTTCTCGAATCTTTGAAGACTGCTGCAAGTATTTTTGAACAGAAGGCCAGAATTGGACTTGCGGCGATCGGTTAACAAAAATCACTGGTAATTTTTTTTTGAGTTTGTTTGATTCTCCTTGCAAAAACTTATGGAGAAAGTATTTTATTTTCAAACGTTCCAGAGCTATCAAAAATCAATAAATAATTAAATGATATCATTCTGAAAATGTGTAATTTATCCTGGACCACATTATTTTATTGAGCTACGGAAATATTTCAAAACGGTGGAAAAAAATTTTAGTCTTTTTACCAATTTTTTAAAATGTTCTCTAACCCGAGAATTAACATTTCTAAGAATCAAAATCTTTTAACTCGTCATTTCCATATTCTTCAAACTCTACTCTCAAAAGTTCTTCGGTGTTCTGGACAATAGTCAAAATAATCAGAATATTTGTTCATTTTTTTTTCCTTTTATCATTGTCTTCTCAGTTTTTAATTATCGCATCCTGAGCGACTTCTTGGGATTGTACTTTTTCATAATTTATTTAAATCTCAGTTTTTTTCTCTTCAGCCGACCGTTTTCTTTCTCGCCTTCAGCGCTTTCCAGGAACCATAACACCGCATTATTCTGTGAAAGGTGGGAAGTGCGAAAGGAACAACGGAGAAAACGGTGGAAATTGGTCTACAGGATCGGGCCAATTAGCTTGGATTTCGGCGGTCTTCCAAGAAGAGGTGCGAAGAAGAAGAAGGAGAATCACTTTCCGCCATAAGGCTTGCGAAGGCGTTCAAAGGAAAATGGAGGACAAAAGTGAAGGGACGGCTGGCTGTTAGTGGGTGAAGGACCTAGGTAAATGACCCAGTTGGCCTTCTGGCCGCGAAAAAACCGACAGATACACCGATCGAGGTTATCTTCTTTTCCTTCTTCTTCGTCCACCGACAGGGTCTATCCTTTTTGCAAATCAAGAAACACTTGGTTCGTCGCTTCGTACTTTTTCTCCATGGACCTACTTCTCTAAATCAGCCTCAATCAAACTGCATCGGGGTCAGGCTTGATAACGTCGATCATCCTTGTCTGCTTGGCTTGGTTTTATGTTCACATCATGGGTCCGAATTTAGTGAATTTGTGCGACGATTCTCCTTCCGGTTGGACCCTACGAGTTAGTATTCTATTAACGTACTTTAAAAAAAGGAAAGTTCAAGATCAATAGTTGGCTTCAAAGTACATTGTTAGGTTGTTTGAAGGCGCAGGAAAAGTCAGGATTTGTGAGACAAGGCAAGTTCAATTTCAAAACTAGGTTCCTTTCTTTGTTTTTGGAAAACGATTCAATTCAGATTTTATCTGATTCAAATAATAGTTTTTTTCTTTCCATAATGTCAAAGAATGCATGCGAAACTTTTTCATTTTTTCATTTTTTCATTATTATTTTATTTTAATAGAAATTCGTAAAGTTTGGATCAAAAGTCTTATTTCGAAAGGAATCAACCTTTGAACTCCGTTATTCCTTAAGCTTGACAGGCCACCCATAAAAATTGACGTTTTGACGGTGAAAAGTAGGACAAGACCAACTAGGGATAAAACAGTGGGTGACGAATGGCCAAACAGTTTCGTAAAAACTATTTCTTGCGGCCGCCGCGGAACAGGGCGGAGAAGCGAGAAGCGAAGCTGGCCGGCTTCGTTGGCGAGTTTGGCGTCGTCGGTTCGGAGTGCGAGGAACGTCGCCGTGAGCCTTCGACCAACTCGAATCCAGGCATCTGAAGATGTCGAATAGTCGATTCCGAGAGGTTTTACTGACTTCAGTCGAGACTGTGGTGCTGAACGGAGAAGCGAACTTTTGAACAAAGTTTTCGTTTTGTTCTTCGAACTTGAAAGGATCTAGCAAGGCTTTGTGCTGACCTGAAGAAAGTTTATTGATTTTTTTTTAGTTTGATCAATTTGATGATGAAGCTACTCTATAATGTAGAACTTTTCCAAACTTAATCCACTATTTACCAACGAATGAAGCTAGGGCAAGATAAAAAAAACCGTTACAAAATACGTAATTTTGCATGGAACTTTCAAACTTTTTGATAATTGAAGATCTTGAGCGCCGTAGAAATTAGGTTTTCTGAATACCTTTTCTTTTAAAAATGCTTTTGGAATTTCTCAAAAGTGTTAGTGAAATCACCCGCCTGTTAGGTTACTATTGAACAGAAAAAAATTCCGTGTCGATCAAATAGATAATACTTGAAGAAGTTCAATCAAACACCATTCTCCATTTTCTGACTTCATTTTAATCGACTTACTCAGAGCTTTGCCGTCGGTGTAGAGATGGACGTCGAAACGGACGAAAAGAGAGGCGGGGCCGAGGTTTCGGTTGGCTGCCGAGCGGAGGATCACATGGCGGAAGCCTGCCATAACTTCGGATCATCTCCAGGATTTTCTCCAATAAACCGTTGTTCATCGTGTCGACGTGCAGAATCCGATGGGCCATCGGGCTATTCGAGTCGGCGAACACCGTGAAGTGCAGGAACGACATCTCGTTCAGCATCACCTGATTTTCTCCTGACTTCAAGAAGCCGATTCTGCGGTTACCTTCTCGAAGATGTACTCCTCTTTCTCGTAGTTGGTCACAAAATGGGCTTCTCTGGACTTTCGCCGTGGCCGTCGATCTATTCGAGTGGCCTTTTGCACTTCATCAGGAACATCGATCAACTGCACATTTATGAAGCTCTTCCCTCGATATTTGTCATTGCCAATGGTCGACAAGAAATAGGCGCTGATAACCTGCAGATTATCACCCTTTTTAAGCAAAATGAGAGAGAATCTACCTGGATCTTGATTGTGAGAGCTATCGAGTAAGGTATGTGGAAGTAAGGTCGTATTTGCAGTTTTTTGCTTCTTAGGAAGTCTGGTTTCCGAACGTATCTAAAATACTATCATTTTTTTGTAGAAACTATTTCGAAAAATAAAAGACGAATGAACAGAATTTGATCTTCCGAAGTTCCTGAAAAACCTACCCACAGGCGCCGTTTCTCTCGAACATAGCACTGTTCAACAGAGTTTGCGGACAACTCGTTTGGATATTCAACGCCACCATTTGCGCTCCAATCAGCCAGTGGAACTGAACTTTCTTCTTGGAATTTTTTTCTTCTTCTGTTTTACCATAGGGTTGTAATTGCTCGAGTCGATTCTCGTGTTTCTCGGATAGACACGCAGGATTTTGTTGTGCGAAAAGACCAAAAGGCTCTGTATTTGGTGGTCGTGCAGAACCCAAGTCGCAAAGTTCTCATCGACGGAACAAACAAGATGTCTTTTTGCTGCTGAAAGCAACTGGTTGAGAGAAGGTGGAAGGAGTAGAACTCACGATGGAAGTTGATCTTCTCGGCCTGCATGTAGTTGACGATGTCGGCCAAGGCGGTCGTCGACGTCTCCTCGGGCGGAGGCGACAACGCCGCCAGCTGTTCCTCGCTCAGCTCTTTCAGGACCTGTTTCGGACTAATTCGGTGCCCTTTTCACTCAGAAACCTCGACTTCTTCAGATTCTCCTTCATTTTCGTCCTGCATTTGAACTGCTTCGGGAGCACTTTCACCGGCATCGACCAAACTTTTTCGATTTTCTTTGAGATCCTTCTTTTTCGCCTTTATAAGAATTTTCATTTTGAGATCCTCGGGAGATGGATAGAGTACATCTGAAAAATATGGATGAAATTATTTTTGAGAGAAAAAACCTTCATCATCTTGCTCAATCATTGGAAATTTGTCCAAAGCCTCAGCGAGTAGCATTTCGCCGAAAACTTCTCTGAAAGCAATTATTCAGAAATTATGTTTTGTTTTTTATAGAAATACCTCATTCAAATAATAACTTGAGCCAAAAAAGGCCTTTTTGATCTAAAAGTTATAAAAAAAGGATGAATGAATCATGTAAAAACTAGTCTAGGAAGAAGATAACTTTTTGAAAAAATGATGAAGGAACGAGCCTGAACGTAGCGACCATCTTTTTCTGTTGTTTCCTGCTCAAATGATTCTCAATCGACAGAGTCACCGGATATGGAGACGTTTTGAAGGCGCAATCACGGATCGCTTCACAAACTTCCTATACGAAATACGTGAAAACTCATTTTCTATTGTCGGACCTTGAGAGGAATCTCGTTGAGACGCATGATGACCTGAGGTCCGTGGGTTATGATCGGATCTCCGTTTCTGCCGTCCCAACAGTCCAGCTCGACGCAGCGACATCCGTCCAGCAGTACCTGGCGATAGATCTCGACCTCAGATCGGGCGGGCCCTTTCGCCAGCTGCATCTGGTTTCCTGTCCAGAGCTCAATTATCAAGTCTTTTCAAGGATTATTCACCTGTGCAATACGTGTTATGAGAAGAGTAGATGAAGTAGTCGGTGATGGGTTCTCGCATATCAGAAACGTCGATTTTCATCCGAGAAGTCGTCACGACTGCGCCTTCGTCGCTCCAGAAGAAATGAGCGAACATCGGCAATGATATCGGCAAGTCTGCAGAGAGAAGTCTCGGAAGTATGAGGGGAAACCTACATTTGTTGTAGCCCATGTTGGAAGAAAAGGACGTCGATCTGTTTGTTACTGATAGGCGGGAAACGGGCGTCGTTTAGGCGATGATCGTGCTGACATCTTCGCAGGAAGTCGCCGAAGACGTCGCGGCTAACCGTTGGCTCGCCATCGCTTCTGAATCGAAAAGTCCTTTCAAAAGATGATAATTAGAGATTATTGCTTTTCAGTTGTCCAGAATTGAAGAGAAATACTTCATAGCCGATGAAAGCAAGCTCGAATCAATTATTTTCCAATTAAAAGATTGTTTGTATCCTCAAGGATTTTATTCGAAGAAAATGTATTTTCTCAAAAATTCTTACTTTTTTTCCATACTTCTTCCTTATAACCGTTTAACTTACAGTTTTTCAAATTCAGCGTCGTGCATCGAGTTTTTAGACTTTGTCATGATCGACACGATTTGAACCAATATTTGTTCGGTCAACTCCTTCTTCATTACATTCTGAAAAAATTTTATTTTCCAGTTGGAAAGCAAAAAGAAAAAAAAACCGCATTGAGAAGCTTTTTTAGGTCTGAAATGGCGGTCCTCGTCAATTGTCCCGATCCGCGTTCATCAAAAACACTTTTAATTCTGAAGAAAACGTTTTTGTTTCGTTATTTATGTTTTACAAGAACTCTTCTTCGCTGCAACGTGGCACCAGCGCCGCGTAAAGTTTGGGCGACAGAATTTTCCGAACGTGGTACAGTAAACCATGTTCTTCGCGCCGGACTTTCATTGCCAAGTCGAAGATTTGTTGTGCAATGACCGTCAGACCGCTCTTCAAAAATCATTTATAGTCAGTTTAATGCATAAATCAGCAGCCTTAGTCGTTGGAAAATTTCAAAATAACCATTTTCCTATAAAAACGAACCGAATCTAATCGCGGATAGACAAAAGATGTGTACTTCAAGTGGATCATGTCAGGTCCGCTGACTATTGTCAGCAAATTGGTGGAGTATCTTTGCTGCACTTCTTTCTGAAATTCGTTTTATTAAAAAAAAACTTCTTCGATCTCTAAACCATTTTCGCACTTCCGTTGCTCCCAACACGAACGTCCTTAACATCTTGCAGAAAGATATAATTTTTCACGCCATCAAGCTGAAATTAGATTTATGACTGATTCTATCGCGGTGAGGAAAGCCACCTCGTGTTTCTTGAAAATTTTCACATCTTCATAACGCCAGTAAATGATATTAGCGTATGGGTCGACTTTCAGAAGTACAGGAACCGGCTGGTACTTCACTTCGTTCTTGAAAATGATGCGTTCGAATCAATTCAGAATTCTTATCATCTCTAATCCTTACAACTGAAAAAAACAAACCTTTTGTTTTTCGAGAATCACGAATCGAACGCCTGCGAGCAAGGCTTCCGGCGCGGAGCCCTCGGCCATGGTCGCCCAGAGACTAACATTCTGGGTCTCTGATAAAAATTCGTTATCAGTATGGCATTTAAACACAGTTCGTTAATCGCTCGAATCGCATCTTCGATTTTTCGTGTTTTGCCTCATTTCTGAAAAACAATAATTTATGTATGAATTGCATTTTTTTTTATTGAATAAAAGTCATCAGTTTTCTGCTTTTTTTTTCACCAAGATCTTCTGTTCTAGAATGTAGGCGACGACTTTTCAGCTGCGTAATTTTTTTGAAAACTGATTGGAGATGTTATTTTGCAACATTTCGGTGAAACTCATTGCAATAATGAACAGAAAGAATAATTGAAAAAAATGAAAAAAATGAACAGAAAGAATAATCTTCAAAAATATCCTGTAAAAAGTGGCTTCAATCGTGAATTTCCGTCTTCTATTTAAATATTCTACGATTAATAACTTCGATGCGGAATATATGTTTTTCATATGACCTAAATGCCCGTATTGTATTTTTTTATTGAAAAGGAAAACAGAAATTGCGTCATGAAACATCGTTGAGTGAAAAAATGAACAAAATAAACAAAAGATTGAGGTGAAGATTGAATCGGAGAAATAATGGCATAAAACCGGTTAATAAAGCAGACAATAAACAATTCAAAGCATATAACTGAGTAACCCGATAACAAGAAATATGTGAGGTTGAGATAGGTACACAAATGCATGGAAATACGTACAGAAAAAAAAAAACAAGAATTGGCATCCTATAGACGACTCTCAGGAACTGCGCGTTTGATCCGGAGGTTCCTGAGGTAGGATTTGTACTGTTCAGAAGCCTGTAGTTCCTCCTGAACGAGGAGAAAAGCAAACTCTAGAAGTTCGGCTGGTACAGCCCCAATCTTCAGTTCTTCCAACTCGCGCAGTGAGGACCGACTTGTCTCCGGCCACATAGCTCTAAATCACAGAAATAACTTTTCAAAGAGTTTGTAGTCCGACCCTAAAGCCTCTAGCGCTGGCTTAGCGTTCGGTTGTCCTCCCACGGCTTCCAAGAAGTGGCTGAACGGTAAGAGAATGCTGGGCGGGAGTGTGTCGGTGGAGTTTCCCTTGTCGCATAACACCTTCCCACCGATTCTGACAAAGTCCCTCGGTGCTAACGAAGCCGCGTAAAAGAATCCATTCCGAATGCTCAACTGCAATCAAACAGATTTTCGAAATAAAGTTTTAAAAATATCTCTCGACTATTATTTTGTAGTTGAGCAAAGCGAAAAAAGGAAAATTTTCAACTTTTTACATAGAAATTTGAGATTGAGAAATGGTTTCTTTTGTAATAAAGTCGCTTAAAAACTTTTCACGCCTTTTTTTCAAATAAACTTGACGATTAAGGAAAGACTCACTTCAGCTAATTTTTTCTCATGCGAAATCTTCGGTGCCGAGGGCAGCACAGGTAGGAAAGAGGTCATGTGGTGACCAACTGGTCGATACGAGCCATCAGATTCTTTCTTTTGGCGCAGAAACCTAAATCAGTTGATACAAAATAAAAAGAAAAAAAAAACTGATAACCTGAAATGAAACAATTTGTTGAGCAGTTCTGAATGCCGCCTATTCTGATGGGAAAGAAACGCGAGTCGGGGGTCGTTAGCAGAGTTTAGTTGGGCGGCAACTCTGAAGACGATGGGTAAGACAATCAGAGTGAAGAACTGAAACCCGGCGCTGAAAAAGGTGAAAAGACGGGCGCCGCCGTAGGCGAAAATTGTATCGTCGTCGAGCTGTCCATGGTGCAAAAGTAAATGTTGCTGAAAACCATTTCGAAATTGATATTTTTGCAATCAAACCATCATCGCCATGACAATCGTTTTCTGCGCTGTATCCGTAGGGAGGACTGTCAACAGCGTCGGAGGAGGAGAAAACTTGAACCGTGGCTCTGAAATCCATGGTCGCGAATGAATTTTGTATAACATAAATATTTTGGCGGAAAAACTGGGCGACCGAAATTTGCGAGGTGCTAGTCTGGCGCTAGCTATCAAAAATACACTTCAATGAAACTTTTCCATAAATATTAGTTTGTTTTTCTAAAGTTTTTTTGAATAAAAAAACTCAAAATTTTTTTCACCGCAGTTTTCTTTTCTTTTTTCTACCCTTTCAAGCTATAGGTTTTGATGATTTTTTTCTCAGTTTTCGTTTCAGATAAGTAAAATGATGATGAGGGAGAATAACTAATTGATGGCCAATAAAATGTTTCAAAAGTTACAATAATAAAACTGAAGGTCATTCTCCAAAAACTGACCAGCGCTCTCCTCTTGCCGCAGGGTAAAATGAGTACGTTCAGGAGTGCGATTTTTGCCGCCAGCCACCAAGATTTTGGACGGAAACTTGATGAGTTTCTTCCGCCCGATGCCCAATAAGCTGGCTACGTCGGCTCTATACGCGTCTACCTTGCGGAAACTTTTCTGCTGCTCCTCGGCGAACTTCTGCAACTTTTTATTGACCATTCAATTTTCCTTGAAGAAAAACGATTCGAAAACATCTTTTATCCAACTCTTTGTTTCATTTATTCTCGGCTGCTTGATTGAATGATTTTCCCTCGGGGATTTCCCTAGATTGACACCCGCGGTCGTCAGTGTTCACGCTCTTTTTCTCCATTGAAAGGATCCACTGCAAAGTGAATCTCCCTCTTTTTTTTCTCAAGATTCAGTGCAGTAAACAGAAACTTGTTTTGAAATTTTGAAAGAACTATGGAAAGGAAATCTAATTCATGCGTGAAAACTGATGACTTTGATAGATAGACGAATAAAAGACAATACGAAGGGACTTCGGGACAGAATTTGTTTCAAACAAAACACTTTCAGACTCTCTGAGATCAAAAAATTTTATTAAAACTGTTCGGCATCCCAACTACTCACTTTTTTTTTTGGCAGAGAGCCTAATCCGTCTTAACTCAAGGCTAAAAGTGTAGCCGTTCTTCAAGAAGGAAACAGGGCGTCGTAGAAGACAAAAGGCATGCGAGAAACGGGGCGGAGTCGGAGGCTGAAGCTCCTCGTTTCTGTCGCCACTTACCTCGGACCCTGCGCATTCTCGTTCATTCGCCACATTTACCATTGCTCGATTTCATTTTCTTTTGCAGAAAACCATGACTCATCCCTACCCACTTTGATTGGCTAGCTCGAAAATTGAAAAAAAGTACTCAGTGGAATGTTCTGCGGTTGTTCAGAAAACATTGTCATTCGCCGGAAGCGTTCTTCGCCGACATGTGGATAAGGGTAAGCCGATTGAATCGAAAATTTCGACCTTATATTATACTTAGGTTCTTCTAACACACGCCTTCGTTTTATCTCAGTTCACTTTTGCGCATCAAAAACGGCAAATTTCTTTCACTGTCGAAGAAGGTCCAACCAACGGAAGTAGCCGTCATTTTCACGCTATTCGACATAGCAGAGGTATAATTGAAAAATGAATTTTCAATTAAATGTCCTTCTCAGGAAAAGTTATTCCATACAAATCGGCAACCGGCAGCGTCATGGACCCTAGGTTGAATCGCCTGGAATCTTTTTCGCTCAACTGCCCTCACGTCTCAGATGCTGCAAGCAAAGATGTCAGGAAAAAGAAGGGAAAATTCAAAGATGACATTTTTAAGGTTCAAGTAGAAGTCACGTGGACACTCAACGAAACTGTATGGCTAAAAATTGAGAACGGCGAGAAGAAAGTCGCAAATAAATTGTCCACCTTTAACAAGAGAAGAGTTGGAGGTGCGTTCCAACTTGAAAATCACTTTGAAACTTGAACCTAATAAGAAGTGAACATCAAAGATTTATTTCAGGAAAAGCCGTTCTGAGGGTGCTCCTGAACAACGGGCGCTACTTGTTCGACTACGACGAGCTGACAGGCGACTTCGCGATGGAAGTGACCCCGGTGACGTGGCCAGAAGACGTCGGCTCCTGGCAATGCCACGTCACCGTCTTGCAAAGTGGAAACACACATACGCTTACCAGCCGCAGAAGGATAAAGGCCCCACTTCAGGTTAATCCAATCTGAGATCAAACGCTTCAAGCTTCTAGTCTGGCGAGGTAGTAGACGTTCTTTTAAACAATGGCTTCTGCCTCCGTTCCCACAAAGTCAGTGGAAAGCGCGAAAAACATAGCGTGTGAAAAGCCTCGCAAGAAAATAGCAGAACGGAAGGAAGCCTGCCATTATAGCCGAATTTCCAAAAACCAAGAAAAAAAAATTTGAAAGCAAAATGATTCGCAGCAATACTACGACACCGAATTTTCCCTCAAGTTTGATCACAATTAATTTATCAAGCAGAAAAAAACTTCAATGGATTTTCGTTTATAGAAAGCTGACCGACCCAAGATCGCTTTTTTAAAAAGCTTTTCTCGATTTTTTTTTTTCTTCTCACTCCGAGGTCTACCGGTTTCGGCTAACTAAAACAAGCTCTTTCTGATAATTAAAACTCGTTTTTCTGATAATTGAAAAAGTTTGGAATCAGGACTTTACATCCTGTAGCCCGTTTATTTAAAACCGCGAAGCCTAAATTTTCAAAAATCGTAAAAAATGACATCTCAACTAAACTCTATTTATAGAGAAATGAATAAAATTAGTGGGTTCAAGTCGGCAAAGATGTAGGCGAATTCAAAGAAGTGCTCGATCATCGGCTCGCGGCTAAAATTGCAAATGCGAAGCTCCACCGCCACAGGAAATCCATCGGCGTGGCTCATCAGCGCGCGAAAACACAAGACTCGATTAGCATAATGTCGCTGGCTGGGTGCTTGACATGTGCGTGGAGCTTTCACACACTCGCTTTCACCCCAATTCGGTTACCCGTGTTATCCACTTTTCGACTCTCGACATCCAGGCTTTTGAGCCGCGAATTGAGGCGTCTGTCTCATCTCATCAACAGCTTCGTTCGCCGAGTTGAGAAACGAGGAAAGAACGGCAAAAACAAAACCGAAAAGATGGCAATTAAACTCGAATTCGAATAGAAAAAAGAATAGTACTTTCAGATAGGGAAAACAAAACTAATTGAAATGCATCGCTGACTGAACTTTGAAATTGACAAGAAAAACATTCAGAATCTGGGAAGCCATTATTTAGACATTCAAATTACAAACTAACACATACACTCAAGGCTTCTATTCAGCTAACAAACAATAAACAGAGAAAAGATGAACAGAACATTTTAAGAAACTTTAGGCGAAGCTCAACGACTCTGAGAAACCTTTCGAAAAGCGAGAAGAAACCGAGGTGAAGCCGTCTTTTCATCGAAGCAGCGTCGCCTTCCACTCTTCCAGCTCCTCACGACGACAATTCCGTGGCCAAAACTCCAAGTATACTGAGTTCAGCAGGAATAACAACGAAATGATCCTGATTACCAGGTTTTTTTCATTTTTGAGACTAAACGAAAAAAAAAATGTTTCAACACAAGCAAGGAGAAAAATTGCTCACTTGGTTTGATGGAAAACCGGAAAAAGGACAATTCATGCGATTCGAATCCAGTGAAAAGAAACAAACTTTCAAAGCTCAAAGTCTGTCGCGAATAAAGAAAATGCATTTTTCTCAAAGCAAAGCTGAAGTTAAGAAAATTTTGAATACAGAGCAATTCCAGAGACGAACACGACGAAAGCAGTCAACCGGTAATATTCGCACGTAACGACCCGTCGTCGAGTCGGAAAAAGACCTTGCCGCGACAAGAAGAACTTCTGCACATCGACTACGAGGTCGACATGGACGGCTACGGCCACGACGCCAAGCCTCGCAGTGCACGACTTAACCGCTCCAGGTTCCCCTTTGCATATCCCACTTCACTTTTTTCTCTTCTTCTCTTATTACTTGTACAATGAATGTTCTGATTTGACGGCTTCGTTCGCAAGAAACAACCTTGGCGGCCTTGGAGAACGACTGGGCGCTCTCGACGATGACCAGGCTCGAGACGCCGTTGTTGATCAGCCGCTCTGCGAAAGTCGTCGCGTGGAAGTTGAACAGAGTAACGCGGGTGCTACCCAAAGTCGTCTTCGAGTCCAACAGTCCGTTCAGCATCACCGCTGTGAAAGTATTTATGCATACGTTGGTAAAAACAGCTTGAAACTGCCAAGAACACCTGGTTTCATCTATGAACATAGCTGGAAAATCAATACTTTTCGGAATAATTTCGCTACCATGACGGATTGATAAATATGTGACAACTTTAAAGATAAGAAAGTTCCGCTCAGTTTTTTTCCGAGTAGCACAACAAAAATGATGGAAACTTACAAAGAGCCGTTCGGATCGGAGCGTAACCTTCTTCGCGCGTTTCGGCCTGGAAAAATTGAAATGAAAGTTCGGTATTCAATTTTTAACATATTCGATCCTCGATTTAAAAAAAAAGGAAAGAAAACCTACACGAGCTGCCTTGGAAGCGGTCGTCGTCGTCGTCGTGATTTCTTCCTTTTGGCAGAGCGCCATTTCCACCCATTGTTTCTCTTCTTGTTCGATTTGTGACAATGGGAAGTCTTTCGGGTCGTAGATATTAGGTCGGAGAACCTTCAAAATAAGTAATTCGATTTTTATTTATCGATTTAAATACCTGAATATTGTGTGCTGGCTGTGGCTGCCGATAGAAGTTGGTCAAACATTTTGTGGTTTTACCAAACATCGCATGATCGTCTACTGCACGGAAAAAGTGATTAAAACTATTGTTATGGATCTCAAATATAAAACTAACAATGAAAGTCTTTTCAAATTGCAACAGGTTCAAAGTTTTTTTTTAGTGACTCTTTGCTGGATAGACATAGACGAATCGGGGTCAGGTAATAAAATTGTACCGAGCATATACCTCAAAATGGATCAGGATGGTATACTAATATTTTCATCGTCATACCTCCGGTATATACTTCAGCTCTATCGGAGCTCTACCGGTAGTGCTGAGTGATGTACCGCAAGTCTATCGCATTTGTCTATAATTTTGCAAGGGATAACCGTGGTACCCTCATTAGGCTTCAGACTCTTCTATAGACTATTGGTTCTATCGCGATACCCCTGCCCGATTCCTGGAGGCCTCAACCTACTGGTTTTATTGATAAGTGAAAGCAAGAAAATGAAATAAAGCTATAGTGTCCCGGTTATGTTATCCAAAAAAAAAAAAGAAAGTGCGAATTAAAAATTCCCGCAGGTTGCGAAATTCATGATATACTTTTTACAGCTAGGAGTGTTTGAAAAAATTTCGAAAGATTTTCGGGTGAAAATTATTATTCTTCAGTCAGCAAAAGTATTTAATAGCGTTAAGATCGCTAAAGTATTGATAAGCATACGATAAAACGAAAAAATAAAATATTTATAAAGGAATGAAAAACAACCGGTAATAAGAACTTGAAAGAAAGAAAAGAGAAAAATTGAAAACATCAAAGAGCTCCCAGAGGCTTCAGAACAGAAGTAATGAGGTCCAAGAGCAACGGTCGGTTTTCACCCGAAGCCTGTAAATGAGAAAAACTCAGGGGTTTTCATTTCTCTTTTATTTTTGCGCCGAAGACGGAGATTAGAACTTTTCAAACCTGGATTTTGGTCCTGGTCCCTCTGCCAGAAATGGTGATGGTCGCGTCAAGTTTCTCGATTCGAATCACACGCGTTCCTTCATCGTCGACATTCGAACACACAGCGGTGTACGATTTCTTCAAATTTAATGATGAAATTACAGGAAAAAAGATGAATATATGAAATGACAGAAAAGAAATGAAAGAACCTTTGCCAAGGCAGAGACAATTGCCGCTGAGTCGATTTCGCCCGTGTATTTCGGCCGAACTGACCATTTTTTCACTGGTGGCTGTAAAAAACACGAAAGTTTTACTCAGTTTTCTTTCATGATGATCTTGGTTCTTCTTTGCTTCTTACAAACTTGACATTTTCATGCAAATCATCGCTGTTGATATTATAGGAAACACTTTTGTACATTTCAAACTTTCTATGCAACATTTTTTTTTCTTTTTTTGAATTCTTTAATCTACTCAACTGAAAAAGTTCTAAGATCCAAGAAAAAACTAACAATCAGCTGATAATCATCGTCGAAAACGGACAAATTCACGGCCAAATGACAATATCCACGGTTAGAAGAAGCGGCGCCTCGCATTTTCATCGTCGCCATCAGCTGAAAACCTTTTTTTAGATTTTCTTTTCGAAAAACGCCAAAAACCTCCGGGTGAATTTTCACTTTTCGTTTGCGAACGGTTGTCGCTGGAACTGTGACACATTCGCCCAACTTACATTCAATTACGGAGCCCTTAATCAGACATTTTTCAGTACCGAAAAAAAAAGTCTTGAGGTATCAAACATTTCAAAGCATAACTGACTTTTCCACCATATTGAATCATAAGATCGTTGCGATTTGGCTTCATGGGCAACATGTAACTCGAGGGAACTAAAAGGATCTAAAAATATAGAATTAAACAGAAAAAGGTTGTTCGAAAAACTTTTGGGGCGATTGTTTGAAGAATATTTTCGTTGAGCATCTGGAAATCCAGTCGAGTTTCGATCGGATAGTTGTAAACACGGATTTCAAGTAATTCGAACGGTTTGTAGGCCTCGATGGAGAACTCTGTGTCTTAAAACAGCCACAGTTTGATAAGCTACATAAAACTTTGTGAAATAGTCTGTACTTTTTCTTAAACCTTGAGAAGAAATGAGCTGATTAGGAATTTTTCGGAACAACGCATCTTGAAAAAATCATTAAAGTTCCTTCGAACTTTTCCTTTGAAAAACGGCTTTTCTAGTGGCTCCTCAGCATCTTTTTTGGTAATTTTCATTTTATTTTTCTCAAAAGTTGCCAGCTTTCATTAGAAAACTGGAGAAGATGAGAAGGTTCTGTACATTTTTTTTCCCCCGTTTCTTTATCCTTTTAGATTGTTATATTCATGGTAAAATGATGCTAGAAATCGCAAATCAAGATGATAATGTGGGCGTGGCAATTTCAATTGAAACTCCTAATCTTAAAAAAACATAGTAAACATTTTTAAGAAAACATTTGCTTAAAAAGATATTTTCGAGGTTCAAAAGAATTTTTTCTAAGTGAGTTCAAATGGAACTTAACATTCAATTTTCAAATAAACCTGTTAAAATAACGGCGTTCTTCGAGTCCGCCGACCACAACTCGATCATATGCGCTGCATCGCCAATCCGCAAAGACGCATGGCTCGTGAACATCTGAACAGGAAAAATCGAGAATGATCATTTCTTCAATGTAAACCACACACGGCGTCTTGAACTCTTTCGAAAACGCACCGAAAAGAGAATCGAAAACTCTCAATCGATTGTTTCTAATGAGCTGAAAACTATAATAAATGAAACAGAATTTCAAGTAGAAAAACCAACAATGGAGTGAGAAAATGGCTCTTCTGGAGTGTAGACAAGTTGCTGCCGCTGTTCGGAAAGCCATTCTGCATTTACGTTTGAATAGGCGAGGGCGCTTTTTGCATTCGGACTGATGAAATAAATGGGCGTGTCTGCGGGGATCCCGTTCTGAAAAAAACTCATATTAACTCACTTAGGGCTGAAAAAATGTGAGAAAAAAACTTCTTTTTGTCTTCAAAAAGAACACTCACCGTCGTATCGATAATTTTGGAGATCTGTGAGATGAGATCAAAAATGATCCCAACGGAGCTCATCGGGAATAAAACATTTCCTCCGAGCTTCAGGGTCTCGGTAGTGGTCCTAAGAAGCGCTCCCACTGTCATCTAGACGAGTCTGAGGTTTATCTATCGATCGATTTCATCAACCTCCGGTGGATCGTCAGGGAAGTGGGATATCGACGTCAAGAAGAGATTCTCACAATTTTCAAACTTTTTGAAATCGGCGATTCTTGTGTGCGAAGAATGTATTGAAGATGACGTTAAGTAACCGATCTGAACAGTCTCCAAAATTTAAAAAAAAAATAAATGATATGACAAACCGTCTGAGAATCGCCAGATATATACCAATTGGCAGAACCTATCGAATGTCCGCTCCTCACTGCCGTTATCGAAGTTTTGAAAACAGTCTCAAATTATGAATGAAGGAATTATAGTGATCATGTACCTACCACTTCCTGATTGAAACTGAGAGGAACTATTCGCGCCAAACTGGTTTCCATATCTTTCTTCGAATAAAATTTCCTCCACTCGTCCGGATTTCTGTTCGGCGGATTTGTAAATTCTCTAGAGCCAGAAAATGAGAAAGAAAAAACCGGGGAAACAAACGTGCAAATATTAGCCTTTTTCCATCGGTTGTCCACGGCGTTTGGGGGTAAACGGTCGAAAAATTCTACGAACTCTTCAATGAGAAGCCTGAAAAAAAACTTGAAAATCTTATGTACAGGCAAAAATGAACCTTCCAAATTGCAAAACAGGATCCGTCGCATAAACTAATCCACGGAAACCGGTGTTTTCTGTGTAAAAGGGCAGAGCAACCAGAGAATCCCAGTTGGACACCAGAATACAATCAACGCTTTCCATTTTTAGCGATGATGTCTATACATATTAATTAATTTCTGAACTCTTTTGTATTGTTACCGAAACAATATGCACTTCGGGAGGTCCATCAATATAAATATTTCCACATAGTTCCTTAACATAAGGCAAATTCAAGTATTTCACAGGGGGAAGTCCCTTCAGGCGCGAGCTGAAACAAATTAAAGAAAAATTTCAAAAAAAATAAATTAAGTACCTCTGATAAACATGTGGAAGATAATGAAGAAATGGAGAAAAATCCACCAAACAGTCAAGAAGAATTGTTACATCGGGCCATTGAAGTAGAGCACAAGGTTTTTGAGGATTCCATGATAAATTTGTCTGCAAATGAACACAATTAAACAAAGTAAGGGACAAAAAACATACAAGCTTCATTCGCAGACCAGCAAGTTCAATTTAACGAAAATTCGCACAAAATCATGTGATCCACGGAGCTTTCGTGCGATATTTGAGCACCGCCGCTCTCTTTTCCTCCAAAAATATATCTCTCTCAGACGATCGAACCTTTTTTTGAGCGCGTGTAGTCAGCAAACTTCTTAAATCTTGAATAAATAGTTTTACTCTGAAAAGATATCGCAGAAAACAAAAATTTGTTCGCCTTTTATTTATTTTTTTTCAAATAGCTGCGCCAAAACTGCATTCGACACGCCCACTCGCGTCGCACGGTTTTCATTTCGAAAAAAATCTACGCGCTCTTCTCAGTTTAATTATTTTATATATTTCTGTTTTTCATAAAAATTGTTGTTCAGGATGTCATCGAAGTACGCTCGGAAGAGGAAGGGCTTCGACGAGGACACTTCTGAAGAAGGTCAAAGGATGCGAGAGCGTGGGGCCTCGCGAAAAGATCGCTCTTCTTCTCGATCTGTTTCACCACCTAAATCCAAAAAAAGTCTGATTGCTGTTTCTTATTTATATAAATAAAATTTTCAGAGCCAATAGAGAAGCGGAAGAAGATCGCAGTGAGCCGTAAGTTTTTTGCTCTTATTCTTATTATTATTGCAAAGTAATGTTATAAAAAGGAATTAGTGATAAAAGATACTTTTGTATTCAGCTGGAATAAATATATTTCTAGTGATATAAGTAGAAATGATAGAAATTTAAGCGAGGAAAGTTGTTTTCAGAGCGGACTCTATGTCCATCGAAGAAACGAACAAACTTCGTGCGTCACTTGGCCTCGCACCATTAGAAGTTGATGACACACCCAAGGTTAGAAATATAATTTTGATGCCAAATATCTCTTTTTATTTAGGTTCGCGATGCTGAAGATGGGACAAACGAGCAAATAATCAATGAAGATGGCTTCGAGTTTCGGCACCGCAAGGCTGAGAACTTAGCAGAGAAGAAACGTGAACAGAGCGTTAAAGAGAAACTTGAGGTGAGATATTATTTCTCTGAAAATTGTTCATGAAAAAGGTTCTAGGTGTCAAAAGCCAAGCGAGAAATCTACGCAAAGGTTTTGAAAGAGAAGAAACTTGCTGATGATTCGGATGATGAGGGGTCGGCATCTAATTGGGTAGAAAGAATGAGAAGGAAGGAAGAAGAGGAGAAGAGAAAAGCGGAAGAAAGAGCAAAAACTTTGGACGCGATGGACGAAGAAATAGAGGGGCATGCGGTAGCAGAGGAAAATAAGAACAAGAAGGCGGTTGGTGGTTCTATTCACTGTCTGAGCAATTTTCACGTTTAGAAAAAACCAAGAGGACCCAACGCTACTGCCGGGTTGATAGTTGGACATTCTCGCGAAGCTTTCGTGGAAGGCGCTGAACATCAGATTCTGGTCTTAGAAGACAAAGGTTCATTTTTATTCATATTTCCGTTTTCAACTCTATTCGCAGGTGTTCTTGACGAGGGAGACGAAGTTCTGGTCAATCCGAACCTCATCGACAACGAAAGAACAGCTCGCAACGTCGAACTTCGCAAAAGAAAAGATCCTTATCGCAACTTTGACGAGGACGTTGACAAGGATGGAAACGTGAAAGATCTATAAGTTTATATATTTAAGTCTTTTTTTTCAGTTGAAAAGCTTCGGCGTTTTGGCGAAATACGATGAAGAGCTCGAAGGAGTTCAAAGAGAGAAATTCCGACTGGATGACAGGGGCGGCGTAGACATGGAGCGAGAACAAAGGTAAACGAATCAATTGTATTATTAAAGTGAAAGAGAATGATTTTTCCAGAGAACTGGCAATGAGGAAACAACTAGAAATGGCTGGCAAAAAATTGGTCAGTCTCGATACTCCCAAGTATCAGCTAGCCAGTGAATTCTACACAGCGGTAATCGAAAATTGATCTTTTTGGCTCATCAAGTTTTATTTTAGGAAGAAATGATAGCTTTTCGGAAGCCCAAGAAGGGAAACAAGGAGAAAATGCGTAAAAGAACTAAAATTCTCAAAGCTTCTGATTTGGTTCCTGATGAGCCCGCTGGAGAGTAAGTTTTTATGTGCAATAAGATTTTTTCCCTTTGTATGGTCTTGACTGCTTCAATTGTGACAATATCATAATTTTCATCTCTTCAGACGGAATCTTGGTCGTCGACGTCAACGAGATGCAGATGAGGATGAGGAAATGCCTGAAAATGGCAAAAATAAAGTCAAAGTAGGCTTTTTTGTTTTTAAGCATTTCATTCCAAATTATTGCAAGTCACAATCTCTCTGGATGTTTCAGTCGGAGGATGAAGAAGATGGCGAAATCAAGAAAGAGCCGCAGAACGACGGCGAAGACGAACCGCAAAACAAAAGCTGGAAAAAGGCTATGCATGGAAACGGCGTTGATCTTGAGCGTCTGAGGAAGTTCAAAGAGCGAGCGGCACGAGAAAGCGATGAGGATAGCGATGGTTTGTTTTAAATTGGAAGACTAAATGTGAATCACAAAAATGAGTCTCAAAAAATAAAATTAATAAAACAGATTGCTGTAATGAAGAAGAACTAGGTTGAAGATAAAAAAATTACTCATTGAATGCATCTTTTCCGCGCTTTTTATAACATATTAAAATGTTTTATTGACACAGTTAAGATTGGAAATTCTGAGTTTTTGTCATGCTGACGAAAATCTATCATTGTGTTCAGGTAGAACTATCTGGCCAGCTTAAATTGATTTTTCGAAATTGAAATTTGTTTGCAGACGAAATGCATGGAGGTGTTGATCTGACTGGTGTGGTTATTGACGACGACGCTCAAAATGAACTGTATTCTGTGTTGGAGAGGACCAGAAAAGTGAAAAGACTCGTTTCCGCCTCGAATGGCGATGACGATGTCGGCAAAAAGGTTTTTTGTCCAGTACCAAAGAAAAAACATGGTTTTTTTTTAATTTTATGAGAATTTTTGAATGAAAGTTACGAGAACTACTAGGAATTAAATAAATTTTATTTTTTGATCGGATTTGATCACTGCAACTTGAATACTTTTCAAGGTTCAAGAAATGCTAAACTCGCACGGAGTGAAGATGGAAGTGGACGACGAGGATGAGGTTGAAGCTCCGCTGAAAGATGGCGCTCTCTACATCGATTCGACTATGGAGTATTGCCGGAATATTGGTTCGTGAATTTGTTATATAAGCCGTATTTGAATAATTTTCTTGCTATAGGAGAAATTCCTACCTACGGACTGGCGGGTAACAGAGACGATTCGATTGATGTCTCGGAAATGAGAAAAGTAGAGGATGTCAAGCAGGTGAAAGAAGAGGTCGAGGACGAGTCCGAAGGCTTCAAGTTTGTAGTTTTCCACTTCTTAACAAAAATTCGGATTGTTCAGACGATGGAAAAGGGCTCAAGTCGATCGAGAGCTTCGCAAGAAGCAAAAACGCGCCGAAGAGGACAGGTTAGTGCAATTTCAGTAGTTTTGTTAGCAATTGTTGTGTTTTTAGGGGCGGATGGCTGGCCGCAGGAGAACCAATGCCTGGATCTTCTTCCGCCCGACTGGACAGCGAGGATGAAGAAGAGCTCGAAAAGGCTAAGAATATGGTTGCCCTAGTCAATTCAGCGAATTTCATAATTGTACTTTGCAGGAATGGTCGGATGATGACGATGAGGAAGGGGCTCCTGAATACGAAAACGTCCTCGGAAAAGAGGCTGACGTCTCCAAAGGCGTAGGTGCCATGCTCAAGCTTGCTGCCCAGAAGGTTCTATCATAGTTTCATTAATCTTTACGATGTTATTTTAGGGATACTTGACTGATCCCAACGCGAAAAAGTACACTGGCCCGAATTTGGACCACTTGAAAAATCGTTCCAAGTCTCAAATCGATGCTGGAAAATAGTGAGTTTTTTTTTGTCTAATGTATGATTTCTGCATCTCGGATAAAGTAGTGACTGCTCTAGAGGAAAGGGAACTGAAAAACATTTCTTCCCAGATCATTTTATCGTTTAGTGATATCGAAGACAAGTACATGAAAAAGTTGGATCGCCTTGGAACGACTGGGCGTGGACCCATTCAAGCTTTCCCAGAGAAGAAAGATTATAATCCTGAGGTATATTTTTTTCAGGCCATTGAAATTCTGACACGATTTACAGATCACAATTTGCTATGTGGACAAAAAAGGACGGGATATGGATGCAAAAGATGCTTACAGAGAGCTTTCTTACAAGTAAATAGTTCAAAGATAACTGCCATTCATCAATCTATTTTAAAGATTCCACGGTCGTAATCCGGGTAAAAAGCAACTTGAGAAGCGTTCACACAAACGCGAAAAACAGGAACGTCTTCTTCATGTTCGTTTTGTCCGTCATGGAAAATGAGAATCTTGTCCATTTTCAGACCAACAGTTATGACACGCCCTTGGGAACGCTGAGCAAGCAACTGAAGAAGCAAAAGCAGCTTCAGACGCCTTATTTGGTCCTCAGCGGCTCTACTGATCAGTTAGTTTCTGTTTTTTGTCGTCAAAATATTTTTTTTTTCAGCTCAAGCCTGAAAAAGGAGTAACGAACGTTCTTAATTTCTTGTCTTTCTCTTACTTTCTTTGGTTTTTTGCTGGTTATTTTTTCTGTACGAGACATTTTTTAATTCTATTTTTTTTTCATTGTTAAATTTTAATTTATTACACCCGTAATTGAGTTCATAAATAGATATTCTAGTAGTTTACACGTTATTGTCCCATCGGATAGCAACTATTCGGTTGTCGGAAGTCGCAAATCGCCTCGGTGATGTTTTTCGTTAGACGATGCAGGACATAGATAGCTTTATGCTCTTCGGCAATTTTGGTTCGATATTTCTCTCGCAAACTTCGTAGAAGTTCCTGGAAACTCGGTCTCATTTTTCATCAAATAGTTCAATTACCTGCGGTACTCCAGATTCATATTTTACCACGTCCGGCGCCATTAGGAAGAGTTTTGGCATGTCGATTGCAGCAGGAATAGGCTGAATTTTCCTTCTTTCTTTCTCTGTGACTTCCCTCACCTTTCTTAATATGATATGATGTAAAATTACTTGTGCCGTCGTTTCTAAACCGCCTTCAGTACTAGCAAAAGCCATTATCGGCTGAAAAATTACTTGAATTTTGAGTCTTTTCTTCAAGAAGTCTTCTTAATCAACCTGATCTTCTTCATCGAAAAGTATGAAGGGGGAAACATGGATAGCTGGACGTTTCCCTCCTAGAATACAGTTAACGACTCCTTTTTCACAGTCTGTTTTGAAAGAAGACATGGCATTGTTCCATACAAAACCCAGTTTGCTCGATCGTCGAATAGAGCCAAACCTGCAGATAAGAAGCGAAACTTCGTACCGATGTTATCAAACGGAAAACTCACGCATTTGTGCTGGTTGAAGCCATGCTCAACACGTTTCCCTTGTTGTCGATTGTGATCACGTTTGAAGACGTTTCAATCTTCTTCTGAGATTCCGAAATCATGAAGCGTTTTTCAAACAGTCTCACTTCTTCCTCTACGGGCGAACCACTTCTATGCATTTCGATAAGGCGTTTCACTTGTTTGTCTACCTGATCATCAGCTGAAAACTTTTTTCTTCATTTTGAGATTAAACACAAAAAAACGTACCGACGTATTTTTTTATTTTCTGCATGTGCGACAATGCTTTAAGAACACTTTCAAAAAAATCTGGATCATTATTTAACTCGTCTGAGATCCCGTAAACTTCTGAAATTGGGATAAATGAAACCATTGGAAATTTTTCACATAGGCTTTTGCACAAAATCGTTATAAGGAAGTGTAAACTACCCTAATACTGAAAAAAAAAACTGGTGAACTAAAAAAAATTATAGGCATTTTTTGAGAAAGTTTTTTTAAATTATATAATGAGCTCATCTTTATAGCACTCTGCAAAAAAACCTACCGGCGATGTCACGAAAAAAATACTTAAGAAGAGAGAAGTAAGAAGGAAATCGAGGTCCTCGGAGCTGCGAATAGTGAATATCCACAGTGACCGTCTCAGAAACGACGCATTCGTAGGATTCGAAGTCTGACTTTCTCAGAAGTCCTCCACGCTTTCTCATCTCCATGAAGACGTCATCCGCTAGTTCCCCACGGTAGAACAACTCCACAGGGTCGGGAGCGACAGCGAGTTTGTGGAAAAGTTCTGCCAAGGCGACGTCTTTGATCGAAGAACCACTCGTCGTGGTTGAGTTCAATATTGGTCTGAGCGAAAATCTCTAGAATGCTTCGAATCTGAAACCTGAAGCTTTTTTCGGATTTCAAAGTGCTGTGATGTTCTCTGATTGCTCTTTCAAGAAAATGATCCACGTATACAGCGTCTGAAACTGAAACTTTACCTCATTAATTTTCTTGTTTACCATTGAGAATTAGTCGGGCAGCTGGAGTGACAAGGTCTTTCCAAGTTATTCGACCAGATCCGAAACGGCGAAATAATGTCCACAAAACGGAGACCCACCCCGGAGTACAAATCGAGGAGTAGCCTGTAACTCTTCTCTCTCATTGAACATGAGATCAAAAATACCCAGTTTTGCCAAGTTTGGGTTATCCGCGAAAGTGTGTGGCACGGCTGTTCTAGGAGCTCTCTCTCTACCGTCGATCGTATAGGTTTTGCCATCTTTTCTGAAAGTTTGAATTCACAAAATGATGAAAAAGTAATTCCGAACTCAGAATGAAGGGTTACAACAAGCCCGAATCCAGGACCAGTGGCATGTGGATGAACTGCGGCAAGGCAGAACTCAGCCGAAATGGCGGCGTCGACAGCGTTGCCTCCGCGGACCAGCGTATCTCTGGAAATAGGAATTTTTTTAGAGGGGCTCTAGAACTTCTGCGAAGTTATCAGCCTACCTGGAGATGCGGCTACACTCTTCATGGTTCGTCAAAACAGCGAAGTTCTTCAGCTCCTGGACGGTACTTCTGATTTCACGAGGCCATTGGAATTTCTCAGTCTTAAAGGAAAAAATAGAGAGGATTTTTTATAGAGAAGCTGAGATATCTGAACTCACTCCTAACTTGAATGACGAGAATGAAAAACGGTAGCGTGAATTTTGAAGAAACCCTAATTTTTCCTGTTTAACCTTGACGTCGGATCCAGAAGCTCCCTTTTCTTGTTCGTCAGCTTCCGAAGTTCGTGCAGTTGTGGTAGTTGTAAAGTTGAGAGTCGTGCTTTCCGTAGTTTTCGCGTCAGAAGGAATCGAACTTGAGGTAGTGGATATTACAACATGATCGAAATGACTGTATTCGGAATTTGGTAAGACAATGGCCCTGCCGCCGTCGACTCTTGTCCTCTTTGGCCCATGATGGGAACCACCTAAACATGGAGCTATTTCTCTAGAAACACTTCAACTCACATTGATTGTTTACGTTTTTCCGATCTCCGTTGGCTCCGCCTTTCCCCAACAACCTCATACTTCTGTCATAGATAGGCTCGGATCTTTCGGAATTCGGTATGACTATCCAACGGCCGTATATCAAATAGAACATGGCGGCAAGCGTGAAAATTAGAAAAACAAAAACGGCGGCACTCGTCCATGGGGCTCCTCTGAAACATTTTAGAACTTTCCTAAATCACTGGTCAGGGTCTTGAAAAGAACTTCTTTCTCGACCACTCATTCAAACTCGGTTCAAAAGACCTTGATAATTTCTTCAAGTGAGGGAGTGAGTTTTCAAATGGAGCAGTTCACTTTCTGAGCCAGAAAATGCATCAAGAGATGACAAACTTTTTCCGTAGGAGGACCAGCTGTTCCGGCGATCTTCTATTCAGAGGCATGATTATTTTCTGCAGAAGTAAGAGTCAGGGCTTGACCGCGGCAATCAAAGGACGAAAAAGTCAGTTGAAGAGCACAAAAAAGCGACAAACCACAGAAAGATCTGCGGCGCCGGCCACAACAACGCGTCAAAAGGCGTCGAGGCCCTCAAGCGACACGCGATTTATCGCCTTCGAGCACCCGGAATTACAACTGGGCTCGCAGTTGCAGCTGTGCTTTTTTGCCCCAAGGCCGATTGTCAACGGCATTTTTTATTGACTCGACAAATCGTTATGGCGATGGACATGGCTTTTGTTTTCGAAGCTCTAAATCTTGAGCTTAATTATATTTTGAAGCAACTGGACCACATGGTCTGTTCATAACTGGAAAAAAATTGAAAAACTCCGGAAGTAATAAATTTTATGAACTGTTAGTAGGGTACATTATGACATGTGGGAATGTATCACATTTTTCTCATTTTTACAATTGGTATGAACATAAGGTTATGAAACAGAACAGTTGCTGTTCGAGTTGTTGCGTCGATTCGGCGTTTCTCTGTGATTAAGAGTCCTTAGGAACAACACGAGTCATATTTAGACGTACGAATATTCCTCTTCTTGCAAGGCTCGGGCGAGTTGTTCGTCTTGGGATTCTTGCGACCTCGTAACTTGTGACCTGCAGTTCCCAAGGGCAGCCGGCAGTCTGAAAAACAAAAACTAGTATGAAAGGCAACTGAACTCATTCGTCCACTGCAAGACTGTTTTATATATGTGTAAAACGCACGTGAAACCAAACACGCCTCCTTTTTTGTGTGGTGCTGTCTTCATGAATTCCTCGCAGTCGTGGTCCCTTTCGTGTCTGTGGCCGAGGCAGAAGTTTCGCTTACATCTGGTGCACGTAACCGGTATCAACTGCAAAGCAAACCATAACTCACTCCGAAAAAAATCGCAACAAAAAACCTCTTTCTTTTTACAGCCCGCTCTGTTACACTTGTTGGTGAAGATCTTCGTTTTATTAACCGAACAATTATTTTGAATATGTTCATTAACCTGAAAAAACGGGATAGTTTATTTAGTACAGTTTATTCACCTGATAATCAACAGGAGTTCCTCTAGGCGTTGGGACAGGCAGACTACAGATAGGACATATTGGAACTTGTGCATTCTGAATGAATACTTTCAAGATATCCGAAAATTCAGGTAAAATGCTGAAAAATTCCACTATGAATAACTAATATTGATTTAGCGGCTGGATTCTTTCGAGCAAATGAAAACAGCAAAAATAAAAAAATCGCGAGTTATAGGTATAACTTTTTCATCAAAAAAATTTTTTTCACTTCAATTATTAACAGGAGAAAAAAATTCGCTTTGAACCGCTGAAAAAAATTTAAAAAAATTTTTTTAGAAACGATCAAAAGAAGTTTTATAGGTTTTTTTATGGTGGAAAAAAAGCCCTCAATGTCTTAAATCGTTTTTAATAGATTTTCTACTGTCGAAAATGCACGCCCAAACACCGTTAAAATTTTCGAAAAGAAGCGATGTTATTTATAATTCAACTTTTTCCATAAATCAATTCGAAAAAACCTTATGGGAAGAACTTTCACAGGAGTGTGCCTCGTAGGTGAAATGATCCGTACAAAACTTACGAGTACACGAGTCGCACTTAATTGGAAGAAAGTCTGAAATATAAAATGAAAAGCATGTCTTAACAAAGATCTTTGTAAAGAGAAAACGCACCTAGACGATTACAGAGATCGACGGCACAATGTTGTCCGAAATTAGGGAACTCCGCCATCGAAACTGCAAATAATACATAAAATGAATGAAATCCTAAAAAGCGCAAAAAAAAGGCGCGTAAGAAGTTTTATTCATGATGCCGTGTTCAAAGTGACTTTTCGATAACCAAAAAAGCCGACAGAGACAGAAAAAAGATATTTACATCTTGGAGAGTCGGTGGTATGAAAAAAACACCAGCGAAAATTCAAACGGCGACTTTTCCGATTTTTTCATATCGCTAGGGAACCTTCCGACGGCCACCTTTCCGACGAATCTTTTTCCGACTTTTTTTCTCGATAAAAATCTTCGTTTTAAATCTTCCTATATAAAGTAGGTAGTTGGTTCATGATTAGGACACAAAGAAATAGGAAAAAAAAGTAAATAGATGTCTTATAAACCGAAAAATATAAAGGAAAAAAGTCGGAAAAAATTTCGTCGGAAAGGTGGCCGTCGGAAAGTTCCCTAGCGATATGAAAAAATCGGAAAAGTCGCCTTTTGAATTTTCGCTGGTGTTCTTTTCATACCACCGGAGAGTCAGTATTAATTTTTGATTTCGAGGAAATTATTTTAAACACGGCATGAGAAAAAGTCAAAAAATTTGACTCTACGTTCACATTTGAAATATTCTAAAATTCCGAAAAAACTTTGAACGTTCTGAAGATGCAAAAGAAAAATATTTTGAAAATACCAAAAATATTGATGAGAGAAAGTAAATTTAGTTCTAATTTCCATACATATTAAAATCTGCGGGCTAGGAAAACGGAACGAGAGAAATATATAATTGCAAGTGAAAAAAAAAAAAAAATGAGCGAGAAATTTCCTCTCAGCTGGACGATGACAATTACGCTCTTTCGCAACGGCTTTTTTAAAGGGTCGCCCCCACGATTCGAAAGGTCTCGAAGCGGCGAGTATCGACGGCGTTGACACGCCCACTATGTCGAAAACGCTTCCCAAATATTTTTTTTCATTTCTCGTGATTTTTCCTTTTTTGTCGGTTAAGAGCTGGTTTTTTAACAATATAAAATTTCCAATAAATAAATGACGTGCAGCTATTTAGGTTGACTTTGTCATTGAAAAAGCACTTGTGATTTTTAGAAAACGCTCGTGTCTATTTAACCGAGCGTCTCGCATTTTTATTGCGAAATTAGCTTAATGTATAAATTTTGCTTTGAATGATCTTCATGAAAAATCTATCTCCTTCTTTTCTGATAGTTTTTCAGTAAACTTTATTCTCATGGTTTGACAAAATTTAGAAAAACAAAATTATTTTTTCCATGATTGTGTGACTTCGAGTTCCCCGCCAAAACCTGCGCTGTTCAAGCATCAATTCACTCTTTTTAATCTACCCATCTTGCCATACAAGGGCGAAGTTGACTGTTAGTGTATTATTCCACACGCCAGTTTCTTCATGCCGTGTTCAAAGTGATTTCCGCGAAATACAAAGTTATCTCTGACTCTCCAAAGTTGAGTTATATTTTCCACTCGTGGACGGCTATTTTGAATTTCGCAAAATCAATCTGAACACAGCATTACAATTACGAGCTTAAAGCTTTCGCACTTGTGTACTTTTTAGCTGAAAAGTTCAATCTTTCACAAGTGAATCTATTCTTGATATCGCTGCTGTAAACCGTTAACATGAAAATTTTCCATATTGTGACGCGAACTATGAACTTTTCCTAAATTGTCTCGCAAATAGCACGCTTTATGCACGTATAGTTTTTATCAGTTGATGATCGTTTCTTCAATTCGAAGCCGCATAGCGCTTGTTGGCTTTGCATTGCGAAGACCCGCTCTAAATCATTTCTCAACAGCAAAGACTTCAACAGTCGAAGAAAGGCCAAACGAGCGGTTAAAGCATCAGTTACAAGATCAGAAGTCTTTATTCCAACAGTACATCAGAATGAGAGATAGATAGTAAGTCACTTTGGTATATATACATTTTTTTTCATCATATTTTTTTTAGCTCTGACAGTGGTAGATCCGGAGGCGGCGGAGGACGCAGTTATGGAAGCGGAGGAGGCGGCGGCGGCTATGGAGGTAGCGGCGGCGGTGGTGGAAACTATGGAGGTTGTTTTTTTTTAATCGATTGCCTTGCTACGAATTGAGTTCTCTAGGCGGTTTCGGTGGTCGCGGCGGAGGAGGTGGCCGAGGAGGCGGCTCTAATGGCAATGCCGGTGGTCGTTTGCGTAGCATCGACTGGTCTCGCGAAAATTTGAAGCCAATTCAAAAAAATTTCTATCATGAGTCGGCATCAGTGACACGCCGTGATCAGGTTCAGTTCAGCAAGTCGTCATCAATATTTCAAATTATTTAGTATGAGATTGATCAGTGGATTGCTGCCCATCAAGTAACTTTGGAAGGAAGAGGAATCCCACGCCCTGTCTTCGAGTTTAACGAAGCACCATATCCTGGGCAACTTCACGAACTTCTCTACGCCAAATTTCAAAAGCCTACCGTCATCCAAGGAATTTCTTGGCCGATTGCAATGAGTGGTAGAGACATCATCTCTATTGCCAAAACCGGATCAGGAAAAACCCTTGCAGTAAGTCTTGGAAAAATAATTTGAAAAGTCTATAAATCCGAAAAAATATGTAATTTAAAATGTTCAGTTCATGCTGCCAGCCATTGTTCACACCACTAAGCAAGACCATCGTGGACGTGGTGAAGGACCTTCAGTTCTTGTTCTTCTTCCAACCAGAGAGCTTGCTCAGCAAGTTCAAGAGGTTCTTGATAATAACTTTCTATGATTACATAGTTTTTTATAGGTATCCGTTGACTTTTGCACGGCACTGGGACTGAAAATGACGTGCCTCTTCGGAGGAGCTTCCAAAGGTCCTCAAGCAAGAGACTTGGAACGTGGAGTTGACGTTGTTGTCGCCACGCCTGGCCGTCTTCTCGACTTTCTGGACAACGGTACCACCAACATGAAAAGATGCTCGTTCTTGGTGCTCGATGAAGCCGACAGAATGCTCGACATGGGTTTTGAACCCCAAATCAGAAAGATCATCGGCCAAATTCGGGTGAGTATTACAACTAGTGGTCTTTATTGATTTGAATTTCTGGAAGTTGAAAATGAATTTTAGCCTGATCGACAAACGCTCATGTTTTCCGCTACATGGCCTAAAGAAGTCCGCTCTTTGGCAGCAGACTTCCAACAAGACGCAGCTTTTTTGAACGTTGGATCGTTGGAGCTTGCTGCCAATCATAACATCACACAAGTTGTTGATGTTATTGATGAGAGCGGAAAACAGCAGCGTATGATGCAATTACTCAACGACATCATGAGCCAGGTAACTTTAAACATATAAAATAGAACGTTTTAAAAAATTGACTTTCAGCCCGAATGCAAAACAATTATTTTCGTCGAAACTAAAAGAAAAGCTGATGATCTTACTAGATGGATGCGTCGCGATGGATGGCCTACTCTTTGCATCCATGGTGATAAGAATCAAGGAGAACGAGACTGGGTTCTCAGTGGTATCGGCTAATAGAAATTTCATTGATGGAACTAAATATTTCAGAGTTCAAAGCTGGTAAAACACCAATCTTGCTTGCAACAGACGTTGCCGCTCGTGGCTTAGGTATTTTTTCTGACGACTTGCCTAGACATTTCCAAGTTCAACATGGAAATAGCCTTTTGAATTGCACAGTGTTGACCTAAATGCATGGCATGTGACTGGTTGTGGAGAGATAGTGCGATGAGCACTAAAGAGCTCTGTCGACCTGTGAGCTTGTTCGGCGCATTGCGTCGAGCAGTCTTTGTTGGAGTGTCCTTGCTTTCGTTAAGCAACTGGGATCATTCATGTCTCTGTAGTTTGACGCTCCTTCGAGATTCACTCATGGGTCGCCGTGCACTCTCCGTGTAATTGGACTCGGATATTGCTCCTTCCTTGGGAGTGACTCCGCCGTCCTACCCGGTCAGGTGCGTGCCGTTCATTACTCTTCTTTTTTTCTTTTTTGCTGTATGCCGCGTTCGAAGTACGAATGCGCATATTGAAACCTTTTCTATTAGTCAACACTGAAATCATACAATTCTTCTAGTTATTCTCTCGGGTTCATTACTTTGAACGCGGTGTATAGTATCGTGTTTTCCTAACGCAAAAATGATAATTTCCTTTAGACGTGGACGATATCAAATTTGTGATTAATTATGATTATCCTAACAACTCCGAAGATTATGTCCACAGAATCGGAAGAACTGGACGAAGTGACAAAAAGGTTGCCGTTTTTTTTTCTCTCATCAAGCTGAAACTTTCTTGCTTCTAGGGAACTGCTTACACTTTCTTCACTCCGCAAAATGCCGCTAAAGCAAAAGATCTTATGAAGGTATATATTTATCTTTTTGGCAATCGATAATATTTTTTCAGGTTCTCGAAGAAGCTCATCAAAACGTTTCACCACAACTTCGTGACCTTGCCGCCAGAGGTGGTTCCGGGGGTGGAGGTGGCTCTCGCGGTCGTTGGGGCGGCGGAGGCAGCTCTGGAGGTAAACGATCTTTCGGCGGAGGTGACGACTATGGCGCTAAGCGTCCAAGGTTTTTTTTTTCAAAATTTCGTTGCTATTGAAAATTTGAAGATTTGACGGAGGCAGTTCGCGTGGCGGTGGCTACGGTGGTGGCGGCGGCGGCGGACGTTGGTAAACAAGCAGATCTCACACATTTTCCTTTTAATCTAAAATTTTATCATGTTTTTTACTCTTGATTTATAATAACAAACGATCTTCACGATGTACTTCTGTTGTTGACTTCTGTTTCTCAATAAAACTGGAAGCAATTTTTTTTTTCATTGACATCGAAGGTACGGAGGTCGCATGCCGATGCTTCTATTTGATATAAAAAGTCAAAAAAACGTCCTCGGACTCAAGAAAGTGGGATTTAGAGGACTAAACCAAGAGCACTAAAGCTTTTAGCTAGAGAAACCTCTTATGAATCGGTCCGAATGGTCAATTTATATTTTCTTTTTCTTTTGAAGGGGTTGAGAATTGGGTGAATGTCGAAACTGTCTTTCACTAAGAATAACTGCCGAGATATAGCTGATTCGCGGCTGGCTTGAGCCATCGAGAAAAGGGTCCTGTCACGAAAAGAGACGAAACAGTGCCCTGGTTAGTGGAGAGTGCAGACAGGCCACCCCTTTTTGCGTCCCAAGCTAGCTGTGAATCGTCTATAAACGCGAGACGCTGGCGGTACATTGACGAGCTCGCAAACATCTCGCGCCGGTCTCGCATTTTTCTGGTCGCGAGCTCGCACTTTTCTAGGCGCGAGCTCGCAATCTGAAAATTTCCGAAATGCAAGATGAATGCGAGGTCGCGCCGAGAAAAATGCGAGATCGCGCCTAGAAAAAAGCGACATTTTTGCGAGTTCGTCAATGTACCGCCACCGACCTCGCGTTTATCTCGTCAGTTATTCTTAGTGTTACTACTACTTTACTTTTTACTTTATTTGAATACTACAAGGGTTGGAAACGTAAATATTTCAAAAGTTGTTCTTACATTATTAACTTTCATATTATATCTAAATTATAAACCTTTATAGCTATTCAGCAAAAATATTGCATGTATATTTTCTATAAATAAGACGTATTTAAATATCGTATATCGTTTTTTTTTTTCTCATTTTTTATTCCTAGTGCCCTTAGTGAGTTTTTGAAAAGTTAACGATGTTTTAAAAATAAATTATATGTTAACTCGAGAGAAAAAAACTGATATTGAATAATTTTCTGGAAGAATTTTCTCATTGACTACTTGCAAATTTCTCGGACAGAACACGAAAAAAGAAAGACTGGAGCGTACGCAAAAAGCCGATTCTTCCGGAGTTAGAAGCCTCGAGCGACGTTCAAAAGCACGAGGGCTTAAGAATGCAAGGCACTAGGGGCGTACGTGTTTGCATTCATGCGGGGAGAAAAGCTTCAGTTATCGCAAGCTTTTTTTGCGGTATTCTTCTCGGCTCCTCATGTCCTGCAGTAGTTGACCGGGAACGATTAGTTGGGAGGGGACGATTTGCCGAAAAGAAAGGTCCTCCGGCGGTTGCGCAACCACAACGCTCGTTTTCAATGAAATTCAGCGCGGAGAATGAATCAATAGCTGAAACGGGGCAGCGCGTCTAGTATAACGCCGTGTTCGACTCGTTTCCTCCTGCAGCTATTTTTAATTACATGCGTTTTTTCTTCCATACCTCTTTTTTATTATTCCAGGACAATAACAATGATTTTAAATCCTTTCCAGTTCATTTCAATTCCACCTTCGCGATCCGTTTTTTTCATAGATCTCTTTTTTTTTCAATTACAGAGCTCACATGGGTGGATGGGCACATGTGAAGAATTCTTGAAGGGCATCTATGTTACATAAAATCGGCGCTCAGCATCTTACAGGTTATTCTTTCGAATGATTACTATCATGGCAAAAAAAAAAGTTTTTGCGCCTTTGAATATTCCTTGATAAAATTGTTTCCTGAATTGCTATTCGCTTTCGAAAAAAATATTCAGTCTGAAAAAAAAATTTCGTTCATTTCCGCGTTTCTGAAAAACAAAGTTTAATGAAAACGTTTTTTTTTAACGTAATGGGTGGTGTACAATGATAGCGCATATAGAAAAAAGAAAGATTCAAGATGTTTTGAAGTGATTTTCTAGATTTTGGCTCGTTTATCCGCTCCTCACATTGAGAAAGTAATCAAGTTACGAAGTCTCCAAAATATGCTTTCGAAATTCGTTAAAGCCGGATGTTGTAGTAGGATAGCTTGGTGGTGTTTCCTCTTACCAATTTATGAGCCAGATTGAAATAAGTTTTTATTCTATAATCTTTTTATCAATAAATGTTTGTTGAAGATGTCTCTTCTGCCACTCGATGCGATGCACGGGATGCTTTTCGTGGAAGCGCGGCTGCTCGGGAACCCAGGAACGGTCATTTCTCAAATCGGCCTTTCTGTCGATTCACCCAATGCTAGCGTTGCCGTCTTTTGTGAGTCTCTTTCAATATTTTTTCACGCTGTTTAATATTTGAAAAAAAAATTGTTATTGGATGCCGTGTTCAAAGTAATTTCGGCGATTTCAAAATAGACGCGTTATTCGTTTAAAATGAATTCACGAAATAGGCAGAATTGATATTCCGAGAATGGCAAGAAAAAATGAGTCCTACAACGATATATCGTTAAATATGCATTTTTACCGTAATTTCTTCGCGGGAACTCATATTTTTGGAATTATTTGGGCAATTTCTACTGAAATTTCAAATTCGCGCGTAAAACTCACCGTAAAAATGCGTATCCAACGATATATCGTTGTAGGACTCACCTTCCCAGAATACCAATTTCGCCTATTTCCCCAAATCATTTTAAACGAATAACGCTCTTATTTTGAAATCGCCGAAATTACTTTGAACACGGCAGGAGTTTTAAAATTTTCAAATTTTTTTTTTGGAAGACTTTGATATGAGCTTATTTTTTTTTTGGGATCCAGAGCTTCAACTTCATGATTTTTTTTTTCAATTTTTGAATCTATACCAGAATTAGTGATTCTTTGTTTTTTCATTCTCATTGACCCGTTTCACCCCGTTTCGCCCAGAATTCTTTATCAAAAACAGTTTTCAATTGCATACGCAATTTAATTTTAGCTTCTCCAAGAAATATAGGTCTAATTTATTTTTATTTTTAATTTTTTCATCACTTGAAAGTTTTCAGTAAAAGCTTTTTTATTGTCAAGGTTTTACCAATATCGGACTTTTTTTCAATACATCTGGAAGAAAGTCTTTTTATTTCACGTCTTTCTCTTCTTTTCGTATCCGTTCATGTTACTGAAGATCTAGAACAATTTCACCTCTGAAAAATCCTTCTTTTCTTCGAGTAGTTTTTGCTCTCAGATTCGACGTTAAACGGACTTCTTATGAATATTTCATAAGAAAACGTCTCTGCTCGATGTAGGAACTAAAGCGGTTGGCGTAATGTCCTCTGACTCGCTTAGGAAGCTTCCGGAAGTCTTATTGATGGGCTTCCCTTTTTTTTCTATAAAAGCGCACCTTTTCTCGATGAGAAAAAATGGAACTCGAGATTCCCACGCCTTCTGAACAAGGATATTGGATTGTTTGGCGCAACTCGAGTGCATAGAAGGCCTCCTGAAGTAATCCAAAACCCTCCCCCAGGGAAAGATTCTTCGGAAGAATGTCGCCTTCCGGACTCTTTTTGGCCGCGATTACAATCGATCTCGCCAATTATGAGACACTTGCTATTCAAGAAGAAATTTGCTATTCAAGAAGTTTTGAGAATGACGTCATACACTCAAATTCTTTTTCCAACTTAAAAATTTAGTTTAGGGAAATAGCGCAAATGCCGTTATTTAGTGTAAACTTAAAGGGAAAATTTTTTCCGCTATCAAGAAAATTCACAAGTTTGTTTGAAGAAAGTGTTTTGAAAGAAAACTCGCAAGAAGCTCGAAACTTGAAAAAGTAAAACGGTTTTATTTTGGAAAGAATTTTCATCAATTTTAGTAGTTTTTCAATCAGTTGTTTCATTATTTGTTCATTCGTTTTTCTGGTTTATACCGCATTTAAAAGCTCACAGAATATATATTCGACAATATTAAAATTAAAAATCTAAACACGAAACTCTAATTCTGTTTGAAAAGGCCTACAAAGACTTCAAAAAGGAAAACCTATTTTTTAATTTCCTGCCGTTTGTCATGAAGTTAATGAAAAACACTGCGCAAAGTACCTCTTCAAGACCTCTTCGAGACAACTAATAAGCTCCATAAGTGTCCAACCTTGCTTTTTCGAAGGACCACGAAAGTTTTTGCATTATACTGATGATAGTCTTCTTATCTGTAACTTAACACGATACAAGGACCTCATTGGGCTTCTTTATCACTGAAAAACGAGGAATGCTTCTCTAGGCTTTTCACTAACGTTTTTTTTTTTCTGAATCTGACTTTTGAAATTCTATGAAAATATGATTAATATTTTCTCATTTTACCAAAGGTCCCAAAAACTTTTAAAAAAGACTTGTTGTTAAGAAAAAAAGACTTGTTATCGTACGGGTTGGCGCAGGTAAGTTTTTGTTTTCCCAGTGAAAATATCAAAAAAATTCAAATTTCGTATGACGTCCTATACTTATGACGGTCTGCTCTGGCACGTTTCATTCTCTTTTCGCTTATCACTGTTTTTGATCGGGAAAGGAGAACAAATTTGATGACTCGATTTCAAAAAAAAAAGTGCTGAAAAGGCTCAAAATAAAAAATAATACAATTGCGATTTCAAAGTGTTTCTTTTGTTTAATCTTTGATCAGAAGAAATGTTTTCTCCAAAATATGGTAATGAATAACAAGCTCACAACTCGTAAGTCAGTCTGACGACTCTATGAAACTGTTCCGATGAAAGTACAAAACTTTCATTGAGAAGTATAGTCACTCCCTCTTTATTGACGCTTTTCAATCCTCATAGACGTTTTTTTTTTTCGAAAAACTTGTAGCGCTTTGAAATACGGTCGCTTTTGTCAACTCTAAGGATTAATAATGACTAATATTAAATATTAAGAGCATCATCAAAATTTCGTGAAATATTTTGAGCACCTGAAAAAACGATTTTTTTTAATTACGATAAAAAATTTATATGATTTTAGTTATTAGAAATCACCTAGATCGCAAGTAGGTTTTAGAACGATCTCGTCAAAAGAAAACAAGAGATAACTTTCTGAGAGATGACTACGCGATGTGACACGGATATCGTGGTGAAGAGAAGATTACCTGCAAAGTAGAAGGAGTCATTTGAGAAAGTATTATGCGCGCTGCTCTGGGCCGTCTCTGATCGCGTGATGTTTCGCGGTTGGTTTTGCGGCTGCTGCGGCACGTCTCTCGCCCGCCGGCTGTCCCCGCCGGCGACCGCCATTGATCCGAAAGGCTGCGATCGCGGCATGCCGTCGCTGCTTCTTGTCGTCGAACGTCGCCGTTGACGTCATCGATGGACGCCGCACAGCTCGACGTCGCCCTCGCCGACTCCGACGTTGTCTTCTCCTTGTTTTCGCCATTCACTGATGCCAGAACTACCATAAAAGGTTCCGTTAGATCTTCTTGCAAGGCATCTTTATCTTCTAACTGTTCTCATTTTCAGTCATGTCTTGTAGCTTTTTTTCATAGTTTTTAACCATAAATTTTGAGCTGATTTAGAGAAAAGTTTCTTTGAGACCTTGAAAAATAACTTGCCTCTTCGATACCTCTATAAAATTTGACTATACTACTTTAAAAGCCATGTCGAAGTTTTGTAAACACCTTGAAAAATGTAAAATTTTGACGTTCAATTACATTAAGAATTCTCACGTTTCTGTTCAACATCTTGATTTAAAAAAATTTAAATTAAGAAGTTTTCATTTTTCATTCCAATCATCAATCCCCTCCTCAAAGTATCTGGTACATATTCAGTTTCTCGGCAGTTCTTAATCTTATTTGATCGTGAACTATTTCTGAACTGAATTACGCTGTAGACATCGACATCGGTCATTGACGCTACTGACCTATGAAACACGGAAAAAGTCTTTTATTGCTTGTTTTTTTTTCCTCTCCAATTTTTCGCAAAGACTCTTCTTTCTAACTTTTGCAATCTCCAGTTGCCGAAGGGAAAAACTTTGTTTAAGAACAACCTCTAAGATGTTTGCTCAACTTTCGTTTTCGCTATCTGTAGTTTTATAAGCTCCGTTCAAACGATTTTCTATCGCTTTGTTTGAAAAAAGGCAATCAAAATGATCTTATCATTTTGAACTGAGTCGATACGTGCTAGAAACTGGAAAAAAAAAATCAAAATTTTCTGAGTTTGTTATATTGGACTCTTCTGTTTGTTCTTTTTTGTATCCTGAAAGTTGTAGAAGACTAAAAATAATTGGAATAATATAAAGAGCATGTTATGTTTTTCTCAGAGACTAGCTTCCCGAAAGTGATTGATCATTATTCTTGCAAGGTTTAACTAGTTTTTTTTCTGGGTAAAAATATCAGCCACTTTAGACCAAAAAACAAAATGAAACATAAAAGAAGGATACGTATCAAACCTTTTTAGTTTTTTGAATCGAGTTCCTTTTAAAATTGCAAGTTTGATGATGAAAAATTTGCGCTAAACGTGGTTTCTGATAGAGTTAATGCTTCACATACTATTGTGCTGATCAAGACTTTTTTCTTGATAGTTTAATATATATTTTCTTACATTGATTTTTCCACGTGAATAATAAGTGTCTGCAGCTCGAGCGAGCGGCGTTCTGTTAGTCGCAGGCGTCGGATCGTATTGCGCGTACCGTCTTTGCTCCAACTTGCTCGGCAACAGGTTCGTCCAGCTCTTCTTTAACTCAACTCTTTGAGTTCTCAGGTTCGTCTGGGAATTCATCGAGGCGAGTCGCTTCGACCGGATCCCCTCCGCTGACCGCCGTTTACTTCTTTCTCACCTGGTGGGGCTCGTGTTTTTCTTTTTTTTTTTTCAAAACATTTGCAAAGCTATCAGGTGACCGTTGACCTAGAGCGGTTGAGAAATATCATTGATTTCACAAGAAATGGACGAACTTTGGGATTTAAAAATATATGTGGAAATCGGAAAAACTCAATTTTTTTTTCGAATTGGATTTATACACCCAGAGATGGAGTTGTACTCTGAACCGTGGATTGCTCAGCTTTCAAAACTCTAATAAAGTGCACGAAGCTTAGATCATGAAAATGAATTCCTTTCTGTAAAACGAGGTTATTGGTCTGTTAAACTGAAAGGTTCCTTCGGTGTTAAATGCGTCGTTCCGAAATTTCATCAGGCGTTAGGCGTGCCGCGATTACACATTGTCGCATTGACGCGACCGTGTCCGTTTGACGGCTCTTTGACAATCGGAAGGACGACGTTGCCAATCATCTATACTTTCTTTTGTTTCCAGGGCGGCACCGACGAGGCTGTCGGCGATTCAGAAGAAGATGGCGTCGACAGGGTCAGCGTCGGCGCTCGAAGTCTTCGATCTCCCAGCCAGGTTTTCCTTTTCGGAAATCGAAATAGTAGAGGGGCGAATCAGTATAAAAGATTATAAATGAAGGTTTTGAAAGTATCTAACTGTCACTTCATCAACTGCTATATTTTGGGTGGACTTCAGTCCGAACGGCAGAAATAACTATCAGTCGAAGAATTTGTATGAAAAAATAGCTCGTAGAACATCTGCACAAGGGTTTTTCATGGAAGTTGTACGATTTCGGCTTTTGAAAAGCTAATGAAAAAGAGTGGACTATCCAGTTATTGTTCAGTTCTATTTTCTGATCTCTGCTTCACATTGCGACAGATTCAGTCAAACTAAAGAGGTCTGATGTTAAAGATAAGATGAACTCAAGTTTTTTTTAATGAGGAATTATGTTCTTTCCTAATTGAAAACTTGTAAAAAATACCGTTGAAAACTAAATTCAGCATTTCTTAGAAAAAAGTCTTGAGGCTCACGTGAAGTAACTTTTGTATTGAAATTGAAAACCTAGGATATATTGGCCGAAAACAAAACATTATTTTCCTGGTTAACTTTATAAAAGTTATTATTATGATGTTTTTGAAATTCATCGAGTTTACTATTGAAAGCCTTCTGCTCAGTTGACGTATATCGAAGAACTTCCCAGCCTTCCCTTAAGTACGATGGACCATTCCTGATACTCTGTTTTCACTGAAAAACCTGGTTAAGGTCTCCTTGGCACGGCTTTCGAGAGTTCGTCGCTCGACACGCGGAGCCGGCCTCAATGCCATAGCCAGAAATACCAGAAGACTGGGCGTCATCAGCCGTCAATCTTCTAATTCTCGTCAGTTTGATTTTTCCAAAGAGAGAAGGAAAAAGAAATATAAAATTGTTTTCAGGCTTGTCAACCTCTTCCGTCCCATATTCCGGCGCCTCCAACAAGTCTGCTTCGTTGAGGATTCTCTGGGAAGGTAGCCAGGGTTGGGACGACGAATTCGGGGGTCAAGGTGCTTTCTATAAAGAGAAATCGAATAACTTCTGGAAGTCTAGATGAAACTCCTTCGGTGATTTGTCGCCTCGGAGCGGTCCCCTCGACGTCTTATCGACGTGACGACTGCACTTCGGTCGGCGACCTTTGCAGCGTTTTCAACGATGTTTGTTTTCATATCATTCATCGCAAGATTCAGAAGGGATTTCATAGAAGCCGAAGATATAATAAAATCCAGGAAATCTACGGAAGTTTGGAACTAAACTGAAGGTTTTGAAGTTAAATAAGATTCAACATGATTCTCAAAGCTGTTCAATGGGAATTTGAAAAGTGCGATCGTGTGAAATTCCTTGAAAATTTTATTTAAATTTTTTCCTTTTTTTTTAGCTTTTCAAGCACTTATTTTCTGTTTCAAAACGTTGGCAGAATCAAGAACTAGTTCATCTTCTCCCTCTATTCTCAAATTGCGCTGGAAAATTTTCAAAAAAAGGGCTTGTTATGAAACTTTTAGTTGAAAAACATTCGGATTCCTCAAGGGTTTTTTTAAATCATTTTTCTGTATTTTCTGTACTCATTTACAGTTTATTTCGCGTCTCCTTCTCTAAAATCTATTTGGAGTTCCAGGTTATGTCGGTGACTTCTGCCGTAGAGATCCATGATCCGCTGCTCGACGACTTGCCCAATGAAACTGACCATGTTGGTTTTTCTTTCCGTTTCATTGAACCATTTGATTCGAAAAAATTCTTTGCCGCAACTCTCGATTTTTCAACTTTTACCTAACAATGCTCTTGTTTGCAGAACGTGGCGGATGAAGCGTGGCTGAAGAGGATGACCAGTAGCAAATACATGTACGAGAGCGTCGTTGTACAGAGCGAATGTGGCTCTTCAAACGCCTCGCCGCAGCATTCGTTTCACTCGTACGCACTTTATTTGCCGCTTCTGGGTGGTTCGGTCGCCAGAGAGAACCTAATTTGAGGGGGAGGGGGGATATGGTTATGATAAAGTATAGGGCTGAATGGTACATTTCGCTCGACACGGTCACTAAGTCACTTCCTGAAGGAGCTTTAAAAAAACTACCGTAAACACAGCCTTTCTTGCACTTACGCTTCGAAAAGCATCAAGGGCAGACTGCAAAGACTGTAAAAACACTCGGTCTCCGTGCGAAATTTGGCATTTTGTTCATTGGACGGAATAAAGGCGTGACAATCTGGAATGAAATGTCCTATAGCTTACAAAACGTCCAAGATAAAATTTGATCTTGCTAAAAACTAAAAGTTCTCGACCAAATATAGTTGCCATCAACTGGTGTTATCATAACATGAAATTTGAAATGTTTATAGGTCGCTCTTACGGTTACAAAAGCATTTTTCAAAATTTTTCACTTTAAGACTCACATACGTTGATGCAAAACTTTTTTTACTATTTCCTAATGATTTCTTATATCAGATACTTATAATCTAAATTGATATCCCCAAAAAAAAAAGCTTTTTTTATATTCACAGATATTTTTTTTCAAGATTTTTTTTCGTATTTTTAGACCTTGTTGAGAAGTCAATCCAGTAAAGAAAAATAATTCACTTTTTGGACACTTGTTGAAAAAAAAGCTTAATGTCAGTTTCCAATTTCTCAATTTGATTCGAAAAAAAGTTTAGAAATCGTTTTCCTCTGTGAGTTTCAAAATTATTACACTTCTTTCGAAAGCCGATACTTTCTCGGAGGAACTTTTTCTTTCGAAATGACTGAAGAAACTAAAAAAAAAAACGTTTCGAGATATTTTTTTGGTTTAGAAAAACTGGAACTGGATGATGAACCGACGACATCTTCGGACGGATACAAACATATGACGCAAAGCAGTAATTCCAGGCCGAGGTATTTTTTATTCTTTCAACAAAAAAGATTATAAATTCAATCTATTTAGCAATGGCCGGTCAATGTACGACAGTGCGATCGGCGCAGAGATTTCCAGCGACGACGGCTCTTTTTTCGACGCTTCCAAGAGGTATCATTTCAAGAAAAAGGCCTTTGAGAGCTTCTTAGCAACAAACTTGTTTTTGAAAGTTCAAAAATACCTGTTAATCAGAAAATCACGGCTATAGTTCTGTTGGACCTTTTTATATAATTTTCGGCTGTTTTTTATCTTTTTTTCATGTGGTATATCTTATTTTTTATGTGGTTGCCGTTATCCGACAATTCACAGCTTCCAGTTTCAGTTTTTGCACAGGTCAAAACTCTGATTCTCACATTTTTTAACCAACGTTTGTTTTCTATTAAATTGTGAAATATGCAAAAATAAAGATGTAGCTCAGAAGTGAAAATTATGTTTTAGTTTCCCTTTCCTTTTAAACCAAAGAAAAATACTTCCTTCTGTGCAGAGTGGACGTCATAATGAAATTTGAACGCCCTTTACTTATACGATATATTAATAGTAAATTGAAACATTTAGAAAAGCCCCGAAATTAGATTTTCTTCGTTTTCCTCCGCGAAAAGTGACGAAATCACCAAATTCGATTTTTTTTCTTTGCCCTTTTATTAAAAATTTCATGAATTATTAACATAGAAAACCTGAATAATGCAAGCATATTTTGGCGACGTCGGAATGAGTTATCTTGAGTTTTCTGGCGGAAATTTTACGATTTTACCCTAGATTCTTGTTTATTTATTTGTTAACGGCTCACCGACGATTTCCTCTAAAAGGCGGCTTTTTTGGGAAATGAAGGGTTAAAAATAGAAGGTTTTTTCAACAACAAGGAGATTTCTATGGCATGTTTACCTTGAAGCTCTGAATAGTTGAATAGGGCTACTGTTTTTTGTTTCTTTGCGATACAAGTCATTTACATCTATTCAAACTGCCAAAAATTCTAAAAACAGGCAAATCTTAGCCTATTCGAAAAATTTTTTTGGAGAATATAGTGATATCAGATTTTTTTCAAAGTCTTTTTGAAATCCTATGACTTTCAAGAAAAGAAATTTCATTATTCGACGTTGGAACCGATATAAACTGGAAAGGATAAAAAAAAAGAGTTAATAATGACTGGAGTGAGATGGAAATGGACTTTTCCTTTTCTAATTCTGGAGCCAGCAAAAGTGAATATTAAATTGATGTGTTTTGAACTTCGAGAACTATGGGAAACGATGGAGAAGGTCTGCAAAAGAGGAGAGTAGGACTACAAAAGGAAATAAGCGTTTTCTCAAATTGAAAACGACAAAATCGCCTATTTTTCATTCTTTAGGCAAAATCCCATACGAGAAGTGGATTCGTGTTCTGTGGCCCCATCTTGTATGAGTTTGGAATGGTGCGACGAAGGACTGCGGTTTCGAAAAGTTCCCGGATCGTTAGAAATCAAGAGTTTTAGGGAAGGGATGAGCACAGCGTTACAAGAAGAAGTCGTTGATCCGCTGAGAAGAGCGAATCTCGACTGGGACTTCGAATCGGAAGCCGGCTTTGACTCAGATCATCAGGCGGTATATTTTTTGATTTCTTTTTTTTTCACAGTTTTGACCTTTTCAAGCGATTAGTTCACATAATAGTGATAAAAACGAGCTTCTTGATCTTTATTAAAATTTTCTTAGTTTTCAGTTTTTTTTTTTCTTCAGAAAAAAGTTTATTTTCCGACAAGAAGTGTGTTTTTTCGATTTTAATAAGCAATTTCACGAAGTTCTATAGAAATAGAGATGATGTCAAATCTTTCGAAGGAATAACTGGAACTTTGAAACGCCCTGACTTATTAATGTAGCATTTATCCTTTTTTTGGATGATTGAAAAACTTGCAGCCTTTCGACGTGAACGTCGCCTTCGCGCCGAAGGAATCGCGTGATCTAATGGTCCTGGCCTGCGAGATCTTCCAGCCCTACTCGCCTCCGTTTAAGGTGAATTTCCCCTTCCTCGTCTCCTGCTATTCCCGGCTCACTTGGACTGACGGAAAGCGGCGGCGACCTCCGAAGTCAATTTTCCGGATGAATTCACGTCCAGAAGTGATGTAACCTTTCGAGGAACCGACGTCGCCTCCCACGTCGAATTAACTAATTTCTAGCCTCTTTTTTTTGGACTCGCTTTTATCGAATTGCTTCGTGAAATGAAACGGAACATCCCTATTTTAATTAGAGGGTTGATTCCGATGATCTTTCGAGAAAAGTCTTAAAATCTGCCTTCGAATGAAATCACTAGATCCTAAGGAACTTCAAGGATTCACTGATAATATTTTTTGAAGAACGAATAAATCTTCATCTATTGAATTGAAACAAAAAGGATCGCTAGAATATTTTCTCACTTCTTTCCATCAAAGTTTGCTTATAATTTTGGTTTTCAACTATCAGATTTATTTGGTTCTCCAAGAATTTTCTATCAACTTAATTTAGAGCATAAAAAGAATTTTAAAGGATATTATTTCAAAAAAATACATTGTGAGATAAGCAGATAAACATTTTTGTCAAATTTTTTTCTCTTCAGTAACCTGATATTTGGGTCTTTCCTATAGGCAGCGGTTAATGAGATTAAAGCTTTCCTACAATTGCTACGAATGCTTAAGCTCTAGGTACAGCCTGATCGCGGGTTTTCCACCGCCTTTCAATTGAATATGTCTCAAAACCCAAAAAAAAGTTATAGATCAATTAGAAACTCTCACCTTACAGAACCAAGAAAATCAATTGCGGACCCTTGTTAATAGAATCTAATTGAGCGTTTATGATGAGAAAGGTGTCCTGCAGGAGATCCAGCATCTGTACCATCGGCGGCGACTCAAGAGGTTCGCCATCGTGCGGCAAAACGACGCTCTCAGCACCCTGCAAGCCCTAATCCGCAGCCTTCTCTACCACAGATGTTCGCTGCAGCGCGACCTTAATTGGGAAACGCTCGAAAAGGTTTTCTTTTTGTGGGTCGCCGACGAGTTGAGTTGAAGAAACTCGTTGAGCTTAATGAGTTCAAAAAAAGTTGCTTGGCCTTTAACGAAAATTGTTTCTAATGAGTGGTATCGACTGCGCTCTTCTCACTGAGTAACGAAGTTGAGAAGATGTTCCAATAATCAGCATCTTATTTGCTGGATGACGTTTTGGTCTTACTGGAACACGTTGAACTTTTCTCAACTGAATAGAACGTAGGCACTGGAAGGAGCTGACTGGTCATCTCACCTCTCTTCTCTTATTTTCTTTTTCCTAAAGACGTTTTTGTTCGATGGAAGGGGTTCGGAACACGCAATCCAGAAGAAACGACAAAAAATAACTCAAATTTTTGTAGTGCTTCGCAAGTCGGAGAGAATCGTTGAGAAAGGATTTTCAAAGCTGCAAAAACCAAGTTGAGAAGTTCAATTCCCGAAGTAGACAAGGGAACAGGAAACTCATTTCCTTCCATTATAATGCTCGATAATTTTGCTATTTTTGACTTGATACGTATTTCTTATGTGCACTTAACAAAAGGACTTCTGATTCTTTTTCAGTTCAAAAACGCCAAAACTTTCACGATCTTTTGCTCAACGTGTTTATTCGTAGTTTCAAAGTTGCCAATTGTTTATTTTGATCACAAACTATATCTGAAAACATGGCACACACAAAGGACGCACAAGTGTTTTCTTGGGCGAAGAAACCCGGTCATTAGGAAGCTACGAGTACAAATATATTTAAAGTAGGAAATATCTTTAAATGTTTCAAGAAGTCAAAAACTTTCGGCTGTCCTCTGTTGTATTGCAATGGTTGGGGAGATATCAACATCAACAACAACTTCAGAAGCACGTCAACAATTTTGGTCCATTTTGGGTGTTGGCAATTAATAAATGCCTACAGGTGGTGTGGGGGAGATCTTGGGAAATTTAGTAGTTCGAAGTGGCAATTTAAGGTCGCTCTCGCTGCTGCTTCAGGTACTGCGGGAAGTTGGACGGCGCGTTGCACAGGTCGTAGTTGCAGACGCATCGGAACAGGTACTCGGCCGCCTTGAAGCGTCCTCCCAGCTTCGTCATGTCGTACTTCTGCAATTCATCACGTTTAGAACTGGACTTGGACTGGTAGCAGCACTCACCTCGTAAAGGCAAACCGTCAGAACCTTGTAGATGCTGTCTGTTTGTTGGAAAGTCGTGTCGTACGGCACTAGCGAGTCTTCCTCACTTCCTGAAGCCGAGGATGTTTCTCATTTTTCGTTCAAAAGTCGTGCTACCTATGCCGAAAACTTTGCTTTCCTGCCCATTCTCTCCAGGAATGTACGCGCAGTAGTGCCAGTTTGGATTCGATACCTCGTAAGCTTCTTTCTGAACAAAAAACGTAGATTTTGAGGAAAATTGTTCAGTTTAATTCACAAATAAAATAAAAACCGACACGCTCACGAAAAGCTCCCAGATTTGACGAATCAAGTAAGCGTCGTGAAACGAGAAAGGCTTTTGAGAAAAAGGGAAGTAAACTGACCGCACGGTCGTTTTCCCAGCAGGTGAGAGCCATGGCGGCAGGAACTCCGGCGAGAAGAACTAGGGCGACGAGCATCGAGGCGACTTTGGATGGAGCTGTCGCGAATTGAGAGCTGGGTGGAGCTAGCAGATGGCTGTAAATGAGCAGCAAGCCCTGCTCGTGCTTATATATCCTGCAGCGCCTCACGTAGGACGGCGAATATGCGATGGGCGGAGCCTATCGATACCGTATGGAGGCTAAGCGGCGGCGACTCCCCCTTCTCGGTTTCCGAGCATGCTAAAAACCGCCAGTTCGATTTTCTCAATGTTCAGCCGCTTATCTCTGAACAGCAGGAAGAATGTTCGTCGTGACCAGTAGTGCAGAGAAAAATGAAATTTTTTTTGTCAGAAAATCTCAGCTTTTCGGCAGTATCAAGCTGAGTTTGTTTTTCATGCATGAACTAACTAGGCGTCTAGAACGCCGAGTTGTTTCCAGAATCTGCCAAATTAGATTCTGACACTAAATGGGAATCCTGCTTTCCCTCTTGTGTGAAAAGAAGGAGATGAAGTCTAGTTTATAACATAAGATCGTTTGAGAACAAGTTTTCAGATGAAAAAGTTGGAGTCTAAGCGCAAGGATTTTTGATCTTTGAGTACTTTTCAGACTGAAAACCTTGGTGGTCGTTTTTTGAGAGGAAAATCGGATATGTCTCTCGAGACTTCCGCAGTTTCGAGAAAAAATCCTTTTGAGAGTTTTTTTTATGGAGATGATGTCGCAAGCGAGAACAATGTCGGTACTTAAGTTAAGACGGATACCCATCAACGTCTATTGTTCTTCGATATCTCATTGTCGCCCAATATAGCTTTGCTCAATCATGTCATGTGTTGGGTCATAATCTCCGCTTTAAAACAAATATGAAGTTGAACTGACGCAGGTTTCACTCCAGGTGATTTTAACAAAAAGCTTCGCCCCCTTTTTCTGGAAATTCGTCTGTGTGGCGCGGACTTCAAATCGAGCCAATTTGAGCTTTTGGGAGAGACCTCGGAGAGGCACCTTTTTTCTAGGAAAATTCATTTTGCTGAGTGGCCGAATTAACCAAAGGACGGGATTTGCTATATATTCTCAGTCGTTGAAGCCAATCTCTTTGATCTGCGGATTCGCGTTCCGATACTTTGGCTCCAAGGCGTTGGTTTGTGAACATCCGTTGTTGGTGACGGCAGACAAAGCCGAAAGTAAAGTGTATTATCCGCATGGTTCCATGTTTGGCTCAATTTCTGAGACAAAGCCCGATATTAGCAGCTTTGACACGATTTTTCGATGGAAAAGCGGGTTACTCACACCCATCATTATTTGGTACAGGAAACATGACTACACTCGTTTTCGAAATTTCGGTCAATTCTTCATTATGTCTTAAATTTTAATGAACTTGTTGCCACTTCCGACAAACTGATCTCACGCTGGACCCTTTTTCTGTTAAAGAAAAATCTTGGAAGTTTGGCTTTAGTTGACAAGAAAGAAGAACACGTGCCTCGAGGGACTCCAGAGCAGCACGATGACCTTACATGACGAAGACGCAATCTTTTTGAAAGCGGTATCCTGAACTATTTGCCTCCAACATTTGTTCAGGCGTCGAATCTCTCATTTCATCGGTGGTAACTTGGCTTTTTGTTCGGTAAAGCCTATTTCGCGCCATTTGACGTCACGGAAAGAAATAAATTAGAAATGAAAGGGGAGATGAACTCATAGGGACATGCGACGAAAGCGGAAATCCCGTGCAAAGAGGTACAAATGCAGTGGAAATCAATTTAGGCAGTAATTGAGTTTCTTTTTTAGCAGTTGAGATTAAAGAGAAAACACCCCGAAGACCTTTCTTGATTTTTTTCAGAGATTCGATGCGACTCTTGAGGAGTGCGATTTCCTGGCAAGGTGGCCGTCTCGCGGTGGACCAAAACTCAAGCTGAACTTACAAAAGTTCTGGCAATTGGTGAGTTGGCGTCAATTTACCCGTGAAATATCTGCGGAAACTTATATCCATCGAAAAATTGCACTTTGGCGCTGACGTAGGAGTTCATTTTTCGCCTGATTAAGCTCCAGATTTTTTGTGTCCTGTTGGTTTTTAGCATTTCCAATGTTTTTTAGTTGGTGAGTTACGCAGTATATCACCTGTTCCTCGTTCTTTATTTATGTTTTTCATTTGTTACGCACATGGAAAACTTCTAGTTGACTGAAAGGTTACAACTTTCATCACGAAATTTATAAGCGCACTCAAAAATATTTTGAAAAATTGAGAGAATTGAAAGAAATGCTTAGAAAAACATTTTTTTTTCTCCTTTTCTCACATAATTTTTGATGGGCAGGCTAAGTTGAAAATCACTAAATTGGTTATGAGATACGGTAGTTTGAAGAAAAAATCGAGAATTTGGATAATCTTAATTGTTTTTAAAGAAAAATAAAAGTTGCTCAAAGAGAAAAGTGATCTCATGGGGAGGTCATTTTAATTCTCGATTGGGAATTTGCAGAAAATTGACCAGAACACTTTCGAACGTACCAGAAGAAGATCCCGCTAGTCTCAACTTGCGAAAGTTTTTATTTTTCAAAGAAAGGATCTTTTTCGAAAGTCTAAAAAAAAATCCTGAAAGATTTTCAGAGAGGTCCGAACGGCAAATAAATATGAACCTGCTTTCTTCCACATGATTTTTCCCGATTTCTCGGATAAATGGAAGTTTTTCAGGCCTCCAAGGCTACAGGCGACGTCACAGAAGATGACGTCAATGGTCTGCAAGTACTTCTGGTGATAGAGGCGAAAAGAGTCTACGACGAAGGCCTCGCCGGCCTCTATTGCGACTGGTTCACGCTGGACGATCCTTCCCAGCTCATGCGGCTCTTCGTCAACAATCAGCCGGTTCCGCATCATGTGAGCATTTTGTCAGGACCGTATCAGAGCCTGAAAGTAGATTTTTTCAAAGATCCCCGAAATTAGAATTTTCGCAAAATAAAAGCTAATAATGTCCGTTTCTGATCACTAGACAGGGCCTCGTCGCATAAATGCCGTGCTAACTCGTAGGGGCCGCAAAACAATTATGTTATTGAGAAATAAAAACTCAACAGTGAATATATTTTTTTTTGCGAATATTTTTTTTTAATTTGCATCAGCCTTAGCTTAGATTAAATTGAGAAAAAAGGTGATTTATAATTCGCAGCTTGTGTTGAGAATATTTATGTAAAAAGTACTCATTTTTCACATATTTTAACGATCAAATCATTTTGAAAGAATAATATCTGCGAGTTCTTGATCGAAAATAAAGTGAAGATTTTAGCAAAGCAGGGCTTATCTCAAATGAATCATCTAAATAATTAGTGCAAAGCGACTTCACGTCAACCTCAAAAATGTTAGTTTATCTGGAGATTCTCCTCAAAATTTCGTGATTGGTTGGTGTAGTGAATTGCGGGGAACGGCTGGATTAAGCCATAAATTCCTCCCGGGCGGCATTTTAGTCGGATTGGTTTTTAGCCAAAAGACTTTCGACACCTTTTAACGCTCTCTGATCCAATAATTCAACAAACCAATTGGAATTTTCAAGCAAAGAAGAATTTTAGTTGACGGAGCTCGTTAAGGAATCACAACGTCTGTGAGAGAAAGTTTTTCAGCTGAATAAATTCTGTCGGATCCTTAGTTTGTGAAACGAACTTGCTCGCTCTATGAAAAGAGAACTCAAGGGATTTTCTCACATAAGAATGTTTTTAGTTTTTCTCCTCTCATCTATATTAAATTTGAAAAACTTGATGTTTCACTATTCAGTTTAGCGTGAATAATCGCTTCAACTTCCCGTGTTGAATTTTTGAGCTCTTCTGATGGTTTTATTCTTTCTTTTTTTGACTGTTTTCTTTTTCTTCTATTTTTATTTCTTGCTAATCAGTGCATTCATAGCCTATTGAGAAATGAAAAGAAAAAAGTTATGCTGACGCACATTGAGGCCTTTTTGTCAAATCCAGCGGAACAAGGGTGATTTTGATTGGTTTTATGAGTTTCGTATAAAATACATTTCCTATGTCAAAGGATTCCCATATCATTTTCTGGATTAAATTAAAAGAAATTCAGGATCGATGGAAACAATATTAAAAGAAATCAAATCCGAAAAAAAATTATAAACTATTGGATTTTTTAATGGATGGTGAAAAAAACTCCTTGGTGATTTAGGGAAAAAATCATTGTGAAAAAAAAAAATCATGAAAATATTGTTCTGAAGATAAATGATGGTATCACGAACTTTCAGTTGCTGTGGAACTTGGTTTGTCGCGTGTGCGCCGTGAGCGTGGAGCTGTACGACGTGCAGCAGATGTCGGCCAAGGCGACCGTGGCGCGATTCGCCTCGGCGTCGCCGAGCACGTCGACGTCGCTCACCTGGCTCCAGTACAACAACCTGCCCATGCCCCTTTTCTACGTTCCTGATGACCAATAGCTCTTTATTCTTCCAAAGCCATCTTTTGTCAAAATCTCCTGGATATTCTTTTATTTTTCTGGCTGATAACTATTTTCAAACACACTTTTTAATTGCGGGTTTGCACAACATGTCTTCTTATATTCTTGAGTGGTTTCGTGTTGAAATGACTTAGAATTATAATTAAATCAGTAATTCGATAGATTCACACATGAATTTCGACACGATTCTACTAAAAAAATTTGCTCGCTAACAATAGACACGAAGAGAATGAGGATTCTTCCGACTTCTCTATGCTTCAGTGTCGAAAAACGCCTTTGCTTGAGGTATTCATCAAGCTTTTCTTGTTCATTAGGTCGTAGGCCTTTGTTTTTTTTTTTGGCTTCAGATGTCTAGTTGCAGGAATTTTTTTCGAGTAAAAAAAGATTCTCAGAGTATGAAAAAAAAAAATTCTTCAGATGTTTTATCATATAGGCTATCAGACTTTTATATGTATTTCATGTTTTAATTATAACTCGTCCGAATTGTTGCTTTCTCTGTTGTTATTTTGACTTTTGTCAGACCTTCCTTTCCGATTTTCCCTTCCCCGGTGTAGCTTAAGTATTTGTATTGCCTTAGGTTCATAGGGTTCTGTGTCTTATTTTTCTCGTGCATCTAACTCGTTTAATGAATCATTTCATATTTTTCCATTTTTTCGTGTTCTCCAGTATAAAATACTTAAGCGGTACTCAATAATTACCTGGAAAAGTAAAAATTTTCAGATAAAAGAAGCCGAGCCAAGAAGAAAAAATGTTTCAAAGTCTGATAACGCTTCAGAAACAAGAAACAGTTACACAAAATCAGAAAGGTTTGCCATTTTCCGACTTACTAGGACTTCCTCAAAATAATTTCAAAAACTAACAAAAATCAAATTCTTAAAGAAACGAAAATTCTTCAGAAACCAGGAAAAGGATTCTTGAAAATTCCTCCAAGTAAAACCACTGGAAAATTTTTTTTCTCGATATTTTTCAAGGTGGAGAATAATTTATTCATATTTTCACAACCGTTTAAAGCGAGACCCATTGGGTATTTTTCCGTTTCTTCTTACTCCACTAACTATGCATTTTTAATTAAATAGAAGAACACTATAGTGGGCGTCTAATTGTGTGCAAAAACGGAAAATAAGCGATTTTTCGCTCGTTTCCAGCTTTTGGAGTCTTGTTTTTTTTTTTTTTCATGCGGTCAAATGTATGCATGGCAAAGGTCCTTTTGCAGTCCTAGCTGTATGTTTCCGCTCTCAATCAACATTGTTGCAACATTTCTTTTTCAAATCTTTGAGATTCAAAAAAAGTAATTTATCAGGTACCTTGTTTGGATTTTTTTTGAATGTAATTTAAAGAGTGCGGCAAAAAATTTGTTCTCGAAATAAGTCTTTCACTGCCACAATCCAGACTCAGTTTGTTTTCATTGAGATTCTCTAATTCAGTTTCGTCTGACGTAAAATGGGAAGAAGAGTAGGCGTCCAGCTATCAAGTCCTGAGGTCGACAGATCGCGTTTCAATGCATTTCTGAAACGAAGTGATTCCCTGATGAATTGGCCTTTTGAACTTCTCTTTTTTCAATATTTCTCTTTGGTCCTCTCTGTCGTTAGCATTTTCTGGACATAGTCTGATTATCTCACGGTTTTTTGCAACTTAAAGTCACGCTTTATCTTTTGACCTTGACCGGAACACCTGAAAAAATACCATTCAAGTTTCATATCGTAATTGTGGCCGTCTCACTGTTCAAAAGGCGTTCTTTACGACCTTCTGAAAAGGAGATGAACTAGGAAAAAGCTGTGGGGGATTTATACAAGCATGATGACGGCAGCGCCTGATCCGCTTCGGCTTCAGGAATCCGCCCGCACAGACTCGCACAAATCCTGGCACGGCTGTTTTTTCTTCTAAGTAATGGGAGCTTCTCAGATAAGAAAGTGTGGTTTTGAAGGGATTTATCGTTGAAAATTCGGATTTTTCGTTAAAATGCAGTTGTTAATGGCTCTTAATGGAGGAGATATGGGCTATGAGTCTTTGAATCCTTTTTATGGATTCATAATCTGCACCAATCTCTCTCTCTCTCTTTTGGAAACAATGATGTGAGTTCCGCAATGTTGAGATTAGCTTAAACGACCAAAGGAATAAGTTCTTTTCATTGTTAACCCTTTGTTCGCTCATCCAGATATAACTGACGTCAACCTGAAAAAGTTGAGGTGATGCGGCTTCTGGTCCTTTTTCTCGCCCTTTTCGCAATCTTCTGCATTTCCACCGCTTCAGTTGTTGAGAAACGAAGAGGTAAAGTTTTTTCGAAAGAATGAAAACATTCCGCAAGAACTTTTCTTCCAGGTGTTTGGTTTATGAGACCTGGTTGGAAGCCGATGCAAAAGCGCTTTGAGATGCTCTATGACAACGACGCCTTCAATCCAAGCGACGTATCTTTTCGTTGAAAGTTTCCAAAATTGAAAATGAAGACGTTTATGTTTGAAATAAAGTATGTAGCATGAGGATCAAAGCTTGGAGGGAGCGGCCGGTAGTAGACTTTCCAAATGATTGAAAGCCCAGGAAATCGCGTCGCAAAACGCGTCGATGTTCGATTTTGAGCCTTTCCAGTCGGATACTGTCACCGTTATTCTGAAGAAACAGGGTTCACACGGAACAAGGCATGGAAATTCTCGCCTAGTTTTTCCGATTCTGTAGAAGCAGCCATAGCCGTCGGGTCTCATGGCGTTGACATAACCGTATGCGCCGAGCTCGTCGCCGGCCATGTAGCCAGTCAAACTGAACCACAAGTCTTCGAATAGAAAAAATAAACTTGAGTTTCACCTAGTAGAGAGAAGGAAGTTACCGCCGCCGCCGGCCTTGGTCCAGGTGTCGTCCTGGAGAAACTCGGGAAGCGGACGCTTGGGTGAGCATCCGCGGTTGAACAGTTCTAGTGTTTTTCTCAAGCCGAAAAGATGACGGTCGAACCCGCGGCCTTCCATGCACTCTTCCATGAGGAAGTTGTGAGCAGCGACAGCTTCTCCGAACAGTTTCTGCTGCTCTGTCAACTGAAAGGAGTTGCAGTCAGTTTTTTCCTTTTAACTCCCGAAAAAAAACGTTTCAAGGGTTTCAATTAATTCTGATTTTTTTGAGGAGAAAATCATTTTAGAAACAGAAAAAAACCCCATGTTTAAAAAAGTTTTGGTCACGAAATAAGGTACCGGAGCATTTTCGAAGACTTTCTTCGCAAAAGCTGAGAATTGTCTAGTGCAGCCTCGGACAGTCTCCGTCCGTCCATGGAAAAACTTCCTCGTAGACGCTGTTTCGTAGATCGGAGCAAGACTGAAACTTCCTTTTTTTTTCAAAGTACCTATTCTAGCTCACAATCCGTGGGTTTTGACAAACGCCAGCTGTAGAGCGATTTGAACCAAAGTGTCTGTGTAGAGTTTGGAAGCACGGCATTTGTCGTTGCCGTAGCCACGAAAATGAACTACTCTCGCTCGAAAAGCTTCTTTCTGGATGAAAAATATTATGATTTATCCGCTTCAAGCTCGGAAACTATTAAAAACCAACTGTTTTGTGGAACGTCTGGTCAGCCTCTGAAATGACATCTCGAAGGGCTTGGTCAAGCTCGAAGTCGAGCCTCTGCGGCATCTCGAAGTCGACGTCTTCCGGGATCCACAGTTCTTTCCTAACTTTCGTAGCCACTTCGTCACTCGTTTGCAGAACTACGATTGCGTCAACGTTTGAATGCTGAGTAGCCTTTTTGAAAAAATAAATCCTTATTTGGTGAACCTCTCCATGTGTTGCGTTCTGACCATCTTCATAGATGACGACGTTGAGGCTCTTGTCCTGCCAAACGTACCAACTCTCGTCCATGAAGACGTCTCGCATCGTCTGTCGTTCCAAAATAACAACATTTATCTGACTTGACAAACATTCTGATGATCGGCTAAAGACTTGTCTGCCAGAGTGAGCACCAAAACGCTTTCTTCGAGACTTTGCAGCAACTCTTCGTTCTGTTTACTAATCCCAATCAGCTTGGCTCTGTTCTGAAATTCGAATACTCAACAAATGTATCACTTTGAGGGCTTCGAAACAAACTTCAGCCCAAGTGTCCCGATGAGACGTCGTCAGAATTGATACACAGGAGTTATTTCTTTTTGAATTTTTCGCGATGAAATCGAGCACCTAAATTGGTCTTGCGAAAAAAAGTCTCAAACTTATACTCACTTTGTAAAGTTCATCGGGAGACTTGACATTTTCCGCTGAATCTACTAAATTTATAAGCCATAACACGCCTCGACAATTGACAACCGCTCCACTTGGACATTTCCCTTCGGATTCTGAGGTTCACAAAAATTTTCAATCCATTCAGCCCCATCAAACTTGTTTTGAAACTTCTCTCGATAACGTCTTTAGGAGCTTTTGGCGTTCGTCGACTATTTAGAAGATTGTGAAATTGCGACATATCCCATACGACTCCACGACTCGCCGTGACCGGCCATTGCTCGCTGAAAAAACAAAAAATTTGGTAAGTCCCTTGGAACTCTCGATTCGAAGCTATATATAGTTTACGGGATTTTTAAATCCTTCACATTAAAGCATATTAAAAGCACGTAAACTATCGCTTCGAATCGAAAAAAGGCTTTACTAAGTTTATTTTGATTCGAACACTTGTTGGCGGTGAGATATGAAGAAACGAAACCTGCGGATTTTGTGCCAGACGCGCGCCCAGAGGTGAAGGACGTCGGCGGCGCGGCAGAGCTGGCTGCCTTCCAACGACACGAAATGAGAGTTCAGCGCTGCGAAACTGACGAACGGCTCCAGAGGCTCTCGGATCTCATTATACGCATCGTACCACCACTCTTCTAGCTGTAAATCTTCCGATTTCTAGACGAACTGAGGCAGAGAGTTTTGTATATGGTCTGAAGGACAAGATGCATTTCCATCGCTACCCAACATTATTGTTAAGCTTGTAAAACTTTGATTACATAAATCCCGTCCCTATTTCTTTTCTCAACTTTTCCTTATAAAGTCACCAGTCAAAAAACACGTAGCAAAATGACGTGCAATTAACCTTGCGTGCCACAAAAACCGAACCGAGAAGAATGGGACCGAAAACACGTCTTCTAAATATTCCCGAAGGCAGACTTGTCCCATTTTCCGAAATTTCTAATTTTTCGAGTGTTCGCGCATTTAAGTTGGGTTTCTTAGACCACCGCAAAAAATAAAATGGTTTTTTTTTTGAAGAATTGTCAGCGACTTCGGAAGATTGAGAAACTCCAAATGAGAAGGGAAATTCTGACCCAATTTCTTTCATTCAACGCCTTTTTCTCTAGAGCCGCCTGAAGCTGCACCGCAAGTTCACTGCCAGCAAATTTGTCGACATTTTGGCGGAGTCTTCGCTGCTCTTCTGGCGACAGAAGTACATTCGCTGGAAAACACGGAACTGACGGAGAGAGTGATTGCGGCCTTATCAAGCCTTGAATCATTATCGAAGCGTTGGCAAAGTGCAAAACATGGTCTCTGACTAAAAAATGATGGTTTGAATCAAAGTAAACTACAGGGGTGCAAAGTTTAAATCTAATTTTCATTACACTAGGCTAACAATACCATAGTCTAAAGAGGGAATGAACTAGTTGAATATCTTTAAAAAACCATCACATTTTACCGCTTTTCTTGTGAACTCTCTGACGCGAGAAAAAAAAAATCAAAGAAGAAATTTTTAGCTCAACTTTGAGGTTTTTTGTTACCAGCGTTCACTTTGGTTTTTTTTTTGAAACTTAAAAGTTGCCAACAAACCTGATTCGACGTATTTCTCCAAAGAATCTTTGAGCGGTGGCACAGGGAGACTTGGCAACGTAGCCTGTTTGGCGAACGTGGTCATCTGTGGCGTTTGAGCGCAGGCTCGTTGGCAAAAATGCCGCAATTGACTGTTTTCCAGTCGAAATAAATTCGAACTAATCTGACTCACGAGCGCCTGTTGATAACATGCGACGCTGTAGCCACGACTGACCTTTGGACGGTCTTTTCTGGTTATCAGAGGGTTCAAAACAGAGAAATAATCGCACTTTCTTTATCAATTCTTCAAGTCGAGGTTCTTATCTTGTGTACTGCATTTTTTGCCTCTCGTTTTTGGCTCTCGTTTGCAGTGATTTTAAACCACAACTTTGCGAGTTCAAGATTACAAGGAGCGCATAGATTTACAGAATTTCTGAAAAAATTTTTAGGGGCCTCTTTAGGGATTTGACATTTAGTAGCCGAATTAGTGGTTTTTTCCTAGTTTAATGTGGAAATTTTTATCTCAAGTCTACTGTACGACACGATTCCGTTAACACGCATGAAAAATTGAATACGTATTATTTGACGTCACAATATTTTTTTATCTTAAATTTCAAAAATTTTTTTATAAAGTTTATGTCGCATTCATTGCAAATTCAGATAAATATAAGTGACCAACTGAAATTGAAAAAGATGGAGAGCTTTTTGAAAAGTCAGGAATCGTTCTGGATTTCGCGAAACTACTGAAACGTTTTTAAAGTTTATATTTATTGCATTTTTGAAGTTCGAAATTTATCTTTTTTTCGAGCAAATTCTTATTGAAATCCTCTTATGCTCTATTTTAACGTGATTGCTTTTCAAAAACTGCGTTTTTCGAAGTCTTTATTATTTTTGTTGAGTTTTGCTATTTCTGTTTATATTTTTTTGGACTATGGCTATTTCTGATACCGCCAGAATGAAATTCCATTAAACGTGTAGACGCCAAACATCGTTAATGTTTCAGAACAAAACATGGCCGGAAAACGGTTTGTGAACGAAGATTTGCGTGAAAAGGACACGCGCGACGCTGCGCCTCCGTCATATGCCAACTTCCTCGCCTCCCTCTGCCTCTGTTCAAAGGATATTATACATATCTCCGTCGCCTGCTGAACCAACCGACTTCCTTATGTGATTCGAAACGGTTTGTCTGATTCAAATTACCGCCGAAGTTCAAAAAATATGAAGGCGTTTTTCAAAATTTTTTTCCGTTCATAAAAAAATGAATGAAAAAAAGCTTTTGTCGTCACATTGCATCACTTTTTTGTATTTCACAACAAAATCTTACAGCTCTTTGGCAAACGTAAAGCAGATAGTTTAACTATTTTTTTTTCCATTTTGATAATTTTTGTCTGTTACTGTTTAATAAATCCAATTAATCATGAAATCAGGAGGACCTCACTCAGGCGTTTATATTTGTCTCGGAAATGTCCAAAATCTTCCGTTGAAAATCAATAAATTGAACTTCGAATGGTTGTAAATTACTGATTTACGGTTTTTTTTGTTTAGTTACCAAGCTCGAAAACGTTTTGTAATAGAGTTCTTGATTTTTTATTTAAAAGAGTTGATTAAACGTTTTTCAAGCAGAATCAGCAGACTGAAAACTCATTTGTGTATTATTGAAGTTAAATTTGAAAGAAAAAAATAATTTTCAGGGGTTTGCTGCTGGTGCACGCAAAATGAGGGCTATTTTCATACCAATATTTTTCTATTCCGTCACGGGTTCAATGTTCATTCCGGTATTCCATTCACTTATTTTCTACAAGGTATATTTTTCGAAAGTTTTGAATATTTTCCTTTCGTCTTTTTTTCAGGCTTGTCTTGAGTTCTCAACTGATGAAAGTCCGCTCAACTGCTCATCGGAGCGCTCTTCTGCAGCTAAAGATCCGCGTGTTCACACCAGAGCCAACACAGTAATCCTTCTGGCGTAATTGACTTCACAAGGGTCAAAATACGTTTTCTCTTTCAGAAGCTCGGGACTATGTTTGACGGGGATGTTCACGTCATACGTTGTCGGAAAAATCGGGGACAAATTTTCAAGAAAACTCGGACTTTTGATTCCCTTCGCCGGATTGATCATAGCTGATTTAACGCTCATCTTTCAGGCTCATTATGTTGAAGTTATTTTTTTCTATATTGAAGTTTACAAAAAAAAAAACGCTTCCAGATTTCACCGATGTTTTTCGTTGTCTCTGAAGTGATATTCGGATTGTTTGGCGGGTATATGTCCATATTTTCCAGCGCCTTCGCTATTGTTTCATCACAACATACAAATGCTCAAAAAAGAGCCAAGAATATTGCGAGGATGGAAGGACTCCTGGCTTTTGGAGGTGGCTTTCCCCGAGGATAAAATGCGACTTTTCTTTTCAGGAATGACTGGTTTTTTGATAAGCTCTCAACTGACCCGAGTCTCCTACGTTCCCATGAGCTCCTTTTTCCTGCTGGTCCATTTTTGTGCCTTTCTGGTGATTCTCGGACTTCCTTCGAAAACTTTCAAGGAGACTTTCACCCGACCGTCCTTGTTGGAGACGCCGGCGGCGCTGCACAAAAGATTGTTCATTCCCAACTTGATCATACTCTATGCCGCATTTGCTGTCTCCTATTTCGCTTTTATCGGTTAGTAAGTAATAAAGCTCTTCACAAAAAAGAAAAAGTATCGGACAGTTCGGAGAGGTTTTCGGCATTTGCATTTAAAAAAATGGATAGGAACAAGCTAAATTTTTTTCAAAACTAGAGATTATGACTTTTTTTCCATTTCAAAAATTAGGACTCTGTTTAGAAGAAAAGTTAGCGAAATTCTTCAGGAAAGACGCGTATCTTGTTCTTTTACCTGAAAGAGCGGCTGTTCTGGGACGCGGCACAGTTCAGCTACTTGAGGGCCAGCATCATGGCTTGCTCGACTTTCATGGCCTTTGTCGTCTACCCTTGGCTCAAGTCCAAGAATCTCCCTGACGTCACTCTGGCCATCTTCGGCTTGACGTCCCGATGCCTGGGAATAGGATGGTATGCGGTGGCTTGGAGCGACTATTCTGTGTTCTTCGGTAATTTTATTCGAGAGAGAAAGTTCATCTATTTATTTTACAGTGATCTTTTTCGAAATGTTCGCCAAGTTTCCAGCGACGGGGCTTCGTAGCTTGATTGCTTCGAATGCCGACGCGGCGGATCGAGGTTCGTCTGAGAAATGAGATATGTTCACTTTTAGGACAGTTTACTAAAAAAGAAAAGGCAGATCTAATAAAACAAATGTTCTTATGAATTGGCTGAAAAAATTGAGGTCTGGAAATTTTCAGTTAGCAAAAAAAGGAAATTAACGCTTGAACTTCAATTAATCATAATTTCTTTATCCTAAGTTTTCCGCGTTCCAAATAGCCATGAATTAAAGTTATAAAAATCGAAAAAAATGTACGAAAAAAACTGATAAGAAATTCGAATAAAACTGTAGAGAAATATTTGAAAGCTCCTCTTCTCGAATCCGGAAGTTTCTGGTTCTTTATATTGAAAATGAGTACAACGAAAATTTTAAAGCGCCTGAGACAGATAGAAAGAAACCATAAACAGTTTTCTTCTATGCCGTTTAACGTTTTGAATTTTCCTTAGATGTAATATAATAGAGATCATTATCAAAAATATATGTTCTTGAAGCTTAGCCGATTCGAAAGCAGGGTGATTTTTCTCTTGAAAAGTTTGAACGGTTGAAGGCGTCGCGTTCGCAGTTTTGGCGGCGATCGAAGCGGCGGGAAACCTTCTGTCGTCGCTGTGCTTCCACACGTTGTTTCCGCTCACCGTTGGAATTTTCCCGCAGCTTTCCTTTGTCCTTATGGCGGTCATTATTCTACCAGCCATCCTTGTCGTGTTGTGAGTCTTCTGTGAACTTATGAATTTTGAGGCCTGCATGAAAGGCGAGTTGAAGGAAAAATTATAAGAGAAAAGTTTTTGATAGAGAAAAAACATACTAGGAAGCAAGATGTGAAATTATAAGCATATTTTATATTGAAAATGAGAAATATGCTGATTTCAGTGGTCTCTATCTTATCTATATTTCATTTCAGTGCGAAAAGGCGCCAGCTGGAGTCGAAAAACGTGCCAGCCGAGGAATCAAAAGAAGCTCACGAATGTGAATCCTCACGTGCAACGATGTTACCGGAATAAACTTTCATTTCTAAAATTCTGTTGCTTTTGATTTCTGTCGTTGCGAGCTGCTGGCTTGCGACAGTTTGTACCAAAAAGAAGAGCGACGATTCTCTCCAAGTTTGTTTTAGCCGAGAGAAATTATGACTTTGGGGTTTTGGGAAAGCGAGCCACTCATTTCGCGCAAAGAAGAGTCTTCGCCGTCTCAACGTATTCAGCCCGGCGTTACTCGCAAACAGCTGAAGGTTCTTCAAAAATTTCAACCAAATTCAGTGGTAAATCAGGAAAAAAATTGGAAAGACAGAAAACGAATACAGCTTCAAATAGGAGTGGTTGACTGATTTTCGTTTAGAATTCTGTTTAAAATTTTTCACTTTGAGTTCAATATTAATTTTTACACGTGTGTCTACACTGCAGATATCTTTTGACCTGCTAGAGTGCCAATGTTACTATTAACCTTTTGAACTTGCGAATGATTTTTTTTATTGTACCCACCATTTTCATTCTTGTTCAACAAACTAATATTAAGCTTTTTCACAAATCTGGTATCGGGCAAATTTAGGTACACAATACTAACTTATAGTTCCAATAATTCTTCTCATTTTCCGGTTTTAAAATCATTTAATTTTACTTAATTGAAAGAAAAAAGAATATATTTTCAGAAAATACGTCCCCTTCTCTTGGTGCCTGGCTCTTCACTAAGCATGTCGACAAAATCCTTGCGCAAACCTAATTAAGAGTTTTGTGGAACGAAAAATTTGGAAAGTCTCCGATAACGTTCTGAGTGTGTCAGTAAACACTTTTCACTATTTTAAAATGTTAAAAAAAGAGTTTGAGAGAACACAAAGAGCGTTCGAGTTCGAAAGGAGATTGGGAAATTATTTATCCCTTTTTGAAACTTCTAATTTTTTTTCAGTTTTACCTTTTGTGATCAACTCAGTCTATTACCTATCTGTTAAGGAAGTCGTACATAGCCTAGAAATTTTTAAGTTCGCAGTTTAGAAATGTCGAGTTACCTTGAATAAATCTTCATTTTTAGGGTTCGACTTTTTTGAATACCTCAAGTTGAGAATGCGAGTTTTCTTTTTCTGTCGATTGGTATTAAGTCACGGCTGCAAAATATTTTTTTTCTTCCGTCAAAGAAAATTTGGTCGAGAACCGTCCCTTTTTCTGCACGACGAACCGTCAGAAAAAGGAGGCGGAGCGTCGAAAGCGAAGGTGGACGTCTCGGGGCGGGGACTTTTGAACTCAAATTGAAACTTTTGCTTTCTGCATGCCAACATGATATATTTCTTCCTTCCGTCTTTGCTAATTATCTCTCAGGTCGGTTTTTGCTTTCTATTCGATTATCTTGCCGATCCGTACCAATTTGTCGCTCTTGGCCTGCTTTCTCGGGTTGTCCTTGATCGCTCAGGTATCGATTCGTCCATTTTGAAATCGTACCCATTTCTTGAGAAGATAAAAAAAAAACAAGAAGTAAAAAATTAAAAGTGAATTTTTATTTTCATCAAAAATGAATCTTTTTTTTCTTAAAGCTGTTAGGCAAAAAATCAAGAATCTTCTTTATTGTTTGGTTTTGAACATTTTAAATTCTCATTGATCAGTTTTTTTTTCAAATTTATCCCTTTTCGACCCTAAAAATCATCTAAAATCTAGTTACAAAACAGCGGCGATACGTGTATATAGTAAAGATTTTTCTTATTTTCTGTTTTGAGATCAACGAAAATTTTACCATTTTTTCATTCTAAAATTGCGTTTTTGTGCATAGTTTGAAATTCAATATTGCAAATAGCCTCTCGAATCCCGAAATTTCCTGGTCCTCTATCACACTGCTTCTTTTTTGTTCCAAATTTCAGCCATTTTCGCTGGCTAGCTGAGGTTCACGCTGTGTAACCATTGACCATGCGCGTTACTTGCGAAGTCTAACAAAAACGAAAAAAGAAAGGAAAATTGTCTTGGCTACTCCTGAATATCAGCAAGAATGACCTTTGTGGTTTGCGGCCTTGACAGTTCTTTTTATCATATTACTTCGACTCTGTTTGCCAAAATAACACAGAAATCAGATGGGAAACAGTCTTTTTCCAATCTCTTCTATTGAAAACTCATTGGAACCACCAAAGGGGAGTCCCAAGGGTTGAAGGCTTCTGTATAGTTTGTGAGGCACGTCATTTCCTGTTGCCAAACCAGGCAGATTGCCTAGTTGTAAATATCCCTGACGAATGAGGCCACTTGACTCTCCTTTTTTTTCGGCGCAGTTTTCAAACCAACCAGCTAAACTTTTTTGGAATGGCAAAGGGAAAAGTTTCTGACTTTCGACCGGTAGGAGTTAGCAAAAGAGATTTTTAAGCTTTGGCACGATGTCAGAGGTCAACCAGAAGTCCGACCAGCGATTCGGGTGCGTCTTAATCGACCTGTCTTCGACCAGGCGTCGCAAATTGTCGCCGGACTTGTCGAGTACGAAGTACCGCGAGTGTCCATCCCTAGGACTCGACAGTGCTTCACCGAAGGCTGCGTCGAGGTTGATCTGACTACGTAGACGTCTTCAAAGAACCCCTCAGGCGCATTCTTTTCGGATGACGTCGTTCAGACAGCCTTCCTCTGTGGCCTTCGAGCCTGCCTTGCCCAACAAATTCCGGATACGCGTCACTGATTTTGACTTCATGTTTGTTTCTTGCTGTTTGGTCGAAAGAATTTATCGATTTTTCAGGGTCATGGGACAACTTAGCGGTTCAGTCCAAGTGATCATCAACATTCCAGTTATGGGAAATGTCATCATCACAGGTTAACTGATTGAAGTGGCAAAATGAGTGCTAATTTGGTCTCTGTTATGAAATTTGATGAGCTGTTTTTTCATCAACCGCTCCAAACGTTGTCAAGGTCATTAGGTAGTGTCCGTTCTTGATTTATGTGTGGCTGTTCATTCAGAACAAAAAAACCGAAAACATAAAGTTAAGTAAGAAAAATGCGAAAAATGAGGAAGTCTAAAACTCGATATCAGTGTACTTCTTTCTCTTTTTTAATTTTGTTCCACCAAATTTTCCTCTTCTGGTTTTTAGCCAGGATAGGGAACTGTAACACATGTTCATCTCCCAGAAGCTTATTTACAAGGATAAATGAAAAAGCGAATAGCTCTCTATTTTGCGTCACAGAAAAAGTTGCAGGACGCCAGATTTCGGTGAGCGCCCTCATGGATTTGCAGAAGACAGTGGACGACCAGCCGTACCTCCGATTTGTCGAATGTCGGATCGACGACGGCATCGTCGAAGCGAAACTCGCCAACATGGGACTCTTGACCGACACCATCAACAACAAGTACAGGGTACAAAGTCCCTTCGAAGTCGCCCCTTCAGTGTTTCCTTGCAGCCAGCGATGTCTCTGCAATCGCGGATGCAACTCGAGGAGGCCATCTGCGAGAATATGAATCGCCTCACTCAGTTGCACTTTTCAACGCGTCTTGCGCGGATTCCTCGGTCCATCTCGGCCAAAGAAATCTTGGATATCGTTATCTCTGTAGGTTCTCCAGCCTCTTCATGAGCTTAAACTAAAACCTGAAGAACAACCTGGAACCAGCACCACCGCTTCATCCAACGCCAGTGCTTCTGAACGGTAACAACCTCGCCTACCGCCGTCGAACTGCTCGAAAACGGCTCCACAAGCGGGCCGCTTCCGATGATTACTACGACGACATCGAGAAGACCGAAGGACCATCTCCGTCGAAATCTGCCACCCCAAACACTTGTTTTTGAAGAGTTGATCACAGTTACAGACGTTTTTATTTCAGCCAGACAAAAAATCACACTGACGCGCAACGACGTCAACAACTTCTTCAATTTGGTTTGATTGATCAACTTTGCCGTAGACGAAAGTTGCAGGATCGGCTGGCGCATGTGATGGTCGACACGACTTTGATGGACGCCGCCTCGACGTCTCACGATTTTTCTCTCGGCATCGCTGGCAACGCCTTCAGCACTCGATCTCGTTGGTCGCCGGTCGAAGTCTCCGCAAAAAAAAATTTGCAGATGGAGTCTCTCCCTACTCGGTGCCGCATCCGTTCCGATTACCGCACAATGAGAAAAGAAAGATGGTCGAAGTCGTCGTCTCCGAATACACCATCAACAGTCTCTTCTACCAAGCTCATAGGTTTTCTTTTTTTGAGAACTAGCCAAAGGAATGTTATGATAGAAAATTTCAAACGGAAGAAAAAACTTCTTTTTGAAGAATTTCTCCACGAGAAAATAAACCCCAAATCTCCCTCTGACCCACACTATTTCATCGTTATATCGCAGTTAGATGTATGGAGTCTGCAGAGCGAAAGTTTCACAAGAAAAAAAAAATTCAAACTTTTTTTCTCAAAAAATTATTAATTTCGTGCTTTTTCATGTAGACCGTAGCAATTGTAGTAATGAAGCTCTAAGTATCATTTTTCATCAATTTTTCCAGCAGTAAATTTCATTGGATCGCAAAAAGTCGAAAGTACAAAGTCCATTCCAGGACGAACTCCTTGTTGTTCCACGTGGATTCCAAAACGCCAGGCGTTGGCGGCCTTTTGAAAACGACTTGCACTGCCGACGAAGTTTGCATATCGGACGAGGTGGACAGGGTTAGTAGGCCAGCTAAAATGTCCTCAAATGTCCTCACCCGCCGATTTCAGATCGGAAAGGTACATCCGAACCGGAGACTGGAGTTGATCATCAGGACGACGCAGCCGCCAAAGATCGCCTTGTCTTCTGGTCGGTTTCCCATGGGGGTTCTAGTCGAAGAAGAGCTTCAGACACGTTGACGCTGTCCTTGGCCGGGCGATGCATCTTTTTCCTCGAAGGAACTCGTCAGAAAGTCGGAGTTATTCCCTTCACAGCCGTCGTCAACATGCGAATTCACATGGTCGAACCAAAGCTCAAAGGTATTTTGTTATAGAGAATTCAAAAAATCTCTGATTTTTAGTTGATGTGAAAATTCAAAGCCTCGAGTTTGCCAATGGTATCGACTTCTTGGGTCTCAACGCAGATGACCTGGACGGTCTGAGGAAAACAACAAAAAAAGCCCTGGAAACGATGATCAACGGCGCGACCAACGACGGATTCCAGTTGTCTACAGCGAACTTGAAGTGGGTTCATCGCTCTCCAGAAAAAAAAAACCAAAGTGGTTCTCATTTCTTAGCTATGAATGATTCACTTGGACGAATGTCTCCAAAAGAGGGAATCCCGACTTTGAGATAGTATAAAAACATTGAAGGAAAGGGTTCCAATATAAACTTTATCAATAGCTTACAAGTAGTCCTTCAAGGTCCTTGAGGATGCTGAATCTTAAGAAATGTTCTCCAGTCAACTTATAAATTCTATTGATAGCTGCAATTTTGGTCGACAAAATAAATTTTTTCGGAAGATTGTTATCAATCGTGATTCTTCCACAGCGATTTTAAAAACTTCCTCTTCTCTCGTTTTGACAAATTTCAGTTTTTCGATTACAATTTGAGTGGAGAGAACTGAAAACTTCTGGAGGTACTTTGTTTCACCAATCAAACAGAATCACCAAGGGAAGAATAGTTCTTGGTTCTTAGTTTTCTAAACATTATGATTCTTTACTCACTTTTTCTCAATTTCAAAGCTCATTAATTAGGAAGAAAAACCTCATAACCGCTAGGAAGTGAATTCTAAAAAGTGGCCCGACCTGAAACAACTTGCGCGGTGGGACATTGGAAGTTATAGGAGAATTTCAAAAGATATAGTCAATTTTCCCCGACTTGAAAGGCGAGATGAGTAGACTATATGGTGAAGAGTTGCGTGTTCCACGCGGCTTTTTTAATTCGAGTTTCACGCCATAAGCCGCGTCGCACACGCAACGCTTCACTCTTGCCCATTAACAAATCTTGCCTTTCAAATCGGAAAGGATTGACTATAACTATCAAATCGAATTTAGGCTAGAACAAAAATCAGTTCTGAGCCTTTCTACGTGCTATGAGAAGTGTGACCAGCCAGTTTCAGAACACCGATTCGTCTTTCCTCGCCGCACATTTCCGTTCTCCCTGGCTCCATTCTGCTCCAAGCCGACGTTGACCTCTACAAGACGTTGTACGCGAAAAACTGATTCCATATCACAGCCCCTTTTCAAAATTCCTAATACGGTTTGTCCATCCGAGTGTCTCGCGGGTTACTTTTTGTTGTATTCCTTTTCTGTTGTCATCCGTTCGCCAATAAACTTCATCATTTCTTACACGGCGACGAGATTTGCGCAAGAACAGGCCAAATAGGACAGATTCCGCCGTCGGCGGATCCTCGATCGATTCCATCCAGTCGATCCGTCGACTTCTCTTTTTTGCCTCCGCCGCAATCGACCACGTCTTCTTGACTCATGGCGTCATTCGATGACGTCATACATAAAGCTTTTTTCCGGATCGGTCTGGTTATCCATCGAGTCAGTGGTAAAACCTATATTTAGTTATTTTCCATCAAATCTTCATAAAAGTATCACTTTTTGAAAGTTTTTTTTTTTAAAAAGACAGGCATTTATTTCTATTCTCCACAGCATCTCAACCATTTCCAGATCATTCTTTCAAGAAACAAACATTTTTTTACTTTGAACTTTGAACCGAGGTTTTCAAATCTTTAACTAGATAACAACTTCACATAGTCATGTTTTGATTTATAAAAATAATCATTAAACAAATTTTCTTCTTCTATCAAACTCACATAGGCAGAGTTGGAAGAGTGGAAATAGGCTTCTTTTTTGCTGTCTTTTTGCGCCATTTCATTGGCTTTATGCACCATTTTCGCTGTCTCCCCCTTTTTTCACCATTTCTTGTTCCTTTAAAATTCTAGAAAAAAGAGAAGGCTCGATAAAGGGACTCTTTTTGTTGCCTTTCTGCGGCCTTTTTGAGCCTCTCCCTTTTAGCGGTCATTATCCACTCTTCTGACTTTGCCCAAGCTTTTCCCCAAATTAAAGCGGTCCTATCAGTACCAGTTTGATCCCAAAGGCGCTTTTTTTATTATTTTTATTTTTATTTCAAACCGTTTTAAGCCGTGATGGATGGGATCTATAATCGGCAATTAAAGCTTTTTGAGAAACCCACATTCAAAAATACTTTTCTGCGTGTAATATTTACGGAAATAAACTGAATTCAAAGAAATTTTTCTGAAAGAAGTTTCACAATTTGCTTGAATCAGCATCATACAATTTGCGATTGAAGTCTAAACTCGGTTTTCATTTCTTGCTTCCAAAAAAGAAGTTCAGTTCCGACTGTTCTTCCTAATCGGTTCGCTGCTTCTGACGGCGTTCGCCTGCTACGGCTTCGTCTGGTTCGAGCAACTGGTCGGCTTTGCTTCTTAGTTCTTTCGAAACATGGCAATTTGCAGACGACTAAGGACCCGCAATTCGTTTTTTCACCCAAAGACGCGCCGTGGCGGTTCGAAAGAGCGGTTTATCCTCGATTCTTCTCTCGATTATCTCATTTTTGCCAAGGTTCTCAGCGAGCATTGGCCTTTGGACGAGGAAAAGTTCTGGCCTGGCCGCAGCTACGATTTGCACGGCTACGTTGACGTCATCGGTTGAGCTTCTGAGAGAGATTCAGAATAAATCGAGAGTTTCAGCCGCGGGAAGGAGACATGCCGAGTTCGGACGTCCGAACATTCTCAACATCCGATATTTGGATGAAGTGGCTCGTATCAACGACTACATCGTCCATAACTTGACGATTCCAATTGATATCGACGGAAAGCCGTTTGAGGTGCTTTTTTGGGCTGAAAATGTTGAAAGGCAACATTTCTAAAATGTTACGCATGTCGAGAGAATGAAGCTGAAAGCCATTCGTTCAGACCGAAAACTTTATATTACTCAAAGAAAGGTTTTCTTGGTGAGAATAATTTTGTAGGTTTCCTACACGGACCTCTGTATGAGATATGACTGGGCCTGCTATCTCAACGACCACATCACGATGCTCATGCCAAAAAGTCGCTGGGGGAACTTTTCTGGAGCAATCGCTCAGTTCGCGACCGATATAATTAACACCCAGGTATCAAGAAATTCATAAATCATCTCGTAAATAATCAATCCAGGTGAACATCACCTATCCGATCGGATGGAGAGGCTCGGAGCCTATATACTTCGGAGCTCTGGTTGGAGCCCCGAATCTTGTTGACCCAGAAGGACATTTCGACTACGCCTCTGCCCTTCGTCTCACCTATAACACTCGTGAGCAGAAGGTCGAGTGCTCAGGCTTCGATGAATTCCGATCAAAAGTTATAGGTCGGAAATATCAGCTATGCCTGGAGGAAAAAGCTGACCAGGTGGCTGACGGATAAAGAAAATCCAGTTTCTGAAATCCTGGAGTTTGGCGTTAATCATAACGAATCCCTGCCGGAAGGTCTGCAAGACGTCGCCGACACCTTGACTCCGAAGTTTGCAGGTTCTTTCTCAAATATTTCCGCATGAAATCAAAGAAAATCACAGGAACCTGCACGATTTTATTCACATTTTGCTTCATCGTTTCGGTTGTACTGAAGAAACACGCCAATGGGATGATTGCCGTCGATTGGGTCCGTAGCAAGCCTCTGGTGGCCGCCGCTGGTGAGAAGGGGCGCAGAAGCCAGAAAAGACTTGCTCCTAGGACTCTGCACTCCCCTCTTGGCGACAGCGACGTCGTTCGGACTCATTCTGTGGTGTGGAGAGCTCTACAACGCCATAGTCAACGTTTCTCCGTTCTTGATTCTTTGTGAGAGATTCATCTCTCAAGAAATACAAGGATTCTCAGGCATCGGAATCGACGACCTCTTCATTATGAGCGCCGAATGGCATCGGACGAAGCCGCAGCATTCTCCAGCTCGAAGAATCGGCGAGACTCTCAGTGAAGCTGCCGTCGCCATTTCCATCACTTCCTTCACGGATATTGTATTTTCTTGACCAAATCACTAGCGAACAATTTCTATTCAGACGACTTTCGCCGTCGGATGCTATACAACTCTTCCTGGAGTCCGAATGTTCTGCTTGTACACCTGCGTCCAATGCTTCTTCGTTTATTTTTTCCAAGTAATTTTTTCTTGAATCAATGTTTTGACCTATCTTCTCAATTAAGCTCACTTTCTTTGCCCCAATCCTCGCCTACGCCGCCGAGATGGAAGCAGCAAATCGACACGCTCTTCTTCTGAGGAAAGCCGTAGACCCGACAAAAACTGGTGATTGGGTCTATCCGATCCCAGTAAATGTATTTTGTTGAAGAATCGAAGTGGAGGATTTTACTTCTTTCTGGATCCGTGAACCGGAATCAAAAGGCCAAACCAGTACAGAAGATATGTCCTGTTACCAAGGAAGAAACAGCTGTCGGCTGGGGCTCGAAACTGAGCCACGTCATGAGGAAGCTCGAAGCAAAGTTGGAGCAGCATGACGTGAAAAAACGAGAATCAATTCAAAAATAACAGATTCTCAATTCAGAACACCGAAGTTTCAACCGAAGAAGAAACGTTGGTTAACAAGATTTTCCGCGAAATTGTTGGTCCTTTCATACTCGAAACGAGTACCAAAGTTCTATCAATTTGCAATTCCGAATGATTAAGGTTGACTCAGATTTGTGCCGGACTTCTCTACTTGGTATACATCGTGGTGGCGATAGCCGGAATCGTCAACCTCAAGGAAGGACTCGATCCGAAGCTTCTTGTCCGCGAGAACTTCTATCTATCTACCTTTTATCAAATCATTGATGAGACTTTTTGGCGCGAAGGTACAGAAGAAACGTCGATTCAGAAGAGAAAAACGTTTTGAAGGTCTTCAAATGCAAGTTGTCGTCAACTCGCCGCCTGACTTGTTTAATAAAGCTTCGAGAGCCAAGTTCGAGGAAATGATGAGAGGTTCTTTCGATTTTCAAAAGAAAACAACAGGAGATGTTTCTTACAGCTTTTGAAGGTACTTATTATACGATGGAGTCGAACGCGACCATGTTCTGGCTTCGCGCCTATGAACGTCATCTGAAGACGGAAAAAGACGAACTTCACATTGGATTGCCTGAAACGTCTGAAATTCTCCAAGAATCTTTTGAATAGAACTTGAAGGTCGGAGGAATGGTACCAAAGATGTCGCGACTGGATTCTGGTGGCCGGAGGACGTCGCATGTGGACCCTTGACATGCTCTGGGGCAACACTACCGAGGTTTTCCATCATCTCATTTGTGTCATGATCTCCCCTGTAGGACTTCCACGAACTGAAGGCGTTCCGATTCCAACTCGGCCTCAGGAACTACAGGACGCCGGCAGATCACACCAACAGCTGCAAGATGATCCGGGCGATCGCCGCCAGTTTCCCCCAATACAACGTCACTACATTCCACGAGTACTATCCCTTCGCCGACCAGGTCTTTTCCCTCCCAACTCCAAATGGAACAGAAGATCTTGCAGTACCTCGAACTGAAGCCGTCTCTGGTACAGAACTTCTCCCTCGACCTGGTGACGATACTTTTGGTCTCTCTAGTCATGATTCCGGAGTGGCGTTGCGCAGTCGCAATAGTCCTTTCGATTGCCAGTATCAACGTCGGCGTCCTGGGATTCATGTCATTCTGGGGTGTTAATCTTGATAGTGTTTCTATAATCACAGTGGGTAGCTCGAACTGGAATTTCGATACAACCTTTCTCAGATTATAATGTGCATCGGGTTCGCCGTCGACCTTTCGGCTCATATTTCATACGCTTTCTCGCAGGTATTCTTTTTTGAATAAACGATTGCAATTCATAAATGTTTAGGGTTATGGTACGCCGCATGCACGTGCGGTTCAAGCGCTGGAAACTTTGGGATGGCCTGTTTTCTTGGTAAAAGCCTTTGACAAAGATTCTAAATTCAAAATATATTCAGGGAGCCTCTTCAACAGTGTTAGGAATTCTGTTGCTTGTCTTAGTGGACTCCTACATCGTTCAAATTTTCTTCAAAACGGTTTTCCTCGTGATAATTTTCTCAATGCTTCATGGTTTATTATTCCTACCGATCCTGCTCATGCTCACCACGAAGTCACGCGTAAGTTCCCTGTTCTGGAAAAACTATTTACGAGAATGAGATTATTTACAGCCCAGAAAAGATCCAGAAAACGAAGTGAACGGCACGGAAATGTCCTAGTCTCATAATTTAACTAACTCCATTCTTGAAACCGGTACCTCTCCAAATCATACTCAATTTTATAATTATATAACAAGCTCAATAAAATCACTATACATGTATTGAGATCATGAACAAGAAAATGATACAGAAGTGTCGATGAGAAGAAAAAGTGAGCGGAATACCCATTGGGAAGAAGGCAATTACTGGCTGCACGATTGGCCACATCGGGAAGCGAATTCGACAAGTTTTTCCATGACTTTCGGCGACGTTGAAGGCTTGATTGACATCAGGGCGGCTTCGAAGTCGGATGGCTGAATTTTTTGAGATTTGATTCGGATTTTTTCCCGAGTGTAAAGAACAGTTTACTAAGAAATTATAAAAAAAAAACATTAAAAAATTTTAGTATTGATAGGGAGTATGAAAAAGATTTTGTGAAGGAAATTTGAAAATATCTTTTTTACTCTGTTTTCAAGAAGAAAACGCAAAAAAGAACGATGTGAACATTTTTTAAAAACCGGAAAATTAACCAAACTTATCTTTTTTATACCTCTAGTCGAAAAACTCGTAAAAAGAACCTTCAAATTCCTGAGTTTGCTGCGATCGACCTTGGCCAAGGTCCGCTTGTCGAGCCCTCGGACAGGTTCCATCGACGCTTCCCGACAAACTTCGACAAGATCCGAGTTGGAATATCCGCGAGTCGAGGATGCAATGTACCTAAAAGCATCAAAAATCGTCAAATTTCGGTAAAGAGGAAAAAAACCTAACGTCTCGGTCGCTAATGCCCGCTAACAGATCGTGTTTCTGCAGGGTTGAACGGATTAACTCAAATCGGGCCGAGTCGTCAGGGAGACTCAAGAGTATGCGCTTCGGAAATCGTCTGAACAAAGAACATCGACAACGGAACGCTTTTCCTCCGAAAAAAAAGTAGAACCTCTAAGAGAATCGAAAGGAACATTCTTAGAATGAGGAAAAAACCAACTAGAGCTTCATAATTCGGAAACAAGATCTATTCAAAGATATTTATCTTTGAGTTTTGGAATCAGACGATTTTTTTCTGCAGCCAAGCTTCATCAAAAACAAAAAAGTTTCATTGTGAAAAACATAAGAAAATTCTAGAAAATTCAGTACTGCTGACCATCATATATATTTTTTTGTTTTATTCAGATCAAAGTCGTTACTTTTTGTTATCGCAGAAAAAAATGCTAATTTTTTTATCTCGAAAAAAATGAAAAATATATTCGAAATTTTCTCAGATAATTTTTTTAGCGTATACTGGCCTCAAAACAGCGTCATCAAGTTCATAGGGTCGATTGGTAGCGCCGATGACAAGGATCCGATCTTCGCTGCTCGAAGTGGCGCCGTCGAATTGGACCAGGAACTCGGTCTTCATCCGCCGTGAGACTTCAGAGTCTTTTTCGTTTCTCTCACACAAAATCGAATCAATTTCGTCTGGAAATTCAAGCTCAATTCAATGAAAATGTAAGGAAGAGGTATAAACATTAACCAAGAAATTCCATTTTATTTTCTATAGTAATTTAAAAATGATTACCTAGGCATGTTCGTCTTTCTTCATTCCTTTAAATGAAAAAAAGAAATTGAATTTTTTTCTATAATTTCATGCATGAATTAGTCGCCTAATTAACAGAAATCTGACAGATTCGAAAAGCTCATGAGCGGAAATTCTGTTATTTCCTGATTTTTTTGAATTTTTTTTATAAGAATTTTCTATTGAATTATTGGTTCAAATGGTCAGAACTCCTAATTGGAAAACTTTCTTGATTGAAGAAATTTCAAGTCCGGACATTATGAAGTATTTTTGCCCAAAAAAGCTACCGATGAATATGATGGCCGGCTGGGCGTTCCGGGCAATCTGGAAGAGTCCTCGTATCGTTTTCTCGGCGTCTCCAACCCATTTCGACGTCAAACTCGAGGCGCTGATATTGAAGAACATTTGGTTGGATTCGCCGGCCACAGCCTTCGCCTGGAAACAAAGAACTTCATGGGAATCTGTCAAAATCATACCAAAAGAGTTTTTCCGTTTCCTGGCGGACCAAACAGCAAAATACCCTTCACTGGCTGCCGAAGACCGCTGAAGAGACCTGGATTCAGAGCAGGCAAGATGACGGCCTGAACACCTCGGAATGACACAGAAGCCGCGGAGAAAGACGAACTTCTTCAAGAGCCCTTTTGGCGGAATCACAACCGGCGACGTCCTTCATCGTGACGCCGGTGTGGTCGAGAACCTCGTCCAGAAGTCTTTCGCCGATTTTCGGATCAACTCCTTTCAGAAGAGCCGCGCGGCTCACTGTTGCAGAAGCTGATCGCGTTGTCTGGAACAAGGGAGGTTGAGTTCAAGAAAAGCCAAATATTGAAAAGAAATAGGTTAGAATCTCTCTCATTTGAAAATGGTTTTTGAATCAGGGCTCGATTTTTGGAACCCAGAAGTTCCAAAAATCGGGTCTTGCTTTTGAAGAGAAAAAAAAGCCGTATGCAAGAAAGCTCGAAAATATTAACCAAGAAGCGACAGACAGCGGCTCAATTCCACTTTCGAAAAGTTAAAACCTTGATAACGACTCCCAAGAACTTTTCAAAACAAAAAAATAAATTTTGTTAAAGCAATTTAAATTCTTCAGTACTTTGTTGCATGCGGCTTATTGGATGAGAACACAGGCGGGAAAATGTTTGAGGAAACTGAAGACCTTAGCTACGGGTTTGTCCCTAGTGGCACAACGAGCACGCGAGCAAGCGCTCTTCGGGTCTTCCTTCTTGGCCGCCGTCGTCTCCGAACCTCGTTGCCTCGGAACCGGCTCCTTTTTGTTGCTATTAACCTACAGCACAGTACAGCAAGCGAAAAAAAGAAAAAAATATATATATATAAAAACTCAATGGGTTACAAGGGAAGAGTCAAACAACTTTCCTGTTGAATGAACACATGGAACATGTTTCAATTTCAAAATCTCAAGGTTCACCGCTAAGCTTGCTGAAAAAGTCTATATGACTCAAACTTCCAAATGTCTAAATTCTACAAAACTGGAAACATGTTCCATTCTTTCATTCAACATTCTATCGAGAAATTTCAAAATCTCACTGGTCGCAATACTCCTGATCGTGGCGTCGAAACGGATCGTGGTGCTGCTGCTGCCGAAGGAGCGCTGTTGCTTTTCCGGATTCCTAACTCGTCGCCTGCAAAAAATCATTCAGAAAATTTAAACACTACAGGGATAAATTCTTAATGATAATAGTAAATTATTCTAAACATACAAATTGCAAGAATTCTTTCTTGCGCACTCTTGTCGTAGTTATTCATCAAGGTTTTCTTCTCGCCCACGTCATTTCTATATTCGTGTGGAATGTCCATTAAATTTACTTCTTTGGCCTGAATTTGAATTTATTTTTTTAAAAAAATAGTAAAAAAATATTTTATTACCTTTTTGAAAAAAACTTCCGACCTTCTTTTGTACAACTCCGCAGTTTCCACCATCATAGCATTCTTGGAAGAGTTATCTTTAAAAAAATATAAAAAAATATTCTATAAATATTTTATTTACTTGAACTTCTCAGACGTTCTTCTTGGCTAACTGCTTTCAGTAGTAATTCTCTCCCACGGTTAAAATTCGAAATGAAATTCTCATAATATTCGTTTCTAGAGTGGTCTTTTGGGTGAACTCCAGATAGCATCTAAAATTGAAGTCAAAATTAAAACTTCCAATTTCACAAAGTAATAAAACAACCACGAAGAAAAAAACTCAAAATTTGAAGGTCCGTAAATTATTGCTGAAAAACAGCTCTCAAAAAAACCGCGTGCCTTTTTGCAGATGGGTGGCCAAATAATCCAAACATTCGGAAATTATAAGTTTGTAAACTCCGGTCAGGAGGCTAGTCTTTAAAAATTTAAATGATAAATTATATATCAGAATATTCATTTTTTTGGTTTGTATATAGTTGACAGGCCACTTCACAGTTATTGCTTCACTGATCCTCTCAATATAAGTTTTTTTATAAATCTACTGTATAACTTCACTTCGGTTCCTTAGATTTCAAAATTCTGAAAATTGAGTTCTTATGCGAGTAATATTAAAACAAATTTTCTAGGATACCTATGAAAAATATCTTACGTTTTTTTCTTTTTAAATAATAATAATCTATTGAAAGATTATTGTGAACTCTAACAAGTTGACTTGGGTCTAGAATTTAAGATAATAGGTTAGTTTAATCTCAAGGCGACGTTTTGCATTAGCCCATCACTGTATTTTTGAAATTGAAATTGAAATTTTTCAATAATTTATTCCGACGACTTGAAATACTGAAATTTTGAAGATTTCAAATTTCTTGTTAATAAAAAAAGCTTTTATTAGAGTTTTTACATTATCTATAATTTTTTTCAATAAAGTCAAGTTAATAAATATGAAACAATTCTCATTCAAAGTATCCAGAGATGAAATAGCATAATCAACAAGGCACAAGTGACGTATTGAGAAAGGGGAGAACTATGTACAGCCAGTGGTATTTGTGAAAGAAAGATCGGAGAACAAAAGTAGTTCGAAGCTCATAAAATGGAAATAATTTCAAGTGGAAGTCTGTTGGAAGTAGTACTCGTTGGCCTCTGGCGGCAGCTTCCAGCCTGAGGCTCCGAGTTCGAGCAAAAGAAGGATCATTTTCCTGGCCCAAGGCTCGCTCACGTCGATGAAGGCGTCTCTGAAGGGAAGATAGAAAAGAATGTGAACTCACGCACTCACCGGATCAAATCTTTAAGCAAGGACAACTGATCTGGGCATTCTCGCTCCAAATCGTAGCCGACGGTGAGAAGAGTGGATATGAGGGACTCCAACTGAAATCGGAATTTCTCAGTGGATTTTTCTCCTTTAAAATAAATTTCAGCTTAATTTGATCGTACCTCTTCGATTTTGAGGGTCTCCAGGATCGGCGGTCGTAGAAGGAAGTTGAAAACTTGGAAGACAATGCTTGCCAACTCGCCTGTCACAGAACAGCATGATCAACTCTTCGAATGATCTAATCTCACCGTCAGGTCCGCCGCCGAGGTTGCCGTAAACGTCGGTCAGAAAATTCACAAAGGAAATCCACATTCGGAAGTGATCAGTGCGGATTTTATCGCGACATTCAAAGTACTGCGATATCGCAATCAGGTGCCCCTAAAAGGATGAAGAAGTGTTCATAAATATGAAGAATCTGGAGAACCTTGGTGAAAGCCTGGATAGAAGGCGAGTCTTTGAAGAGAGCACAGAGTTTGGCGACACCTCGGCCGCCGCCTTCGATCGCGTGTCGACAGAGCGCGCTTCCGATCGTCTCTGCGAGCTCCTCGTTGCAGAACGCCCCTGTAGATGAACTTTCAGAGCCAAATTTCTCGGATCTTCTCACCGCCGATCCAGTTTTCAATGTGTTGGGCGTGGGATGTGAGCTGCAAGGCTCGCAGGCCGGCGATCGCATCTTCGATTTCGCGCTCGCCCATTGCCTTTTTCTGAATTTTTGCGGATAATTTTTTGAAGCATTAAATAAAGCCTGTGTTTCCATTGTTAGGAAGATCTCATGCTTTTCGGTTCGAAATGCAGCTTTCCGTGGATAAAGGAACATGAAAAAAAAGAAAAAAATACTAAAAGTTTGAAGCTGTGGTTTTCAAGGTTAATTTGCTTTTTTTCAAAGAATAAGGAAGAAACGGTTTTTTTTTTGTTTCAAACATTTTTCCAATCATTTTATCCAAAAGTAGGCTTTCTATAAATAAGTTATAGAATATAAATAAAAAGATCAATTAGCTTCGAACTTCGAAAATTTCTGCTGAAACTTACGAGATTGTTAGGACCAACCAAGTCAAAAGTTTCCGCTTAGAAAAAAAAAGAAACTTTTTTTGGAATGACTTCACATTGAGATTGAAGGGTAAAAATATTCAGAAAACAAATCTATGAATATTTCCTACTAATGGGTAAGTCCAAATGAAAGCTGTAAAAAGCTGAGGCGTATCTTGATCCTTCCCATGTTTAAACCTTATTTAGAATTCCCACTTTGGTTTCAGATTGTAAAGTCAAAAGAGAAAATCGAAAAATAGTCAAAGAAAACCTTGACTTCTTTGCGGGTGAATTGCTGCGGCTTCTTCCTCTCTGCGCCGCCTGTTCCGTTGTGTTGACCGCTCGCCTTGTTTGAGTTTGAGCCGAACGATTTCTAAAAAACGAACCGTTTCACATCAAAAGCAAAGGTAGGACCTGCGAAGGTGTGCTCTCGGAGCTCAGTGAGCTCTCAGTGCGGATTAGCGTGGCCGGCCGTTCTTCGGCGTGAGAAGCGCGGGAGCTCGTCCTCGAACTCGTCGAGTCTGCTTCGCTCCTGCACTTGTTGTTGTTCTCTGAACCACCTAGGTTGACGGGTTGATGTCTGGACGGCGTGGCACCTTCTTTTTCGTGACGATGGTTCTTGTCGAGCAGCTTTTCGCCGGCTGCTTGTTTCGGTTTCGCGTTCGTCGCCGTTCCCCCGGAGGAGGAAGCGGTTCCGTCGGAACGAAGTCCTGCAACTGTCCATGTCTTCATTTTTCCGTCTCAACTACCAACATAAGTCTACTTCAATATCCAGCGGCCCTGATTATTCAACTTCTTGAAATTGAAAATTATCAGCTTTTTGGAAATTCCTTGCTCTTCGAAATAAAACGGTGAGTTTGAAGTTTAAAAGCTTCTTGTGAATTAAAGAACACTTTACAAAAAACCCTATTCTTTAGGCACACCTCCTTCTCCCTCTTATTATTTCGAGCTTAGTTAGCTTAATTTTTTCCTCAAAAACTTTCACTTTCCGATGCAGAAACGGATTCAGCAGTTTTCACTACAAAAAATAACTTACTAACTAGTTTTTAAAGTGTGGAGTAAAACATACAGCTTTTAGAACGAAATATATCGAAACCCCTCTTTGAGGGCAATTTTAGACTTTGAGACTAGATCTGGCGACGGAGTAAAAAACTACATCTAAAAAACTTGGTCTCCTTCTGAAGTCCTACTGCGAGCTGATTTAGAAGAGACCTACAAAATTCTCCTTTTATCTCTCGGCTAGTCTACTAGACCTTTCTACCAAAGACTAAATGAAAGATTCACCTGGCGGACGATAAATTTGCATCGCGGGTCGATTGGCGGGCTTTTTCGTCGTGGGATTTGATCTACTGCGATCGTCGTCTTGCTGCACGGAGTTCACGTTCTGAACAATCGATTTGAAAAAAAAAAGAAAAAATGAGAAAGCAATTTTTAACAATCATTGAACCCACTTTTCATTAATGAAACAAAAGCTTTATTTTTCCTATGTACTGCAGGCAAAAAGATTGAAACTAGGCGAGATTTCTCATTTTTTCATGAAAAATCTGATTTATACAATACTAAAAATGGTCTTCAACCTTACGGTCAGAATGATTTTGAAAAATCAAAGAGAAAGTGTGCAGCAGAAAAAGAGAAAAAGAGTTTTTAAAGCGCAAAGGGCCGGAAGAGAATCGATGGACGCGAAATATCACATTACCATAGTGATCGGACGATCGGCGGGGCTCTTTTCGAGGCTTAAAATGAATGGTTCAAAACTTCAAAACTGCTATAGATCAATAGACGAGAAGTTTTGTTTTGTTTTGTTTTTTTTTCGTATTTTTCTCATTGTTGATAAGGTATATAGTAATAGAAGCGCCAAAGAAAAGTGACCTGAGTGGAGATATTGACGGCGGATACACTCATTTGCGCTTCTGCTACGGACACAGAATACGGAACGCGTCTCGCGTGGCTCCACACTGGCCCTACAAACCAAAATCTTCTATCAGACTAGATATATAAAATTTTACAACGATAAAATCTAGATTGCGAAATAACTAAAAATTGGATTCTCAAAGCTTGAAATAGCAACAAAAAGACATCACAAGAAACAATAAAAGATGACCGAAAGAAAAAGAAAGAGTGAAAAGCATAGAGAAGCAACTGATCGTCTGAACGCTCGAAACTTGTCTACTTCTATCACAAAAGGACGTGTTGGTCTCGCGTCGTTCTCGATCAACGACGGTCATGTGAAGCGATCAAAAACTCTTGAATTATTCCTTTATTCAGCAGAGGATTTTCTCTAAAGACTGGATAAACATTTCGAAGTTCAAAAAAAGCTGCGGATTCCAAACCAATTGTATAAAAAATTTTCTGAATTCTGAAAAATAGTGGCTCTTATAAACGTCAATCTACTCATATAAATGAAAGTTAGGAAGGAATTTACTTGCTGAAAAAAGTTAAAGCTGAAAATTTCGAAGCCCTTGAACTCTTCGAAAAGACCCATCATTTTTCCATCCGATTGACGTTCTTCCGAGCATCGATTTTCACTCAAAACTAGCTGGCCAACCACTTTGCCTCGAAGCAAATGTTGAGCTTTCAAAAAAACGCTGAACAGTTTCCTCATATTTTTTTCTTTCGGCAAGAAAATAAAAAAATCTTTGGTGGGAAATCGAGCCAATCAACGATTTTGTTTTCTTTGAAGAAAATTTCCAAAGAATCAATTGAAATAATTTGCGAGGATGAGAGTTAATAGATACTTTCAAACATGGTGTAAAGTTAAAAGAAAATCATCGAAATATGTCGCCGACCACATTGAAGACCAAGTAAAGCTCTGAAAGATTATAACTTATCCAGACTTACAAATTTTGCCAAACAAAACCAAAACCAAAAAAGCGACTTCAATAAAGTCGTGAGAAAACTGCGGTCAAGCGGTCCTAACTCACGCCGAGAGGTCGTGCCGAAGAAAGTAGGAAATCGCGAAGGGAAACTTTTGACCAAGAAGATTCAGATGCGATTCGACGACTCCCTTGTGTCAGGAAGGCTGAGGCGAGGCGAACGATTGAGGAAAAAGAGAGGAGCGGCGTAATCCGTGTACAAAACACTGTTAAGCGTGCGAGGGCGAGCACACGAGCAAATGGAATGTTCGAGTAGACTCGACGAGTGGCTTTTGCACCAAAATGTTTGCGACGCTTCGAGAGTCCCACGCCGACGACCAGCACGTCATCCGCTTCAGCCGTCTTGGAACTGTTATGCCAACTTTCATGTCTCGTTTTCGAGATCTTTCTAGGGGTTCTCAAAGGCGCAGATTTCTTGCATGACTTAGAAGAAAACTGAGAGTACCTCTATCTCAACCTATGGTCTATGGACAAGTTTTTTTTTTCCTCTTACAATATTCATCTCAAAATAGGTTTTGCAAGGGGAAGCCCTTGAGAGTGCGTTCGAAAAGTCACCTTTTACATGAAAAAAAGATTCACAATTCGGAAATTTTTTTTCTCTGTATTTTTTTTCTATCTACATACTCTCCAAATCTTTTTTTATATCGAAACCGCAAAAAAATTTCAAGTTCAAATTTAGGACAGTTATTCAGGTCTGAAAAGCGCAAGCTTCGGTATTTGAATTGACTCAGAACTTCGTCTTAACAGAAAAAAAGGAAATTTTGTTAAGAAATTATTCCCACGAACTGAAGAACAATCCAAACAAATTACCGACAAAACACGTGTCTAGGTGTACCCACACTCAAACCGTCGGCCGATAGTCTATTCGCCAAAAGTTTTTTGATGTCTTTGGAGATTTTTTAACAGTTTGTCTGGCACTGAAAAACTTTGAACATCGAGTTTAAAAATTTATCAAACTACAGTTTTTTCGTCAACGGCTTGTATTTTTGTTAAGAGTTCCTCCAAGGAGATAAGAATAACTAATGTTCCAGCAGTTAAAAAAAGTTTGTTATAGGTCTACTACGATAGAAAGTTGAGCTAAAGTGAGCAAAAAGACTTGAAAAAGAATAAAAAGGATGCGGGCAGAAATTAACGAGATGAACGGGAGCTGAGTCAGCGGCCGCCGAGGACGGAAAAGAAAAAAGAAAAAAGAGGAGCCAAGTGGACAGCCCCGTCGTGTTGCTGCTGTACACCGCGGCTTGCAGAGAATCATCCATCATTTATGCGATTATGAGTTCGAAGCTCGTTCATCAGTCTGAGAAGGCATTCCACGATGACTGATTGGTCAAGCTGAAGCGTTTGTATTACCGAAGGCGAAGTTCAAAGAAGAAATCATTACTGAATTGTTTTCTTCTTGACTAGGATTACAAAATTTAGGAAATTTAGTTTAAAAGAAGAGAGCTTTTTTCTTTTGTAACTTTGAAACCGTATTTCATAAAAGATGTTTATTATAAAATATAGATGGCATTTGTTTCATAAAGTTGTACACAAGGAGGCTGGGAGAAAAAAAGTGTTAACTCGCATCGGATAAGCAATATTTCCTATAGGATCCCGTGTTAGGTGAAATATAAGAAGAAATGACGGTAGAAGGCAAATGTAAAAACAATAACAGAGAAAATAATACAGGTAAAATATTAACGCGGGCGTTTTTGCGGCGGTTCGTCTCCGGCGTCGCGTCTTCTCTCACACAGTTTGAAGCCCTGTTTGGCGATGAATCTGAAATATTTCTGATTATATTCACAAGGAAGATTATTTTGGTTTGAAGTCTAGAAATCAAAAAAAAAAGGTCTAGAAAATCCCAATCTGCACAGCAAAGGTATACTCCATTCTCCGTAGATTGGTAAATTGAAGCCTTCCTAAGTAATTCTAAACCTCTTTTTGATTTTTATGCGGAATTACCCCTTTTTCTTCACCGTAGCGATGTATATCTGTATATTATATTTCAAGCAACTATTTACAGTATGAACCATCAATATTTCATACCGTTGTAATACTAAATTAAAGCGAGTACTGGAAACGGATAAAACTCGAAAATTACACCCGTTAACTTCAGCCAGTGTCATCTACATCTACTGATAGCGATTCAATATTTTTTCTCTGCTACGGTTTTAATGAGTTTCAGAGAGAAGAAACAATGAGAAGCATGTTATATAGAAGTTTTGAACTTAAAAAGCCGGTTTTTTTCCACGAGCGCAACTTACGTGCAAAGAAAGTCTTTGGTGATGGGATGGAGCATGGTTTCGACGACGTTGGCCGCCGTCGTGAAGGCGTTGGGCGCGGACTTGTCGGTCCTCTCTCGCATGAAAACCCATTCCATGGGCTGCAAAAGGAACTTTCTCGAGGCATCCCTCAAAACTCCCGCACCCTTCCTTCGTGGTCGATTTTCAGAGTGCACTCGATGATTTTGTTGTCGTATTTCTTCAGAGTGTTCGTCGCTTTCATGAATCCGAAGGGCTGATCCGAGTGCAAAACGTACAGAAGTCCTTTGTACTCGGGTAAGAATCCTTCCTTTTGAACTCTGGAAAGAGCATCAACTACTGTGAATCAACCTATTACATAAAAAAAAATTTTTTTGTTCTGTGCCTTAACTGGGAAATACCCTGAGAAAACATGGGAAAGTTTAGCACTTTTTGAACTTTTCTCAGAAGACCTGGCCCTTCCAGATGGTACTTACTTCTCGATATGAAGCTTGAAATCGACCGAGTTGTGAGAAGGAGGTTTCCACTTGAGCACAGTATCGCAACGTCCGGCCGAATAAGGCTAAAATCGAATAGCTAAAGTTGAAAACAAAACAATTCTTTTTTCAAAACCTGGTTGACCGGCTGAAAAATGAGGCCGTCGATCTCGTGGCCGACGTTTTGAGTGAACTTTGGCTCAAAAAGTTTGGCCACCGCCTTTAAAAATTCAATAGGAGAAACTGTCGTTTATTTTTGTACCTCAATGAGCCAAAATTCTTTAATTCGTACGGACATTGACTGCGAATTTTGGTCGAGCTGTCCTCTCTGCAGAATTATCTTCAGCTCCGAAAGTTAAGATCTCGGAAAACCTTCATGGCCTCGTTTCGCGGGAAAATCAGCTCTCTGCGGATACATTCCGTTCGGATGTCGAAATTTTGCTTGGCAATATTGATCTCCTTAACCAAAATACACATGGAAGAAGGTACAAGATAACACGAAACTCACTTGAAACTGTATAATGTCGTAAATCAGAAGCCGCGGCAACTCTTTTACAACGCCATTAATTTCGACCTTAAATATACGTATATAAGATTATTAAAAATTGATTAGTTCTCTAGTTGAGAATAAACAGAAAGAGTTCTTTAAAAACAGTGAAAAAACGAACTTTGTCGATGATCATTTCGGCGTCGACGAGGGTGTTCCGTACGTGGCCGCCTTTCCTGCCGGGGAACTGCAGGTTCGAGATTTCGAAGACTTCGTTGTCGCGGTCGAAAGCGTAGATCTCGTTCTTGTCGTAGATGTACACCATGTATCTGGAAAGAAAAATATAAAGAAAACATAATTACATTCCTCTTTATCAGTCCCGGGTTTTCAAAAAAAAATTACTTATTTAATAGATATGTTCTTGTTATTTTCAATCATCAAAACAGTTTCAAAATTTTCAGCAAAGTTTTAAGTGAGCTGGTACTTTCAGTGTATTCTTTTCATGAAATTAGAGGTAAGTTTTGAAAAAAAAAATCTCATTCATCCATCCGTATTTCTATTTCACTCGATCATAAAAGATAAAGAAAATTCAACTTCATTTTGTTCAAACCTCATTCCGTCGGCTTTCCAAGAAACTTTATAAGGTTCCATCGCCAACATCTTCAGATTATCACGAGATAGAGAGACTGGCTGGAGACCCGGAAATCCTTGTTTTCGGAAACCGCAGAGTTCTCTGATCTGTAAAAAACTTCCTTGAAAGAAGGAAATCAACTTCGATTCAAACCTTTGACTGCAACATTTTCTTTTTAACGTCGTCTTCACACAAATAAACATGAGCCACGCGGCCGTCCATAAACTGTTTGCCTGGAAACATATTTTTAATAGAAATGAAAGTTCGAGAAATGAGGAACCGCTGGCTTTTTGCTGCCTGGAAGTTGAAGCTCCGTCTCCGTTAGAAGCTTCGAAAGAACCGGGATCTCCGTTTTCCCAGAGTGGACGGCCAGGCGACTAAATACAGTTTGAAGTTATTATCATTTGTATCCAAAGTAGATCAAAGACAAAATACCAAGTGAAGTTCAAGCTTTCTCTCAAAACAGTAGAACTCGTTTTTCAAACACGAATTTGTGATTATTTAATGGGAAAAAAAACGGCGCATACCTGAATGATGTCGTCGTCCTCGTCGCCGAACCTCTTGAAAAGGTCGTCGATATAATCCTGTTTGTAGATTCCATCTGGTCTCGCCTTCCGAAATTCACCGACCGCCGCGTCCAGAGCCCAGCCCTATTAAATAAAAAAGAGTTGAAAGTCTTCAATCACTGGAAAAACCAAATGGAACAAATAGGCGACAATCAAGAAGCCTGTTCTATTGAAGCCGTGAGTGCAATGGACGCCGACGACCTTGCCTGGATTAGCCTGAATGAAATGATTTAAACGTGAAACTACTCTTAGTCGATGTAGCTAACTTTTTCGAACTTAGTGACAATATCGATGAAGGTTTGTGTTTCTTCTGGAGTTGGAGTCGCGTTATGACCAGCGAGCGGCAGTTTCTTATATATGCATCCTTGCTGTGCAAACTGAATAACGGATCATTGTTGAAAACATAAAGACGGCTACGGAAACTTCGTCAGAGAAATAATATCGGTCTGTTTTGGTGAGGTCGATCCAGAGGCCGACCTTCTTTCCATCTAAGTTCACGTGATTCATGACGTCTTCGGGGTGAAATCGCAGTTTTTTGTCACTGATTTCGGGATCATATAGCGCACAAAGAGGAGTTTTGAAAGGCAAGAAAAGATCCATGATGAGCTGAAGTTAGTGAACTTAGAATTTCACGATCATGGTTACGTTGTTACCGATCCAACTTTCGGGCAATACATCCAGCGGTCAGGAATACCCTTTCTTACTTTAGCTGGAGTCGGACCCGCCATCTAAAAAAACGTATAATTCTTTCAAGCGATAAAACCACGCAATAGCGAGCGACCCGAAAACAAAAGGTTAAAAAAAAAAGAATGAAAACAGGAAATACTCCAATTCAATTTATTGAATCTTTTGAATAATGAAAAAAAATTGGCTGGAAATTAAACTATTTGAAAGCAAAGATACATTCACAAAGAACAGGAACGAAAGATAAAATTCAGTAATGATATAAAAGTTGAAATTACGCTGATGAGTTTCGTAAATGCTGCGGCAAGAGTGCGAATTTTTTTCATTGGAGCACACATTCCTCGCCTGCGGCTTTCCAAGCTGAGAATGCTCAAAGTTTTCACATTTATTCTTGGTTCCGATTCTTTTAGTTAAACTTTTCGGAAAAAAAAACATAGCGCGAACGAACTTGAACTGTGGGCCTTTAAACTGTGGGCAGCTCCAGCTCGGAGCTGAGAACACATGCCAATTAAAAAAAGTCTAAACCTCTTTTTATATATAAAGTGAAAGTTTAAAAAAAAACAGGACGTCCAAAGAAACCTTAAATGTCGACCAGAATCTAGCAATGTGAAATATTCGGAAACAAAAAGCTGCAGAAAGGAAATTGAAGTGACGCTAAAAAATATAAATTTTATAAGAGTCATTTTTATTTATAAAATAGGTGATGGAAGAAAAAAAGGGGAAAAACAAGGCAATTGCTAAGAAAAAAAGGATATGAAATAGAGCCGGGACAGTTCCCGTGGACAATCGGGAAGGCGCTAAAAAGGGGCGGCACGGAAGACATGGCCAGAGGCAAGGACCTGAAGGCGATAACTGTTTCCAAAACTGCTTCTACAAAGGTGCCATTTTCCCAGTCTTTCCTTTTAACGCCTATATGTCAGCCTGATTGACGAGAATTCCTCTCTGTCAACCCATCAAGCCATCGGTATCCTTCTTTGTAACGCTTCGACTTTCCCAGAAGAGCTTATATTCAAAGCAAGTCTCCAATCTTAATTTAAACCTTCCATTTTTTTGTTAAGAAAGCTCTTTGTTCAAATAAAAATATGAAAAAAAACTCGAGAATTTCATTTTCTGAAGAAAAAAATTTTTCCTTTTTCCTTATTCATGCGTTGCAAGCATCGTAAATATCCATTCTTTTACAAGTCACTTCGGGAATTTTGTCTTTAAATGTTGCATCATTTGTTCTCCGAGTATATATAAAATGCACTAATTAGATTGGAAGCCCCTCTATTTCCCAAGGGAAATCTAGTGATAAAGGCAAAAGTACAACTTCAGCTGCCGTCGCCGGATCGTCGTCATGGGAACCGCCGACCGTCCGCCCGTTTCCGCTTGCCTTTTTACGACTCTTCCTTTTTTCCTCAAGCTAATCGTCGTACTTTTTCTCGAAAATCTTCGTTTATTATGCTTTTTATTCCGGTTGTTTTCAAAAATGTTTTACACACGCCTAACTTTTGAAGAAAACTAAGTTTTTGCTTGACTTTTTTTGTTTAAAAAGTGGGTTTCTATTTATTTTTTTCGAGCTGACACGTGGTTTTGATTAAGTTAATTTATTTTTCCCAAATATTTTGATTTCAAAATTCTAATTGCTAAAAAAACTTTCACGGGTCCAATTTTTTTTTCTTCTTTCACCTCAACTAAATAGGTTTCAAACCAGGATAAATAGTTAACTCTATAAACATATTTCGATTTACGAGTCATCATTTTCAAATCAAAGCTCAAACGGCAATGGCTCAATGACACCTGTAACTCCGATTTCTCGTTCACCTCTCACCTCACTAATTAAAGAGTCACGTGGGATAAAGGGGCTGCGGTTATTACTGACAATTTGAAGTATGATATGAAAGACCTAGGTGCAAGCTTTTAGAAAAAAAAGAGAGATAATCTCCTGAATAGCTTCCCTCGGTGAGACAAAAATTAAATAGATGAGTTGAAGTTTGGCAGTTTCCTTCTTTGATACGATTCTCGTTTTGACAGATTGCCTCTTTCTAGGCTATTTTTCAGCGAAAAAAAATGGGATAAAAGTAGTACCTTGAGATTTTCTTCAGATAATTTCTGAGATTCATTCATTTTTCTTTTGTTTAGATTCGACCTTAGAAGTTGATTCTGTGAGGTTTCTCAGTACATTGGTATTTTCTGCAGGTTAGAGTAGTGGGTAGGACGCCTGGATGCGGGGTTCCAAGTCGCAGTGGTCGAACTCGCCGGAGACGATCATGTCGCACCATTTTCGTCTGGCCCGCGGCGTCGCTCCAGTCGTCGACGTCAGTCCTCCTTTCTCCATGTACAACAGTCCCATTAGTCGGTACTTCACAGTTTTCTCATTTTCATGTTTTGGCTTCAGGCGTCCATTACATTCCGCCACGTAGAGCTTCCTCAGCTGATCCGCTTCGGAAAAAAGTTTAGAACTTTATTATAATTTTTTTTGAAGTTTCAAACACTTGCATATAAAGGTTTTTCAGCCATTGCAAATTCACAAATAAGATAATTTGATCAATTTAGTTCCCGGGAAGTGTTGAAAAATTAGTCAAACTTCTTTGATGTGTTGAAGAAAGACATTGGAGTTTCTCGTAAATGATTTAGATTCCTTCGGCTTAAATCCCGAGCTGTATTTTCTAAGCCGAATTTAGTGGAACCTACTATTTCGTTCTGATTACGAACTTGTCAGATGAGTAAATCACAACGAGAGCTGAACGAGTTTGTCAACGGAAGGACGCCGGCTCATCTCCGCCTTCCACTGCCGTTGAGGTCGAGCTATTCCGATCTGATCAAACCAAAAATAATCGAGTCAAGAAACTATCAGGCTCCCATCCACCGAAAACGTCAGGTCAGTTCCTTCCTTCACCGACTGATTTTTTGAATCTAAACAAAATTTTCTATCTTGACATTTCAGACAAACCGTCCCCCTAAACCTGCAGAAGCAACAGGAAAGCCAACACGGAAATCATCCTTCCTCGAAAACGAGAAGAACGATTTCAAGGACAGTGTCTTGACCGAGATCATCGCACGTGGTGTTTACAGCGACAGGTATTTTCTTGTTTATTTTTCAGAGTATTTTGATCTTTTTATTTGTAGTTTCATTGCTGATGTGATCAACGAAAAGAAAGAAAAGTTTATCGGCCGGTTGCCTTGGGTAATGATTTTTTGGGTAAGATGAAAAGTTAAAAAAATTCCAGGAAGAGCTGGAAAAAAGCGCGAGAGCTTTGTTCAGACAGCTCGAAGTCAAAGAGGAGGCTCCCATACGATTAAAGTCAGTTTTAGCTACTTAGTTGGCAATAACTTTTCTCTCTCAGAAGGTCATCTCGAGATCTCAAAGCAGCATCAATAACTTCTTCAGTTTCCACTTCTTCTTCTTCCTCTGCTTCTTCTACAACCTCAACGCCAACTTCTGAATCATTTTTCAGCTGTGTAAGAGAAATTTAAGGTTTTTTTATATTTAGAAAAAAAGTTTTAGTTCGACGAATCGCTCCGAAGACGGTTGAAGCCATCGGCCGATCTGATTTCCACTACCCTGTCTTTTAGCATATGCTGCCTGTGAATGAATAAATTGACGTATGAAGGGAGGGCGCGGCGGACGCCAAACATCGAAAGAACAAAGTACGTGGGGCATCCCAGGCCACAAGGTCCGTCGAGCGACGTCCAGAGAACGCACAGAAAATATCAAATGTTAACCTTTCAGGTTTCTTTTTCTGTCTCTTTGTACCTTGTTCTTTTGACCGGCTGTCCTTCGAGTTGAACAGCGAAAATAATATGTATTTTGCCGTTCTAGCGCACCTTTTCGACCACTCTCATTTTTACACATTATAAGCCATTTTAAGGCTTATTTTCATTGATTTCTAACCTTCGGTCATCAAAAATGTGTCATTTTCAACAATTTTTAAAAATGGGGAAATGGTCAATAAGTGCGTTATAAAAAATATGGTCGAAATCCAGTGGTCGAGATGGTCGAGAAAAATGCGCTAGAACGGTGAATAATGGTAAATAAATGATGAAGCTAGAGAAAGATCTGCATGTGCTAAAAAAAGTTCTCTTACTAAATGAGCACATTGCGAAAGGACCGAAAAGCCTTGACCAATCATGACGTCGAAGAACTCGTCAAAGAATTAAAGATTAATGACTTCCGAGGTGTTTTCATGCGAGACACTATCGGATTTTCTTTACCATTTTGGTGAATTTCACACTAAAATACAATAAAAATCTCAAATCTCAAATATTCATCCGGGATCAAAAAGAACAGTCACTGATGATATAACTAGAATCTTCTTACCGGTCACATTTCTCGCTGGGACAAGATCCATTTGCAGAAAAGTGTGCAACACAGAGAGAAATGAGATTCATGTGCCACACTTATAGAACAAAATGAAAGACAAACACGTACAAGAATAACTGCGAGAGGGAGTGAGAGTACAAGTGAGACATAAGATACCAGTAAAGCAATACAAGGAAAACCTGAGTATAGTAGGGTAAAGCAAAGGGGAAAGATAAACATGGGATGAAAAAGGAAGAGATCTGGAGTCAGACGAACAGGGACTCGAAGGAATGAACGAGTCTCTCACTTTTACTCTGCTCAGAAAGAGAAATCAATAAATTAACTACCGACAATTCAAAACAAGACTTACGGATAAAGGAGGAAATTTTGCATTGTTTCATTCGCTCCAATTGTCTGCATCAGAGTCCGCTGGCATTGGCATCAAATCCTAAAATACAAAAATTATTTGAATGAAAGTATCAGTTAATATTACCTGAATGTTTGCAAGAATATCGCGGATTGCGATTATACAACAGCGACCACCGGTTGCCGGGCGCCCATTAGTATCCTTTGTGTGCAATACTTTCTCCACTTCAATTTGCATGCCCATTAAGTGTCCGTCCTCGCTCCAACAACCACCGCCGCTATCACCTTTGAAGGAGCCGCTCGATCCTGTTAAAAGTTAGCTTTATTTTTCCTACATGAGCAACTTATACAATCCAATTGAACGAGAGTTCAAGACACGTTCCACTAACATGGAAGGGACTTAAAGGAGGCCTGACCCGAAAGCTAGAATAATCTCCCGCAACGAAGTGCTTGTATCTTGTTCTTTAATTACGGTACACGGCGTTCCAAAAGGGAACTCGCAAGCGAGCCGATGAGGCGTGTCATTTTACCGCGCCCTTGCGTTCGTTGGAGCGTACTTGCGCAACAGAACTTTTTTTTGAAAATTCACAGAAAATGTCAAAAACGAAATTTTAAGAAATTGAGATGTTTCGATTGAATTCAGAGTGTTTTTTGTGATTATCATGATGTCCATGGAAAAGTGGAAGCTTTCAAAACATAAAGAAGCAATTCGATGAAGTTTCACTGGCAATCATCCGTATAATTGCTTCTCAACCTTTAAATCGGTTTTACGAAAAATTTTCAGCTATAAGCCTATGGTATTCGTTGTTTAAAAGATGAAAGAATGATAGTAAAACGTAAAACAAAAAATTTGAATGAATGTTGTTGAGAAGTTTTGACGAAAATTACATAGAATGATAATGGAAAAACGCTCATTTGTTGCGTAGTTCTGCGATCTTCGCAGGTGTTCTCTAAAAATTTTTCCAATTCTCTAATTAACCATGTTCTTTCGAATGGACCTGTGTGAACATTTTCAGCTATCAAAATAAAAGATTGACCGACATACCACAAAGTTTTTAATCTTTCGCGCGGAACACCCAAAAATTTGACAAGATTCCATGAAATTCAGTTTAAAAATTATTTTTGCCGACAAAAATTTTTTTGAACAATTTTAGATTGTAGAAAAACTCATTCTGCACATGAATCAAGCAGAAAGATGTCGAATACATGGCATGTAAATTAAAAACTCGCGAATTATCATTTTTCGTTTTGCCTCCACTAAAGCGGTAAACGGCCAAGGAGCGACATGACACAACCAACTTATATGAAGTCAGAGCTGACGAACAGTATAAACACAGCAGTAACACTCAGAAACGAAAATGTAACAAGAAATAGGGTTTTGAATTCCCAATACAAAACTAAACCACGCCCAGTTTTCTGCAATTGAGGCGCGGTACTTTCTGCCTCATTTTTCTCTACTGCGAGGTTCCCTTTTGGAACGCCGTGGGTAGATCATTGCAATGGAGCACTAGGCAAATCCTTTGTCAAGATAATCGCGAACTGATCTATTTTGAATGCGCGCCTTCTTGCCTGTACTTTTGGGGCTTTTCTAAGAGGGTTTCTTACGCTTATAAGCAAAATGATAACTTTTTATTATGGTTTTCGGGAGCCTGATAACAGCCCCAACCACATTCTATCAGCAGTTTATGCACGAAAATATTCGGTTTAGGCCTCCTTTAAATACAACCGATGCAACTATAATTTTATCCGGAGAAAGAGATACCTGTGTACCGCAATTTTCGAGTTACTTCTGTAGCAATTATCCCAGATGACAACGACAGATGGCTCGTCTTTTCATGGATAATTGAGAATCCCATCTAAAAAAATGCCTTTTTTAGGAATAATTTGACAAAATGTTTTAATTCATAAAAGATTACCAGTAGGTATTTCATTCCCTTTCGGGGGTAGCCTGAATTGCTAATGAAATCCTTGTCACTCAAATCTTCTCCGTCAGTTTGTAAAATGATCGTGTCGTATTCTTCCAGGATCTTGACTGCCACAGTCGCGACTTTTAAATTTTTATCCAACCACGAATGGATAATTATCTCATCCCCTAGAAATAGCCAATTGAAATGAACCCATAACTAACAAACCTATTTTGATTGATTTGTTATCTCCGTGACGGAAAGTTGCCGCCAGTCTTGGAGTCAATGGAATAGAACATCTCTTGTAATTGTCTTTCTTTACATTGTAGTACAGAGCGTATCGACCAATCGAAGCAACCAAATCACCGTTAACAGCAAGTTGCTCGGAGTATGGATCAAGTTTTCGCTTCTTCGGATTTGGACCTAGAATTGATACATTTGTAATGTTTGCAATAAATCTTAAAATGTGTAAAAATCGGTAAAAGGCGTTTGTAATCCAAAAAAATTGTGCTAAAATGAATATTTAAATAAAAAAATCCTTTTCGTATAAAAAAACATACAAACTAAAGTTGTTAATGAAAGATAATAAATTCAATTGTAAATCATACAAACCTTCGATATCAGCAGGAGTTGCTGGTCGAGGCGGCGCTTTATCCGATTCCACAAAGAATTGCATACTTGACCATTCATACGGAAGAAGAAAAACTCGTGCCAGCTTCATTAATTCTAAATTAATTGAAATATATCAGAAAAAAATTCAAAAATGTAACTTACTGGCAACATATCTGATTAGCATTTTTTTCATAAGACAATGAGATGACAGCATCATCTTCAAGCAAGAAGCCAGCTTTGATGGAGTTTTTCGTGATCTGATTGTCCGTCAATTCGAATGCAATGTCCTTGTCCATCATTTTTATTCGTATTTCTTGGGCCATTTTGAGCGACGAAAATCTGAAAACAAAGAATTAATTGTTTACAAGCACTCTGTAAAAACAACACGCAAACATGCACTCTGTAGACATATTCGATCAATTCGAAAGAGAGAGGGAAAGTAAGAAAAGTAGTTAACAAACTCGTTAAGTTAAGGAGAACATAACAATGATAATCCCGGATGGGAAATCACGAAATCAATGCAAACTACGGAAGAAAAGCAAGTCTATTTTCTATTCACAAAGGCTTATGGAAGAATGCGATGCTGGCTGTCTCTCGCTTTCCTCTGCGTCTCTGGTCACGAGTCTCTGCCTTCCACTCGCGCTCGGTCACAGAGAGGAAGAGAAAAGAAGGCACGGCGTTCCAAAAGGGAACTCGCAAGCGAGACGATGAGGCGTGTCATTTTACCGCGCCCTTGCGTTCGTTGGAGCGTACTTGCGCAACAGAATTTTTTTTTGAAAATTTACAATTTGTTAAAACTCCGTTTTTGACTTTTTCTGAGACGTCTTGATTGAATTCAGAGTATTTTTTTGTGATTATCATGATGTCCATGAAGTAGTGGAAGCTTTCGAATCAAAAAGAAGCAATTCGATGAAGTTCCACTGGAAATTATCCGTATAATTGCTTCTCAGCCTTCAAATCGGTTTTACGAAAAATTTTCAGCTACAAGCCTATGATATTCATTGTTTAAAAGATGAAAGAATGATAGTAAAAAGTAAAACAAAAAAAGTTGAATGAATGTTGTTGAGAAGTTTTGACAAAAATCACATAGAATGATAATGGAAAAACGCTCATTTGTTGCGTAGTTCTGCGATCTTCGCAGGTGTTCTCTAAAAAATTTTCCAATTCTCTAATTAACCATGTTCTTTTGAATGAACCTGTGTGAACATTTTCAGCTATCAAAAATAAAAAGATTGACCGACATACCACAAAGTTTTAGTCTTTCGCGCGGAACACCCAAAAATTTGACAAGATTCCATGAAATTCAGTTTAAAAAAATTATTTTTTTGCCGACAAAGATTTTTTTTGAACAATTTTAAGATTGTAGAAAAAAACTCATTCTGCACATGAATCAAGCAGAAAGATGTCGAATACATGGCATGAAAATTAAAAAAACTCGCGAATTATCATTTTTTTCGTTTTTTTCCTCAACTAAAGCGGTAAACGGCCAAGGAGCGACATGACACAACCAACTTATATGAAGTCAGAGCTGACGAACAATATAAACACAGAAGTAACACTCAGAAACGAAAATGTAAAAAGTAATAAGGTTTTGAATTCCCAATACAAAACTAATCCACGCCCAGTTTTCTGCAATTGAGGCGCGGTACTTTCTGCGTCATTTTTCTCCACTGCGAGGTTCCCTTTTGGAACGCCGTGAAGGTCACACAAAGAGAAAGGGAACACTGCTGACCTTTATACGTCACACCAAAGGATCTGAAAGACATTCACCTAGTGAAGGAAAGAACTAATTGTAAATGAGAAAGAGAGAACTCGATGAGTTTGGTCACACTCTGAAACTTCTCGAAGGTACTGGCAAACAAGTATGAAAGAACGAAGTGTATCATTTGAGAACGATTTACGTCGCAGAATTACTTCAGTTTTTGTGTTGTTATTTCATTTTGAAGATGTTTTTTTTAAAAAGTTCAATATTTTCTTATAAGATGGAGGATGCTTTTCGTGTCATGAAATCTCTACTTCTTCATAGAAAGTGTAAAAGTGAACAGAAAGAGCTGGTAAGTCTTTTTGTATGATACACTAGATTATTCTTTATTTGCAGGTTTTACTACAACATCAATTTAACGAAATTGATGAATCTCTTCGATCAGTGAGAGATGTGTTCAATAACAAGAGGTTTTATTATGTTTAACGAGAAGAAAGATTCAACGAACTACTAAAGGTGAGTAATGAACGTCTTCAGAATAACAACAAAGAATTTAAATGAATAAGATATATTTCAGCAGGAAATGTTGAATGAGCATTCGAAATTCTGAGAAAAAAGTCTATGTAACGACTTGAAGAATCTTCTCCGGAAGGGGAGAAAGTGAATAATCATTTGATTGTTGTTGTTAATTCTTTGTTTATTTCATGTTTGTTGTTATTTCATCTTCTTGTTTTATTTTGAAAAACAAATATCTTGTTTGATTGAAGCCAAGTGAAAAAGTTAATACCTCAGGTGAGGTAGCCATGTTAGGGGTTCATGGCTAGGTGGAAGTGAATTCACTTTCTAGTGAAGACATCCATTTTCACTGAACGTCCACCATTTCACAAAAATCAAAATAAGATATTTGTAGCCAAAAAAATTTTTAACTTCTAAATTATGGAATTAGTATACTGTTTCAAATGTAAAAAAATATACTGATACTACTGACATATTTAATGTTGAAACAAGCTCGAAACGTTCTATGATAAAAAGGGTTATGCCAAGATTGTAAAACAATGAAGTGTAAGCTAATTCCAACAATCACAGGAGGTTCTGGATTAGAAGATATCAAGGAGGTTGAAATTAGTGAAAAATCTAAAATTCTTAGACAACTCACAAGTTCCGAAGGTGAAAGAGATCTTTTAGAAAAAGCTTATTATTCTCCTAAAACGGGTTTCTGCGGTATCAATGAACTATCAAGAGTAGCAAAGGTGTCACAGAAAAAGGTTAAAGAGCTCCTGAATGAACAAGATGTTTACACTCTTCATAAGCCAGCTCGTAAGAACTTCAAGAGTCAAAGAGTTTACGTCAGTGGAATAGATGACCAATGGCAATCAGATCTCGTAGAAATGATTCCCTACGCGGAAGAAAATAAAGGCTATAGGTATCTTTTAACAAATATAGATTGTTTCAGTAAGTTTGCATGGGTAGTACCATTAAAAAGTAAGACAGGTAACGAAACTGCAGATGCTCTTTCTTTAGTTTTCACAAAAAGTAAAAGAATTCCTAAAAAGATGCAAACTGATAATGGTAAAAAATATTATAATTCAACTTTTTCAAAGTCTCTTTAAAAAAATTAGAAATTAATCATTTTTTTCAACCTATTCAGATAAGAAAGCTTCTATTATCGAAAGGTTTAATAGAACCTTAAAAGAAAAAGATGTGGAAAAATGTTTACTCATCAAGGAAATCATAAATGGGTTGATATTCTTGATGATTTACTTTGGGGTTATAATAATCATTATCACACTTCAATAAAAAAATGACTCCCACGCAGTCTTCAAAAAAATAGAAAAATGAATCAATAGTTTACAATAACTTATTTCCACCAAGAAAAAGAAGAAAAGACTCAAATAAGTCCAAAATTCAAAGTAGGAGACACTGTCAGAATTACCAAATACAAAGCTATTTTTGACAAAGGTTATCTTCCGAATTGGACAACTGAGATGTTCAAAATTGCAAAAGTTCATATTGGTGAACCTGTGATGTACGAACTAAAAGATCTTGCAGATGAAGAAATCAAAGGAAAGTTTTATGAAGAAGAACTCACACTTTACAATAATATCAATGAAGAGTATAAAGTTGAGAAAGTGATAAAACATAGAAAATCTAAAGGAGTAAAAGAAGTGTTTGTTAAGTGGTATGGATATCCGGAGAAATTTAACTCTTGGATAAAGGACACGAATTTAAATTTCACAAGTTTTCACCCTTTGGCAAAGACGTTTAAAGAAAGACATAACTGCTGCTCACAATTTCATTTACGGATACTATTGGTGCCCATCTCCAACCCCTTTACAAAATACAACAAGTAGATCGAATCAACTGCGAGGAAATGGCCTCAAAATAGAGCGGCCTCTACTTTCTGACATACACTACCGGTTCATTAATCAAAGAGTATTCAATCATTGGAATCATATGGATAGAAACATAGTATTTGAGTATGAAAAAAATAATTTCAGATCTAAACTTGAGAAATGGTTTGAAAAACAATATTACAGAACTAAACACTCTTGATCCAACAAAAAAATATGAAAGCTACATAATCGACATTTAAAAAGAATAACTTCAAGGTTATTCCAATTTACTCAAGTGGGGGTTAACACGACCACGAGTCCTCTTCCCTCCATCACCACAAGTTCCGACACATATGTTCCCAAATTCTCCCTACATCTATTTCGTGAAATTTAGTACTTGTGTGTGAGAAATAAAACATTTTGATTGAATTTGAAGTGAATCCGAAGGAGATCCTTTAAAGACCTAAGCATTTTATACTCAATTATTGAAATAATGAAGTTTGATTTATCAAATACTGACAACCTTAACTCGATTATCCTTGACTTCAACAATATTTTCGCTCAAAATTAAGCAATAACATTTAGTACTTTGAGCAATGTTTTTATTAAAGGAAGCTTTTATTGTAACATCAGGTCGAGATGCAATAATTCTATCATTCTGTTTTTGATACATCAAATACTAAAAAGTGGATAATAATAATAATACACATCTTCTTCCATGAAAAATGTAATCCTTCATTGATTCATAATAACTATTTCTGAATTCTTTAGCAAAATTGTATTCTTGAACTGCATTAAATTTATCGAAACCAAATTTTAGACATTCATATGGATATCTTTCGCTATTGAGTTCAACATAAATTTCTTCAAGTCCCCATTATCGAATTTTGCAGCATTCAGATAATTGTTATCTCTAACAGTTTGAAAAGAGAGAACAATATATTTTATTGTATCATATTTAGTTCCAAGTTTCCAAGTAAATTCACGATTACCATTAGGAATATTATAACTCTCAAATTGTCTAGAAATAAAAAGGCATTTGCACTAATTTATTACTTTCAAATAAATTAAGAAGTTTGTTTTGCATCTCAAGACTAGGCATAATTTTAGGAATTATCCATTGAAGTTTATTAATAGTCATCTTAGCAG